GTGTGCTTGTTTGTGCGACTCTCCCAGGGGAATTGAGGATGCTCACCTCTCCGAAGCAGCGACTCTCGAGGCCTAGCCCTGGCCGCTTGTCCCTTGGCCCGCCAAAGTCGTATGCGTCATGGTCTAGACGCAGCGAACTCCCGGCCATTCATCCCGGGTCGCGCTTCTCTGCCATTGTCCTCCTGCATTCGCGATGTATCCACGGCCGCCATTTCAACGCCGGCACAATACGTCTCGTGATGGATCTTAGACTAACGGTGCACAGGGAAGTCGCAAGGAAGACCATCGGAGCTGCACGTCCCAGAGTGTTGGGCGCGGGCGGTCAATTTGGTCGTCCCCCTTAAGCAAGATCGGTCCCTGGTAAGTACCAGCCTTGATGTGTTGACACCGCTCTCGGCGTCGTTTGCGTTCTCAATTGCGCATGCTCTTCTCTGCGAAGTCTGTGCCGCCTCAACCCACAGGCCCGAACGAGGGCCCCAGTTCCTGAGCATCTCCAATGGACATGTAGGTACGCAGAGGTACGTATCCTCCAAGCCCCCCCACAGTTGCCGCCAGCACCTCGCCTACACTGATTTCACCGCACCACACAGCTATGCGCCAGCCTGTACTTGGCCTGTACTGGACAGTTTCTGTTGCGCTTACTTAGCCTGAGCCATCCGCTCACACTACCCCCGGTCCGCTTTAGGTGCGTCCACACCCACGCTATTAGCTCGAGGCGGGGCTACTGAACCCTGCATTTGAGATCCGAGCGGTTCTCAGATTTCGCAGCGGCGCCACATCCGCTCTCTCTGAGTTTCTCTCTGTGGACTTCGGTCCGACTAGGGCAGACCGTCTCACGTCTGCGCATGGCTCGAGGACAGCGATGGGAGAGTTGCGTGCTGCTTGCGTGGGTGTGTCTCAGTAGTCCCTTCACTTGGTCTGACCGGTACCTCCAGGGCCGACCGGGCGTCGGAAGGCGTCTCTTACTGGGTCGAGATGGTTGATGCACGTTGGTGGTGCCATCTTGCCAAGTGGGTACGCTTCTCCAATGCTTCCCTATTTCATTCCCTAATGTCTCAGTGAGAACGCGGGATGTGCATTCACTATGACTCGCATGTGATCTGGGCTCAATGAATGCGGGAAACGTCCTCCATGTGATGAGTCCGACATCTGAATCGCGCGGAGTTTTACCTGACGACCAGGACGTCGCATGGATCAAAGTGGGCAGCGCGGGATGTTCGCAACGAGGCACACGAACAGCCGTGCATTTCAATGGAAGTGATGGGCCACTAGAGCGCTTCACCAGCTCTGCCGTACGAGCGGCCGGACTTGACTGTGGTGTCCTCGGGCGTTCTGGCGTCGGCGAAAGTGGGGTTTACGAGAGTCTCCTCCTCAACTTGACATTGCGAGCCACCGCATAGTGCATTGCTATGTGTCTCATGATTGTTCGCATCTGCCGGTGCCCAGCGTTAGCTGCCTCTGCGGCCCGGTGAGTTTTGTCTTGTTGGTGGGGGTATTCCAGCGGATGCGCAGCGGCTCAGCGTCCTGAGGAGGCTCTGAGGCTGAGAGCTTCGGTGCGTGATCTTCGGTCTCGTACTTGTTTGTGATACAGGGCTTTTATATATGATGATCTGCGATGGTCGGATCGAGCTAGCGCGGTTGTTAGCGACGGAACCTGATGAGGTGCACGACGACCGAGATTGAGGTGCGGCAGACTGAGATCGTATCGTCGAGGTTAGCATCTGTTAGCATGTCGTCATGATCAAGCAAGAAGTACGGATGCGCGATCACCCAGTTGCGGACGACCGACTCTTCTAGCAGCGTGTGCCGTGAAGGCGGGGAGGTACTATACTGAGAAGAATAACACATACGTCCGGTGCGCTGGCACAACTTCTGTATGTAGGTGCGTCAGCTGTTTTGTGGACTTGCATGGATTCGCGACTTACGCCACAAACCTTGGGATAGCACCAGACCGTCTACTGTGTGCTCCAGACTTTACCCCTATCTGCGATTTGCGTGACCGGAAGAGTGCACCATTCAATGAACACCCTTCGATGACTCGCCCATCGTCGACAAGGAGCAAAAGGGATATATTCGACACAGGATCACAACGGCACTTGTCTTTACGACTAGATACCTGTGTATATAGATGTGATTGTGAGTAAACATTGTGGGTTGTACACAAAAGGTTCGATGTGGTGGTTGGCTGAGGAACCTGATGTGATTTCATCCTCTGAGAAAAAGGGGCACTATGCACCGGAGACTACGCGAAATCTCGATCGAGAGCAACTGCAATTGCTAAGGTCAGCTAAGTGCTACGTTTTCTTGGTCAAAATTCCTGTTTGCGTCCGCAATCGGGGTTTGTCACGTTGAGCAAGTCAAAGTGGAGGAGCCCCTCAATTCGTGTTACCTTCTAGAGCGGCTGATGATTGTGGATCTTTCGATGCATCGGTGGGAGAGCTTGTATGATCAGGATCATTAAACAGCTTGATTGTAGGAAACCCCATGTACTATACATCCTAACATACATACATCCGCAAATACTGACGCGACACAATTCTAGCGACTCATGCGATGATCAGGGTACTTTAAGGGAGACTGGCAAAGCCGACAGCGTTCTGGTCGAAAGAGAAGACCGTGTAAACGTTCTTCATGAAGCTGTCGCCTAGCAGCCAGACGTTGGACCCCAAGCCAAGGTCTTGCCCGGCAAGAGCACCGACACAGTTGCTCGACTTGCTGGAAACCTTTCCGAGGTTAAAGCTGCAAAGTTCTACGATGAGAATACGCCGTAGATGTTCGGGGGTTGACTTACTTCGCGGCGCTGACTGTCCAGCTCTTGCCGCCCCAGCTGAAGGCTACAGTTGGGACCTTGTTACAGGGGAACTGGTAGTAACCGTTCTGCGAATCGTACACCGATGCGCCGGGGATAGACTTGTAGAACTGCTGCACTGCGCTCGGGGGCCCGTACATGATCGTTGTCCCGCTATCAATGATCTATAGGAGTGCGTATAAGGGACACTGAACAGTAATGCTCTGACAAGAACACTCACGGTCTGGAAACCGGTGTTGACGGCCTTGTTGTTTATCATCGTCTTCGCCCCCGAGATCTGCCAGTAACCTGACCCAGTCACCGTGTGATACTCGGGCGAACCCTTGTACAGCGATGTATCGGTTCCACCGATGTAAAGCTCTGAACCAGAGCTGGCAAGTTTCATCCCGAATGCGGCGCTCGTGATGCTGCCCTGAGTCTTCGCTTGGTTCACGAACGGGGGCTGCCTGAGACTCGAGATGCTTTGGTAGGCCATACCAAGTATGCCATCGATGGGGTCACCAGAGAAGCTGCTCGAAAGCGTCGTCACTGGCGAGAAATACTGTGCTGTCGACTTTATACCAGCGACGGTCACTGACAGGACGCATTAGCACTGAGTGAAGTACCGTGTTTGCGGGACATACCAGTATCCGTGTAAACGGGGCCAGAAACGGATGAGCCGTCGCCGTAATTGATCGTAAAAGTCCCCGACTTCTGTGCCGAAGTGGACGACGATCCGGCGGTGTACTTATCCTTCGACGTGCAAACGGAACTCGTGCAAGACGAAGATGGCACCCAGAGGTCGGAAGAGCCGGCTGGGTACCACATGAATACTGTATTAGCAATAAGATTCGGAGCAAAATACTCACTGTCGAAATCAATCAAGAACTTCTGCGCCGGGGTACCGATGGAGATGTATCCGGCCCACTCCAGGTCACTCTCCTCATCAGTTGTTGGTTCCTTCTGACGCTTCTGGTGGTGGGTCGTCGCATTGTACAGCCGGAGCGGCCTGACTTCGGCGCCCTGTAGTAATCCTTAGAGTGTTATCAGGGAAAAACATGATGAACGTACTTCATTCATGCTGTCAGGATCGTTGTTCTGCAGGTTGATCATATTCTGCCGGTGCTTACTGTCCATGATATGTGTCAGACAAACTTCCTTACATCCGGAGTCTACTCACTTATGGGTGTTGATTGTACTTTGAATAGCAGCTTCATGGTCGAATACCCCATCTTCAGCGGTAAGACCACTGCGCTTCGCAAAAGGGATCGAAGTCCCCGTGCGGCGCTCGAAGGGCGTCGCGCAGCTCAGTACCGCGAGGAACACGGTTGAGATGAGGGCGGCTTTGCGGAACATGATGCGATGAAGTCGTAAGTTGCGAGGGTGTGTGTGTGTGCTTAGACGAATGATGCGTTGCTCACCAAAGTCCTGCACGGTTTATATACCTTTGGTCAGAAGCCACGGAGGTGCGGATGCCATGATGTGAATGGCGGTTCGGATGGGCCAGAGCAGCGGAATGATCGAATATCGGCAGCGGATGCAAAGTCATCCTGTGGTATAGCGGAAGCGGTGTAAGTGCTGCATCCGCATCCGTTTCCGGGTGCGACTGCTTGGAGCCGTCGCGGCATGGCCTCCGTGCCAGCATTGCGACTACCAGCATAACCGGGAAATTCACTACACATCCGGGATCATCAAGCGACGACTCACATTTCGGAGGCGTTAAGCCACTTTGATAATGTTAAGCCTACACTTTCGAGCTCGATGCGTTAGCACAGTCAATCACGAAATCTGGAGGCATGAAGACATCATTCAAGGCATTGACATCTATTACTCTTGTGGGAAACGTATGAAGGGTGTCATGGGATGAACAAGCGCAAGTTCGAACATGGACCGACGGGATCGAGAAGATACGAGCAGAATTCGACCTAGCTGGGACTATATGTACTAGTACTCATGTCTTCGGCTTACGGTCGTCATGTAGGAGTTTGTGCATGTGGTCTGTACTGCGTGCGCAAAGGCGCTTGAAGTCCAAGGAAAACCTAGGTATCGATGTCTCTCTAGTGATATGACACCGGACTTTAGGAGAGTTGACGTGGCAGGCGGCACCAGAAAGGCAGGCGGCCTTCCCTCTTCGGCTGTCTGTGGCGGCAGTGTGGCCTGCCCACGTTTCGATCATCAAGGCGGCGCTAAAACCCAGGACACCGTGACCGCGCTGCCACAAACGCACTGATTCCTGCCCTCTTACCATGTCCGCCGAGACGGATTGGGACCTCATATCCTCATATGCAGGACTCTTAAGTCTAGCGACACTGTCTATTTACGCTGGTTCGCTCGGATCTGTGACAGTGAGTCTCTTTCCGGCCGTACCGCAGTTGACCGCTTGACTCGTCGGTAAGTTGCGAAAACATCCGCAAGAAAAGGGAGCAACAGCCGTAGACTCGGAGGAAGACGAGGAAGAGATACCCGATCGTCTGACGTCGCAGGATGCATACTTGTTTCCCGTTGTGAGTCGCGCGCCTTTCGACGTCCACTGCATTGAAGTGTCTCAACCCATTGCAGATCGGGTCGGTGGTACTCTTTGGTCTATATCTCGTGGTGAAATATTTTGGGAAGGAGTGGATAAACTGGCTGCTTCAATGGTATTTCACATTTGCGGGCATTGGCAGTGTGGGCAAGGTGTGCATACCTCTCCGTATTTTGCGCCCGCATCGCCTTTATGGGTTCCCTAGTCACTTGTTTCGCTGGCAAGATGGACAATAGGGAAAGGAAGATGGCGAAAACTCGAGCGAATACAATTCCTTTGTCTCAAGGGCAGGCGAGGTCAGTTTATGCCATTCTGACCTAGGCGTTGCTTGACACTCTGCAGAGCTCGTCTCGTTCTCGCTGCGTGCCCCGTCGTTTATTCTTATCCCTCTCGGTGCACTCCCATCTATTATGTATAACTTCGGCCCGGGTACGACTCGCAGGTCCGGCCTGCTGACGGACATCCTGGCCCTCTCGTTTGCGCATAACGCGATTTCGCTCATGAAGATAGACTCCTTTCAGACGGGATGCGTGCTCCTATCTGGATTATTCCTGTACGATATATGGTGGGTGTTTGGGACTGATGTGGTAAGCAAACATATCCATCGCTGGGACCGCGCAGACATGTCACATCAGCTCACGTCTTCTCTGCATTGATAGATGGTCGCGGTGGCAACCACACTCGACGTTCCGATCAAGATTCTCTGGCCCAAGTCTCTCAATTTCTCCACTGAGCGGGGTTTTACCATGCTCGGTCTAGGCGACATCGTTGTACCCGGGATGTTTATCGCTCTAGCTCTGCGCTACGACTATCACAGATCAGAGACGGCAGTTCATGGCTCGTCGTTCAGCAAACCGTACTTCTACGCTGGTCTATTGGCGTACGTCGCCGGCCTCATGACGACTATGGGAGTCATGCATTTCTTTGGACATGCACAACCGGCTTTGCTGTACCTAAGGCGAGTTTCAATGACATCATCGTTTATCAGCATTATACTGACCATTCATCTCAGCCCTGCATGCATGATCTCTTTCTTCGTAACTGCACTCGCTCAGGGCGACTTCACGCATGCATGGGCATGGTCTGACGAAGCGGAGAAACCGAAGACTGACGAAGGCAAGACAGAAACCCCCGCGAGTGGTGTCGATCCAAGGCCCACTGAAGCGGCGGCGGATGACACAAATGCTCCAGTCGATGGAGGTCAAGACAAGACAGGTCATGATTCGGACGAACGTCGAAGGCACGAAAATGTCGAAGACGGACAGAGGCTAGCGCATTGACAGAGTGTAAGACGGTCTTGGCAATGCACTCATAGACACTATCTTCCCGACTGTAACATATTTATCGTAAGTTAGTGAACGATTGCAGAAGCGTCGAGCGAGCCCTTGGCGGGAGTGGCGACGGTCATGACGCGGTCATGTGACATTTGCTACTGAGTCAACCCGGGCAAGTCAAAGGCAAGTTCCCGGGTCGTTTTTCGGCCGTGCAAGGCTCCTGCTTCCGTTATCCACTCTTCCACTCGTGCCATCCGCTTTCCTCTCCGCGTCAGTACTCGACATGCTGGATAGTGTTCGGGCAAGATCCGCGACGGCTCAGGCTGTGTTACTTGTGGTCCGAATGCGCGCTGATGTCTCTGCCTCCAGATCGTCCGCACTGATTATCACTGCAGGTATAGTTACTCATTTTTGCGGCTACCATGCTCCATCGCTTGTTCACATATTTCTTTGGATATCATCGCAGCAAGTGTCTGGACATCTTGGAGTGTGCCAGTCTGGATTGTAATCGGACACGGATGCCATCCGAGTCGTAAGCCGTGCGACGGACTAAGGACGTACAGGCGCTTCCATATCCGTGTTTCCGTTATGGATCATCTCATAGCGCTTGAAAATGCCGTTTCCGACTTACTGGCTGCTCTTCCGAGTATGCATAAATACAGGGACGAATTCGACGGTAGACATCCAATTTCAGTACACCGACTACTCCGCGTCTCGTCACTACCTCCAACAATTCTTTGACAGGATGTTCTCGAAGTCTACACTCGTTGTTATGGTCACCCTGGCACTCCTTGGCTCTGCAACTCCCGTTGACCGGGAACAGGGCACCGTCATCCCCTTTGCTAAGCGAAGCGGGTTCACTACAGCGGATGATGTCTTCGATCATGAGAACGCCATCCTAAGCACGCTTCGCACCCACAAGTACGCACCTCGAAATAATGTCCCGTGTGAATCAGCTAATTGATTCCTTGCACACAGCAAACATCGTCAGAACATCATCAATCTTCAGCAAAATGATCCTGACAATATGAACGAGGTACGTCACTTGGGAGATAGGTACTATTAACCTGCTCACTTCGCTCTTGTTTAGGGTGCATCCATCAAACCCATCCGCGCCTACGACGCTCCTGGATCGCACGAAAAGCGCCAGAAGGAAACTACCGTCGATGAGAACAGTGATCTTGAATGGGCTGGTTCCATCTCCATCGGAACTCCCGGAACCAATTTCTTGATTGACTTTGACAGTACGTCCATACTGTGCCCACGGCATATACTTTCCGCCGGCTGACTGAGGTTTGCAGCTGGTTCGGCGGATCTTTGGGTCCCTTCCTCGAACTGCACGAGTGCCGCATGCGATACCAAGAACAAATATCTTGCCGTACCGTCATCGACCTCTCAACGCAAGGCAGGATCTTTCTCCATTCATTATGGAGATGGATCCACGGGTTCAGGACCTGTATTCACGGATACTGGTGTGTTTGGGCTTTATTCAGACGTCCAGAACGGTGCACTAACATTTCGTAGTCACGGTGGCAGGTATCCAATCCAACGGCCAATACTTCTCAGCTGTCACCACACTGTCGGACAAGTTCAAGCCAGACCCCATTGACGGTATCCTGGGCATGGGGTACCAAAAATTGTCCAGTATCGGGCAGCCCCCCTTCGTGAACCAAGCGAAGACGCAGGGCAGCATCAAAGATGCTGTCTTCGGTATGAAGCTTTCGAGCGCGGGCTCCGAACTATACCTGGGAGGAACCGACACGTCACAATATAACGGGGCCATCGAGTACCATCCCGTCTCCGGCTCCGGATACTGGCAGATATCGGACGCGAAGGCCATCGTGAACGGCAAGACTACCAACACGGGGTTCCAAACTGTACGCAGACACCTATCTATTGAGATACTTGACCTCACGTGGCTCGGTGCATAGGTCATCGACAGTGGCACGACTATCATGTACGGCCCCCCGAGCGCTGTGGCCTCGTTCTACGAGTCCGTGCCCGGAGCATCCATGTTCGACTCCGAGAACGGTTTCTACCAGTTCCCATGCGATTCTGTCCCTACCGTTGCTTTCAACTGGGGAGGAAAGGATTGGACAGTCAGCGCCGAGAAGTAAGCTAGCCAGCGTAGCCCTCTCAAACAATATGCTGACCATAGTTCGCAGCTTTAACCTCCGCCAGACCTCACCCACGTCAAACTACTGCGTCGGTGCTCTTGCAGGCCAAGATTTAGGTCTCGGAAATGATGTTTGGCTGCTCGGCGACAGTTTCATGAAGAACGCCTACTCGGTGTTCTCCTTTGACCAGAATTCCGTCGGGTTCGCGGACTTGTCGTAAATCGGGAAGCCTTTCTCTGCCGCATTACACCATGTTGTATGCTCCTAGGAGGAGTTAGGTACCTGATATCACCCATGCAAAAATGGAAAATTGTGTTGTCACTGTTTGTGGCATGCAATAACATGACTTCGTTTGAGCCAGTGCCATGTGCGGGCGCCCGACTTCACTTTGACTTTGGAGATGTCTCCCGCAAACAACGCCTCTAACTGCCAGCCATCCTGAAGGACCCTGCTCAAGCCGTCCTCCTTTCCGCCTGCTGAAGGCCTATCTGTTCTGTGATCGAAACGGCAACGTTTCAACACATTGTTTCATCACTCGACTTCGGCTTTCTGTTCCTCAGTTCGTCTTATCCCGGGGATGTCAAACGCACGGGTATGTCATCTCGATCAGAGAAGTGTGTAGGTCAACAGTGGGCACAATCCAACGCTATTCCGCTCAACTGCTTCCCTACGACTAAGGCAAGCACCACATCGGTTCCATGTCCGAGCACTGTAGATGTCGACGTCATCAGCTTCCGATTGTTTCAGCCCCCACTAGAAGGAACGCTTACCTGCGGGCACTCGAGGGACGTCTACTTGCTCTTCGGGGGCTCGGCGCAGCCGCACGCGGGGTAGGTGCAGGAGCCGCCGTTGGCCTGTACGTTAGCGCAGGTGGCCTTGTCCTGCCGCATTGTTCAGTCATTGTACCTCTAATTCAGGGCCTGAAGTGATACTCACAGACATTGTGATTGATATGCGAGTAGAGGAGTTGTCGAGTGATGAGTGGGTTGTGTAGTCGTGCTATGGTCTACGGGTGCGCATGCGCTCCTCTTATAGGGCTCGTAGGTTGCACACGCGTTCATGGTCCGACCACCGTGATCTTGTAATCGGTATTCGGAGATGTATCATTGGTCGACCTCCGTCCAGTGAAAGAGAGCGCGTTGGTAAGATGCCATTTGGTGTGGTAGATTTTCTAAGACGGCCGCCGGAGTGGCATCGAGGGAAGGATCGGATTCATAACTGCAGTCCTCTCATTCGTGGCCGCAAGAACTATGCGGACAGGCCTGAAATGTGGCCGGCATGTAGGATCGTCTCAAAATCCGTAAAGCCCGAAGGATGCATGTGTCGTGTCTGCCCGGTGCATTCGCCGCGGACCGCTCATGTGTTCTACCTTCACATCATTGTCGCCAAGTTCCTCTTCCTGTGACCGGTGGTGACGGGGAGGTCGGCCCTCTGTTAACAATCATGATCTCTCGTCGGCACCGGACAACTCACTGGCTCGCACATGAGGCGTTGGATCATTGACTTGTTCATCGCTGTGGGGTTTCTGCGTCCTCCCCGAAAAGGGTGCTGGCCGCCAGCGTCATGAGGCAGGCGGTTGCTGTAGGTTCCCGACCCTGTGTCATGTATCCTTGCGAGACATCTTGTGCAAGCCGGAAGCCATAGGCGACCTACTGACCGCGAATTCCGAATATCATAGGTGAAGCTCCGACACTGCAGTGACACGAGCCATATATTCCAATTCCGAATAAGAGCGAGATGCCGACGCAGGAGGCGTTTCATGGAGAGTTCAGTCGCCCATCGTCTTCAGTCCCGAATGTGTACAGACCACGGCTCTGCAGTTGGTCGCATCGGGAGGACGCATGATATCAGTGTATTAGGGGGTTTCCCATAATGGCAGGAAGGAAGCGTGGACGGTGATTGGCTAGACCGCGGGGGCGCGATGCGAATTCGGAATGTGGGTTTGGCGCGCAGGGATGACGGTGCACTTGGCCATTCTTTGCTCATGGCCGTGCGAGAAGATGTGCATGCATTTTTCAGCCCGTGCTTCGCTGAATCGTCACTCGGCGCGGCCTCAATACCACTATAAAGTTGCTGCTCGCCACAGTCCAGCCGCACCCTAGCATCGACGGACTTCCTCATACGCTATTGTGTAATTGGCAAGTCTCTCGAACATCGCCTCTCGCCCTGATGTCATCTTGCCAAACATCTCATCCAGGACCAACGCCTCTGCTTCTCCCTCGAAAACTTTGGAAGACATGGCCAGACCGCATTCGGTATGTCACGCGTCCCGGTATAAGTCGCATATCCCTTCGTGCTGAAGCTCATCCAAACCAATGTCAGACATTTTACACCGATATGGTTCGCAGTAGTCATGGGCACTGGTGCCGTGTCAGCCCTGCTGAACAACTTCCCGTATGGGCAAGACAATGACAACTTCAGGATCGCTGGCTGTGTCTGGTTCATTCTCAATCTTGCCATATTCATCTTCGCATGTGTGTGTTCTCTGCTACGATATATCATGTATCCAGAGGTTAGCCCTCGTCCATTTCTGTGTAATTGTACTGAGTTCTCTCCAGATGTTCTGGCTGATGCTCGGCCACACGTCACAAAGTCTTTACATCGGCTGCTTCCCCATGGGTATCACGACATTAATCAACTCTGCCCTGGTGTGTAACCTTGTGCTCCGTGTCTCAGAATTGACTTGAATAATACTATTCAAGGCACTGAACCAGAACTGGGGATTTGGAGGCAAGGGCTTCTTGTATGTGTTATGGGGCTGCTGGTGGATTGACTCTGCCATCTCCTATCTCATCGCATTCGGAATGCTTTACACAATGTACGTACGTCACTCGCACATCTACGCTGAGGTCAGCTTACCCGGTGCATCAGGACCGTCCGGCATGAGCACTCGCTCTCGAATATGGCGGCCGTATGGCTTCTGCCCGTGGTCACTCTAGTCGTCGCGTCGTCTACAGGTGGTCTACTGGCGGCTGCTCTCACCCCGCACTCCCATACACTCGCATTGGTCTCGACAGCCTTCTCCTTCGTTATGGTTGCGATGGGGGTCTCCTTCGCCCTCATGATGATCACGATCTACCTCCTCCGCCTCATAGTCCACAGCGTGCCTGACCCAGGCTTGATCCTCTCCGCGTTCATCGTCCTCGGTCCGCTCGGACAGGGCGGCTTCTCCCTGCTCATCAACGGCACGAACATCTCCGAGCTCCTCCCGCTGCACATTGGCCCGGAGTTCCCGGATTCCGCGCTCGCAGGCCAGATGATTTTCGCAGTGTGTTTCTGCGCGGCGTACGCGCTGTGGGCCATCGGCATCGCATGGATAGTCGTTGCGGTGTGCTCGATCTACCATGTTGTCGTGGTGCGCCGGACCAGAATCTCATTCAACATGGGTTACTGGGGCATGATTTTCCCGAATGGCGTCTTTGCGATGCTGACCATCGAGCTGTCAAGGGTACTGCAGAGCCCTTTCTTCAGGATCATCGGTTCACTCTGGTCCGGTAAGCTCCGTCACATTAGTGCCCATGCACAGAACTGACTGGACGGATGTCGTCAGCGCTGACGTTCCTCATCTGGGGCTATGTCTTTCTGCGGAGCATCCCGCCCTTCATCGACGGCTCACTCTTCATGGCGCCCTGTCTCCCGGACGGTCGGACGCGCCAGCAGCTGCTTCCCACCTCACAGATACACTTGCACGCCCCTCAAGCGCCCTGCTCCCCGGACATTGTCCCACACTCCCCTCCGCACGGCGAGAAGCTCTACGTGTCTCATCCTTCCGCGAAGTCTTCCGCGCGTGAATATCCATAACCCCTGTGCCAAGGGCGCACACGATGGCTGGCGCGATCGTCGTGGGGAGTAGAGGGTCGGGCGATGGGGCGTAAGTCGTTGATGACTGTCCTTACGCATAACGACTTCTACTTTCCTGTGTTGCTCTTTGATTTCATGACACGACTTTGTACGACGTTACGGATATCTTATGCGCACCATTGAATGGTATGTTCAATCCAGTTCGTCCCTAAACATAACGATAGTGGCTTCTTATAATTGACTTTTTCCTTTACGCAGGGCTCCTCGGTAGCTGTTCTTGCCATTTGCACGTCGCATTCAGGGCTTTCGATCGAGTATGTATCTCAATGCTCGTGCGCTACACTCGGCTGACTGTGTATAGTGTCGCAATGGTTGGTGGGTTATGCAGTGTAAAGTGCCGGTAGATATACCTGGGACCAAAGACCGGACTACTGTGGAGTCTTGATAGGGCCAATGAAGACTTCCTGGCCAGACACACGGCCAGATCTCGCTTGGCCGTAATTTATGACGAATGCGAGTGGATTATATACGTGGCTGTAACGAAATTGCAGTTGATTCACATGTATACATGATCTTGGCAAGGCTGCAATGTCATTATTACCTGAGATATGGGGGCGACGCGATCTACAGCCCAGACGATGATCATCAAAATCATGGAGGAAATGATACAACGTGTCAGTGGTGGACGTTGAGTACAAGGATCATAGCAGGATAGCACGACAGCAAAACGGAGAGACATTACAGACAGTAAGCGCAGACCAAAATCTAATTGTACATCACTCGACCCGAGCAGCGTAGATCTCCCGGAACTTGTCCTCAGATAGTGTCACCTTCCTCGCCCGTTCACCATCCGGATCCTTCGCGGTTAGATGCTTGATAATATACTCAACACCGTCGTCTAGCGAGGTCAACACGCTGGTGACCATGCAGGTGCGGGCGCGGGGCATTGTGGGCGTCTTGTACTCGAATGTGGTTCCGAGCAAGGAACCGTCAGCGATGTTCGGGAGCAGCTTTGGCTTTGAAGCGGTGTCCCTTGACCTGGGACGAGCTGGATGGTTGAGAAATTCGGGCTCGGAGTCTTGGTAAGCCCGGGCACAATCAGTGCTATACACGCGTGTGAGCCATGCGCGCAGGAAGACCGACTTGGGGTACGTACAGCTTCCGGGTGATAGTGGGGTGCAGCCTGCCAATGACATCCAGGTCCCTCATGCACGGCTCATTGCAGTTCAACAGGTCTGATACGCTGAAAGCGGCGAACGTGACGATCCAATGGCTGTGGCGAGGAGCATGAGCGCTGAACGACGAAGACCAATTGCATGCAACAACTGCAACTCACTCTTCTGTCGTCATCTCTGCGTCTGGTTTGCAGTGTGACCTAATCACCTCCTCTATCCATTCGATGTAACCGTCCCTTCCTTCAGCGTAGTTCCTCGGGCCTTGCCACCGCGAGAACTCTGGGTCCTTGATCCAACGATCCAGAGCCCGTGTGTAAGACGAAGCGAACCCCTCCGGCGTCTTCTCTCTGAGACGGATATAATGGGCATGCTCTTCCCAGAGGCACCCATATTTGATGAGTTGGTCAGACAGTCGTTTCTCCTGCTCAGCCTGCGATGCTTGACGCGCCATGGCGCGAGATACGGAGGATCGCGCGGTGAGTGGCGCAGAGCGCGTTGGGGGCTTAGACACTCGATGAGATGCGCGACGCGACGCAGGCATAATGTAAGCAATGGCGGAAGACAGTGAAGATGTATCGGGTACGTTGTGGACGCGGAAAGCGACGCGTGAGTTGGTGGTAAGAGGGGAACTGTTCACGAACGTGACGGGCCACGGCGCGTCGAACACGATCGAGCATCGAGCGCAACGCGTGGATGTCCATGTCACATGATACCTAAGTACGTCTCGGCCTTCGGGCCGGCGTACTTTTAAGCGCTGACGCGGACGCCTTCACGGCACCGAGAGGGCGTACTTAAGTACTGTACTTATAGGTTAAAGCTGGAGCTTTCTATCCATTTGTACTCGCCGCCGAGCCTCTTGAGTATACTTGCGCCGGATACCAAAATATAAAGGCATATCTTTTGAGCTCAGCCTCACCTAACGGGCTGCGAGTCTGCGACTAACTTGAACGGGCGGATCGAGCTCACGGATGATCCATTGGATTGAACAGTTTTCATTCAAGCCGGCAACCGTGTCATCATGTAGCGACCATAACCGAAGGACGCCCCGACCGACTAATCGACTACAAGTGGGATAAGAAGCAGGTCAGTTCCGGCTTACTCCATACCCCATTCGAGACTTACGTACCCTGAACGAGGTGCTTGAAGGGCGTTACTTGCTCTTCGGGGGCTCAGCGCAGCCGCACGCGGGGTAGGTGCAGGAGCCGCCGTTGGCCTGGACGTTAGCGCAGGTAGCCTTGTCCTATCGCGCTTGTCAGTCCACGCGATTCGTGTCCATTGTATCTGGTAGTACTCACAGACATTGCGATTGGTATGTGAGAAGTGGATGAGGGGTGAGTGGGTTGTGTAGTCGTTGACTGAGGTTGACAGAGCGAGCGCACTCCTTTTATAGGGCTCGTAGCTGGCGATGAAACTTGAGGTATAGACACCGTGTGTTCTGGTAGTCTGTATTCAAAGTAGTGTCATTGGTTGGCCGTTGTCCAATAGAGGCGGGGGCGTTTATCATGCCTTCCACAGGAGACGGATTCCAAAAACTGGCGCTGCGTATGGCTGCGACGGTAGGCTGGGGCCTGCAGCTGACCTGCGCGTGTCAGTTGAAGCACGGACGCTGGACTGAGTAGCTGCGTTACCGACTGTACGCGACAATGATGTATTGTCCCAATCAGGCATTGCTTTCTCTGGTAATTCCCGACGCGCGTTGTCAGCGTGTAATGCGCACTGGTGAGTCGCGGTCTGGTAGATGGCTAACGCATGTGGGCAACCCACAGGACCTTCATATGTTAAAGCGCGCGGCCATGGAGACGGACAACACCACACGGGCACCTTGGATGGAAGCTTGTCTCGCGGTAGTGATGAAAAACTGGCGTGTTCCTCGCCTGCGAGGAAGACTAGTTCATTGTATGTTCGGACAGGGACAATCTAATAGGCAAGCGGCCACCCATCGCTGGCACCGAGCAGAAACAAGTCGGTACGACCCCGTCCAACTGGCAGATTGGGCTGCCAATGTTTGGCACGGAACACGCGCAGACGGCGTCTTACCGCGCTGCAAGTTGAGGCAGGCTGAGCCCCCGTTGCTTGCCTACCATGCTGGGGCCCCGGAGAGCGCGATAGCCCCGGCGCGCAAAACTCAATCTTCTGCAAAACGCTATCGGCGTGATTCACGCGCACACTGCCTTGATGTATGAAACTCTGCCTCACCGTTTCAAACCGCCATCGCTCACGATATCACCGCGTGTCGAGCTAACGCATGTTGGTAGACAGCGATGCAGTCGCACAACAGTAGACAGCTACAGCGGCGCGACCTTGGGCTTTATGTGTAGCGCGAATTCCCTTCGCCGGGGGAGGATCACCGACAACTGAAATCATCCTCTAGCTTGCCTGATCCTCTCTGCGTATCATTGACCCGGGTAGATCGACCATATGCTCTGCATCAAGTTCAAGTTGCTTTGGAGGAAATAGACATACCGTAGCTGCCAATGCAAGGCAGGTGCCAAATCAGCTCTATACGCATGTTGAACCCGCTATAGCGCGACGCCGAATTAATCTACCTCAGCCTCGTGCACTGGGGATTGCCGTACTCGGTCTGAGTTTGTGCCTGTGCTGCGGTCAACTACGTGTAGGGGGTGATCCCAGACACCGGACTCACCGACGACAGAGGACGCTGGGCTTGTCCGTCGGGTGAGGAGTGTCCTTGCATCCAACACGCGCAACGGATCACTTGAGAAACCATTTAACATAGCTACGCGATACGATCGATCGCGCGGGTCGTGGTCGTCGCGACGCACATCTTCTTCGAGTTCAGTGTGTTCTTTCCGGCGTATTTCGGTGTCAGTCTGGCCACGCCGCGGGGGAATGACGGCGCCGAACAAGGCAAATTTTGAGGGACAAAGCGGACGGAGGCCTCGAACGAGTGGAAACGCCAACGTGCACGCCCCGCCACCACTGCGCACGGAGCTGTGTGCGGTTGCCGGGGTCTCGGCGATTGAGCGCGTTGCGGCCTTTTATGCCGTCGCGTCCAACCACCGTTGTCCTTTGTTCTTCCTCCCTCGTTCCCTCCATCTCCGTGACCGCAGGCACTACATAGGCCTTGCCCCCCTCTCCTTACTCACGACGCCCGTTTACACGCCCACGATGTCTTTCTCTGTCCTCTCCGCTGCCTTCGCCACCGCTCTTTTGGCGACTGCCGGCGTGAACGCGGAATCGCACACCGTTCGTTTCGCAAACCTGTGAGTCCCCTCAATTCATCCAGAGCAACCCAAGACTGAGGCCTCTCAAGGTGCGGATCAGGAACAGTCAGTATTTGTGTCTTCAGTCTTTGTATGGTGCCCTGACACGCGCGTTTAGCCCACGCTACTTGGAAATGGAGGTGTGATGTCCACCGGCCAGGACTACACGTCTGACGGTCCCTTCGAGTCAGCCATTGCGTACGTGACAATGTCTGCTTGATGCGCAGCCGCTAATTTGGTTGTTTACGCAGGTACTTGACGGGTGGCGATGGTGTGTACTTCCATACCAGGTTCATTGTAGTATCTAACTGGCATGCAGGTATTACGTGTGGTTACAATGGCGAGCAGTGCCTTCTCGTCGAGATGACCTTGGGCAACCCTACCGTACCCGGTGGTGGCTCTTCCGTCGACATCAGTGCCATTGCTCCGTACGTTGTTCAATCAGCATGACGATTACCCCACTCTGACTGCGTGCCCACGCTGCTGTAGCCATGCATTCAACGTGCCGACTTCGTTCTCATACTTCGGATCCTGCGCCAACACCGGGGCTAGCTGTAGGTTCTCTTTTCTGCTCTCGTGTGCATGCGCTGAGGCGTCATCTCGAAGGTGCAAGCGAGGGCTGCTCCGAGGCCTTCTACCAACCGGATGACAACCAGGTACAGGTTGCTTGCGAGGCCGATAACGTGAGTTTGCAGCCCGATTGTGCTCGCAGCAGATTCTGACGTCTTTCCGCCCAGGTCAACCTGCTCATTGCATTCTGTGGTGACGCGACGACGCTCAACCCCGATGACTACGTGAACGGTGGTTCGGGCAGCGCGGCTTCCTCCCCTCCTGCTTCCACGTCCGTGGCTGCCAGCACCTCGGCAGCCCCGACCGTGTCGTCTTCGGCAGTCAGCACCTCTGTGGATGTCTCCTCATCTGCTGCGGCGTCCTCTGCGAGCGTGTCAATTTCGAGCCCGCCCGTCCTCCTTCCCGTGTCGACCACCCTCGTGTCTTCTGGTGCGGTCTCATCCTCCGCGGCATCCTCCCCGGTTGTAACGTCCGCATCCTCCGTGGTATCCTCCTCGGTTGTGACGTCCGCTGCCGTTACGTCCTCCGCAATCTCCTCGTCCGCTGCCTCCTCTGTCGTCACATCGGCCCCGGTTGCGTCTTCGAGCTACGTCACTTCCTCCGTGATTGTTACCCAGAGTGGCACTACCGCTGTTTCGTCCTGCCGCGTGCGCCCTACTGCCTCGGCTAGCGGATTCCCGCTTTCTGGTTCGGCCGCTCCTTCCAGCGTTGCGACTGCGTCAGGCTCTGATGTGACCAGTGCTGCTGTCTCTTCTGGAGATGCTTCTTCTGCCGCCTCTTCGGCTGCCATCTCCAGCGTCAGTGTCACGGACGTCCCTACCAGCGCCAGTGCCTCTTCGGCTGCTGCGAGCGCGGCTCCCACCGAGACGGACACGGGCGACGACGGTGATGATGGCTGCGGTGACGAGACTGGTACGGACGTTGCTCCCTCCAGCACCGACGCTGCTTCGGCTACCTCTGCTGCAGCATCCGCCACGCCCACCGACAGCGACGATGGCTGCGGCGACGAGACCAGCACCGACGTTGCCCCCTCCAGCACTGCTGCTGTGTCGGCTACCTCCGCTCCTGGTGTCTCTAGTTCTGCGGTCGCAAGCGCCTCCGATGTGTCCTCCAGTGTTGTCCCGACTTCCTCAGCTGCCCCGTCGGCATCATCCAGCGCTGTGCCTAGCGCGACGTCGAGCGCGGATGGTTGCGGTGCGACCGATAGCACTGCTCACCGCCGGGAGCTCCTGGAGCGTCTCTCTGTGCGGAAGCGCGCTGCCGCTCCCGCGTACGACCTCGCAAAGGTCTTCACCTCCCGCCGCCGCCACGCGCGTGGTGCGTACCTCAACAGCATGTATGGCCACTGAGCCCCGGTCATGTACGACTGGTGGCCACGGTCCGTGTCTGTGTGCCACCACCCTTCCCGTCCTTTCTCCCCTCCTGGTTCCTTGGATCGTTTACATTATCGACCTCGCAAGCGAGGTTTGGATCACGCAACTCGCCGGCATCTTAGACTAGAGATGTCGAGGCCGCGATGCCCTGGTTAGGGAGACGATATGTGCTATATTGGGTGTGTTCCCGGTGTCGCGCGTGGGTTGCTGCAAGCTGGAGGCTTGTGTTCTCGCTCTGTGATGTGGTACAAGTTATTGTGTTTGCGTATCTCGTTCTCGTCCTGTAGCGTTCGTAGATCGACTACTAGGTGCTCTCAATACATCCTCAATGTCGGACTGGTAAGACTTGTGAGCCTCGCCAGGCCTCGCCGAACCAAACGACGGGCAGTGCGATCGAAAAATGAACGGAGATCAATTGACGATGCCGATTGCGGTGCCTGCAGGGAGCCGCCGGCCGGCGTCTTCCTGGTTCAGTGACGGGATGTTGCCGTGACGACTCTGCTTGGCCGCGGGCTTGGGCGGCCGTGCGTGACTGTGTGACGATGCAGGCCGGTCGCCGGTCGATGTTTTGAGGGGGTCGCCCGCCCGCCTCTCTTCCTCCGCAGACCAGCATCCTCGAGTCCTTCTCCTCTTTCCGCTTCCTCTCGTTCGCCGACGTTCCTTTCGTCCCCACAGCCATGTTCTCCACGCTCCTTTCTGCAGTCTTGGCCGCCGTCGCGCTCGCCGCGCAGACGAACGCCGAGTACCATACCATTCGTTTCTACAACGCGTGAGTCGGGGCGTCATTTTTGGGCGCGAGACGGGATTTACTGAACGACGGCGCTCTGGACAGGTGTGGCTTCGGAACGGTGAGTGGTGGCATGTTTAAGACACCCCGAGTCGGCGCGCTTACCGGTGAGGCGTATAGCCGACGCTTCTGGCGAACGGAGACGTCCTTTCGACCGGCGAGGACTACACGAGCGACGGGCCCTTCTCTTCTGCTATCGCGTACGTGCTCTCTCGGACGCGTTGCTGCGACTCAGCTTACAGTATGCTGTGTGCGCTCTAGCTACCTGCAAAATGGTACGTCATACTCGTCTCCATCTCTACGCCCCGTTGTTGACACAGAGCACAGGCAACCAATGTGGATACAATGGGGAACACTGCACGTTGATGGAGATGACCATGAGCAACCCAACCTGTGCTGGGTGCGGTTCGTCGGTCGATCTTTCTCTCATCGACCCGTGAGTGCCTACGCGATTCCCGGTTCTGCCTCTTGACAGAGCTCTGTGCAGGCATTCATTCAGCTACTGGACCTCCTTCGCGTGAGCTCTCATATCACTGCGTTCTAAACTATCATGTCGAAACCCACCTCGTATGCAGGTACTTCAATGGATGTGAAAATACTGGTGCTAACTGTAGGCACTCCATCCTTATCTTCTGACGAAAGGCAAGCCGTTCTTACTCTAGTGTCATGTAGGCCCTGCGGCGGGTTGCGCCGCCGCATTCTACTACTCCGACGAAACCCAGGTCCAGGTCGCCTGCCAGGCCGATAACGTTCGTCTCCGCAGTCTGTGACAGGGTTTTCCCCGCTAACCGAATGTTCTCTTCAGGCTGGCCTGCTCATCGCATTCTGCGCGGATGCCACCACCCTCGACGCGAACAACCTGCCTGGCACCAGCCCTTCGTCCAGCTCCGAGCACCCTCGACTAGCAGCACCTACGTTGCCCCGACTTCGACCTGGTCAAGCTCATCGACTTATGTCGCCCCGACCTCGTCGGCCGTTTCTGCATTCTCGGGCTCGGTCTCTAGCTCCTCCGCTGCTCCGTCTACACCCTCTGCGAAGTGCCCTGCTCGCAACGCCAAGCGCTCCCTTCGCCTCAACCAGAAGCGTGAGGCTGCTCCTGAGCCTGTTGCCAATGTGGCGGCGGTCCGCCACCACGCTCACCGCGCCAGCCACTAAAGTGCTACACGTCACTGGTGTTCCTCGGCTGCCCTAGCTCTGAAGTCTTGGACCTGTACTGGCTGTCTATTTGAGCTCTCCTCCCTCCCCTACTAGTTTTGAGTGGCTGTTGTCCGCACGCACTTTATATCCACTTCTCCGTGCGGTGCGTTGGTTCAGTGTTTTGTAACCCCTGCCCTTATTTGTATACGCGGTGCCCTGGTATGGGAGCGAGGCTAGTCTTGTCTGCCCTGGTACTGCCACACAGGCATAGCTGTCCTCGAGCCCGTGCCTGTGCGTTTTTATTGCCCGGTTGTGCGTACCATGATGTCTGTAAACCTCCCCTGCAACTTACGTAGGGACCGCTGTCGGTCCTGTGTTGTTTGAATGATACCCTTACAACTTACTCTATAGTGATCTTGGTAGGGCTCAAATCATCGGCGACACTGCCGTTTCCTACCAAACCGAGATAGAGACGAGGCGAGCACGATCACGGGCTCAAGGTTTATATAGCACATCGGTTCATGCGAATACATGCAACATGATCAGTAGTTATGCAACATTTACTAGGATGCAACTGCCCTCAAGCGTGTACCTCGAGAATGATGTCGTCGTCAGTCCCCGACTCGCTATCATCATCCCCGTCTCCCTCTTCAACGCCCTCTCCATCGTGACGATCTGCGTTCTTGGTCTCTCCGTCGGTTTGTGCGTCGACGTCGACAGGATTCTCGCCGCCCTTCGAGCCTTCTGCTTCAGGCTGAGCCTGGGGTTCATCGTCGGCATGTTCTGCGTCCTCTGAGATGGCGGGTAAGGTTGGTTTGCTCTCGCCGCCACTCAGTGCTACGGCAGGACTGCCAGACTTGTCCTTGACTGTCTCGGGCAGACCGCCTTCCTCGCTGAGGAGAGGCACGCCCGAAGTGAACGACTCGTTCAAGGAGCTGACGGTCGAGAGCGCCATGTCCAGCACCGTCTCCACGCGTCTTTTGAGCTGTTCACTCGTGCTCTCAACGGTCTAGGTATACACGACCGGTCAGAAATTAATGAAGGAAGGAGCGGGGCGTGTACTGACCAGTGTGACCAGGTTGATGAGCGCGTCTGCCTCGTCGAGGCGGACGAGGAGCGCTGCCTCGTGGCTGTCCTCACCTTGCTCTTGCTCCTGCTCGTCTCCGTCCTCGGGCATGTGCAGCTCGACCTCACCGAAGTGTGCCTCGAGGAACATCGCGAGGCGGCGGATGCGTGTCACGGGGCCGGTCTCGTCCTCGATGTCCGCGTGCGGATGCGGGTGCTCTGGGGCGTGTGAGTGGGAGTGAGGATGGGTCGTCACTGGGGGGAGAGTTAGCTGCGGCCGAGACTAACTGGGGGAGAACGTACGCTTGACGGAGGCGGGGCTCTTGTCGATGCCGGTGATCAGGGCGAGCGTAGAGTCCGCGATCATGTCGTTGCTGGCACTGGAGTCCCATTCCAGGATCAACTCGTGCTCCTGTGCCTGTTTGACGTCTACGGCGCCCATGACCTGCGCATGCGTCAGACTGCCGTACATGAGTTGGGGACATCACAACTTACTCGGATGGTGGGTACACCATCCTTGTCCAAGCCCTCTTCCACCTTGCCGAACATGCCTTCCAAGTGCCACCGGACGAGCTCCCAACCAACGGTCAGCACCATCTTCTGTCTTTGCGTGACGATATTTGTTGACAGGCCGGTGAAGTCGCGGAGGTCCCGCGGGTCGAGAAGTGTGTAAGAGTAGTCCTTGGCAACGAGCAAACCGGAGAGCAGGTCCCCTGGTTGTGGTGGTTGGGCAGCCAAGTGGCCGATTGCCTGGAATATCGGCGTGGTTCAGCGACGTAGACGAGACCACTGTGCGCAACTTACCTTCGCCACACGTTCACCTCGGAACGTGAGCTCAAGGGTCTCCAGGTTCCGTGGAGTATGAATCTTGACATCTTCGTCCCGGCTCTTGTATCGATCTGTCATCGCCGCACGCAGACGGCCCATCGCAGTCTGTTCTCCATGTACGAGGACCTAGCGAATACATGAATGACGGTAGCATTCAATGCGAACGGACAACTCACTATATGCTGCGCCTTGACCATCTCGATGAACTCTGAGTTCTGCGAGTAGTCGACATGGGCACTGAAGGAGATCTCATCCACGGAGAGCTTGCGAGGGATCGGAGCGCCCTTGGCGGGCATGATCTCTTCCGGTTCACTTTGGATTTCCTAACGAGCACGAGTTGTAAACGTAGTGTCCTCACGGGATCCACCAGAGCGAGAGAAGATACATTGATTGCAAGCCATATAGATACAATAGCCAGGGCCCATACATGCGATGCGCCACGGAAAATGGCCACTCACCCTCGCCATTGTCCCTTCTATCGAATAACCTGTGACGATGACGCCGTTCCTCGAGTCTGGCGCCCAGAGTTCCAGCAGTTCCCGGCTAGGCCCCGAGTCCATGAATCCTGGACTTGCCAACACTACGCACGGCGGTCCCTCGGCGACTTTGCGCTCCCAGCCTCGACTGTGTGGTACATTGGATATATATCTGGAGAAACGTCAGAGCGAGTGAACGAGATGCCGTAGTCAACGCACTTGAAGACAAAGGGATTGTCTCTCTTTGCGAACCGCGATCGCACATTGGAATTCATTGTGTGGATGTAGGTCTGGTAGACAGCCATAGATTTTCGCGCTAGATTCGAAGCATAGTACACAGGGACGTTGTGCAGGTCAGGGTGCTTCTTCCAATATTCGTCCAAGATGAGCAGCAGTTCTTGTGCGCGTCCTACAGCGAATGTCGGCAATAGGACATGTCCGCCTCTACGGATGATATTGTGAATCAGACTTGTGAATCTTGCTTCCTTTTCTTCCCTGCCCTCCAGTGTTTGTACGCCATATGTACTCTCGATAATAAGGACATCGGGGTGTATTGGAGGCACTTCCGCCTTCACAAGATGCCTGTCCTCTTCGCGAGAGTAGTCGCCGGTGTACAGGATCTTGAGACCAGCAATGTCTATGAGAAACATGCAAGCGCCGAGGACATGGCCGGCGTGGTACGGGGTGAAGGTCACCCCTGGACAAGGCGTGATGACTTGGTGAGCGGACACAGGGATGATGGACGACATAGACATTGAGAGGTCAAGAGGAGAGAACAGGGCATCGGACGTTGATGAGCTGCTGAACTCTTCTGTCAAAGCTCACGAAGACATCCCAGAAAGCTGCGTACCTCATTCGTACGAAGTCTTGCATCATGAATTTGTGCAGTGCTTTGGTGGGATGCGTCATGTATACCTTGCCTTTGCCATCCCGGAAATTCGTCTGTGACATAGGTCAGTCTGTTTGTTCACCAGCTTTGCGGCACTGTAGCACTAGCCTTCTCCGTGATGTATGTCAGGGCGGCGGCGTGATCCAGATGAAAACTACGAGAGCCTTTTAACTTCTCTTACAACGGTGAGAACATCAGATACGTACTGGGTGATTAGCAGTACGTCTACAGTACTCCAATCTAGTTCGTCAACGAATGGTAGGGATGCGATGCCACTGTAGGCGGGGTGAACGCCTGCGTCGCATACTATTGTCTTGCCACGGTACTGAATGACGCAGCAGGACCGGCCGACCTCCTGCCCAGCACCGAGAAGAGTGATTTTGAGCGTTGGTACATCTGCCATTCGCGGAAAGGAAAGGTCTTGAGGCTTAGCACGAAGGAGATGGGCAAGGGTCAGCAGTGGTGGTGGAGGGTGGTGGACTTCGCTGCGGCGATGGCGCGGGCACTTGGCAACCAATCCTGTAGCGGGCACGTGCGGGAGGAGGACTCAACTTCTCACTGGCAAGCGATGTTCAGGAAAACGAGTACTCAGGCCTTAATCAAAACGTTCACGTTCATTTTCCTCTGAAAGTATTCAGTGGGTCTTGGTCTCAATTGTGAGGTATGTACGGGCCTCGCTCGCACTGATGGAGTACTAATGACTACAGTTAGTCGGGCTGCTGAGAGGCGAACTATGTCGAAGACTTCCGACAGGCGTGGTAGCTCGGGCACCACGAAGCCTACAAAATCTCGCGACGCACGACGCCCACTCGTAGAGAAGTCAGCCCATAGGAGAGCCAAGTCGCAAAGTGTGAAGAAGCATATTTCCAAGGCTCGCTTGGAAGAGGTCACCGCCGAACTTGATAGCCAAGTGACGCACGTACAGACATTATACACGGTATGTTGACCTTTTGCCCTTTGGACTCAACATTCACAACGATGGCAGACTCAGGTGAAAGGGAAGGAAACACCAGCTAGTAATGAAAATGACGCAGTCGAAGGCTTGGGCGACATCCTGCGGGCACTCTGACCAGATGCTTCCTCGGCCGGTGGCTCAAGGCTCAGACACATGCGCCTTAGTCAATCACTATCGGTCGTTTCACGCCGAAGGGTCAACAACCTGTGTAGGCTGTCCGTACTTCAGTGTCGGCATCCTTGCTCTTGGGTGAAGCAGACCGGCGGTGACGGGACTACCAAAGTCAATATCGCAACACTCCAACTTGTGTCATTGCAGAAGTTGCAGATAACCTCGATGTATTGTAACCAAAGCACACGAGTACCAGTACACGTTCGTAGGTGGAGAAGCAATACCCGGCGAGTAGGAGAAAACAGTCTAGAGCTACGATCGGGTCGTAGGCTTCTTCAGGATCTAGTCGTACAACTGCTGGAGTTGGGGTGCACCTGAAGGCCGAAATGAATGAAGCAATAAACAGTAGCAAATGGAATCGTAAGGAACAGAGCAGAGGAGGCTTCAAAGCCTGAGTGTCTGTCAATAAGTCTTGCGCATTCCGTATGCCGAGAGGGCATACGGAACCCGGTCAGTCGTAGAAACATCTCGAAGTCGTCAGGAGTCATGAAATGGTTCAGTGCAAGTCTTCCCAGTTCGGCCGCGCCTGTCCTATGGAGAGCTTGCCCTTCTCTTTGCGCTGCCTGAGGTTCTTCACCTCGGTATTGATGAGGTCACGTAGGCGCTCGAGATCGAGACTTCGCTCAGCACGCGAACCCATGAGCAAGTTACGCCAAATGCCGGCTGCCGCGACTGAGTTGTCGATGGAAAGCTGCATGGGACGGTGAAGGCGAACCATCTTCTGCATGAGATGGTCCGGGCTCGGGTATATGGCATCCGGCCAAGCAATGCGAATCGCGAACCACCATCCTAGGGGCTGAGCACAGCTATCAGACGAGAGGAATATGTGGTAGCTGGGACAGTACTCACGCGGCCATCTGGCAGACATCGCTCAGGATATGTATCATAGGTAGTGAGAGACCCATCTGGGAGAGAGAAGCTGTTTGATAATGAAGAAGCCACGTCAACAGTTATCTTTTCACACAAGAGGATTCACGTACCGATGGACGACCCAATGGCTCTCATCATTCCGATGCTTAGCAAGGACGATGAGCAAGCGTGGGATCCCCTCAAGCCCGAAGGGAGCCCATAGGTCCCTGAGCATTCCACAGGCATCGCCATGTCGTCCATTATAGACAGCGGCACTAATAGCATCTGCCATGTTGGGCGGAACAAAGAGGCGGTCGACCCGCCCGGGAGGGCTGTCCGTCATCTTAGCCCTCACATAGCGTTTATACGTCTGCGTCGACCAGATGCTGAGCGCCACCTCATCCACCTGCATCCCCCGCATCGTACTGTTGACCGCGTTGTCCAGTTCAGACGTCCGCCAGACGATTGCCCAGTTCAGTAGGCGCTGGTGAATCCGCTGCCACGGTGGTGGCAGGCTACGCTCATTCGCGTAATCTCCAGGCTGCCAAAGCTGATGGTCGGGCATGTTGCTGCCGTCCTGAGGGAGAGGTGGGAGCGGAGGCGACCCTCGGCGGTCAGTGTAGCCTCCCGTGTTCCCGTCGGGTATTTCAGGCAGGCCGGACTCTGTGACGGCTGCCTGCGCATCGCCATCGTCATAGTCTTCGCCGTCGTCTCGTGCAACCTCCCATGTCTTGTGCGTGGCCACCGACTGGCTACCGTTCGGCCGCTCTCGCAGCTTGTAGAACTGCTCCTCGAGGTACTGCTGGCCCGGAGAATCGGTGCGGTCATTCGGCATGTATTCGCTGCCCATGCCACGAGTCTGATCGTCGGTGGGCGCCAAATGGTGACCCTGCAGATCGTCATCGTCGTCATAGACGTCCTCTTCCGGGATGGCATCATGCAGGGACCCGTCATGATGGTGCATAGACCCAGGCAGCGTATGGAGGTTCGTCGAAGTGCGCAACTCCGTGTCCACAGGCTGATACATGGATTCGTCGCCCATCGTCGTCGCCATGTTCACAGTCTGGGTCATTGGACTCTGGGCGTAGCCACCCGCCTGCGAGCCATAACCAGGATAGCCTCTTCGGTCGGTGACGTATGATTCGCCCTGAGAAGATCGCAAGCTCCGCTCAATCTTCGGGGCGAGGCTATCAAGGCGCTCACGCATGTTTATCATGCCGTCGATGAGATCCTTCGCCCACTCCGGAGGGTCGGCGGTGGTGCCGATCTGCGTGGACCGTTTCGACGAAGGCTGAGCTTGGAGAGCAGCCATAAGATGCACGCTTGGGTCGTGGTCGTGATAGGACTTGCGGTACTGCCTGATCGACTGCACAGGCACAGCATAAGCGATACTCGCAAAGAACACAGAAACGGTAGACTAGCCTCGTTGTCGTGCTTCATGCCGAGCTTCTTGACTCTTGCCCGTACAGCCTTCCTAACGGCCTTCTTGACTGGCTCTCCCATAGGTTGATCCAGCGCGTTCAGCAGTTGGCAGAGCTCCATATCATGGAAGTGCGAATGCTGAATCTCCGGCTCCAAGGCTGACGGTGCTACCGTCGACAGCGCATAAGACGTACGAGAACGCGGCTGCGGGCCCGTCAGGACGTTATTCACCATTCTCTGCTCGTCCGCGTTCAGATCATCCATAGGCGAAGCAGGACGTGAAGGGGTGGGGGTCGCCTGTGGGTCGTTGGCAACGGAGCGCTTCGATCGCGTGGGAGACATGGCGGCGGCAGCTCGTTGCAACTCTTCGTATGCACTGCGTTGAGCTGACATGGGCGCAGCCTGAGAGCGCGGTGACAAAGGTGCAGCCTGAGAGCGAGGCGACATGGGGGCTTGAGAGCGACCTGATACCATGGCGCGTGTTTAGCTATCATTCACTGTCGTCATAGCGTTATCAACACACCTCGTTGAGAAGTCGCATACTGTTCGCCGCCATTAGCCTGCGATGCGCTCTTCACAGACTTCGGAGGCTTCTGCGACGGGTCCCGAGTAGCAGCCTTCGCAGTCCGTTTCGAGAGCGCCTCTGTGACAGAATCGGACGGCGCAAGCGACGGAGACTTATTCGTGTGACGGTCGACCGGAGACGGTGCTCTTTGGGTGTGGACCTTGGACAGATTCTCCTCAAGGACGGACTCAGGTAAAGGCGGATAGGCCGTGCGGTTTGTCTTTTGCGTATTGCGTGACTTGAGCGACTGCCCTTGGGAAGCTGCTGTCCGAGGTGACCACGGCCGCTCGCCACCGCCGCCCGTTCGAGTAGGTGACAATGCCCGCGACACAGATTTTGGCGACACCATCTGCAAGGACGTTAGCAGGAAAGACGCAAAACGGTGTGGCACTTACCCCGGCCATGTCGACGTTGGATGGAGACTTGTGTGAGGCCCTAGAACCGTTGTGCCTCATTCGGGATGCCGTTGGGCTGGAAGGGATGTCAGCTACCGAGGCCGGAAGTGGAACGGCTGCGGCTGCGGCTGTCGCCGGCGTCATGCCAAATTGCTAACATAGAAGGATTGAGGTGGTGGGTCTCGACAGAACCTACGGAACACGTGCCTGGAATGGGTTCGGATGGCTGCTACTCGGAGAGCCGGGTACTTGTACGGGTGGTTTGGGAGGGGTGTTCTGATAGGAGTCGGAATGGGTTTGTACTGCATAGACAACTAGAATGCTCACCTGTGCGAAGCCTCCGAACCCATCAGGCGGGAGAGGCCCGAAGTTGCCAAAGGAGGAGCCAAACGACTCAAACTTGGGGCCAGGAGGGTCGTTAGGTCCCGGTTCGCGTTCTGGCTGAGCGAATGTTAGACGGTCGAATAGCGCGTTACGGCGGAGCCTGCTCACAAGACCGGTCGTCTGGATGGGTATGGTACGCGTAATGTTTGATCCTTCCTGCACGTCCGACCTGATGTCGTCGCCCCCGTCGTCCCCAAAGTCGAGCTGCTCTTCCCCTTGTGGTGGTGTCTTCTGAAGACCCTCTAAATACAATAGTACTGTGTAATGCGTCAGATATGTGCTCCGTGTGTGTCGAGATGCAACTACCTTTCTCGTTCGAGGCTATCGACAATATGTGAATTTAACGTGACCGCCTAATTTGAGTTCGACGCACCCGGAGTATTAGACCGTAGCATGTGGCTATGAATGGTCTCTCGAGCATCCACAGCGGACATGTCGATTCAGCGGAAGTTCAACTTCGACCTGGTTCGGCGCGCGTTTGGGGTAGAGTGATACGAAACCGGGGATAAGAGAGTTACAAAGTGATGGAGGGGGTATCCGGCGGAAACACGAAGATTTATCAAGCAATGAGCACAGAAGAAGAGTGAGGTAATGCGGGACGGTTGGATATGAACATGGCTGGAGTTCAATGACCGCCTCACCGTCTCCTCATGTCCATAAGCGCCGTTGACCTCTATTTGTGTACCCGTCCTGGTCCAATACTGCCGCTCGTCGGTCGTCTAACTGGTTACAGTGCAACAGCCCCAACTCTTTTGTAGGAATCTCGCCCTAGCAAAAACCTCTGAAGTCTTCTGGCCAGGAATCAAATGCGATCCTCAGCTGATTGGAGACGTTGAAAACTCCGACTTCGAAAGAGACGGTCATTGTCAACCTAGCTCAGCTCGGACTCGACATCGCATAACATGTTGGATGCACATCTGTATGCTCTCTGCTAACAGCACTGACCGAAGGGCCAAACCTCGGATGACTCCTAGTCAGTCTACACCTTGTATGCAATGGTGCGCTTCCATGACTTACCCGCCGAGTCGGAGGTGACGTCTCCAGGTGGTGAGCACTTGAGCTCTCGAGACGTCGTGCATTCATACTAACATGCATGCCCCTATTACACAGTACGGCGACTATGACATGCACTTGCACAGCTGTGGCTCTGGTTCAGTCGCCTTTGTGTCTCTATTCACGACCACGGAGGTGCCAGTCTGTGATATTGCCCGGAGTGAGAAGCAATGTCAGGTGTTGTCAACCTTTCGCACATGTGCATGATCGCTGAGGTGGTGCAGATGGGATACAGTCTGTCAACAGGTGGTGCTTTTGATTTGGTTGTATCTCTTGCTCTGTACTGCCCAGCAGCATTGGCTCACAAGAGTTCTGAGTCGCCTCTTGACACTCCCTGGTCACGAAGTTACCAAGCCACATTGTACCGTAGTCCTCGCCGCTCTGCGGTAGAGGGCGTCTCTTTGGTAGAGATACGACGCTGAGGGCTACCTGGCATCTCCGGATAGAAAGTGCAGTCGCGCGATTGAGGCAGTTGGCTTGAAGTGCTGCTAGACAGTCTCAGTCTCACGCCTCGAGTTACTTTGGTATCAGAACAGTGTCCGCCTCGCCGTGTGTGAGAGTTGCCAATGCGAAGCAACGGGTACTTGCCGTGTTACAGGAACCGTGAAAGGCCACAATCAACATCACCCACGGTGTACGCCATGCCCTTTGTCGAATCTGGTGCAACTAACCTACATCTCATACAGGCATAGAGCGCTTTAGGCGAAGACGCGATGCGCCCTTGGTACTTGGACCTCCGAGACGCGAGACACGTCACACGAGACGCGAACGCAGCCACTGTGGCCGCCGGGCGGCAGACGCGATGATCAGAGGAAGGCGGTACTTGACAGTTCATACGGAAGTTCTCGCCGTATGAGATGAGTAACCAAACTGCCGGCGAAGAATGCTTTACTACATAAAGTCGCGATAGCCTCTGAGACAGGACTCAAGTTGCTGCCATCGGACGCATCTCTCGCTCGTCAAAGCCTCACCGGCACCGAGTAGCGATGAGCTGGAACTTCACGATCGACGATTCGAGCTCCTACATCAAGTATCTTCCGTCGGGTCCGTGTTCTCGATGCCGCGACCTGCATACGCTGAACTAATCTCCCAACAGAGGATACGGGGTTGGGAAACAATACATCCCTTGGCTGGGATCCATACTGGGGAGGCTCTGGCGGGTTCCTCCCCGTGTCAGATCAGTCGTATGGTCGAGGAGCCAGTGGACAGTCCCTCCACGTAACAACGCTCGATGGAGCCAGCTTGTCATTCGAGATCTATGGCGAGTTATCTCGCTATGGAAACGTCGTATACGCTCATCTTAATATTCACATACAGGTAACAGCGTCTGTCTCCATGGAACGTCGAATGGTACATTCGATGTTGCCATCAACGATATCACTGCGCCCGGTTTAACAGCAAATGCAGATGGCGTCTTGTACTGCCAACAGGATCTGCCAACGAACGTGAATTACGTCAATCTTACTGCGCATGTCACCCCGAACTCTGGACAGCAACTAGCATTTGATTACGCCGAAGTAACCTACGATTTTTCCACAGGGTAGATGTCTACACGCCATTCTCCCCATACATTGTTTATTGACATTCGGGCGCAGGGCAACCTCGCCTGAGGAAGTTGTGTATAACAATACGGACACTTCAGCGGTACACTACACGGCAAACTGGACAAGCCTCACGATTGCTGGTGCGCCGAGCACCACATCGAGCATCCCCATCCACAAGACGACCGCGTACGGCGCGTCGGCATCGCTGAATTTCACTGGAGAGGCAATCGCAGTGTATAGATTCAGAAGTTGGGGGTCCTATCTGTACAACATCGTGAGTTGGTTGTCGCCTGAGGCGGGATTGGGCTGATTTTTGTTTGCTCTGGTATGTTTAGACCTTGGATGAGGATCCGCCGCATCAGTACAATGGGAGTACTCTGTGGGAACTCACAAATTCGCTCCTGTTCTTCCAAGCCGGAATCGACCCCACTGCGTCACATAACATCAAGATCACGAACGCTGGTGGCGAATCCTATTACAAGTTCTATCTCAACTCAATCTCAGTGTTCAAGTCCAATTCGACAAATGCGACGCAGAACACACCAGCGTCATCTTCGCCACCAAAGTAAGTCCAAGCTTCTACGTCTCCTTTTTCTAGCCTCCTTAGACCCCGCGTGCAAGGGCATCCACTGGCGACATACACCACCACACGGCCGCCATCATTGGCGGCGTGGTTGGTGGCGTGGGCGGTCTCCTCTTGATCATCGGTCTGGCGGTCTATTTCTTGCATCGGAGACCATCGCCGTCACAGTATCGCGACATCTCACCGTACATTGCCACGAATGCGGGCTCAGATCCCCAGGCTGGTACCATTCAGACGTCTTCCAGCTCTCTCCTGTTCGCCAATGGTGCGCGCCAAGCGCAAGGCCTACCGGCAAAGGGTACCGGTCTGGCCAGTACACCGGCGACTTCCCAGACCGCACAAGAACATGCGGTGACAACTCCACACCGGGCGGGTGTTGCAGGCCACACAGGCGTCCCTCATTCGATGCTTCCTACTGGGCCCGAGTCACCAGCAGGTAGTACCGCTGCGACTGTTTCATCGGTCACACAACCTGTGAACGTGGACCGCATCATCGAAATGATTGCGGAGAGAATCGACAGACGAAGTTCGCCGCCTCACGACGCTGGAGACGCCCCACCTCGGTACCGGGACAGCGCAGTTTAAGGACTGAGTACTCAGTGGTATACCGCTGTTGGCGTAGCCGTGTTGGCTATCTACATCCCTTCGACTGCACAACCCAATGTACGCTTGAAGGTTTGATGAGCTCAAGGCCAAAACACATCGCGCTCACGAACCAGGACAAACATGGAACTTCTTCACACCGTTCTATGTGCCTTCCGCCATTCGCGACAGTATGTAGTCAGGCGGCCAGCTTGACTGAAGCTTAAGATGTAACGCGTAACGACTCCGATCTTCATGCCAATCATGCATCATGATAGGAACTCCATGAGACTGGTTGCTTTTGCGCGTGTGACAAAAATCTACGAGCGGTCGCAGGCGGTCGTATAGTACAGCGTACCACGGTCAGGTACGCGCGCTCGATGTGTTCCTCAATGTCGTCCCATGTCTTGATTGTCCCCGCTGTACCTAGGAGCCTTGTGTAAATATAAGTAGCACATGTACAGTACACAAAGCAGCCCCCGGCAAGCCACAATGGGGTAATTACTATGAACATGTCCGCACAGCGTACACCTGACGGATCTCACTCATCGCGGTGAGCGGGCGTGCCGGTATGAGCACGACTCGGGCGAGCCCCACAAGAGTCCTACTGCATTAGGCAGGGGCTGGGCGATTGGATCTGATCAGTGATCCGGATGTGAGACACCTACCAAATGGAGCACGTGGCGAATGAGCGGCCAGCATTCAATGAGCCCGCCAGTGTCTTCCAACAGCCTCGGCGACCCGCTGCCAATATCTGACACTTCGCGCATTGATGCAACACAAAATACGTGATTTGCGTCGCGCTTTGTCGCCGTCAAAAGGAACGTACAAACAGCGATAACAGGTTGCCTGATGCCCTGGCCCGTCGCATCTTATTCGCAGTCCTTTACCTTCTTTCGCCTGTGTACTCCTACTGGCCATGAGCACTGGCTGGAATTTCACAATTGACGACTCAAGTGCATTCATTACCTACAAGCCTTTCGGTCAGTCGTATATAAGGCTTTCTGTTGAAGGTGTAGACTTATTTATGCGAGCATAGAGGATGGTGGTTTGGGAAATCGTACCCTCATCGGTTGGGAGCCGTCCTGGTCAGGCTCGGGTGGCTTCCCTACGGCCTACGCAAACAGTGCTTCGGGACAATCGCTTCACATCACTGCTCTCGACGGGGCTAGCTTGAACTTTCAGTTCTATGGTACGCCCTATTATGAGACGGCTGGGTGCTCTTCTCATTCCCGTGGAACCAGGTGATGCCGTTTATCTGCATGGATCGACGAATGGGACCTTCGACGTTACCATCGACAACGATGCGTATACTAATCAATCGGCCGTTGGAAACGGGCTTCTCTACTTTGCCGACGATCTTGCAACCCAAACACACTATGTGACACTGACCGCACACTTCTCCGGCGCCGGTCAAGTCCTAGAGTTTGATCTCGCGAATGTAACCTACACATTCGCAGATGGGTGCGTTGCGTTCACTTTGCACAGACCGTCACGACTGAGTGTATCTGTATGGAACTAGATCTGATGGCAAACCGCTCGAGGTGGTATATGCCAATACGAACACTTCTGCCTTCCAGTACACGGGAGGGTGGTCTGTCAAATCGGACGCTGACGTGCCAAGTCCGACATCGACGGCACCTTTTCATATTACCTCTCAGTACGGCTCGTCAGTATCTTTGAACTTCACGGGAGAAGCCATCGCAATGTACGGTCTCAGAAACTGGGGTAACTGGATTTATAACGTGGTTAGTACCGACTTGAGCGACGTCTGCCGTTCCATCATTCTAACTGCACTGTGTGTAGACACTCGATGGGTATCAAACCCAGTATAATGGAAGCACACCCTGGAAGCAAGGCAATTCGCTTCTCTTCTTCGAAGCTGGACTTGACCCCAATCGGACGCACACCATTGTCTTGACGGATGAGGCCGATCAGACCTACTGGCAAATGATATTGAACTCTGTCTCCGTGTTCCAAGCCAATCATACCCAAGGTGGCACAGCATCCAGTTCTGCGACGTGAGTTGCGTGTCACCCAATGCATGAATGAACTTGCCTCATTTCTCCATGACGGCCAGCTCTGTGTCAAACATAAGGAAATCAACGAACGCCGGCGCCATCGCAGGCGGGGTCGTTGGTGGAGTTGTTGGGTTACTCCTCATCATCGGTCTGATTCTGTGGTTGTTCCGCCGCCATGCATCCAGGCAGTACGATGCATCCCGGAAGTCCGATATATCACCCTTCCCCGTCCTTCCCACCGCCGCCACGCCGTCCTCCCACTCACTCAAGGACGGAGCCGTGCCTACCACTGACTCCTCGTACACGGCGCCTGTGACTCCGGTCATGTATCACAAAGGCGCGTCAGTTGGCGGTCCACCCACCGCACAGATCCCTGTGTCTGCTCCGGTCACTGTAGTCTCTACCAGTCCGCCCAGCAGCAGCATAGGGCCTCCGACCGTTGCGACTTCTGAGACTGGCGCCCCACCGCTTCCTGAAACGGGCCTGGTCGCAGGGGTCGCATCTACACCCGGGCCATCTGCAGCGCATCCTCCGGCTGTGAGCGTGGACCACATCATTGAACTCATCGCGCAAAGGATCGATCGTAGGTCGTCCAGAGGTCCTTACGAGGGCGATGCTCCACCGCGGTACCCGGAAAGTGTCTACAGTGACTGAAAGTCTTCATTCCCGGGTCCGAGACTAGCACGGACATGGTCGAATAGCTGTTCGAGCTGTTCATTCATTCGTTGCCCTTCACTGGCACTTGGGTGGTCCGGTCATTTATTGTGCCATTTTCTCGTACGTATGAATCTATATATACTTAATGTGATCATGCCTGGATCATTACCTCTCGGCCGCCTCGAGTACTCCGAGCGAGTTGCGCCGTTCAAGAAAACCACTCCCAGTGTGCTGGCCTTCAAAGATCAAGGCTGTTTGTCAATTTCAAGGGCCCCGCCGTTGTAAGTTGATTGATTTGGTTTGTTATGCCCGAAATACGTGGCTAACGATCACGTTCGGATCCAGTCTCAGGAATCTACCTATGCTCTGTCCACGACTCGATGGTGTCATGAGACTCCTGGGAACAGGTCGGCGTATAAGCATGATTGCCATCAGTGCCCGCTGTACCGATCTGTCCTCTGACATCCTCCTTAACCACCTCCTTGACGGCCGGCGACGCGAAAGCGGGAAACCTGGAGCTTCTGCCTCTTGACCTGACGCTTGGTGACGTACGAAGATGATCCCGAGCTTCTCGTTCAACCGCAGTGCGAGCTGGCGTTGCGGGATGCCTTGTTTCTGCAAGAGGTTGTTCAGAAGCTGGACCTTGTGCTGGCTCACACGGTGGAGTCCTGCGATAGTCGTGGTCCGCCACTTCTTCTCCTGGAGTATTGAGTACGACGCTGGGCTTTTTCTGTTCCAATGTCACGAAACCTTAGGGAGCAGCTTGAAACTGACTACAGTTGGATTTGACTGACCTCTGGAGTCACATTCGAGCCGATTTCTGCCGCCTTCCGAAGGGGAGACAGGAAAATGCCCGGCGCTGGCGCAAAGACAGGTAGACGAGGAGAGCGAGGCGTATCCTTTGCCGCGCCGTCTCTTGAGGCCGTTCTAACACCGCTCACAGTGTGTCGCGCGCCCGGCTGAGCCAGGCCGGTCGAGGGCACGATCCACGTCCCATCATCATCGTCAGACAGTTCTTGCAAATCGCCGGGGACCGGAGCTGGGACGTCAGAGCTTGATGAAGGTTGCACCGTATCCTCTCCCAGTACGGGGGTACGCGGAACGCGACCTGCGGATTCACGTAGGAAAGGCGCGACCCGAAGACCAGCAGTACTAGCGGAGATGTCTGACGAGGACAGATCCGACGTCGTATGAGTCTCGCCGATGCATCCGCGGTCAAACTTTTCCCATTTGAAATCGATGGCAGTGAGGTCCTCGGGCAGCATATAGTCATCTTCCTCGAGAGGATCCGAGCTGCAGGGATCTTCTGCAGGCGAGTCGAAATAAAATGGAATCGGTCTGAGTGGGGTACATTCGTTTGTCCGCTCTAGCCCGAAAGAAGACTTCGACGGCTGTTGTGGGGCAGGCGATGACATACGTTCAAGACAGAACGGAGAACAGGAGCGAGCGACTTCGCCTCCAAGAGTACGGTCTAGTCCCGTAGTGGTGGCCGAGGGCATACATCCAGTATGTCCCGAAGAGCGAGTTGAACTAGCGACAAGCATAGCCATCGAGGTGTTCTGGGCGAGTGCAGAGGAAGCAGCTAAGCGAACGCCGTAGCTAGTCATCACAAAGTCGTCCGGATCGTAGTCTTCAAGAAGCGGCGTGTCTGCCTGTGGACCTAGTATTACAGCGAAAGGATTTTTACTGAATAATCCATTTTTGGTGACCCCAATAGACTCTTCGAGGAGCATGGTATGTTCAGCGTCGTCGCGACTAGCGGACTCCAGCGGAAAGTCGGAAGGAGGCACTGCACCGACAGAGGAAGCAGGCCCAGGAGTGGAGAACGGCACGGGCAGGAGATCCTCGCTCAAGTTCGGTCTTCCGCCGGATACGGACGAGAGGCGAGATGTCGTGTGGGAGACCGAGTAAATGTCGCCCACGATGCGGTCTCGGGACAAAGCGAAGTTACTCGCGAGGCGTCCCGTAACCGATGGATTCCCTGCGCCTGGATTGGGTATATGCGCGGTCGGAGGACTTCCTGGACTCGGAGGGTTGAACGCGAAGACAGAGCCGTCATTGATGGCTTGTTCAACAGGCACTGCAGGGTTCAGCACGGGTGCATCCTCGTGTACTCTGGGCTCTACGCATACACCGGGCCTCACCGGAACGGTTGTCGAATGTGGTGGTAGTAGAGTGCGGAGAGGGTGGTGCACGTCAAGCGTAGAGAGCGTATTGTTGAGCCATGCGGGGATAGAGGGAAGTTTCCGGGATCGCCTTCTGCTGTTCCGATACTCTCCAGAAATCCCAGGTTCGTCAAGTCTTTCACGACCACCAGCATGCATCTTGATGACCGCGAAGTCAGCCCCGAGTCGACCTCCGTGGAGCTCGTTGTATGCGTCTACGGGTGTTCTCGGCATGTCGTACTCTGCAGCGCTGGCGGAAGAGGATGATGCGGCGCGACGACGCCTTCCTGAGTGGGAGCTCTTGGAGCTCGCAGGAGATGTATGCAATATATTGACGGTCTCGATCATCCGGTCGAAGCGAGAGTTCAGTCCAGTCGTTTTGCGCCGCTTCATGACAGGTTGCTCCGATGATCTAGGATCATGAAACAGAGAATCTTGTTGGTTAGGTTAGCAGGACGCGCGTACCGACTGCTGACGGTCCTCTTGCGCGCCATCATAATATCTCCCGACACATCGTTATAAGCCAGTAGTGAAGGCATTGTTGAATGCTAGAACCATACGATCTGCAACTGACATGCAGAATGATAACCTTCGAGCGGGATTGTATGCGGGCAGGATTTTTGGTGGTTGTGGCCATCAAACAGGTCGCGCAAGCGTCACGACACGTTCGCGCAAGAGTGTATCAACGGTCACGTGGGTCGCGTTAGTCACACGACGGCGACGACGCGTACATATACCCGGCCCGTGACAGGTTGCCACACACAGACGCACGTCGCTAACCTTAGGCTTTCGCCAGCATGTCGCTATGAGACATTTGCGACGAGTGCCGCCGAGATTGCGCTATTCCGCGCACAGGCACCGGTGAGACTGGTGATGTTTTCAAGGTAAGTGTCCAACCGAAACTGGCGGCGGCGGTAAAGATGTTAATAATATCGCGAAGACAGACTGTGCTAGTAGTTACGACCATTCATGGTCCAACGACAGCCGGTCCTGCTCGGATGCTCCCTTTTGGTCCAAATAATTTGTCACGCTGCGCATGCAGTACGCCTTGATTGTGTATGCCGATTCACCGTCCTCTTCGTTGCGAATCAGATTCATGTCAGACACGGGATGTCCCGACAACAGGATCCAATATTGACGACGTCCAAGCGAGGCGCCGACGAAGTCGACATCCGGAGGCAACGCACGTATTAATGACGAATCGCACTCCCAGGTCCGTATACAGGTCACCTATGTGGGGAATGCGGTTTCCCGTTGTCGCCGAGACATTCGCCGGGCATGGACTCATTTCACGCGCAGTATAAAAGAGGATGCTGGGACGCGAGTGAGGTACAGGACATCTTGAATCGTCATGTCTACTGCTATCCTTCCAGCTCCCGTCGCAAGTTCGTTGCTCACGTACGATCTTGGGCAACAGTCTCAGAGCGAGAACGGGCGAAGCTCGACTGCGCCGCTCTCATATCCTCAGTCCGAATTTTCCTTCGAGCCAAGCCCTCCAGAACCAATACTGTACCTCCCACCCATTTTGTCTCTACTGCCCTTCGAGTACAGGCAACCTCTAGTGCCTCCCACAGAGGGTCTCAGCCGTGGGCTGTACTCCCCGCTTTCCACGGAATCGCACCTACCGACAATCGACGAAGCCTCTCTTGCGCTCCACTATGCCTTACATCGGTTCCGTGCAGTGACCCCGGACTACGCCACGGTTCCATATGCGGAGGCCTTCAATTGGGATGAGATTGACCTTCCGGAGGATGCCGAGCATGAATGGTACTGCGTCGTCTTCAACAGCAAACGCCGTGTAGGAAGCGACGGTTCCGGTACGTTCTGCTACTCGTGGTATTGTCATCGCATGATAATAATGCTCCCCAGGCCTGTACTCCGCTGACCGACTAGCGCACGAAGAAGCCGTGCAGAACGGAGGGGTAGGCATTCATGTCCTCATCTACTACTTATTGACATGAATTAATTGTCTTCCAGCTTATAATGTACTGGTACGGCACGCCGCATCCGGAGACCAGGATGAACCTCGCTACCTGCATCTGGCAATCCCGAAAGGATGCGATAGCTGCGAATTCTCGACCTCATCACATACGCGCCATGCGTCTCGCTGCCGCTTCGTACGACCATTACACCTTGAAACGTTACTGGCTGCGCAAGGTCAAGGGCGAGCGTGGCGTCATGGTCAAACCATTCGAAGTGACGGACACGTAATGAGATGTACCTCGTCAGCAGGCTCCAGTACTGCTCGGTTGATATCATGTACGTTTCTGGCTATCTACATTCTGTCCACTGCTGAGCATAGCCTGCAGTGATGAAGATACCCTCTGCTGCCTACGCAGCTACAGCGACCGCCGTTGGACCGAGTCAAAGGCGCCTTGGAGCGCCTTCATGCACGATCAAGGAGCGACACCTCCGACAGAATTGCCTCAGAAGGGCCGGTCTGCACAGTGAGACGAAGTTTTCAGTTGGTCACGGACACCATAGCGGAGTTATGTCAGTATGTGTACTAGTCTACGAGCATAGCCGAGCCTATGTAATGGGATATGGATTGTAAGAATGCCTCGACCAAGCCTCGACCTGTGAAGTTGCTCCTCCCATTGCGCAATACGGCGACTGATGGTACAATATTCGCCACTGACTAGCGCACAAGGGTGACGGTTCGCATATAAGCATACTGACCTCCATCCAGCCCTGCGGCCTTTTGCCTATCTTTCCCTCGAAACCCAGTCCTTGTCCTTCGTTTTCTGTGCTTGCACGAAGCTGGAATGGTTCAGCGCCGTGTCGCTCGCCGATTGGGCCTTAAGTTCAGAACATGACTTAGTCATTGTGCGGCTGCCTCCTTGGGGTGCCGCGGCTTCAGCTGCAGTTGGTCGTGCCGCACGTACTACATATCAACACCCGACTTCCTTATCTTTTGAGAACTCTTTTCTGCTCATCCCTTCGCGGCGGCGAGGCAGCGTGCAGAAACAGCATGGGCAAGCACGGCGCGCTCCTGGCAGATGACGTGCAAGACGGCGGGATCATTCCCCTCCATCGTCCGGTTGTCTATCAACGGGATCGGGTACGCAGAAGCAAGGTTGTAGTAGCGATCACGGTCTTCGCACTAGCCCTGCTCTTCGTCGCCCGGGACGCTGTCGCGCCATCTTGCCGTTTTTCCCATACTCATCTCATACACAAGCCCGGTAGCATCAGACGTCCTGTGCCCTCCGGAACACGCAACGAGGCCTACATCGTAGAAGCGACGCACGGCGCGGTAGCGAGCGAGAACGAAGTATGCTCGGACATCGGAGTGGACATCCTGAAGCAGGGAGGAAACGCAGTGGATGCTGCCGTTAGTACGACGCTATGTATCGGGGTGCTCAATATGTTCTCGTGCGTCATACTGTTGCTCCCTATCCGCTGTGAATTGATCACAGCGCAGGTCTGGCATCGGAGGAGGAGGGTTCATGACTGTGCGTGTACCCCCATCGTCACCTAACGCTTCCTCGGAGGTGCACACGATCGACTTCCGCGAGATGGCGCCCGCAGCTTCCAATAACACAATGTTCGTTGAGGAACCCATGAAGGCGCTGTTCGGTGGTATGTCAGTAGGGGTGCCTGGCGAGTTGCGCGGTCTGGAGGAGGCTCATAAGCGATGGGGGAGTCTGCCATGGAGGACTCTCGTGCAGCCAAGCGTCGAACTCGCGCGGGGTTGGAGGATGCAGCGGGAACTCTCCGAGAGGATCCGTTTTGAGGTATGTGCCTGATTGAGCTGTGTTCAGTATGTACAGGGCGTAAGGGTCACATTACATCTCAGTTCTTCAAGCCACTAATGCTGAAGGATCCTGATTGGAGCGCTGTCTTTGCGCCTGAGGGACAGTTACTCAAGGAGGGCGAAATCGTTCGACGCACGAACCTGTCGCGCACTCTGGCAGTCGTCGCAGAACAGGGTGCAGATGCGTTGTATAAGGTGAAGCGAATCTTGACATATTTCGACCGTGCCCGCTTAATCTTGCAATCACCCAGGGCCCTATTGCCGACTCGCTCATCAAGAAGATTCGCGCTACAGGAGGAGTTATGACGCGTGAAGACCTGCAGAACTATGCAGTTCATGTCAGGCCTGCTCTTCAGGGAACCTATCGCGGGCGGAAGGTGTATACCTCGCATGCACCAACCTCGGGACCAGTACTGCTACACATGCTGAACCTAATGGAGCATTATGAAGACCTAGTTGGGGAAGGACGGACACCGCTCAACAGTCATAGACTAATAGAGGCAATGAAATGTAAGTTACCGCTGGTATCTTTTTCCGTGAGCCCTGTACTCATACGATTTAGTTGGCTTCGCTGCTCGGTTAGTTTAGCACTAAGCTGTCAATGGACATGCTACTAACTAAGATCTCATCCATAGAACCAGAGTCTGCGACCTTGCGTTCAGTAACGACACTAGGCTCATAGAAGAGATCCCTACCAAAGCATACAGCAACACAGTATTTCCCAACATCACTGATGTGAGCTTCTCCTGTCGTGAAGTAGCTCTTGATCTCATTCGCCCGCCATGATTAAAGGATAGCACGCATACGCCCGACTATTATCACCCCATGTTCGATATCATCGAAGACCATGGGACGGTAGGCTCGCAAACCTCGAGCCGTCTACCGCGGTGCTAACGAGCGCTCCCTCAGAGCCACTCTTCCGTAGTAGACAGCGATGGTATGGCCGTCGCAATTACATCCACAGTGAACCTTGTCTTTGGTTCGCAGGTGCTTGACCCAGAGACTGGCGTCATTCTCAACGACCAGGTACGAAGTCAAGCATCATTACCAATCGAGCGCTGACATTCTATATTCAGATGGACGACTTTTCTACTCCTGGCACTCCGAACAGTTTCGGCCTCTTTCCTTCTCCATGTGAGTACAAGCTAAATTAGAACGACCTTATCACTCATCCGATCCCAGTCAACTATCCCGAGCCCGGGAAACGTCCACTTTCGTCTACTGTACCGACGATCGTGGAATACGAAGACGGCACGTTTTACTTGGCCACCGGCGGTTCTGGAGGATCGCGTATCTTCCCAGCAGTATTCCAAGTAATCCTGAATATGGATTGGGGTATGGATGTGAGCGCAGCGATTGAACATGGACGGGTTCATGACCAGCTCTACCCTACCATGGTCGATGCGGACAACACCTTACCCGTCGACACTCTGGATGCTCTTCGAGGGAAGAGGCACAATGTTACAGGTCAGATACGGAGGCAATCCGTCTTGTGTGTGTCCGCTGACGTGCTGAATGACTATTGTAGTATCGGACATCAACCGCATCGCATCAGTAGTGCAGGCAGTTGCGCGGCAAGGGGATAAGATCTTCGGTATGTTCGGGAAATCCTCTTGCATGCAAGTGCTCTAATTAAGTCCCTACATCGTCCAGCTGCTAGCGACTCTAGGAAACGAGGCGTCGCCTCCGGGTATTGACTCGGAGAAAGGTCTCAATGTCACAGTCATTGAAGAGGGTTGAACATTGATCCCTTGGCCGGCCGTGTTGACCAGTCAGGCTAACGTCACACTCGTCGCAGATGTATGGGGCTGAACGATACCTTTAGTACACTCGAGTCGACGTCAGTATCATTCCTAATAGAACCCCTGGGAGCAACATCACGTGGAGAGGTGGGAAAGCCGCAGATTCTCCGTGTACTCTTGGTATGATGGACCAGATGGTGTCGCCATGCAGTCGCTGCCTGCTGATCTCGACCTTTGTGACGTGCGGTCGTCGAGTTTTCATTTTAGCTATGTACACGTCGTATATCGACCGGTGTGTTCACACGACTTGGTCGTGGCTCTGGGACAACCTCGGGTGTCATTATTGCCCCGAGATTGTATCCAGCTTCCCTCGTTCCACGCTGACGGACTCTCGGCCGGTCACCGCGCTGTTGGCTATAAATTGGCTTGACTTAGGGGCATTTCTGCGTTCTGCTGCCAGTGTGTTGTCATCAGCGTAGTACGAAGATGCGCTTCACGGGGTTCACTGCATTGCTTTCTGCGGTTTCCCTCGCCGCTGCCGCCTCCGTCGGCGGCAAACGGGTGAGTCGTGCATGATTCCTGCCTAGCTATTAGCCTATGGCTGATATGTGCACTGCTGCAATCTAGTCACCCATCAGTGCCGCCAGTAAGTGGGGCTGAGTGAGTTCGTTGGCTCAGCGATTCATTCATGGAATTTGCAGCTCCCGCGGCTGTGACTGGCTTCGTCACGACGTCTGGTCAAAACTTCGAACTCAATGGAGACGTTTTTACGGTTGTTGGGTAAGAGCAACATGAGCATTAACGCGTAACATGAAGCCTCATCGTGCTTCTGCCTCAGCGCCAACTCGTACTGGGTCGGCTTATCGGGTCTCAGCACGACTGAGATGAATCAGGCATTTGCAGACATTGCTGCTGTTGGCGCAACGACTGTCCGCACCTGGTGAGATTCGGCGGAAGCCTGCATTGCACACTAGCTCAAGAGTCTTGGTTCAGGGGATTCAATGATGTCACGAGTCCCAGCGGCGACTATTACCAGCTCTGGACGAATGGGGTGCCCACTATCAACTATGGGTCCACTGGTCTGGAAAATTTCGGTGAGCTTCAGCGCACATGCCGTTTCCATCACAACGGACTGATGATTTCCGTTAGATAATGTTGTCGCGATGGCTAAGGCGAATGGTCTGAGGCTTATCGTTACTCTGTGAGCGACATCAATGGCGATTTACTATTTTCACGACTGAACTGCTCCACACAGTGCAAACAACTGGGCTGATTACGGCGGAATGGATGTCTATGTCAGCCAGCTGACTGGCACAGATTATCACGACTACTTCTACACCAACGCTGATATCATCGTATGTTTCCTGCGTTGCATGAGGTTCAATTTACTGATCGAGCCCCTGCAGGCAGCTTACAAGAACTACGTCAGTGCCTTCGTTGGCCGCTACGTCGACGAGCCCGGAGTCTTGGCTTGGGAACTTGCCAATGAGCCGAGGTGCGCAGGAACGACTGGGTAAGCACAGAAGGGATGTCGGGAATTATCCCCCTATGGTGCTAATAGCCAACACCAGAACCACTTCAGGTAACTGTACAGCGGTGAATGTTACGAACTGGATCGCGGAAATGTCAGCATACATCCACTCCATCGATGCAAACCATCTCGTAGCGGTTGGCGACGAAGGTTTCTATGCTATCACAGGCAACTCGGACTATCCATACGGGTATGTCTTATGCGACCCTTCTGTGATGGAAATTATACATGACGAATGTGCTCTCGGACAGAGGGGGCGAAGGCATTGGAATTAACTTCACCGCTAATCTGGCGATTCCGACCATTGACTTTGGCACCGCACATGTGAGTCAGTGTCTGTCGGCGAATGAGTAGCTCATGACATTTTGCGCGCAGCTGTATCCGGTATGACCATCATCTCAACTTTCCCCAATGCATGCACTGACCAACGATTCTAGATAAGCTGGGGCGAAACAACCGACCCGATCGAATGGGGTGTCCAATGGATTGACAACCATGCAGCCTCCCAGAAGGCACAGAACAAACCAGTTCTAGTTGAAGAATTCGGCATGACGACGAACATGACGGCGACCTACGAGGCCTGGTATCCAGCCATGATCAACTCTGGGCTTACGGGCAATCTCATCTGGTGAGATTCTGATTTGAACAGTCTGCGATGTGATGGCGACTCATATGCACCTAGGCAAGCCGGTTCCTACCTGTCAAGTGGGGCGACACCAAATGATGGATACACAGTATGTAGCAATCATGTTCTGAGGGACTTGGACTCTGATATATTTGATCCAGGTATATCCAAACAATACTGTTTACGGTATGGAGGCGACGTATGCGGCGCAGTTGAAGGCAAGGAATGCTGCATGACGAACTCGTCATTATGATCATTGCATGACCGTAGTATTCGTCAATCCGTATACTTGAGATCATTGGGTCTGCGGATTTATCACTGTCGTCCATCTCAGTCACTGCCAGGCGCATGCCCTAGCCAGCTGTTCTCGTGACATACAAGCGGTGACGCCAGATTCGATGTATGCTCTGAAGTGCAGACGGAAGTCACTAGTCGGTCGTGTCCTCACAGTGAATTGTCACTCCGTGCGCCTCGTCGCGCTCCTCGGATGGGGGTCTCGTGCGTCTGGCGGCGTCGCGAAATTGCAGTGTTTGGGATGCATGGCGTAAAACTTGGTACCTTTACATCGCAGTCGTATACTGTACATGTGATGGGGAGAGAAAAGAACGCGTGCAGAGAGACCATTGTCGAGTGCCATGGTCGAGGACGAACGAGAAAGCCCTCCATGGCTAGCAGCCTGGGTGGCATGCAGCGGGCGAGGCAACGTTAAAATTCCGCCTTTGTTCAGGATTTTAGTGCCACGAGGATCAAAATTGACTGGCGGTCAATGGAGACGAATTTGCCAGTCAATGTCCATGCAATGGCTGAAGTACCAGTTTGCCCAAACAGGAACAAGATCGCCTTTCCCACGTGACATTTTGAGCCCGAGCGCGCAGGTAGGCGCTGGTGATCTATCGAGCGAGGCTCAATTAACCGTCTACATCCTTCCAAGTCTCTTCCGCCTTACTTGTCCTTTGGTGTTCGCGAGTACACTAGAGCTAGTGAAAAGTCTGACGCTCTCCCTACATCATCTTCCAGTTGTCCTTGACTGTCTTCTATCTCAATATTGAAGCATATATACGTATTCCGAATTCGGGTATTCTCGTTAGAGGCTGGTGAGGATGATGCATGGGTCTTTTTGCGCATTCGGAATTGACAGCTGCAGGTACTCGTGATGCCCATACCGGCTTTCCCGCATGCATATAAACCGTACCTCGGACAGTTCCGCCCCGCTCACCACCAAGTGCGGCGATAGTCTTCCACGTTCCACGGTTCCACGATGCTCTCCCTCTGCCAGACGTCTGCGACCACAGCGCGCGCTGCTGCCCCCCGGTACTCCGCGATTGTTCGCTGCTATCGTAGCAAGGTGCACGTTTTGCCTGCTACCGTCGGCGTAAGCATTCGAACTCCTGTAGCTGCTCGTCGCGCGTATTCGACGTCACAGCCCCTCTCTGCCGCTGCTGCCACCTCAAAGCAGTCGTCCGCTCCTACACCGGTACCAAAAGTTGCGCCTGCCGAACCATGGAGACGACACATCAGTCCGGATGCGGCCACGCCGACTGTCTATACCTTCTTTGAGAAGATAACATCGACTTGGCAGTACATTGTGGTCGACCCGCACACATCTGAGGCGGTTATAGTGGATCCGGTGCTGGACTATGACGCTAACGCTGGGGCGATATCTACTGGCACAGCAGACGGCCTCCTTGCATTCGCTGAGGTGGAGGGTCTCAAAGTCCGCCGCATCCTGTACGTCCTCGCGCTATCCTGTGCATGGTCATACAGTACCTATCTTTTTTTCCGTGATCTAGCGAGACACATGCCCATGCAGACCATCTCACTGCGGCGCAATACATCAAACAGGAACTTGGTGGCGACATCCCGGTATGCATCGGGAAAAGGATCTCACAGGTGCAGAAGACATTCGCGCCGATCTACGGGTTGGACGATCCATCCGTGTTCGAGAAGACATTTGACTGCTACTTTGACGACGACGAAGAGTTCAAACTCGGTCAGCTGTCATGCTGTGTCATCCACCTACCTGGCCACACTCCCGACCATGTCGGCTACCTGATTGGCAAGGCCGTCTTTACTGGTGACTCCATCTTCAACGTAGGTGCAATGTGTCGCAATCGTGGTGTTGTGCTCATACCTCTTGCATCAGCCCGACGTCGGATCCGCACGAGCGGACTTCCCGGGTGGAAACGCTGAAGACCTCTATGCTGTAAGTCTCCTCCACTTCCCGCAACAGCGCTATGTCTCACTCCTTGACGGCCACATGTGCAGTCAATGCAGCGGTTGCTCTCGCTGCCTCCGGACTACCGCCTCTTCGTCGGGCACGACTACCCGCAGAACCGCGACCACACCTGCTGGTCGACCGTCGAGGACCAGCGCGTCGCGAACAAGCATCTGAAGCTCGGCACAGACAAGTCTGCCTTTATCGAGTGGCGCGAGCAGCGCGACGCTGTGCTCGGTGCGCCGAGACTTTTGCACCCATCGCTGCAGGTGAACATACGTGCGGGTAGACTGCCTCCGGCGGATGCCAACGGCCGCGTGTTTTTTAGGATTCCGATTACGTCTTCAAGCAAGCTGTGACTCGGTGTTAGGAATGACACCATTGTATGTAAGACACGGAGGAGGGGCTGTGGACAGGCCCGGGCTCGTACGAAGACGACCGTTCTGATATGGCGGGCCGGGATCGCGTATGTGCTGTCAATGATAATGTGAATAATGCTCGTCCAACAGCACTCGTCCTGGCCAATCGTGCTCGCTACCATGCTGTACGGGAGCTCAAACAGGCCTGAACAAAATCTAACGCTACTTATTCATTTTCTATGTCACTCAATACTAAATGAGTACCGTGGCGGCGACGGCTCGGACGGGCTGCCGACGCGGGGTAGGGCGCTTCTCGGTGCATCAGAGTTCCCATCGGGTTCGACCGCCTCGATAATCGAGTTACTTAGACACACTGACAGACCGAGCACAGACCGGGGTGCCTGACTCGGCCAGCGCACTTCTCGTACGTATAAAGCGTATCGGTGAGGAGGAAAGCGTGCGCAGCCTCCGTCCGCGGTTTCTTTGCCAGTTTGCTCACGATGTTGCGGTCGATCAGGTCCTCGACATGTCCTCGGGGTGTACAAGCGCGGTGGGTGAGGTCGAGGGTGTTGCGCGCTGCATACAGTTCGACCGCGCTTGGAGTCGAGGTACGCTCCGTCATGCTGCCCTTGGGGAAGAACGTAGTGTTCTCATTGGCGCCCCTCCGCGATCTGATGATCATTAGCCTTCCAAGCTCGAGATCCAACGTGCGCCTCAACTCAAGCCAAAGCCAGATGCCTCTGAGCTGCGAGTGTTTGGCAAGAATGTGGTAAGTGCTGTCTGGGGAGCCTTCTTGTGCCAGTCTTTATGATCTTTTGTAGACCGATCATATGCTGAGCGTACCCTGGAACGTACTCAGCGGGTGGGGAACCCCTCGTATTCATCCATGTAAGTGCTCCATGTGTTGAGAGTTGCTGAGCAAACTTGACAACCCCGGCTCAGTCGGAAAGGTCTCGCTCGATCCCCATGCGAGTGTCCTGAACTTCGCGCAGACATGTTTCGAGGGCTTCAAAGCGTACCGCACGCCGTCAGGCAAGGTCGCCCTCTTCCGGCCCGACATGAACATGAAGCGGATGCAGACGAGTGCGGGACGCGCTACATTACCGGTCCGTTCGTATGTTTAGGGCCATTCGGGATGCGCTCCTGATATCGGACTGGTAGGGATTCGATGGCGAGGCCATGCTGGAACTTATCAAGCAACTGGTCCGCCTGGAAAAAGACTGGGTCCCGGACAAGCCGGGATACAGTTTGTACATCCGGCCGCTCCTGAGTACGTCAATAGATTTTACGAGAGAACACAGAATGGTACTGACAATACTGCGCCAGTCGGAACGGAGGGCACACTGGTTGTCGCCCCACCGTCTGATGCGCTGTTGACTGTCATCTGCTGCCCTGTGGGCCCGTACTACCCTGAGGGCTTCAAGCCCATCGCGCTGTACGGGACGACAGAGTTCATCCGTGCCTCGCCCGGAGGTGAGTACGCGATGTCGATGTACGAGTGCCAAGCGACTGAATACATCTGCGATGCAGGCATTGGGTCCTACAAACTTGGTGCCAACTACGTGACGGGTCTCATTGCTGCCAAAGAGGCCGCGAAGCAGGGTTGCGTACAGAACCTCTGGCTGCAGGGCCCAGAGCACATCGTCACTGAGGTTCGTATACGTCGTCGTACTCTCCTGAGTGGTTTTTCTTTATATGCCTCCCCAATAGGTGGGTACCATGAACGCGATGGCGGTCTTCAAGCACCCCGATGGAAGTAAGGCCTTTCCGAGATCCATTAAGAGGAAATAGCTGACTTGTCGTCGACTAGCTGTCGAGCTTGCAACTGCACCATTAGACGGCATGATCCTGCCAGGCGTTACTCGTGATTCCGTGCTCACCCTTGCAAGGGAGCATGCCTCTGGCAAGTCAAAGGTCGAGGGGCTCCCAGACAAGTTCATCGTATCCGAGCGCGAGGTTCGTATGAAGGAGGTCCAGGACGCCGCGAAGGCGGGCACACTCGTGGAGTTCTTCGGGACCGGTGAGTGTCCGTCCGCTACAAGATAATTTCGTGCTAACCATTGGCGTCCGTGTCGGTAGGTACTGCTGCGGTGATCAGCCCGGTCAACCGGATCCGCTACTTGGACGAGGATGTACACATCCCGACTGGCCCAGACGGTATGGGTCCTGTGTCGAAGTCTCTCTGGCAGAGGCTGGTGGCTATACAAACTGGTGCGATTGAGCACCCGTGGAGCGTGGCCGTTCCGGAGTAACTCTGGGCTATGTAAAAACGCGACATACCGGATTTATATATCCCTCCGACGTGCATGCACGTTGTATTTGCTGGGTACGACACTTGTGTAGTGGAATTCGAACGTTGCACGCCTTTTAACCTTAACCTCCTGTCAGCGTGTCCAGTGGTGTCGCGTGGCATTTGACGTGGATGATCGCCCGTCATACATGGCGGTCGATGACTGTCTCGAGTGACATATGGAGGACGCTCGACAGGCGTCGAACCCAAATCCGTGCAGCTCTGCCTTCGTGGCGCTCGTCAGGCTCCACATGGTCGTCCTGATGCTTGCCACATTCGCGCGTGTATATGCCCACGCAGCCATGCCCTGGCTATCGTAGGAAGACGATGCAAACCGCGACACATGTAGACGACGCTCCCCCAGGTCACTGTATTATATTCCAACTTCAACTTAGTGCAATCTCGGTTGTGAGCCACGTCGAACCTGAGGTGACTTCAAAGCTTCACGCGTCACGAAGGCCGACATACGCGGAGATCTGTTGAAGAACGTGAGAGTGCAACCGAGCAGCGCATTTGGGGCAGATAGCGAGGCAGCCGAGGATTACTTACGCAGACTCCAGCCAGTCTCCGCTGGTCTAGTGCCGCCATTTGGGTAGCGCCTGGAATCCGTAGTATACTAATGAGCACAAGACAGCACAGGTACCAGTCCGATGGCCAAGCCTGCGTTGTCGCCTACAGGCTACAAGTACGGCTGGCGGAGAGCGTGCACCGTCACGGCAGCACAGAGCAGGCAGTAAAACTGCGTCATGTGACCGCGTCTGGTCGACACTTCTTGACTTAAGCTCCCAGAAGCCCGAACAGGACAACCACCACCACGTCCTCCCAGCTCTCCCCCGTTTGCAGATACCCCCGCCATGCTCTCCTTGTTGCGTTCACGTTCTACCGCTGGCAAGAAGAACGACGCTGCAGTGAAGCCTCCCGCCGACAAGCAAGAGACGACCAGCACTCCGGCCATCCCGCAAGTTGACAGTGCGCAGTCACCGGACGCCGCCACCAGCCCCGCGCCTCCTGCAGACAGTGCAGCCGCCCTTGCCCCTCCCTCTGACAGCGCGTCTTCATCTGCTCCTGGATCTACCGCAGGCAGCGCTGGTCACCAGCCGCCGGTCACGACGCCTCCTCCACGCGCAGCGAGACGGCTCTCATGGCGGCCCTTCGCTCAGCCGGCTAGCAGTAACGGCGATGGTCAACCTGCAAAGGCAACCCCCAAAGCAAACAAACCTGCAGACCCTGCAGGCCGCCCCGTCGTGCGCACGCGCTCAGACAAGAAAGCGCAGGAGTCCGCACTGCTCGTGCGCGAGCTCATCGTCGGCCCGTCGTCTAGGGCACCCACCAAGGTCAAGTCGAAGGCGCACTCAAGCGCCGAAATCGAGAAGGTGAAGGCCCAACTGGCGAGGCCCAAGACCGCAAGCAAGGTAATTGCGCAGCTCCGGCAGCTGTCGTCGTCAGACGAGCCGGTGGTCGTGGGCAGGGGTCCGAACGGGGAAACGCTGACCGCTCTCCCAAGGGACCCATCCACGCTGTCTGCCTCTCGTACACAGACGCGGAGGCGCATGACCACCACTTTTCCCGGCTCGCGGCGGACAAGACGGCAGCTTCCGAGGGTGCGCAAGGTGCTGAGGCTGGTACAGCGACGACTACTTTACGGTCCATGTCCGTCCATGTTCACACCAAGACGACGGAAGCGGAGGTCTGCAGCGTAGCGAATGCGTCTATCACTACCCTCCAGACGGTCTTCTCGGGAGTCAACCTCGTCAGTCTGATCACTACGCCGGACTTGGGCCTTGGCGGTCCACCAGATGGACCGGGAATCCTCAGCGGGGCATTGCCAACGGCGCAGGCCGTCATCCAAGGCGTTGAACACATTACGCCCCAGCTCATGGCACTTGGGTATGCAACGGGCAAGGCGGTAATGCCTGACCACGCTGGTATGTGAACACCTTGTCTCTAGATTACCTGGGACATGCTGAAGGCACTATTAGGCATATACCCTCCAACCGATAGGATGTCAGTCATTACTTGTACGTCATGCACTCATCTGGGTCAGACATAACAACGTCATCGTATGCGTAGATTGGTGGGGTTTTGAAGTTGCCATGCCTGCGGCGTCCTTGCATTACCTCGATGTATGCGGCTCTTCCTTTTGTACTGCGTTTTGTCGCTGAACTGACTATGGCTGTGGTTCTCTAAATCCAGAACGTGCCGTCGGTAGCGCACGCCGTCGTGAACTTCTTGACGGCGCTCTCCGTGGCGGAGGGCGGTGTGCGCGAGATCATGCCCTTTGTGCGGTACATCTCGCAGTTCGTTGATACCGAGTACAACATGATCAAGCAACAGAATGAAGGGCAGGGCGTCGTCTGCGCCGCGACATGGTACGCAGTGGGTTCCCATACATCCGAAGTCGTTGATGTCATTGTCCATAGGATCATGCCCGTCGCCCTCGTACCACGCCCATGGGACTTTCCGCAGCCTCCTCCGAAGACCGCAGACCCAGCGGCTTCGGGCGACGAAAATCCCGATGCTGGCCCGACATCTGTGCCCATCTTGGTCACACCGCACGGTGCGTCGTCGACCGCCAACCCGGAGGGCTTGCAGAATCTCCCTGAGGTCAAGGTTACTCCACCCACACCCCCCGCGTCGCAGACGTTGAAGAGTAGCACGGAGACAGATCATCCCTCCGTTACTTCTGCTGCCGCAGAGACCCCCGCGTCGTGAGTACTTGGGATCGGGCGCATACAGAACTCTTTATTACCTTACTGTATATCATCATCCCGGGACACTTTGGAGTCTGGATCCTCATTCATTTCAGAGCACAGCTTGCGGATACGGATACCTTCCACTCTCTACTTCTATACTCTACTCAGGCAGCGTCCGCCTCAATTTAGATCTGCGTTTATCGCGATTGTCCGTCTCGCCTCGCAGGCGTTTCTCATTGTTCTCTCTTAACGACCAGTCATGACGTTCCTTGGCAGTTTCCTCCCTATAATCAGTGATACCCATAGCCTGTACCGTACAGTAGCGATACAAACCACTCGCATGGAGCCTATGTTCGGCACAGAGATGTCTCGCGCGCGAGAGGTATCGCTCAACAGGATATCGTATTGTTACAGGTTGGTCTGGCGCAGCTCGTTCGTGACATATTACAGGTATTCTTCAGATCATTTCATGCTCTCCCCCGCCGTATGCATCCATCATTGGGTAGTGACGGTCTGGTCCGGCTCTGCACACGTTGGTCAGCAATGCTGGTATGATAGAGACAAGACGTTAGGACGGACCGATGTAGTCGATAACACCACCCTGCAATGACTGCAGCTGGGTCAAGTACGAGTTCGGGATAGTGGCGGAGAACCCCTAGAGTACAGAGATTTGACTTGAACGTGCGAAGCCATCGCAGCTGCTAGATACGTACCTTCATGAGCGAAGAGAAGCGATTTCCGACTTCACCGCCTGTGGGGACGTACGGATGGTAAGTTAGTGAGATCCAATCCGATGAGAGACGGGGAGGTACGCACCGTTGGCACCGACGTCCCTCGCGTACTGCTCGAGCTGCTCATCCGTGACATGGTCCTTGAACACTATGATGTACTCTGGCGACGGGCACCGTCAGCACCGCGATCAGCACGCATCTCCCAACGCACAGATGACTCCGTACGCACTTCCAGATTCAGACATGTTTGAGAGCGTTCTGCGAGCGGCGTGAAGGTATCCGGTGGAGATGGGGGGCGTACGTGGGGGCGCGGTCGGTCTCGACAGGATTAAGTACGGCTGGGATGCGCAGTGGCACGGATGAGGCACTATGCACCTGCGGATTAGGAGTCGAGCCAAGGCCATGCTCCGTGAGCTGCTCCGACGATACCGTGCCGCTGACGCCACCGGCGCGACTGACCAGCACGTGCGCGGACGCGTCGCGTTTCGGCGCTTGAGCGCGTCTCGCGTCTCGCGGGCGCGGAGCCAATCATCGTGGAGCGGGAGCAACCCATCCGAGTGTGACTCAGCACCTCGGTCGCGTCGAACGCCCAGAAACTTTGGCCAAGTTCAAAAGGTTGGAACGCCGGTTGGCGAGCACCATCGCTGGTGTATGTTGAGATTGTCTTTGCTCACAAACCGTTTGCCGTCGCCTCGAAGCTATCAGTCCATCATGCCCGCCGTCACGCGCTCGGCCAGTGGAGCTACCACCAGGACGGCCGCAAAGACTCGGAAGGCTGCAACGACAAGCTCGTCAGATTCAGCAAAGGCAGTGAAAGTGAAGAGTACGAAGAGAAAGGTTGCACCCTCTACCGAGAAGACGTCCAGGAAGAAGACAAAATCAAAGGAAGCAAGTGAGGACGAGCCTTCGCCACCTAAGCAACCCAAAGCTGTCGTCAAACTAGTCGCTCTGCCACTGAGTAACGCTGCTGAGGATGCACCAACTCTGGTCCCTGCCGTACTCACGTTCTCGTTTGAGGAGGCTAAACAGCACCTAATCGGGGTGGACGGACGCTTTGAGGACGTCTTCAAGCGCTTGAAATGCAGGCCTTTCGAACACCTAGAAAGTGTCGATCCGTTCCGGTATGCACGAAGATAGACATTCGAGCGCGGTCTAGGTTAGCTGACTATGTGTACGCTAGGACCCTGGTAAACTCGATCATGCAAGTCGCCGTTGTGTATTACGCTATCGAGAACAGTGACTGATCCCGATGAGCTGACAGGGGGCAACAAATCTCCTGGAAAGCTGCCAGGTCGATTACCCACAAATTCATCAGGCTATTCGACCCGTCAATCCCAGAGGACCCAACAGATCACTCCGGGTGCGTCGTGGTGTCTCCTAGCAAGGTACCACGCTGAACTGACCGGACTGCAGTCCCACGTCATTCTTCCCTTGTGCCAGACAGGTCGCCGACATGGACATCACAACACTCAGGAGCGCAGGTCTGAGCGGCAGGAAAGCCGAATACGGTCAGGGCTCATCATATGCAAGGAGACAGAGGCTGAACGCAAAATATGCAGTGCTCGATTTGGCGTCGAGATTCGCTGATGGTCGTTTGTCGACAGAGAAGTTGCTCGCTGCAGACGATGAAGATCTGTACGAGATGCTTACGGCTGTGCGGGGCATCGGCAGGGTATGTCGTTGGCCAAAATAGACGCTAGGCCTGACACTGACAGGGATTGTGTGTTCCTCTTATCCTCGCGATTTAGTGGACGGGTACGCCCATCATCATACTATGTCGTGCGGAATAACACGCTAAATGTCGTGATGCAGTTGATATGTTCGCGATGTTCTCCTTGCGACGCCCAGACATTCTGCCTGTCGGTCAGTTGCAGCAGGCCATCGCACTGCTAGAGATGTCTGATAGTTTACGCTCTGCAGGTGATCTTGGGGTACAACGCGGGGTGCTCCGCTGGTTCCTGTCGTTGCATGCACCTACCGCATATCCGCTCACTATCTCTCCCGAGAAGTTACCGAAGAATCCGGAAGAAGAAGCAAAGACCAAGAAGAGCCAGGTCGACGGGGATGTCCTACCTGTACCCAGGGAGGACGCTGCAGGCAGCCAGAGTCAGACCCGCGCGCTGACTCCTGATTTGTCTTCAATGCTACCCGCGCCCTCCGCGCTCCCCGAGACACCCGTTGAAAAGGGCGCCACGAAGGGCAAGAGCCAAGCCCGGCCCAACGATGAGGACAGCGGCAATCCTCTCCCAACGCCTTTTACGCCGTCTATCAACAACATCTTGAACAAAGCTGCGACTGCGGCTGACTTCGCGCCGCCGCCCCTGCCTGAGGGCCTGACAGCCGGGGTACTACGGAGTAGACTGCAAGGAAAGAAGATGAAGTAAGTCAGCTGGTGATGAACCTTGTCGAGAGCCGGCTAATTAAATGTTATGCATCCGCGTAGGGGCGTGCTGTTGACACCGAAGGAAATGGAGGAGCTCACAGATGGTTGGCGCCCATATCGTAGCCTCGGTGAGTGCCTAGATTGTACAACGCAGATTACACGGTAATCATTAGGGCTGTCTCATAAGGTGTATTCTACATGTGGGCATTGGCGGAATCGCCCAAGTAGGGTTGCGCGGGTCGATTGTGAACACTCTCAAGACTCTAGGATGACGTGTCGTTGCTCTCGATGTGGCATATTTATGTGCTCGGTTGGCTAGGACGGAATGTATCAGATGTGCCCGGGACGTCGGTGGGCAGGCACTCGTTAGCCTTATTGTGGCGTCCAACACTGCGCCGAGTAGACGCGACGTGAAATCGAGCTTGCTGGGTCCGGTTATATTCGCATCTGGCGTTGACATACGGCAACTCAGCAGGACGCAATGAAGCGAAGTTGCATCCACGTCTGCCTGTTATGGTGACGCTACCTCGAGCGATTAATCCTCTTTCGGCAGCGATAGCGCGTAGAGATCCACGACGCCGGCGCGTCGGGCTCTATCTCGCAGGGCATGTCGGTCATCCATGGCTCGTGCGCTGGCAGACGTCGTTCGGCTACCATGGACCCGCCCCTTAAAGCACAGATTGGACTGCCAATATGGCCGGCTTCCCTTGCAGGGCGGCGTTGCATCGGGAGAATGTCCATTCACGTACTTCTCATGGCGGCGATTTTGATGCACTTCGAAGGCGCCGTGCGATAGGAACGTCCGTGCGCGAGCGTGTCAATGGACGCCGGCGGTGGCCGTCGGCCACACGATGCACGTCCTTCTCGCCTTCCCCTGCCGCCTGTGCCTGCATATAAGGCTCGGGCCCCTCCGCTGTCCAGTAAGCATCCGCTCCCCGCTTACACTCTCCGGCAATCTCACTCACCGCGATCCACACCAATGTCTCAGTCAAAATTCTTCCAGCAGTGGCACGCGTCCCTCGAGGAGCAGGCTGCCAACGCCTACGCTGCCTCCCCGGCCACCAGCACCGCGGGCCCCTCGCAGGAGCGCCCCTCAAAATTCTGCCAGGAGTGGCATGCAGCTCTCGAGGAGCAGGCGCAGCTTGCCGCCCGCGCCGTCTACGCTGCTCCCAAACCCGCAACCGCGCCAGTGTCCGCCGCGGTGCCGACCCGCCAGCGGGAAATCAAGCGGCTTTTTCGCGCCATTGACAAGGAACTAGCCAGCGCGGATTGCATCGGCGTACAACACCCGCTGTTCGCCGAATGGCAAGAGCTGCAGCAGGTTAGTGCGGCGATCCACGCATGAGTCGGCTTCCGTGCTGACAATGCAACAATTGTAGCAATATGTGCAGCTTGAAGCCCAGTACCAGAAGAACGTGCGTAGCTGCAGCATGTACCTCACTCGTGAGTCCTACCCATACACTGCCTTGAAGCGTTTTCTGACTCGACCTTAGGCACCATGCATATATTCCACCCCGAAGCCCTTACTGGGCCACACGTGGTCCAGGCCGACACAGCCTTGACCGAAATACTGCGGGTAAGCGTGTCGACAGGTAATCTGATGATCCTTCCGCTGACCCGAGAACCAGGTCGTGCGCCTGATGCAGGAGGAGGCGAAACGCGTCGAGTACTTCTTGTATGATCTGCAAGACGAAATCGAAGCATTTCCCACGAAGGTCATGCTTGCAGCGCGCAGCGCCAACACAGTCAAGTCTCGCGGGCTGTCTGGATGGCTGAAGAAGCTGCGCGCGTCGGTGAGCAAGCCTGTGAAGGCATTGCTCAAGGCCCTCGGGCGATCACGCTCTCGTTCACACATCCACCTCCGGCTCGGCAGCTCGGATAATGGTACGTTCACTACTTTCGGCTATCTGTGGGCGTCCGTCTGATATGCTCTCTTCTAGTCGCACTGTGCTCCGAGAAGGCACAATATGCAGGACAACCAGAGCAAGAGAGCATCCCATCGACAGCTAGCTGCCAACTTCTTCTCGACGCGCTTTCGGATCTGATCGATGCGTCTCAACTCATCGAGCGCGCCTGTGACGATTTGTTCCAGGCCAGCTACCTTGGCTCCATCGTACGTGGTCTACCTTGGATCCCACTCAGGCTGAGACTGACTTATACTCGATAGACTTCATCTACTCTCATTCGCGGAGAATATATGCAGGCGGCATCGCAGGGCTCAGCTCGGCTTTACGCACATCTCGATCTGGTTGCTCGGATGTAGGATGTCCCTCAGACTCAGTCCCCGCCGTCTCCAAGTTTGGCGACCCATCGCTTGCTGTTGTACTTGACAGACATTGCTCGTACCAGTAGTACCACGCTCCTTGCCGTTTCATACAAGTCAAACATAGTGCTGTGTTGTAAATTGTATCATATCATACCCGCCCGTAGAACTTCAGAATGCATTCGATTTCCGAGCGCCCTTCAAAGTAAATACGCTTGCGCCGACGTTGTGGCAGTCTGCCGCCATACGAGAGGCGCTCGCCGCCATGGTGACTAGCATGGTCGCTCGATCATGTGACGACGCATCATTTGCTACACCTCGATCCGAATCGGGCAATCGTGGCAGCTCGTGGAACATCGTGGCGTTCGTCGAGGAATATGCACTGCAAGTTGTGCAATGGACCTAACGTCTGACAGACATTCTGAATGTTGCGGTACGTGAGAGTAGTAGCGATGCGATGTGATATTGACTGAGCAATGTCTCTAGCTTCGCCCTCGATTGTCCGTGGGTGTCAGTCATTGGCGTGATCAAACTGGCAGGACGAGCAGCTGTCGACAAAGAATAATGACGTGCATCATGAATCACGCCGCGGCATGCGCTTTGCATCCCAACGCAACCTGGGGCTTGCCCTCGCGATTCGAAAAATGTATTGCAGAGACTCACCAAATTATTTAGGGTCTCGAAGGCCAACCGATATGTCGGGCGGCCAGCGTGTTACCGTACGGCTTCGAGGCGTGCCGGGCGATCGCGACTCCCCAGTAACATGTCGTCCACCAAGTTCGAACACGCACCGATCGACTCCATGACAGGTCTCGGCTGCCCTCCTCGTCGCATCGGCCCAATAAATACGGCCCCTCCATTCCAACCGCCCCAACACCTCGTCTCGCCTCTCCCGCACCGTGCGACCTTCCTCCCTCTCTTCGTTGTATGCTACGGCGTGTAGCACTCACGGGAGACCAAAATGTCCCTCTCGCCTGAGCATACGCGCGACGAGACCGAGACATCCTGTTTTGGGTTTCTCTCCCCGCCCTCCGACGCGGAAGACGTGCCGCCTGCCGAGGGCTACGCGCTCCAAGGACAACTGACGGACCTCGACCAGGAGCCCCACTCTCACGAGGAATACTCGCAGAGCGAAGGGAGTCCCACGGGCGGACTCTACTCTTCCTTCTTTCCAGCTGAGCAGGCGGACACTTCCCCTCACGGTGCGACACCACACCTGCTTGATCCATACACGTTCTCTGCCCTGTCGTCCCTACCCCCTCTCTCAGTCCCTTCATTACCGACCCTCCAGCCAGATGTACCGCAGCATCATCTCTTCCACTCATCTACCTCTGTGCCCCCGCCGGCGCTGGACCTGGCTAACGCGTCGCTCGAGATGACCTTTGCGGACAACCACTACGACGGATACAACACTTACTCCCTCGACCCGGATGCGTCCCCCTTCATGCAGCACAAGCAAGCGTTTGACATGGCTGCCATGAACGATTTCTCCAACCTCAGCGACCCCGCAGCGTCCTCTCCTTCCAACTTCCTTTCTCCCCTGCCCTCCGTGTCGCTCCACAATCTTTCTTCCTCGACCGTCTGTAGCACGGAGTCTTTCGATCTCCCGCAGACATTGTCGCCCTCTGCGCTACACCGACCTGACTTCCCACGTGCTTACGCGTCGGATGACCCCTTGTTCACCAGGGGACGTCTGTACTCTCCGCGATTCTCGGTGGAACACAAACTCAACCTATTTTTCGTGCGCACGTACCTGCTCGGCGACGAGCTCGGTGCGGGTGGATACGGTTTCGTCATGACCGCTCGCCATCGTACAGAGGGGAACGAGGTGGCGGTCAAGTTCATCATCAAGACTAAGGTGCCTGACCATGCGTGGGTGGATGACGGGTACGGTGGACGGGTACCATCGGAGGTCATGCTACTCGGTGGACTGGAACATCCGAACATCGTCAAGTGCTTTGAGCTTTATGAGGACGAGATCTACTATTACATGGTAGGGATTTGATGCCCCATATTGTCGTGACATCGTGGCTGATGTGGCCCGTAGGTGCAAGAGCTGCATGGCACGCCTTGGGTGTCGAAGAAGGACAAAAGGGTGAAGCAGCCGTCTGCTCCGGGATCGCTCTCCGCGCCGTCGGTTTCCTCGCCGCCGTTGCTGACCCCTTCCTTGTCCACCGACTCGATGCTCGACTCCGTACCGTCTACACCGTCCCTGTCGGCTGAGAGCCTGCGTGATCTTCCTGCCGTCTCCATCTCTCTGCAGAGTTCGGCATCACCTGAGCAAGGCTCCGCTCTCTTCTCTCCATCGCACGTCCAACACCCTTCTGCGCCGGCGGCACACGAGGTGGGAAAGGAGAAATGCGAGGGAGGAGCAGAGGCGCAGGGTCTCCTCCGGCCGCCGCTCCCCTTGCCTCTCCAGGTCCGCCCTAACTTCACAAGACGCCCGTCGCATGACCTCTTCGAGTGCATCGAGCAGAGCAAGTATAAACGTCTCTCTGAGAACCAGGCACGATACATCTTCGCCCAGGTCGTGGAGGCCGTGTATTACTTGGACAGTAAGGGTATCACGCATTGCGATATCAAGGACGAGAACCTACTTGTAGACAGCGATCTCAAGGTGAGCCTGAACCGCCTATATGCGATGTACTTTATTGATTGTGCCACCTCATCACCAGGTCAAGTTGATTGATTTCGGCAGTGCCGTCTGGGTGGACGACCCTTCCGCACCTCGGCCGTACTACCACCAATTCTACGGCACTACCGCGTATGCATCCTCCGAGATCCTGCGGAAAATGCCCTATCGCGCTCCCCCTGCTGAGACGTGGACGCTCGGTGTGCTGCTCTCCTACCTCCTCACGGGACATTCGCCGTTCCCGACTGAACAGGACGCGATGGATGGCCGGATCACTCTCCGCGAATTGGGTTCTGCGCGGATTAGTCGGGCAGCAATCTCGCTCATGCAGAGATGCCTGGAGCGTGACCCTGATCGTCGTGCTGATATCGTGGAAGTGCGCGGCCATCGATGGCTGGCGGGCGCGCTGGAGCGGGATGGACTGGATCAGTAGGCCTCGCCTCTCCTGAGCTCTACATATTGACCTTCCAGGCATCAGGCACGTACCTATTTTGGTTTGTTCAGCGTTTTTACCGCGTCTCCAGGCGTCTCCTCTTCGATACATTCAGATCCCTTTTTACGTTCTTCTTTCTCATCCTCATCGTATCTCATCGCACGGACTTTGCATATGTGCGTTCATACCTTTATCACGTTTGGCTTCATCACATACCCTTCAGAGCTGTATTTTTGGCATCCGTGGCACCGTGGCCCTTCCCTTACTCGTATAGCGTAAGTAGTACTGTATCGTAGCTCATCGTCATGTAGACCCAATTTGTGGATAGCAGGTCTTGACATGTATTCCATGCCTCTCGCCGGAGATAGCTTAAGTTGGTGGCGTAGTGAACGGTGCATCGTGAGGCCGAACGAAGTGCAGACATGCTTTTATGTCTGCGTCTGTCGAAGAGTTGGCTGGGTGCCTTGATGGGTGGTTCGTGACTGGGGTAAGTGAAGTAGTCGATAGCTTTGCGAATATAAGAGTTCCCTCGAGGATCGGTTGGTGATTGGCCCGGTAGTAGGCTCCTTCATGCGAGTGAGCCTAAGTGTCAACGTATTCACGGTCGCCGGAAGTCTCGTGCGTCGTTCCCAGAAAACGCTGTGTGTCGGAAACCACAAGTGTTCTGATGCGAATATTTCAGCATGCGTCAGAAGGAGGAAATCTCACGGCGGATGAGCAGCAACAGTGCGTTGGGCAACGAGCACAAATGGCGAAACTTAAACCACAAATTGAAGTACTAGCACTAGTACTGCAGTACGGGTTCGCAATATTTGGTACAGGCCCGGAGGAGGAGGAGGACCCGGAGTATCGGAGATGTCAAGAAGCGCCGGCCGGGGCGGGACCGGGAAGAGCCGGCCCCGCCAGCCAATGGGAGCGGGTGCAACACAGAAGGCCCGCTCGTCGTTCAGTGCGGCGACGCCGTCTGCCTCCTTACTCACCTCCTTTTCCGCCCAACCCCACCATGTCGCTCGCTACACTCAGGGGATCTGGTGAGATTCTCGGTTATGGACGCATTTCCGGCGTACTGATGTTGCCATCGTCTTTGCAGTCGCCAGCGCAGGTCGTCGTGCTGCGTACAGACCAGCAGTCGGGGTATATGGTGCGTTTCTACTGTTATCTTATGCTATTAGGAGTCCTTAAAGAACACTGTGTGCTTCAGCCTCTGCATCTCGCAATGTACACTCGTCAGCACCTGTCGCATCACCGCCAGAAGTCTCTACCCATTCAACAAACCCTGAGGAGCCCGTCACCCACATTGCCATGCGAGGTTCCAACCAATTGAGTTTGGAGACCCCGCAGAATAAGGCTGGTGAGTGTAGGTAACTGTACTCATACGGTACCCTTTCTAAATAGGATGCCTCTTTTTGTTCAGAATATGTGTTGTCGACGCTGGACAAGGTCGTGAACTGGGCACGGCAAGGCTCGATGTGGCCGATGACCTTCGGTATGTAGCAACTGTTCATGTTATTCAGACAGGCCAGTTCATGCTTGTCTCGCAAAGGTCTTGCCTGCTGTGCCGTAGAGATGATGCACATGGCTGCCGCTCGGTACGACCAGGATCGGTTGGGTGTTGTCTTCCGGGCTTCCCCACGACAGTCCGACATCATGATTGTCGCTGGTACCCTTACAAACAAGATGGCACCCGCTCTCCGTAAGGTCTATGATCAGATGCCTGAACCCCGTACGTATCCTGAACAGGCTTCTTTGATAGCCGTGTAATGACCTTTTGTCCCAGGCTGGGTAATCTCCATGGGCTCGTGTGCCAACGGCGGAGGCTACTACCACTACTCCTATTCTGTCGTGCGTGGGTGCGATAGTATGTGTCCTGGTTTCCCTCACTTCCAGAGCGGTTTATTTAATACACGTGCAGGAATCGTCCCGGTCGATATCTACGTGCCTGGTTGCCCGCCTACCGCGGAAGCGCTTCTATATGGCATGCTGCAGCTGCAGCGGAAGATGCGTCGGAACAGGAAGAGTGTTCTCTGGTAAGTATAGCCAATGACGATATGCCGCGCAACCGATAGTGACGAATTCATCTAGGTACCGGAAGTAGAACGCCGAGAGCTCTGACTGGATTGGCAATAGTGGATGTGGATAATGTAGAGCTTGTCGTAGTGTACAATGAGCATCTATGATAGCAGCTGGGCATCGACTATTGGCATCGCCTGTGTGACTGATTTTTTGGGGAATGTAGTCCTCGGAATCGACCCTCGAAGGGGAACGCGGGGTGAGGGATGGTGCGGGGGGCGGTGACTGCCGGCGGTTAGGCGCGTGGAGAAATCGGTCACGCATGCCCGTTTGCGATTCAAAGCTTCACCTCTAGCGTCCAGCTTCACGGCCGCCCAGCAGGCTGTTCACGACATCCACGCCCTTCGACGTTTCTGAGTTGGCTACTCTCAGCATCGGCAAGGCTGTCACCTGCTCCATCGCCCTTGCCGATACACTTTTGCCAGTCTTCGACCTCTCGGCGCTGGGATTGCTAACCTCATCGTTGCTGTTGCCATCTTCCTCGCTACGCTCTCTAGTTTACCTTCTCTGTTCCGGTTCGACCACGCCTCTTAAGTGCGTCTGCGGCTGAGGGATGGCCACCGCGTTGCAGCTCCCTCCTCCTGACACCGGTCCAACCTTCAACGAGACGGGGATAACATCTACACACGCTCACATGAACGAATACGCAAGCCGTCTATCCATTGCGGAGTTCGACCAGTTGGGGGACACGCGGTATCCCACGTTGAATCCTGCTCCCAGGCCTCTTTCGTCTATTATGCCGATCAACAGACCCGAACGACTTGCAGACGCCCCCACCGCCGTCAATGCACAGGGAAGCTGGAACGACTATCCCATGGGTGGAAATCCCGGAGCATGGGGAGGGGAGAAGCTTTGGGAGGAGGTCGCAGCCGAGAGTCAACGGCGCGAAGACGCGAGCTCTTCCAGCAAGCCACAGGCGCAGTCTCCGAACGCGGAGAGCACGCTGCAGCCATACTCTGCACCGTCTGGGAGCCCACCGCGCATGTCAGCCCGTGCAGTACGTGACGATTCTCCCCAACGTCGTCCATCAGGCGTCCCCTCCGCAGAAGCCTCCCGACTTCCCGGAGAGTCAACGCAGGCCCTAGATATGGGTCAGCGCTCGTCGGGGTTGCGCCAGTCGCAAATGCAAGACCAGTACGGCTCTGCACCTCCCTCGTCTCCCCGCCATCCCGCATTGCCTGCAGCGGGCATCGGCGCGGGCCCTAACGCCTCGCCTACATCACCGATTGTCCCCCTCGCCGCTGGTCCTTCGTTCACACCGTCTGCTATGCAAGTCCATATCTCACCCAAACCCCGCGCGTCCGCGCAATACCCGACATATATCACGCCTCCCCCTGTTATGAACAACATGAACGCCACCTACACTCCTGCTCAGGCCCCCGTGAGGAGGTCTGCGTCGAGTGTGCGATGCGTGACCAAGACATGGCCGACGTCGATGTCACGAGTCCCGGTGTCTGGGAGCGGGAAAGCGACGTGTTGTACGAGGAGCTTCTCAACCGCGAAATGGAAGAGGAGGTCGCGGGCATCGCTCCCCAAGAGAACTCCTCTCGTCCACGAGCGAGGGGCATGCCTTTGTCCGAACAGAACCTTCGTGTTTGGATCAGCATTGTGGGTAATTTTCACCGGACTCCGGTGGCGCAACCCTGACTGTCTTTGTTGTTTAGAACCCCAAAGAGCCCTCGTCTCGACAGCAGACGCTGGATCAATATGTCAGGTCGCAACGAACTCTACTTGAGGCCGAGGCGCTTGCGCATGCTCGTGCTATGCGCGAGGCCAAGCAGCTCGAAGAGAAAATGCGTGATACATACTCGCAGCTTCGACGGTCGGCATACGAGCTGGGCACCACTGCTCAGCTTACCGACGATCTCAGTGGCGTACGTATCAAAGCCCCACGCTCGTCTTCAGTGCCTACCGCTTCCGCCCTTGCGAAGACTGACTTGCACGGCCGCGAGGTTACCTTGCTGGAAAATGGTATGATCGTCGAGCATGTCGACGTGCGCAAGGAGGAGAAGGAGGAACGCGACCGCCAACGGAGGGAAGCGAGACGCGACAGGAGTCGTGCTCGCAAGTCGTCGCGTGGCTCTGCCATTGATGTTGCGTCCATATACTCCATGCCTGTTCCGGGGACGCAGAGACTCGGAACAAACGACAGCGGGTTCTTTTCTGGTCCCAAAGGAAGCGATTCCCGCTATTCACAGTCATTCTCGCCGAGGCCAAGCAGTATGCTTACTACTGGCGAGCGACCGCACATGCTTCCTCGTGCGTACTCTCAGGCGTCCTTCTCGGACATGCAGAGCATTGGGTCTTCGACGTCACCGAGGCGTTCCCGGTTCTTCGGATTCAAGAACCTCACCGCAGGGTGGAGGAGTCAAGAAAGCTTCGCGCCATCAGGGAGCATGATGGATATGCAGTATGTGTCACTAAACTTGCAACGCATGTCGGGTCGCTGACGAGGATTTTCAAGTGTCGCTTTGCAGCGGGAGGAGCAGTACTTGCAGCAACATCCTTTGGCCGAGCCTGCTAGCAACACGCCGACTCTACGGGTTGGTGAACATTTGGACGAAGGCTCATCTCGCACTGCAACGCCTGCTAATGGCTTGGAGCCCAAAAAGAAGAAGAATGGGCTCAAGAAGATTTGGAAGATCGTGACGGGCTCGAAGGGCAGTTCCCACCAGAAGAGCCATACGCAATCTCGGTCAATGGAGAAATCGGAGGACTACGCTCCGCTGGCACCGCCGCCGCCGTTGTCGTACCTGGTGGACAGGGACCGTGGTCCTGGGTCCAGACGGCACGTCTCCACTCCTTCACTGCCCACGTCCATCTCGCCTAACCCTGTGTCCCCGTACCCTGCCTCCCTCGTCACCGCGCCTTCTAGTATTATTCCCTCGCCGACGTCGTCAAGGCATCCTATGCCAGACAAGGACAACCTCAGCGACAGTCGCAAGACCAGCGGCACTCTGGAGGAGCAACATCATCGAGCACCATCTGGGGACGCTTCCACCCCTCCGGAGCTTGACACACGTGGACGGCCAACCCAGAGTTCTTCGAGGACGCTGTCAAGTCTGGGACCGCAAACGCCTGTCACAGCACAGTCGCGTGTCTCAATAGCGATCAGGCGCGACAAGTCGCTACCACCGTTGCCAACGGAAGCAGTTGACTTCCCTCAAGGCAGTCCGATGACAGACGGGCGTCCGCAGACTATGTTCACCTATGGTCATCTGCCCATGTCGTTCTCCAGCGACAAACTGGAGCCTCCGCAAGCGCCCTTCCGTACCTCAGATAAACGGAGGCAGTCTTTCGGGGGTCTGTCGTCGAAGGCGATAATGCAGAGCCTCCCGATGAAGGGCGTGTTCGGGTCCACTCCTGTACCGCCCTTCCTTGCGGAAGAGCGCTACAGTGAATTCGGTGCTTCGCGCTTCTCTTTGAGAGACGTCGACAGCTCTGGTGGGACCGGGACGCAGCGCTCACGAGACAGCACTGCTCGACCCAAACGACCAAGGAGCCGTTTTGGGCTGTCGGCGCTTTTCGGCAAAAAGTCGTCGCATAGTAGCCAGAGTGGGGAGAATGGCCAGGATAGCATCGTCAACGGCCTCAGGTCATCGGGGTCTGACCGCGATTATCCTATGATCACGAATGGCAACGGCTATGCGCACACAGGCTCAACCTCCGCACATAGTGGGAACCAGCGGATGTCGGTCGCATCGCGAAAGAACATCGCAGAGCTGGTCGACCAGGACCCCGAGTTCGTTGCGTACCGGTATCCGTCAACAGACGCACGCCTCGAGGTGCGGTAATCCCGTTGTCCCATCCCCCACTCTTGTTTCTCTCGGTTTTGTCACTCTGGTCGCTCGGTAAAAGGAGATTCTTGCTGCCTGATGGCGGTTGTACATGGCGTCTGGTACTTCTTAACGTATTTCGCTCACACTCATTCTCGCTCTGTTGTCCCATCGGTCTAGTCAGCACTGCTACTGTTTATTCTAGGCATCGCTGCTCATGGCATTCCCTCACTGATATACGGATAACCCCTCGGACTAATCTCTCTATGCTCCGTCCCATCGTCTTGCATTCAACTGTCGCACGGACGGTACCCTAATGTCCGCGCTCTAGTTTCGGCCATCTTGGCAACTGTGTATGCTAGACGTTTTTGGCCGTTTATTCGAGATAGTACTCAGGCGTTCATTGACTATCTCACGTGACCGACGCGATGCGCGTCGGTGGCGGGCCATGCGTACGCGTGTGGCACCCCTCGTCTCATTACCATTGAGGCTTCAGAGCTGCTTTAAAATCTGCGAGACTATCCACGCCAACCCTAGCATACAACAACTTATCCTCGTCTGTCCAATATGGTGAGCATGCTCTGGGTCCCATCCACTTCACTGCTCACGGATTTCAAGGCACCTCGAGGTCTGTCTGCTGAGGAGAAACGCGTGAAGCTGCTGGAAATCTTCCATGAGACGGTGAGTAGCCCTTGCAACCTCATGTATCTATGCTTGCTAACCACTGTAAGCTAGAAAGACTTCTTTCAGGTATGCCATATCGTCATATATGCGGTACGCTGAGTATCTACTCCCACCTGTAGCTGAAGGAACTCGAGAAACTTGGCCCGAAGATGAAGGGCATAGGTGCTTTTTGGTAATTTGGACTGCAACTTTGAGACTTTACTGATGCTTTGTAGTTTCGCAATCCGTTAAGGAAGTCCTTCAGAGCCTCGTCGATGATGGCTTGGTACAAGCAGACAAGATTGGCTCATCAAACTGTGCGTCATTGTCTCTCTACTGTCCCGTCAATTGCGATATTCTCATGTATCGACCGCGTATACGTGCACATCAACCGGACTGTTCTGGCACACATGGTGCATCTGCATATATGCGCATATATCCAGTCTTCTGGAGCTTTCCTTCGCAGCGAGGTGCCATGGTGACCCAGACAAATTGTTAGACTTTCACATATATGATGGGCTAACGTTGGTTTTTCCAAGATGCAACATCGGCTGACTGCTGTGAAGGAGAGCCAAGCGTCCTACCGCTCCCAAATCAAAGAACTTCATACCGCAATAGAGATGGAGACGGCAGCAAGACCTGGCAGTGTAAGTCTCATCTCGCGGAGGTCTAGTTTATGGCTTTGACTGCTCCCTAGACCGAGAGAAACGCATCGCTGTCCCGACTATCAGCCGCTCAGAAAGAATTGGAAGGGCTGGTAACCGAACTCGCACAGTACGGCGCATGTGATCCTGTCAAAGTGGAAGAGAAGAAGCGTGCAGTGATGCTTGCGAAGGAGGCTGCAGTGCGCTGGACCGGTGAGCTCGCTCATTCAACTCGACACCCAAGCCACCCCTTTCGATGATGAACAATGCTGATGAGCTGCGGGTCCTTCACGCCAATTAATTCGGGATACTCTGAACAGATAACTATGTTCTGTTGCTCGGGCATTTCACCCGGCAAAGTTGTGTCGAACCTAGCGAGATCAAAAAGTACCTTGGTGTCGACGATGACTATGAGGATATATGTTGATGACACTTGCCGTTTGTACTCTGTCTGTAATCCTGTGTCATGTCATTTTCTGCGCTGTGAAAATCACTGTGTAATCCTTTCTTCCTGTATATCATTGTGCGGGACTCTTGTTCCCGAGACACGGGTTCGGGTCTGCCGCGCGCAACACCGGGTGAGTGATGTCCTTCTCGTTGATGCCCTCGGCTCACCGAAAATTCCACCGGTCCATAGTCCACACTATCCATACCTACTGTTTTCCGACCCGTTGTGCACCGGCGCGTGCAACTGGTACCTGTCTGAGTGTACTATTCGATGCCATCAGGCGTCTTATATCCGCACCATCGGTCTTAAAGATGAAGCGCCTATGGCCAACTACAAGCGACTCGCCAGTATCGTCCACGCCTGACCTGGTGTATGATCAAATCGTGCTCGACGCACTGCCGGAGGTACAGTGTGTGCCAGCTTAGTCGAAGGCATCATCATGATGACATGCAATACTCGACATGGAGTGGCCGCTGTACATTCAATAACTCACAAAGGTATGAGAACGCTTGCTGTACATCGTGAAACTATCATGCTGACATTCAGTGGCGAAGGTTTGTATGTCATTTCGTGATGATTGCCATGGATCCGTCGGGATGATTGCTCATACAGCTTCTATCGTCCACATCGCGTGCATATTAGAGTCTCCGTGTGGCGCTCGTATGTATTTGTGCCGTACAGCGGTCTCAGTTCCCACCAAGCATAGGAGGGTCGGCTCAGTTAACCTACGTGCCGGTAAGACTTCAGTGGTTTCAGTCGGCATTCTCGGGCAAGGTGTTGGTCCCGGGAGCGCTGTGATCCATTTCAATGTGCGGGCTTCATGCAAGTCGCAGAGAAGATATTTCCTACAATCTTATTACAGACTAGCTCAGGTCGGGTTCCCATAAATTCAGATAACAGACCGTACTCGATACTGCAGCCCCGCAACTGCATTGCTATTCTACCATGCCGTCCTACTTGGTGACTGGAGCTAACAGAGGCCTCGGGCTCGCTATGGTCAAAGAGCTGGTACGCATGATTCCTACAGTATGCGCTATTTGACGTTGACCATTGGTCTCTCTCAGCTCAAAGACCCGCAAAACCTCGTCGTGGGCACTGCTCGCAATCCAGGGCAATGCGAGACGCTTGTTGCATTGGCCAAAGAACATCCTAGCGATCGGTTCGCGACCATTTCGTTAGACTTAAGCAGCAAGCACACCATGGATAAGGCGGCGGAAGTCACGGAGGCCCTGCTACCCGACGGCCTCGACTACCTAGTCAGTAATGCAGCGGTTTGTCATCAGAATGTCACTCCGTTCGACCAGATGTATGTGTGATGGCTTCGTTCACCCGCGTTTTCTAAACTCACCATGACGCTATTGAACAGCGATGTGAACGTACTCGAAGAGGAACTTTGCGTGAACGCGGCGGCTCCGTTGTATCTGCTACAGAAATTCCTTCCGCTGATCCGTAGAGGCGCTGAGAAGAAGGTGATGCTAGTGTCATCATGCCTCGGGTCTCTAGAGATTGCACCTATGTTCGTTGGGTGCAGTGATAGCTATTCTCTCACCAAGGCGGCTCTGAATATGTGCGTTTGTCTTTCACAGACGGCCGCGACGTTGTTTTGCCCTAACTGGCTTGTTCCCACGTAGGCTTGGACGTAAGTGGGGTGCGCTTTTGAAGGAGGAAGGTGTGACCGTTGTCGTCGTCCATCCAGGTATGAGGGTGGAATCCGACTGCGGATTTCTTCTGCTTACAGCTGCTTTAGGTTGGGTTGACACAGACATGGGTGGACATGTCGAGGACTGGATAGCGCAACACGCTCCTAGCACACGGAAGCTGCCACCCGCGGAGTCCGCTGAAGGGTGTCTGAAGATCTTCCGAGTAGCGAAGCTCGAGAACGCGGTTGAATACTATGCCTGGGACGGCACGAAGCTGCCTTGGTAGTGGTAAAATAAGTACTGGTAGAATTCTCACTTTTTTTCGATTCCGCTGTTCACAACACTGGTGGCGAGAACATGATACTATATCGGTCCGGGATCTCGGCCAGGACAGGGAACTCGGTCAGTCGAGCGTAGGCAGTGAAGTTCCCATCCGTTTCGTGTAGTAAGTATACCAGTCGATAGCTGTAATCGAAACAAACACAGCAAGGTACCTTTTGTCCGAAAAATCCCAGCCGTTCTTGAGCAATGCATGACTGACCGACTTCCCTGTCCTGGCCGAGATCCCGGACCGATATAGTATGCTCTGTAACGTTGATGCATTAAACCGGTCTAAACCGAAACATTGGGCTTGGGAGTGTATCGTACCATCTGTCTAGTGATTTCGATTGACGGTGACGAACTCGCAGCTTACGGTGCTGGTCAGTGGTGGGCGCCTGGGCTGTCGCTGTACTATTAGTACGCTAAGTGCTTAGCGCTCATGTGGCTATCTTCGGCCCGGGCCGATACTCAAGTACTCAAGCTACTCCGGATCCGAGTCAAGCTCAAGTAGTACATAGTACCACTGGCACCTCGTATGATACAACGCTCTCCAGCCGAACAGTGGCCACCGGGCTCAACCCCCAGTTCGGTGGTAGAGAGAGGCTTGAAGTTTGTATTCGATCACGACGTCAACGTACTGCCAGTACTGAGTACTGAAGTATCGGTCCGCACTGTGATTAGTGCGATCCAAGCTCGACAAGCACTCAGAGTAGTAGGAGGCAGCCATCAAAGGTCGGTGGATCATGCTTACAGCCTTACCAAGCTGCAATACTGAAATCAACTGCAGCTAAGGCAGCCGGCCTCATTTTACAAGATTTGGGCTCTCATCAACACATACAGCGCAAGGCTGTTGCAGGCCGTGCCGACTCGCAAGAGAGCATGCCGACGCCGCGTACCCGTTCTCCCACAGGAGACCGTCGACATGATCGTCTGCTCGCTCACCCGAGGAGTTGATTGGCACACCCTCCGAAGCTGTAGCCTGACATGCCGTGCGTGGCTTCCGATCAGCCGCGCTCAACTATTCCACTCCATTATGATCCACGATTCAGGCGATCTTGCAAGGCTCTCTAAGCTCCTGGATGCCTCTCCATACATCGGGTACTACATACGCAGGTTCGAACTCAATCTCGCCAATGCACCATCTCCACCAAACTGCTGCTTCCTTGAGACGATCCTCGACCACCTTCCGAACGTGCGACTCTTGGCACTCTCCGGCACTTTTCCGTGTGCGGACAGTTTCGTGCTGCCGCAAATGTCTACCGTCTCGAAGCTGGTCCTTTGGGGTATATGGTTCGATGCGGTGGATGACCTGCCCCTCTTGTTAGCCTCCATGCCTAACGCCAGGGAACTCGATATCGGGGCCATCGGTATGCCAGACACCGTGTCTCCCCTGGGACATCCGAGTCAATCAAGGGCGGTCTGCGCATTCAACGTGCGTAAGCTGTATGTACAGCGCTGTCCGAACGTCGCTGCCTATCCCTACTTGCTATCGTCACCCTTGCATCACTTGAGGATCAAATTAGACGACGAAACGCAGTTCAAGGCATTCAACGCCTTGTTGAGCGACAGTAATGCGGCAGAAACCTTGAATACACTGCGGCTGGAAGTGTGGGACGCTACTTTGTGTCAAGATGAGGGTAAGTCTTCACCCGCATCCATGTCCGATCTGTCCCAGTCATGCTCCTCGTCACAATCACAGAATCCCCCCAGTGGTGCAAGCACCTGTTGAAGCAATGCTCTGCACTGAGACACGTACACTTCAGTGCCCACCAGTCGGTCCTATGGGTTGCCACGGTACTGTCGTGCGCGCCCTCTGACCTCGTCACGATATCCATAGAAGGCTTTGCTCGCCAACACAAAGACCTCGAGCGCCTGGCGGACGTCTTGGATTGCAATGTCTTTCACTGCCTGGAGAGAGTGGAAATGAAGTTTCTGAGCTTCTCATTGCTCGCAAAGACAATCAGCACCGAGGATGTGAGCCCGAGCGGCTTGCAGCGCGTCTTCGGGGAATTGCACAAGCGGGGGAAATTGGTGATACTGCGAGAGTAGTGGAAGGGCTTGACTACGTCCACGTCTGACATGACGTGTTGGTGAGAAGTGCGCCAGCTTTAGAGCGAGATGACAGGATGGCTGATCCCTTCACGAGAATATAGGATGCACTGGCGAGCAGCTTGAACTTGAAGTAGTGCACCCTCGGTTACTATGTGCGGATCGCCATTTAGGATGACGTATGTGCCATCCTCAGCATCGGATTTTTCAAACGGTCTCTAGGACAGCTGGCCTATGATAGCAGAGAACCTCGGGCGTAGAATACACGGACACCCTTCTGTACCTACTCTTGACATAGGGCTTCCATCGCCACGGCTGATACACGTGCTTCTGTGGACATTTTGACGGTACACGGCACATCGGAGACTGCGAGCGGGCAACAGACCCCAATTTTGGATGTACTACCAACTTTCCTTCTGCTGATATTAAACTTCTTCAGGGACTTCGCAGGCGTACAACGTACTCATTTCTGCCGTGACAGCCACCACTCGGACGCACACGGAGAGGCTGACATCTAGAGGGGGCCGGAGGCGGCTGACGCGGACAGGATCGAGATGTCTGCCAGCCTCCCCCGCAGGGCATATAAACCCACCGGTGTGCGCCTTTGCACCCCGGGCTCCTTCGTTCTCTACCATCCTCTGCGTACAGGCAAGGTTCACCCCAGCCATAGTCAAGGTAAGCCTGCTATTAGTTCTCTGTTTCGGCGGTCCTGACACTCGGTCTGCTAGTCACTGAGTACCCGCTCTGATATTTGTCTCTGGCTGTTCAGGTTAGTGCACGCATTATGAATGGCTCGTTTCGGCGGCTGACGTCGGCCAGTAGCAAGTCATCCTTAAGCCTCTCGGTCGATGGCTGCTTTTTCGACTGGCCGAAGGCAGGACACATAGCTTCATGTTCCCCTTCGTAGTCTTGGTCGCCCCGCGTCCCACGGATTCAAGCTGGTAGTCACATATCTATATGGGTGCGTGACGATCTTGCTTATTACCCAGCGTTACCCAACGGCAGACTCAACCACCTTGCAGGGCAGCCAGTGATCCGTGCCGACCCACCTTGCCCGGTATGCTCACAACGTGTTGAAACCACCGCGATTCGATTCAACAGACGACCTCGAGCTGCCATGCTCGTCATCCTCTCTGCGACTCGCAATCCACCCCAGCCGACTGGTGCCAAACGCCCAGCCGGCTGTCTACCGCCCGGACGCCCCCAAGCCTCCGGGCAGGCATCCCGAACCATGTATACGGTCATCGGGGTGCAGCCTCTGGTCTCATCCGACTTCAGCAGGCCACCGCGCGCCCGAGGGAAAATCCCTCCGGCGCGCTTTCGCGTTCTGAACCGCAAATGCGGACGGAAGGAGCGCTGCAAATCAAGTAACCCAGGACATCCAACGGGAGGCAAAAGACCTCCCCTGAGCTTCCTCGCGCACCGCACAAGCTGTGAACGAGGTCTGCTCTACATAAGCGGAGGTGCGCGTTTCCATCCTGTGGCTGAGACGGAAGTGGCTGACAGGCGTTTGAAGCGATCGACCCAGGACAAGGGAGGCCGACGCACGCTCAACACGGGGTCGGACGAAGACAAAACGTCCAGTCCGACCGCGTGTACTTGCCCGTCGACACATATGTCGACAATCGCCTCGCTGCAGGGCCTGCGCGGCACTGTGGTGTTTCTCGGGATCGTCCGTCTTCGACTGGCCGAAGACGCGTCCACGGATTCCAATCCGTGTAGTATCCCACTGGTGAACATGAGTGAGTACGACCAATACATGAATACCATACTGTCAATCTAACCGCGATGCAGGTCAGTTCTCCATGGTCACCGACCTCCGGGACCTGTCTCGGAGTGCGTCCGGACTCGGATAGGCGTCACGAGGAAGGACAACAACACTCCCCCAAAGCTCAACGTAAGGAGTCGCATTATCGTGGTTACGGCGTCGAACGGAGCGCCTGGATCAACGCTGGTCTCGCGGGCCGTTAGCGGTGCCTTGGCGTGGGGCGACGACGTACGGAGCGCAGCGATGACCGCCGAGAGCCGAGGGGAGAGTTGCTACCATCGAGAAAAGCCAAAAACAAGGAGGGGTGACGAGGAGTGACGAGGGAGAGGGGGGCAACCGCCTCGCTGTGGTACGCCCGTGCTGCAGTGGCTTTTGGGATCGTCCGTCTTCGACTGGCCGAGGACGTGTCCGCGAGGATGATGTCGTGTAGTGTCCTACCGGTCGACAGGGGTAAGCGTCCCTTCGTGCCCTTCCTCATCGTCGCCGCTAACGCAATATCCGCAGGTCAGTAATCCATGTCGGCCAACCTCTGGCCTTTCCAAGGCCAGATGGCATCCCGACCTGTATAGGCGTAACGGGAAGGGATGCAACAGCGCTTCTCCGAGGCTCAACGTAAGGAGTTGACTCAGCGTGGATGCGACGTCAGACGGAGCGCCTGGATCGAGGATCGATACTATTCCGCGGTAGTATTGTCCTTGGTGTATTGGCGTGGTTCGGCGGCGTACGGAGCGCAGCGATGACCGCCGCGAGCTGAGGGGAGGGCTGATATAACGAGAAAATGGGGGGAGAGGGTCGTGGTGACGAGGGACAATACATACTGCACACTGTTCGCTGATGCGTGCAGTTCAGTGCGCGCAGACTTCGTAGGAGTTAGTATCTCGTCGAAGTACTGTTGTTGTATTTGTCGCGATCCAGAATGCTACTCTGGACCTCTTCCCTTCACTGGGGCGCGTTGCGGCCTGCGATGCCTGCCCGTGTGCTGCAACTGGTGCTACTGTATAAGTTCAGATTCATTGAGTGTTGTTCAAGTGTACAGCACCGTGACTTTGACGAGTCGGAGGACTTACGTAAGCACAGTGGGCGAGCGCTCGGACAGATGACGTGTGCGGGGGTGGCTGCAGCTTGCCAGCCTCAGTGGCTGGTGACGATGCGGCGCAGGCGGCGCCACTCCAAACTGACTGCCATGTCTTCTCGCTGCCCCACCTTTCGAGCTCTGCGCAGACCTTGGCTTGGCCAAGCCCTCCAGCAGTCCGTGTCCAGTGGTCCATCTCCCTTTCTCGATTTCTGACCTCAGTTCTACAGATGTCTTCTGAACATTCGGTAGCCGAAACACTTTTCGGAGCCCTTCAGGGTACCGTGTCCGTTCTCCTCACCTGCTTCGCCGGCTATGTCGCAGCTCGTCACGGACTACTCAACCGCTCCACCGTCAAGCAGATCTCCAGGCTCTGCACATCCCTCTTCCTTCCATGCCTCCTCATCGTGCAGATGGGTCCGGAGCTGACCGTCTCCTCACTCTCCCGCTACTGGATCATACCCCTCTGGGGTCTCATCTCTACCATTGTCGGGCACCTAGTCGGTTGGGCGGGCCAATGGCTTTTCAACTTCAAGCACTGGACCATCATCGCGTGCGGTCGACCCAACTCGAACGCCCTCCCGCTGCTCTTGCTTCAGAGCCTCGAAACCACCGGGGTGCTCTCCCAGCTTTCGAGAGGCGACGACGGCCTCAAGGAAACGCTCAGCCGCGCCCAGTCGCTCCTCCTGCTCAACGCCATCGTGCAGCAGGTCGTCACCTTCCAGCTCGCGCCGTCCGTTCTTCGGCTGGATGACGGTCACAAGCAAGACGGTGGTCCTGGGACGCTCCATCCGGGGCCAGGCAGAACCTTGCCTATCACACAGAACCCGGAGCGCGTCGGGCTTTTGGACGACCAGGAGGGCGAGGAGGAAAGAGATGAGATCGACGGGCGTGGTGCACTGGGCCCCATCGAGGATGTGCCAGACTATCACTGGCCGAAGCGTGTCAAGTTTGCGCAAAAGCCTTTGAGGGCGGTGGTGGAATTCATGAGCCCGCCCCTCATCGGTGCTATCATCGCGCTCATATTCGGGGTACGCTTTCCTCTATATGATGCACTGTCTGCGGAGAGCAAGTGCTCAAGCGTACTCCTTGCAGCTCGTGACACCCCTGCACAAAGCTTTCCTCAACCAAGACGGTGCATTATACCCCGCCATCACGCAAACCGTCAAAAATCTCGGCAACATCTTGTACGTACCGCTCCTGCACGTCCCTGGTGCCGCGTTCACATCTCCGCCAGCGTCGTACTGCAGACGTTCATCGTCGGCGCGGAGCTCGCGCTCGTGCACTCCACCAAACCGCGGGTCCTCCAGACCATCTGGGTCCTTTTTGTCCGCTTCCTCGCGATGCCCGCGCTCGGCGTGCTCTTCGTCTACCTCACCGCCGGCAAGGGCTGGTACGTCAACGACCCGCTCGTCTGGTGCGTCCTTCCCTACCCTCTCCCCCTGCCCACGGCGATGCTGATGTATGCTTAATGTGACCAGGTTCCTGTTGATACTGATCCCGGCCGGCCCGTCCGCGATGCTCCTCGTGAGCGTGGCAGAGCTGGTGGACATCGACCAGGGCCCGATCGCGGGGTACTTGACGATCTCGTACCTGCTCTCCCCGCTGATGGCCATCGTGTGCTCGATCGGGCTCGCGGTCGTCAATGCGAAGGGGTGATCTGTACAATGATATGTAGGCCATGACATGATGATCCTTTACGTCGTAGGTGGAACTTTTATGGGACGGGTTCGAGTCTTGGCTGGTGCTGTGTTGTGTATCTGTTTTGCTGGCTTCGTTTGTTTGGCGACTCGAACGCATACCATATCGTCTGACCGCGATGATCCTACCGTGTATATACCATCTGCGACCCTAATCTCACGGTATACACGAGACGATCGTTGAGAGAGATGCGTGACAGTGACACCTGCCCACAAGACGGTCCCTGAAACGCAGTCTGCACTGGTTGCCAGTGGGCAGCATATATGCAACACCGCAGGCAACAGCCATTCGCGTAACGGCAGCGAGCATTGTCCGCTGTCAGTGCCTTCCTCAGCTTGTACCGAAGGATGTCGGCTCTCCTGGTGAACACCTGTCAAAGGTGCCTCCGGCAAATGCCGCATCTCAGATAGCGATTTGTGCATCCCAATCCGACGGCCAGTCGAGCGTTGGGACTCCTGGTCCGTGAATCCGCGTGGCATACTGGGAACCATTATAGTACATACTACTTGATGCGTTGGAACACCTTATGTAGCGAAACCCAAATACGACCGCCCTCCCCGGGCCCCCCACTCAACGAGGTCGCATTTACGGTCTGCCTAGGGGAGACTAACTTCCCACGAATGATTTTACGGGCTGTGTATGCCTAATCTGGAAATCCCGACATGTGGAAAATGGTAGTCGCGATGGGCGGTCTGACGCTTGTCGGCTCTTATGGTCTGCAAGGAGAGATAGTCTACGCCTGTTCTTTATACTCTTGAGACGATTATCTCATTTGAACAGGAACGTCGACTCTGTGCACTTCGCATGCAGATACAATGCTGCGGATGTCATCTGTCGTAACGCGGCATACACCTCTCATGAAGATTAGCCAGGGCCCGGTATGAGGACGTCGACGCTGGCCCTGCCGGTGTCCGCCTTACAAATGAAACACTACACATCGTCATCTACGCACGATTCAAATCACATCGTATACAGTGATGGACGCCGAACGAACACTAATAGAGGGTGCCGGTCCTCGAGCATACGCGTGTCAAATTGTGGATTTTGGCTAGCATGCCGGACAGTTTGCACTATAGCCAGTCAGGCGCGCCGTTCCGGCCAAGGACCAGGGTGAGACGACCTGAGACGACGTGCATACTGGGCATGGTAGATGTCGGTCGGTCCGACATAGCGATGTGGTGTTAGCAACTGTCGGAAGTAACAAGCATTCGTCAGGGTGGACATAGGCTCGTCCGTCGGACATATGCAAGTCGTTGCAGGGTTGCGGCGTTAGAACCCATGGAGCGAAAGGACCGGCGGGCTGGAGGATGCGGAAGGGGTTAAATAGAGGTAGACATGGAACTACTACGCAGAACCTGAGGCCAAAAGCGAAAGGCTCCGTGCGAACAAAACGGCAAGTTGAGATAATGTCGAAGTTCGAACCGTCTGTTAGGTGCCTAGTAGCCACCTATGAGACGGGCCAGGTAGAGGGCGCATGAGTGGCGCATATCCATGCTACCTTTATGTAAGTGTGTTCAGCCATGGCAGTAGTAGTATTGCAGTGATTGAGTCAGGGCTCTCAGGCATCCAATGAGCCGTCAGCCTATGCCAGTCAATGAGAAAGATTACGGAGGTGTTACGTACCCTAGGGACTCCACCTCTTCCGGAAGACAGACATTTAGTGAAGGAGACAGGCGGCACTCCGTGTCTACGAAGATGTGAAATGAAAGTTCTCTCAACGGACGATGAAAGAGTGCGAAGTGGACCGCAGACGGTTTTTGAGGGAGCCCCCGTATTCGCGCTGGAAGCATACCGTGCCTGAGCGATCCGGAATGAGCTAGACGATGAAAGCAGGATTGACCTGACCGCTGAGCGCTGAGTACCGAGACAGCCCTGAGTAGTATGTTCCGAAGTACACAGATTGATGTGAATTTGATGCAGACATTGTGTGAAGCCTGAGTGCCGATGGAGTGGATTATTCCTGCGCTGAATGTGCAGAACGGGCCTCACAACGAGTTGCCCTAATACTGCGGACACCATTACAGCGAGCGCATCCATTTTCATTTTATAGGATAGGCTCCGAGCGGTCTGGAAGGATAGAAGAGATGGGGGGTGGGCGAGGGGGTCAGGTGGCGGGGAGCGGTGTGGCTGCATCAAGACCTATCAAGCGTGTCGCTCGAATCGGGAGCCCACGGCCGCTTGTTCCCACGGTGGTCAGCGGGAGGGCTCGCAGGCGGGATCTAATAAGATCGCGGCGACCTCCTCCTCGCTGTCCGCAACGATGTCTCTGTCGCCCACGTCGTCGAACGAGTACGAGCCGACGACGGGAAAACGCCGCCGGACGTCCTTCACGATCAGCAGTCAGCGCTCGGAAATGGCCCATTCGCCTCAAGAAGGTGGTTCGGCCCAGGGCATCTCGCCAGCGTCGCCTGCTCATATCCCCAAGCGGGGCGCGCGGGCCTGCACTGCTTGCCGTAAGGGAAAGAACAGGTGTGAGGGAGAGGTGCGTGCTGTCCATCTGTCGTCCTGCCGCGTCCTCACTGCCCGCTCGTGGCCCGCCCTCTCCGCCCGGCCCGGGCTGCATAGGCACCTTGTCGACGTTGCCAATTGAGTGGTACTCCCTGCGTCTTCGAAAAGCCAGAAAAGAAAAATGTGCAAGTCTTGTCTGGTGCTAGCATCGAGTAAGCTCTCGTCCATCAACTTGATTCGTCTCCTGACAGTGCACCGACTTCCCTACACCATCCTCATTAATCTACTAGACGCCTCTCGCGACTGGAGGGTCAATACCTTGTACGCACTTACACGCGTAGGATATCTGTTAGCGAGCTGAATAGAAGGCCTTGTTGTAGGTCATGCAAAGCCAAATGATTGGGATGCAGTCGTCGCTCGACCGTATTTTGTCTGCGATACAACAGCAAGGTCAAGCCACTGCCGCGTTAATGCAGCATTCTGTCTACACAAATGGCGGGCCGTCCGCCATACCGCCGATCCGTGCCAACGGCGTCGACATGTACGGATCCCCCGGACCTTCGGACGGACCGCCGGCGCGACAGAATAGGTCATTTCCGCCACTGCCCGGCTTTGCGCCCCCGGTGCGTTTGAGATACTACAGAGACTGGCATTGTGGCTGAGTTGTCGTTAGCCACATAAATATGCGACCTACGGTATCGTCCCAAGTACAGCACCGTCATCAGATGACGAGTCCGAAGACACGCTTCCAAGGGCCACGTTGAATGCACCTATTGAGGCATTACAGGGCTTAGCGAACGCTGCCGCTGAAGCCGCTGCTGCGCCTTCTGCGTCTGCGCCTCGGTGTGTCATGTCACGCCTCCGAGTTTCGTAGCCGGAATATTGACGTGATGTTAGTATGAAGAAGAGAAAGAAAGCTGAGCCCACGCCGCGAAATGCATTCCCTCATGTCGTTGAGAAGGTGTTTATACTTCGCTATCATGCCATGTGGGTTCTGAGTTGACATACTCTGCCAGGGTCTCGTGTCTGACAACGAAGCAAGAGAACTATTCCATATGTAAGCACATTCCGTGTATCAGCCGTTCATCACATCGCTGAGCCGCGCCACCAGTTTCTTCTCCGGCTGCCACTACTTCATTCCTTGCTTCGACCCTACGTATGATACATACGAGGCCCTGCAAGAGCGTACGCCATGGACTTTTGACGCCATACTTGCGATAGCCGGCAAGATTCGCAGCGGGACTGGTCCGCTTAGTCCTACATTTTACAAATGCTTGGAGGAAGCCCAGGGCATCGCACGATCGACTCTCTTCGGTCCCGTAGTGCGGAAGGAGGCGGTGCAGGGTATGGCTTGTGGTGTTGTATCAGTCGATGCTCGCACTAATTGATTGTCTCCTAGGTATGCTGCTCCTCGCAGCCTGGAGCACGAATGGCTGGCTGCCCAGTGGGCATGCCATGCGTATGGCCCTCGATCTTGGGCTACATCGAGCATTGGAAAGGCTAGCTGACTCCGAGAGTTCGAAGAAGCGGACAGAAGAGGAAGAACGCAACCTAGGTATGTTGTTTCTCGACGCCATGTTGTCTGGTTATTGATCAAAATGTAGTTGTATCTGCTCGTATCTGGCTTTGCCTTTACTGGTTTGACCACCAGTACGTCGCATACATCAACTCAGTGATATCTTGCTCACTTCGTCGGATCCAGAATGAGCCTTGGGACAGGGCGTCCAGTAGTCCTGCGGGATGAGAGTTCCATCAAGCATTGCCGCTTACTCTTGGCACACCCTATGGCCTCGATAACTGACGTCCGTCTTATATCGCAAGTGGAATTGATCGCCCAGAAGAGTGAGTATACTCTGATATTCAGAATCATATCACTGATTCCTCTTGGCTAGCCCAAATATACGAGACTCTGTCGCCCTTGAACGGGCAGGTGAATCACAACACGTTAGCATTCATTCGTCGGGCGAATATTGCCTTGGACAAGTGGTGGCAAGATTGCGACGAGCTTCACCGTGCGTCCATAACAGATGAGCGTACGACTTCTGTTATTGACCTCGGTACAGGAACAACGATGGATGAAGACGCGTTGCCGCGAAAAATCCTCGCCGGCGAGCTTCATTACGCGAAATTATGGCTTGTTTGCGTCGCGCTTCGTGGCACCTCCTGGGAGAAGATGCCTTTCGAGCAGCGGGAGTTGGCCTTCCAGGCCAAGGACGCCGCGTCTGCCTGTCTCTCGAACCTCCTCAATTCCCCCACCTACAGGTGAGAGCGCAGGTTTGGTGACATCCGACGTACCTGGACTGACCACGTCATCAAGGGCTGCTCTGCGCTATTCAGTGCATGACAGCCTCGTGACGGCTGCTTTCTCCGGCCTCTTCCTGCTGAAGATGGCCAACCTATACCCAGCGGAATTGGACCTCGCAGCGATTACTATGCAGGTTGAACAGTTGGCGGAGCTGTTGTCTGAAGTAGCTGCTGAAAGGTGCGGCTCTCGGTGCTTCCGCGTCGAATAATGCTGACCAACCTTGTAGATATGCGCTGACGCTCCGCGTCATGCTAGCTAGCCTGAAACGCAAGCTGGGTCTGACGGCGCCCATGGGGCCGCCCGGAATGCCTGGAGGGCATGATATGATGGCGCCGCCTTCGTTCATTGACCCAGCCATCATGCCGCAACTGCATTTCACCGTGGAAGAGCTCGGTATGCTGCCCGGCTCGCTGCCAAATGACCGGGCGATGTTCAGTCCGTCGGCTATACCAGTCTGGTTGCAAGAACAGGTGTGCATTGAAGTCGCTCGTGCGTCGTCCCTGGTGTAACCTGTGTGTTGCTCTACAGAGCTTGACGGACCTTGGGCTGCCATCGAATGGGTCTGATGGCATGTTCTTGCAAGTGGGCCATTCGAGCGGTTGGATGGGCGATTTTCCTCCGATGCCAGAAGCGTGGTAACGGTGTTGAATACGCCTTCAGATGGTTTTCTTCACTCAGGTAGCCCATATCATTAAAGTAACGGTTTCTCGTATGTTCATCCGCCTCTGTCGTTGTACTTTTGTGGTGGAGCGTTGCGCCGCCGAACTGTCGTTGTACATGTGTGCATGTACGTGATGTATGTACTCATAGAAATTGTTAATACCAGTTGGATACACTGCAATGATTCCGACACCGTCTATATTACCAGTAATAGTGGCGATACCACAGACCGATTGCCGAACGTTCACTCCTCTTCCTCGCTCTCCTCTTGTTGCTGCAAGAACTAGTGGCACCATGCAGTGTGAGCAGCCATAATGAGACATCAGACGAATATATCACCTTCACGAGCGCCTGCGTCGCCTGAAGGAAGTGCTGCTTGCCTTGAGGCTTCGCGCCCTTCTGGTGCCAATAGATAATAGCTTGATCAGAGATACAGTCCTTGTTGTACAACACCTGGAGTCGTCGCTAGTTAGCACTGGTGCCGACCCAAGGCAGTACTACCCATACCTTCAAAATTTGCGGGAATGCCTTTATGATTCGCGTATCCTCATAACAATACACTTGCACGGTGTTGATGAGAGCAACCTCCGTCTTGGGACCGTTACAAAAAGGCTCGAGGATAGCGGTGAAATTCTGGATAACGGTGACGGTCAGATCTAGGGGGTTTATCGACCCAGGGAGTTCCGGCTTACGGTAATCTCGCGAATGGCGAGCGCCTCGTTCTGGTCCTGGCGCGCCGACCACTCGATAGACTTGACGAGTGCTTGCCAAATGCACTGAATCAACTCAGTCTCGGGGAGAGGCCGTTCCTCCTGGCGGCTCCTGATAGCAGCCACGATCTGGAACGCAATTAATACGAGGTCATAATTGTGTAGATCTACTTGACTGACCTCATCGTAGGGAGTCTCGTGCTCCAGCATCTCATGCAATGTCTTGATGATGTCCTCCTTCATAGAAGCATACTGACGCTTGGTCCACCAGTCCGCGACTTGCGCCAGGCCAGCCTTGCGGAAATGGTCGTCGAGTACCTTGTCCTGGCGCTTGTTATCAGGGAAAAACGCCAGCAAATCCTTGATTCCGCCGCGCTTCAACGAGGCCGCGAGGTGATCCATGGATTGTTCCGAGAGGTAGCCACGGAAGACGGTGTGACGACGTTGATAGCAACGTCTACATAAGTGACGATGTCAGTTGAGCACGCATACTGGTGTATCACACGCACCATTCTTCACGAGGTGGTCCTTGGCCAAACTTTGCAGGCAGCTCGCACTGGCCAAGCCTGGCCATTATAAGGGCGATCGCGAGAGCGAGTTTATCCCGCTGGACATCGGTCCATCTGTTGATGTACTGGAGCAAAGTAGGGAGAGATGTCTCTTCCAGAGGTTTCTGCAGATATTTGTACCTTTGCAAGCGGCTCAGTCACTCTGGCTTCATTGTGGTGGAGACAGCTTACCTCCTAATCAACTTGTTCAGGACGTCGACATACTGCTTTATGTCAGCCACCTCCACCGGCTCCTTCGCTTTGAGAACGGAGAATGGGGAAGGTGGTGCGCCGTCGTCGAGGTAGTTGCCGCCGGGTTGCAACAGCCCGCCAATGAGCAGGATCTCGAAGAGGGCTTCTGCATACTTGAGATACTCGAGCGTGGATCCGGCCTGAACAAGCTTGTTGGTGATTCCCTCAAAATCGGTCGCCGGGACGGTCTCGAGGTGTTTGTACAGTTGGTCTCTGAAGGCTAGCGACAGAGGTGAGTTGTATTCTCAGATCTGAGATGGTTCGGGACGTACTCGTAGGTTCGTGTTTGGCGTGGGCTTTGACAGCACCTTTCCGCGCTCTGATACGGACCCCCTGGAGCGTAGGCTTAGGTACGGCTGCTTGCTGAGACATCCACAGGTTTCGACACGCTCGAAAGATGTGGAACGGACAGAGTGCTCGATGCGGTCTGCGAGGACAGCCCGACTGATCTCCTCTCGCTCTCTCGGCACACGCCGACACCAGATCCATCGAGATCGCCCTGTGCGGCAATTCAGCACACGATATATTGATTGCTCTCGCTCCTGGCCTCAGACGACCAGCACTTGGTTGTTTCCGGAACACTCTTGTACGGAACCCTCTGGAAGACAGGACAGGCTCAACCCAGAAAGGGCAGCCCGCGTCGAGCGCGGCAGGCAACTGCAGTGAACTGCACAGATGAGTGCACGTGACGGTGGCTGTCGGGCCTCGGGGCGTGCGACACCAGGCAGCATCTCTTCGCTCTCGTCCCCATCGTACCCCCGCAGCCCTCTCGCACCCTCCTACGTACGCCACGCTTCCTCGCTCTTGCACGCCGTTCACCGCCAGGGTGATCCCCATTGGCAAGAAGAGGAGGCGGCGCACAGAAGTGCCAGTTCCCGAGAGATGGCGGGCATGGCTCCGCAAGGACCGACGCCCTCTCGTCACCTTCGAGAAGATCGTCTCTTCTCGTCTTTGGCGAGCATAACAGCGATGTCTTCTAGGTGAGTCTTGGAAAATGCTTGCGATGACGTTGGAGAGCATAGAGGAGCGCTCGGACATCCATGTCGCTGCTCAGCGTTAGGGGGCATTGAGATTTTCAGATGATGGTAAGCTCGCATGCTCGCATGGAGGACTCTGAGTACTCATCTCATGTCTATCAGCGTGCATCTGCTGAGTCGTAGTCATGCCGCTCTTGTAGTCTCCCACAACGCCTCTACCGTGGATGCCGGGCGCGGGTAGGCTGTGGTTGATGAGTTGGGCAGCACCTTCAGCATTTGAAGGGCGATCAGATCCGCATTTGCTTCGTGCGATGTATGCGCATTTTGGATGTAGCTGTGAGTGCTTTCTTCCGTCACCCGCGCAAGCCCCTTCGGGGGGCCGCGAGGGAAATAAGGGCTGTGGCTGACGCGCCATTTCCGCTTGCACAGACTACCATGTCATTGAAGAATCTATTGAATGATGCTTTGCCCATCGAACAAAGCGTTCTTTCTCTGCGATGCAATCGAATCTTGTTTGTCTTGCGGTGATCTTCAGTGGTCCATGCGCATACCCAAAAAGGTAGTGCCCCGTTACGTCAGCAGACCAATAAGTGAGTGCGCGGGCCGGTCCGCGAATGGCCGGCTTCGCCTCCAGCCACACCTCGACAACGCGCCAGACATCGCCGCCGCCCACGCCCCTCGACTCTACCCGCTGTCCACCGACTCCTTCCCACCTCGAGGCTCTCCCCACTCCATGATATGCCCCGAAACCACAACGCAGGCCCTTCTACCCTCCGCAACCGGAACCGTGTCACCAACAAAACTCGCCTCAAGGTCATCACTGAGAGCATCGATGCGGACCCGATCGTGCTCGATGAGGACGTGAAAAGGCCAGGGTGGTCTCCACTGCCGGTGTCGACGCTGAAGATGCGAATGTGAGTATCCTGGTCCTCGTCGTGCTCGTCGTGCGCGTCCTTGTTGTGGCCCGCTGTGTGGCACGCTGTGATTGGCTGCTCGCGTGGGAACTTATTCCGCGGAATGCTGACTAAGAGCGTCTATTCTCCATAATAGGAACACCACTTGCAGGCAGTGTTGTCGGCAGCGGCGACACGACATCAGTCCACTGGGCGCTATACCAGAGGGAAGGAGAAGGAGAAGCCAGCACCAGCAGCGTACATCCCAACCCCTGATAGCACTGGGCTGGTGGACAACTATGAAGAACTATACACTCCTGGTCGATGGAAAGATCCTTCCACCTATCTCAAGTTCTCAGACACGGTGGAGGATCCACCTTGTTTGCGCTCTCGAATGGTTTCATATACTCATGGATGAGCGTGACAAGGAGTGGCTCGATAGAAACAATGCTGAGGCCGGCGGCGAAGGCACCAGTGCACAGGGTGCGATGTCTGGCACCGGTACGCGGTCGGGAAGGGGTTCCAAAGCCAAGGGCAAGGATCCTGACGTCCCTCAACCCGTCGCCATGTCCGAAGACGAGTTCGAGCTCGTCATGGCGATATTCGAGAAAGTGACGCATGAGAAGACGGAGTTCTTGCATCATGTCAGTCGTTTTTGTCTGACCTTTTTCTTCACTTGTTCATGTATCTACTGCGCGATACAGGGACTCGAACAGGGCACACCTTTCCCCCCGTTTAATGACTATCAAGACACGTTTGCAGAAGAGTTAAATCCCTCGATGTTCGCGCTGTATTCTGTTCCGGACTGGGTTCCTACCCAGTTCACCTTTCTCGACTTGCTCATACTATCTATTCGTATTGGCGAGAACGACGCACGGAACGCGGGGGGCACCCCATTATACCCGCAGTCAATGTGAGTGGTGTCGGTCTCCACCGCAGGCTGTTTCATGAACTGAGTGTCTCACAGCTCGACGAGATGGATACGAAGAACGAGTCGTACATTTGTTTCAGACGACGCGAAATCAAGGCCATCAGGAAGACTCGTGCTCAGCAGGCGACCTACTCGGACAAGATGGCGCGCCTCCAGGCAGAGCTCACCACAGCTTCCGACATGGCGACGGGAGTCCTACGACGAGAACAGCTCAAACGGGACGCATCTGCTCACAGCAACGCCGTCTGGAAGAAGCGATGCGATCTCGTCGATCTCAAGCGGAAGTTCCCCAGTTTGGGCACAAAGGAGGACGAGGAGCTCTTCCATGACAAAGAGCGGGTGGCGAAGAAACCGAAACCAGACATCGCGTATGTCCGCGCGCGTGTTTTTCCGCTATTGTCACTGACGCGCCTTATAGTCGCATTCCGCTCAAATTGCGCACGCGGGACAACGGCGAGCTGCCCTCTCCTGTGGCTCATGCGGAGATGGTCATACGGCCGAAGGAACGCCAGGCGCAGATACAGCACCAGATCGAGCAAGATTTAGCGAAGAGGAAAGAGAAGGATCAGAAATGGGAAGATTATGTCGACGTGCGTACTCTTATTGCCACCTGTACCGCAGTGGCTTACAATGGGCTGTTGTCCACAGAACCCGTATCAGCCTCCTCCTCTGCCTTATGCGTGCAAGCTGTACAAGTTCTTCGCATCGAGTCGATCTTCCTCTTCATCCGAGCTATCTGCGAGTTCGAATGGCACGGCCAAGCCACTTGCGCGTCCGACCCGTGCAGGTCGCATACGCTTTGGACGTGGCGGACGTGTCCACTTGGATCGACGTTCACATTCGACACACCTGTCTGACTCGTCATCGTCCGACGATGATGTAGAGGAGGAGGAGCACAAGCAACGGTTAGCCGAACGGTGGAAGTTCGATGCCGACGATGTCCCTGCAGTGGGTCCAGACGGGCCAGAGGAGAAGGATCGTGTCTTGATCGACGATTATGAACCTAAGTAAGTACGAAATCCCGCACTTGAGCGACGTCACTCACACTGCAACAGATATCTCGTCCACCACATGACCCTTCTATCCGAGCAGGACATGGCCAGCCTCATGCCGGATCCGACCCTTACTGTGACATCGAGCGATGGTCGTCAGCAAACGATTACACCGTTCAGGCCAGGTTCGCAAGGGCAGTATGGGCGATCGATGCCGCAGGTTGCACGACAGCTTCCAGCACCCATGACACCCGCGCGCCCGCTCCAGTCCTTGCAGTCGTCTAGCTCTGGTCTCTCAATCTCGCAGGCGGGGACACCTGTGTCTGTGGCCACGCAGCTGAAGCAGATGGCGCCCCCTGCGATCCCTCATATGCGCATCTCGTCGAGCGGAGGCATACGGGTGCCCGGGCTGCCAACAGTCCCGGCCATCAACATGCAAGCCCCACTTGCGTCGCCTCCAGCTACATCCGCCGTGGCACAGACAATAGCAACCACGACGCGAATGGTCACGCAGATTCGTCTGACCGACCGGCCAAGTCCCCCGCGCTGCAGAGCCCTCGTAGTCAGCAGCATGGGTCGCCTGAACAACAAACCGTCAACGCTTCCTCTGCCAACTCTTCTCCCGTGCGTGCGAAGGCTCAGCCTCCGCAAGCGATCACTATGCCCACTGTGCCTAATGGCTATCATATCCCGAGCGTTAATGCCTACTCCGCCGCTATGCCCAATGCCACTTACATGCATGCGAACAACCGTCCAAACGGCTTGACCCTGCAACAAATGCAGACGATGAAGTCTGCCTATGCATCTATGTCTCCTCCTCCCGATAATTCAATGCAAGCTAATACCGCCAACGGTCAGTTGCGAACCCCGGCCTCTTACCTCGGTCACGTACTCCAGAATGGCCATCCCAATTACGCTGCTCAGCTGGCGAACGCGCGACACATGCAACAGTGGGCAGCCGCGACCGCTGCGCATCAACAGCAGCGTCCGCCCTCTGCCAACGCAGCGGATGGGAACGCCGTCGATGGTATGCATCCGCCCGCGATGTCACCACCGATATCCACCACGCCCGTGCGGACACCATCAGCGAATGGTATGCGCACGCCGATGTCGCGTGGTATGGCTGTCCCTGGGGCCGCCCACGCAATGGGCCAACCGCAAGGCCGAGCATCGCCTGCGAATCCACACATGGCTCGAATGACGACGCCACTCACGCCGTCGCCGCATCTGCTGAACTCCTCGCTGGCTGTGACACAACCACAAGGGTCGCCGACGAGGTCTCCACAGCCACCGATGGCGTCTCCGTCGTTGCAGGCGCGGCAGGCGGTGGGCAGCTCTGGGGCGGGGTATTAGCGACTGTGTGTACTTCGTTGTATTGCGTACTTGTAGTGAGCTCCCGGTCTCTTTGGTCGTCATCCTCCGTCTCTCCCCCTTGACTCTTGTCCCTCGTTGCTGTTTGAGTACTTTATATAGCTAAGTTGTTTCATGAATATGTCAGTTATGTGTACGTCGTCTTTGTTCAGTCATGCGTAAATGCAACCCCCGCTCTGTGCGATATCCAAGACGTATCAGCGTGACTGGGTATGGGTGTGAACAGCTCTTCGATCGACGCTGATCTAGTGTATGCGCTCAGCCTCAGTGCATAGGTATATGCACTGTACTGAGCATGTACGCGCATGCCTTGGGATGCCGAAACAACAGCCCTGCGCAGGTTGACTGGACATGGTCATCGAGATGTATGCGGCTCCGCAGAGAGCGCTGTGCGCGATGACGGCTGTGCCTCAGATGCACCACTGGCATTGAATAATGAGCCAGTGAGTGGACCAAGTCCAAATACGGGCTACCTGGGCCTTTGAACGGACGCAGGTCCACAGGATACCCAAACGGGAATGACACACTCACCTTCAATGGTCTTTCCGCTCCTTTTGAGGACCACCTTAGGATCCGGTGGTGCGATGCGCAGCCTGCTTGGGACAGAGCCGCGCACCCGGCCACAGAAGGCTTGTTGCAAGCATAGCCCACGGACGCACTGCCGAAGTCGTTGGCAGGCTGCGGTGTCGATATGCGGCTGTGCGGTGCAGCTGTATGCGCTTTGATGAAAGCGATGAGGCACTGGCAGGTTCGCAGCGTAGCAGGGAGGCGAGGACAAGGGAATGCGGAGAGCACAAGGCGGCAGCGGCGGCGGAGCGATCGAGTCTGTGGCGGGCGGGCGTGAGGACCTGGCGTGACCGTGACACGACAATAGCTCACGTGCCATGACGCGCGCCCGTCGGCGCCTGCTTTGCCCCTTCCTCCACCGCGCCGCCATAAGAACCCCACCCGCCCCCGCCTTGTCCTGCCAGCTTGTTGTATTCACGGAACTCTCGCCTCCCTCAGTCCGCTACACGCATCAGAAATTCCTGCAAGGATGCCCCCCGTTCCTACGAATACGAACGGGACCGGTACGTGGACGAGCGTCGCATCTGACTAGCATTAACCGCTGACCGGCCGCTGCTCTTCGTGCATTCTGCAGGCCACTCTTCTCACCAGTGAGTAAATGTGGGATGATTCCTTTGAGGCGGGGCTCATGATATGCGTGCGAGTAGTGACTACGACGACACTCTCCCTGCGCAGCTGTCCTTCAAATGCGCCGTAACCGACTCGAAAGGCCCTCGACGGTCCATGGAGGACGCACACTCCATTGTCGTCCCGTTCGCCGGTATACGAGGCCAGGGCTTCTTCGCCATCTTCGACGGCCACGCAGGCAAGCAAGCAGCAGAATGGTGCGGCGCGAACTTTGCTACGGTGAGCCCGTCTCCACACATCGCCGCCGCAACGCGGTGGCGCCCCACCTGCTCACCTCGCGTGCCGTCCCCTAGTGCTTCCTCGAGACGATTAGGCGCGATCTGGCGGCAACCATCCCTGACGCATTCAATTCGACATTTCACGACGTCGATGGGCACCTCTCCCGGCTATCTGAGGAGTCGGATGGCAAGATGCACGCAGGATGCACGGCGGTAACCGCGTTTCTCCGCCTTGAGGATGCGGATGGGAGGCAGACGTTCCTACCGTCGGACTTTCATCCTATCGATACGGCGCTCGAAGACCTGCACCTGGAGGATGTCAGCAGCGATTATGAAGAGGCAGAAGATCAAAAGGTCAGCAACACGAGCCGAATCAAGAACTTTTTCAAGCCCAGCGGCCACGAACCCTCCCCGCCGCCCTCGCAGGCGAGCACGGCTAACACGGACGAAAAGGACGATGCATGGACACCACCCCACAACTCGCCGGTGCGACGGGTGCTATACTGCGCCAATGTCGGCGATGCGAGGGGCGTGCTGTGCCGCGCTGGTCGGGCGGTGCGCCTGACGTATGATCACAAGGGCTCGGATAGGCAAGAGGCGAAGCGGATCATGGATGCTGGAGGCTTCGTTATGAGCGGGCGGGTGAATGGCGTGCTGGCGGTGACAAGGAGTTTGGGCGACTCGTCGATGAAGGAGTTCGTCGTGGGTGCACCGTATACCACGGAGACGGAGCTGAACGAAGAAGACGAGTTCTTGATCCTGGCCTGCGACGGGGTACGTGATGTCCCTTCCTCTGGTGCTCCATGCGACCCTAACCCCGGTTATCAAGCTGTGGGATGTAGTCGATGACCAAAGAGCGTGCGAGCTCGTGCGCTCCATCACAGACCCAAGGAGAGCAGCGGAGGAGTTGCTCGACTACGCATACAAGAATTATTCTACCGACAATGTCACGGTTTTGGTCGTTCGCTTCCGGAACCCACCAGAGTCGATCCCCACCGAGCCGCAACAGCACGACGGACCGTGAGTCCGCGGGATACCCGGAGTATGCTGTCTACGTTTCGCGCGTTGTTCCTTCACTGACCTCGTGCTAGTAGTCCTTCCTCCCCTGCGCGGTGCATGAGCTCACGCGACTCGTGGTTTCCCTCATGTGCCGCTCCGATGTTTCGTGTCTCGTTTCTCCATTGCTGATCCCAGGGCTTCGCATGCGCTCGCACACGTATCCAAGGACAAGATGTAGTTAATTGTATTGTAGGGGTGTCACTAAATCGGCCGGTACGGTAGTGGCTACGCGATGTATGTAGGTGACGGAATGGGATGGTTATATTTGCGTGACGCTCAGGCTCTATGTTCGCGGTGACGCGGTGTGACGCCGGCGCGGGCGTTGAGACGATCTGGATCTTGCTGATCGAGGAACGGCGGTCGCCTAAATGGGCGTCGGGGCTCTGGACGATGATGTCATCGTGCGCGCGTCCTTTGGCCACCACCATGCCGCCAGTCCGCCTCCTAACCGTACCCAACCTGGAAGGCACGCGCTTTCCCTGCGTCCAGCACCCTGCTCGACGCCCTCACGACTTTGACCACGACCAGCCTCCGCCGCGCCGGCGATCTTCTACCTGGGCCCGCATATACCTTGCTTCATCTCCGCTCCTGCCTGCTCTGCACTCACGACCAGTATGTCGAATTGGAACAAGGGTAGGCCGTACGCACCAGGACCAACGCCTAACTACGCGCCGCAATATGCGCCTCCTGCGGGACCTCCTCCCAATGGCTACGGAGACCAGAAGTCGCCATACGAGGGCGATCGTTTCCGACCACGAAAGCGGATAAACGACCCTCTGTTCTTGATTTTCTTCTTGCTTCAGGTTAGCCCTCGCACGCAACATGTCGACGCAGCGATCGTACTGAATATTGGAGTACTAGTTTGCCGGGTTCATTGTGCTTTCAGGCATCGCCCTGAACGAATGGGTCAAGAATGGCGGTTTAGGAGGTGGAGTAGGAGATAACACGGGCACGGGTGTTACCCTCAACTAGTGCGTACTCCTTGTAACATTACATAGCTGCGCGGTCGTTTGCTCACTTCTGTATGTGTCCTCCAGTCACACTGTGATCCTGCTTCTGTTCATCACAGCGGCCGCACTTGTGCTGTCCACGATATACCTTATCCTCACGCGCTACTTCACGCGTTTTATCATGCACTTCACACTGATACTATCCATTGCACTGAACATGTACGTCTTGCAATGCCTCTTCTGCATCACGGGTTGACGTGCACCACAACTAACAGCGGAATATGCGTATACTACTGGACGACACGCTACTGGTGTATGTCCTCCACGTGAACTTCCACAAACGGCGCACTCTGACATTCCTGCTTTCAGCTGGAGCGATCATCTTCACCATAATTGCGCTCTTCTCGATCTTCGCCTACTTCGGGTACCGCGCACGCATCCCGCTCGCGTCGCTGCTCCTGCAGGTCGTCATGGACGTAGCGAAACACCACTGGAGCGTGTACACAGTCGCATTTATCGCGCTCATCGTCCAGGCTGCGTGGAGTGTGTAAGTGGGCTGCGCCGTGTATCTTCCCAGAGGCAATATCCTGACTCTCCTGGAAAGGTGGTATACGTTCTCCGTAATCGCCATGTGGGTACAACACGAATCTAACGTGCTCGCACATCGCGCTCACCAAACATAAACTAGCTACGCGAAGTGGACGCCAGGAAACCCCTGTATGTCATTCCCGCTTCCATGTAGTCCTCATGCCGCGTCCACTGACACTGCCTTAGCTTGTGGTTCCGGTTCCTCCTGTTCTAGCGGCAAGGTCGCCGGCCTCATCTTCTACGCAACCTTCTCGTACCTCTGGACTTCCCAGGTCATCGGGAACGTCGCCCTAGCCACGCTCGCCGGTGGGCCCTTCGGCTGTGTGTACATGCGTCGTCTCTGGAAGATGTTGTACTAAAATTGGATCGTAGCATGGTACTACTTCGGCCCGCGCGACCAGGGAATGATGGTCCGTCGTCGTTACTATCTCTCCTACCTCGACACTCACAACGCCACAGCCGCGCCACCCGACTCTGTCTTCCTTCGGACGCGCCTCTACGCTCTCCCTGGGCTCCATCGCGTTTGGCTCGCTCATTGTCACCTGCTCGACATTGTAAGGTTGGTCCTGAATGCCGTCCGGAACAACGCCAACGAGAACGGGCATCGTAAGTGTCGCGCTGTGCTACTTATCGGAATCTGGCTAACCCGCAGCGGCGTGCTTGCAGCGGTGGAAGTGTGCCTGGCTTGTTGTGCGGAGTGCATTGTTGGCTGCATCGAGGGCTTGGTGCAGTACTTCAATAGGTAACGCTAGTCTCCTTCTCGATGTGGGGGCTAATCGCTCTCTTTTGTTCGTAGATATGCGTACATTGAGATCGGTGTGTCTGTGCATGATGTCGCTAGACAGGATGCTGACGCCTGCTATGACAGCGTTGTACGGCAAGCCATACTGCAGGCCGCCCAGAGCGCATGGCACCTCTTGCGGGATCGGGGGATCGACGCCCTGGTCAATGACTCCCTTGTCGGCATGAGTAAGTCCCATTGGTTCAGTCCGTTTGCAGGGACGCTGACCATACTTGCGCGATAGCCCTCACTTGGGGATCCTACGCGGTTGGGCTGATCTGCTCGCTATTCGCCTACTTGTATCTGCGCTGTGTGTGATCTTGCTTTCCATCGGGATGGCTCGTGTTGACGCGCTATTGGATAGACACGCATCCATCATACAACGACAACGGACAGTACACCGCGCCGGTGCTTCTGTTCGCCTTCCTCATCGGCCTGCATGCAGTGCGTTCCCCTTCTCGGCTGTGCTTCCTCCCGCTGACAAGCGCATGTGACAGTGATGACGCTCTCGTCAGTCATCCAAGCAGGCGTCTCGACTATGTGCGCCCCCTCCGTTCATTCAAAGTGTCGCGCACGCTGATAAGTAGTTGTATCACGCAGCTTTGTTGGCTAGGCGAGGACCCACAAGTCCTGGCGTACCGTGCGCCTGCACTCTTTAGTCTCATCGCATCGACCTATCCACAGGTTGTACAGGGCGTTCCCAGGGTGTGAAAGTGGGCGTTGGTTGGGGGCCATCCATTGGCAGCAGCGGATTCATACGATATTTACGATTTATTGCCTACACATACTTCCTGGACAATGTCAGCATTGGTTGCTTAGATCCTCCCAGGAGACCCAGGAGAGTTGGATACCACGAACCGGCCCATTTGCACTCGACGATCGGCGGTGCAGTGAACATTATAGCCGGACCAAGGTCCCACACTATAGGCATAATGCATGCATTTCGTCTCCGTCGAGATTGCTATGCTGTTTCCAGGTTTGCTCGAAAAAGCGAAAAGGCCAAAAAGTATGTTCCCAGGGGGAGTCGAGCCCCCGTCTCCACGGTTTCGTCCAGCTTGCGCCAGGCCACAACGTGATGATCTGACCACTAATCGATGGGAACCGTTATGAGGGCTGCCGACGTGCGCGCTTATAGAGATGCAGACAGCCACTGCGGCGCGGCTTGCATGACGTTGTCACGGTTGTGGGGCGGGCGCGCGGTCGGATCTGGATTCTGGGCGTGCGGCAAGACCTCCAGGCGAGGCGCGAGCTTCGCCGACTGTGCTTAGTTCGTCTGCTCTCCCTCTTCCCCCAGGAGCCCCAGACTTGACCACCAACCATGCGCAAGACATCCTACGTTATCGCGTTTTTCGCCGTCCTTGCCACGGTCATTTTGGTGAGCTGGCATCGTATCCAATACGGTGGCATTAACGCGAGTTAAATCCACACAGAATGGTTTCTCCATCACCCGGCCAGACTGGTTCGCCCATTCCGCTGACTTCGCCCTGCGCAAGGCTGATGTTGAGCGTTGAAGGCTCATCGTGAACAACCCAGAAGTCCTCCACTCCAAGGTCACCGTCCAGTATGGGCTCAACAAGCGGTGCGATAGGCAAGTGATCACCGTCCCCGGCCTCCCAGAGGGGAGCCGCCTCGCCTACACCGACTACAAGTGCCGCCCCTTCCCCAACCGCGTCGTCGACAACTGCGAGAAGGAGAACAAGACGTTCTGCATGGTATGGAGCACCGCGCACTACTTCGCCGAGCTCGGCATTGGCTTCGGCGTCGTCGCGTGTCTCGCGCTCATGTTCGGCGTGAGCACCCGCTCGAGGCGGAGGAGAATCTGGAAGATGGTTGCGTGGCTCGCAGCGTTCCAAGGTGCGTGACGGCGCTGTGTGCCTCGGACATCTCCTGACGGGTCGATCGTCGTGGATAGTTGCCTTCGAAGTCCTCGCCTTCGCTGTCGTGACCCACCTTTACCGCCTCTCCATGTACCCGTCGTTCGAGCGGGCCCGTCCTGGTATGTTCAGAATTCATATGCAGTCGGGATACATAATGAAGGTTTGTCAGGTACCGCGTACGTCCTCAGCACCCTCTCCTGGATCGTCGGTGTCCTGGCGACAGCGGGCATCATCACTACCGGCATCTCTGCCACCAAGGGCCACCGCTGGGCTGCAGGCAAACGTGCATACCGTCCGATCCAGGGCTGAGCTGCCTGCGTACACGGTCACGACGTTCACGACCACGACCATGAAAGTGTCTTTCCATCACGTCTCATGAGCCAGCGCTCCGACGCATGGCAGAGTCCTATCATCACTCGCCTTGGCTTGACATCCCACCCTCCTCTCACATTTACTGTACTACATAGTCCTGGACGACCTGCTCTGTTCCATTTGCCGTCTGTCCCTGCCCTTCCACATATATACACATTAAGCAATTCCATTATATCGTTTTAGATAACTACGTCCGTGCAGAGAAGTTCGATGGTAAATGCTGTCAGTATTCGTCTTCGGGGTAGTCCACTTGGTCATACAACCGCAGCGTCTCGTTCCAGTCGCGCTTCCTCCTCCTGCGGACCGAGAAATACTTCGCCTTGCTCGCCCACCTCCCGCGCACCCTTCCCTTCTCCTTCCCTCCCGTCCGCGCGAAGTACGTCTCGGGATCCGGTGGGAGTCCCAGAGTGTTCACCGCCATATCCATCACGCGCTTATGCAGCTGCTCGCGCACCGCATGCAGCTCCCAGATGCGATTCTGGCCCATCCGGAGGAGCGTCCAGAGCATGGCGAACGCGCGGAACGCGGCGATCGCGTCCTCGAGCCAGCGGAGCGCCATCCACATCGCGACGGGCACGAGGGCGCGGTGAGCGGCGCGACGGGGAGCGTGAGCAGCGTCGCGCCGCCCCAGACGCACAGCCCGGAGAGGAGCCCGTAGATGAGCTTGTACTGCGCGATCTCGTCCCAGGTGTCCCAGATCGGGCCCGTGCGCTTGAACCGCGAGACGGCGACGAAGGTCGTGAGGAAGACGGGCAGCCAGAGGAGCAGGCCGGGGAGGGAGATGGTGAAGAGGAAGCCGGACCAGGCGAGCCGCACGACGATGCGGTAAAGAATAACATGCGTTGGGAGCGGCCGACGGATGCGGTCGTCTTTGATGCCGTAGCGTGCGAGTTGGTCCTGATAAGCCTGTGCAAGGAATGCGTCTCAAAGGGCTCAAAGAGAAAGGCTGAGAAAATACCTTGAGATCTTCACCCAACTGCCGGATCTTCTCGTCCTCCCGCATCGCACCCTCCCTATTCTCGTTGTTCACAACCTCGCCCTCGCTCCCGCTCTGGTTCTCGCATATAGATCTCTCCGCGAGCTTGAACGCCTCCAGGAACGTCCGAACGACGCGAACGTAGTCGCCCAAGCTCATCGTCGTCCCGAGAGGCGCATATATGCGCGCTGCGAGCTTCGCGTTCCGGGTCATCCTCCAGGACGGCGCGTCCAGCGTACCAAGGCTGATCTGCTGGTGCATCTTCGCTGTGAGTGCACGGATCTCCTCGTAGTCGATCGGAGCGAGCAGTTCAGGGTTGTCCTGTGGCATAAAGTCAATGCAAGGCTCGCGCCGCGCGAACTGCTTGTCTTACCATGGGAGTGAACCTCAAAGGTTCGTGGAATGTCACCAACACGTCCGACCGAAAGTGCTGTCGGTGCCTGGACGAAGTCATGACGCAAAACCGAGGATGCGACAGATGTGCCACGTACATGTATGTAATCGAGCATGTCTGCACGAACACCTCGAAGTCTGGATTATATCGATTGCGCGAGAGAACGTCGGAGACAAGGCGAGCAACTGGTGTTAGGAGAGGCATTGAACAAAAATAAAGCAAGAACCCGGCTGAGACTACACACCTCCGGTTTTGAGCGGAGCAATGGTCGGGTGGTACCTGCTCATGCCTTCCGGGAAAAGGCAGACAGCATCTCCGCACTCCAGAGCCTGAGGGGCCCAGTCAGCCGTGAATGTGGTGAAGAATGGGCCAAGCATGGCGGTGCAGAGTTCTGCATCAGCTGAGTGAGCATACCTCGATGAGATGCTGCATCACAGCAGAGTTGTCCCCGTCGCCATTGGGATGGTCTTGACGCCGCTTGATGGGGACGGTACCAGCAGACTCAATTAGCCAACTGGTGAATGTCTTCTTTCCGAACTGCGTAGACTTGGCCGTGAGCCGCAAGAGATTTCGGCTCTGCTACTTATCAATGGCCACGTCGAAAGCTTGGTATGGCGTACACACCTTGGATGGAATGGCCGTGACCAGGAGTCTTGCGCATGGAGTCAGTTGCAGCTCCTCGCAATTCGTCGGTAGACTCACAAGGCATCGGTCAACGAGTTACTGTGGTTAGCGCATACGATGCTGCAACGAAGGTCAACACAATGGGGTTGTATGACAGCCTTTAGCACGCATACCAGGGCTTGCCTTTAGGCGGTATGACCTGCGCATTCTCGACGACTATGGTGCCATAGAATATTTTGAGGACGAATTTGAACAATAATCTGTTCCTCCCCACGTCTCAGAACATGGAAATCACACAACCCCGCGACTTTTGCAGACCTTATGAAGAAGTATGACCATGGCGTTGGTGAGCCAGCGGGCATGCCAGTCGAATGCAATGCAAGGTTAGATTGTAGGAGAGAAGCACAAGAGGCTATGGTAGGACGCGCATGCAAGCAATGAGGGAAGAGACGTAAGGTCCTTGGCTGCGGGCCCGAACAGGATGGAGCACGCTGCTCCGACCAACGTTCGCGGCGAGCGCGTCGCGATGATGTCGCGGACTCGCGGCACGCTCACGTGTTTACCCCGCATCCAGGGCGCGAGGCGGTCACACACTCAGACTTGGATCCAGAGACGCGTACATATGTACGGATGCACTGCGAAAACGTATGGATCCCAGAAAACAAAATGGATACAAGCACAACTGTGAACGGTCCACCTCATCTTTTCCCAGCAACTCCAACGTGTTTACGTCCTTGCTTTTTGGCCGCTTGCGACAGCGGCAGGTAGGCGTATGGCTCTACACCGCCCTTCTTGACATCTCCTCCCGCTCTCTGTGCAGTGCATCAGTAACGAATAGCTGGGCGACGCGACCGTCATCAGACGCATACCTTAGCTCTGAATTCTTGTCCAAGCTTGGCTTCCGTTCTCCGCTTGTTCTTCTTTCCGCCAGCCGTATCCGCCTCGCCCATCTCGACATCTTCGCCGGCGTCCTGATTCTCTCGCCGCCGCTTCTTCGTGTCCTTGTTGAACTTGACGCGTCCGTTGGGACCACGAGTGAAACCGTCCGCTGAAGTCAAACTCTCCTTGTAAGCATCGTCTGCCGTCACACCGTCATCCGTCTCATCCTCCGCTTCGTCGATGACCATCTTGCCGGTGTCGTCGTCCGTTTTAAAGTGAGTAGCATCCTGGCCTGGCTTCCGCCGCTTGTCGCCTTTGGCATCTGATTTGTGCATGAGGATAGATACGAAGGTCGAGGATGACAGGGTACTCACTCGTAAGACGAGTCGCTGCACCACGCAAGAGATCCATCGGTTCATCGTCGTCCATCCGAATACGGGCCCCTCCCGCGTTGTTCTTGGACTTCTCAGACCGTTTGTTACGAGCCGCGGGTACCTCGTCATCGCTATCATCGATCTCACTTTCGCTCCCGTACAACACGTCTTCGAAAGCGTCTCCACCCGTCCGCTTCGGCGCAGGTTCCTGGGGCGGGGACCATCAGCAAGCAGCAAGCATAACCAGAATGAGACCGGTCAACATACCTCGTCATCATCGTTCTCCGCGCCCATAGCTTTCTTCCTCTTCGCTCTGTCCTTCCTCTTCTTGATGTTCACTAGCACCTTCCGCGCCTCCTCCTCGCCGGCACAAGCGTATACGTCCTCCCATCCAAACCTCCTAATCATGCGCTCGAAAATGTGGCGAACCTTCGCCTTGAAGTGGTTCTTGTGGTCGTGCGACCAGCGGAGGAGAGCGGGGACGAGCTCCTGAATATGCGGGCGCAGCAGGTCGGTCGGCATTGTGTGGATCGCGAGTTTCACGAACCCGAGGACGGACTTCACGATCTCACGGTTCGCCGAGGTGACGAAGACGAGGAGGGTGGTGAATATCTCACTCAACATCTGGGCAGAGAGAGAATCTGATAGAATATTAGGGATGGACTAGCTGGGCGACCGTACGTAGCTCACCTTTGAACTCAAATACGAGACGAGAGATGGCCGTAACGGTCGCGCTAATCATGTGCGGTGTCGCTCCGGCCAGTCCACCAGCGATCATCGTCATGTACTCGTCCAGACTAGCAGTGGCTGAAACGAATGTCAGACAACAATTTTGCTACTAGATTTTGTACATACCATCTGGTGTATCATCCTGGTCCATGGCGTCAACTGCACCCCGCTTGACCACACCACCCTCCTTCATTTTCTTGCCCATCACGACAACCAGGTCGAACGCAGCATTACGGGCCTTCTCTGATGGTTCCTTGGTACCCAGCACGGCCTCCGGGATGATAGACAACAGCAGGTGCAGGTGTGCAGGCGGGATGAGTAGTGCAAGGCGCGTAAGCAGATGGAATCGGTCCTAAGGATTCACGAAGTTAAGACTGCGCGGGATACAGGAAAACGTCGAGACAAACCTTCTTAGCAGCTGCCGCCAAACCGTCAACGACCCCGTCTAATCGCTGCAGCACCGCCTCAGCGTCCACACTCGCTTTCCCTCCATCCGCAAGCTTTGTGAGGATCTTGTATCCGCGCTTCTGCACGCCGTTGTCCCTGCTCTCGAGCACCTCGCTCTTGAGGCACAGGTCGAAGAGCGCCGTAGCATCCACGGAAGACAGGTAAGGCAGGACGAGTATGAGGAGGTCCTGCGTCACGGCGGTGATATTTTCCGCGTCCTTTGGCCCCGCCGCCCTGCTTGTCTTTGCCAGGTTCTGTTTGAACAGGTCGACGAGCTTGATGTAAGCCCTGGCGATCTCCTATGAGACAGGATCAGCCAAATCGATCTCGGTATGTATTCCTGTTCGACAAACCTGCTCGCCAGCGATCCCCGCCCATACACTGACAACATCACCTACCATACCCTGCGAGTCTCTGCCCACGCTGCTGAACACATTGAAGAGTACGCCAAGCCAGCTTTCTGCTTGCCCGCGCAGGGACTTCACATTCTTCTCAGCCTCGTCCCTTGAGATTGTATCGGCCCGCACCGATTCCGGGAGCTTGGCGAGGTCCCCAGAAGCGATAGCTAAGTTCGATTCTACCAATGTCTTGAGTGCTCGAAGAATTGCAGGGCGCAACTCAGCTTGAGTGTAGAGCAGCTGTGACAGAAGTTGGGCAAACTCTGGTGTCAAGGCCTACCGGGACGTCATTCCTCAGTGAGCCATCCGCCACTCGGGTGATGGATAGAACTCTACCTTCTGCAAATCTGGAGGTCCCCAGCAGTAACCCGGCAAACCCTTCCAGATTTGCTCGACGAGTACGCTCCAGACCTTCGCCTCGGACTTGCGGCCCGCGCTCTCCGCAGTTTGTTGGTGGTCGAACATGCGCTCGGTGAGCGGGACGAAATACGCGAGGAAGTGACCCAACGGCGAGGGATGTGGCTGGGAGAGGAGAGGGAGGAGGAAGGCACGCGGTTCATGACCAGCTTGTCTGTGCTCCGGTCAGTCCCACTTCACTGGGCATCGGACTCATCGCTCACCTGTCTGCTGGCTCGAGGTTGAGCGGCAGAGCTTTGAGCAGGACCTCTGGGCCCACGACTCGCATAGCCGTGCTCAAGGTAGCATCGGCAGCCTCCTTGTACTCGAAAGTCTTCTGTATCCTGAGGTCACCCACCTTCGCGATGAGTGGTAAGAGGAGCTGCTCGGCTGCGGTCGGGGCGGTCCTCCGAGTCGAGTCGCCGCGATACCTCAGATTCTCGATGAGCGACGATACAACCATAAGCACCTCGGGTATCGAGCGAGCAAAGCTTAGCGCGTCAAGAGCTTTCGTTGTCTGTGCAATCATCTTGCCGATGGCGGACGTCTTTTCCTGGCCAGCCTTTTCCGCAAGCGCTGCATTGATGAGCAAAGGTGTGAAGCATTGCCCGATTTGACTGAGAGCTTGAGCAGCCGCTTTCCGTGCTTCCGCATCCTGGAATTCGAGCAATGGCCAAACCGTCTTCCACGCCTTGCCCACATCTTTTGCACTCCTCTCTGAGTCAGTCGCCTGAAGCGCGAGGATGGCATTTCCGAGGACCGCCGCCCATATAGGCGCGAGCACAGTGTCAGTCTTGGCGGGGGAAGACGAGAGGACAGCATCGAGGATGTCTGAAAGCTGTTCTCGAATGCCACTAGACGGGTCGTCTACGGCCGCACTGAGTAGATCCGAGAGTATAGAGTACGCAGATTGTGCAAGGTAAGGGTTCCCGAGTCGTGGGAGCAGGAGGAGGGATGATGTTATAGAAGGAAGGGACTACCGGGCCCTGGTCAAGTCAAGACATGCTGCAAAGAACGTGAATACTCACATCAGCGGGTAATGTGGGGAGCACAGGGCGCAAGAATGCGAGCAATTGAATCGTGGTGTCCGGATTATCTGTCTCAACCTTTTTCCCCTTGAACTTGACCGGAGCACCTGTGTTCACCTCAGCCAGAGCGGAGATAATCCAGTCCGCTACTCGCTGAGCATAAGGATGCTGGAGCAACGGAGACGGAGGGTTCGCAAGGACATCTTTGATTATCTCCGATGCCTTCCTCCGTACTTTTGGGCGCGGATCGAGCGTGAGTTGTAGGATGAAACTGAAAGATTGGCGGAGGCCTTGGAATTCTAGCTGCGGACGTTCGAGAGCCTGGAAGATCGCACCGTATAGACCCAACTGGGATCGCAACGGCGGTGCATGCGAAGCCAACGTTGGGAACAGTGCTGATGTGAGGGATACTGTGGTGTCTAAGTGAGTCCTTATGACAGGATGCGGAACGTGCGGTGTGACCAGCGCAAGGAGATAGAGGACCGCAGGTAGGACATCTCCGTCGCCCAGCGGTGGTCCAGATGCGGCCGCCGCTTGCAAAACACCCTCGAGTGTGGTCAAAAGAGCAGCAAAGTAGGCGGTAGGAGATGGTTGGGTGTTCTGCTCGCGGAAGGTCGCTTCGAGAGCGTGCAGGAGGGTCGCAGGTGTCTTTTGGTGAGGTAGTGAGGACGAAGTATGAGGACGTATTTTGGCGAGTGAGTTCTCCAAGTTGTCCGCCATGGTGTACGAGATACTGCAGAACAGACAGGATATTGCCGTAGAGTCAGACGTTGTAGAAAGTGCCCGCACGCTGCCTGCAGGCTCAGGTCAAGCGGCAAGAAAATCTTGCAGTGGGATCTTGATCACGTCGTGATCGGGGCAGCTGTATCTTGGGCGTCTACATCCACAATTATGGGCGCTAACCTACCAACATGGACCGCTCGACATTCTGCTACTTACATGCACACAGCAGGCGGTGTGCTCAGTACCGTGCGATGCGACTTAGCGGGGCACTTGGCAACAGCTTCCCCGAAGCAACCCCATCTGTGCTTTATCTTCTATCTCAGGAATGTAGGCAAGCTATCTCCCGTGCATAACTCTATCTATCCCGTCCCAGTGACTCTATCACCGGAGCCTATTCGCGGCGTATGCACCCTTTTGCGTCACTCGATTCCCAGGACGTAGCGGGCTGGTCAAGGTGCTTTAAGTGGCCGGGGCGAATGAGCAGAGACTCCAAGGGTATCCTTCTGTGCTACCTCCACTCCATGTCAGGTCCAAAGTTTCGAGTTGCCATCTGGTACGTTATGCTGATATTTATAGGTTATGAGGCTCAATGCCCATGAGTCTTTTCCATGCTAGCGGAGGAGGCATTGGAGGCTTATGTCTTGCCGTTGCCCTCTCAAAGCACTCTGACATACAGCTGGATTTGTATGAAGCAACTGCGCGCTTCAAGGAGATTGGTGCTGGAGTCATGATGTGGTCGCGGACGTGGGAGATACTAACCCTCCTCGGACTGGACACCAAGTTCTCACAGATCGCGCATGCTCCCCCCGACGCTTCAATTGGTGAGTTGTAATCATGGTGGTTTGTATTGTACTCGAGCTTGCATCAGGTGTAGGATTTGACTACCGCAAATCCGACCAGCCGGAGGAAGGCCACCGCTTTCACTTATTTGAACTTCCATGTAAGTAACTCCTGCGTCTCTCGTAGATTCTTGTCTAAGACATATGACCTACGCAGATGGCTGCATCCGTTTCCATCGTGCGCACTTCCTGGATGTCTTCGTGGACGCACTACCAGACGGCGTCGCTCACTTCGGCAAGCGACTACTGTCCTACTCGCAAGGCTCCTCAGATGCTCCACTGGAGCTGCACTTCAGTGATGACACGACAGCAGTCTGTGATGTCTTGATTGGGTGCGATGGCATCAAGTCCACAATCCGCAAGCAAATGCTGGAAGAGAAAGCGAAGACTGGCCAGAAAGACCTACTGCAGCACATCGATCCGATATGGACCGGGACTATTGTCTACAGAGGATTGATACCAGTAGATCACTTGAAAGGTCAAGACGAGAAGAAGCATAGGACTGTTGAGACGCCAATGATGGTATGTATTGTCGGCCGAGGATTATTTCTCCGTCAGTGACGTTCTCGTAGTATTGTGGCAAAAGCAAGGCAGGTTACAGTCATGTCAACTGAACCCTCAGAGTCATTTGTGACGTTGCCATAGCACGTCGTCAGCTACTCAATCTCCAGTCGCAGCATCGTCAACGTTGTTGCCTGCACATCACGCCCTGAACTCGAAGGTACCACATACGACAAGTCATGGGTTGTTGACTGCACGCAGGAAGAGCTACTGGATTGTTACGATGGCTGGGAACCTGAAGTCGTGGAATGCTCAAGGTCAGCACGTATACGTTCAGATGTTGTGTCCACGTTTGACGGCTTCGATAGTGCATCGAGAAGCCCACACGATGGGCTATCCACCATCTTCGCCCTCTACCAACGTACGTATCAAACAAGGTTGCATTACTTGGTGACGCAGTCAGTATCCTCGCTGTGATGCGTGATCCTGCCCTCTGATACAGCCTCTTAGGCACACGGCATGAGCCCACATCAAGGCGCAGGTGCCGGACAAGCCATAGAGGTATGTCCCTACCGCGCATATCGACATGATTTCCGTTCATGACTGCCATGAACATAGGATGCATTCATCCTCGCCCATCTCTTGGGGCATCGTTCCACTACTCTGGTCACGCTCCCTCAAGCATTGCTCACTTACGAGCATGTACGACTGCCCCTCGCGAATCACGTCCTCCGTGGTTCCTATCAGTCCGGAACGATGTACGAATTCGATGGACCCCAAGGAGATGATCTACGGGTACTGGGACCGGCGATAGAAAGTCAGTGGGACTGGGTCTCACAGACTAGTCCGGCCGATGAGGCGGAGAGAGCAGTTGGTTGGTTGGCCGAGATAGCGAAGTCGCATCCTTAGCTTGCGGTCAATCCTCCTGATGTGCCACTGGCAATGATTCGAACCGTCAGTGTAGACCAGGTTGCGATGCAGACTTGAACTGCTAGGAAAACTGATTAGATACCGCTTTTTCACAGCTGATTATATACTGCCGGGTACAATTGTTGTTAATCCCTGGTAGTATATCGGTTAGTACACGCGCCTGTCATCTAGTACGGTGCGCGCGAAAGCGGGGTTCGACTCCCCGCCAGGGAGGTTCTTTTTGCAACCGTTTTGCACCGCTAAATCAATACGATTGGGCTCGTATGATGCGCAAGTACCATACTGTACCAGCCTGTAGCTTGTGCAAGTGTCGGGGACCGCTTCGGTGTAAAGCGACATGCGTTCAAAGGGCCACCTTTAGACTACCTGCATGACGTACTTAAGACATGGGGGATAAGCTCTGGAGAAGCTCTCATTGCCTCAGACTGACACCTCTCGCTTGCTCTCAAGTATTGCAATTGGTCGACGTATTCCATGTCATAGTGATACAGTACGTATACACCGCAATCGAAGTGCACGCGACCGTAATCAATAGGCTTGGCACACTCGCGGCCAATAGGACTAGGGGTGCGAACTCCCAACCAGCATTACTACACAGTTTGTCCTACTGCGCTTTCAACTTCTCCACGAGTTCGGGCACTGCATCGTATAGATCCGCTACTAATCCGGCGTCCGCGACCTGGAATATAGGGGCATCCGGATCCTACGGTTCCCTGTCTATCATCATGCCCTTTCGTAATGGTACATGACTTACCTTGTTGATAGCGACAATCATCTTGGAATCCTTCATTCCTGCGAGATGCTGAATGGCCCCGGATATACCGATAGCCATGTATAGCTCTGGCGCGACGACCTTGCCTGTTGTCCAACCTGCAGCGAGTTGTCTGCATAACCCGCATCGACGGCAGCTCGTGATGCTCCAATCGCAGCGCCGAGCACGTCCGCCAACGGCTCTAGGGTTGCATTGAACGTTTCGGCGTTCTTCAGCGCCCGTCCACCAGAGACGACGCGGCTCGCAGCTCCGAGCTCGGGACGATCCGACTTGGTTAGGTCGGTCTTGACATGCTGCGAGGGCGAGTTGGAGACTTCGACTGGGTCAACAGACTTGTCCTCCACTTGCGCGTCCTGCTCGAGAGCCGCTGCGAAGGCAGTGGACCTCACTGTGAAGAACTTGATGGGAAGCGACGACGGTGCACGGACAGTAGCGATAGCATTTCCTGCGTAGATGGGGCGAGTGAACGTTGTTGAGTTGTCGGAGCTATCGTGATCCAGGGATGTAATGTCGGAGACAGCGGGAAGGTCGAGCCGCGCTGCAACACGAGGCAAGAGGGACTTGGCGGAGGAAGAGTGGGACGAGACAACATGCGTGAACGGCGAGCCAGACGAGAGAAGTTTCTCGAGGAGTGGAGAAACAATCTCCGGGACGGGCACAGCGTATTGGGAGGATGTGCTGTGCAGGAGGGTGCTCAGACCCTTGAGTCTAGCACGGGCACGCAAGAATCAGACGTCTCTGGATCATGTCCACTATCGCGCTTCATGACTTACTTCTTCGCCTTCTCCACCACTCCCTTGACCTCATCTGGCCCACCGACAACGAGGCCAGTGACCTCGCCACCCAGTTGCTGCGCCGCTGTGAGAGCCGACAGGGAGCCAGAGTCGATGACCCCTGCACGATGCTCGAGGAAGACCAGCGCGTGAGGGCCGGGGACAGTAGCATAGCGTCTGCAAAGTGACCTGCTTGCAAGAAGATAGTGAGCTCTCAACATGGGCATGATGGGTGCTCTGCAATGAGAGAGCCTTGCTGAGTCAGGCTGCTCACGCTCACGGTGGGCTCGGATTCGGATTCTCGGAGTCGGATGGTCCACGGAGTCGAGTGACGCGACTGGCATCTACACGCTCACGTGTCGCCGCGTCCCCTGCGACCGAACTCCCTCCTCTTCTTGAGCCGTCATCTTCGCCCGCATCTGTCTCCCTTCATATTCCGACTGCGCCTGGCTTAGGGCTATACCCACTGTCGCCATCGTATCCGCAGTGTTTCTATTGATGTGCTATCGATGTGCTATATCTATGTCAACTCTTCGCCGTTTGAGATCAGCGCTGAACTGCCGCTGCTAACGTACACTAGACATGCCCCACGACACCAGGCCAATGGTGCTTCACAAACCTAAACATCTCCAACATCTATGGACGTCTTCTGTAGCTGAGAATCATTCCATGCGGCTCAAGGTTTGATTGGCTCTCAATCTATGCTCGAAAACGAGGCCTTTCAGCGTGCCGATAATACTTGCTGAGAAGATCTTCCTTAATATCACACACGAGGGGCTCCATGTGCGTGCCGCATTGTCAGGCAGCCGCCGTGCTGTATATGCTTTCTGGGGAGCTCCTGGTAGCGCTGGTAAGCCGATATAGCTTTGTGCTCTGTTGGTGAGAACCGCGCCGCTTTTCATCCCGTCCTCGCATAACCATGGCTGGACGAGCCCGAGAACCATGTCGATTTTTCAACACCCGCGCCGGGTGTAGGCGAGGTAATACCTGCACATTTGCCCACGACGGAGCAACCGCTTCTCGAGGTGAGTTTCATATACAAGTACTCGTAGATTGGCGACTGAGATTCTGTGTGCAGCCATGACCGTCTCCCTCCTTGGGTGAGGAGCACAGAACTCAGGAAGCGAAAACGCTCCCCCTGGCGTCTGTCGCGCTTTCTGGGCCGATGGGGAGTGCAGGCATGGGTTCCAATGCCGTTACAGACACGTCCCATCTCCGAAGCTTGCGCAAACTTCACAAGTAGGACAAACACAAGGGCTAGCCTTATCTGCGGTCGACACCGTAGCACCTTTGTTGACCGCAGGCGGCCTAGCGCGGCTGACGGAGCGAAGTACTGACGGATTCTTCGCTGTAGACCCTTCCAAAGAACTCGGACCATCCGAAGTTCACAATTACCTAAAGAGATATCTGTTTGATGACTACCGATTTCGCCATGTCTTGGATATGTACAGTTTCTTGAATCTCGTAGGGAATGCGTCCGCGAACAACGCGAAATGGGTGAGCGATTGCCTCTCCGAGCCGACCACACATGCTGATGAAGTGTACTTCAGTCACCAGAAGACGGGCAGGTATGCTGTCAGCTGTTTACGATGCTGCTTCTATTGACAAAAATGTCAACGTAGCTGCTTCTAACTACTCTGAGTACCGTGAGTTCGCCCATGCACTCATTGTCCTAAACATCTAGATGTGAGCATCACGGCAGGGAAATGGCCTCCGACGACTCAACGATATACTTTCGTGGGAGGATGTGTCGATTGGGCCGGTAGCCAGAGAATGACACTGTCGTTCCAGCGAGCTTACGTCCCTTTGCTGCGGGTAAGTGCATCAATGTCAGTACCAACAATTAGCTGATGGAAGCCGGATAGTATCTCTCCTCTGATTCTGTTGCTAATAGTATCGCCAGTCACGCCGTTAAGTACGTAGTCGAACATATTGGCCAGTGCTTACGCATACTGAGATACATTAGCGCACTATATGCACTACTCCTAGAGCACTGCGACCACTTCGTGAAGGTTGTACAGTCTTGCATGGAAGAAGCCATCAATGTCAGGAGATCCTTCAAGGATCCCCAGGCCCCTCGTACTGGCGGCAAAGACCCTCTGTTTAGCCAAGTGATCGCAGTTTTCGCGAAGGTTCTCTTTGAGTGAGCGATAAATATCCCATTCTCGTGCTTTGTTCACTATCTGACGAGTTCCGGCAGGGTGATCACACGGTTCAAGAACGTACTGGTAGCACACCCCGCGCTTCGCTCGCTCGTACTCTCCCTGCGACAATGGGCCACTTCCTGGGCTACCGGCATCGCGTCTACGCCCCCTACGTTCGACGATCCCTTTGCCACAACATCTCCTCAGGCACGGGACCATATCGTGCAGCATTTGAATAGCCAAGTCGATCGGCTTGTGTCTATTGTCGAGCGTAAGGTCGGCGAGGTGGAGCGCATTCAGCAACGGATGCAACAGCTATCTTTGGCTTCTGCCCCTGCGGGAGCCGTGAATGAGGGCTTATTGGCTGCTCTCGAAAACGCATACGAAGGACCCGGGCACCTCCGCCCAGACGGTCCACGTCACGACAATGACTCCGTTAACATTTCGGACATTCGGATCGCCCCCACGCACGACGAACTCATCTGTAGAACTCCGCCCTTCCTGCCTGCCAACCTGTATGGAGCTCCTCACCCGTTACCGGCTGAAAGCATGGAGCGGCTTCTGGATCTACAATTCCGCCTGTTGCGAGAAGAGCTAATGTACGTTACTCGTGGCCGGTGGGTTCTCGAGAATGTACTGATAGTCTTTTGTACAGTGCATCACTTCGCATGTCAATACAGCTCGTACTTGATGACTTGACATCCAATGTACACAACACGCGTCTCGCGGACCTCATGAAGCGGCGTGGCGGTAAATATCGCGGTCACGTCGCCGGTCAAGAAGCCGTCCTGTTCAACATCTACACCAACATCTCATTCGCGTCGATCACACCGGACCACCGTGGTCTCTCCATTGGGCTCGGCTTGGACTGCCCTCCGGGGCGCGCCCGTGCTCCTCAGGCCAGGGCCCGCGCCACGTTCTGGGAAAACATGAGCAGCAAACGACTCATACAGGGAGGTCTCGTCGCCTTGATCTGGAAGCGTCCGAACCGCGAGATTGCCGTGCATCTTGGTACGATCGCCAGCTCGACGCGCGACCTGGTCGAGTCCGCTGGCGTCTTGCAAGATCGTGTAGCTATTCGTGTCGCTTTCTTCGACGCTGAGTTTGAGCTGCGCGTAATCGAAGAACTGAAGCATTCAGCTCAGGATGAGGACGTCAAACTCCTCGTCGAGGCAACAGTCTTGTACGAGTCCGTTCGTCCATTCTTGGATGCCCTACGCGTCGAACCGGAGATCGTGCCGTTCAGTGACTACCTCGTACACCGACCACCTGGCTTCCTCAGCAGAACGAAGATCTCCCCGCCAGCGTACGCTCGCTTGCCCGCTTTCACATTCCAACTGGCCTCTCTCTTCCAGCCGGATGCGGGCGTGGATGATTTGAAACTCACCGTCACGGATCCGGATTCTGTAACCGGGGCACGTCAGCTGCTGAGAGAACGGAGCATCCTTGATCCCAGCCAGGCCGATGCGGTGGTGATGGCATTAACAAGTGAGCTGGCGATGATCCAAGGGTGAGTAGTTGCGTTTTTAACGCAGGATGATCGACTAATTCACATTGTATGTATAGACCACCGGGAACGGGGAAGGTACAGGGTATCATTTCATAAGCGACAACACTATGCTGATCCTCACCATTTAGAGTTACACGGGCGTACAGCTTTTGCGAGTCCTGCTCGCGAATGGAATTGGCCCCATCCTCATGATCGCCTTCACAAATCATGCGTTGGACCACCTACTGGGGTCTGTCCTCGACGCTGGGATCACGAAGAAGATCGTGAGGCTCGGCTCAAGATCGGGTGACGAGCGCATTGCGGAGTTCTCTATCGAGAATATGGAGAAGATAGCCGGCAAGTCCCGTCTTGATCGTGCATTTGCTGGTCACTACAGGGAACTGCGAAATGTTGAGGAGGAAATCAAGAAGCTCACGTTAGACTTCTGGAAAACAAAAGTCGACTCGGATGACATGTTGTCTCACATACAGCTTGCCTACCCGGCTCACTTCGAATTCTTCACGAATGCGCCTCGCTGGATCACGCTACTCTACGAATTGGAAAATTCTGGGGACGGTCAGGGTGCCTGGCGAGTCGCTGGACGAGGGGGCCGTGTCGAAGACGCTGACACCTCCCTTTACGCCCACTGGCTAGCGGGTCGCGACATAGATTTCCTTGAGCGCGCTCATACGTCTCCGCTTCATACAGAGGCAGAAACACCTAATGCACAGAGCGCCGCCCCGATCAGCAGTAACCGATATGACTACCTGGCATCCGCTCTGGACACCATGTCGAGGAGGACGTACTCGACTCTGCTCAGGTGACGGTGATGGCGCCTCGCGGCGATGATGAACTAGATGCCGACGACGACGTAGAGGTTCTGCCGCCGGAGGAGACTTGGATGTACGTCGTGGTCGAAGACTCGGAGCCGGATGCCTTGGAGTCGGCGCCGGAGTCTCCAATCAGAGTGAGTACGGGTGAAACTCCAGATGTTTTGCCTCCCCAGCCTGCGGGTCAAGGCACCACCACCATACAACCGACAGACTTTCGGAACGTAGCAGACTTCTTCCAAGCGTGCGGGCATCCTAGCATACCTTCAATACCGCACCATGATCGACCTCTGACTGCATTGCTGGACGAGGTTTCGAGGATATTTGGGCATATTCCAAGGCCGAACGACAGCGTTTCCACTCTTTCATTGAGTCAGAAGTCCGTGTATTGCTGCAGAGGACAAGAACTATGGAGTTCGAGCGTCTTCGGCAATGTCATCGCGATGTCGTGACAAAATACAATGAAGGAAAGGATGAGGTGAGTCTCAAGGTTTATGGCTTACTTAGGAAGCATGCTCAAGAGCGCATCTGCAGACACGACGACAACTCCTTCGAAATGTTGACATCATCGGATGCACGACCACTGGTATGTAGACCGAATGGATCGACCGGGACTTATTGCTGAGAGCACTTGTTTCTAGGTGCCGCGAAGTTGACATCCCTTCTGAAGGTGCGAAGGCAGTCATCGATCACTGTTTCAGTTGATTCATGGATCTCGCTTTCAGGGTATAGGACCTCGAGTCATGTTGATCGAAGAAGCCGGGCAAGTCCTCGAAGCTCATGTACTCGGAAGCCTTGTGCAAAGTGTGCAACACCTCATCTTGATAGGCGACCCTCTACAGCTGCGCCCGACTCTCAACAATTTCTGTGAGTTGATGGCTGCAACATCGGACTTCACGACCACCCTCTGACAACATTGTAGCGTTGTCCGTTGAGAACAAGCGTGGCAATATGCTCTATAAGTTCGACATGTCTCTCATGGAACGTCTGTCAAACGCGGGTCTCCATATGTCACAGATTGATGTTCAGCGCAGAATGCGACCGGAGATCTCACATCTCATACGGTAAGCCTGAATGAGCCTGAATGCATGTCCGTATGTTGACGAGGATCCAGAACCACCCTGTACCCGAAGCTCGAGGACCATGAACTTGTCAAACAGCACTCACATGTGCAAGGGATGGGCTCCGATGTGTTCTTCCTCACTCATAACCACGCTGAGAACGGATCGGAGGATGATTCAGTCAGCAAATACAATGACTATGAGGTGAAATGTCACTAATCTTCGATGTTCGTGCTTGACTCTGAGAGTTGCACTCTCCTTCCTAGGTGTCTATCATCAAGGACCTGGTGATGTACTTGCTTAGGTGAGTGCGCTGTCAAGTTAGCTAATAGATAATAGAAGCGCTAAATGTACATGTCCTCTACAGACAGGGTCCATATTCTGCCGAAGGTGACATTGTTGTTCTCTGTGCATACCTTGGGCAACTGGCTCGCGTCCGCGATGCGCTAGCCAGCCAAGTCGTAGTTGTGATTGATGAGCGGGATCAGCGAGAGCTGGACGACCATGAAGGAGAAGAGTCAGGAGATGAGACCGCGGCTGCTTTTGAACATGTGAAGGTCACTCGAAGAGTAAGTCGGCTTTCTGCCATGAAGTCAAGCACTTTCTCATCCTTCGCAGGTCCGTCTCCGCACTGTTGACAACTTCCAAGGCGAAGAAGCAAAGGTAAGCGGGTGCGGAGCGCGCGTAGCAACGCACTCATTGCGTCGTGACAGATTGTCATCCTCTCGCTTGTGCGGAATTCAGGAGGTGCAGAAGAAGACGAAGCAGTGTACGGCCACTCTTCCGCTCATCGGGCAAATATAGGCTTTCTTAAAGTAAGTCTTCACACCCATCACTGCGTGTCCTCGCTCGTTTAGTACCTCCGACGTTGAAGTCCAAGAATCGCATCAATGGTGAGTATTCGGAACGCTTTTTTTAGAATCAAACTGGCTGATTTCTACCTTGATCCAGTCGCATTGTCTCGGGCGCGTGAAGGCTTGTATATCCTTGGAAACACTATAGATCTGAAATCCAAGAGCTCGATGTGGAACGACGTCATCTCCGAACTTGAGCAACGAGGGTGTGTCGGTGACGCCTTTCCAGTTCGCTGCCATCGGCACCCGGAGCGCATGGAGTATATTTCGAAGGCCGGGCAGCTGGCGCGAATTTCTCCGGATGGTACGCACATTATTTCAAGAAGGGCTTGTTCTCTTTCCTGAACCATATCAGGCGGCTGCCTCCTTCAATGCGATACTCGTCTTGAATGCGGTCACATCTGTCCATACAAGGTATGTTCGTAGTCCTCATGATTTGCTCATGCATCGACTGCGGACGTCATGTAGTGCCACTCCGATGATCCCAACCATCGTTCAGTTAGGTGCGAGCAGCGCTGCACCAGGCTATGTGTCCGCGGGCACCCTTGTATGAAGCAATGCGCCACGTCTTGTGGTCGGTGCATGACTCGCGTTGAGAATGTGGAATTGCCCTGTGGTCACAAAGCGGCCTTTGTTCACTGGTAAGCGAATCAGCCACACATTTGAGTATATTTGAACGATGTATTTCAAGCTACCAACTCGACGAGCTGGCCGAAGTCATCTGCAATGTGAAGATCACAAAACCACTTCTTCGTTGCGAACATGAAGCGGAAATGACGTGCTCCCAAGATCCAGCGGGAGTCTCGTGTAGGGTCATCTGCGGCGGCATCATGGGCTGCTGTGGGCGAAGCTGCAAAGCTCGGTGTTCTCAATGTCAGCGCCTCAATGCGGCCGATGATTCCGTGACCGTGGTACTGCGCACAAATCACGTCGAACATCCATGCGAGAAGAATCTGTACTGTGGTCATCTGTGTGGAAAAGCTTGCTCGCGGAACCACGAGTGTACGACAAATTGCAAAGAACCCTGTAGGCAGGTCTGCCCGCACGCTCACTGTCGCTCTTACTGTTCGACACCTTGCGCCCCGTGCCAAGAGCCCTGTACATGGTACGTCGTTTCTATCATCATCTCCTCCCTGGTTAATCCAATACATCTAGGCAATGTGCACACTACATGTGCCAAGTGCCTTGCGGCTCAGTAAGTGTTGCGATCACGTAAATGGTTATTTTCTCTGACTGCTCCAAAAAGGTATGCGCTCGGCTTCCATGCGACAAGCGGTGCGAAAGACTTCTTGTATGCGGACATCGCTGCCCATCAGGTAATGTATCCCACACCAGGCATTGCCAGTACTTGACACTTACTATCCATAGTATGCGGCGAAGAGTGCTCGATCCAAGTGTGCCTGTCCTGTCTCGACGATGAAGCAAAGTCCACCACTGTTGTCGACCTCATCATGGGCTCCACACTTGCTATGGTTAACCCCGCAAATGAAACACTGGACGAGCTCCTCATTACGCTTCCGGGCTGCGGGCACGTCTTCACCGTCGAAACTTTGGATGGGATCTGCGCGCTGCACGAGTACTACACGCGCGATGAAGCTACTGGAAGATGGCTGGGACTGCAGGCACCACCCAGCGGCTTCCTCAAGCCACCGACCTGCCCCACGTGTCGCTCAGCTATCACCGCTCCTCGCTATGGCCGTGTTTTCAAGCGCGCTGACCTTGACATCCTAGAGAACAATGTTGCGTCTCACATGTCATGGTCCCTAGGACACATTCAAAGTGACATCGATGCTGTGTCCAAGGAAGAAGCCATCCTCCGTCTACGTGAAGTGGCGCAGAAAGCACCGGTCGGCAAGCGCTCCACACCCCTCAAGATCTGCCAGAAGAACCAGACGGCAATGCTCAATTCAACCCGCTATTCGCCCGTTCCTCGTGCTGCGCTCGACCCAGCCAACCAGAACATGCATGCTATCTTTTGGGCGAAGCTCAGGCGTGGAAAAAGGTGACCCTGAAGCTACTCGGGGCTTATGACAGATGTGTCAACGTCGCAAGCACTCGTTCTGCCCATCTACATGCCTGGGAGGCATCATTCTCATACCTCTATCAGAGGGAAATGGACGCCGCTGCGCAGGATCCCGCGCATGCTCCTAGGAATCCGCAGGAGTTTGCTATGCGTTCCGCACGCATGGGGGTCGGTCAGCCGCAGCCAAGAGCCGACAAACGCTTCGTCGTAGAGGCTATATGGACGTCAATCACACTTCGACTCCTCCTCGTGGATTTGACGACGGTGTGGTTGGAAGCGTTGCAGGCACGTAGCTCGTACCCAGCGGAGAACCGGCGTGCTTGGGCAACGTATAATTCCTTCGTCCTTCGGTCTTGCGCTGCAGATGTCGATATTGCCTCGACGATCGCCTCCCAGTCCGAGAGCCATCGTCAGCTCACGAAGAGCGCTCTACTGGGCATGCGTGTGGAGCTAGAGCAGTTCCGATTCAACTTGGAGACGATGAAGCGGAGCGGGAAGATGGGTGAACTGCGTGAGAAGCTGACAGAGCGAGCATGCTCGAAGCAAGAAGCGGCGGCTGTCATGGTCAAGACTGTCCTCGAGCGGCATCGTCGGGCACGAGCTGGGACTTCAGAAGAAGAATGGTTGGCCACGAACTTCACGCAGGGCACAAGCGTCATCGTTGAGGAATGGGATGCAATCGTCCGGTCTCTTCGTATGGATACCTTCTACCAACCTGTCTCCCTTGACGAGTTGACCGCAGTTGTGAAGAGCTTCGGGTTTGGTAAGCTGCGATGGATCTCATGGAATACATGCACTCACCATTGTCGTGGCAACGATAGCTCATGCCGGACATTACTACAAGTGTCCCAACGGGCATATCTATGTCATAGCAGACGTGAGTGTCTCTACCCTAGCTACAGTGCCCGGGCTGGTTCTCACGAGTTCATTCGGACATAGTGTGGTGGAGCGAATGAGCATTCAACGTGTCCCGAGTGCGGTGCGAGAATAGGAGGCTCCAGCCACCGCGTTGTCGATGGTAACGCACGAGCATTGGAATTGGAAGGGCTAGCTAGGGCCCAAGGTGCGATGGACACGCCGTGGCGATAGATATAATACGACGATCTTTGTACTTACGCGCGAGCCCGCGATCTCTTGGTGTTGGCAGCGAATGACCCATCTATCCTTAGTATTCTACTGCGTGATTGATGCAAGTCGACACTATGTACTTATCTGGACCACAATGACATACGTGACACGGCCGCTACGTCGCTGTGTCACTGTTAATTACCAAGACGAGACGACCAAAAGTCTCCGAACGACTTGCCTCCGGTACACATGTACCGGTGAGCTGCGCCCGACACCTGGTGACACCGTACACGGACTCGCCGCCGGCTAATCGATGTTAAATCTGTGTCGGCCTGTTCCTTTTTGAGGCTATGGCCAAGCTATCGCTCGTATGAGGTTGCACCACTGTAAGCCCGTTCTCAAAGTCCATATGGTCAGCAGTTGGATTGGTTCACTACACGTTCTCAGAACATACCGTGGCCTCCAGGTGGCCTCGTTCACACAAAACGTCTTGCTCCGACAATGCTCGCTCCGCTACGGGCGTGACGCGGAAGGGTCGCGAGTGGCGCTCGGGAGAATGCGCGCATCAGCGATCTGTCTACTGAACATTAGGCGGTACAGCTTCCAATTGATGGCCTTTACCGACCCTCTGATTGCATGTCCCAGGATGGCAAAAGCGTGAGGCGAATCCGAGCGTCATCGCCGCATCGCATCCTTGACGAATGTTTCCCTCCTCCCCATCGTCTGCGCGATGTTGCGAGGACTGCACCCACTGTGCGGTATTTGCTGGTTCTTCCTCGTCTGGTCGCAACTCGTCTGCTCTCAATCCTTCACTCCCGCTGCGATCCCACTAGCTGTCAGGTCGCCTTACTTCAGCACCTGGCTCAGTACGACCAACGGTACAGACTTCACTAATGCATGGCCGCAGTTCTGGTCAGGGACCAATGTTCGTCGATGTCCTCTGCTTATGCTTCCCGTACTCAACTGTGTATACTTAGGGCCATAATAATGGCTGGGCAGGTCTAGTCAGGGTGGACGGTGATACGTACAGATGGTTGGGAGCGGCACCGGGAATGAATGATACCAACCTCACCCGCTCACAAGTAACGCCTACGCGGACTGTTTGGACGATTCAGGCAGGTCCAATGAGCCTCACAGTCACCTTCCTTACCCCCATTGAGGTATGTAGCGCGTTCTCGTCTTATTGCTGTCGACTAACATACAGTGTGCAGCCCTCCGACTGGGTCCGCCAATCAATGCCTTTCTCTTATCTGTCATTTGAGGCAGCCGCGACAGACGGTAAATCCCATAGCGTCCAAGTCTACTCTGATGTCAGTGCAGGTGCGTCGTGTGGTCTCTTTCCGAACGAACGAGTATGGAAGCTAACGATTGCGACTCAAGAGTGGCTGTCGGGGAACTTGAGTGCCCTTGTGCGATGGAACACAACGACGACCAATCAGCTCATTTACCATCAAGTTGAGCTTCAGAATCCTACCCAATTTGAGGAAGTCAGCGACCAGGCCGTAGATGGCAGTCTTTACTATGCCATGGCGCAGGTAAGCCAGCAATTCTACGTACTGTGGATACGCACACTGATTGGGCTGATCTACTACAGGGCAAGAGTGCGACATACCAATCTGGCCAGGACTCCGTTGTCCGCGGTCAATTCGTTAAATCGGGTACTCTTCAGAACACCCAAGATACTGACTTCCGTTCGATCGCGCCGTACGTATGCATTCATATCACCCTCGCTCTCGAGGCTGATGCACATGTTTCAGTAACTACCCTGTGTTTGGTCTCGCTGTCGATCTCGGAAACATACAGTCCACTCAGTCTCCCGTGGTATGGTCTGTTGGCTATGTTCGGGATCCATCCATCCAGTACACAACAGGATCTGGGACGGTCCAGAATCGCAGCCCTTACTACGTCACGCAGTACTCCAGCGTGGAAGACATGGTGAGTAAGACTACCACTCAACTGAATGTCAGGCCATCTGATTTCTGAGTGCCTAGATGGGGGCGTTTGTGTCCGACTTCACCGATGCTGAGACCAGATCAACTCAGCTGGACAATGAGATTACGCAGAACGCGACAAACATCTCATCAGAGTACAGTGACCTGGTATCTCTGGCCGCTCGTCAGACCTTTGGTGCGATCGACATCACCGTGTCCCCAGGCTCAACGCGCAGTGGAACACTTCCGATGTGATGATATTCATGAAGGACATGGGTACGAGCAGGTCAGTATCTCGGATCTCGTACGATACAAGCGTTTTCTCTGACAGCTAGTCACTAGGCGGGTCAACCCTGTCGAAGTCATGTATGCAGCGTTCCCGATGTTCCTCTATGTGAACGCGTCATACGGAGGATCACTCCTGAAGCCCCTCTTGGAGTTCCAGACGTCGAGGATGTATTCCCTGCCGTATGCTGCGTCTGACCTTGGTGGGTGCTAGAGTAGAGTAGACGAACCACTGCTGACTAGTGAGCGCAGGCACGTCCTATCCACTTGCGAGTGGAGACACATCGTCAGGCCAACAAGGGCTCGAAGACACCGCTGACATGATTATCATGGCGCTCGCCCATGCAAGAGCTTCTGGCGACGGGTCGCTCCTCGTCCAATACGTGAGCCGTCAGCTTTCTGAATAGCGAAGGGAAAACATCCTGACATTGATTCCGTATTTAGTACGGCCTGCTTAAGTCATGGACGGACTATCTCGTGGAAAACTCGAAGACACCGGTCAATCAGTACGTAGTTTGCTCTGACAACATCTTCCATACCTGACCATCATGAACACAGGGTGTCCGCTGACAACCAGAATACAGCCAACATGACCAATCTGGCGATCAAGGGTATCATCGCGATCGAGGCGATGTCTCAAATAGCCACTGCCGTTCGCAACACCAGCGATGCTGATAACTATGCTGTGAGGCGCATGTTTCGTTGCTCTTGGGCGATGTCTGACGCGGATTGTCCACTCAAGGGAATCGCTTCGGCAGATTCGAGCGCATGGGAATCGTTGGCACTGTCGCAAAACGCGGCGCAGGGGCTGCTGTTCAGTTACGGGAGTTCAACTCCTGGGCGTTGATGTACAACCTGTATGCCGATCTCCTCCTGGGAACGAAAGTTATCAGCCAATCCGTGGGTGGTTCTTGCGTCATTGTGCTTCCGGACGCTGAGGTGTCTGTCTAGGTGTATGACCGCCAGGGCGACTACTACAATTCGCTAATCTCAGACGGGACGTGTAAGTGTTATCCTTACCACCTTTATATTCGGTGCTTATTCGTCTGCCACGTAGCGCGAACCTATGGTCTGCCGATCGACAGCGCAGACGCTGTACAGGGCAGCTCAGGTGAGTGCGGACTTTCCGCCTCTCTCCAGTCAAACCGCTGAATAAATTCTGTATAGCATGGCTATCCTTCACGGCTGCCACGGCGAACTCGAGCGTGCGGGACCAGTTCATCTCAATGATTTGGAAGCGCGCCACGTACAATAAAACGGCGGGTGTTTTCCCAGCGGCATATGATGTGGACAGCGGGGCGGTCACGAATGGTGCGGCTAGGTATGCCATGCATGGAACTTGTCCGTATGAAATAACTCACGTTGCGCATAGCCCCGCACAAGGTGCTATGTTTGCCCTTATGGCCCTTGACATCGCCAACAAGACGATCTCGCCGGGGACCGCGACATCTGACTCGTCGTCAGACAAACACATAGGCGGGATAGTGGGTGGCGTCGTTGGAGGTGTCGGCGGTCTCGCTCTCATCGTCGCTGCTGTCTTCTTCTGGCGAAGACGGAGGGCTCGATCGGCGCAGGTTACGTATGAGAAGACGGAGATTGACGAATCCGCGGTGGTCTCCCCCGAACCATTCCCATACCAGACCACGCCGTATGTGCCTCCTGCGGCGGACCAGACACAAACCACGGACACGTCACAGTCGCCGCCACCGGTACCGGTCATGTCTAGCAAGCTGCGCGAGCACCTACGACACATAACGCCGCACGCACCTGCGTCATCGGCGTCTGGCAGCGGCACGCACACATCGGGATCGAGGTATAGCCAAGATCCTCCTACGACCGCAGGTGCATCGACGTCTCCATCTGCGCGCAGCGAGATTCACGGCCTTCGAGCCGAGGTCGAGAATCTGCGGATGTACATGGAGCAGATGCACGCGCAACAATTGGAGGCACCTCCCAGCTACGCTGAGGAGTAACGGGTCTCACCACCTACCGTACCCTGTTTCGGTTGTAATGTACAGATGGACTAAGTACTAGCTATAGATAGTATCTCTCTCTTCCTCCCAATATTCAACGTATGCACTTAGTCTAATATTTACTTATTACGACCTACTGCAGCAACCTGGTGTTATTGCAAATGCTATCATAGGGCCCCGTGGACCCTTTTATGTGTTTTCCAGAGTGTCTGTCGCAGCAGCAAGTCAGTGCATGACAGTCTCGGGCAGCTCAGCTTGCGCGATATCTCCGAGTCCGCCAGCGTCCGCGCCAACCTCGCCGTAATCACATGGCGCCGTAATTACGCTCCCGCAACGCGATCGGCGTCTATTCTAACTAAGCCCCGCTCTCAGTGCCCTGTTCTTCTGTCTTGTCACATCTAGAACGAACACCATGTCTCTGCAGGGTCTTATATCTGGCTCGGAATGTGCTGTTCCTTTCAATCCGCTCTCGCAAGTGCTGAAGCACACGGAAGGAGACCGTAGCTTGCAGCAGGTACGTCGCTTGCACTGAACAAGTTACTACAGCGTGACTGAGAGTGTCTACAGGACAGGGTTGCGGGCCCGTCATCATCTCGGGTGCGACACGTCTCTCATATCACAGCCGTACTCCCTAACATTGCGTACCACGCAGCCGCTGCAACATCTTCCAGGTACATCGTCTGCCCCAGGAGCAGAACGGGATCTCGCACTCGCTCGCCAGTTCTTCGACGGCAATGCTCCCCACGGTGGGGGAAGTGCCTTCGCCCTTGCGCCGCAGATTCCGCACACCGCCCGGCCCATGGACGCCGCAATGCGATCCGGGTCTGATCTCAGCCAGGCGTGGAACGACGTTGACGGCCGACCGGCAGTGCAGAGCCAGGTTCCCCGCAGCCAGCTCGGACCGCAGATGAACTCGCATTGGGCGATGGAGTTCAGCAGCAACTCGGCTATGTCGCTGCCTGGTCCCGCGCAGGGCAGTAGCATGCAGCGCCCTGAGTGTGCGTATGAGCGGGCTACGCGTATGTCGGTCGACTCATGCGAAGTGACAGATAATCAGTCGTCGTACATGCAGTCGAGCATGTACCGCCCTATGATGGGCTCTGGGTACATGTATGGCGGTGGGGGCGTCAATGCTGTCGGCACTCCTCTTCAGATGTCCGACAAGGGGAAGGGAAAGGGAAAGGAGATTGACTTCGAGGCTGCATTTGCAGAGGCCACCGCTTCGTTCTCAAGTCAAGCCGACAGTGGCAGGATCGTTGAGGTTGGGGACGACGTCGGCAGCCTAGCAGAAGCTCTGCAGGAGACAGGGTTGTCTGAACACAGCGGTGCCCAGAGTGAGACGGAACAATATGCTAGTGATTTCCAACAGTGAGTTCGCTGTGATGGATGCTCCTGTGGCTCCGCTGACGATGGCGTATATACACAGTATGTGGGATCAGCTACAGAATTCCGAGGTCCCTCCACCACCGGAGGACATGGCGAAATGGGAATCACAATTCAACCAGCTGATGAACTCGCAGCGAGATAATGAAGAGTCCTTCGACGAGTACGGCGATTTCGCGCGGCAAGTGTGGGGCGAGGACCATGGTCACTACGAGACCGCGGCCAACGAGTCGCGCGTCGAGTTCACAGACGAGGGGCTACCCATTTTGGGGCCTTACGCCTTTGGTACTTTTATACCGTATTACATGACTATGCGCCCGTTGATGTCTTTTTTGGAAACAGAGCAGGAGAACAAATATCTCGACCCATCTACTTCGGGGCGGTCCCATCTGCAAGCAGCGAAGGATCTGCTCGAACAGAACGGGTCCTTATCCGAGGTGTCATTACTATTGGAGGCTGCCATACAGAAAGGCGAGTTAGGCGAGGGTGGCTATGAATCGTGGATTATGCTTGGCGAGGTGAAAAGCATGGATGAACACGAAGATGCCGCTATGCGTGCTCTCACTGAAGGTACCAGAAGAGCCGAAGAGACTGGCGCCACTGGTCAGGGCATGTTGGTAGGTCGTTCGATTCACCACTTTGCCCGTTAAATGTTAATTCGCACCACACAGTCCCTCGCTATCTCTTACACAAACGAGTCCTTCGAGCGTGCATCGCACACGATGCTACTGCGATGGCTCAAGGCCCGCTTCCCCGACTACCACATCTCAGAGGAAGTGTGGAAGTCCCTGAGCGGGGCCGGCTGGCATTCCCATGAGCGTGTCACCGAGGCATTCCTCGGGTTGGCTCGTGAGCAGTACAGCCGTGGCGAGATGGACCCAGACGTGCAAATAGCTCTGGGCGTCTTGTTTTACGCAAGCAGCGACTTCGACCGGGCCAAAGACTGCTTCGAGGCAGCCCTTGCGGCCCGACCGAAGGTAAGTTCGTTCCGCCGTACGCAGAATGTTCCGTGAATAGACTTTGTATCAGGATTATCTACTGTGGAACAGACTAGGTTCGTCGCTCTCAAACGGCAGCAAGCCTGAAGAAGCTCTCGGGGCCTACCGAGAGGCACTCCAACTGCGACCTACATACACCCGTGCGATCTATAATGTCGGCGTAGCTTGTACGTGTTCCGCATTCTTTGCTATCGCGGGGGCGGCTCACCACTTTCCGCTCCGTTGTTCCGTAGGCCTGAACATAGGAGCGCATAAGGAAGCCGCGGAGCACATGCTGGGAGCCCTCGCGATGCAGGAGGTGTCAGGAGGTGCAAAGAGCGACCAGCTTTGGTACACGCTTCGGCGGGTGTTCCAGTCGATGGTGGGTCCTCGCGCGTCTCGAGCGCCATTCTGTGACCTGATGACGTGCCGGTTTAGGGCCGGCAAGACCTGGCCGACATGGCGAAGTCGACGACGGACGTGGAGGCGTTCCGCAAAGAGGGCTTTGACTTCTAGACGTGCATCCGTGTATGATAGCGTTCGCTGCGTGACAATGCCAGGCTCGCGTGAAGGACGATGCGCCGTCAGCTGGCTCGCGGGACTGGGTGTGTTCGTGACGGCGGCGTGAGCTGAGGCTGAGGAGGATCGATGGACCAATGGGCGTCGCGTGATTGGACATCGATGTGACGCGACGGGACGTGACTCCGGACCGCGTCCTCGATCGCAGGGATCGGCGGGGCAGACTCATCCGTGTTATAACTGACCCCTGAGAGCGTATGGCCCAGTCCTCCTGCCCGGTTTCTTCAATTTTCCTCTTGCCTCTCATCCGCCATGTCCGCAGGAGACGTTGCAATGTACGTGCAGGTTATCTGTAGAGCCGGCCATTCGCTCACAACATTCTCAGCCACACGCTGCCCAAGACCACTGGGTCGAGCAATGTGAAGCTCAACAAATGGTCCAGCATCATCACGCAGGACAAGGTGAGCCAACCTCAACTTGTCTCGCAAAGCCGACTTAATACGCGTCATAGGCAAGGGGAGGTGCCCAGGCCATGCGTACGCCCATTGTCACCTTCGCAGGACCTCTTTCTTACTCACAAGCGTAGTTCATGCGGTCGGGCTGTCGGTGGAGGACATGGACAAGCCGCAGGTACGTATATGCGCCAATCGTCGTTGCGTACGCTCAAGCTCAATCACCGCAGATTGGCATTTCACCGATCTGGTGGGAAGGTACGCCGCGGATCCCTCGTCCAATGACATTGATGTTTGGTACTCAACTCGGGCGTAGGAAACCCTTGTAACTTCCACCTAGTGCGTGTGTTCAGTACAATAAGATTCAGTGTGACTGACATCTCGTGACTGCTCTATTAGCTCGATCTTGCGGTGAAGGTCAAGGAGGGATGCAAACAGGAAGGCCTTGTCGGCCTCACTTTCAACACTATTGGTGTCAGGTAAATAATTTCGCTTGTCGTGTTGCGCTCCTGCTGATTCATGCAACAGTGATGCTATCACTATGGGTACCGACGGTAAGCAACAGTAATGACTGCACCATCGAGGCCGATCCATTTACGAGGTTCTGATCGAAGGCATGAGATTTCGTGAGTGCAGCGTGATGAAAACTGGGGAATGGTCCTCAACGGATTACAGGCTACCGAGTCGTGACTTGATTGCCGATTCCATTGAAGCCGTGAGTACTTGACAGTCTGATTTAAGGACATCGCTGATCAACAAACGTCTCAGGTCACGATAGTACGCCCAAACGGAATTCCCGAGAAAATATAGCATTGACTGCAATTATCACAGGCCCAATACTACGACGGAAACATCTCGATCCCAGGGTATGCAGCATTATCCTCTTTGAGACGTGGATCTGACTTCGTGTAGATGCGACAAGAACATGCCCGCAACTGTTATGGCAGCGGCCCGCCACAACCGCCCGACGATCTGTGTCTACGGTGGCACCATCCAGCATGGTGTCCGCCAGGTCGACTGCCCTGCGCTCGGTCACAAAAAGGGTGATGACATGAACATCGCAGATGCCTTCGAGTCGTACGGTATGTACCTATGTTGACGGTGGAGCCGGCGAGCTGAAGACATTTGACTAGGTGCGTTCGCCACGGGGAAGATCAGTGACGAGGAGCGCCTCGACGTTGTCCGTAACTCGTGTCCTGGTCCCGGTGCCTGCGGTGGTATGTTCACGTACGTAGCGTAGCCCGTTATCCAGTATAGTTGACTAACATACTGGCAGCGCGAACACCATGTCGAGTGCGCTCGAGGTCCTGGGCATGTCGCTTCCCTACTCGTCCAGTATCCCCGCCACATTCCCCGGTGCGCATGCTCGGCTTCAACACGTCGTGGATGATATCTGACGCGCCCCCGAAACAGAAAAGGTCCAGGAGTGCTTCCGGGCTGCGCATTACATGAAGCGGCTACTCGAGCTCGACATTAAGCCGAAGGACATCCTCACCCGCGCATCCTTCATCAATGCCATCACCATCGTCAACGCCCTGGGTGGCTCCACGAACTCCGTCCGTACCTCCAATCCCCCTTGTCGCACCGCACGCTGACAGCGCCCGCAGGTGCTGCACTTCCTCGCGATGGCGCGCGCGGCGGACGTGCAGCTCACGATCGAGGACTTCCAGGACGTGCGCGACCGGACGCCGTACCTGTGCGACCTGAAGCCGTCGGGCAAGTACCTGATGGAGAACCTGCACCACGTGGGCGGCATCCCCGCGCTCGTCAAGTACCTCCTCAAGAACACGAACCTCATCGACGGCAGCACGTTGACCGTCACCGGGAAGACGCTCGCGGAGAACGTCGCGGACGCGGCGGACCTCGACTTTGACTCGCAGGACGTCATCCGCCCGCTCAGCAACCCGATCAAGTCGGTGAGTCGTTTCTCAGTGTGTGGCGGGGAGGGATGCTGAATCCGTGGCATACTGCAGAGTGGTCACCTTACGATCCTCCGTGGTAACCTTGCGCCCGGAACGGCCGTGGCGAAGCTTACGGGCAAGGAGGGTCTCCGCTTCGAGGGTGTCGCGAAGTGCTTCGACAGGTAAGGCTTCGCGCCTGCGCGGTGCCCCGCAGGGCTGACCGTGAATCCACTCCCACAGCCTGCCTCCTTTCTACTCTGCGTTGGAGGCCGGAGAGATCAAGGAGGGTATGGTCCTCATCTTCCGTTACCAGGGCCCCAAGGGTGCGCCTGGCATGCCCGAGGTCCGTCTGACCACGTAGTGCAACTCCTGCGCAATACTCACTTGCTCTCGCTCTCAGATGCTGGGCCCGACTGGTGCGCTGATGGGTGCGGGTCTCGGTGGTAAGACCGCCCTGATCACGGATGGCCGCTTCTCCGGCGCCTCGCGCGGGTTCATCATCGGGCACGTCGTCCCGGAGGCGCAGGTCGGCGGGCCGATCGCGCTCGTGCACGACGGGGACAAGATCGTCATCGACTCGGCGGGCGCACGATCAACTGGCTCGTCGACGACGCGGAGATCGCGCGCCGCAAGGCGGAGTGGGAGGCGGCGGAGCCGCTGCCGCGCGCGTTCCGCGAGAAGCGCGGCATACTGTACAAGTACGCGAGGGACGTCGCGCCGCGAACGTGGGCGCGTACACGGATTGAGGCTGCGGGCGAGGGGCTGTGCGAAGAGAAGGAACGAATGGTTTAGATGTATTCGTAGACGCGGCGTGTGTACAATGCAAGAAATGTCCTCGCATGGGTATGGTATCGAGTGTGCACAAGACTAGGTAGGTCAGAGAACATGGATACAACATGAACCAGACTTGGCTGGACCATTAATATGGAGACTGTTACTTACGCGCAAGGCTGTATATCTAGGAAAAGCTGTCCGTCATGGGGTATCCGGCCCGTTTCATGAATCGTGAGGATGTGTGCTCCTGGGCGAAAGTGAGCGAGCTGACAGTCGATCCTGTGGCGACAGCGCTGGTGACAACGTCGGGGACGGCAGCTCCTGCAGCGTAGGCAGCTGCGGGGCAGACTTCACTTGGCCCACGTCTTCGGGCTTCGACTCCGCCGCTTTCCCCTTCTCGTTCTGCTTCTCAGCTCGCTCTTCTCGTCCAGTGTCAAGGGCACAGTCCTCGCATGTTTCGGCTTGCCGTTGCGCCTGCGCGGGGGTCGCCGGCACGACGCGCTCGCCGGGGATGCGGAAGCCCTGGATGATGCGGGTCTGGCGGGAGGATGTACGCCTCGGCTTGGGCGGGGGGATGGCGAGCTCGCGGTGGTTGCGCAGGCCGGCGGAGCGGACCTGCTGGTGGCCGCGGTAGCGGCGGTAGATGTAGATGAGGAGCCGACGATCCAGAGGATGCCGATCGTCCCGCCAGAGACGGCCCCGGAGATCAGGGGCGTGAGGGCGCGCTGTCTGGATTATAGGAAGGTGAGCGGGGGGAAGGTAGGGAATTGTGTTTTCACGTACCCGTGGAGCGTGGCTTGCTCGGACTGCTGAGACGTCTCTGCGCCGATGACCGGGGACGCGGGGAGCGACACAGCTGGCATGCTAGCCTAGGGTCTTTCGCTGCTCGATGATATTGACGGTAAGCAACACTACTCATCTCGGAGACGGAAGGCAAAATTCACCTCGCAAATAATTTCCGTGCGAGGTTGCGATAGACGTTGCTTGCTCAGGCTGCGCTGGGTACGGGTACGGTACTGAGAGTAGTCAAAGGCAAGCGGAGGACACTACGGGAACCGAACCACGAATGGGAGGAGGAGAAGAGGAGGAGAGGGACGACAGTTGCAGGTGGAGGGGCATTCATTTGGTCATTGTGGGCCTGTGGCTGCACGTTGGTGCTTGGCTGCATGTCGCGCCACCGCTGCGCGCTCATGCCCCCGCATCGTCATCGTCGCCCTATTCAAGTTCGGACCACATTAACTCGGGTGTGACCTGTCTTCCCATCTGTTTGCCTGGACGGTCGAGCTCCCGCCTGTCTCCTGCGACGAGTGTGTTGTCCTGTGTTCGCTCTCTCCTGGATTCTCGACGACTTGGGGGAGCGCTCAACCTCGCCGCAAATGATGTCACTGGGATCCCACGTCCGAGTCGGGCCCTATCCAAGAATGCATCGCACCAACTCGCCGCTGTTCGGGCTGCAATCCTCTCTTACTGCATCGTGCCGTGCATGTCAGAGCATTGGGGGCAGTCACGAGTCGGACGAGCTGTATATTCACCTCGGTACGTTGCCGCAATGCATACAATATACATATTCAGTTACTAGTCGGGCGAAGCTGTGTCTCACCAAGAGCGTTTCGAAAAGGCAGTGCGAATGGCATGCACGCTGTCTATGGATCGGCAGGCGCACGAACATACAGTATGCGTGCTGGTAAGCTGCACCGGTGTTTTGCGATGCGTACCAGGTTTTTTTTTGTTTCCTGTGGCTTCGGAGAGCTGCAGTCAGGAGCGATCACGCACTCAGGACGGTGCATAGGACAATGAACGCTGGTTGGCACCGTGTATCCAATGCAGAACACGACGGTGATCGTCAAATGGCCGGGTAACGCGCAGGCATGGCGAACAGTGGCTAACACCCTTACGTCCAGCCGACCCAGCAATTGCAGACGGGCGATGAACGACTCATAGCCTTGCCCATCTCTTCCCGGGCGCGTCTGCTTACCGTGCTTCCTCCGATATAGTGCAAGGTGCGGCGCTTCGTATCACGAAACACCGCCAGTCGCTTCGTGAAGCCTGAGCAGAGCGCTGAACGTCCAGGTCGGTAACAGTTGCCGTCCTTCAGGTGGCATCCTAGCCATACGACATATCAACGTGGACGAGAAGAGTATGCAGGCAGCGCCAATCGCAGCGCTCAACGTCCAACGTCTGGCCACATCGCACTCCCGTTCTGATGGATCTATGTATTGTCTGCAAAGAGGTGCGCGACGCATGGAGCTTCGTTCATGATCTGACAGTTATTCTCGGGCGAGGAAGGACAAGGCGCGCATAGGGGCACAGCTATAGGGGGTCATGCAACAGCCACATCAATGATACTAGCACAGGTCAGTGGGTACTGAACACTTTTAAGTGCTGACAACCTCTCCATCCACGCCTCACGCATCCAGAGCCCTAGTCAAACACGTCCCACGAGCCTCACCAAAAGTAAACCACACCGCCGACATGTCCTACCAACCACTGGCAGATTACACAGCGCAGGGGCCCCACCCCGCGCAGGCGAATCCTAACACGGGCCACGCGAGGATCACCGGGGCCTTCGAGGGCATGCAATTCAAGATCGACAACCGGGACAGCAACACGATGCTTTACATGCGGCTGCAGCCGGGCTACGAGGTGCTCACGAAGCCGGGCTCACTCGTCTCGATGGAGGCGACTGTGCAGGTCAAGGGCAAGATGAACTTCACTTTGAAGAAACTCTTCACCGGCGGAGAGGTGCGTGAGCGGAGCTGATCGCCCGGCTTGCAATGTCTGGGTATAGTTGTTGACGCGAATCTGGTGACCTGTAGTTGACATTCGCCCACTTCTTCGGGCCCGGAGAGGTCGTGGTGGCGCCCGCGACGTGGGGCGACATCGCGCAGATCCAGATGGATGGAAGCTCGCCGTGGTACTACGGCAAGCACGCGTTCCTCGCGTGCACACCAGGCATTCACATGTCCACCAAGTCGCAGAGTTTCGGCAAAGCGCTCTGTACGCCCCCCTCCCCCTAGCCCACATATCTCCACTAATCACACCGTTTGCGTGCGCAGTCTCCGGCTCCGGCCTGTTCGTCGGCGAGGCGCAGGGCGCAGGGATGCTCTTCGTGCACGGCATGGGCGCGGTGATCGCGCGCGAGCTGCAGCCGGGCGAGCAGTGGATCGTGAACAACGACCACCTCGTCGCGTGGAACTGCCAGTACAATGTGGAGAGGATCCAGGCGGGCGGCATCGTCTCGACGCTGCAGAGCGACGAGGGCGCGGTGTGCAGGTTCACAGGCCCGGGGATGGTGTACGTCCAGTCGAGGAGCCCGCAGCATTTGATAAACTGGATTTCGGAGCACCTGCCGACGTCCGGGTGAAGGTGATAATATCGTGGGTTGAGTACTTCTCGTGCGAGATGCTGCGTTACTTTGTCATTGGAGCAATTTCGAGTCGGAATCACAGTGTAAATCAAGCCAGATCACACAACGTCTGCCAAAGCATGGGCTTGGTCTGTAGGGAGTGTCGCATGGACACCATGCAAAGACTCACGAAGGTCCAACCCCAGTCACGCGCGACAGCTCATTCCTGCTTGATGGATTCTTGCGTCGTGTGGCAGCCAACAGCGTCGTGGACATGAGAGTATGGTTGTCAGGCTTCGCGGTCGCGGCGAGGAGAGCGACTCGGACGCGACACGTCGTTTGACGCGGTCAGCTGACCGTGCGCGGTGCGGCGCGGCGTTACGTAACTTGGGTATCGACCAACTACGATCACTACGTTGGTATCCCTTCCCCTCCAGTTCCCCCATTCGATTTACCATGTCGCGCTCGACCACGGCAACTACGACCTACAACCTCGTAAAGTACTCGCGATCATGCACAAATGGTCGCTCGGAAGCCGAGCAGGAGTGGCAACATTTTACGAACCCGATCATCACTCTTGTCGTGGACGCGAGGAAAAAGGCGAACGTAGGCGAGCTCGAGTCCTTGAGGACACGCGTGATCTGGACCCTGAGTGCAAGCAAGGACTCTATGGACGTCGACCAGCGCGAAGTCGTTTTTGTGGGTTTTCTCGTTATTATGGCGCTCCGAGACTTGAGCACCAACGTGGTTGTATTATGCAGGAAGATCTAGACATGCATGTGCTCTCACTTACACCGCCTACGCATGGTCTCCCCCTGAAAGCCGTCTACAGAGATACGGTCGTCGGCATTCGCTACATGCACCCCCGCGTGGTGCCCGCAGGCTCTGCACCGGTGCGCATACATCCATCATCCGCATCTGTCATGCTGACTGTAAAGCATTCAGACATTCAAGAGGTTTCAGATAACCTTTCAAACAGCAGAGCTCGCAGCCGCCTTCATCGACTCCGTGAAACTCATCTGCCCGTGCAAAGCCAACCCTGCTCCTGTGGGACGCCACACTCAAATGGCTCGGTCTAAAACTGCTATACCTGGCGTTGCTCCTACATCCGCTTTCTCCGCTCAGCTGCAGCTGTCTGGTCCGGCCATCCCTCCGCAAACACCGACGCGCATATACCCTGTAGCGTCTCAGACAACAGACCGCCGCACTCTGTTTTCTGACCCAGCACCATACTCGAATGACTCCGGTTCCATGTCTCACGCCGTATATCCAACTGAGAAGCTGCCTGCTTTGACAGACCGCTTGAACCACGCATACATGCCGAGCCAGTCCCATACTCCATATGTTCGACCAACCATAGGCAATATTCCCGCTGCGGTATCAAACTCACAAACCGCTCCACTGGTCCCCGCTTCGATCTACTCACAGCCTCAAGCCATTGCGCCCATTTCAACCGTCTCGTGCTCCCAACTATCTGATGATCCTTGCTACCGTGACTCTCGACCTACCTCGGCATGCGCCACATCCTCAGCTATGGCTGCGGACTATTCTGGACGCCCTTACTCTGATGTTTCTCAGCCTCCCTCAGATAGGCACTCTCTGGAACAGCGTGTTCCTGGATACATCACGACCTCAGCTGCTGTGTCTCACATGCACGATGGCAACCACAGCTCTGAATCTAGTACAGGTGTTGCTCTTACGCCCGCTCCCGGAGGCTTGCCCCCGCGTCCTCCCTCCGTGCCTGCGCTAACTACGCCTCTGCGACCTCCATCCCCTACGGCACCTGTACTTGCGAACAGCCGTGAACTTGGCGCCGCACTCACTAGGCAACCTTCGGCATCGTCAGACTTTCTTGGGGCCCTGGAGGAGACGAGATCCATATACGATCTTTCCCGCAGCGATATAGAGTGTCTCATAGCAAAAGTCGTGCGCGAGGACGGATTCGCCGATCTGGTGAGGATATTACGTTAAAGACCGCTTTGGTGCTCATAGGCTTCACTTCCAGCTGGAGAAAATTGATTCGATGTGGGCGATAAAAGCATGTGTCAATCAGACAGCATAACACGGTCTGCTATTGTCTCAGGAACATCCCAAAAAAGCAAATTTAATAGTGCCCGCACATTCAGTGTTTCACGAGCAATTAGATCCTCACGCAAGCAGCTTCTGCACTTCCTTCGCGCCACACTCCTTGGCGGCCTTGAGTGCGTCCCAGCCAGTCTCGTCCAGCTGCGCCTTGTCCGCGCCGTAGCGAAGCAACAGTTCGACACCCTCCACGTCGTCGTTCATCGCTGCCATATGCAGGGCAGTCTGCCCGCCGGAGGGGTAGGTGCAGTTTACGTTCACGCCGCGATCGCGCAGAAGCTCCTCCGCTTCGGCATAGTCGCTCTGCGCCATCAGCCCGAGGAAGGCCTGCTCGAGGCGCCAGGATTCGGGCTGAGACTCTTCGAATATTTCGTCGTCCTGCGTTCGCCAAGCCGTGAGAAGGCCTTGTCAGTGCAGACCGAGACGACGAAGGTACGCAGACGCACGATGATATCTCCGAGGTCAATCCCGCCCTGTACGCCACCCTCGTTCGTCACGCCCACGATCATCCGCCCACGACGGTCCAGCGTATTCCCCCTGCACAGCGGGCATTTTGAGCGGTCGCCGCCTGCCTTCACGTAGTCGGTGATGCACGCCCAGTGGAAATGGTGGTTGTTCGGGCGGCCGTTGTTGCAGTAGAGCTCGACGTCGTCGATGACGTACGAGGAGCTCTCTTCCTCGCGCGGGGCGACGTGCAAAGACTCACGACAGATCGCGCAGTCTTCCGGTGAGTAGGAAGGTGGCGCGGGTGCGGGGAGGGGCATGGTCAGTGGTGATTGTGTGCGCAAGTCTGCGGTGAGTGAGAGGACGTCAGGAAGCGCAGAAAGAGAAAGAGCCTAGACGACGCCACCGACGCGTCGTACGCTGCCGCGGCGGAGCTCGAAACGCTCAAAGTTCTTCCTCACTGAAGAGCAGCAAGCGTACCATTCTGGGCTGTAGCCGGGTTCTGCCTGTTCGTGAACATCAGCGCACTTGAGAGACGTACATAAGTAGTTCAATTACTTTTGCAAAACAATGCTGGCCGAAAGCATCCCATTTGAGAGCATAACGCGATCACGTGTTTACGATATACGGATGTGTTGAGTACTAGTAATAATAGGTGCTATATGCCAGTTACATAATTTGCTCACCCATGCAATACGTTCACTTGCTTTGCAGTGATGGTCTGCAACAGAGTAGACTGGAAAGCCAGAGACTTAAAGACTCAGATATGGATCGATACAGTACAGGGCCTACAGTGTTAACGAGGCTATTACGTAAGGATGTGGCGGGGTTCGCGGCTGCTGGCAACGCGTTACTAGTAACGTTGGTCTATGTCAACACATTTCACAGCTGCATACCACACCTAGTGACCTACTACCAAGGCAGACGTATATCACGCTCATCTAGGCTACTGTCAGCTACTGCAACTACGCTCATCACCGCCTGGATAGCCATTCGCTGACGAGGAGTCGTCACTTCATTCCATCGGGGCACAATGAGACATCGCGAATGTGAAATACGCATTACATGCGACGGCCAGGAGCTCGATGAATACGATGTTCAAGTGAACGGCAACGTCGTCGAATGCTACGTGCTCAGCGAATCGGGCAAGGTGTGTTATGTAATGCGACCATAGATGCATGAGATGCAGCGGTATTGACAATCACTTTCTCAGGTATTCGAGATCATGTGTAGTAACACCTCCTCGACACAGATTTCAACTAGTACTGCTGTCGATGGTCGGGTGTTTCCGAGGCGAAAAGCCTTGAGGGCTGGTCGCAAGGATGAAACACTCAATTATGTTGTCGATGTGGATAACATGAAGCCACTGATGTTTTCAGATATTTCCATCACTGGTCGGTTTTCTCTGCGAGCACTTAGCGGGGCGAATCAATTCTCATCGACCCAAGTTACAGATGACGACAATGCTTCGAAGGAGCCATCTTCAAGTGCCAATAACCTCGGTCTGATCCAGATCAGTGTCGTCCGCTCGACGTTGCATAGAACAGTACCCTGGACACCACTTCGTAATGCGGAAGTGCAGAACTTTGGGGCTTTCCACGAGAGAACGAAGAAAGTCGGTGTGCACTGCGTCTCGTGAGTAAGCGGTTCCTAGGATCTCTACCAACCTTACTAGTAGCTTGTGCTTTAGGCTTGGGGCAAGGACGTCAATCCCCGAGCCCCAGACAACGCTTCGACAGGTCGTGCACATTGACGACTTGTCTGCGCCGTACATCGTCTTCAAGTTTCAGTATAGGCCACGCGGTGAGACGAGCGGCTTGTCGATCTTGCTGTCGAGGTATCTCATCCAATCCTAGCCTTACTTCAAGCCCAGGGCATCGTGCAATCGATTGTGGCCGAGCGGCCGCGCAATAATTCGGGTGCATCTCCTGACCTGCCCGCCGTGCGAGACGCGCCAGTGCAGGCTCAGAGTCCAGACGGGGTCTCACATCGCAAGCGAGACGACAATGGGTCTGGCCGGCCACTAAAGAGGCCCCGGCAAGGCGGCAGCTCATCGTCTCGGGTCGTGGGCCCCCTCGTTAGCGATACAGAGGACGCAAAGTCATTTGCGCTCAAAGACGAGGAGGACGACAGTGCAGAAGATCTAGATGCTCTAGAGGTGTGTTCCTTGCAACTTCGACCAAGTCGCACGTCGAACAACAAACACGTTTTACAGGCTCAGATCCAGGCTATCCGTCAGAGGATGGACAGGGCGAAAAGGAAGAGGATACCAGGCGGTAAGCCTCGCGTGGTCAAGAGAGAGCCGTCTCCAATTCAGGCCGGCGGCGTCGATGGCAGCGTCATAGACTTGACTGATGACTGACGCTTGGGGAGGATCCTCGAGCGACCAGACCGCTTCGGCTCACATACTTAGGCCTGAGTCATATTGTCTTTTACACTGCTTATTCCCAGCAATGTACACCATTGAGCTGCTGAGTCTCCTTCTAGCAGTGCCCGTGCTATGGATACACCTACAGGAAAGCCTTGTTCAGGAGGCGCTCAAGTGGTGGATCGATGTCTCGGCGATCATTGATCTATAGATCTACGTATGTAATACATTCGTGCGCGTGCGCGCTCGCCTCAACCACCACATACTGAACGCCGTGTGGCATACATTGATTCATGACTCAGCTGACGCCACTTCACAGGCACACCGTCGCGCGGTCGTGAGCATGACACCGGATTTGGCGGGCTACAGGAGGTCCCTGGGAGGTCCCGTCCCATAACAGCTGACAGCTTCCAAAGAAACATCCAGGTCGTTCCATTGTCGGGAAATAATGTAAGCCTAGATAATGAAATGTGCTAATTCATGCTGACTGGGACACCTTGTGTACGAGTTGTGTACGACTCGGAGCACTCACTGTGCCTATTGTGACTTGCAGGTATCATGGATCATTTGCATTAACACTGACAACCTCCTGCCGTCGTTGCCATGGAGATTGACGATATTGAAGGTCTGTGAATACTATTATCGTACAGGCTACTATCGCGACGCGGTGTCGCTGGTTCAAGTCCTGCCAGTGGCTGGACGCGTCATATATATATGCGGCCCACCGAGTGCGGCGGGCGGATGGTAAGGAGGGTGACGTGTGCACGACGTACGTCACCCTTGTACCATCCGCCCGGACGCTTTGCACTGGCACCCACCGCTCTCCGCCAGCCCCGCCCCGTCTGTCAGCACGCACGCTGACACATTCCAGAGTGGGGCCTCCCTCCTGCGCTATATCACCCGTACCGTCTCGCCCACCCAAGTCCTTCCGACCCCGCGTTTCTCTCTGCTACTCGTCTCGCAGCATATTCTACTGGCATCGCACACAAGAATGTCTACCGTCAAAATTGAATACGACGCCAAGGGCATGCCTTTCCGGAGGCTTGGCCCCAGTGGCTTGCGCGTCCCTGTCTTCTCTCTCGGAGGGTGTGCGTGGTCTTTGCGCCTACTTCTTCGGAGCCCAAGTCGCTGAGAGCCGCGTTCTACAGGGCTTACCATTGGTGGCACCGTAAAGGGTGACCCTGTGAAGGACATCATCAAGGTTGCCTTCGAAAATGGCATCAACATGTTCGACACCGCGGAGGGCTACTCGAGCGGAGAATCTGAGGTTGAAATGTTAGTCTATCGCGAGCTCTACCAATTCCATCCCCGGTCTGACTCTCTCGATACAGGGGCCGCGTCATCCGCGAGCTCGGTCTGCGACGGTCAGATCTGGTGATTTCCACCAAGATTTACTTTGGCTGGAAGAAAGCGAAGACCTCGCCGAACGACACTGGTTTGTCGCGCAAACAGTACGCATCCATTTCTCTCCGCCTATCCCTTGCGTCTAATACGCATATATAGCATCATTGAAGGTACACAAGCGTCCCTGGAGCGGCTCGGTATGGACTACGTCGACATCATTTTTGCCCACCGGCCGGACTTGAGCGGTACGTACGCCAGGAGTATACGCGCAGTGTGATACTGACGTTTTCGCTTAGTGCCGATGGAGGAGGTCGTCCGCGCCTTCAACTACGTCATCGAAAAGGGCTGGGTACGTCAGACGCGTTCTAGTCTGCAGACTGCATTGTAACCCGTCACTAGGCATTCTACTGGGCGACCTCGGAGTGGTCGGCGCAGCAGATCGAGGAGGCGTACCGTGCGTCCTAACTCCATTTACCCATGATGCTAGTGTGCTTACATGTCGGGTACAGACGTCGCAGACAAGCTCGGCTTGGTGGGCCCGGTCGCTGAGCAGTGCCAGCACCAGTACGTCGCTCCCATCGTCCTGCTCGTCCCTCTGCACCCCTCCTAACTGTGCCACTTTCAGCATGTTCCACCGCGAACGCCCCGAGAAGGAATACGCGTAAGTCGCTCCTCTGACCACCATTGTCCCATCGGATTGATCATCCCACGTCAGGCCCATATACGCAAAGTACCAGATCGGAACGACCGTGTGGTCCGCGCTCGCGGGCGGGCTGCTCACGGGCAAGTACAACGACGGCATCCCCGAGGGCTCGCGCTACGCAAACGAAGACACCAAGGTGTTCTACAAGGAGATCCTGCAGACGATCGACGAGGGCGAGGGCAAGCGGAAGCTCAACAAGGTCAAGGAGCTCTCCGAGTTTGCAGAGAAGGGTGCGTGCACTCGCTCCGGACTCTCGACTCGGACCGACGCTGACATGCGGGACCAACAGAGCTGGGCTGCACGGCGACGGCGCTCGCGCTCGCGTGGGTCGCCGTGAACCCGAACACGAGCACGGTCATCCTCGGCGCGTCGAAGCCGGAGCAGGTCGTCGAGAACCTGAAGGCGATCGAGGTCATCCCGAAGCTGACGCCTGAGGTCCTCGAGAAGATCGAGAAGATCCTCGACAACAAGCCGGCGCCTGAGGTACGTTACTATTTACTTTCACCCGCGGAAGGGTGGTTGACTGAGGGATCGCTCGGTGCAGTCATCATGGGGACGTCCATCTTTGGATAGCTTCGGAAGGAAATATTAGATGAAGTAGACGGATTGCGAAGGCAAAAGGGTATTTGTACTGTGATGTATTGGTTGATAATGATCATCTCCTGACTTTTGAACGAACCAAGGAGCGAACTTTCAGGTTCTTGCCGCCATATCCACAGTAGCTTGTGAACAACCACAACGATCGTTCCGAGTTGTAGTGAAGTATTCAGTATACTCAGTACCCTACATAGCAGGTACTTAGCTAAACACGAACACGTGACCACGACGCGACGCGTACTGAGGCCGGACACTTTTAATCTTGCGACGCGCGTGATTACTATATATCATCCATCACACATTGGATACCACAACTTACGACGTCATTCGGGTCCGAAGCCAAGAAGGATAGAGGCGGTATCACAAGGTCGCGCAGGTGTCATCTAGAGATCATCAGCACTAGAGCATATTACAGTGGTACATCGATAGCAAGAAGGCTTTGTCTTCGTGGTAATCCACCAACACACAATCATCAGATACAAGGAAGCCAATTTCACGGCCCAAAGAGTGCGCCAGTGAGCGACACAGAGGGCGGCGACGGTCGATGAAACACGGGAGAGCTGTGGAAGCATCGTAAGCTGTCATGCACCTCCGACTGTTATTTCGGTTCATGAAGGGTATCGCTCACCGTGTGGGCACAGCCGTGCTCCGCTGTATGGGCGAGCGAGGATCCGCTGAACCAGGGTATACAACGCCCGGCGTATGCAGCGGCTGGGTCAACCCTAGAGCTAATGGGCTGAGCGGGCCTGACGCGGGCGACGCGTGGCCCGACCTCACGGCGCTGCTCAGCCTTGCAGCAGATCGGGATGCCGACGGCGGTGTCGACGACGGAGGGACCGGAGACCTCAAGCTCGACTGCGGACTGAGCAACAGACGATGCATCTGCGCCGCGCTCTCGCTCTGACTCCGCGCGATGCCTGTGCTCCGTGCGGGCGAAGACGAGAGTGGTGAGGTGGGCCCGGCACTCTGCGCGGACCGCGTGCGCTCGCGCGGCGGAGGCGTCGCCTGCACGGCCGAGTCCGCGTACTGCACGCCCTCGCGCATGCGAAAGCGCGCAGAGCGCGGGGTCGCACTGCGCGAGGCCGAGTAGGGGCTGCTCGCATGGCTGCTGATGCTCAGGTTGGTGAAGTCGGGCTCGATGTACGTCACGCCCGTCAGTGGGGACGAGCCAGTGCCCGTGTCCGTTTCGGTGTCTGAGCCTCCGTCGCCGGTGGTAGGCTCGGCAGCAGAAGGCGGCGGGAGCAGGTTCGTTGAGTGCTGGGGTCTAGAGCCTGAAGGAGTTGCGTTTCGCGTAGAGTGGACCCGCCTGTGCCCGCCTTGAGTCGGTGGGGAAAATGTAGGAGGACTTCTCGGTGCTGCCGCAGGCGATCGCACGGCGTGCCCTACAGGCGACTGTGCGGTTGACTGCACCCTGCGCCGAGGAGACGGGCCATGTTCATGCCGCAGCACATTCGGCGAGGACGAGGTCCTCGACACGGGCGCTTGCCGGGGAGACTGCACGCTTGACGCGGGTGCCGCAGTGGGAGGCGTTCTGTTCGTTGCAGGTACAGCTGGAGGTACGCGCAGCTCTGCAGTGCGTGACACAGAGCGGGTACTAGTCGGCGCTTGGGGTGCTTGCATGGGTGTGTGAGCGGACGGGATGCTGGGAGACGGCGCACTACTCGGGTTGCGGCTGGGAGGGACTTGGGCACCCGCGGGGACGCCTTGCTGTACAAACGTCCCGTCAGAGCGCACTACCTTTACACGACCCTCGGCGAGAGCAGCACGGTAAGCATCCAGCGCCTCGCCTTTTGTTTTGTAGCCCTTATAGATGGAGCCTTCGACTTTGATAACTCTCGCGGCACATTCAGGCCTTCATGGAACCGATGAGCGCGTTCGCTCTGACAAAAACGCGTGCGTTCCGACTGCGCGTCACTCACCACTGGTCGTAAACACCGGGCTCGGTGCCCACCGTCACAAGGTACGCAGCCCACTTTGCCATCTCTCCGCGTGCGTTGAGTGTGGAGGTATCGCCTGGCTCCTAACGAGCCAGTTGGGGGTAAGGAGAGAGGGCGTCGCAAACGCTGTCGCTCAGCTTTTGAGTCAACCAATGCATGATCGGTTCCGACACACAGGATGCCGGAAGTTCCGATCAGAACTTACTTACGGGAAGCATCAATTTACGCGGCTGGTTTTCCCGAAAGTGGAAGTACGGACTACTGTGTTCGGAATGCCATAAGTCGGCTATGAGTTCGTCAAGGACCACTGTGGTTGACAGCACGTCTGAACCGAACCTTCAGGTAGTACACCCACTACCGAATGTGCCTGAGAGTGAGTACATTGCGGTTTCGGGTCCCGGCCTGTCGACAAATAAGGTTAGTCCAAAACCATCCTGTCGCGGAGGCCGCACTCGTGAAGCTTATGCTGTGGCGCTCGAGAGATCGGAACACAGCGAGGTCACAGCGAGCCAGGAAATCCCACAGCCATATTAGTTCCAAGGACCTATGAGCAGCGTGCGGGAAGTTCAACGACAGCACAAATTACAATGAGCATACCGGATATATGTAGGGACATGAGAAAGCGATGAACCTCCACCAAAGCACGTCCTCCAGAAAGAGCATACGGCTGTCATACTGCGATATAGCCACCACGGTTCGTGTGCCGCGGCCGAACAGCGGAGCATAGATGTGAAACGACGTCCTTGAACATGTACGGGACTTCCCTCCAGAAGTCGCGATGGCTGTCGGATAGAGCGTCAATGAGCTGTTGCTATCAAAATGAGGTAATGATACGTACGGTATCAAGTCCAAGCCTGTCGCGCCATATGTAGAGTAGTTGTAGTATGCGCCCAGGCCGAAGTAAGCAACGAACGCGAGCAGCAGCCTGTAAAGATATGTAAGTCATGGTCACCAGTAGGGGATGGTTTCGCACTCACAGGAGGAAGAAGTATCCCAATCCCGAGCCCATATGGCTCCCGCTACTACCATCCCCCTCCTCCGCATCGTCATTAGGCTTGTCCGATCCTGAATCGGGAGGGGCTGCGCCAAAGCCGCAGCCAGAGGGCGCACTCCATTCCGCCCACATGTCTGAGCCATCGTAGTCGGAGAACGTAAGTCCGGAGCTTTCAGTTGAGCACGTAAGTCTCAGATTGAAGGTTTGTGCCCAGGAATCGTCGCTCGAGTCGGGGTACGTAGGGCCCTGGAAGGTCAGTATGATGCCCTTCGGCGCTAGCGCGAACTCGCCATCAGCAACAGCTCGTCGCTGGACGTGCACCGCCTACTCACATGATAGCGACTGGTACTGGACAGCACTGCTGGACGTGGCCAGAGGGATGACTGCCACCGTACGGTCGTCCTCGTCGTCCTTTTCGTTTATTGTAATCAGACATGCCCGTGTCCCTGCTGGACACTGATCGTGAGACACCACGCATATAACCATGAGCCAGGACCTCCAAGGATCGTGTAGACGACGAGAGATTGTACGAACCTGGTCCCGTGCATCCGTGCCGTCTTCGATGTCGAGGTCCGCACACAGATTGAACTTCACCACGTCACGCATGGTTGTAGGTGGGCTCTTTCTCTCCCGCATGATCCTGTGCTCGCCCGCCAGCGGTGTAAGATCATATTGGAGGTCGCCGTAGGAGAAGCGGCAGTCGAATCCGTCGTCCTGTGCCGACGCGTGGCGCGTAAGGGCCAGCAGGGCCGCTGCCTGAATGTAGAAGTGCGCCGCGCGAGAGAAACGCATAGTGGGCTTGCCAGTAGCAAGAGCAGTGGAAAGAAGGGGAAAAGAGAGGCGAGGACCGCTGGCAGGACGACCGGGAAAGGTGAGCGAGATGTTGGCGAGATGTGAGAGTGCCCGCTGCACGCATACCCGGCCAGCGCGCCACCGCAGGGACCCGGAGAGCGCTTACGTAAGAGACGCGACACGCGCGGGACCTCGAGGACTGGGGCTACGCGTCCGCGCGACGCGTCGCCTCCCGTGAGCCCTCCGCGCTGTGGCTAGATCCAGATAATCGCCGCTATATAACAACACCTCTACGCCTCTGGCGCGCCAACATCCCTTCCACCAGAATGGCCACCATCGACGATCTCGTTGAGCTCATCTACCACGAGAAGCAGGAGCCCGGCTCGATGCTTTGTGCGCAACATGCGCTAAATTCACTACTGCGTGAGTTGCATGCTTTTGAAGCCACAGCGATACTAAAGGATGTCCACGAACCACAGAGGGTGCATATGTGAGGACAATCTTCTGACCGAGGCCGTGCCACATACTGAGCGTTGTGGCGTCCAGTTCAATGCACCCGACCTATCCACGATCGCGCGCGAACTAGACGAGGAAGAAGCGCAGTATGATGAGGACCGGCACGGACAAGTAAGTGCGAACATGGATGACACTGGTAAGTGGCGAATCTCTATCATATACGCCACTGTGACCATATGCGGACGCTGCAGGATTCTTCTCGGTGCAGGTCTTGGAGAAGGCCTTGCAGGTCTGGGGGCTTACGTATGTGACCTGACATACTCGCTCATACCTCGCTAATGTATCCCTCTCGCACCCAGTCTCATTAGGTGGCGCAGTGAACGAATGCGCCCGTATCAGGAACACCCACAGTAGGTTCACTCATTTCAGTTCCAGGAACCGGTTCCTGATGCACCGTTCAGCGCGCAAATTGCATTCGTCCTTAACCTGGAGCAGCACTGGTACACACTAAGGCGTTTCGGTGCGACCTCTCCACATCCAGACTTCAACCTGGAACACAGTGTAGGCCACTGGTTCAACCTCAACTCATTCCTCCAAAGACCAGAGTGGATATCCAAGACATACTTAGGCATGGTCTTGCAGCAGGCGGAGGCTGACGGTCAGTGCCGCCCCACTAGCATTTGGCATTCTATCAGGCTAAGCGATCCTACAGGCTACTCCGTCTTCGCAGTGGTACAGCAGAATCCAGACGCGCCACTTGCAGTCCCGCTTACCTCTGCTGACCACTTGGCCGCCACCATCCCTGAGAAGCCGTCCTCAACAACGGCCACTTCTCGAGGCGCCTCTTCTTCGCACGTCCTTGACGGCTTCGAAGACGAAGACATGGAACTGCAAGCAGCGCTACAAGCATCGCTCATGCAACAGCCATACGAGTATCCCGTGCCCCCTGCTGGCCCCCTTCCCTCAGCCTCAATATCCGCCGCACCCACCGGCGCCCTCGGCTCCATGCGCGACTTCGGCAACACTGCCACCCCCACTGTCCGCACGCCCCCCATCGCCCCGCGACCCCCTCCCCAAGTCGTCGACCTTCGCGATGACGATGACGATGACGAAGAGTATGATCCCGACTACGTTCCCGAACCCGACGATGACGCCGGCGCCGTCAACGACGACCCCGTCGCCGCGAGCATGGCGCGGAATCGCGCCTTCCTCGCGCGCTTCCAGCGCGAGCAGGAGGCGGCGCTGCGCGAGAGCTACGGCGACGAGGAGACGGAGGCGCGCGCGGCACAGCGACGACGAGAGCAGGAAGAAGAGGAGGAGATGATCCGCCGGGCGATCGCCGAGAGCGAGGAGATGCACCGGGCGCGAGCCAGGCAGGGCCAAGAAGACGTCGAGATGCGTGGGCCGGAGGACGAGCCGCCCGTGGTGCCGCCCCATCCGTCGACGATGCCCATCGGGCACAGGGTGTACGACGACGAGGACGCGGAGCTCCAGGCGGCGCTGAGGGCTTCGCTGGAGGGTGTCCCCGAGGGTTTCAGGATGCCGGACACACCACCGACTACCGCACGCCCGCTCCAGTCTGCGACAACGTCCGCCCCGGCACCACCGCCTATACAACGCGAGCCCTCCGTCGCTAGCACACAGTCCGAGAGCGACGCTTCGATAGCGACGGAGTCAGACTCGGAGCCGCCACCGCAGGAGCAGCTGAGCATGGAGGAGATCAGGCGGCGGCGGTTGGCGCGTTTTGGTGGCTGAGGTCGCGCGAGCGGTGCATACACTGTGAAGGATTTCGGTACATACTTAGGGATAGTAGACAACACGCATGTGTAACAGTATCGGCATCGATGCACTCAGTTATTTGATATACAGCGTATGCACACATTAACCAGGTGTCTGAACATCGCGCCTATGGCGTGTGGCAAATAAGTAGGTTGCGATGTATTGTAGGATACGAGGGTAAGGAAAGCTATGATACATAGGTCTAGGTCTACTGCGAAAGCGACGACGACACGAGACACGGCGATTGTCCATGCACGTACACGCACGACAAGTCTGCAGTCCATCTCCTGCAACCCACACCAACCCGGCCATCGTGAAACGAAACAGCCACCACTTCATTATCCTATAGGAGACACACGTAACGTAACCCAGCACCAGTAATGTTACCCAGGATCCGTGTATCACCCATCGAACATTCCCGACCCTGACGATAAATACGAGAATAAAACATCGACACACGGACACGGACATCATATACCGAACGGATAGTCAATGCTGCTCTGCATTCGCGGCCGCAATTTGGCTCTCCACCCACCGCATCAGAACGTCCGTCTTGTCGCTCGCGCCCACCAGCGCCCCCGTGCGTAGCGCGTCGAGGATGCGCTTCCCCACCGCGTCCGTGCACTCCTCCGCACGACCGAACCCGCTCAGGCAGCCCCTGCGGTACTCCCCCTCGGGCAGGCCCAGGATGGACGAGATGGTGCGCTCCTGGTCGGTCCCAATCGGGGGCAGGAAGGTGCGCAGCAAAATGGGGAGCGCGATGAGCATAGGCAGGTCCGCCGTCAAGACCTCGAGCTCGCTCTCGAGCTCCGCGAGGCCAGCGGCGAGACCACCCGCGCGTCCTCTGCTAGATGTGACAGTGGCCTGAATGGCCTCCAGCAACGCCGTCAACGAGCTGAGGGCGTCGAATGCTTCGTCAACCGCCTCACGAGCCAGTCGTGTGGTCTCCTTGTCAGCCGAAGGCCGAGGAAGCATGTTAAGAAGGTCGTACAAAGCGCGGCAATCAGCTGCCGCACTGCTTCCACGAACACTGGGTGCGCCCGGTGGGGACGGAGGCCTCGAAGGGGGAAGCTTCAGAGTGAAACGACTCGCCGGGGGCGTAGCAGGCGGGGTAGAGCGCGTTTGGGAAGTTGCACGCCTCCCATCCTTCGTCTTCGTAGAAGACAAAGTCGGCGAGGCCGGCGGGGTCTGCGGTGGGTTTGGTCGGTTCGAAAGCGCCACGAGGGCCCGCCAAATTAGCGAGATGAGAAGTGTGGCAAGGGAGTTTTCGGCGACGGCTGAGGTGACATAGCGACCAAGAGCGCGCGCATACACCGGCATCAGACCCTGCAAAGTCATGATGGAAGGATGAGCGATGGGCGTCCGCGAGCCCCTCGGAGCACTGGGCGCGTTGGGACTCGCTTCCAAGGCATCCAGGAGCGGCATGAGTTCAGTTCTCATACCGGTAATGAGAGGCTCGACGACCCTCCTGACCATTGACATCAGCCCGTCACGGATGGTCTTGAGGCCGTCGCCTCTCATGTCCGTCTCGAGGCCCAAGCCCAAGCCATCGAATGCCTCGAGGATTTCGCCAGCAAGGGTAGCGAGGCCAATGGCATGAAGCTGAGTCGCATTTGAGTTCGGGTTCTGCGGCGTCGGAACGAGATTGTTGTGGAATGCTGATGAAGCCAACAGCGGTAGAAGATCACTGGACAGGTTCGACAGCAATACAGACAGTGGTCGCTGCAGCGACCGGAGCAGTGCTCTATAGAGATGGGGGTTGTCACGCGAAGCCTTGATTTCCCTGTTCTTCGCGTCAGAAAATGTGAAGCAGATGGCAGGGTGTAACACGCACGAGGCAATGAGGGCGCCCAGCGCGCGTCCACGCCCCGCTGGTATTGGCCTTCTGCCATTCAGAATCTCATTGGGAGCACCAGGTCCGGTGGGCTGGGCAAGAGCCTTCGATACAGCCTCGCTGAGCTTGAGACTCAAGACATCCATGTAGGAGCCGTCCTGTGTCACGGTAACAGAGGCTACGCGCGCCGAAGGCGGAGCCGGGGATGGGGAGGGCTTCCTGAAGGTCGAGAGCGACAGCTTTGAGAGCGGGCGCGCTGCCCTGTCAGTGGCCATCGCTGAGTCAGGGACAGGCGACATGACCGGGGAGGAAGGGCGACTGGTCGGGCGGAGGAACGAAGGAGTCTTGAGTGTACCGTACATTTTGTCGTATCGGTTTAAAAGCAGAGGGAGGGTGCTTTAAATACGGGATAAATGGTAAGTAGTGGGTGATGCGGGGTGCGTTGTCTATTTGCACGGGTGGGTATTGAGACGTGCCGGCGACCTGAATCCGAGGCTAGTGGAGTGAACTTATCCCATATGGAAGAGCAAGGGTTGTCAGGTAGGGCTGTAGGGCAAGAGAGTCCTAGGGTGGCCTGTCTGTGTCGACGAGAGGGAAGCCCAGTGGTCCGGAGGGAATGTTGTGGATGTGGTATGTGTTGCTGCGACAGACATGCAGGTCAGCAACCGTCTGAGATGAAACTGTGCGACGTGGGCAGCACGCACCCAAGCAGCGAGGAGAATCTCATAGATTGGTAGCGACTGCGCTGAGGAGAGTGTTGCCGAGGCAGCGGGAGGCGGGGGAAGAGGCGTCCTTGCTCAGAAAACTGTCCGCGCTGGTATATACCTGCCTCCGCTTCCCACGCCTCTCGGGCCTTGCGCCTGATTCTCCTGGATCCGCCCCGCCTTGTCTTCCCCCTCATCGATGTCTTCGCTGGCCACTCGTCTGTCTGTTTACGTCCGCCGGAACACCATGTCCTCTCTTTTGCTGCCTCCATTCTCGCGCGAACACAGCGTCGGACAGCCGTGCAGCGGCCGTAGCCCTGGGTGCACGCGTGCAGGACCCACATCGGGCACATCTCGCCACTTGCTCACAAGAGACCCACCTCCTCGTGCCTCCGGTGGACAGGGGTGGAATGTGGCCATCGATGACCGCGTTAGTGATGACACAAAGGGTACGTTCGCCAGCCACGCAGACCCACCTTCCGCATACACGGGGTCGGAGCTCGTTGTTCCGGGCGCGCATTATCGGTGTGCGGTCTTCCCTTCGCCGCGGTTACATCCCACATTCGACAATGCTTCCCCATGTCCGGCGACGAGACCCACTTCCATGAATGTGGGGTGTCTAGGCCACCTTCCAACCCAGGACTGGGCTCATCTTGAATTCCGATAGTGACTGCTTTTTGATTGGTCGGCACAATGAACGAACGAGTCCTTGACGCTAGTTCGACACACATGAAATGCTGACTGGCTTCGCGTTGCGCGTTCGCTTCAAGCACGTTTGTCTTCTCAACGCCGCCAGCAAGTGACCGCCGTCACAGTGCACGCTGCAAGTGTAATGAATCACAACCACTATCAGAACGTAAGTTTCAATTGCAAATGATCAAGGCTACAAACACTTCGGATAGCAAAACAGCAGGGTGATAATGCAATGGAATACAGTCTTGTATCAGCGAAGACACTTTCAACTCAATGTGCGGGTAGCAAGAATCGTAAATTGTCGTGAAGTCGTAAGAGGAAGTGAAAGACGGCACATTATTGGACACCATCATGACGTCCAAACGGTCACAGTCTGAGCGAAACCATTCTCGTTGCTGGTGTAGTCGATGATGGCGTTGTAGTCGACGCTGAGCTGGTAGGTCGAATACACCGTATTGAGACCGTAAATCCCAATGTTGCTAGAGTTGGAGTCGATCTCGACGATCTGTGACTGGCAGTTGTTGCTATTATCACAGCTCTGGGTGTAGGCTTGGTAGAAACTGTAATGGCCGGCACCTACAGTCAGAGGAAGTGATGAGAATCGTAACAGTGTAAGTATAGGTGTGAGTACGCACCGACGATGAGAATGTTCGAAGAACCGGTTATGTACAGACCCCAAGCAGCGTTTCCTGGCCAGGATGAAGGGTCAAAATAGGTTGCACTCGGTATGAACGGGGAAGACGGCGCCGGATCAGGTTGAAAGTACGGCTAGCACCACGTTCAGTGACAATAGCTACATCCTGGAACGGGCACCCACCGACTCGGTCTGGATGAAACCCAGGTAATGGTTCTGTGCATTCGCCAATCCGTATTGGTACATAATACTGTGTTCGCCTGCGCTCACGAGGTGTATGTTGGAATCATAATCGAGCAAATAGGAACCAGGCTTACTGGCAGTCCCGACCATCCAGACCGGTCCTTGAGACTCGGACAGGATTCCACGAGCAGACCATAGGGTCAATTGGCCTCCGCCTGAGAAAGAGAGTTGATCAACCGACCACACCCAGTAACGAAGCGCTCTGTGCTTACTAGAGCTGTCAAGGTCATGGTCGGCGAGCCAGACCCACAGGCCCTACGGAACGCGAGTCAGAATGCAAGGACATATCGCGCGTTTCCGCACGAACCTCCAAGTACGCGCTAGCACCGGACGTTATGTGCAGTCCAATGAACGCGGCGAAGCAGCTGTTGTCTCCCGCCCCCGTTCCTGAGGGACACTCCACCGTCTGCAGATCAGTTCCATTCCCTGTGTGCAATAGCGTTCAGACAGTGAAGATTGCAACTAATCACCGACTCACTTCCTCCGAGACTGTGAGAACAGGGTCAGTAAGCAGGGATCGTCCGCAGCGGATTCCGACGCGACTCACATAATGTAGGTGTCCCAAGTTCCTGCTGCGCCCTGCTCGCCGGACGGGTCATGGACGTTCCATTCAACTACGATTGCTCCCGCGGCTAAGATAGGACGCAGAAGGGTGGCAATCTGGTTGTTAGAGAGCACCGCGGGTGAGCTGCACTGATATGTACGCACTGGGTCCCTGAGTTGAGAAGATCATATCGGTGATCTCAGCGACACCCTCGTCTCCGGAGTTCTCCCCAACTTGCACGACAACCTGTGGGTCGTTATAGTTCTCGAAGTAGCTCCCGTATCCCATGATCGTCGACCAGGCTTCGCCAACTATGGTCGTGCCTGCCGGAATGGTGATGGTCGAGGAGACCATGTAAATACCCGCATCGAAGTAGAGGATGTAGCAGCCCCAGTACTGCACGAGCTCATCATCCAATTACTAGCCAATCAAGGCGAGATACGACTCACGTTGTTGATAGCAGTCTGTATCGCACTCGTGTCGTCCGTAGATCCGTCACCTGTCGCACCCTGGGACCGCATGCTCATGAACTGACTGGGAGAGTAGGCTGCATATTGGGGGTGTGACTTCTGGAATAACCACCCGCTGCTCGCTTCCAGCACGGACGGCCTGTTGATAGCCGTGATGTCTCCTTGCGTGTATGTACCAGAGCTGCTGGTGCCGGAATATACATTGCCTTGCACCCAGGTGTTGACGGTGTAACTACCGCCAGCGAGCTAGCATCGTCGTCAGTCCTGTGGCACACTAAACATTGACGATGCTTACATAGGACGTGCCGTCCGAGGTGCCAACGCCGTGCCGACGTTGGTCAGAGCAATGTTGTTGAGTACGAGGGAGCCATCGAGAGAACCAGTGCTGTCCGTAGACAGTTGCACAAACGTGCCGACGTCGGTGATGGCAGCGTCGATGATGCTCTCCGAGGCTGCACCTTGCGAACCCCCGCTGGCAGCAGCACCAACGGTTACAGCGAAGCCGACCTAACAACAGTGTGAGTCTGGCGTTCTAGTTGACATCGTATCCCGTGCGTACACCGCAATTGTTTATGGTCAGCCCTATGAAACGTGACGTTCAGTACACACGAACCCCGCAGATCGCCTCGATTGGACAAACCTTGCCAAGTCCATCCCCATCCCCAGATGGCGTTTACCTGACATTCATGGTATCATGAGATACTGCGCGTGCTGCAGCCACCCGACGACTTACCGCTGTACGACAGAACGTGGTTGCTGTCAGTCATTTCACACTGTCATTAGACCGATCTGCTTACCTATCTGTGCGTTATTTATCGTGACATTTCGGACAGTGAATCTGCAACGGAGGTATAAATGTCAAGCCCGGAGACAATGGCCTTGGCAAACACTTACTGTTGATTCCCGACATCCAGACCATACTTGCCGCCGTTGAACACCAGATCTACCACCTTACATGTGAAAAGGTCACTGGGAGTGTGCGTTCAGACTACGTACCTCCCATGAACCGCCACTGAGAGCAGAGGTCGTTTGCGTCATACGTGCGACAACCTCTGAATACTCACCTGCCGTCTTCCATGTAAGGCCCTCTTGCGTGGTGTCAGACGCGGTACTCATTTCGACAACAATGTTCAAGAGAAGTGGCCTGCGAACTTGCCAGTGAAGACCAGCGACACCAGATGTATCCGAGGTTTGCCGCAGGTCGATTACGAGGTTGCGGACCGAGCGTAGCTAGCGCTCTTAGGATCACAGCACGATGGTGAATCTGCTAGAAATACTCACAATTGTCCTGGTTACATACCATGGGCACCGTAACCTTTGGAAGTAAGGTCCGCATCTACCACCTCCGGTGAACAGAGCACACCGGAACTCATATGCAGACCCACCGACGACGGCAAACCACTGAAGTTCGAGTTCGCCAAGAGGTGGGTGGGACCTTTGCATCCCGACCAGCACAGTGTAATAGTATGCGATGATGGGTGACGAGACCAGGTATGTGCTGCAGTGATCACCTTAGCGAAGTCACACTCTCTATGGACATACCCTTGAGGGAAGAAACTAATGCAGGAGTCTGCTAGGGCAAGATCAGCTACGCAACATGCACAAACTACACACTGACGTCGACGAGCCGCAACCATCTCCGCATCGGCTTCCGTCAGATATCGCCGCACTAGCTCGGACCGTCAGTATCTCATAGATCTCCGAGAATAGTACATTATCTCACTTGATCGCATCCGTATCATCGGTGACACCGTTTCCCTGAGCTCCATAGTCCTTGACATTACGGTACACCGAGTACGACGACGAGCCCGAGCGTATGGTGCGTAACCTCGGTGTGCGATATCCTGTAACCAGAAGGGATCGCTTGCTGCAGCATTCCCAGAACCAAGAGGTCCAGTACATTGCGACCCCAGACCAGCCACGGACAGATCGCTGACCCCAGCAATGCTGCAGTGAGCAAGTATTGAGGGAACATCAGGACACCCGGGGCGACCGCGCTAGGGAGAGTGGGTCAGCTAGGGATCCAGAGAGCCTCGGAAGGGGCACACGGCAGACGGGGTCATCTATATATATTGCCGATGCGGAGCGGTGCTTGCAGCACACCCGAGGAATGCTGAGATTGCGGCGTCGAACGCGGTCGGAGGAAGCGAAGGTTGCTGCGTACTCCAAAGACCCGTGATGAGACGCGGAGAAAGTGCTTGCTCGACACCACAAGGTGACAAGTAATCTTAGCCAGCATCTCGTGTGATGCAGTGTCGGACCTACCTATCCGCGGGCAAGGTAATAATACTTGCGCGCGTCAGGGCGAACGCACGTCAAGCGCCCCAATACATCGGGACGCCGAGCATACATGTCGAAGATGCTGAGAATTGAATGATGCGTTGTATCCCATGGTACAGCAGTATGTGGCCCGGAGGCAGCAGTACAAGCCGTCTCAGCCGCATCGCACGCCATGCCGGAAGGCATAAAACGCGGTTTGCAGCGCTCACGTGCCGCATGCACACACGCGGCCGTATCTGGGAAACAAGCGAATCGTGTCTCTCACCTGACGGTTTGTCACAGTATCGTCGACTTCGACGGGCCAAGAGGGTGAGTTAGTGAGAAACAACCTTATTATTGACGCACGAAGTATTGGACTTACCGATAATCAACACTCGCCAGGCTCACCCTCGTTCCTCAACGTGTGTAGACCATATGTACGGCATAATCAAGCCTCCACCGCTTGAAGTAATGCTGTCATGAGCTAACCCAATCTCCGCTATGAACCTAATAAGCATCAGGCCCGTTCACGGCGGATGCATCCTCGAAGACGAACGATATATGAAATGTCTGTGGGTAAACGCTGGTCAGACACGGCAACCGTTTCAATGGAGTATAATTGTGTCCAAAATCGTACACGTCGCGGAGAAGAACCGAAGTGGGACGTACCTTAGCCAATCCATCCCTGCAGGACCAATCTATCATGCAGAGTTGCGCGTTGAGGAAACAAATGTCAAAAATTTAACGTAGGCAGATCTTTGCAAGCACACCTTGTATGATCATCAGAGTCAGCAACAGTCCGAGCCTGAGTAGCACCCAAAAGTAGCTTCGGTACGCCATGCACACAGGTACGGTTGCGCAAACGCCGCTGGACACTTCCTAGCCATCATTCCTCCGCCGCTGCTATACAGCATCGCTACAACCGGGAACGGATCACGATAGAAGGCTTGTAGCAGTGTCTGCTGGGCCTTATCGAGACACGTTGCACTTACCACCATGACATCAGTACCGCGCATGACGATGACAATGCGTACTAGTGCCATTATATTCTGACGACATGTTCTGACCCAGTTGAATGTACGCACGATAGAACCTGATCATGTCGACGATACGCAAGGGGGTGGGAGGCTCGGCGTCAATTAGCGTCACCGTGCAGTGACAGAAGATGGAACTCAACTCATTCACAGCGTTCCTGGAGGACACTTTCACGTCAGTTGATCTTTGTGTCGCGTGGACACTACGCGCTCTGGGGAAATCGATAGACCATGCGATAGAGCTTCAGGCCTCCTTTGGTCGAGTGAAACCGACATATGTAGACCAACAACGCGCTAGGTGCTCGTTGGTCGGTATGTAGTGCAAAACCAATCGTTAAGCGAGGCGGATCATGGCAGCTAGTGCGGCGTCGCCTTGATAGGCAGGACTCGTAGCGATGCGCATACAATGGTAGAACGATTGGCACCTGTCCACCGTCGGGTCGAGAACAGACGGCCGGGTAAGGCAAGCAAAACCACTGACGCAGAAACGCGTGTTACTTCTGACTCGATATGAACACATGAGCGTACCGATCGCTCATGGATTCAGTCTGGTTTTGATGCAAAAAGGTGAGCAGTCCATTACAAGCAATCCTTGAACGCTTGAACCTTCACCTGGACGGGACGCATGGTCACGAAGATGGTTGATATTCCGTGGGTTTGGTACGAATGGCTGTGCGCTGGATCATTCAGGAACCCGCGCCTGGTCTGTATACCGTCGAGCATGCCGAACGCTGGTCATTAGCCTTGTTTTTATTGTCTTGTTCGTTTCGGACTCTGTGCATCTGCAATCAGCGAATGAAGACTGGATGAAGGTCTCATGAATAGGATATCCTCCTAAGTTGGCCGGAGCGCCATGGCGTCAGAGACGTCACGGAAACGTGAACTGCGGGCATAGAAGTATGTACGTGGCAAGTTTCGCGCCCGAGCATGATCGGCGGCGAATGCGGTCGTTCAACGAAGCGGCACGAATGTAGATGCGATCGGACAAACGGTCATATGGCTCCGAGTCGTTGACATGTTTCGGACCTTCTGGACTATTGTCGCTGTCGTACGCACGTTGTCGAGCAATGCATTCCTTGGTATTGTGCGCTCACCTGAGCACCAGCGCTGCTTCGTCGGAAATTAACGATTGTGCGCCCAGTATTGACTTTATCCGAGCTTAGCATGTACAGTGGAACAGTGTCCGCGGCCTGAGCCTATGCATGCTGGCGTTGACTGTTGTGGTCGAATGCTACCTGTCAACCAAGCGCAGAATAGCTTGATTCGGCCTGCAAAATACCCGGTAAGTACTTCAGACGATCATCCGCGAAGGTTCATATCATACTGTCGTTCGAACTTGGTTCGCAGTGATGTTTAGTTGCGGCGCTTGATATGAAGACACCCGGTAGGACGTCGCGCATGATTCACATGAATCGAACCAATGGGCGAGGGCGACCTTAAAGTAGTGTGAGTAACTGAGGAAATGTCCCACAGCAGACGGACAGTATGGGGAACACACGATCATGCAAGAAGCCCCTGTCTGTAGTTAAATTGCCCCCCAGAGTATTCTGGGAGATGCCATATTGGCATACCCTTCCCCGCCCCGGTGAGCGAATGTGGGAACGGGATTGAAAGAACCTCACGGCCCGCTGGGCATCGCCTGTGAATGCGCAAGATTTCATATTGGTCCTGTGTACGCTACCTTCTCGCTCTCATTCAAATGCGGCTTCCCGACAGACCCTGTTTTTCTTGAGAAAGCATAGGGGCCTACTCTGTGGGATGGACAGTGCCGAAGTCTCCCTCGTTCACCGTTGTCAGTTCTTACAAAACTGCGAGCTGAGAGAAATGGCCCGACACACCTAATGACTGTCTCGCGACGATCGACAATAATGCCACAACGCCTTTGAATTGGCTGGTGTACCACCATATGATACGGACGCACAACATGGTACCTCTCCAGCAAAGGCCGGCGCATATGTCCGGTGAGCTGTCATTGAAGGGAATGCGCTTTGATGCGTGGCGTTGGTACTTGCAGCTTTCTCGACCTCGAAAGACGATGCGCACTGATTATCTTCAGGAAAGCGATGCACCTCACAATCGCACTTGACTGGAACATCGTACGCGCCAGAGCCCCGAGGAAGGACTGCAGGCATGTTAATGGCGCAACGCCAATGCTGAAGCCAGATCACGGATGTCGTACTTCGCCGACCTCTCATACGCCGTCGCGGCCGATTACCGACAAACGCCTGTTCCAATGGGGCCTAGTCGCCAGGCATGCTGAGGCCCCGCGCTCGGGAAGGATTTGAAAGAGTCCCGAGTCCAGAGATTGGTCTGAACAGCTGCGCAAAACGTCCTTGAACCTCCACACTGTGTGCACCAGTGCAAACCAAGATGTGCGCGCGTTGTAACACCTGGGTTGTAATACCTGGCCACAAATGCGACGGCGTCGACGCGTCGTCGGTGATCGTAGACGGAAGCAAAGTCGTGGTGGGCGGGCGTCAAGAGCCGCCAGAGGCTGCCAGCGAACAGAAGCGAAGCGCTCGGGGCGCCTCTTTGAGTCGATCGAGTGGTTCCGCTCCGCAGGCTTCGACCGACGTCCGGTGCACCCATCTGGCCATGGATGGCGGCACATTGTATGTTTGTACTTAGTTCTGCCTGTTCTGTACAGCTGTGAGTGGGCCGTCTTGGTCGCCGTCAATATGCGATGTCATGGGCGGTGTCATAGTCGTACGCAGGCTGTGCTGTCCTCGTCCACCGTGACCGCTTCAACTAAGTACACTCCTGCATTCTAGGCTTTGAGGAGGATCCGAGTGCAATGCCCGAGTGCACTCCTCAGCATCGCCTCCGGTATGGCCGGGATGCGCGGATACACTTGGCGTGAATAGTGGTCGTGAATGAAATTGGCCGCGGACATCGGTCGGACGGATGGGCCAGAGCTGGATTAATTTTGACCATGCCAGGTATGCGCCGTCGTGGAGCGCCTTGGGTGGTTCGTCGGCGTGGCCGGATCCGGATATGACGACCCCTCACCGTCCCGAAGCACTCCTCCCCGTCGGCGCCAGTGCCACTAGCAGCTATACTGATGCTGACCAGGGATAACCGACATGCAATGCCCGGGGCGTCCGAAAGCGCGTCCGAAAGCGCGTTTCTGTGCAGCAATTAGCCGTCCTGCCCCGCACCTTTTCGCCGGAACATGCTCCTCGAACTCCGAACCAGGCCATCCGTTTCCGCAGTCACTAGTCTGCATTCATGGCCCGCGTCATCCTGTCACGCTCGTCTGTGTACTTACTCGCTGTGGAGCGGTGCGGGCGGATCGGGCGCGGTCGAATGCCCAGTTGCTTATAAGAAGGACGGGCTTGCAGTCGGCACAACTCACACTTTTCATTGCGCAGAGCCTACTCTCAGACATGCGTAGTTTCGCTATATCGATTGCTGCCGCGGCACTCACCGACCTCGCACATGCAGCCCCTGCTGCATCAAGTTCGGATGTGGTCTCAAGCTCAACTGTGGCCTCCGCTCTGCCTCAGCGACGTCTTCTGCCTCCTCTGCTTTGGCGTCGACTGGCTTCAACTCGTCCGTCCGCTGCCATACACGCCTTCGGGAGGTTTCGGCACTAATGGGTCACTCCCGGTTTACGCCCCTCTGTCTGATTTGACTACCAGTCCTTGTGAGTGTTTCCATTTACGGCCAGAATCGCGCTGACCCTTTAGAATCTTGGGCTATACCAAGAGCTCATTGAGCTGGACTTGTTCCACAACGGCCTCGCCAAGTTCTCCGCAGAGGATTTCCAAAACGAGGGCCTGAACGCGGACGACATGTACCTCCTTCAGTTCATGGCGGACCAAGAAGTAGGCCATGCTACAGCCATCGCAATATGCTCGGACGTAAGCGGCCTATACCTCGTCATGAGGCAACGCTGACATGTCGATATAGCCAATAATGCTTCGACGGCATGCGAGTACTCGTACCCGTTCGAGACAGTTCGGGAGTTCCTCCAATTCAGCGAGTTCGTCACGCGCTTCGGTGAAGCGGGCACTTATGGCTTCCTCGAGCACTTGAACTCGCGCGATGCTGCGCAGATCGTCCTTCAGGCTGTCACGACTGAGGCTCGCCAAGAGATGATCTTCAGGCAATTCGAGGGAATCTTCCCCATGCCGGTGCGTTGTCCTTCATACTTCATACACCCCATAATTAATCCTTCATCATAGTTCTGGTTCAACCCCGCAATCACTCAGAGTATGCAGTGGACGCTCATGGCCCCGTACATCGTGGGCTGCCCCGACGACAACGCCCGCGTCGAGTTCCAGAACTTCCCTGCGCTCAACATCACGAACAACCCGAACGTGACACAGTTGACGAGCAACTCCACGCCGGCCGTGTCGCGGAACGAGACGAGCTTCACGACCCCGGCGAGACCATCTACCTGGAGTGGGAGAGCCCCGGCAAGTCAGTCGGCCCGAACAACTCGTATGTCACAAACACGACTGCGGGCGACCCGAAGGTGAGCGGTTGTTTATGTTGTGCTCCAATCGATCATTGCCGCCGTTGTCGTTCGCTCTTCTCCCGCTCTCCACTCCTTCCCGCGCATACGGGCCTCCTTCCCACACCCACCCCACTGCCCTCCCTCACATATTCACGCACCTTACACCCTTCGTTCGTGACTGTGATGCTGACATGCCATCTTCGCAGTTCATCGCGTGGATCTCGCAGCTGAACGTCACGTACACACCGCTCACGAACATCAGCGGCAACAGCGGCCACACGACGCAGCCGAACCTCACGATCTACAGCCAGTCGAAGTACACGGACGGAAGCACGGCGCCGCTCATTAACGGCACTGTCTTCGTGCTCGTCACAGACGATGATACCATCGTCACGCCGGCAAACATATCCTCGTTAACCAGCATGTTGTCGCAGGCCCTGCGGCCTACTTTTCGGGATGAGGCCTTGACGCCTGAGTGTACCTATGTCGGAGCGGTAAGGGCGCGAACCCTCAGGCTCGCAAATGTGCTCGACACGATCTGTTGGAAGAACAAATGTACTTTTGCAACATGTAAACTACACCACCAATAATGTTCGCCTACCTACATATTACACTAGTCTTGCGTAACTCGAGTCCGCATCGCCGGTGCTTTACAACTCTAATCTGTACTTACATAGTCTTCACGCAAGTCGGCAGAACTCAACCGAACATAAATTGAACATCATCAAAAAAGACCAATTGCTGAACCAATTGACGAGCCAATTGGAACTGTCTCGATTCGATTTGGACCATCACGTGCTTCACGCGTCTACCTCGCGCCGGCCCTTGACTTTATACACGCCTTGTTGCGCCTCCGACGCGTATTGTCCCCTCCATCTCATCCATCACCATGAAGCGCGGGGCAGAGCGGCAGCTTACACGAGACGATGCCGATAGGGACGAAGACGACAGGGATGAGGGCGTGCGTCTTATGTCTCCCGTATTGTACGAAGTGCTAACACCACGCCTGGTTAGGATAAACCTGAGCGAGGCTTGCAGAAGGCGGACGCGACCGCATTGGTGGGCAGGCCGTATGTCGTGCGAGATGCTGTCATGAGATGGAAGAGCTGATGGGTGTCATAGGATGAGAGGCCTTCCGAAAGGCGGTCGATGGCTCCCGCCACTGGTGCTTCAGCACCGGCTCCCGCTGCGCCAGCGCCCTCTGCATCAACAGAGGTCCGTTCTACTCCCTTCCTTAAGTCTACACATTGAAGCTGACACTCTGCAGGCTGCAGCAAGATTCCCCGGTTTTGTCGGTTTCGGCTCCGTACCCGCGTTTGGCGCCACACTACATCCTCAGAAGTATGTCCCCATGTCGGTAGACATCCCTCCGTATCTGACGTTCTCCAGACCGCGCCACCGAAGCTCGGAGGCTTCTCAGGGTTCGAGGTGAAGACATCAAATCCATTCTCCATGGATGCGACCATCACGCCTCCAACACCTGCCGCCGTCTCATCCTCCGAATCTTCATTTCCGTTTGGATCGTCAACTTCACAACGACTTCTGCGGCCTCAAGCAGCAACCGACCGGCTGTGGCTTCATCAGCTTCACAAGCCACGAAAAGCTTCGCGTCGTTCCTCGGGTCGGGTGGCATGAACGGCACTGCGTCTGGAAAGACGGAGAAGGCCGACAGTGACGATGACAGACGACTCAAGGAAGAGGTGGAATATCTTTCAAACATCCGCGGCTTGAACATGTCACTGCTCTCGACCGTCAAATCGACCATTGAGAGCGATCCCTTCGCGGACGTGGGCAGCATTCTCGAGGCGTACAAGAGCCTGCGACTAGAAGAGAAGATGAAATTTGATGAAAAGATTGGAGGACTCAAAGGGAGCACTGACAAGGTGGCAGGGAACAAGAGCAGTACGATCACGAACGCATTCGCACCACCCCCTTCAATGCCGAAACCTTCAGGTAGCTTCACCAACTTCGGTCAGTCGAAATCTGCTGGTAAGAGCAGCGAAGACGAAGGAAAGAATGGGTCGGCTTCCGTGTCTTCAGCGCCTGGGTCTTCTGTCTTTGAATTTGGCAAGTCCAGCTCATCCTCCTCGGCACCCTCTGCTCCAGCATTTTCATCACAACCTTTCGTATTCGGAGGAGGAGCACCAGCACCGAGCTCGTCCGCCTCTTCCAAAGGTGCAGGGTTCTCTGCGCTCGGGAAAGGGAGACCATCGGAGGACAAGTCTGGAGACGCGCCTGCTTCAAATGCTTCGTCATTCTCCTTCGCGTCCACCACGTCCGCCAACCCCTTCGGAAAGCCTGCCGACAAGGGAGACACGGACAAGGAAGAGAACAAGAGCGCTTTCGCATCATCAATCAGCGGTAGCTCTTCCTCGGGCGGCCTGTTCGGTGGCCCGACCCCCTCAAGCTCTGGCTCAACCCTCTTCGGTGGGTCATCCGCACCGACCGCATTTTCTACCCCGACTTCCTTTACCACCCCGGAGAAGCCGACATCCTCCGGCTTCTCGTTCGGTGCAACGTCACCCAACTTCACCGTCGGTGCGTCGTCGTCGCCGTCGAAAGGCTCGAGCTTCGGTGCTTTCGGCAAGTCTGCTGCGCTGGGCAGCATAGGCAACCCCGTTGGTTTTGGCTTCGGCAGCCCGCCGAAGGAGTCTGAGGACAGCGCGTCGTCTTCGAGTTCTATCGCTCCCAAGCCATTTGTGTTCGGCCCGCCGAAAGACAAGTCCGCTGAGGAGAGCAAGGCAGATGGTGCGGCTGGAAGCGAGAGCAAGGACCAGGGAGCAGCTGGGGACGAGCCGCCACCTACGCTCATCACAGGCTCCATCCATGACAAGGAAGGGGAAGGTGAGGAGGACGAGACGACGACGCATGAGATCAAGAGCAAGGTTTATAAGATGGTGAAGGACGAGGATGGGTTGAACAGATGGGCCGACCAGGGTGTCGGTGGGTGTCACCGATTACGGCAGGTCGTCTCAGTCTAACGGAATATATTACAGGCATGCTACGGCTGAAGAAGCACAAGGAGACTGACGCGCGACGCATGCTGCTGAGGAATAGCAGCACAGGGAAGGTCGTCGTTGTGAGTATTAGTGTCTCCTGATACCAGTGTGTCACTCACACTGTTGCCCTAGAACTTCCGTATCTACTCTGGCATGAATGCAAAAGCGGACAAGAACGTCGTCTCTTTCGTCGGCCACGAGAGCGGCGCACAAGCCACCTACAGGATACGAACAAAAACGGAAGAACAAGCAAATGACCTCAAGTCCGCGCTCGACCGCGAGATCGAGTTCGTTCGCGCAAAATCCCCATCATTATGAACGCGACCCTGCTTGCATCACTGTGATTCGTGTTGATTCTACCGTACTGTATGTAGTACACCGTGATATGCACATGCACCGCAACATGGACCTCCCTCATAGTCAGTATGGATTGTGCGTATACTAATAAATATCATGCTCTGCCTCCTGCCAACAGCGTACAGCCTCCTTTGATTGGTATCCAGAACAGCGGAAAGTGATACGTTTGTATCAGTCCGAGAGAACGCGGGAAAGCGATCACTTGTTTTTACCGAAGTGACTTTGTGCGTTGTGCCATGTCGAATAATGCACGAATGCTTCGCTGAGGAGCATCTCAATTTCGTGATCGCCCCAACCCTGCGTCGGGAGAGACTGGAGGAACATAATGATACCCTACGTGGTTGCGACAGTTAGCAACACCACACGACTGGAGGTGTACAGAGCTGTACCTGGAAGTCCATCTCGCGCAGCTTCTTGCTCCATCTTACGAGGAACGCCGAGCAGACGTAAAGATGGAACTGGGAGAAGGCATCCGCGCCCTCAGCCTACGCAGCATTCACGAATCAGCCTGAGCCAACTAGCTGCTGTCGTGACAACATACCAGATAAGTATCCCACATGCGGATAGTATTCTGCACGCTTATCTCGCGCATAAGCAGACAGTTCATCCATCGAAACGCGAATTGCATGAACTCGACATTCTCAGAGTCTAGATGAGCTGCCAGGGGCGCTGTCAGGGGCAATCATGTTCGCATCTCCGGGATTAGACGAAGTAATGGCATACCGTCTATGCGTGCAACTAACTCTGCCATGCGCTTGACACTCCTGTGGATACCAGGTTGTGTCGCGATATAATTGTCCTGGATCCGTCCAATAGTCGAGACAGACACCAGAACGTATCCGCCTCGATGGCGTTCAGCACACCTGCTGGTAGCACAGAGGGGTCGAACTCTTCTGGGTCCGAGTCTAGTGTTGCGGTGTCGATCAGACAATGAAGGCATGTCCAAGGTCGCCTCCTTACCGATGTAAGCCGACAAGAATATCTGGAAGAATGGCGTCGCGAGGTCGTTGATACCCTGTACATATCCACTCGCAGGATGTCGGATTGCCCAGACGTACAGGATCCGTTCAAGCTCTACAGAAGATATAGTAGATAATCGAATGGGAATTAAACCTGGACTCACTCGTTGAGTAGCTGCTTGCATCCATAACTGTACACCAGGTCTTGTTCGCGGGACATCGATCTCGATTGGTGCCATATCTGCTGGTCGAGGCTCTCTCGACCACGAGAGAAGGCAAGCTCAACGAGATTGAGGTACTCTTGACGCTTCCTGGCGAGAGTAGATATTCGCAAAGGTGCCGGAAGGGGGAATAACCCTGCGAGGATATTCAATCCAATAGAACAGCGTCACGTTGTTCAGACTCACGAGTAGTAGTGGCCATACTAAGGGCCGCAAGTCACTTGGTACACCGTTCCATGCCAGTTTGCGCAAAGTAGCCATATTCACGTCTTCCGCTGATACACAGTCGATGAACTTCTGCCGCCTATTGGACCGTATCGACCGCTCTCGATCTAGCTTTCCGAACGCAGACTCGGGTCAATCGAGTTCGTGCGGGAAGGCGATGGTCGTTTCTTGGGTGGTGGATGCGTCGGAGGATATGCAGTGGATCTGGCCGTAAGTGAGACTCTGCGCAAAGATAGAAATCGTGGTGTTGTACCGTTCACGATCTCCTCTACATCCTCTCTCACGAAGCCATAATCGTGTCTAGGTCGTGAGTGCGTGACAGCGGCTGGGTCTGCAAGTTCGGGCTCGAGCTCCCCCACAATCATCTCTCCTTCGACGTCCTCGTACACTACTCCGTCCTTCGCCTTGTCCGAAGGACGTCTGTCCAGACTTGACCGGTGATCGGTGCTCTTCCTGACAATCGTCCATCCATTCTGTGGTGCTTGGACCTCCTGCTTCGACGTGTAAGAGCCGGGATGCGAGACATGGGTATACGAAATGCGAGAGTAGAAGAGGAGCTGTTCAGGTTGGGTCTTGGAACGGGTTTCGGAGCGGTACTGCTGCTAGTGGACGCCTGCTTGCTGAAACTGGAGGAACGGTTCCAGCTGGGATTGCTCGGCGACTCCGAGTCAGAGCCGCTGTCCCAAGCATCATCCTCGGCCCAGTCTGGGATGACATACGAAGACAACCTGTGCGACGGGTTCAAGCCAATATGAGGACGAGCGGGAGGAGGTCGCGCAGCCATCGGTCGGTACAATGAGAGGATCTAACAGCGAGGCGCTGGCTGCCTTGATCGACCCGGTGGCTCGACGCAGACTCAATCGAGATCAGATCCAGTCGCAGCAAATGCAGTCTCGCAAGGCAGAGTCGCAGACAAGAAGCTCAACAGCTCCCTAATATTCGACAACAGACAACAGCTATGGGTTGCGCACGAACGGCTGGCAACAACACGACATACAGCTCGCATACAGTAAGCACTAAATCAGAAGCATATGATACACGACAAGAGCGCGACCGAGTAGGACTCGGATGGCAGCTCTCGAAGCTTCACTGTGCAGCTTATAGAAGTCTTCCTCCGACCAACCGTAGTACCTCCTCAGCTTCTTGCCGAACTCTTTCAGCATAACTGGATACAAAGTCGGGTCAGGATGCGCTGTTCAAACGTTGTCAGCTGCCACACCAAAGGTGAAGAGTATACTGGCGCACGTCTGTGGAATGTAATAGGCTGTGCAGACACCATTAGCTCTGGGCTGTCAACGAACGCAAAGGCCAACACTCACCGCGTCGCGAGGGTCAGGGGGTCAAATCTGACACTTGAGCCTGCTGTACTGGGGTCATATGTGAACCCCATCTCTCGCATGACCTACCGCATCTTCAATGCGCGAACCGTCAGATTAATACATCTGACATACCTTCAGGAAGTGCTCCCACTTCATGGGCGCGAGACCCTTCTTCTCATCCTCCGACGTGTTGAGTAACTGATGCATGTATGTCGCCGTCTTCTTGGAGAGTTTGGAGAAGAAACTGAACTTGTTGCCTTTCTTATCCGTCTCCGCCTCTTGTCCTTTGTCCTTTCTGCCAAATCGGCTCCAATAGCCTTTCTTCTTCTCCGGAATAGGTGCGAGGTTCCCGTGGTCGGCACGTGTTTGATCTTCTCTTTACCGCCGCTGAGACCCTCTGCCTTCAAATACTTGTGCGCAGACTGCGCCGTCTCACTCCTACCCAAAGGAATCGAGGTAGTCGATACTCCGGGCAGCGTCGTCGTAGAGCTGCTGAACGACGGAGCCTTCACAGGCGCAGGCTTCTGGGTAGCAGGTTTCTTCTTAGCCTTCGAGGGAGAAGTCGGAGATGCAGGAGTGCCGTTAGCGTTGGAGGACGGTGTCGGGCTAGCTGGAGCGGCTGGGGCAGCTGGTGTCTCGGTCGCCAGAGAGAGCTTCTCGATGTCCGGTGTCCCAGGCGCAGCCCCTTCCTCAGCAACGGGCTTCTTCTTTTTCTTCTTGGGCTTTTTCTTCTTTTTCTTCTTATCCGTGGCCGCGATGTCCTCCTCGTCTTCAACTTCCTCCATAGTCGTCTTAGTGCTCTTGGGCGCTGTGATCCACATGTCAGCATCCCTGTGACGCAGAGGTTGAAGCTGGACGGACTAACCGTTACTCGGCGTCGAGGTCGGCTTGGGCACCGTCATCTTGGGAGGTTGTCTCGGAGCACCAGCTGGTCGCCCTGTGAAAGGTTGCCTAGGCTGGGTACGAGTAGCCGTCTTCATAGTCGGGCTCGACGAGAACATACGGCCTTGTCACCGGCCGGTCAACGGGGTAGCCAAACTAGGCAGCAACTAAGATTCATACCTCTCAAGGAGCCCAGGAGCTTGATGAATGGGTTGCTCTTCCTTTCCTCCGCAAGGGCGTCGAACTCGGGGGCCGCATTCTTGCTGTCAAAGAAGTCTGGGGTCGCCATCGCCGTGTCCATGGCCTCCCGCAACATATCTCGCATCATGTCCTCCTCGTCGGTGTCATACGCGCTGTCGTCTGACTCGTCATCGTAGTCATCGTCGTCGTAGTCGCTGTAGTCCGAGTCGCTCCCTTCGTCCTCAGACGAGTCTGAGACCGTCTGGAGCGACGGCATGGAGCCATCGCTGTCGCTGTCGTCACCCATAGTAATGGCGAGGGGCGCAGCCTTCTTCTTCTTGCCCCCCTGCCTCTTGACGAGATTGTGTTTCGGCATGTCGTCGTCCGAATCGTACGCATTCTTGCCCTTGGGCGCCTTCACGGCGTGCCACTGAGGGGTGAACTGCCCAATTTCGTCGATTCGCCATAGGGACTCCGTGTTCTTCCCGCATACCGCGATATAGTTCTGGACAGAGGCGGGGTGGGCGTCTACATGAGGAGCAAAATCGGCGAGCGTATCTCATACATACCTCGTTCACAACGCTCCAAAGCTTGTCCAGATTGGCCTTCTGGCGCGTCTTGGTAAGCGGATAGATAACGTCTCTGAAGTTGGCGTAGTATTGGGAAGCTTGTTCCGAGAAGATCTGCGCGTCGACCCAGTGCTCGTACTCTTCGGGCATTTGGCGGGGCTCCTTCTTCCATTGCTCGCCTTCGGGCCCAAGCAGAGGGCTTTCAATGAGCGCTTGGAGTTTCACAAGCACCTAGAATCCAAGACCACAGTACCAGCGAGTGAGATTTGCGTGCGACTTCCCGGTGGAAAACCAGACACAAGATCCGAAAACCCACCGAGAGATCTCCCATGGCGTCCCAAACTGCTTGAGGGAATTTCTTGGCCTCCCTCGGCGATTCAATGATGGCTTCATGTAGGATCTGCAGTAGAATTTGGCGTGGAATCGGTGATTGCGGAAGACAGAGCTCGACGATGATCGAGTCAATGAAAGACTTGTGGACCGATTTGAGGTAACTCCAGTCGAAGATGAACGCCTCAGATTCATCTGAGAGTCCGCCCTCTGCCTTCTTGAAGTATTGCGAGTAATGGCTAATCACGCTGTTAGCATCGTAGTTCTATGCTCTCAGTTGATACCTACGGGCCGTGGTAGCAAGCACGCAATTTGTCCTGTCCCGCCTGCGCAACGATATTCACGATGTCATACAAGACAAGATAGCGAGTGCGTAACTCGGGATCCTTCTGAAGTTTCGTCTTCACCGATTTGTCTTCAACCCCAGCATCGGCAAGGTCACGGAGGATGTCCCCTATGAGACTCCAGGCAGATGCCATCATGTAGGCGTTGTGATTCTGGCCAAGCCGCATCGCGGCATCCGTTGCTTAAGCGGTTTCGAAAATGCTAAGGAAGTTATGTTACCTGGCCGCAACAAGGGAGGCAATATGATCAGGGTTCCGTAGAAGCTCTGACTGGTGCTTGTCATTGCCTGGGGAGGCGCGGGCGCGAACCTCGGCTAGAATCTTGTTCTGGAAGAGCTCAGTGTCGCGTAAGTCACTGGTCTCGTCAAGGTTGGCTGCGCAATATCGTTAGGGACGGTGGAAGCTACAGTATCAGTGGCACGGACCTGCCAATTCCGAGTCTGCGATCTTCAGCATTCCTCGAGCCTAAAGGAGCAGCGACGGCCTTCTTTGACCGTTCAATCAAATCCTCTTGTTCGGGCTGCTGTCAACGCTGGAAGAGTATCTGGATGTTTCTGTACTAACCGGCGAGCAGATCCAACTTCTCTCGTCCACTCATCTTGCCCATGAGCACAATCTCTCCCGTTCCCTGGGACCATACTTGCCGTTCCGCAGGACGAGGGCGCGTGCGTCAGGGGTTTGTTCCCGTTTTCATCGCGTCGCACCGCGTTCTTCGAGAACACCTCCTTGGGTCCAGTCGGCACAAGAGCAGTCGAGGTGTTGGCCGGCGGTTTTGCGGGCGTCTTGGACTTAGACGGGGGCATCTTCGCGCACACGAGCGCAGCGAGGACGTTTCGCTAAGTCGCTGCAGGACAGAAGGGCGAGCACCCAGGTGGTGGTTCTATGAGGACGGGAAAGGAAAGCCAGGGACAATATGGGAAGATCGCGATCACGTGGGTGCAGTATCTAGATCTGGAGATTGCGCAGTCTGCACCCGGTTTGCACGGCGAGTTGGCGACCCTCAGGCTTGCTTGCTGTGTAGCGCGTACTTGGGCAGAACGATGCGACGCTCCTCCCTTCGTCAATTCATTGCACCGAATGCGTCAAGTTTTGTCTACTGCCGCTGCATCCAGGCGGTGAGTGAGGCGTAGTGAACCAAGTCCTCAGCTTTGCCATCATATAACCCGTATGACATGAACGCCAGTGTGGCGATGCCGGGGCGGTGTTCCTATATAAGGTCGGAGACCGGTCCTGCGCTCCTCCTGGTCGCCCTCTCGGCCAGTGACGACTAGACTTTCATTTTCTCCTTCTCAGGGCCGAGCCCTCTTTTTCTTCGGTTTACTCCTTCGGTCGGTCTTGATGGCTGCTTTTAACGTTTCGCGTAAGTCTGTCCGCCAGGAGTCGACATGCCCGAGCACAGCTGACCTTGAGCAGTTGACGATTCTTCGCCCCTTATAACTTATTTGCCTGCTACTGCGTGGACGGACACACCTGCTAATGACACGACCGCTTCGCTCTACTCCGACTCTCGCTGCATACCACTTCCACCAAGGGCGCCTCTGCTTCTTCGCGTTCAACGGCACCGGTGTCTGGCTCTACGGTGGTCTCAGGTCGAACTATGGTTCCTATCAGGTCTCCATAGATGGAATGCAGTGGCAGAGGGAAGCGCGAAGTCAACACAAACACAGTTGAAGCATGTCTTGTGCGGGATTTCGGGTCTGCAGATGGGAAAGCACATGGTCACTCTGACGAACGAGGGGGGAGGGCCGTCGACATTGACAGCGTTGTCTTTCAAACGGTGGCTGGTACCGCTCGGTGCGTCTTCTCGAGTTTCATGTCGGCAGCTCGGACAGATGCACAGCCGTTGTGGCTAGCCATCACATCAGTGCGAATGGTTCTGCATCCTTGCTGTTTCATAGACGCACCGGGGCAGCTGCAAAGCGTTGTTGGATGGGTAGGCATAATAAGCAGCTCTGACGATACTGTGGATCACAGGCTTCCGAGTAGATTCTGATCGTCCTCTAGAGGCTCCGTTACAACCACCAAGATCGACGACGCCAGTTCTAATGTCAAGTACGGGCCCAAGTCCACCGATTGGAGCCTGACGAATGGAACCAGCTACTACGACAAGACCTTGCAGTGAGTCCACTGCTTCTGCTAGCCGGTTCCGTGATCAAACTCGCATTCAGCTATTCCACCACGAATGGAGCGTACGCATCGCTGTCGTTCACCGGAAACGCTGTGGCTATCTATGGCACTGTCGACCCGCAGCATGCCAATTATACTGTCACTTTGGACGGTGCGAAGTCGCAGCAATTCAAGGCCAGCAACGCTCGTATATTCCACACTCAGGTTCGTGGTCATCCGTAGCGTCCGTTCCTCTGCTGACCATGTTTCCTTGGCAGACACTCTTGGTAGGCTCGCCGGTGACTTTTCGATGACATCTCTCTGACTATGATGCAGTACTTCGCCCAGGGGCTCGAGTCGAAGCAACACACCATCACGCTGACTGGGAGCGTAGGGACCAACGCCGACCAGTACTTCGACCTTGACTCCTTCGCTGTGTACAGCGCCACCCCAAACGCCACCTCCACCACTAGCTCTAGTGGTGCCCCTTCCTCCACGGCTACCATGAACTCTACGAACAACAGCGCTTCAAACAATGGGTATGAATTCTTGTCCTGATTGAGAGCGCGAGATCTGATCGGCATTACAGGACGGTTAGCGCGAATACGTCGAACGGCTCCTCCCTGTCTCAAGGCTCTCTCATTGGCATCATCGTTGGCACCATTGCCGCTCTCCTGCTCCTGCTCCTTGCTCTGTTCTTCTATCTGCGTCGCGACGTGCCCGCGCAAGGGGCGGCCCGCGCTCTGCCAAGCCCAGCACCCCGTCCCCTGGCATCCCGATCCAGAACCCCCGGACCTCGAAGCAGCATACGACTATGCCCTCCGTGAGAAGGAGCTCTCCCCAGAGGACTTGCGACCATCCATTGACATGCTTGGTCGGCCAACGGAGGACTACTACGGGCCGAAGACCGTCACGGCGAAACTGGTAGCGTTCCCTCTCCGGCTGGCGTCGCACGACTCGGATAGGACGCTGCGCGACGAGAAGCAGCCGCCATCGCGGAAGGCGAGCAGGCCCGACGAGGTGCCGATGCTGGTCGTGCACAACCCTCCGCCCGAGAGCGGTCACGCACGCATTCCGTCGGACACGTCGACAGTCGTTAATGACGAGGTGGACGCGGGACTTTCCGAGATCATCCTCAGTCCGTCGAAATCACAACGGAGGCCGCCGGCGTCGCCAAGGGTAAGTGAACTTACTGCAATGTCAACGCGAGGCGATACTGACTGCGACTGGCGCTGTCTTATCTAGAGTGCTCGTCCAAGACCCAACCGGGAGGAGCTAAGGGCGACCCAGTACAGTGCTCTCTCATACTACTATCACGATTCGTAACATGGCAACTGTCCATTTGCTGTGCGCGTTTTGTTGTTGCTATCTGTCCAACTCTAAACTGTCTTTGTGCGGCTCCTTAGGCTCTTGACATACCCACCATTAGTGGGACGGGATGCTCTCTGAGAGGCATGCTCTGTTGTTCGTCGTCCAGCGCTCCTGATGGACGTAGTTGACTGCAGCACCACACGGTGTATGGGCTTTCCCAGTGGTCGCGGACAAGTACATGCCACAGACAGCGGTGGACAGTGCCTTGCGCCTTGCTCCCAGTGCCTATTTTTGTGCTGACATGCTCTCCAGTTAGCATCCACATGGATCGAGGGCGTTCCCTGAGGCCGTGACTGCGCACATCAACATACAAGGAGTTCGCCGGCGACTCGAGACCAGGCTCGAGGCTGAGGAAGTCGCTACACGATAAGTATAATGACGCGGTCAAGGACAATCGTTGCCATTTGCCAAGTTATGGTCTTGCAAGCTGTGGTAAAATGTATACTAGTATCACTGTCTTGTTACTGTCGTCAACAGTAGACTGTTGGCGTAATTGACAGCCTGGCACAGATTGTATTGATTGAGCCAGATTGGGCCTTGATTGAACTATTATTGGCGTGGAAGATGCCGGTCCGAGGGCGTGCTGTCGCCAAGCGACGGTAACAGCGTCACAGGCGCGCGTGTCACGATCTATAATGCGGCGAGCGACGCGCGCTAAGCCCACAGCTTTGTACAATTCCCTTCCTCCCCCTTCATCACCTTCTTCTCGTTGGTCGAGCTGAGCTCGCTGGAACCGTCGGTTCTTGCCTTGTCTTTCCGCTCACCCGAAGCAAGCCTTCCTTCTGCTCTTTGTTGAGACAGCCTTTTCCTACGCGGCAGGACAGTGCTCTCCGTCCTCTGGTTCCCGCTCTTCCAAGTCCTCCATTTCCAACTCAATCGCAATGGGCAACCTCATTTGGCACGAGTGGGCGCGTTACGTGTCCATCACCGCAAGTGTTTGTGAGTCGTCCCGCTCGGAACGCGCCCTATGAAGCTTCAACGGTCCCTTGTACAGACTCCATATGGGCGGCCTTTTATGGCATCTTCTACCGCAAGTTCTTCTGGGACTTTATAGGTGGAACATTGCGCGCACCTGGAGGTCTCCAGTAAGTCCCCTCCTACTTGCATTTGCAATCAGTTGGCCGACGCCTTTCACCAGACCATCCCCCGGAATCGCCATCTTCATCGACATCATTGTCAAGGCTCCCGTCATTCAGCTGGTCGCCCTGTTCATGGGAATGGGGATGGTTGCCCTGGAATTCCCGGCTCCGTTCCTGAAAGGGTCCTCGCTACAGCGGAACCTGACAATCAAGGTCGTGATGCTCATCATGCAGGCCGCCAATGCCATAATGTTCTATCAGGTACGTCTGAGAATAGTCAGTTGCATATGTATCACACACTAACCCGTATACCCACTTAGGGCACAAACGGAGCAATATATTCCTTGGTAGCCGCGATAGGCTACACACGAGCTATCATGCTTGGGGAAGTAATGGAAGAAGCGAAGAATAACAGAGGAAGAGGCGGAAAGGCCTAGCACGATGCTTCTCGGACGACAGACATCCCGTCAGGCAGGCTGGTTTTCACTTGCTTCAGATCACATTCTTTTTTCAAACCCCTCTCTTGTCGTTCCTTTTCGGTCTGTACACCCGACATGCACAGCTGGTCCCGGTTCTTTGGCTGGATTTTTGTCACCCTTCCTCTGAGCTCGGTTCACGACGAGCGGTTCTTGCCGCCGTCATTCACTTTGACAGACTTTGCTTCTTTGCCCGCACTGCTGTATCCGCTACCCACGCTTGTACTCTAGTTGTAGAATGTCGACCTCCTGGTTGAGCATGAGCATCATGTGCAGGCAATGGGAGCAGCTGCGTTGCTCGTGAATGTGGGAACATCATCGTGAAAGTTCCGTCACTGTACCTCTGATCGCCTTGAACGGCGCACTGGCTCCAAGCCTCGGTCCTGCGATGCCGCTGATCAACGGCTCGACCTGGGTCTGCGTTGCGGATGCTTTCTTCACTACGTATTTGTCCCTCACCCAGAACGCGATTCATTTCACAAGCCTCGAGCAATCGATCTCTTCGGCATTTCTGTTGGCTGTTCGTCCAGTGACCGGCGCTGGATTGGACACACCGCTCTATACACAGAGTCTAGGGTTTAAGCGCGACCAACAGCGGCGAAAGTCGCGAGACTGTGCTCGTTCTCAACGTGCCTCAGCTATGTCGATGACACCCGCAGAGATCATCGCGAAGATTCCGGAGAGTTTTGACAAAGCCCAAGAGGCGGGCGACTTGCTGTTCTTTCCATCCACGATTCACAAGCACAGTGAGTTCGACGTCGACGTACGATACTACTGCCCTGTTGTCTTCTTCCACTGACCTATGTTTGTCGTGCATGCACCATAGTTTGAGATCAGGCTATGTCCTGCTCTGCAGCAGAAGCCCAACCTGCCGACGCCTCACTTCAATAGCGCGCCTCAACTCTCCTCAGGGAAACCTGATCCTTTCGCACCTCCGTACATACTAAATCTATGTCTGGGAGAGATCAAGGACGAAGAAGAGGGTACGGAGTATGTCATCTTGGTTCGTACGGCACACTACGGAGGTGGCGAGGAGGGTTGATGACGTGTTGGCAGTTCAACAAGTACTCGGTAGTCCGGCACCATATACTGTTGATCACGAAAGGTGTGTTGCGTCCTAGCAAGATAGATCCCGGCGTGGTTAATCCTATGAGTTGACGCTTTCGTACAGAATACCAGTCGCAGACTTCGCCTCTGCTCCCGCCTGATCTTGTGCAAACCTATCTGCTACTGCTGGCCGCCCAGAGAACCGGCCGACGGTACTTCGCCTTCTACAATTGTGAGGGCGGTCTATCTTCATGTACACCAGCTGATCATGCTGACTCTTGATAGGTGGGGAGCTGAGCGGCGCAAGTCAGCCACACAAGCATCTCCAACTGATTCCTGTGGACGATGATGGTCCTCCGATAGAGAGACTGGCGCGGAAAACGAAGATAGACTACCCAGGCGAGCCATATCCCTTTCCGAGATGTGCCTTGTATTGAGGCACGTACTTACGTTCCTGCAGACCGGGCCTTCGCTCTGAGCTCACTGCCGTACGCGAACCACGTCCGAAGACTGCCTACGAGCCTATCCTCGACGTCATATGACGACCTTGACCGAGAGCTCTCAAATGCCTTCCTCTCCTTGTTGGATTTGGTCGTGTCAACAGTGCGGCACGATCCAGACTACCCGTCGGGAACGCCTTCCTACAACGTCATACTCACACTGGAGCACATGCACCTCATCCCGAGGAAGAAGGAGAACCACATCTTGGAGGAGACAGGCGAACAGCTGAGCGTAAACTCACTCGGGTATGCTGGACTGTTGCTCGTCAAGAGCGAGCGGGAATTGGAGGTGGTGAAGCGCGAGAGCATCGGTCGGATATTGAGGGACGTCGGCTTGCAGAGCGTGCATGACCTTCTAGTGGACGAACATTCTCGTGACATAGTTGGAGAAGGATTGTCGGTACAGTAGTATAGCATAGCAATCTCAAGGTGGGTTTTCTTCGAGTCCCTCGTTCCATGTCGCTGACGGAACCTGTAGTAACTTTCATGATGAATTAGGTTCCCCCCCATAGAGATCCGAACGATAGCATCTGGTATGGCAGTGCAGCGATGTGGATACGACTCCTTAACTTGTCTGTGTCTCCACTTCTCCGGATGCGGAGGCTGCTACTGGAACTCCACCACGCAAGAGCCTGGAAAGGTGCTAGTATGCTAGTGGCCATTCCTCTGTGAAGACTTCTATCTAACAGGGCTTTCGCAGGATCGTCGCTCAGTGCCCCCCGAGCTAATCATACGTGATCCAAGGCAGTTGCGTAGCATCTAAGGGAGCTCTACGGCTCCAATCGCTCTCACGATACAGTCCAGTCCTCCATTGCAGTAAGGGGGCGTGGCTAGTGGAGTCGTCATGAATGAGCTCAGAGCCAATAAAGGAACCTAAGTGTCTTCCTCTGAGAAGGATTCCCCATACATCGTCCCTATTTGACCCCACTGATAGTGTTAGCGCGTTGCCTCCACGCGCTACACTAGGGGCCCACTAGGTCCGTTTAAATATATAGTTGTCCATGGAAGTTCCTTGGCTCAGCCAAGCAAGGGGTTGAGTCTGAGCCCTAGTCTCCTAACTTCGCAATACACATAAGCTTCGTACATGTGTGATGTGAAGTGGTCAGAGTTCTGGGGCTGTATCAAGTTGGGAAAGTCTCTCGGGATTGAGTATGACCCCGCTCGAACAGGCTCGAACCTGGTTCGGCACAGAGGCATCCATTGACAGCACCATGGACCAATACCGCCAACGGGCGTCTATCTTTCCATTTACGTAAGCGCCGAAGAGGAACAGACTCAAGTCCGAGTCGGTGCGCCGGAGCGACTGCGCTAGTTCTCCTCTCCCCGCCATCATGTCCTCGTCGTCCACGACCGCGTGCTCGCGGTCCTCCTCGCCTTCGCCGGCGACACCAGAATCAATAGACGTCCCTGAACAAGCTTACAGCTCCGAGGACCTCTCTGCTTGGTGTCATTCGCTCGTGACGTCCGGCTACGTGAAAGGGGACGCGCAGAGACCAGTCGATGAAGGTCATGCGAATGCCGGCCACATGCTGAGGCTGGAGGATCTGCTGCAGGATGGCCTCTATCAAGAGTATGTTCTCTCCATCTATTGCACACCCTGGCGACGTTATACCCATTCTTTTCATCGTAGGGCGAAACCAGTCGCGTCTGACCAGACCTTCTCACTTGATCCTCTTGCTCTATCAAAGCTCGCACTCCCTCAGGATTATCAACACTCCACTCCCTCAGCATTGTCTCAGGTTGCGGGCCCTGTAAAGCCCGTACCTCCACCACCATCACAGCCCCGCCCGGACCACGCCTTGATGGCGCAACGTGTAGTTTATCCACCGAAAGAGGCATGCCAGAAGTGAGTTCACCTCCGCAATCATGAAGCGCGTTCCTGATACCTGTGGCCAGTTTGCCCATAATCATTCCTAACATTCCGGAGGGCGGGACGAAGTCTAGAGTTGAGACCCAAGTCCGTTTAACGGTTGACCTTGCACACGCAAGCGCATCGTCCGGCGAACCGCTCAAATATGATAGAGTGGGAACATGGAAGTGGGTTAGGCTGCCGAGGGGGACGTCAACCAAGAGAAGGACGCGAAAGGAGGGCAAAATAGGTGCGTATCAGCTATCGCGGTTGGGGGTTGGGGTTGACCTGGCGCCTGTACGTAGATGCCTCGCCAGAAGATACGCTATACCTCACAGCCGAGGTTACGTGCGCCACGGCTCCTCATACCCGCGTTACGTGTTGTACGAGTTGTCAAGCGAGAGAGGTGCGTCATCATGGTTCACAGCTGCTTGTGTACTCACTTCGCTCGTAGGCCAAACGAGTGGCCAGGAAGATTGCGGCTCGAGTGAGACCTTCCCGCTCTGATGCTGAATCGCAAGACGAAGCTCCTGTCATACCTGGGAGAGGTGTGCATGAAGATGCGTCAAACATCGTCCAATTCAACTGCCCAGAGGTCCTCGATTTCTCGAGTGGCTCCGTTATTCTTCCTCTGCGGATCACTTGCTATTGTCGACACCACCGAGAGAAGACAGGGTTCAATGTCCACCTCGCTATGCTTGATCGCTACGGCCGAGTTGTTGGTACAGGCATGACTAGGCCTATTATGATCACCGACGACCACAAGACGACGGGTGCGCAGAAGGCCGCGCAAAACAACGACACGGCTCTAGGGGAGTCCTCCGATATGGGAGGCTCTGTGAAGCGCAAGAAAACGACACCGTCTGAGCGAGTCAAGAAGCGCACAAAGCCCTACGACGTTGGGCAGAGTGCAGGGAGGACCGTGCGCAGAGGCAGTAGTGCCAGCGCAGATTCGCCCTTGTATGCAGCGTCGCCCGCGGCAACGCGCTCATCGTCTCCACTACAGAACTACGCGCATAGTCCGCTCTCTGCGTTCTCGCCGGTCGAGTCGCATGGCCCTCTGCAGTCTGTGTTCGACTTCAATCCTCCTACTCTGGAAGGCGCTCCTACATCCATGGATTCAGATGTCCCGATGGCACAAGATGTGCGCCCGGGGGCTGTCGCTACCATGCATCAGCTCGCCAGCTCGTTCCTGCCTCCTCCGCCTTCTGATTCCCAAATCACTGTGGATCCCACCCAACCCTCACCATGCCCCCACAGCCTGCTCCGTTCTTCATGTTCGCTCAAGACCCTCCGCCGCCCATGTCGAGCCTTCCTGTACCCAAGGTTCACCGGTTGATACCCGCCTCCGGGCCTACATTCGGTGGCATTGAAGTGACCGTGCTCGGTGCTAACTTCCACCCCTCGATGCAATTGAATCTGCTGTTCGGCGGTGCTCCGTCGACCTCTACGCAGCGGTGGAGCGATAATACGCTTGTGTGCTTGCTTCCCCCTAGAGCGGACCCGGGTATCGTTACGGTCTGGTTTGAGGGTGTGGACAAAGGCGACGATAGCATCCCTCCGTGCTTGTTCACTTACACAGACGAGACGGATAGAGCCTTGTGCGTTTTCCCACGTGTGCCATTCGCTTTGGATATGCTAATGGCGTCTTGCATCCAGAATGGAACTTGCGCTCCAGGTCGTCGGCCTGAAGATGACAGGCAAGATCGAGGATGCCAGAAATGTAGCGATGCGCATAGTTGGCAATACCAATACAGAAGGCGCGGACGGTGCCGCAGCTCCCATCGACAACGCCATGCAACTGGCTTCTGGCCTGGACATGACGCCCAACTTCCGGAGCCTCCTGCTCAGCCGCGCTGGGAACGACGGCAATTTCGAACGAGTGCTCTTGGACTTCCTCTCCATTTTGGATTACTCCGTCGACAAAGTCGCGTCCTCCCGTTCAACGGCCATATCCCACTCTACACCGAGTGGGCAGACCCTCCTCCACTTGGCGACTATGGCGAAGTTCCCGGCCCTGGTCAAGTTCTTGGTGTCCCATGGTATCGATGTCGATGCTCGTGACAAGAACGGTTGTACCGCGTTGCATTACGCCGGTATCGTCCGGTCCGCTGAATGTGCGCGGGCGCTACTCGGTGCTGGTGCAGATATGGAAGTCGTCGACGCCCTGGGCAAGACCCCCGCCGAGGTTGCTCCCATTGGGTTTTTCGACTTCGCGTTATCTGATGGCGACACGAGCCACCTTGCTGACAATGACGAGGAAGAGGCTGCTTGGGGAGACGGCGAAGAGGAATCCGACGAGGAAACGGAGATGAAGAGCAGAGCACGGCGCCGCGTTGGACGCAAGTCCGCGCTGCGAAGGCGCCGATCATCCCATGCGCTTCCTGAACAAGACCCGAACGCCACGGCTCATGCCGGGCCTCGTGCAAGCGAGTTGAAGAAGGCCACAGAGGCAGGCATGCCGGACGAGAAGCAGGTGGCTTCCTTCATGGAGACGCTGCTGCAGCGTGCGTTCGCTCAGTGGCAGCACCCTCAAGGCATGATCCCGAACATGCCTGCTGCACTACACAACCTCCCCATGCCTCACTTGCCGAACCTTCCTGGTATTCCGGCATGGAACGCGCTCCAGCAGGTTCCGGCCGTCTTCCCCGTCTTCATACCCATCCCCGCATTGGCTAACCTGTGGGGTGAGAGACGCACGGACAACGAACAGCAGCCGGCGCAAGACGCCAGCGACAAGCGGCGGCCGGTACACGAGGAGAATGGTGCTGTCGAGACCGCAGCGCATCTTCTGCCCTCGCAGGACTGGCGCAGTTTCTGGGAGAAGATGATGGCTCAAGCTGGCATGACTCTCAGACCGAACGACGAGTCCGTCGATGCTCCTCCGGCATATTCGCCTCGGGCTGTCAATGAGGAAACTCCGACCCAAATAACCAACCAGGAGCCCATAGGGTCGTCTTCTTCGGTCAAGCGCAGCGCAGCCCTGGCCAAAGCGTCTTCTCGACATGTGGAGCATCCGACGGCCGCAATACCAGAGCAGGAATTGGATGCGTACGTCTACAGGCCTGCGCATAAGCCTTCGAGAAAGCAAAAGAAGAAGCGTGAGTTCGTCCCTGTCACTTCAGACTGTTTTCGCTGATCTGCAGCCCTAGATGACCGGATGCTCATTCTATTTTGGATACCAATCTTGATGAGTACGTTATCACCCTCCTTCCTCGTTCACCATGTGTTGACGATTCGATTTAGTCGGGGTGATGTGGGCTTTCTTCCAGTTTATATGCATGGCGTTCCAAGCAACAAGAACCGTACTAGTGTTCAAAGCGGGTATAAAGGTGTAGAAAGGATACGACATGCTGGGTCAGACTCGGCTAGATGCTCTGGTATGTTTGTTTTGGATATAACTGTGCTGTTACACATGTTCTCTGCTATCTGGCTGCGCTGAATGCTCGCGCGCCGCTGTATGTAATGTAGATGCGTTCGGACTTTAATCAAGCAGGCCATGGTCTTTCACCGGTTCTTCGAAGTGCATGTGTCGTTGTGACGGTCACGACTCATGCACTCATGACCCTTAACGGTCGTATATATGTCTACCACTTGAAGCTTGAACTTCCCCACCCCAGTCGACAGTTGCTCTTGAACTACACCCTCTACCATGTCTGACGCCTTAGACTTCAGCGAATACAATCAGAAGTGCTCCTACTGCCTCAAGGAAGTCGGTAAGGACAACCTCAGGTCGTGCCGCTGCAGGTTAGTTGATCTTCATGTACTTGTCATGGGGCATCGATCTGATGACATTGGCATTCCCTTCGCATCGCAGATATGCTCGGTACTGCTCGCGTCAATGCCAGACAAACGCCTGGCCCACACACAAGGCAGCCTGTTCGACTGACAAGTCCCTTAAGTACAAGCTCGACCAGCCAGGCAACAAAGAGAGCAAGAAGCTTCACGACCACTTCACCAAGTGGCTAAACTACTATCGCGACACGATATGTACGCGCGCAATATCTGCATTCAATCTGCCAAACAGCCCGACAAACAAGCTCGCTACACATTGGTGAGCATCCATACGATGTTGGGATGGTTGCATCTGATTGGGCCTTAAAATGATACGTCCTTCGTAGCATGTATCTGGTCGTTGAGCAACAACCCGAGGCGAAAGATATTCCATTCTATTTCAGGGTAAGGACATTCCACGATCAGACACCCGTTGCCCGCCTTTGACTGTTTGTTGCACTTGCACAGATGGTCAGCGGTCAGGTGATCTCTCGCCGGAAGATGATCGACACTTTCAACAACTTGAAGAAGGGCATGACGGAGGAGGAGGTCGATTCCTGGGCACGCGACAATCGCGGCGAACACACCTTGCACGTCGTCATCCAGTTCGAGGACATGATCCGCTTCCTCTGGTTCTCCCTCCGGGACCTCTCGTCCTACAGGGTCATCGACTCGGCCAAAGCGAACAGGCGAGCGGGCATGTGGGCGAATGCCTTGGCCAGTGCGATCGACGATGGTCGGGCGGGTCCCGACCGGGACGACTAGTTATTCTACCATTGCTCGTATCCAAAGTCAATTTTGATCTCCTGGGACGTTCGGGTATTTGAATCGCACTTCGTTACCTCTGTAGTTCTTTGCTTGATCCACTGAGAGGGTAGTATCATCTTGTACGATATCTTGCTGTGAACGTTGTTCAACACGTGCCCAACCTCTTCGTTTGCCATATCACACTGGTCGCAAGTTGTAACAACACATCGCGCAGTCTATTGTACGATATAGGAAAGGAGGAAACGCGTCTGGATTCCACATTCGCGATCGAGTTTCCTCGAGCTCAGTCTGTTTTGGATACCATTGTTGATGAGTACGTTACTACTCTCCTTCGCTCGCTATGCGTTGACGATTCGATTTAGTCAGGATGTTATGGGCTTTCTTCCATTTGATATGCATGGCGTTTCAAGCTACCAAACTCGTACTAGTGTTCAAAGCGGGTATGAGGGTGTAAGTAGAAGGATACGATATGCTGGTCAGTTGAATCGTGACTCAGAGTCTCAGTTAGATGCTATGGTATGTTTGTTGGGTATCACTGTGCCGTTACACACATGTTCTCTGCTATTCCGGCTGCGCGGAATGCTCGCATCCCACTGTATGTAATGCAGATGCGTTCGGACTTTAAGCAGGCTGTGGTCCCGCGCCTTGACCGATTCCTGTACGCGGGCGCTCATGAGAGGCGCGTGTATGCGACGCGTGTTGACCTACCCTAAAGTACACGCGTCGTGCGTTGTGACGGTCGACCACAGTGGTCGCATATATGCCTACCTCTTGACTGCCCCCAGTCGACGGTCGCTCTTGTACTGCACCCTCTACCATGTCTGACGTCTTTAGCGACTATACTCAGAAATGTTCCTACTGCCTCAAGAAAGTCGGTAAGGCCAATCTCAAGTCGTGCAGTCGCTGCCGGTCAGTCCGATCCTCATGCATCATGGGACGCCGACCCGATGGTCATTGTCATTCCCTTCGCATCGCAGGTTTGTTAAGTACTGCTCGCGTCAATGCCAAAAAAGCGCCTGGCCCACACACAAGGCAGCCTGTTCGACTGGCGAGTCCCTTAAGCACAAGCTCGACCAGCCAGGCAACAGAGAGAGCAAGAAGCTTAACGACGACTTCACGAAGTGGCTTAATTACTACCGCAACCTGATTTGTACGGTCGCCAAGTCTGCATTCAATCTGGCGAACAGCCCGCCAAACAAACTCGCTACACATTGGTGAGCATCCGTACGATGTTGAGGCAACAGTCGCATCTGAACGGGCCTAAATATGATACATCCTCTGTAGCATGTATCTGGTCGTTGAGCGACAACCCGACGCGGGAGCTATTCCATTTTATTTCAGGGTAAGCACCTTTCACGATCGGACATCCGTTGCCCGCCTTTGACCGTCGGCTGCACTTGCGTAGATGGTCAGCGGTCAGATCATATCTCGCCAGGAGATGGTTGATACTTTCAATACGATGGACTTGACAGAGGAACAGGTTGATTCTGGGCACGCGACAATCGCGGCGATCACACAGTGCACATTGTCATCCAGTTCGAGGACATGCTCCGCTTCCTCTGGTTTTCCCTCGGGGACCTCACTCGCTATCAGCGCATCGATTCGGCCAAAGCGAATGGGCTAGCGAGCGAGTGGACGAATGTCTTGGTCGGTGCGGTCGACAATGGTTGGGCGGGTCCCGACCGGGACGACTAGTCGTCCTACTGTTGCTCATATTCGAAGTCAGTCTCCATGGACGGTTGGATATTCGAATCGCACTTCGCTACATCCGTACTTCTTTGTTCAACAGCTAACCTCTTGGATTCTCATATTATAACGCTATGTAGCTTGTAATAACACGTCGTGCATTCTATTGTACAACATAGGAAAAAATTCCTGGAAACACGTCCGAACTTCCACTCGCGATGGAGTTTCTTCGACTGCGAGCGGGAAGTCCGCGTACGGCGTCAGTGGATGCCAGGCGGCATCGGTGAGCATTCGACACTGTTTGTCAATCCCTCAGTCCCACGCATCGGCTGTTCAGGTCCTTCGCCAGTCCTTTGTCACCAAGACACTACGGCGCACGCATCTGTGGCATGTTAGCGTCGCTCGGAGCAGTGAAAGAGTTGAATTAAGGCGCATGTTGGTTTCACCCTCCGCATTTGAGCTTGGCCTTGCATGAGGGCTACTCATCCCGAGGACCAACGAAAAGGTCTGCGCCAGGACGGACGCACAAGCGTCCGCCCTCCCTCGGGACTTACCTTGTCGCACATGTGAGATACAGGCAGGGCTTGACGCTGATCTGGTGATGAGACGACATCTACATGTGGTATACAGCTGACCGTGTCGACACGTCTTGCGCCTATGCACATTTCGCGTGACTCGAGAAGTGACACCTCGAAAGAAAAATCAGCGACGAGAAACAAAGGCGAGTCACGCACATGTCTGTACATCGGGATTAAGCCGAAGACCAAATATCTGACAAGAAGAATAAGCCAGAAGGTGATCGAGAGGAGTGCTCACCAACGCAAAGATGCGGGTGAGTGACTTAACGAAGCTGGAACCTGCTGGAGCATGGTAGAACGTATTTAATATTCATCGAATGCCTAAGCTAGAGTGATTAGCCCCGGAGACGAATCATCACTGAGCTGACCGTAGTCGGAAAGGTTGAGTACGAAGAGGGACGACGCCCATCAGAGCTCACGTACGCCTAGGAAGAGGCCGTCAGCAAAGGCGAACAAACTATGAAACGTACGCCGCTCTATCAGCTTGAAGTGACGAAAGCGAGGCCTGTCGAGTCTAAGGGCAACCAATGTCAATGGAGATAAACATATACGTGAGCAAACGTAGCCACCAGTTTGGAGTCTTCACCCCGATCTCGACTTGACTGCTTGGTTCCAGCTACATACAATATATCTGTAGACATACCAGGTCAGCATCGGAGCAGGGTGAGCACGTACACGTATATCCCTGTCTGAAGTAGCCTATGTCAGTACGCACGCTTGTAAGTACGACAAGCCCACATACCATAGTCCGGTGCATCTGATGCGTGGCCGCGGCCAGGGATCTCCTTAATCTTGCCACCACACATGCTTCGCGGCTTGAACGTAGGCTAGAGCTTGCTGATCCTAGGAATAGTCACAGGAGAGCCTACGTCCAAAGCATGTCGCCGAAGACTTCACCAGCAAGGCCCACCAGAAACGGACAAAATGAAACAGTAGAACAAGATACTCAAATTACCCAGACGCATCAAGCAGAATAGACGAAACGAGAACCTAGATGGCGTATCACAGCAGCAGGGCCTAGAGCGAAAGTCGACGAGGAGTCAAGCATAGAACAGATACAACGCAACGAACCGCAAACGACAGAAGTTACACGCGACAAAGCACCCAATACACGCATATCCCAGAAGCAGTCGACCGAAGCATCGAACCCCGCAGCCAAGCCGACGTTGCCTGATAGCTAGAGCCAGCCAGGGACTTCCGGTCAAGCAGAGCATATCTTGCACGACTTGAAGGCAAGTTGAACACGAGACCGAATCGCGACGAGCATAGTGAGCGCAGCAATCAAAGAGACCCAGAGAGTACCACAAGATGCTGACTGTTGCCTCAAGACTGAAACCTAGTCAGCAGCCAGCACAGACAAAGATGCGAGAGCTAGAACCGGAGCGCGTCTTGACGTTCCTTGCGTTGACCTATCTTGACCTCGACCTTGACCTATCTTGACCTTGACCTTGACATTGATCGTCTTGACGGAGAACTTGCGTCTCGCCTCTTGCACGTTGACGATGACTTGACCCCAAAAGAGAAGAAACGAAAACAAGGACCAGAACACGAACGACCGACGGAGACACGACAGCGACACGACGAACACAACACAGCAAACAGCACAGGCGTCGAACACAGGAACAGACACGGGATGCACGTCACATAGAACGGAGGAAAAAACGCAGGCCCTCACTGAACTAGTCGCAGTACGGTGTCAGCGACGCGGCCACATTCGAGGACGAACTTACCTGTGGCGTCGGCTGTGACGTTCACTGGAAGGCCAACTTATTAGCGATACATCTTCGAAGGTAGATGGCAAGGAAGACTTACTCAAGTCAAGTGGATGGTGGTGGTCGAGAGGGCAGGGGGATGAGGGACGGTCTGCTACGCAGCCCGCCTCTTTATGCTGGTGGGGGACTCGGAGGCCAAGGCGGTCGCGGACTTCTGTGGCTGCCGCGTGTCAGGTGATCGCGAGTGGCAACCAATCAGCAACGCCGCCAGCTTCCCGATTTGGTATGGGCGTCTGCGCCACGGCCATAGGACCGTATCGGGCTCAACGAACAAAGCGCAGGCTGAGGACAATGGAAAGCGTTGTCAGCCGCACATGGTCCACACACGAGGATCAGAAACATACCAAATCTGGTACAAGAGAGCGGTGACCTCGCTGATAGGAAGGCTTCTGACAATACTGCGGACTCACTGCCTTCCTTCTGGAAGAGCTGAGGCTGACTCCGAGTAGGAGGGTGGCGGCGGAATACATTGAGGGGACACATTGAGGGGACACATTGCAAGGGGACAAGTCTGGTACCGTCTATTGTCGTAGAATATACATCAGTGCGTACAAGCGTACAGATCGTGAACATCTTCGTCGAACATTTCCCGCCGCCTCACCACGCTCGTCCAAGGTCGTCCGAACATTCATCGCATTCATCATTTCGTTATCGCAATCGTCTTGAGCTTCGTCAGTGGCGCCTCTGTTCCGCGAGCGGCGAGCGCAACATCTCCCACTAAGGGAACCAGCACTCCTCTACCTTCGGCCAGTGCGTATACACCACGCCCACCCGGCCCTCCACCGCTCTGAGCCGCGGCAGCCGATACATAATCGCATCGACCACATGATACCTCCTCCCGGAGTAGTCCGAGTTCCCCACATGGAACGTCGTGACGAGCCCGCCCGCCTCGCGCGCAAGCCGCGCGAGGTGCGCGTCGATCGCGTCCCAGTCGAGCACGCCCAGGTCGCCGCCCTTCACGAGCTCCATGCTGAAGTGGATCTGCGTCAGGTGGAGGGAGTGCAGGCGCGCGAGCGCGGCGGGCACCCATTCGTACGTCTTCAGCGGAACGGGGTCGGGGATGTAGAGCAGGCGCGGCTGCGAGCCGTCGATCTGGATGTGGGAGAGGTGCAGCGTGCGGAGGCGCGTGTTGCTGGAGAGGTCCACGGCTGGAGGGCTGATGTGTGAGTACGCACTTCCGGTGTATGTGGGATTGAGGACTGACCGTCTCTGAACGAGAACCAGCCGGGAAAGGCAAGCGAAAGGTGCTGGAGGGAGGGCCCACCGGCCCTGAACAGGCTGGGGACGTATTTCGCGTCTGAGCCTCCATCCCATACAAGCTCGAGGTTGCGCAGGGCCAGTCTGAACGGTCCCTTAACGAGCCAAGCCACCACTTGCGGCGGGGGGCTCTTTAGGGTGAGCTCGTCAAGCTCTACCTGGCGCAACGGCACAATAGCAGCCAGGTCCGGCGTGAAACTCGGTAATAACGACGATCGCCGCCAGCGCACGGCACACAGGGTGAGCCCGCGAAGCTCGGGGCACGCGCAGAGGACACGTAAGAGGTCCGTCCCGTCGAAGCGGACGTTCTCGATGCGGAGGTACTTGACGAGGCGGAAGTACGTGGGGAGCTTCTCCCGCGTACCCTCGTCCATCTCGAACATGCCCCCGCCGAAGTTGATCGTCAGGCTCTCGATCTCGTGCAGGCGGGGCAGGATCGCGGGGAGCGTCGCGCGCTCGAGGGCGGAGTCCAGCAACATGTGGAGCGAGCGCACGGAGAGCGCGACGTGCGGCGAGTCCTGGAGCAGTTGTGTGAAACGGCAGTACTCAGAGTAGCCGGGTGAGTGGGTGAGGCGAATGTTGTTGAAGACGAGGTGCCGGACGACAGGGAGGAAAGCGCGGCAGGTGAGGGCGCAGGTGGCGAGCGTGCGGTGGTCGTTCCAGAGGCAAGCGAGGACGGCCTCCCAGACATCGAGGGGAAGCTGTGGGACACCATGGTGGATGTCCGCAGGGAGAGGCGTGACTTTGGGCTGCAGAAACGTCAGGGTACGTTGGGGTTCCATGTCACTGTGGTGCTCACCATGCGCCAGCGGCCGCGCGGGCCATGTGCGACGCGGGCGACGATGCGTCTGAAGCTGCCGAGGACGCGAGAGAGGCGAGGGCGGCGCATAAATAAGACGTAAAAGGACGTTACGGACGTTAGCAGCGTTGGCACTTAATCCGGGATAGTCAGTTCCACTGCGCGAGGCATCCTGGGCAGGGCGAGCGCATCAGGCTATAAGACGCGACGTCAGTGCGCGAGCCGCCGTTACTCCGTGCTGTTGCGTGCCAACGGGAAAGGTGCTCGGACGCTCATGGGCGGCCGAGCAATGAGAGTGGCTGCGATCTGGGTGCTGTCGAGGGAGTGATGGTGGAGGGGGCCGGAGTGCAGAGCAGGGCGAGTAAGCATTCCTTGGTCTCAAGGACGCCTTCGATCCAGCCACCACCGTCACAGAGAACTCATAATGGCCTCGAGGACGGTCAGCGGAACGTAGAGAACATTGACACGGACTTTGTATGCGGACGGGGAGAGGCCTGTACATGTGTAAAATGAGAAGGTGTAGCGCTCGTACACATTCTCGGGTCTACCTGGTGTCGCACATCGCGATTTCCAATCGTTTGCGAGTTGTGCTGCTGCGTTCTGGTCCGAATAGATCGCCGGAGGAAGTCGAAGGGCCGGTAATCGCGTGAAGCATGCCCAGGAAGGCAGACCCTGGAGGCCGATACAGAAGACTCAAACTCAAGAGCTGCCTGTCTGTCCAATGCGGGAACAACGAAGGGCTTGCCACCTCACAGCGCTACTTTGCTGGAAAATCAGAGCGAGCACGAGCCAGCTTATGCAGCCCGACACGGTGTAACAGCGTTCACACGTCCTCGCTCTGCTCCCAGGAGCTCCTTCGCCGGACGACGATGCCAGTTCCAGATCTTGATCGCAGTGCAAAGCCTCAAGTCCTCATGCCATCCAAGCTCAAGTCCTCGAGTAACCAGACAAGAATAGTGGGATCCATCATCCCTTGGACATGACGCCGTCACAGCCACCGAGAGAGAAGCAGGAAGCTACGATCGTAGAGAGGATTTACTTAGAGAGGATGACAACGAGAGCGGGGCAGAGTCCGGGGTCCGCTCATGCGTAGGTTACACGGTCATGCAGGCGCGGGGAGCATCGATATCAGGATCAAGAGGGGGGCGAGATCTGAATCGGAGACGTCCTCCTCACGAAAGGGGGTGGGGGGTGGTGTACGGGGTCCGGTTTTCAGCCACCAGCGTGAAGTGCAGTCGCTTTCGTTGAATTTTGTCTCTAGCTACTACATTCTGCACATCTCACTCTAGAAAACATGCATGTGTACTGAGAAGTATGCTAAGTACACGTGTAGGGTCCGAAGTCGACATAAACAAGGAGATCCAGAGGAGGAATTGAATAGTACGAAATGCGCTAAGTCACACGTGAAGCATACGGTCATGTGAGCTACGCGTCGGGTAAGTACGTGTGTTACATGGCGCGTGTCTCACTTGCATCAGTGACGCAAATTGGGCCAAAATGATTTAAAAAGATTACCGGGGATCGAACTAGCAACCACGATACCTACGGCGTCACTGTGCCCACTCCGTCACTCTGGCATTACCACTTACTCAATATGCTTCCCTATGACAGTCAACGACGCCCCAGACATGACCTATGATTATGTGCCAACATGCACAGCGGGCGAAGGGTCAAATCATGGTTTGGCGAATACAATATGCTGTCACAGTGCCCAGAAGTTTTCTAGAAATCATTGAGGGATCCTCAGGGCACTTACAGCCTGCGGTCTCCAATGTCATATAACAGCACTTCGCTGGCGGCATTAGCAAAGGAGCTAGTCACCTGATATTGCCGAAGGAACTTCCTTTATAGGACTTGTACCTGGGCGCTCGTTATCGGGACCCCAACGGGAGCTCTGCCCCCGAAGACTGGGTACCCCCCCCCTACCCAGTCTTCGGGGTCTCTGGGATTTGGGAGGAGGACGTCTGGAATTTTGTTATCGCCCCCCTCTTGATCAGGATCCGGAGGCGGCGGCCCATGGCGTGGGGCGGTCGACGGCAGCTCGGTGACAATGCGGATACAAAGTTACTAGGAGACATATTGCGGCGATACAATGCTCCATTGATGGGGATAATACAGACCGTACGAGCAAGTGTGCATCGACGACATCTACTTACGAATAATCATAATCATACCAATAAAGTTACTACTACCCAGTCCCTGCTGCAACGAGTCCACATCATCCGCTCAAAACAGTGCTCATGCCCCGCTGCTCTTTCCTGTCAGACCGCACTTGCACTCCCGTAACAAAACTTGGGCGAGAGAACATCCAGTCACCTTCGCTTTAACGTGCGCTCTCCGCCTTGGTCACACGGTCCTGCTCGTTCACGCAACCCTCCTTATGATTATCGCCCTCGGACAGAGAGGTCTGTCTTATTTGAGGATTCTTGGAGAACCAAGCATCCTTCAACTCTTGCATTTTGTCGACCTCGGGATGCCAGGCAACGGTATTGAAGTCATGGTCATCGGAGTATTCGACTTCCTGACCTAAGAAGGAAGCCCGTGAGTGAAACAAGGTGAGTGTCGGTTTTGCTTGCTTGGCGAGATGCGTACGTAGCTGTGGGTACCTCGCATAGAATACATCCTGCAAGTTTGGGGCGGATAGCCAATCTTGCACTGGTGCCGCATCAGTTCACTCGACGCCTCACAATATATGGACGTTAAACATTGCATTACGCACCCGTCTCCTCCGGTGTGGAATCCTCGCTCAGAGTCCCAGATATACGCTTGTCTCGGCTGCGTCGGGGTTGTTTCCGTGTCGAATAATCTGCCAGTGCTGCTTGATATGCGGGGCTAGGAGACACGAGGTTTCTAGACACCGAGGTATCGACCAAGTTTATGACGTTGAAAGCAAAGCGGGCGTAGAGAAACTGAACAGCGACACGTTCGTGGATCTGTGCAGCAGTTCGATGGAACCATTCCGCATAGTCGTCCTCCACTTTGATGAAGTACGCAACGAAGTCAGACCCATCCGGGAAGAAGACGAAGGCATGTCGATCAAGGCAGAGCCGGATATCCGCGCGCAGACAGATACCATTGGCGACATCGTTAGGAGTCACGATTTCCGGGCGGATGTTGTGGACCTTCATCCTGTTGAAGGTGAACCAGACGGCTTGTTCCTTCGGCACTAAGTGTGCATTATCGCACGAGCTCGCTGCGATGAAGGCAGGTTAGTACGATGCTGCCTGCATTCAGAGGACAGCAATGACCTTGGCCGAATCCGCTGAGAATGCATGCACCGTCCATGTCTCTGACGCGATCAGACATGGCCGATTCACTGGCAAAGAACCGACTTAGATGCCTCCGGTCCTGACGGGCAGAGAGCCAGTGGGCGGGGAGCGTATCGGGAAAGCGCCAGGCAGCAAACTCGGAGACGACAGCATACTCGGGGTCGTGGTCGCCGAGGAGAAAGTAGTAGTAGACGTCGGCGGTGAGCGTGGGCTCGCTGTCCGGGACGTGGTCGCGGCCGTCCAAGGTGGTGGAGAGGAAGCCATCGCGGTTGTTGGCGATGATGCGGCAGGCATCGAGGGCGAGGCGGTGACTGCAGCCCCAGAGCTCAGGGGCGGGGGCGGGGTCGTAGGCGGGGAGCATGAGGAGGTCTTGCAAAGGTGTGTAGCCGGGATGCATGATGGTGACCATACGCGCGGATGAGGGCAGCGTGGCCGGTATTGTGTGGCGGGGTCGCCTGTGCATGGTGGCAAGACTGAGTACGAGGACGACGCGCTCGGTGATGTGGACGACGGCGACGGCGAGAGAAGGACCGATCGACTGTCGCGGGAGCGGGGGCGGGGTCCGGGGTCCGGGCATGCGTAAGAATAGCACGGTCATAGACGCCGGAGCAGCGGTCGACGCCGACTCGACCAGACGAGGGCCTCGCTGTGGCCCGCTCGCATGCCCTTCGTCCCGTCCTCTCTCCCAGGGCCATCCTCCCTCCCCACACATCCACCCCCTGCTGCCTCTAACGACCACGACAACACGCCCGCCATGCCCTCGACGTCCCTGGGTCGCCAGCTTCGCTGCTGGCTGATCCTCGCGCCCGCACTCTGGGCCGCCTCCGCGCGCGCCGCCGGCTCGGGCACCGGCAGCACGAACACGAGTCTCGCCATGTGAGTGGCTTTGCTGCTGGGTGGGTCGTAGCGGTGGGCTAATGGCGTGGTTGAAGGATCATCTTGTATGCGATAACCGGATGTGTGTCGGCGCTGTTCTGTGTGGTCATCGTCTCCGGTGTACGTCCTTCTCTCCGTCTCGTTTTACTTCCAGACATCTGTGGCTTCGTATTCGCCCGGGGAACGTGCGACCTCATGTGCCAGTGCCGGAGACCCATCTCGACTCTCAATTTATGAGCGCATCTGGCCTACGCGCTCCGATCTTGCCTCGCGTCTGCTCGAGTACCAAGCTATGTTCTCCCGATCATTTGCTTTCCGCGCCTCCGATATGCGCGAATCCTTCGAATGGAATGCTCTGCGAGTGCATCGTGGTCTGCCAATGGTACCCCAGGTATACGCCACTACTGTGTCTAGCCTGTGGCCATTGCATGACCCCGCCAAGGCTGCGGGATGTGGGCGATACTGAGAGAGACTGAGTGGGACTCCGTCTCCGTGCCCACATTCTCTGTTCAGTGTCAATGAGACAGGAGGAGCCATGCGTTGGCTCCTAGCCCGTGGGCACTGATACCTGTCGTGGTGCTCGAGCGAACGTCGCATATCCGTGCATGAAGGTTTGTCATGGTCTCCCGTCACCGAGCACTTCTATTGTCTTTCCACTTCCATGCTGTAATTTGAGTTAATTGTGCTGTTTCCATCCATTCAATTCCATCCCGTCCTCATACACCCCATAGGCCATCCGCGCGATCCGCCATCCCGAGCGGTATGGCCCACGCACTGGCGAGGGCGAGTTTGCTAGTTCATTCCCCGGGCAATCGCGCGCCCGCGGGCTCACCAGAGCGATCCTCGACACTTTCCCCGTCGTCAAATTCGGAATGGAGACACCACAGTCAACGCAAGGCAAGGACGTGGAGATGGGCGACGTGAACAGCTACAAGGGCGACGAGGAGCGGGACAGCGCGAGCCTTGACGGCGACGACAAGTTCTCCATAGAGGAAGATGGGGGCGCCGAGCCGCATCGCGGTGCGCATGCGAACGCGCACGAGCGGCGGGTCAGCTGGGCGCCGCAGCCGCCACTCGAGCGAAAAGACGAGGGACGCGCAGGGGAGGACACCGTACAGGAGGAGGACATTACGACCACCGCACACGACCACTCTGGGACGGGCGAGCCCGTCGCGGGGCCGTCCTCGCCAACACAGCGCTCGCCGTCCGACCGCGAGCTCCCCCCGGCGCGCCCCCGCCCCCGCCCCGGGCGCTCGTCAACGCTGGGCCGCCCGATGTCCGCGCCGGCGGGCGAGAAGGAGAAGGACGTCGTGCCGGACGCAATCGGGACGGAGACGTGCCCGATCTGCATCGTGGACTTTGAAGAAGGCGACGACCTGCGCGTGTTGCCGTGCGAGGGGAAGCATCGGTTCCACAGGGACTGTGTGGACCAGTGGCTGCTGGAGCTGAGCAGCAGCTGTCCAATCTGCCGACAGGGTGCGTGTTTCGACGATCCGGTCTTCGTTCGCGAACTGCTGACTGACGAGGACGCGTGATACCTAGACTTCCAAGCCCTCGAGACGATGATGATGGCGGGCGATGTGGGTGACCATCTCGAGCCGCCGCACCCGCATTACGCGCAACGACCGCTGTCCAGCGCCGCCGCGCGCTTTTCGCGGTATCTGCGGTTCGCGCGGAGGCGGCACGGGCACCGCACCCGGGATGGGCGGGAGGGACGGGAGGATGGTAGCGGGTACGATATCACGGACCCGCCGATGCCGCTGTCGCCGGAGATGAGGTTCTGAGTCGCCCTTTGCTCTCCCGCTCCGCCGTTAGTATGTCCTCTGTGTGTACCATTGCTCTCTGTCATTGCTGATACAGAGTCTCGTCCGTCCCTAGCCGTCCTGGCTGCTTCAGTAATTTCTCGTTCGCACGGCCGTCCGTCCGGATCCGTACGGTCTGTGCGCTACGCTCCCTCCATGGCCCTTCTTCCCCCGCTTCCCCGCCAGGTCTGTATTATTGCCCTTTGCTTATTAGGACTCGGTTCTTCCTCTGTTGCTATCTGTATTCTAGTACGCCAGGATGTCATGTTGTAAAACACTATACGCGCATATATTATAGATATAGGCCGCGTCATTCACCAGCCCCCGTCATACCGCCCCAACCCAAGCCTAAAGTCGTATTTGCAGTGCTGCGCCTGGAGGCCTTGGACGCGGGACATCCATGCCCAGGTGGCGGACGGCCTGCCTATCGCAGCCCATCGCCATCGTGCTCCGGCCTCGACGCTTTGAGACTTTGTTCTGGTGCAGGGTCTACCGTGCAACAGCCTCCGCTGCCCCTCGCACACACGCCTGGGTGACGTGAAGAGCGCCGCTCCAGGTAATCACAGGGCCAGACCCACCCGTGCGCCCGCCACCACCGTCCGCATTAGGCGTGGGGCTTGCCGCATATGGGAGGTGCTGTTGTTGCGTTCCTGTCAACCGCCACTCCTCCATCTTATGACCGCGCGATGACGTCGCCCGCTGTCGCTGCGTGCGATGGGCAGCGAAATGACGCGTGGCGGGCTTGGTACGACGGATGTCAGCGGGAGCGGGGGCGGTGGTGAGGTATATAAGGACGGGCGGATGGCGGGGGTTCAGCATCACCCTCTCTCTTTCATACCCCACCCAACCCACCAGTCTTCTTACCCACCTTCACGAATATTTACCATGTCCGACACCGGCCGCCAGAGCTTGACCGACAAAGTTGGTGCTGCTGTCAAGGTTCGTACTCCCTCTAGAACGCCGTGGACTGGGCTCTCGCTGACGGCGGTACCGCTCGCAGCCCGACTCTGAGAAGTCGACCACCGAGCACTTGGGCGACAAGTTCAAGGGCAACGCCGACTCTGCCGCCTCGACGGCGCAGCCCGAGGTTAGTCTCATCTGACTTACCTGCCCGTGCGCTGTTTCTGAATTTACCGCGTTGCAGAGCCAGAAGTCGTACGGCCAGCAGATTGGCGACACGTTCTCTAGCAACTCCAACCAGAACGAGGTATGTCGCTGCGCGTGTTAACAATACCCGGTCCTGAGCTAATCGCTGTTGCTGTAGCCTTCGATGACCCAAAAGGCGAAGAACGCCATGGGTCTCGGCAACAACTGAGCGGCGCGTCTGACGCTTGCCTGGCGATTATGTATCAATAGTTGTTCGGAGGACCTCGGAGGCCTAGTGTCATGTTGTAACGATATTCGGTATCATACACGAGATTAGTATCTTGGAATCCAATACGCTGTATTCAGTTGACGTGACATTAATACCATACACGATGCCGGAACTCTCGGCGCGTACAGACAAGATTTCGTTCATGCCAAGGCAACAAACAAGTTGGTGACTCTGATCTGACTTCAACAAACGTTAACGTTGCTGCACGGTGAGCGTGTACAGATCGCTTCGCATGGGCACAAGGCCTTCAAGGTGTCATTATGTTCGGGGCCTTGTCAACACTCGACCCGGGAGAGCCTTGCTCTGTAAAGGAGGAATACGTCTGAGTGATTATCTGAATACTGAGTACTGAGTACTGAGTACTGAACTGAGTACTGAGCACTGAGTACTGAGTACTGGTACTGAGCAACAACGGAATACACACTGGCGTGACAATTAGTCGGAAAAACCACACAGTACAATTATCGCGCAGACTCTGTACGTGAACGTTTGAACGTTTGAACCCTAGCTAAGTTAGTACTCTCCTGGCCCGCAGAGGCGTACTATCGCGAAGGTTATCAATATTCCATTCACGTTTGACCCAGTACTGGTTGTGGGGGATCCCACGGACCGCGGCGCACTGGCAGGGTCCAGAGTAATGCATTGTTCAGCGTAATGCCTCCAAGAAGGGTTGCTCCGGCATAGCATGCGGTGCCGGTGAACCCGACTCGACTCGACGTGTCCTCCTTCGTGATCCAGGCATATGGAAACTGCCGATGGGGCGAGTCTCTGCAGTATTGCAGATGCACCAGACCGACCACTCCTTGTGCGATATGCGAGTATCTTCCATCCGCCCATGTTGTCTGTCAATGAGACCACAACGGTGCATTGCGGGTAGTGACAATGACACAAGAAACAGGGTATATATACTGAGACAGAATAAAGATACAACAGCCATAGGCGACTACAACATACCGTCCATATAGGCATCGTGACATTACAGGCTCTCGCTATTGCGCCCCCAAGCTCGTGTCGCTCCGGTTCGACGGCACCCGCGTCATGTAAGATGTCAGGGGTATCGTGAGCGCGTTTTGGTCTTGAAGCGCCTGTGCCTCACGCGCATGGGCTTGCCGTACGTAGGCGTATCGCTGGAACGGATTGAGCGCTTGCAGGAACTGCACACCGATCTGTTTTTGCACGATGTGCAACGAAGGATGCGCATGCACTGCTTAGTGGCAATGGAACTGGACGGATAACAGCTACTCACTGGATATAGGCGTAGCTCGTTGAAGATATCGATCGTCAGGTCGCGGACAATCTCGGACTGGTGGAACAGCCCAAAGGAGAGGGGTAGGAGGCCATTGATATGTGGTGGCATGTATGCCAGCAGCTAAAGACGGGAGTCGGCGATGAAATTCTCATCAGTTCCCTGCCCTGCTTCAGTACATGGAACTTGATTTACCTGAGTGACCTGGTCGTAAGTCTGCACATTCGCAGCAATCGTACGCATGATCAGCTCGGCTTCTCCGTCAGACATCTTCCTGGCGTGTCGTAACCGCCAGAGCTGGTGTACAATGTCGAAGCCCTGAATCGGGTCGGTGGCGAGCATCTGACGGAAATCCTACGCACGGGACGGGTAAGGACAGATTCGCTACATTAGGAGACGGGATAACACTCACGATTTGGTATAAGGTGTAACTCTCTGTCCTCCGCCATGCATCGATCCTTGCTGTGTTCAACGCAATTTCCCGAGAACATGTAGCCTCGTCCAGGAAGCTGGTCCCTGCGCCTAGCCTCCTCCCGTCAGGTCGCTCAGAGTAGGACGCCGAGGGCCATCCTATCATAGTTGACCCCATTGTGTCTTCTTCATACCGTGCCGCGAGTCGTATGAAGCGCATCAAATACTCGGTAAACCGTGCGCGCACATGCGCCTCGCCGTAGTGAGCCGCAATAGCAGCGAGGATCTGCATGAACACGACAACTCCAATCAGCATATGTAATGCAAAGGCTTGAGCAAGATACGCACATCCTCGATGAAGAAATTGTCCGGGTTGTTGTCTGCTTTCCCTGCTACGAACTCAGAACGCGGGGCTGCGCCCGCATCCTTGCTCGTCCTCACGCTGTCTTCATCTATGCTGGGCCCGCCCTCTGCACGGATGGTCCCGGTGCGCATGAGTAGCTGACTCTGCGTGTTGGCAGGGGCAGCAGGGTGATTGATGTGGATGTCGCGCGACACGACCATACGACCGGTGCTGACGTCGCAGAGGAGGTCCCAGTTGCCAGAAGCCTCGAATATAGGGTTCGTCACGCCAGCGATATAACCCCCTTCTCTGTTCAAGCTTGTCAAAGGAATTGAAACCGGAATATGAGGAAGAGACGCACATGCACTCCCATTCTTCCCTGTTCGTCAGATTTGCGTACGGAAAGGCGCGTTTAATGAAGCCATGGAGGACGATCCCGCAGCCGCTCCCCAGAGCACATGCGGAGAGAACGTAAGAGGCCACCTGCCCTGCGGGTCGATGGTGTCCAAGGAAAATGATCCTCTTCGCTGTGATGAGTGCGTTGAAGAGAACGATGATAGGTGCTGTTGAGGGACCGGATGAATGGAGATGTGAGTGAAGCGGTCCAGTAAGAGAGGCAGACGGGGAAGAGAAGGTTTGCACGAGTTGAATGAGGGAGTACTGCAATCAAAGCATTCAGTGATAGGGCAACGAACATATTGAGAGCATACGAACGTCTCCGACCTCCTCCGGGAAAGTCGAGAGGGGAACCTTGACCGGGAGACGGTGGTCGTTGAACTCGACCGTTGCCGGGAAAAAGTGCGAGTCTTTCAGCAGGCTCATGGCAACGCCTGCCGCAGGCGGGACGGGCGGCAAGTCTTCCCTGCGACCATGCGAGGAAGACGATGCATCCGTGGACGCCCTGCCACGATACGTCACACCGTTCTGCAGACCGCCTGCCGCGCCAGCCACGACCTGATCCAATCCGCTCTCGTTCCCGACCCACACAGCGCTTCCGTCCAGTGAGAACGATGCATCTGTGGGCGAGTACTTCTTGCCGTCTCCCCTACGTACTTCGTTCTCGTCCCGCACTCGCCCTTGCAATCCATCTTCAAGACTGTTTTGACTTCCGGTCGAAGCGCTTGCTTTGTGCCCTTGGCCCGCACGCGCACCGAGCGCGAACGGTTGCGCAGTGACAGGCTCGCGATCACCGAGGGCTTCCTGGATGAAGTCGTCGAACTTCTCGAGGAAGACGTCCTTACGCTCGGACGTGCGCATGATCAGCTTCTCGTATCGGCTGAGTGAGGGGGCCATAGATATGTCCATGCTGTTGACGGCGTCGAATAGTCGCGCGAGACAGTCTTGTGAAGGGTTAGAGAAGTAGTCGTCCAGAGCCATCAGGAGAACGGGCTGCAGACGCGATGGTCGGTCAGTACTTAGTGAGTACTTCGGGCAAAAGAGGAAGCAATGTGTACGCGCCTTGAATATCTGGATAAATGGATGGCGCGTGCATATCGCCATGGCCTTCACGATTGCACCTCTAAGAGTACGTATTGGAGATGCTTCTAGAGCAAGGGACGCACACGCACCTTCGTACAGTCTTATCCAACTTCGTCCGTACGAGGTTCAGGACATATAGCAACTCCGGCTGCCCATCATTCGCGTTCTCGCCTTCCACATCCGGGTCGCCATTACGCGCAGGCTCGAGCGCGAGCACGGGTGCGATTGTGTTGAAGTGCGTCTGGTTGAGGAAGAAGATCGTCCAATCCTCTGGCTGCCTCTCGGCGCCGTCTGGCAGCATCAAGTTTGCGAGGAGACTAGCCACAAGCGTTACGACGTCGGCCACATGCGATCTCACACTTGAACACCACTCACCCCTCATCCGTCCCGAGTGGTTGAGGGAACTGGTACGTCAATTGTGCTCCTCGGTCAATATCGAAGTCGGCGAGAAGAACGAAGGAGCAGTGATGAGCATCTCCAGCCATCGAAGGAACAGTCATTCAAATCCCAGATCACCAATAGTGGACCCTGCCACGAAGTAAGTAGTCCTGGAAAGTTGGGAAGCCCGACTTGGTCGCTGGGCTGAGATGGCGTAAAGAGGCCTCAGCAGACAGAGCAGCAGTGTTTCATGCAGTGACGAGACTGAAGCATGCAGAACGTTCAGGCCGAGTGCGGGGGCTCTAAGTAGGTCTGTACAACTTGAAGATCGCGCTCATGGCATGGTAGCTATTTTAGCGCCCATATGCTAAGATCGCATCGCGATCCCGGTGTGGTTGAGTAGCCACATGGACCAGGCAGACATAGCTAAGCGTGCATTCAGCAATAACCATTCATAGCGCATAGCAGCTTGCAGGGTATACCGACGGTGGATTGAATGTGTATAATATCATGCGACAGAAACAGGCAATAGAAAAATAGTGCAATGACTGTAGTGATTAATGGGTGGGTGGGTGCAGTGTGCAGGCAGTCCGAGGAGCGAGCGAAAGTCCGAGCGAGCATTCCAAGAGGGGTCAGGGCAGTAGCACACGCCGCGGCGCGAGCCTGCTGGCGTATGGTCAGATTATTAGAACAGGCGGGCTGCCCGGACAGATAGCGATAATGACACACATCCACAGTCCATTCGGCTACTTACAGACCGCGCACGCAGCCATCGCTATAGACCACCGTCCAGCACGCCTCGCACGTCGTCCACCTGCCCGAGGTCCGCCAAGAAGGGGCACAGATCCGTCAGCTCGGTGTCGTGTGGGTCGTTGAACCATGATGAGACTGGTACAGCGTTGTTGGGGTGGAAGATGTATGACGCAGGAGAGTTGTCGATGATGATTGTATCTGCGATTGGGCGACCGAGCTGTGATAGATCCTGCACAGAACAGTTGTGAACGAACAGCGGTGCAAGAATAACCCACCCAACAAACCTTCACGTAGTTCCCGCGGTGGTTGTAGCAGCTCTCCCGGAACAGGCGGTGCGTCACAACACGATGGATGTCCAATTTGTCGAGAACGGGGTCGGCGTACTGTAAGGAACCTTAATTTCGGCCCCAATTTGTGCATATGTGCATCAAGACGTCACGAACCTTGCTCAGACTCGCAGTGAACACGACAACTTCGTAGATCTCGCCCATCTTCTTGAGGAAGTTATCCACACCCGGACGCTTGATGACGTACACGTTGTGCCAGTGATACTCAATCTCGACAGGCACGACATAGTCTGCCTGCTGTATCGACTACACGCTGTGTCAGGACGTGCGAACGTCGGACGACTCAACGCGTGACACACCTTGAAACTACTGTGGACCAATGTCTCGTCCAGATCCAAAACAAGACATTTGCGTCCTTGATGTTTCGGAAGTATCGGGGGCAGCAACGGTCTTGGGACTCCGTCCTACATCGAAGGGAAACCAGTCAGCCCGGACAAATGGCATGTAAGAGAACCTGAGAACGCACAGGACCTATTGGGATGCCAGCGCCCCCATTCATTATTAGCCGCTCCTCCTCATCCTCGATATCATCCAGAGGTCCCTGGTCCTCCAAATCTTCGTCCTCCGTAAAGCTTGTCGAGCCATCGCTCTCAGTGCCAGACTCTCGCCCCTGCGAATGGACATGATCATGCGGGGTCTCTTCCCCAGTCGACCCTGGCGGCTGCACGGCGCCCGAAGTCATCCCTTCCGTCTCCTCGGGCGGCAACAGGGACTTCGTCGGCGTGGGCGGAAAGATCACCTCCGGGTCCGCCTCCTGGTCTGTCTGCGTAGGTATTGTGAGCGGATTCAGTGTCGGGGTCGATTCCTGCGGACTGAACACGTCGGGCTGGGGTGGGTGCACCGGTTGCTCGGGGGCAACACCCGCCGTCGGTTCTCCCGTGGACAGCGGCGGGGGCGGTAGCTCCTCAGCCTCCTTAGCCGCCTGCTTCTCCTTGAGTGCGGCGGTGCTGGTGGTTGCTTTTGGCTGCTGCGCGGGAGGGTACAGCTCGTCCTGGAGGCGCCGCTGGGACGGGCCGACGCAGGGCACGAGGACGTGGAAGATCTTGACGAACAGCGACTGCCTCGCCCGCTTCGTCTTCGAGTGCGGGGAGCCGGGCTGTTCTGCGGTGGTGGACATCGTGTGCGTACCGTCAGACGCAGACTTGGCGTCCTTGCGTCGGAGGGAGTGCGTGCGTGTGTTGAGCGTGGTGTCCAAGGAGCCCTTATCCTTCTCCGGGTCCTTAGGTCCGTCGGCAGCATCCGTACCCGAGCGGCTCGTGGTCGGCTGAGAAGACTGAGAGGGCGTCGGTGCGTGCGGTGGTGCCAGCATGGCGGAGGCCTGGCCGGAGCCGGTTGCACCTTCGGTGGTCGGGTGTTCCGCTGCGCCTCCAGCGGCGCCGTTGGCGGTCGCAGGGGTGATCCTCTCTTGCTGGTTTTGGTCATGAAGGTGGGTCGTAACGGTATTTTGGGGCGACGTCTCCTCTGCAAGCTGCGAACTGGCTGGCTCTCCCTCCAGCTGCTTTCCCTTAGCGCCCTGCGAACGCGTCAGTACTCGGGGCACGACGAAATGGGACCACGCACTGTAGAACCTGGATCGTCCGTTGAAAGAGGCGTTGCCATCAGAAGGAGCGCAGAGGGCAGTTGGGTATTAGAGAGGGAGAGCGGAGGAGAACAGCGTCGAGCCGTCTTGGGTCGGCGCGTTGCATCGTGTTTGCGTGAGAACGACAGCCACCTTATATGGGCACACGCGCGCTCGATACTCTAATTCGGCACACCAGCCACCTCCATTTCACAATTCCGCTGACAGGCACCTGCAGGACGCATGTGTGGCCCATGGGATCATCCCCGGACACAGGACCACTGACCGCAGGCGAAGGCGAACACAAGAACTACAAGCAACGAACAGTCTACAGTACGTAGGCAAGCCGACGGCCTGGCCAAGCCACCCCAGTCACCCGTGAGCATCACAGCAGTGCAGACTGCGCGAAGTCGAAGTGATGCTATCCCAGATGTTGGTTCCAAAGGAGAATAGCACAAGGACCACATTCAGAGGACCATGCCATCGCGATCACGTCCACGGTCAGAGAGATATTCTGTGATCCATGCCAAACAAGGTAGCAACCCCAGCGTGTCTTCTGCAAGGACTGTGGTGCGTCGCTGCTATACATCACCAAGATCGTGTGCAATACCACACGGGCGCGAAGCTTCCGTGCCTCGAGGGATAGAATGAGCAGTTGGGCGCAAGTTCTTGGGAATAAGTTGTCTTTCGGGGCCGTGCAAGCTTGCGGAGATTGTTTATTTAATGCGTATGGGGCTGAATGGAGACGAATGTTTTGAGTAGGCGACCGGACAAGGTTTACAATGCGTCCGTTCGTGGGTAAGTAGATAACGGAGCATTCCATCCGACCTGAGCTCGAGATTAACCCAGACGCAAGCACTTAGCAGGCGTAGATCCAACCGTGACCAGATACGAACACGAACCAGGTGAGAGACTCCCGCCTGAAGATGCCCTGTATATCACTGAAGCAACGATCTTCTCATGACAGTGCAGTTCGCAGCGAGAATGGACGACAGAGTATAGCACCCAAATCGAATGATCGACATTGACAAGCTGACTATGATTTCAATCGTAGTGCGCCGGCACGACAGGGAACGCACAGATGTGAACCAGGTGGTGAACTTGGAGAGCAGAACAGAGAGGCCTCTAGATCCAAGTTGGTCCGACCGGACAATAGAGAAGAGCTCTGGCGCGTGAAGAGCACAGGGCAAGTGAGAGCAGAGAGAAAGCGGCTGAGTCAGCGACCGAAAGCTGAGGAGGCGGCAGGGCTCGGCAGACGGCGATTGCCGGGAGTGCGGGTGCGGGGAATGAATCTCCGCCACGCGAGGATTCTTACTAATACACGCCCGCCATCTGAAAGCCTACAGTGCAGATTGCCCATGTTGGGACACGCCCCATATCACCCTCAGCAGCCCCCGCCGCCCTCAGCAGCAGCCGCGCCTGCCCCCGCCCCGCCCCCCAACGCCAACCCATCCGAACACAATGCCATCCACCACCAGCACCCGCCCCCGGGCCAGCCCCAGCCACCAGGTACCTTTCAGACTCTCCGGCTGCGCGACGACCCTCCCGCCGTGACCCAGCCCGCCCCATCGCGAGGCAGGAAGCGCAAGACCCCGCCAAACGCAAACCAGGACGCGCAGCCCGCGCAGACAGCCCCTCCTCCCCCCGTTCCCATCCATCCGCACCCTGGACCACCCCCTCCAGGCATGCCCCCGCACCTTCCTCCCCCGCACGCCCTCATGCCCCCTCATCCGCACCATCTCGGTGCCCCGCCGCCCCTCCCGCACGGCTACCAGTACCCCCACACCCCGGGGACTACACGCCGGGAGGCATGCCGCCTCCGGGTCCGCCAGGTGCCCCGCCGCCCGACGAGCAACAGCAGCCACCATCGCCAACTCAGGGCGGATCAGCTGGGCGCCCGCTCAGCCAGAGCAAACGCGCAGAGCAGAACCGGAAGGCGCAGCGCGCATTTAGGGAGCGGAGAGACCAGTGCGTATTCCCCTTTGTCTTCATCTCACCGTTCGTCCTGACATCGCCCCTAGGCATGTGAAGGCGCTCGAGTCGCGGTCGCAGCTCCTCGACGCCGCGCTCGCATCTGCGGACGAGGCGAATCGGCGCTGGGAGGAGTGCCGCGCGCTCGTGGACAGCTTGCGTATCGAGATCAACACCCTCCGAGGCCACATAAGTGCACTACAGGAGGAGAACGGCAAGCTGCGCTCGGCGCTCGGACCAAACGCCCCCGAGGCTGCAGGTGTCGCGCCGTCCGTGACCGTATCCGCATCTGCTCACGAGCAGTCGGCGGGAGAGAACAGACCAAACGGCGAACATCAGGGTGGTGCGGCGCGGGAAGGCGGGAAAGACTGATGATCACGAATCCAACGCGTTTCCTTCGACTGGGCTGTAGGTCGTATCCTAGTAGACACGTTCTCTTGTACGAGCTTTTTATAATAACTAAATTTCGACATCGAATGTCCCATATCGTGTGCCATTCGTGCGGAATTCTAGGAGTCCAAGTACATTGCAGCGACTTCGATGAATACAGGGGTAATACTATTACGGGCGCTCAGACGCGTCTGGCGCCGAGGGACGCTCTCGCTGTGTCTTCTACTTACCATCCAGCCATGTCGCAGGCCAAGGAGAACAGCCATGGCTCACAGCGGACAGACCACCAGTCAGCGAAGCGAGGTTTGTCTCTCCCATCTAGCTGAGATCACGGAACCAATCCCTCTGTAGGTCCAGCGCCGCTCGTCAAGTACTACCTGGTCGCGTACAACGTCCTCTCGACCCTCGGCTGGGGCTACGTCCTCGTCGCGACCCTCGCCCACCTCGCGGGCCTCGACGCGTCCTCCGATGCCCAGGCGAGCTTTCTCCCCGCCGCCTTCACGCGGTACCTCCCCATCATCCCCCGACTGAGCGGTGCACGTCACCGCCTCGAAAAGAGCGTTCCACTCGCGCTCGTCCCGCTAGTGCGCCGCGCGTGCACGACCTATGCCGCGGTTGGCTACCAAACGTCGGTGGTGCAGAGCTTCGCGGTGCTGGAGGTGCTACATGCGCTCCTGGGGTGGGTGCGCAGCCCAGTCGGGACGACGGCGGCGCAGGTGGCTAGTCGGCTCTACTTGGTATGGGGCATCACCGCGCAGTTCGAGGAGGTGCGTTCTTACCTTCGTGTATACGGAAGCCGCGCTGAGACAGGAGCCAGACACGCACGCACCCCCTGTACGCGAGCATGGTCCTCTCGTGGTCCCTCACCGAGGTCGTGCGCTACAGCTTCTACGCGTGCTCCCTCCTCGGAATCGAGTCCAAGCCACTGCTCTGGCTGCGCTACACGCTCTTCTACGTCCTCTACATCACGGGTGCGGGCTCCGAGGCCGGTCTCATCTACGCGTCTCTCCCGTCCCCGCCGCCAACCATTCCCTTCCTCTCGTCGGAGTGGTACGGGTGGATACTCCCGCTGTCCTGGCCGCTTTCGACCCCGCGGTGGCTCGAGGCGCTGCATGACGACATTAGGTGCTTCATGTTCTTGCTTTGGTGGCCATGTGAGTGATCGTTCGACTGAAATTGACGGGTGCGGCTGGGCTGATGCGTTGATTTCTGTGCAGCGCTCTATGTTCTCTACACGTATATGATGAGACAGCGGAGGAAGGTGCTTGGGACTGGGCGAGGGCGGACTCTCGGAAAGAAGCCAAAGACTCTCTGAACCCGGTTGGATGCCTCCTCTCACATGCATGACGGTCTACGATGTTCTGCCTACTGACTACAAAAATAATCTGATGAACGGCGTCTCAGCACAAAAGCACCCGTCACGACAGAACGATCACGGCGGGTCTTTGTTGTTCACACTCAGCGCGAAGCCAATCCGGTTGCCCGGATAGTCGTATATCGAGTACCCTATGCGGTGCGTGAAATGAGTGCCCGGACTCGCTTCGATTGCAGTGAAGAGCATACTCACAAGACTTCAAGAACTCATCTCCTATTTCCAGCCATACCTCGTTCACATACGCCTCGACAAAGATAGAGCGAACAACACTCACCGATGATCGCAAGGTTATCTGGGAAACCCTGTCCGAGCGCGAGGATGCCGCCCACACAGTCCCTGTACGCCGGGCCGCCGGCACGCTCGTTCAGTCAAGGGCTGGATGTGAGACGTGCAAGGGTGTGTACCACTCACGGAGAGGCAGCCGAGGTCCGGCCGAGATTGAAGTCGGCAGGATCGACGCTGTAGGCCCGTCCGCCGAAGGTGAGAGTGACGGCGAGAGGAGTGTCGCAGGGGTAGGTGTAGAAGCCTGCTCCGGCGGGGATGTGTACGTGAGAACGCTGCGCGGCTGTCAGGGGACGTCAACTAACCTGCGCCGTACTCCAAAGCTTGTTTGGAGCCAGGGATCTGTGAAGAAGAAGAATGTAGGTTTACAGGCGGCCGGGTATCCGCTGTCAGGGATTACTGCTTACCAGGGCGTAGAACTGGGAAGTGACGTCGTCTGGTAGGTATATTAACGTCGTGCCTGTGTCGATGGCGGCAGTCAAGTTCGCAGGGACGCCTTGCCATTGGTTGACGGCCAACTTATTGAGTCCGAGAGACCAGTAGGTCTATGCCAGTGTTCATATTTGCACAAGCACAGGAAAGGGCGGGGCGGACTTACGCGTGATACAACCGGACTCCAGGTAATCGGACCAATGGCCTTCGTCGTATCGAAACACCCAAAACACACCTCACCACCGGCCGCCTGGTCTCTCTGCAAGTGCACCGCGAACGCACCCGACGCAACCTGCTTGGACGTCATCAGGTTCTCGAAGAAAGTGGGCTGCCTGCTCTGCGCGATGCTTCCGAACGCCAGACCGAGCAGTCCGTCGGACGGGGCGTCGTAGAAGTCCTCCGTCTCGCTCTTCACCGCGCCAAATGTCTGTTGCGCGACGGAGAGCGGGCCGACGCTGACCACGTCCTGGGCGAGTGAGCCAGAGACCTTGCCCGCGCCGTAAGATACGGAGAATCGCTGACCGAGGGTGTGGTAGGAGGAGCTCTCGTACGCACGGAAGGAGTCGCCAGCACAGGAACGACAATTGACGGGTACCCAGAGGTCCGCGGAGCCGGTGTCGATGTCGACGGTGAGGACTTGACTAGGACTGTGCGAGCCGAACTCGAGGTTGCCGTAGTACAAGATGTCCATGCCGCCTGCTACGTCGTCCGTCAGCGCCATCTGTGCTGTCCCGGGGATCTGCACAATTGGTCGCGGTCCGCTCGCGTCGTCTAAGCTTTCAGCGAAAGGCAAGAGATAGAACTGCGATTGTGATACGGCAAGGGTGGTGTTTCCAGTGGTGTTACTTGCGCTGGCAGCGTTGGTGCGAGCAGCACTTGTGGCGTTGGCAGCCCCGGTGGTGTTTGTGACGGTTGCGTTCGTACTGTTCAGAGCACCGATGAGCGGGTGAGTGAAAGGCGCATATCCCTTCTCCGGATGCGTGTCGGGGTTGAGACCCACGCCGGACAGGAATTGTTCTGCCTGTGCGTACTTGCCCAGAAGCCCGCTGATTTCTGCTGTCTGTCAACGATGCGTCAACCAGCCGAGTGTGGTATTGGAGCATTTTCAAGGCATACCGCATAGGTAGGATCGAAGACATGCGGTGTGTCTGCGTTTCGCTGCGCAAAGGGTCGGCCAGCAGACCGCTTGATCTTCATTATATATCCAGCTGTGCTGTTTTCGGGGGGGAAGAGGTTCAGAGGACCAGCATAGCAGTTCAATACCAAGGAAACAACAACGGCCAGGCGGCCAGAACATAACCCCATCGAGGGGAAGCGATGTCGAAGAGTTGATGCACCTGGCAAGTGGACATGAATCCGGGCGTGAAGGCATCTGGCCCACTCTTATAATATTCTGGCATGAGCTGGGCTGGCAGCGGCTTGCGTACAAACTTCTGTGGCCCGGGCTAGACATTCGAGTTTGGACGAGGGAGCGTGGGCGACAGCCGCCGCACAATGCGCCCGCCGGTCGATCTGGGATCTGCGGTGATCGAGATTGGATGGTGGCAGTAATATCTCATGTCCAGTCACAATCCGGCAGACTTCCGGGGCGCACAACATCCCGTGCCAGTGTTCTGAGTCTTATTCTGACTAATATACCGCTGCGAGGTGATTATGTTCAGCGTCCTCGTAGCTTCGCATCTCACTGAACCATCCTGACATGGAGCAGAAGTGGAGAGCCTGGCCGTGGAGAAGAGGCAGCGACTTGCAGACGCGATCCCAAAGGAATGGGTCCCCTCCTCAACGCCTGCGCCACATCGACTGGACGTGACGGGACTGCCCCGAGAGAGCGGTATCCTGTCTGACAGAGAGATAGAGATCACCGAAGTCACGGATGTAGACACTCTGTTGAGGAGACTCGCAACAGCAGAATGGTCCGCGGTGGAAGTCACCACTGCGTTCTACAAGCGAGCCGTAATCGCACACCAAGCTGTAAGACTTCTCGCCCATTACGCTGTTCGTGTCTTATGCGAGTGGTAGGTGAACTGCTTGACGGAGGTCTTCGTCGAGAAAGCCTTGGCGCGTGCAGCAGCACTGGACCAGTTCCTGAAGACGAACGGCAAGGTCGTCGGACCGTTGCATGGCTTGCCCATCTCGCTGAAGGACATGTTCAATGTCAAAGGCATCGAAACCACACTTGGTAGGCATTAAATGCTGCACATAGCATCTCGATTCTAAGTATGACGACATCAGGTTATGCCTCCTGGGTTGGCAGGTACGCCCAGGAAGACGCAGTCATAGTCGAAGCGCTCGTCGAATGCGGCGCCATCCCATATGTGAAGACGAATGTCCCTCAAAGCGTAATGGTAATATCACGCGTGAACGATTTGACAACACTCTCACTGACAGGAATGCCCCATAGTGGACCGAGACGCACAACCTACTGTTCGGCCGTACGGTCAATCCGTATAATCGCTCCCTCACATGCGGCGGTTCAAGTGGCGGAGAAGGTGCACTGATCGCCCTCAAAGGCAGTGTGCTTGGGGTCGGTACTGACCTTGGAGGGTAAGCCCCACAGCATCCAACAAACGCATATCATAGCGCTTAATGTGCCTCTGCAGCTCGATTCGCATACCGGCGGTTTACAATGGCATCTACGGCCTCAAGCCGTCTTACCACCGTCTCCCCATCCACGGCTGCGTCGGCCCGTTGGAAGGCCAGGAATGCGTACGCGCAGCGGCGGGACCATTGTCTAGCAGTCTCAGCGGACTGAAGACGTTCATGAAGGCTGTACTCAGCACTCAACCATGGTTCAAGGATCCCTCAGTAGTCCCCATGGAGTGGAATGAGAAACTGTATGCGCTTGAAAGGCATGGCAGAGGCGAGCAGCTGTGCTTCGCTATTATGTGGGATGACGGCAAGGTCAAGCCGCACCCACCACTGCAGAGGGCACTCCGGATGGCGAAGGAGGCATTGACCGCTGCGGGCCATACAGGCACATCATCTTGCTTGATCTGGCGAACGTCGAAGCTGATTTGCTTCCTCCCCAGTGACCGACTGGGAACCTCTGAATCACTATGAGTTCGCCAGGCTTGCTGTATGTTCCCCGTGCTCATCAAGGATACCAGACATATTCTGACACAGTACCCTGCCGACAGAACACAATCTGGCGCGCCGGCTCCCGCCGCGACATACAATCCCACGTCGCTGAGCACGGCGAGCCGCTCCTCTCGGGCATGGGCACCGACGAAGACACGTCCCCGGGTTTCTTCACCGGCGATGGCGCGAAAGACGTGCATGCATACGAGCTATGGCAGCTGCAGAACAAGCTCTTCAACATGCGCAAGGCGTATCTCGAACACTGGCAGAAAACTGCCAGCCAAACGGGTACTGGGCGACCGGTGGATGCTATCATTTGCCCCGCATCGGCGAGCGTTGCTGCGCCTCACGGGCAGAACCAGTAGGTCTCTTCTAATCGGTGAGTCCTTGGACTTCGCGTGCTGAGCGGGATGAAGGTACACGAACTATACCACGGTGTGGAACACCCTCGACTACGCTGCGACGGTGTTCCCTGTCACGAAGGTGGACGCACGGGTGGATGTCAAGTCTCCGCCGCATTCGTTCCACAGCTCTATCGACAAGATCTACCACGGCATGTGTACGTGGTCGTGGTGTCGTCTTCCCTCCCACTCGAGTTCACTCGCTTCGATGTAGATGATCCTCAGGTATTCAACGGTATGCCGGTGGGTCTTCAGCTGGTCGGAAGGCCCCTCGAAGAAGAGGCTGTCCTCGCGATGACGGAGATCGTGATTCAGGCCCTCGGGAAGATCGGAAAGGCACGTTTGTAGCGGAGAACATGTTTCGGGAGACGTGTACTTCTAGTCCACTTCGGATGTATTGCAGGTATATGGCATGATCGAGGCTCGGTGAGGGCCGTTCGGTTTTCTCCTGCTGTTCTTAGGGCCCTGTATCCCGAGGCGACCGGGAAATGTCCTCCACTTGCTGGAAGACTCACCACTGGACGTCGTTCTGTGCTGGCGTCTTACGCCAGGCCTCAAATCTGCAAGAGTCAACATCCGGGCAAGCTTCGGTCATACCGGTCCAGCGCTCCATGTCAGGCGGTGTGCTTACCGCACGCCGCCAGTAATCCGACGGTGGCGCGATCGTTCATGGGCACCCTGCCGCAGGATGTGCGCGACCAACGATCTGACCAAGGGGAACGTCGTCTAGTGCGGCGTCGTCTTCGGAGAGGATTCCTTGCTGGCAGGCGCCGACGCGGAAGGTAAGTTCCACCGACCATGGATGGTGATCGAGTGATCCAGATGTCCTCAATTCGACTCCTTACTTCGAAACACTAATTCCCGGGCGAATCGGAAAATGACTGGATGTCGTCCTATCGCCGCACCCCTCAAACTACACACGGCTTGGGCCTTACGGACGAGCTCCAACATGACCGACCATATAAGAGAAGGTAGGGCAGCACTCACAGAACACCCACCGACCAGCTAGCAGAACAGCAACCGGAACCTCACAGCATGCCTTCTTACCTCGTCACCGGAGCCAGCAGAGGCATCGGCCTCGGCATAGTGACGAAGCTCGTGAGTATCTTGTCTTCCACTCAAGCACGCAGCGGTCACACAGAACGTCCGCTAACAACTGCCCGACAGCTCCAAGACCCAGGGAACTTCGTCATCGCCGCGGTGCGCAACCCCGAGTCTGAGAGCATCGCGACGCTCGGGAACGACCACCCCAAGGCGCGGTTCGCCGTCGTCCAGCTCGACTACTCCGACTACGCCAGCATCGGAAAGGCTGCCGCAGAGGTAGCGCACCTCCTCCCCGCCGGGCTCGACTACCTCATCAGCAACGCGGGCGTGAGCTTCCAGGAGAGCGCGAGCTTCGAGAGCATGTGCGGCGTCCACCCCCGACTGGCGTCGAGTCACACGGCTGACGGTTCCAGTTCATTCTGACAGAGACCTGCAGGTGTTTGAGGAAGAGCTCCGCGTGAACACCGTCGCGCCGATCGAGGTCGTCCGCCAGTTCCTCCCGCTGGTGCGCAAGGGCACCGCGAAAAAGGTCGTCTTCGTCAGCAGCTTCAACGGCTCGCTCGAGTTCGCACCGACCGTCGCCACCTTGACGATCACCTATGCGATCACGAAGGCCGGGCTCAACATGTAAGTAGAAAATCATAACGCGGGCATACACGTCCCTGACACGTTGCGCACGTAATTAGCCTCGCCCGTAAATGGGCCGCGGTCCTGTACCAAGAGGGGATCACGACGGTCGTTCTTCACCCCGGTGAGTGCGCTCTTTCCTGTAAGTATGCACAAACCGCTGACGACTGCGCCGGACCAGGCTGGGTGGAGACTGAATTGGGTGTGACCATCAAAGACTGGTGGGCGGAGCGCAACCCGGACCTGAAGCCCATCACCGTGCAGCAGTCCGCGGAGGACACCCTGAAGGTCATCGCGGAGGCCAAGCTCGAGGAGAAGATCAAGCTGTACAACCACACTGGGAGCGTGATCCCCTGGTGATAGGCTTCGCTTTGGTCCGCATACTTTAGTACCGGCTATGTGCTATCTCGATCGTGACGAACGTATGTCTCTAGCTAATACCCAAATGACGGTGAGATTAGTATGGTGTTCCATCCTACATTGTTCGATGTCACGCGTGAACAAAGCGACTCGGCCCCAAAAGGCGACAGGAAGCAAAGGACAGGGCGGTCTCGCCGAAGATTCCCATGGCGGTATAACCGCTACGGACCACCCAAGCGACGCGCCCTTCACGAAGGAGGGGGAGGATTCGGCGAGGCTGGCTGGCCGAAAGGTGTGTAGATCCAGAGGCCGTTGACTTCCCAGTAGGCCTCTGTGAATGCTTCAGGGTTGTTGTTGACCACTAAGCACGCATATACGTAAGCCTAAAACATACTGAAAGCGATGTTGATTACTTACAGTCGGTACACGACCCAGGACAGCTACTTGTAGGGTAGGCGCTCCCTGCCCAGTCGCCCTGCTCGGCCGTCAGCATCTCGCTCGCGTCAGAGAGCAGAAGATACTCACGCAGAACGTCAAATCAAACACGAACTGGTGCGCATTGAAGTGCTCCTCATAACCGCACTCTGCGCTCATGGGGAACACCGCATACGGCTCGCCCCAGCTCGCGTCCGGGCTCACACCCGCGACCGCAGCGACGAGCGGATAGCGCACGGCGAGGGGCACGCTTGCCACGTCCTCCCTGCTCCAGAACCACGCGCGGATGCCGGTCGCGTTCCCGCGCTCGACGGCGAACCAGCCGCCGCCCGCGCCGTTGAAGTCGGCGCCGTACGAGAGCGGCGCGCCGGAGACGCCGCAGCCCTGGTTCGAGTTGTAGTCCGCGTCGCAGATCGTGGAGGTGACGGAGCCGGACATGGTGCGCGTCGCCGGCATGGTGCAGCCCGGCGAGGTGTGCAGAGACATGAGGTTCCCAGATTGGAGGTTCACGCCTGGAATGCATTAGACGGGGGTGGGCTCTGCCGCAGGGTGCGTACCTTCGATAATGTCGATCTCGCCGCCGTCGGGCCAGGGCCCAGTCTGGCTGAGCGACCAGAAGGCGGGCCAGGTTGCGCATCCCTGGGGCATGTGCTGGAGGTCGAGCACGGCGACGGAGTCGGAGTACGCCTTGTTGGAGAGGATGCGATTGCTGTTGCGACCGAGGGCGCCGTTCGCGACGACGTTGGTGCTGTCTGCGCGCAAGACGAACTTGTCCAGCGTCGCTGCAAAGAACGTGAGGACCAGCATCAACGGACGCGCGGAAAGGAGCGAGCAGACGCGTGCGCACCGTAGGTGAGGTTCTGGGAAACGGCGGTTCCGAGGTCAACATAGTTGACGTCGCCGTTGGTGGGGTCGGCGATGGTTTGCCATGTCCAGGTGCTGAGGAACTCGGTGCCAACATACGCGTCCGCGAGGGTGTAGAGTTGCGCAGCGGCCACGGGTGCGAGTGCGGCCGCGAGGAGGGAGAGGGCGGGACGCATGCTGGCAGGGAGCGCGGGCTGACCTGGAGCACGGGACGGCCTGAGTAGAGAAGGATATTAATGGAGGAACGGGCAGGCAACGCAAGAAGGAGTACACACCGTCCACGGGGAACCACCGTCGTCCCAAATTGGATGACAGGGTGAAGAGGAAGCCCGATCGTGGGTGCACTCCCTCTTGGCCTGTCTCCCGTGGTGCCCGCCACGATGTCATGCGCCCGTACTGGACTTTCTATGTCTACGAAAAAAGAACGTATCTGCGCCCTCTTGTCATGGCGGCGAAATCATTCTGTTCGCTTCCCATGCGCGATAGAACCAGGTACAGAATTTGAGCAAACACCGTCGGTCGGGTTTGTGGGCCCTTTAATCCCAGGAGGAAGTCGAATGAGGTAGCGAGCTTTCCGTGACTGTGAAGATCAGGGACTCGGGGGACATGTCCTGCGCTCGCTCCTCGTTTGGCCATTGATCTTCGGAGACGCTGTAGCCGTACACAAACGCGACTCGCAGCTATGCGGATGAGGACCGCAGCGCAACCTTGGGTGCTCAGCAACCGGCAAGCTTTTGCCTGTTCCTCTGCGAGGCCACGCAGAGACCTGCTGGGCTGTCCGTACAAACGATGAACACGGCATCGGCATGTAACGCGCCGTGGTTGACTTACTGGCTCACATATTCCTCACGCTGCCCATGTAGCTCACATTGTCGCACGCATGGCTTGTGCACAGTGCTCTTGTGGAATCGGTGGCACTCCGCTCGGGGTGTATCTCGGCACCTACTAAGACTTCATTTCATCTACTGCCTATGCTTCCGTACACGGGACAGTCACGGGTACGTCCAGAATCTGCGTCGCAGTCACCGCAAGAAGCACACAGACAAATGGGAGGTCGTCATGACTAAGTACATATGTTATGCGCAAGGAGTGGCCTGAATTTGTCGTGGGCGAAGAATTCTCGAAGCGCCCGTGTTCCTTGCACGCTCGATCAGTCAAAATGAATTTGACGGCCATGACGCTACGCCCAGGCCGTGCTTCGACGCGACCACCACTCGCGCAGACGGCCTGACTGCGCCGCAGTGAGCTGCTATGTTTCCCGACGCCGACATTCACAGTACATAGACATGCCCAATCCCAGACAGCCCTATCCCCTTCTCCTTCTCATCGCCTGCTCTTGCTTCTTCATCCTCTGCGCCTTTCTCTACGTCCGGCCCTACATCGCCTCTGCAGTCAGTCCGTACAGGCCCGTACATGACCCATACCAGCATGTGTACGCTTCAGGGTTCGCCTGGTTCGTGACTAGGACTGCTCACGTCGATACGCACGCAGGACCCGCTACGCACTCGCCGACAAGTATGTAGGCAACGACTTCTTCAACCACTGGATGTGGGAGAGCGTCGACGACCCGACGCACGGCCGCGTCAACTACATCGACAAGTGGTCAGCCAGGCGCACCAACCTGTCTTTCGGTGCGTATCCGCCATCGCACCAACGTCGTCTCCTCACCGCCTTTTTGTCTACTCTGCAGCATCCGATACGAAGTTCGTAATGCGCGCAGACCATACGAACCGCGTCCAGCCCAACGCACGCGGGCGTGACAGCATCCGCATTCACTCCAACAAGGCCTACGGCGACTCGGTCACGATACTCGACGTCTCGCACATGCCCGAGGGCTGCGCGACCTGGCCCGCCTTCTGGTCGCTCAGCCAGGCAGGGCCCTGGCCCTCCGGCGGCGAGATCGACATCATCGAAGGTCCGTCCCTCTCTCCTCATCCGCCCCCACATCCCCGCTAACCCAACGACCCAGGCGTGAACCTCCAGGTCGGCAACACCATGTCCCTCCACACGCTCCCCAGCTGCGTGATGCCCGCAGAGCCCGCGCGCGCGCACACCGGCACGGCGCTCTCCACGAACTGCGACACGCGCGTGAACTACAACCAGGGCTGCGGCGTCGGCGGCCCGCCCGCGTCGTACGGCGCGCAGCTGAACGCGCGCGGGGCGGGTGGTTCGTCATGGCGCGCTCGAAGGAGGACGGGGTCCGGGGGTGGTTCTGGGGAGGGACGACCCGGGCGTGCCACGGGAGATCAGAGGTGGGGAGGAGACGAGGGAGGTGAGCCCGAGTCCGGCGTGGGGCCTGCCGGTCGCGCATTTCCCGATGGGGAGGGAGTGCGACTATCAGTCGCATTTCGATGAGCATATGTTCGTGTTTGACCTGACGTTCTGCGTGAGTACACTTTTCTCCTTCGAGCAGAACCGTCGGACTGATTGAGCGGACTGACGTGCAGGGTGACTGGGCCGGGAACGCATACCCGACGAGCGGGTGCAGCGGGTCGTGCGTTGATTGTACGTGAATCCCTATCCAAGACGCCTATCGTCCGTGGGTGCTGATCTGGCGCGCTGCAGTGGTCGATAACCACCCGGAAGCGTTCGTCAACGCGTACTGGGAGGTGAACTCGCTCCGCGTTTACACTCCTGCGTCATGAGAATGTACTGGCCGCCTTTCCGTGTGCATGGGTTCTAACAGCGGCATGGACACTGACACTGGTGATATACGATTCACTAAGTTATTTGACACCTCTACCTCTTATATGCCCCACGTCAGCGCCTCACCATATTCCCAGAATTCGAATACTCGATTATGATGTTCCGGACAACGTCTTCGACGACCCCCGAATCGCCGCTGATGGTGAGTGTCAATGCGTTTGGGCCACGATAGGCAGTATGTTCCAGTCATCACTTCTTCGCACAGCCAGGACCCGCCCTTCGGTGGAGCGAGCCATTTCTTTGAGACGATGCGGTCGATGCTGCTAGTTGTCCCAGCGATGTGTCTGGAAGCTTGACGGCCGCAGGATGCCCTGACAGAGACATGATGTTGGCGAGATATCATCCCTGGTCACAACAACACTACCAGGACAGCGACGGACAAAGCGCGACAAGTTCCTGCATATGTACTTATCACCAAGGGAGCACATCCCCAGTGTGGCTGTACAGCTTGATCTTTTCCTCCAGCTTGGCCTCCTTGATGACCCTCAGCGTGTCCTCTACAGACTGCTGCACCGTGATGGGCCTCCGATCCGGGTCGCGCTTCGCCCACCAGTCTTTGATGCCCGGGCCTGAGCCAGTCTCCACCCACCCTGGCCGGAGTCGTCAGTGTCGTCAGCGTACTCGCAGTGAAGAGCGCACGCACCAGGGTGAAGGGCGAGCGTCGTGATCCCCTCCTCGTACAGGACAGCGGCCCACTTGCGAGCGAGGCTACGGGCCCGGTCGGTGAGAAAAGCGAATGACTGCACGGTGGATCGTACTTACATGTTGAGCCCGGCCTTCGTGGCCCCATAGGTGATCGCCAGAGTGGCTAGGTTCGGCGCCAGCTCGAGCGAGCCGACGACGGTGCTGACGAGGACGACCTTCTTCGCCGCGCTCTTGCGCACCAGCGGGAGGAACTGGCGGACAACTTCGATCGGCGCGACAGTGTTCACTCGCAGCTCCTCTTCGAAGAGCTTCAAATCACTGCAGGGCGCGAACATCAGTCACGCAACTGCACAACGGTCGATCGTGAACGCCAAACATGGTCTCGAAGCTCGCGCCCTCCTGGAAGCTCACGGCGGCGTTACTGATCAGGTGGTCTAGTCCGGCAGGCAGGAATTTGGCGGCCTCGTCGGCGGCCGGCGCGATGCTGGCGTAGTCGGAGTAGTCGAGTGTGATGACGGCGAACCGCGCCTTGGGGTATTCGTTCCCTAGCTTTTTGATGCTTTCAGCCTCGGGATTGCGCACCGCGGCGATCACGAAGTTCTCCGGGTCTTGGAGCTATCGAGCAGCCACAGTCAGTACAGTGGCCATTCCTCTTTGACCTGCGTGGAAACTGTCACACCCACAAGCTTCGTCACTATGCCAAGGCCGATGCCCCTGCTGGCTCCCGTGACGAGGTACGAAGGCATGCTGCGAGATTTCGGTCGGTTTGCTAGCTAGTCGACGGATGTTCTGTGAGTACTGTCCTCCCTGGACCACCGGTCCTTCTCTTATACACTGGTCCTCCAATCCATCTCATATGGCCATCACGATGACCGTTGGGCAGGATGAGAGGGATGCACGATCGCTTCGCACCCAGTCATTGTCCGACTCGCTCGGGAATTGGGCTCGAAGTGCTATGTCGAGGGCTCGTCCGAATCTGTGGTCGGTCGAATTCATCCTCCGTGTCAGCGCCCAGTATATCAATAAAAGTTCTGCGTCTTACAAGTCCGTATTACACCTTCATGAAAATCATTGGTCGCACGCATCCCACCAGGCGGATGCACCATTGAACTCCTGATGTGAAGTCAGTAAGCAAACAGCCTGAAACGATGGCCACATAGGGCCCACCTTCTGTAATTTGACCGATGCTTGCCCGAATGTTGCCCGAATGTTGACTGTACGTTCGTCATTCGGAACACGCCTACGCGAGTGAGTGCGGTACGATGTCCAGCTCTTCCGACCAACCTCCGGCCACTGGAGAAGGAGTACCGGTTGCCTCGGGATATGCGACTCCATAAGAACTGTATGAAGGATCACAACGCAGTCCCTCACCGACCTGGCCTATCATTCCGCCGCAAGTGCCAGTTGGAACTTGCTGGCAGTCGTGTCTTGATGCATGATTATATGCGACACCAGGTTCGCTCTCAGAAATCACATCGTGTAGTCCGACATCTGCGACTCGGACATCCCCAGAGATAGCGCAAACACCCTGTCTGATGCCGTGTACACACACTGAGATGCATGTCAGTTGAGGTCTCAATAGTACTATACAAGGGAAACGCACCTTAAATTGGAGAACGAAACGGCCAATGTTTTTTGTGAGGGCGGGTCCGGACTCCGGAGTGTGCACGAGACGAGCCATGCTGCACGCCCGTTGATGTTCTAAGTTATTCTAGACTCGATGATTCAAAGAATCAGTCAACGCCTGGCTAGACACATCACTCGAAATATGCATGTCTTTGTACTCTGCCGCAGTCAACGCATGCTTTGCCATCTGGAACGCCTTCTGCAGTGGCAGATCTGCCTGAACGTCATAAGTGTTCGAGGGCATGCAGCCTCTCGTTCCACCCCCTGGGGACCATGGAGGGATCCTTTATCCAGTGCTAGTTTTCAGGAAGGTCTTCAGCCTCTCTTCAACGAGACTACCCCGGCCTTCGAATTCGCTTCATGTCGTTTCATCAATTTGGACATCAATTGGTTCATGCAAAACGTTGAGTACCGGTAGCATGGAACACCACCCACCCTCATTTGCCAACTGTACACGCTAGCTTTGGCTGGCCAGAAGTCCTATGTTGCGGATGATCACCGCAGGTAATGATCTGACGCTCAGTCAGGGATCGTGCCGCTGCTCGATCTGGAGGATCACTGCAGCATTGCGCGTCAGATATCAGTCGACCTGGAAATTCCATTATACCCGGTATGATATAGATGAGCAAAGAACTCTAGCATTACCGTGTTCAACTCGACTCTAGCTAACTTAATCCTCAGACGACTTCGGGGCTGCCGGCGGGGTACCCGTCACACCCTTCATGAACTCCCCACGCAGCGTCGTTATAACCTTCGTGCGTGGGACCGCTTTGCGGTATTTGGCGCCCTCGGGCTCATCCTGCTCTCCGCCCGAGTCGATGAACCGCTGGAGGGCCTCCGACACTTCATACCCGCACTCGAGCATCTCCTCTAACGCGAGCTTGTACCGTGTGTCGCCGAGCTTGACGCACTTGCGGATCAGCGCGACGTACACGGAGCGCGGGGGGAGATGACCCTCTGCCTTCATCTCCTCGAGGTAGAAGAAAGCGTCCTCGTAGTTCGCCTGCGTGAGGCAGAGCGCGACGAGCCGTTCGTACGTGCGCACATCCGCGCGCACACGCGCCTCCTTCATCTCTGAGAGTAGCTTGTCGCCAAGCTGACGGTGCCGCGCGGCGATGCAGCCTGCGAAGAGGAGGTTGTACGTGTCCACGTCCGGCGATAAGCTGAGCGAACCCGCGGCTTTGTACGTGCCCACCGCGCGCTGCAAGTCGCCGAGCATGACCGACGCGCGTACGATCACGTTCAGTGCGCTGATGTCTATCTTGCGGCCCTCCTCATGCAGCGCCTCCAGGCAGCCCCACGCGGTGTCAACCGCGTCCGTGTTGGTCGAGACTGCGTTCGATATGGGGAGCGTGGTCTCTGGTAGCGGGATGATATGGTGGCTGCGCATCATTTCGAGCATGGCGAGGGCATCCTTGATCCGCTTCTCTTTGCAGAGCGCCTCGATCACTGGGGCGAAGTGGTGTTCTTGCCAGATGACGCCGATCCGGCCGAGGACGCGGAACGCATCAAGAGCGAGCGCGGAGAGACCGTGGCGGCCGGCAGTGTGCAGGACCTGAACGCAGAGACCCTCGTCGGGTAATATGTTGAGCTCGTGTACGACCTTTTGCCATGTCCGCAAGACACCTTCCTCCTAGGGAGAACGTCAGATCTTGATTGTCCATGACCTTGTATGCGACTGACCCATAATGACTCGGCACACGTGAGAAGGCAGTCTACCCAGACGTCAGCTTCCAGCCGTCGTATCGACGATTCTTCAAATGAATCCGCCAGGTCGAGGGCAAGCCGAGGAAGACTGAGTGCAGCGGCAGTCTTGATGACCGCTTGTGCAGTTCTTAGGGTGGGCGACAGACCGGCAGCATTCATTTGTGCTAGACTTTGCAAGGCGAGCTCTAGCTGCTGCGCTGAGAGGTAGCGCAGTATGAGGATCTCATAGGTAGCTTCATTTGGCTTGATGCCGCGGTCCTGCATTGTCTTGACAAGCTTGAGGAGGGCCGACGACGGCTGATATCGATTGGCCTGCGCAGACCGTAAGTAACCCCGTCAGCGCCGTCCGCAAGTGACTTCACCTCACATGAAGCATTTTGTGAAAAATTTGCAGGGTGGGCTGTATACCGACGGCGAGCATATCGTCAAACGTTGCCTGCGCCTCTCGTGCGGAACCGACATCTGCGCACGCCGTCATGATTTGCGCGTACGTGGTAATATCAGGCGCGACGCCGCGACGTTTCATGGTCAAGCAAAGTCTGAAAGCCTTGCCCCAATTTTGCTGTTCGACCGCGTGTGCAATTTGCATATTGAAGCGAGCAAGTGGTGTACCCTCTGCACGCCGGAAGCGGGGGTCGGGCTGGAAGGCGTAGGGGCCATGCCTCAGACCGCCATTGTTCGTGCTAGCCTGCGCAGTAGCGGCATTCCTCTGCTGCTGTACGCCTACCCGGGCAATGTGAGACACAGTTGTGAGACAGACAGCATACGTATACGCACCTGCGGGGCCCGACGACGAGGCATGCGCATTGCACACCTCTAGTATGCTCCGTGAGGCCTGGCGCTGTGTTGTTTTCAGCGCATGTCTTGACGAGGAGGCGAGCATGTTCGGCCAGCGGTCACTAGCACCGGCCAAGCGCAGACCGACTTTTCGTCCGCGCGCGAACGCCCGGCTCTGCCACGGACGATGCCGAAGCGCGTTGTTACATTTCGGGGTCCGCTCAAGTCCGCTGTATGGAAAGTCGCACGCCCGCAACGCTGTCTGCATAGCCGCGTACGGTCGGAGTCCCAACACGCGTTGTCTCGAACCGCTCCCCTGCCACAGGCGCGACTCTGCGCGACCCCTTTACCTGTCTTCTTGGATACCCTACATCATGGTGAGTGAGAAGACCTTTGCAACGCTTGGCTTCATGTACTGACCTGCTGCAGTTCTACTCCGAGGCAATCCTGTCCCGGCGGGGGCCGCTAGCGAAAGTATGGCTTGCAGCACATATGGAGCGGAAGCTCTCCAAGACGCAGACGCTGCAGACAGACATTGAGCAGTCAGTCGGTATGTCCACCCATGCGTTGTTCCTTTCCGGAATGATATGTGCTCATACCGTGGTGCTGCAGACGCAATTATGGGTCAGGAGGTGGAGGTCATGGCCCTCCGGCTCAGTGGTCAGTTGCTGCTCGGTGTGGTTCGCATATACAGTAGGAAAGCCAAGTATCTCTTGGATGACTGTAACGAAGCATTGCTAAAGATCAAGATGGTGCGTTACGATTGCTTCTGTGGCCGCTGCTTCTCACCCAAGGCCCCAGGCATTCCGACCAGGAATTGTAGACATGACGGAGGATCAACTCGCCGTCAACCGCAACGCAATCACACTTCAGGGCAACCAGCTTGATCTGGATGCCCTCATACCAGATATCAACTGGGACATGGACTTTGACGACCAGATTGTCCAGCCCGGAGGTCAACATATCGCCAAGGTCGCCGACATCACACTGGCCAATGCAGAGGACTACCAGTTCGATTTTGATGACCCAGGATATGGCTTTGATCTCGGGCCTTCCGACGGCATCGGTTCGCAGGATTACGAGCCGCTGGGAATCGACTTCGGCGAGGGCACGGGCGATGTTGAGGAGAGGCGGTCGGAGGCAGAGGACGATAGCATGAGTGTTGGTGTCGGGCGAGATGCGGCACAATCAGTTGGCGGACGAGAGTCGCTGGACGCACAATTCTTCGGCAGGCCAGGTGCGGACATTGATTTGGCCTCGGTCCGGAGCAGAGAAGCATCCGCACGCCCATTTGACGACATCGACTTGGACTTCGGGGGCGATATCGACCTCGGAATCAGCTTCGACCCTATGCCCCTACCTGCCCCTGAACCTATGCAGATTGACGATCAGGCGTTGACACCGCAAACGCCGCGTCTCACGCCGTCGAGAGCCTGTGAGTACTACTTCTATTTATCTTGATGTGGAATGTTATTCTGACATCCCGGCAGCATCACCCCTCACAGAGCCACCACAGACCCCTCCGCCAGGGGTCGAGCTGACACCGAGAGTAGAAGTTCCGGAAGCAGGCAAGGCGCCACGGAAAAAGAAGGAGAAGAAGCAAATTATCGACGCTGTTACCGAGCTCGCAGAGGGTCCCGGCGCGCGCGTGGGGCGCGGACGCGGAGCGGCCGTCGGGTCACAGCAAGTAGATGTAAGCGGCATCGTCACGGAGCACCATTACCTACCCGGCTCCTCCGTAGTTATGCGCCTGCTCGAGATTCGCGAAGACCCCGTCGCGCACTTCTTGCCGACAAGGACGACCGCCGCGGGCACGTTCTTTTGCGCAGCGCCTCCGGGTCTCACTCCTGAGCTGGCGGAGATGTTCATGCGCCCCGTAGAGAGCCTCTCAGCACCAAAGCGTCGCGGCGAGCAAGCGGAGCGACCTCCAAGCAAGAGGGCGAGGGTCGAGGGTACTCCTGCTGCGGAGGAGGAAGTCGAGCAGGCTCGTCGGGCAAGCGTAGCACCAAGCGTGGCTCTCGGCAGCGACGTCCTCGGACGGCCGAGCGTCGCACCCGGGGACCTGGAGTTCGACAATACGGGCGGCATCGAGGACTTCCAACTGCCTGAGTTTCAAATGGATACTGGCGCGGAGATGCTACCGGAGGTGGGCCGCGAGAGGTCCGCTGTGCCGTCAGAGTTGTCTCGGCTGTCGACACCACCGCCCGATGCGCCTGTGGAGGAGGGCGAGGAATCGTACGCGGACGTGACGTGCCCGATTGCGATCTTCGACGATCGGACCTCGCAGCAGAGCCAGTCGGACAGTCAAGCTGGTGCGAGTGATGATGGGAATGGATACAGCAAGAACACTGTCAAGGCATTGACTGTCATCCGTAAGGAGTTGCAGCCCATTCCGGGTCAGGAGCAGGAGAAGGCTATGAGCTTTAGACAGATGTCGCAGAAGGTGTGTAGTGGATGTCCAATTGTTTCTCCTTTAGCTCACCTGTTTTGCGTAGGCGAGCCGCCGTGCTGCATCTTCATTTTTCTTCGAGTTGCTTGTATTGGGCACTCGGGACTGTGTGAAGCTCTCGCAGGCTGCGCCATTCGAGAACATCGAGGTGCGGGCAAAGGACAAGCTCTGGGAGCGTCAGCGGCATGGATCTGTCGCGCCCTCTATGGTATCCGGCCTCCGCCAATCTTCCGCCGCACCGTCTATGGCTGCGTCGCCGAGAAGACAGGCCTCTGTCGCCCCTTCCATCGCATCGGCGTTCGGCCTATGATGTGGATATTCCCATTGACTTTTCTATACTCACTAACGTTATTTCTCTTGATTTCTATCGATATATTTCCTCGCTTTACTCTTGCGTATCGTTATGTTATACTGATACGACCTTTCACGACCTCAATCAAGTACTTGTATCTCTTGTAGTCTCGAACCATAGTCGGTGTCGCAGCTTGTCGCTTGTTCTGCCTATCAGTGTATTTTGGCAATGAATCTAGCTAGATAGCATTTCTGTCGGTCTCAGACTGCACATCCCCGACTCCGACCGGAGGGAGAGAGGAGGGCTTTGTCCACCGTAATTTGGCCAGAGTTATGTACACTCTGCAGGTGCGATTGTGATGCCACTTTCGCGTCTGTCACACGTGATCGTGACGCGTTCACAAGACGCGTCTCGAGTTCAACTTCGACTTGACCGCCATCGACGCACGATAGCACGACCATCTCACGTCCGACCACGGACCCAAAGCAACACGAATAACAACAACGGTGATATCACAATGTTTCCACGGGGGCCACGCTTCGCGGCAGCGAAGAGTGAGTAATGACCTGCACCTTTGTGGCACTAGAGGCTAACGCACTACGTCTAGTACCCGAGGTCCCTGGACCCAATTCATACAACCCTCAAGGTATGCGCTCTGGGTATTTTTTCTGGTGTTGAACTCACATGAACACTAGACCCGGAATACGACGCCTACAAACGAGGTGCATTCCTCGAGAAGACGAATCGGTTTGGAAGGACAAACCGTCGGATGTCCCTGGTAAGGTGTTGCAGAGATTGGCGGCTACAAAACCTCTCACCGGGGTTTCCAGGACCTGGCGCCTACAATGCAGATGCACTTGTAGCCAATGGCAAGCCCGCCTCTGGCGGCCAGAAGACTGTGACTACGGATCGTTACGCCGTCCTCCAACGGAAACTCGAGGACCTGGAACGACTGCACGCAGAGGGCAAGAAAGCGGTACGTAGCGTGCTACATGCACTGTGAAGACTGAGGAGAGCTGAGACACAATGCAACTCTAGCACAGCACAGAAGTTGAACGGCTCAAACTCGAATTCAATCGCGCACAAAGGTCATCTACAGAGCACTCTGAGCGCGCCGATAAGCTGAAGAAGCAAAACGATGCTCTGGAGAGCCGAGTCCAAGAGCTCAAGAAGACAAGTATGTCGGAGCAAAGCGAGCTTCGTGAGCTTCGGGTGAAGCTAAAAGCGGCGGAGCACGAGCGTGCACAGCTCGCTGCGAAGCAAGGCGAGGCGGGCGAGACCAAGAAGGCGTTGCAGGCGGCCGAGGCGCGGAGGAAAGACGACGTCCGCGAGCGCGACAGGAAGATTGCTGAGCTCGAGAAGGCGCTTGCGAGCGAGAAGAAGAAACGCGACCTAGTGGAGGGGAAGCTAGCCGAGGTGAAGGGCAAGGTTGACGTGGAGGTCAACGAGGCTCGTGCAGCGACGTCTCATCTCGAGGCGCAGCTCGAAACCACAAAGGCAGAGGCGCATACTGCCATGGCTGCGCTGGATGATGCGAGGACTCATGCTGCTGAGAGGGAGGAGGGACTGCTGGAGATGCTTGACCAACATCGAGCTACCCTGGCTCGTGTCGCTACTGAATATGGTCAACTCGCGTCAAAGAGTATCTCGCAGACCACACATTCGCGCGTCAAGCACGAAGCCGATGCCCTCCGGCTACGAGTCCACAGGCTCGAGCGCAAACTCGCCAATTCAGAGGGACAAGTTGTGGAGCTTGCCAATCTCATTCGGCAGACGAAGGACGAGAACCTGTTCCTGTCTACCCAGCTGCGAGAAGCGCAAGACGAAGTCTCGCACTATGTCGAGGCCCTGCGCGACGCAGAGGCAGCACAGCACGAAGACGCGCTGGTGCATCCAGAACTCGAACAGGATGTAGCATGCTTGGGGGCCGAGCTCAGAGAGGCCGAGCGTGCAAGCACGGAGGCCATTCGCGCAGATCTTCATTCTTGGGCGGATCTTCACCGCCTCAGGGCGGACGCACTTCTGCTAAATGCCACGACGCTAATCAAGGCGGCGGACGAGGCTGAAGAGCAAGCCCGTCAGCGCAGCTCCGAGTTGTCTGTCTCAGAGGCCAAACACGACGAACTCCAGAAGACTCTCGAGATCCTGCGCACCCAGTATGTCGACGCGCAAGAGCAACTCGCACGGACGTCCGCTGCCTGCGATACGGTCAAGGCGTCCGAAGCTGCGCTCATGAAGCAGCTCGAGGATATGCGCTCGACCAACCTTACGGAGCTTTCCACGGCTCAGCAGGCGCTGCAGAAGGAGAAGGACACGGTCCGCCGGTTTGCGACGACAGTGCAACAGCACCGGGCAGCGGAGGAGGCGCTTCGCGCTGAGATGGATCAGTGCGTCGTGCTCGCGAACCATATCGTGGAGGACATCACTGACATGCTCGTTTGATCGTCAATGGTGCTTTGTGCCCTCATGTTCTTTAGAATGTACGCTGAGCTTGCCGAGGCAGAGCGCTACCGCGAGGCTTATGGACAGCTTGTCGAAGAGGTCGATGCACTCGTGGCACGAAACGCGTTGGCAGAAGAGGAAGCCAGGCATCTAAGCAAGTTCAATGCGGAGATTGTGGGGCATCACAATCCAGCGCAGCGCATCATGTACGTGGACAGGATCAGGAGAGAGCTGCATGAAACAAAGCAGGTAAGATAATGCGGACTAGGATGAAAAGGACTGAGCTTACGAGCGATCTTCAGCAACTACTGATGCTCACGCGCGACCGGGATGCGACAGAAGCCCAGAACGAAGACTTGCAGCACGAACTCAATTTGTACAATCTGTCGCTGTTCCGCCGGAGTTGAAGACACGAACGACGGTGACGCGAGTAGAGAGACTGCAGGTTCCCTCCGCCAGTATCGGTTTGGGTGGTTCGCAGAAGGGCTCGAACGAACTGAACTCCAGGAGTGCATCGTCCATGGCTTCTAACAGGAAGCTGAGCCGATGCCAGAGGTCGACTACATTTCAGGGAGAGATGACTGTAGACGAGATCATGTGAACGAGTGACGATATTACGAGTATACCTTTCCGATTTGTCCTCAATCTAAGCACGTACCGTAATGTACTCTGGTTCTCATTATGTCACAGACCAGCTGAAGCATAGGACCGAATGACACAAGCCAAAACTGAGGTGATATTAGAGCATTCATACTACTCACATATCCCGGGATACCATTGTTCAATCTAGTACCGTGTACTTCTTGAGGTGTAGAGGAATCGCGTCTTCCAGCCCCTTTGACTTTACCCAAGCTTTTGAGAACAGGCGGCTCTGATACCGGTAGGCACCATCGCAAAGTATGGTAGCAACGTCTTGCCTATAGAATAATTGACTGAGAAGTCCTTCGTCTGGAAAAACACGAGGCATACCAGGTCCTACTTTCTGCGCCAGCTTGTATGCCGCAACGACGTTGAGAGCCGAACTGGCACCGAGGTAGAGACCTTCGCTGTCCAGGAGGTCGTACACCATTTCCAGCGACTCCGCATCAGGGATGCTCAGCGCGCCGTCCAGTTCATTCACGAATGTCCCAAGGTTCTTTGTGATTCGGCCCTGACCAATGCCTAAGAAATGTCAAATAAGAGGAATCGCGCGTAGTACGCATATACGCACCCTCAGTGATGGAGGAACCACTCCTCTCCATTAAACTCCCCCGCTAGTCAGATAGCTACACAGCACGCTACCCGGGGGTCGGCGAGCCACACCTGCGTCTTCCCCTGCTCTTCTCCTTCAAGTACATCCCTGTACCCGCCAGCGTGCCACCCGTACCCGTCGCGCAAATGAACGCGTCCACATTCCCATCGTCTGCTCCCAGATCTCCGGGCCTGTCGAGGTATAATGGGCCCTTGTATTCGCGACGTTGTCGAATTGGTCTGTCCAGATGGCGTTGGGTAGGCTCTTGGCGAAGTCGCGGGCCTGATGGTTGTAGTTCTTGGGGTTTTCGTATGCGACTGCGGGTACGGGGTAGACCTCTGCGCCAAGCATGCGCAAGAGGTCGATCTTTTCTTGACTCTGGATCGTCGGCGGGACATTCAGCTGGTCTGCAGACAACTTCTGATGCCGTCAAACTTACCTGAGAATTGGGCATGAAGATCACGCATTTGTAGCCCCGAGACCTGCAGACATGGGCGAGACCAATGCCAGTGTTTCCAGCCGTGCCCTCCACGACTGTCCCACCAGCTTTGAGCCTACGCGGAGGTGTTAGCTACGTGTGCGACCGCATAATACGGGAATGTGCGCACAATCCTCGATTTTCTGCGTCCCGAACGATACCTAACGCAGCGCGATCCTTCACGCTACCACCAGGATTTTGGAACTCGGCCTTGCCAACAATGTTGCACCCTGTCTTCTCCGAGAGTTCTTGAGGCGGATCTATTCCCAGAGTTCACCTTCACAACCTCGACACAGGACGCCAGTTGATACATAGCACCCACCAGAGGAGTGTTGCCGACGGCGCCAGTGAAGCCATCGACTGCCCGAGAGGTGAACGACCTAGCCAGAGGCTTCGCCCGCAGAGCACCCAACATGGCGGGATAGAAGAATGATGGAGGCAACGTGGGGATGCTCTGCGAAATAAGAGCCTCCCATGTCCGACCGGTCCTGCGAAGGCGTCATCATGAGCAAAACCCGAGAGACAACTGTACCCGGCAATCGCGCCTCGAGATCCCGTCGACATGGTCGAAGTCACGCAGCTGAATTCTAGGCAGCTCCGAGTATTATCTTCACTGTATGTACGCCTACCAGTGTCGTGACCGCCACTCACGGATGGAGAAAAGCTCATATATACGCTGGAGAATGCGCGAAACGTAGGTGACCGCGCCGACAGAACACAGAGATCCATTAAAGTGCATGTACATAGGTGTATCATCGAGGAGGGTAAGCAAAGATGTCCTAGAATTGAGAGAAGCGAGGAAAACAGACGTGTGGACCGGCGTGTCCGTCGTGCAAGCGTTCGTGCGGGCCATGAGTATCAAGATTAACCAGATTACCAGAGAGGACGGACGGGTATCGAGCAGGTTACAGCAGCCAGAACCCGGAGACAGAATGGTATCTTATATGACTTCTTATGACTGGCGCTTCTTGACGTTTTGCGAGAGCCACTGGAGACCCTCGAACAATCCTTCTCCAGTCGTAGCACAACTGAGAAGAGTCAGACGTGTGCAGGGATCAAACAAACAGGCCACATACCTCGGGTGAACATACCATGACCTATCGCGCATCCGATGCAACCCCAATTTCTCTGTCACCTCTGACGGTGGCATGGCTGTCAAATGCTGCTTTAGCTTGCAACGCCCTAGCGATGGGGACGCGTACGAACCTCCTGGCAGATCCTGCTTATTGGCGAACACAAGCAAAAGACACTCCTTCATCTCCCGGTCACTCAATATCCGGTGCAACTCCTGTCTAGCTTCATCTATCCGCTCCCTATCTTGACTGTCCACGACGAACACGAGACCCTGCGTCCCCGTGTAGTAATGCCTCCAGAGGGGCCGAATCTTGTCCTGGCCACCGACATCCCAGACATTGAACTTAACGTTCTTGTAGGTTACAGTCTCGACGTTGAATCCAACTACAGAGTAGATGGCGCCTTACGACCTGCTGCAAGCGTGAAGTGGGGGAAACGCGTACCTGTCGGGATCGTTGTGACAGACTGGTTCAACTTGAGCTTGTAAAGAATGGCTGCGGAGAAGGCAGTCAGCAGGCGACGCGTCGCCTTATCATGGTGCCAACTCACTTGTCTTCCCGGCGGCATCGAGACCCAACATGAGCAGCCTCATCTCCTTGTTCCCAAACAACCTTCCTGGGGTTCACAATGGCCGGTTCGTCAGTCTCCCGCACTGACAACAGCCACTCGCGTCGCGTGCTTACCCAAAGCCTTTGACAGATTAGCACCCATGTTGTGTGTTGAGATGAAAGAATGTGGGACGAAGGAACGACGGGAGTGAGGTGGCCAACAGAAGGAAGGTCGCTGAGAGCTACGACCGCCAGAACAAATTGGGCCAGACCAAACGCCACGCGACCCCTCGGACACTCCCACCCCACACTATCAACCCCTCGACATCAGCCCATCACGCGCCCGTTTCAGCATGCAAAATCATCATTATAAGCACCTATACAGAGAGCATAAAATAGTACACGATATCCTAGAAGTCGAGGTATGGTACAAGACCGACAAAAAATACTGCCAGTGCTATCCAGAGGGGACCCCGGTCGGTGGCGGCGAGCTGAGTTGCGACTGATTGAACACCTTCAGCCATCCGTCACCCATATCAGACCGGAGTGCCTCTATTCGAGCCCGGAACGCATCTGCCTCCTTGAACTGGCCCGCCTCCTCTGCGCTGTCCGCCGCAGGCTGATACATCGACGCGGAGACGCGCGAGCGCCGCTTGGCCGAGCGCGACATCGTACCAGCCTTGCGTAGAGATCCCCCTCGCTGCAGAGCGTTGTCTGTGTCATCCGACGTCGCGAAGGACGACGGAGCATGCTCCGTGTGATTTCGGCTATGCCGCGTCTTGGGTGTTGGACGGACAACAGCAGGGGCAACGGGGGCCGCAGCCGGATATATCGACAGATCGCCGCCCACTCTGGGTCCAGCTGGAGCAGATGGCTCTGGGGCTGAGGGTAGTGGCGCCTTCGCTGATTTAGGACTCCGTGTCTTGTCTGCGCGTCCTCCAACCTCTGAGCCTACACGGGCCTGTGAAGCGGTCCTAGAGCTGCCAGCATCGCTCATGCTGTGATCTCCATCGAGGTCAACGATCCTCTTGTTCTTCTTGCGGCGTCCCCTTGCGTTCACCGCAGCAATGTGCGGCGATGCCCCATTGGACGGAGGGGAAGAATGTGATGAAGGGCCTTGCTGTGGGCTGGCAGTCATCGGAGAGGCACCGTTCCGAACAGGGCTGCCCACCGCCACGACTGGAGGGGTATATGCGACAGATGGCGGTCGCGAGGAGGTCATCTGCTGTGACGGCGGCGACGTCAAGTACATCTTCTCGTAGAAGCTCGGCGATGCCCCGTCCAGGAGGACGCTCTTCCCCTCCTTGGTAAAGTGGTCGAAGCACCGGATCCTGTAGCCCTCCTCGATTTCCGTGAACGGATTGCCTTCGATCCAAACCTCGGTGATGTTTGGAAGGGCTGCCAATCGCCCGACTTCCGCGCTCTCCTCGATGATGTTGTGGCGCAGGTCCACCCGCTCGAGCGCGAGTAATCGCTCGAGGCCGCATATCGATTCGAGCCTGTTCTTCGACAGATTGAGGTACAACACTTGACCGAGCACGGTGTAAATGCCCAGCACAGAGTCGATCATGTTGTCGGATAAGTTCAGGGATGTGAGGTTATATAACGATTGGAGGCCGGGAGGAACGGACACAAGCAGATTGGATGATAGGTCTAGGTGAGTTAGCGAGGTAAGGTAGGGGAGGGGAGACGTCGGCAGGAAGGTAAGTGCGTTGTCCGCGAGAGATAGGTGCCGTAGGAACGCCCACTTCAGCGAAGGCAGTTCGATGGGCTGAGTGGCTTCGGTGTGGATTCGGGAGTCGGCTGCTGAGAGTCGTTAGAAGGTAATAGGCCCTGCTCAAGGTTGGATGGGGGCTCTTCCGGACTAGACTGCGGTGAACCATCTTCCTCTTCCTCTGCGTCCTCCGGAACTGACTCGGGTAGCCGAGAGCCGCCATAGAACGACTGTGGACGTGAAAGGCTCCTCGGTAGTCTCCTGGTCCTTGAGTCCTTCACCCGCCCTTCTCTCCTAGCCTGGTCATCCAGCACTGCACCGATGAATATGTCCGATACATCCTCCAAACCGCTGTTCTTGATCGACAGGCTCAATAGACTCTCCGCCAACCGGTCCCAGCCGAGCAACGTCCTTGGATCGATGTCGATGCACTGCAGCGTCTGCAGACACTTGAAGGCGTCCATAGGCAGCGCGTTCTCGTTCGGAGCCTCCGTGGCGAGCTCGGCGATGAGCTTCGCTTCTGGCGCGCGAAGTGACAGCGCGGGCAGCTTCGTGAAGCTACTGTAGATGTACTTCAGCTCCGCGTCCAAAGTTGGCGGCGGCGTACGGAACCAGCCTGCCCCGAGAGACAGCTTGGAGACAACAGAGAGCGATGAGCGGAAGGACATGAGGGAGAGGGCGTCTGACTTGTCAGAACTGGGGAAGATATTGATATAGTTCATGGGTCGTGACGGGCTGTCGACCTGAACGTCCAGGGATCCTACATCTATCCCCAGCGCTTCGAGACGCATCAGGAGGTAGAATAGATGGTGGATGTCGAATGACAGTATGACAGGCTTTGCGGTGGAGGGAGCAGCATTGTCGGACGCGAACCAGCCGAGAGGATTAAAGACAGAGGGCTCTGCTGCTGCGGGCTTGCCGCGTCGTCTCCGGGGGATGGCAGCTGCAGCGAGTCCCTGCTCGTGCGTCCTGATGTACGTCGCAATGCGCCTTGTGTACTCGTCGCCGGGTTCGTTGTCCATGACTGTAGTCCAGCTGTAGTGTGCGCGTGAAGGAAAGAAGCAGGTCGCACTCACCGATGGGTCCACTAGTCGACGCCGACGTCTGCCAGCTGGGGGCGCGAGAGCCTCACTTGTGTGTGGAGGAGCAGTTCGGGGCAGCTGGAGGCCTGCAGCGAGCAGGCTCGGGCGCGACTGCCCGATCGGGCAGCCAGTACTCCAATGCACGCACGTGAGGACGCGTAACCTTTGGGCGCCTCAGCAATACGCTCCGCCTTGTCCGCGTCCGGGCTGTCTTCATCTCTTCCCACTCACCACAACCATCACGATGAAGATCACTGTGAAAACTCTTCAGCAGAAGGTCTTCCAGGTGCGCACCTGACTCGAGCTAGTGGTCGATGCGCATCGCAAACGCGGTGCTTTGCTCTAGATCGATGCGGAAGGCACGGACACGGTGGTGGACCTGAAGAAGAAGATCGAGCAAAGTCAAGGACATGGTATCGAGACGCAGAAGCTGATTTACTCTGGTAAGTACGATGCGCCGTCACGCGCATAGATGACTGAAGGGCGCGCCGCAGGTAAGATCCTCCCAGATTCAAAGACAGTGGAAGCATGCGAGATCAAGGAGAAGGACTTCTTGGTGCTTATGGTGTCGAAGGTGTGTCTCACTCTACATCATGACGCAAGGTCGAATAGTACTTAGCCCCGCTTAGCCCAAAGCCACCCCTGCTGCCCCTGCCGCCTCGACCAGCTCTGCTGCGGCTTCAAGCCCGGCTCCCGCTGCCCCTGCTCCTGCAGCACCATCCCCCGCGCCTGCATCGTCGACTCCTGCCGCGCCCCAGCCACCCAACGCGCCTCTTCTATCACCAGCGCAGCCTGCGCCCGCTGCTACATCAGCTACGGAACGCGCCTTCTCTGACTCGAACTCGTTCTTGACCGGTGAAGTGCTCCAATCTACCATCAACAACATGATGGAGATGGGTTTCGAGCGGGAGCAGGTAATGCGCGCGCTGCGGGCTAGTTTTAACAACCCCGACCGAGCAGTCGAGTACCTGTTCAACGTAGGTCTTATTGTCTGTCCGCTGCCCATCACCTGCTAAGCATTCCCGCCAGGGTATCCCGGCACATCTTGAGGCGGCTGCGGCGGGCACACCCCAGGGCGGTGCGCCGGAGGCAGCTGGTGGTAATGCCCCCGCCGTACCTGCTCCAGCGGCAGCTCCTGGAGCGGCTCCTGTGGCCCCCGCCCCCGCTTCGAACCAGCCTCAGAACCTATTTCAGCTCGCCCAGCAGCAGCAGCAGCAACAACAACAGCAACAGCAACATCACCCAGCGGCTGCTGCTGGTGTAGGTGGTGGTGCGCCTGGGCTCAGCTTGGACGCGCTGATCAACAACCCTCAAGTCCAGCAGCTGCGCGATCTGATCGCTCAGAACCCTGCGCTTGCGCAACCGTTAATCCAGCAACTCGCTGCGTCGAACCCACAACTCGCCCAGCTCTTTGCGAACAACCCTGAGGCGTTGCTGCAGCTGTTGGGTGGAGAAGGTCTCGGTGGTGACTTCGGCGACGATGAGGGTGGCATTCCTCCTGGTGCGAACGTGATTCAGATCACGGAGGATGAGCAGGCGGCGATCCAACGCGTACGTGCTCAATAAAACTGCCATCGTTGCTACGTACTGACATAGTTGTATCTGCAGCTGGAGGCACTCGGCTTCCCCCGTCAGGCGGTCATCGAGGCATACTTCGCGTGTGATAAGAACGAGGAACTCGCGGCAAATTATCTCTTCGACAGCAATTTCGAAGACTCGTAAAAGGTTGGCAGGGATTGGAAGTAGCTCCTAAGATTGTACATGCATGTATACGTATTATTCGTACCGACTCTTCTCGTGAATTGTATCACTTCCAGAGCATTCGTCTAACGCTGATTACGAGCTGATATGTATACCGGGGTGTCATTTGAAAGGCATTCGACATGTTCAGACGGTCGTTGTACGGCTTTGGTGTTGATTGTGAGTTGTGGATAGGATCGCAGACTCCAGAGGTCCCTGGGGGTGCACTCTTCGCGTACGTCTTCGTCACGTGAGCGACACGACCCGCGACCGTGGCCGGACGCGTCGTGCAGCTCTTGCTAACGGCGAGGCTCGAGCGCGACTTCTACCTGCTTCTAACGACTCATGTTGCTATAGAACGTCTTGCCAAACGTTTACCCGATGTCTAGCTCGATCCGTGCACCATGGATTCACGACTATCTTCTTCAGGCAGCTGAGCAACATGGCGGCAGCCTAGTTTCTGTCGGATTGGAGACGAAAGGTCGCAGGGCACAGTTACTACAGGTGAGCATTTGACCAACTCATTACGTGCTGTCTCTCATGGATACTATAGTGGTTGACATACCCTAGAGATGACGACGAGGAAGTCTTCATATGGGCGATCATATCTGACAAGGTCCACTCTGTCTATGTTCGGTTCTCTAAGGAGGCCGTGAAGTCCTTCAGGCAGTACGTCTGTCATCTCTCAGTAACAACATTGTAATTTCACCCACATATATATCTCACTTCATCTCGTGATATTGAGACCATCTGGTAGAATTGCCGTCTGCATCACTGTGGTCTGAGTTGTTCAGGTTGGGTGTGGTTGGGTGTTCGTCTTCGTTCTCACAGTTTTGGCCGCCTTCTCTGTTCTGGCTCGTTTGCATTTGCTGACTTGCTTGCACATTACTTTCGTAGAAATCCTCTGTTCTCAGGGAGAAAACTCACGGAGTACCGGACAGCTATGATCATCATCAAACAATTCCGCCCATTCTGCAGTCGTATTCCGCTGGGGTGGGACAAGGGCATGTCAAATAGCGTCCACGTCTGTCTAGAGGTCAATGACTTCGGCCTGTCGGGGGCGTTCAACGAGCCTATGTGGGGAAGTCCCAAAGCCATTGAACTACACTCGGATATTTCTGAGTGGGTCCAGGGCTTGCGGCAGGGCGGAGGTGCTGGGTACGCATAAGACTTGGACTGCCCATCTCAGTAAGCTGACGTGCCACGAAGTAACGTACTCAAGCAACGGAAAGCAGCACAACTGCAGAATGCCGACGCAAACGAACAGGCCAAAGATGTGCAAGACGCTACGGAAGGTGCTTCGCATAACGAGGCGGCTCCGAAGGCGATCCCACGGAAAATCACGCTTGCGGCCAGAAAGACAGTTATCAAGCCCCTGGTTGTTACGACTGTCCAACGACCGGATTCTGTGCGCGTCGAGACGAAACTTGACCCAAAGGAAGCTTATGAGCGTAAATGGAAGGCATGTACCCCTTGAGCAGTGCAGGCTTCGTGCTTACCCCCTTGTAGCCGTTTCAAGCCAGCAAGAAATATATGCCAGTTCCTGAAGATGTCAAGGAGAAGCTCCGGACGCTATCTTGTCAGTACAGTCAGATGCTTGGTCTTTCAATAGGAGCTAACCACTTACAGTCAACCTGACAACCACAGTTAGCGACTCTGGCCGATCGGAGTCCACAGGTGACAATGTTAGCGATGCACCCACACCGTCGTCGCGTATAAGGACGCCTCCTCGGAAACGTCGTCGTAAGCACTCATACTATGTTGAATGACCTGACTCACTTAACTCCGCACTACGAGGTAGGGCGCGACGCGTTGGACCTCGAGTCGAGTGAGCCAGACAGTCCTGACTTCCGTCACTCTGAGCTACCAGAGGAACCGCTGCCTGCCACCCCATCTCATTGGTCGCCGTCCAATCGAGGAAGTCCCCGAACGGACGCTGCGAGTCTAGCAGCGATCGACGAAGAGTCTGAGGACGATGTAGCCTCCGTCCGTCCCAACAATTCATCACCATTGCCACCAAGCAGAGATCCCTTCCAAGTCCTCCCTTCTTCACAAGACGATAATGGCTCGCCTGTACCAAGGACAGCCCAGACGGGCGTTCCTGCTTCCTCTAATGCTGTTGCAGCTCCCGAGCCTACATCTTCCTACTTGAGTGCTCCAACGCCTGCTCAACGACCTCGTCCTGTGCCCTCTTCATCTTCGCCGCCGTTTCCCTCAACTGCGCAAGAAGTGTCAGTCTCCGCGGTCATGGAGACCCCTTTAGCTGCTCCCTTCTCTAGTGCCCCACCTATCGCTGCTTCCCGTCCACCTCACCTACGCCGAGTACCTCGCCCCATTTACAATCCCCTCTCCCCCGATCCGAACGTGTCTGGTCCTGGTCGGATTCTTGTACCAAACTCAGATACTTCTGCTTCGCTATCGCAAGATCAACCTTTCTCTCAGCCATCGCAACAGGACAACTCGTCGCAAGAGAAGAGTCAAGACCAGAAGGAGCCACAACGCTCGCAGCAGTCGCTATCATACGCGTCTGAATCGCAGGGTTCGAAGTCGGATCCGAAATCCCAAGGTTCGCGGCAATCTCAACTGCGGAACGAGGTCACAGCGGCCGTTGAAGAGGCAGTCAGAGAGCCCGTGTCTCCAAATGTGGCCATCGCGGAGCAGTCGAAGAAGGTCGTGGATCGTCCTCAGTCTACAGACGACGCTCGACCGTCCAATCCCCCGGCGTTGGTGGCGGATGATGCTCCTGATCCGGGAATCTACCCCGAAAAGGCTGACGAGAAGAGGAATCTCATCTCCGCGAAGCCACCACCGGCTCGAATTCGGTCCAAGCCCTTCATACCATCTCAGCAAGTGGTTCCGGATAGCGAGAGCGAAACGGAACAGGAGAATACCGGTGACGAGCAAGACGAATTGGAATCCGCCGCTGGTTCAGGGGGCGCTTCACGCCATTCTCATCCGCTTGACTCGGATGACGAGAGGACTAAAGCGATGGTCGACAGGTACACGGTCAAACACACCACAGGATCGACGGTACAGAAAGTTCGCGAGCGCACCCGCCAAATGTCGTCAACAATAGTCATGCCTCCCGTTACTCCCAGCCGGAAGCAATCCTCTGTAGCTCCTCGACAAATCAGCCGTACGGAAGGAAGCGCCATGTCGCTCGCCCACAGTCACAGCTCGCATTTACCACTCCCTCCCTCCAGCCCCGACGTCTTCATGAGTGAATATTCGTTCCATGCGTCCCAGATATCCTTGCCGACCCAAGCTGCGCGCCGAAGAAAATCCCTACGCACGCAGTCCACGCCTAACGGTCCTACCACACCTGTTCGTGACACGCGCAGGTCTGGCTCTCCGACGGTACCTGCAACCGGAGTGGTCGACACTGGCTCCTCTGACCGAACACGAGTGGACAAGCCACCGCTACCGACTCACGATCCGGCCGCCTGGGAAATGCCTGCCTTCAAGCGGAAACCGACGTATGCACAGTCAGACAATACGACCTCCAAACCAGTTCCTACACCCCGTACCAAACCATCAAAGCGGGCGATCAGTGTGTCATCTGGCTCAGAACCCGACGAACCCCCTCCCAAGAGACGGAAGACATCTACTGCTGCTGCTCGTACTGCTGGCTGGGTGGAGGAAGTCAGCCAGAATTCGGCACCTCAGCTCACGATTGGGAAGAGTACCAATAGTGCACCTTGTCCCAAAGGACCCGACTCCGCACCCCCCGCTCCCAAATTGGACCGCCAACCCGCAGCGGGACCCTCCACATTGACCAAGCATATTGACCTGCGGCGGAGCGCATCCATTGTGTCTTCTATCCAACCGATTCGGAAGAAGCGATCCGATTCAGGACGCTCAGCCAGTCCTGACAAAAGCACCTCTGCGAAGCCCGACGTGAGGATGGTGAGGCAGCTATCTCCTGGGGGTTCGACGCCCATCGAAATCAAATATGTGACCTTCAATTCTGGTTCGGGACGATCGTCCTCAGCTTCTATCTCGAAGGCGAAGATGAAGTCTCGTGGCTCCGCAGACACTACGCCCTCCGTGCGAGACAATCGTACCAGGGATGTCCGTGCTGATGCTCGTCCGGTATCAAGATTGGGCGACCGGAGTCGGCCTGCTGAGCCTGGTCCGCCCACGAAACAAGCCACGCGTGTCCTTGCGAGACGCAGTATACCGAAGGGCACAATGGAGGCTCCGAAGCAGACCCCTGTGTCCACTGCCTCTACACGGATCCCTCCAACGTCGGCCGGCTCATCCTCTTCTGTGGTCAAGACCAAGGCAGGGCCGTCAAGAGAGGCCGCAGCACCTCGGCCACAACGACTCCTCGGTGGCTACGAGGTCGACTTTGACATGTCGGTCGAAGAAGGCGGCCCCCCGCTTGTGACCTGGTCCATGTTCCAAGAGATTCTCAGAACCACGGGCAGAGCTAGGCACAAGCTGAAGCAGGAGGCACGATCGAAGCAGGGTCGTGGATGACTTTGCGGCTGCCAATGTGGTTTTGTGCTCTTATCATTATTCATTCGCTGTAATGTTGCTGTGTACCCCTGCTGTCATTCTCGAAATCTCTCCGTCTGTGCCGCGCAATACAGTAATATCTCTGAAGCTGTCCCCCATCTTCACGCTGGTAATCCTTCAGTTACTCAGTCAGACTTGGAGCTTGGAGCTTGGACGTGACGCGTGACGGTCCGTTCAAGCTGGTTCAGCGCTTAGACTCTATGCCCGAAGTTCGAACCATGCCCATCTTGTTGCACCCGTGACCTCATGCGTCCACCCTCTACCCGCCACCACCATGTCCGAATACTGGGTCGCGCACAAGAAGTACTTCTGCAAGTACTGCAACATCTACATCGCAGATGACGCCCCCTCGCGGCGGCAGCACGAGACCGGCCTGCGGCACAAGGGCAACGTCGAGCGGTTCGTGCGCGGGCTGTACAAGGAGGGCGAGCGGCGGAAGCATGACTCGGAGGAGGAGAAGCGGGAGATGGCGCGGGTCGAGCAGGTGCGTCGCTAGACAAGCGTGCGCGTGCGTATGTGTGCGATGTTGACTTTCTGTGGGGCTGGTTAGGCAGCGCAAGCAGCGTACGCGAGGGACGTGGGCGCGGGCTTGGTCAAGCCCGGAAGCAGCAGCACATCCGTCGCTGCGCGGCCTACGCCCGAGGCGAAGAAGCCTGTCCCCAGACCTTCGAACCCGTACGCAGACTATACTACGGCAGAGTCTCTAGGAATCACGGACCCCGACGAGGAGCGACGCAAGGCCGAAGCGGAGCGGCGGCGCACGCAGGGCGTCGCGGGCGACTGGGAGGTCATCACCATCGTCGAGTCTTCCGCCGAGCCTGAGGCGGGGGCAGTGCACGCTGGAGCTGCGGTACCTGAGCCGGGCCCGAGCACGGGGATGAAGCGCGAGGCGGAGGCGATCCCGGATAATGAAGACACAAGGACTTTCAAGCTGCGCAGACGGACAGTTGGGGTCGGTCTGGGGGAAATTTACGACCCAGGCACGATACCGATCAAGGTGAAGAAGAAGGAAGAGCCGGCTGACGAGGCCCTACCTGGTGCGGCGGCAGAGAATGGGCCCGCTGCTATTGGTACATGGACGGCGGTCGGTGCAGGCAGTACGATTGCGACGGAGAAGCCGAGCTGGTTTGCGAGAGGCTGGAATCGTCCAGGAGAAAGCAAGGCGAACGAGCCACCAAACTCAGAACTAGCCGCTCCTTCTGGCGAGTCCACTGTTGCGCGAGAGGGCCAGGCGGAGCCGGTGGAAATTGAACCTACTATGACCACAATAGCCAAGGAGGAACCCTTAGCAGTGGATGATGTCGCGGCGAAAGTCGAGATCAAGGCCGAGGAAGCTCCAGTCAAACCTGAAGCAGACGCTTCTCCGGCGGGAGGGGGTATGTTCCGCAAGCGTAAACTGCCAGCAGGCGGGGCGGGTAGCAGGGGCAAGCGGACATGATCCATCGGGCAGTTCCACCATCCTAGTTACCGAGCAAAGCATCGTTGCGACTCGAGTTACAGCTTGGTTAGTCCGACTACAATATAAAACCGCGTTTATATTGATGCTGACATCCTGAATCTTGCCTTTTTCTACTATCGCATCAAGTTCCAGCCACGCTCATTATGGCATCCCCTGGTCAGTTGCACTACTGCACTGGCAAAGAGATACAGACAAGAGCTTGCGCGTGGCCAGTGGACTGGGCCACAGACCTGGCAGCTGTACGTCCGGCCAGCGCAGGATCTCTTTGAGGAGATCGAGAGATCACAGGGGGGGCATTTCTCTGCCACTTAGATTATTCGGGGCGGGTCGTGCACCACGAGCCGCAGAATGTGGGCGATCTAACTATTCCACTCATCAGACGAAGAGGTGTATACACATGTACACTTACGGATGACTATGAGAGTATCGGTGTCAGGTCATGCTGTATTGTTCCGACGCGGGTACCGGAAGCGGATGAGTCTGAGCTTCTGAGGCGATGTATGTGCGCGGCGGAACGCCCGCCCAACGGGTGGCTCGCACTCTGACTGTGACTGACTCGTCGTTCCCGCCCACAGCGACATACCGTATAGTTTCCATACTCCCGGAAGAAAGCTTATTTGAGCTCAACGGTCGGGAAGCCCTGCGAATCCCGTTATCTCTTCCCACTCAGCTTCTCTACTTGCACACCCATCATGGAGGGCCTCCCCGCAGCTGCTCACCCAGCCCCGACCTCCGTGGAGGCTACTGCCGGTCCTCGGGATGACGGGCCTCTGCCAATGTCCTTTCCTGCGGTCCTACGCAACCCGGGCATAGCAGATCGGTTCGCTCACCTACATAGGAGCGACTCCAGCCACCTGCGTGGGTCCTCTGCAGCTCCTGCAGCGCCCAAGAAGAACAAGCGTGACGAGAAGGAGGGCAAGCGGTGGGTGAGGCGGAAGGAGAACGGTGCGTGTGCTGCTTCCCCTGGGCATGCCCGGTCTGAGGGCATCTGCCTCGTGTCGATCGCATCTGCACACCCCAGCCCGCTTCGCAGGTAACGCGCACATCGTCCTCCCTTCCAAGCGCGACTACGCCCTCGTCGCCCCGCACAATCCGTCCACCTTCCCCCAGCCTCTCCCCAACTACCTCCCCCGCAACAATGCCATCCCGCCCGCCGTCCTTCCCGGACGGGAGCCCGCCTCAGCGAATGCGGGTCGCTTCTCGATGAGCCTCAAGGGCATGCGCCGCGAGCTGCGCAAGTCAGGACCGCGCACAGAGCAGCTCGTGCGCGAGCTCGAAGACGAGATCCTGGCATGGCTCGACGGAGGCGTCATGCTCGAGCCAGACGCTGCAGCAGAGATAAGCCTTCCAGGGCGGCCGGTCGACAGCGGAGACACAGTCAAGGAGGTCAGTCGGACACCCCTCCAGCTTGTGTGGTGGATCGAGGACAACTCCTGGACGCGCTACGTCGTGCACTGCTGTGCGAGGTACCATGAAGTCGTCAGTTTCAGTACGTCTCCCCCTCTCCCCTACTCCTCACGCTGATCCTTACTCGCACTCTCGCACTCGCGCACAGGCAAGGACAACTCCGGCCAACGTCTCACCTACCTCCTCCGCCCCAACGTCACCCGCCCGACGCACGGCCTCTCCACCGGGCTCGACACCCCGCCCGCGACGGACCTCGAGTCGTCCGTGCACTCCGACTTCGACGCTGGCTCCGCCTCCGACGCCTTCTCCGACCGCCGCTCTGACTCTGGTCTCGACTCCGACGTCGAGCTCGTCGCTTGCCCTGCCCCGCGCGCCCTCTCCGCCATCGCTGAGTCCGCCCCGGGGTCGCCCGCCCGCGCTCCGGCGCCCCTCGAGCCGCTGAGCGAGGACGAGTGGTCCGTGATAGGGGACGATGCCGATGCGGAAGACAGCGAGGTCGAGGCTGCTCGCGTGGGGTCACTCGCGCTGAGGGACGCGGAGGCCTCCCCGCGCATGCGCCAGGCGTCGTTCCGCTCGCATGTCTGGGAACGTCAGCGACGCTCTGCTTCGTCGCCCTCCCGCTCACCCGCTAGACGACCCGCGAGGATGTACCGCGTGGAGCCGCCACGCTCAGCACTCCCGTCGCGTCGGTCGTTCCACGAATACCTGTTCTCCTGAGGGCCAGGGACCTTCGGGGAGCTATTTATGATTCGTATCGGTTCGTCGTAATTGTCTCCCGCTTCTGACGGTTGTACGCATAGACGTGCATATACTGAGCTGTACGAGTAACCTACACACGTGTGACTACAGAGAATTGTACGAGTCCATAGGAGTCCGTAGATGGCCTGTCGCCCCTCGGCTGAATATGAAACATGATATACATTATAACGATACGAATGTCCTTGGCTGTCCTGAGTTAATGGGACGAAGAGGGGCCTTTCAGCCCGTGAAGACCCGCGCGATGAGGTACATCGTCGACCCCGCGAATCGCTGAGGGAGCTGGTGAGCGGGATTATATACTGGTCAGGAAAAGGACTTACGACGATGGTGGTTATAGCGACGAATGCGAGGATGAAGGTCATGTAGGCCTTCGTCCGGGTGAGGGAGTTGTCGCCCGTGAACGTGTTGACTGGGTCGCCACCCCCAAGGATGGCCAACAACAAGACGGCCTGAACAAATCGTCCAAGTGAGCATCACCGCCAGTCTCGCGAACTGCACGGAGCACGCACATTCGACAGCACCCAAGTCAGGAGCACCTACACCATCGCCCCGTCAGCACCCATCCACCATCTACCCGTCAGCGGAAAGCCCACTCACATTTGTCCTGACGTTCGCATAGTAGTCCTTCGCGGTCTGCTCCTGCTCCGCGAGGCTGCTCCCCGCGTTCGGCTTCGTGCTCGGCCGTTTGTACTTGATGTTCTCCAGCGCCTCCTTGTAGATGTCGTCCACCGCCGCAGCGTCGACAACCTCAATGTCCACCTGCGAGTTGCTGTTCTGGATGACCGCGCCGAGGTCGGACTCTACTTCTGCGTCTTGCTTGGTGCCCCAGGAGATCTGTGTTGATCTGTCAGTATGTGTTGGTGACTGCAGGCGGTGTGATGGTACGCACGTCATCTAGGTTGGAGAACGCATAGCTGATTGGAGTATCGGTGAGCCGTACGTTCATTTGGACCTTGTGATGGCTTACATGTTGAGCAGGTTGATGTACGTAGGAGACAGCAGCAAGTAGGGGATGAAACTCGTGAAGAGGTGCCACGGGTCCATCGCGAACAAGCTCGACAGAAAATACACTGGCCGTTCGTCAGCTTGCTTTAATCCCTCTCAACCAACAGAGCCACACTCACCTCCGTAGGTGATAATAACACTGAATATCATCGTCTGGTAGGCAACGCCACCACCGTTTGCAGCCTTAACAGCACACGTGATGGCACAGAACAGCAAGTAGACCATCATCAATGCCAGCAAGATGGCCGTCGTTTGGTACTTCCATTTGGACCTGAACGCCGCCGAATAAGTCCTCGGTATCACATCGCAGGTCTGTTACTTACGCTTTCGGCTTGTTGCCCATAGAGAACAGGAACGCGGCCACGACAATCGCACCCATCACGAACTGAACGACCGCGTTCCAGTACTTGATGCCTTCCATACCGAATGCCGGGGCTTCAAGTGACGAAGTCAAAATAATCTACGGAGAGTCAGCACCGGAGTTGCCGTCCAGAGTAATCCTCGACCCACGAAGAACAAATAGAAGTTGCCCTGCCCAGCGCAAGTCAGTCAAGTACCGCTGCATAGACACGACACGGACTCACAATCGCGAACCAAGCGGCAATGAGGTTGATGACGTTATATATCGTCTCCATAACCAGAACGACCTTCCTCCAAACACTGTGGCCCGAACGCAAGATCTGGCCAAGATGCGCGATAGCGTACGTCGCTGCGAAGAACGAGCCATTGAGCCATCTGCGTCGCTGGCTGATGAACTCTGGAAGTGCATCCGGCACATCAGTCTCTGCGATAGCGCTTTTGACGTATTTGAGGATCCAGCTCGAATTTGCCTTTGCAACGAGCTCGAAGCATAGAATACGCTATACCTTGTGAGTCCGAAGGTGCAATGAAAGGAGACACATACTCACATCTTCAGCGAGGTCTGCGAAAGCCAATGAAAGGGTAAATCGCCGTCTCCACAGAATCTCCGAGTAGACTTACACATGTTTGACGTGAAAATGTCGGTGTCTCGCCCATGGAGAACTTCTCCCTTGAAATACGACGCAAGTGGTCCCCGACCAGACCTGTCGTTCTGCAATGCGATGTAACTACAAAAGCAATTAGATAGTGCCGAACGTAGGAGCGAACCCAGACAAACCGGTAAGCAGAAAATGCGCCAGGCTAGTGGATGACGGACAGTAAGGTCAGCAATCAAACATACAGTGACTGTACCCTGACTGACCAGTACGCTAATGTAGCCGAACAGAGACTCAGTCGGTTTATCCAAAATGTTGGCGATCTTGTACTCGAAGTTCTGTGCCGCGACTGAAGGGCGGCATGTCATTACATTTTTCTATTTGCTGGTCCCAACAAATGCATACCTAGAGGGTTGATCAATGCTGACCAGCGCTTTCCCTTGTAGGCAGCGATCTCGCCACATGCTCCAGCAACATTGGAGTTCAAGTCGAATGCTTTCCATAGGTGGTATATGCTCTTTGGTCCCGGTCGCGTCCCGACGTCTAAGAGTACACAAACATTGGGCTATATGCGGTCCAGCTTCAACACCAGTCGAATACCAGGCCCGCGTGATGTTTACCCACCTGCAGTAAGGACCCAAACGCATTGAAAAACCACCGGTGACTGTTTATTTTCTTCTGGTTCTTGGCCTTCATGCAGAAAATAATTTGCGTGGGCACCACACCCTTGTCAGGGTACTTGAAGTGAAGATCCGCGTCGAGCCCGAAGGAAGTTGTGTATTCGAACAAGTGCGCCGTCGTCGGTACGTGATTGACTTCTTTCTGCATGTAGGCACCCGGCTGATACACGCCGAGTAGCGTCAAGCAGTCTAGAACTCGAGGGTGCACCTTGGACCTTCCGTCGGCGACAATGCAGACAACGACCTGTGGGTAGCAAATGAGCTGACGTTGTACTGTTGTACAATGATGTTGCTGAGACGAACCTTCTTCCAGGCGTCGGGGCCCCATGTGCGGGAGTTCTTCCTGGAACAGAGATGCGAGATGTTTTGCATCACGCCATACAAAGTCCTGCAAAAGAGAACCTCGTCTTCCTGCATGGAATTCGCAAGTTCATAATGTACTCGAACGACCAATCGACTCACGTTATACATCGTAATGACGATAAACAACTCGGTCGTCCTACCCAGTTCGTTCTGTCTCAAGAAATAACCGTTCTTCTCGAAGTTGTCAGGGTCGCACGTCACCGCTGTATAGCGCGCCTGCTTCATCTCCGGCTCGACCTTCCATGGCATGATGAGTTTCGGTGGGACATCCAATTGCATCACCAGATTTCCGTTCGTGAGTTGCACCCGTTTCTTCGTCTTTCGACGACGCACCATGCGCCCTGCGGGCACAGGCCCGAAGTGACGTGTGTCGGTAGGGGTCTCGGGTTCGGTGTAGGGCGTCCCTGTCGTCGACAACGATGTTTTCTCCGGGTCAGCTGGAGGAGCAATGGTGGCACGCCATGGTTTCTCGTCATAGAATGTGCCGCCCTCATATTGGTATGCGCGCTGATGGCCTACGTCTTGCTCCTCGTCGTACGTCTGCGAGCGCGTGTGTCGCTGTGGCGAGTAGCCGGTGTAGTGCACACTATCATTGCCGACGATGTGGTAGTCTTCGTCGTCCACTGCGGGTGTGGGAGACCGAGAACGCGGCGGACGATAGGACGCACGCGAGTGCGTTCCTGAGGCATAAGCCTCAGCATCATGCCGAAAATGGTCGAGTGCGCTCTGAGATCCTGTGTAGCTTGTCTCCAGGTCGGACTGCTGCTGAAATGGATAGTCGGGGTGCGCAGCATGGACGGATGTGGCAGCAGAGCTATAAGCTGACGCGGGCCGGGAGGGGGGCTGCCACTGAGTTGATTCCTGAACGTAGTCTTGTATAGGGTCCCCGTCTGCTGAGTAGTAGGCTGTGTGTGATGTGTGCTGAGGAGCGATGGCTCTATAGTTTGAGTAGTCGGAGAAGGGGTCGCGCTCTCCGGAGAACTGTGCGTTGTCCCACTCAAGAGGCTCGCCGGACTTGATGGTTGGGAGCGCACCATAGTCACTTCCCGTCCCGGGGACGATATGGATATAGTCTTTCTCCTTTAGCTCGCCGTCCAGGGGCCCAACGTACGTGGATCCTGAAGACACGCTGCCCCTAGTAGATGCTCTGTCGCCTCCGCTGCTATTCTCCTCAGTTGCCTCTGGAACGGGTGGAAGTGATGGTCGGCGTGATGGTGAACTCCTAGAATAGCGCAAGGCCGGTGCAATGGCCGTGGGCTGGTAGTTCTGGGCGTATTCCAAGGGATATTCGGCCGGAGAAGCGGCTATTCCAGTATCATTGAAGGTATACCGTTGAGTATCGCTCGAGACGTTGGAAGGTAGCTCATACTGCTGATGCCGCTGTGAATAATCGTCGTCGTCGTCATCGAGTGGAACGTATGAGGGTGCTGCTTTGCGATTCATGACTGTCGTAGTGGTTCTGTCGTAAACGTGAGCGCTATCTGCTTAAAAATTGAGACCGAAAAGCAAGGCATAACGTCTCTCTCAATTGCTCACATGGATTTGCCTCGCGATATCACCGCGGTTCAGAGGCAGGTCGTTTCGCCGTCCGCGTTGCGATGACTTGTACTCGCCCGGAGGGGTTAAAGAAAGGACTTCCTCAGCTACAGCAAACAAAGCGAGCGAGCATCAGAAATACAAGCAGCGTGTGTGCGAGCTCGTTCAAACGAGCAGCTGTATGATGATGTTGGCCAACATTAACCGCCGCACTGAGTTCAACTTCTGCGCGTCAGACACGTGATCGCGTCCATCGCACGGGCCCCGCCACTGGCATTGCTTTTCCGGGTTCCCTCACTGCGCAGATGAGTACTGTCGCTGGATCTCATCGCATAGCCCTCAGATCATACAGTTACACATTGATACAACATATAAGATAGTCATGACGGGAATAGGTCACCACAAACCAGGCGCGAAACGATACAACTCCCTGCATGCAGTCACTTTCTCCGCTTCCTCGTGGATCCTTCTGTAGCACCAGACGGGGCTGTTCCACGTTTCTTACCAGAGCTAGATAGGATGTCGGATATACTTCTCGGCTTGAAGCCTTTCGAAGTGCCGGCCACACCGGCATGGGACAGAACAGTAGTGGTGGATGGACTTTCAGCCTGAGCTTCTCGAATAGCCTCTTTGCTCAAGCAGAAGTCGATGTGCGCATTCAGACCATCATTGTCTGTGACCATAGTCTTGGTGCATATTGGGCATGTCTGCGTATTTGATTCCTTTGTCGTTGAAGTCGCGCGAGAGGGAGAACTTGGCCGATGGCCGCGCGAGGTGATGGCAGAAGCCGAAGGGCCAGTAGAGGACGCGCGGACAGAACACGATTCTGCGAGTCGAGGGGATTTTAAATTCGAAGAGGAAGATTGTGAAGACGTTGGTGCAGGTGCTGAGTTCGGTGGCCTGGGGCGGTGGTCAGAGCGCCTGTCCGGCTGAAAGCGTTCATCTTCGAAGAAATTTGTATGGTTCACAGCCTTTTCATCTCGCTCGGCAACAGGAAATGCGAAGTGCACATCGTCCTTTTCTTCCTCAGCCTCAGCTTCCTCATAATATCCAGGCATCGCGTCTTCCAATGAAGCCTGCAACCGTGTAGTCTCTTCTGGCTGTTCCTCGACACCAATCCGCTGTTTTTTCGTCGGTGACCCACCACTATCAGCAGCCCCAAAGAACTAAGGGAGGAAACTCATTCAATCTCTCCATAAAGATTTCAAGGCGCCTACCTTCATGATTCCAGAAGCCTTCCTCTCCGCCTCTGCCTTGAGGTCCTTCAGCTTTGTCACGCGCAGCCCAATCAGTCGTAGATTTAGCGGGAACTCGGGCATCAGGAGCTCCTTCCCTATCTGCAATGCAAGTTGTGAGGTCAGAAGAGCGAGATACCCGTAATAGTGGGCCACTGACTGCGAACAAGTCCTCCTTCTTTGGCGATACCCACCGATCGAATGACTTCGCACGCGTGAAGACTGGCGAATATTATGCGGGCCATTGTCATGACGTTATGAACGAAGAGCTTCGCATTCATACCTTGATATGTATCCAATTTGTACTTCAGCGTCACCGTTTTCCCAGTCCACCCTCCTTCGTTCATATCACTCTCCAGCTCTGCCGCGACATCCTCAAGTTTCTGAAGGATCTGTTCCTTGTCACTGATCGGCGAGAATGTACTGGGCAAGGACCAGCCATGAGTACCCCGGAAACTTCAGTTTGGCAACACGACTAGCTCACCGCTCGGCGCCGATGCTCTTGCGTTCCTCCCGCGTGCCGGGCTGAACAATGTTCGACGCGATACCAAGATAGGCTTGCAACAGAAAGTGTAGACCGAATTGCTTATCCATCAATGACAACACTGCACGATGGGCATAGATGTCTCCACATGTCTGCATGAACATGGACGGAACCCGAGAAAATGATAAGGCTCGTCAGTGAACACTTTCACCGTAGGCCGTGCTTCAGCCGCGCGCATTCTCCGCACACGCACGGGGTACATGGGGAGTGCGGCGCAGGGCAAACTCACCTTGATTCCTATCGACTCCAACAGGCGTTCGTTAACACGCCCCACCCCCTGTACTTTGCGGATGGACAGATCGCGCATGAAAGCCTTGATCGCGCGCGAGTTGAACTCTAGCTTGAACTGGCCGTTCGGCTTGTTCTATGGCGGCACGACGTTACACCACTTTCGTCCGAAACACGGAACTGGAGAAATGAACCTTGTCTGAGCAGATCTGTGTCATGTCAGGTGGCCACTCTGCTGAACGAGGACATGCAGAATCACCTTGGCAAGCATCTATATGGAAGACAATTTAGAGCGAATTGGCAAGGAGCGCAGAGCGTGCCTGACCTTGTTCGGCGCAATACCAGCGCTGACAGTCAATTGTGTTTCGCGGTGCACTGTCTCGCGCATCTCCCGCACGCATTCCTCTGCGTCCACTCGATGCTCCTCGCAATAGGCAGTGATGCTACAGAAGGAAGAAGGGCATATAGGTCTTAGGGTACTGACACCAACTCGGGGAACGAGCTTACTTGAGGTAGCCTTCATCGCAACCAGCAGCACACATGTTGGGATCGTACCGCTTGAAGACGTCCATTACCCGCTTCGACATCTCCATGTACCGATCAAAGTGTGTCTCCACGAGGATCAATTCGGGACAGAGTTTCTTGGCAATGAAGGCTGGAAGGCCCATAGGTGAGCTCTAGCCAGAGGCCCGTCGGGTCTATGCAATTCAACGAAGTGACGCACAGGACATGCCCGACCGCGCTCCAAACTTCCGCGCCTCATACGAGGCGGTCGTCAGGACGCCTTTACCTACCTGAGATGTGAACGATTGGTGGAGCGCCAATTGAACGGAAGAAGCGTACCACTTACGGCGAAAGGCTTACCCCTGAGGCTTGGATTGTCAAGTAACTCGACGTTGGCGTAAAACGCGTCCATGTCAACGTGCACGATGATCTGAGTGAGGTCCCGTTGTGCTTCCAGCTTGACTAACTGGGCAGGGCGAAGTGTCAGGCCGACCGGGCATGGCGATCCAAAGGAGAACTTACAAGATGGTCTACTGATTGCTCCACACTACCTGCAGTCGTGCACGTTGACTGTCATGGCCGACGATGCTCAGAATGCACACATACGAGTATCAACCCCTTTCATGACTTCGTCGCGATGTTTCAATATTCGGGCGATGCGCTCTGTAAGCTCTTTGTCCTTGCGTTTCTCATTCTGAACACAACAAGTACTTGAGCTTCAGGAATGCGTCCGTGGTGCATTGCAACCGACCTCGTAAAACTTGGAACCCTTCGAAGCCTCTGCTATTATGCGATTAATCTCGGACTGGTCCTTCGCAAGTCTGTTGACAGGTATCAGGGTAAGTCTCAACAGTCGATAGCACCTCGACCTACCCTGCTTTCGTGACGGATGGACCAGCAAGACGTCTGAGGAGGCTGTCAGTTTGCTGTGATGGTTCCGGAGGAGCCGTCATAGTGGCCTCGTTTGGCATGTCATTGGCCGACATATTGAAGTTTGCAAGTCAATGACGACCCAAGTAGATATCAGTTTCCAGACTGCATAGGACAGCAGGCAGGTCGAGAGCAAGGGCGCAGCTACAGCAAGGCTTGAGCAAGGCCTGCGCCAACGGCGCCTGGCACTAGCATGGGCGTTTGTGACAATTACTTCACGGTCCCGACCAGTGCGTTCGCGGTGGTGTGACCGTGTCATGTTCTGCACCCCGCGCGTCAACGCGTCACACATGTTCAGTCCATGACTAGCGAGCTCTCGACCTCAGGCCTCAGGCCTCAGGACTCAAACGGTTTCCCCACAAACAAATTTTACTACACAAAGACTGGATCACATCATACCACTAGTAAGCTTCGAATGGCAATAGAACGGGATACTAATCACGTTCAAGGTACGTGACAAAGTCCGAGTTCCCAACATTGTACTCGCAATATCATCAGGCTATGCACCGAGTACGTCGTACAAAAATCCGCCCTGATAGACACGGCTATGCAGCAGTCACAATGCCGCCTTCGCCTTGAGTGCGGCGTCCACTATCTCGGTCATCGCAATCACCGCCTCTTCCTCCAACGTCCGACCGACAAGCTGCAAGGCCACAGGTGCATTCTGAGAGAGCGCAGGTTCATCTATGAATACCGTCAGTGACATTGTAGTCATGTGCACCATCCATGATGGGGTTTACTCACACCAACTGTATATTGCTTCATCCGTCTCGCTGAGGAACTGGTGGGCAGGCTTCTTCGCGTCCAAACTGAGATCGACCCTGGTCACTGGGAATGTGACAGCAGGGTAGTCCAAGGCATTCAGGACCTTGGTATAGTTCGAGTAACTATGCCTATCGTAAGAGTATGTTCCAGCGATCTACAGGACGACTTACTTGTTCCTGCCATGCGGAGGGGCTACGAAGGGTGCTCCAGGTGAGATGATAGCATCCACAGGTCGACCAGTGCCTGAGATCTCAGCCGTCTTCTGCCAGTGGTCCAGATACTCCTTCCGAAGATCTGCCCTAGCTTTCTGAATCTGCCACAGCGCATACGCAGATATGCCCGTCGGGTCAGGCCGTACGGACATGTCCGGCTCGCCGACACCTTCGACAACGCTCATCGTTGAGATGATCGGTTCGCCAGTCTCCGAGGTAGTAACTTGGAAATCTTCTGCTGCGCCTGCTTTCCATATGGCAGACTGATGCTGATGAGGGCAGCGCCACGACAAAATAGAGGGGTCACTTACGATAGTGTTTGTCAGTTCAAGGTGCTTGATTGGTTGCCAATCGACAACTATGTGCTTGTTAGTCGCATGTTTTAAACCAAACCGTTATCCAAACCTTTGTGACCAGCCGCGCGTAATGCGTCTCGCGTCATCTCCAAAGCTCTGATGACTGGCGGGTGCGGTACTACGATGCCGTCATTCCACAGGATGGCGAAGCAAAGGGTCGATCCGCCTCCGTGTTCAGAAAGCGCGTACGCTTCATCATCCCATTTCTTCCTCACGCAGAGCGGGTCTTTCGTCCACGGGCTTTGACTGATGACAGCTTGCATGAATGCCTTCACACCGCTCAGGCTATTGGATAGCGGGCCGAGGACAGACGGGATAGAGTCTTGGCCAACCATCGAATTGACAGCACCTTCGTATGGTATACGCCCATACGATGGTCGTAAGCTGTATAGGCCATTGAAGAGAGCCGGTATGCGGATGGAGCTATTGAAGATATTACTCGACAGTCTGCGCACTTGGACAACCAGCTGCACGTACCCTCCAATATCCGAACCAACACCGAGAGGACTACCCTTCAGGTGGATTAAGGCCCCTTCGCCACCGGACGAGCCCCCACAGGTAAGGTTCCGGTTGGCGGGGTTGACTGTTCGACCGAATATCAGATTGTACGTTTCTGGCCACTACGCATCGCCTCATTGTTAGTCAGGATAGTGACGCCGACGAGGGCATGCGCACCATCAACGTCTGAGGGATATTGGTCCGTACAAACGGAACAGCCCCACAGTCATACAGAATATCAACGAGCGTAGCATTCTTCTCGGCATACTTGCCGATCCAGGACACATATCCTACGACTCCCGATGAGTTGCGTGTATCGTTGCCACGAACAAACCAGCTTACCCATCGTGGTTTCTAGGCCTTTGATGCATAGCTGATCCTTCAGCGAGATAGGAAGCCCGTGCAAAAGGCCAACGACCTTGCCCGTCGTCTTCAGATGCTCATCCAATTCCTTGGCACGAGCGAGCGCACGTTCCACAAAGATCTCAGTCAGGCAATTGACCTACATCATTCCACGCAGTACACCTGTATCAGCAAGGATATGAACAGACATGCAACCTCAGACTGCTTACAAGTTGGTGTGCGACGATCGCCCGCTTGTAGAAAGCGGTGGTCACCTCCACCGCCGACCATTCGGCAGAGGCGAGCTTGTCCAGCAGCGCGCCGACATCCACAGTGTTGGTGATCTCCAGTTCCCTCGCCGTTAACAGACCACATTCCTCTGGGATGACGGTCACATCAAGTGCTGTATCCGGTGGTGTAGATATCAGCCACTCTTTCGGGATCGACTCTTGTTGACGTAGCCGCTTATCGGCGACCAAATCCTGCCAGCGTTGAGACATCTCGAATGCAGGCCGATGGGTGTAGACAAGATGAAGATGTTGACACCCCCTGGAAGCGACAGGCAGTAGATGTACATGTAGATATGTGTACTCGCGCAGAGACACGAACCTAATATCCAGAGGCACAATGCATTGATAGGCAAATGTAATACAGTCGACGTCCCACACGTTGAAGCCGTATCTACCTTCCCGAAGCCCCACCACAGGCACACAAGCACACGATCCAAGGTTGACACAGGGTAGGAGGGTCATCTCCTTATCGCTGTGGCATTAGGGAAGACGGCGGCCTCCCGTCGGACCGGGACGATGAGAGCGCAAGTCCTCAAATCTGCAAGAAAGTTGTCATGAGTAAGAGATGTCACAGTGAGCGAACGAATAGAGATCAAATGCTCAGAAAGCCATTCATGTCAGCGATACACCGAAGAGCAGAACCCTAAGGTGCAGCGAGTCGACTAAGAGGTGCCAGTGGGTTGAGATACAACACTCGTCGTTGCAAGAAAAAAAGAGTATTATACGAGAGCTTGGTACTCACCAAAATTCCCTGAGACAAGCCGCGGTCGTCATCCAGCGTGTCCAACTCAACGCGGGGAGTGTAGCAGACGAGCAAAGGCAAGAGGAAAATTTGCACATTTATTCACTATGTTATTTGTTCCTGTTTGTACTCCGCGCCGGAGCTTAATTTAGATGAGTTAAGTAACGACAAAGTAGGCAGTCGATCTGCCATATAAGGTAAGCAGGTTACTTACCTGCGCTGGCTTGAGCCACTGGCACTTGATTTCAACTTGTCTCTATGCACTCCCAGCCATGTACAAGATACAACCTATAAATACATTCATAGATATACGTAGCGGTATAAGGATACAGCGGCCTATGGGCCAACGAATATAGAGCGAGATCTCTGCGTTTAATTCAACACTGCGGGAAGCCTGCTTCGCGACGTAAGATGCAAGGTTACACCCCCTTTGATCGAGTCAAACATCCTTGTCGACCTTCCGGACGACAGTGACACACGCGACAATGGAATCCCAAACTTCTTTTGTGCCTGCGTCATGGAGCGGATGGCCATCATTGCGTGGCGTGGTGGAGGCCGTAGTAGCGAGCGAACCTTGCTCGATGAACCTCATGGGCGTGAACGTGGTAGACACGAACAACTTTAGGAAGCCTGCTCCAACGTCCGCCCCACCTGCAAGGGAAAACGAGAGAGCCTCGGACTCTGTCGTCCCAGAGCCGATGACCATGTGCGAGTGTTTACGAAGGGGAGGGACTTTCGAGATGGATGGATTAGGATGGTAGACCATGTTGATGCCATAGCCACTGGCATCCATGTAGGCGAGGTAGGGCCAGAGGTCGTAGTCGGAGTAGTTGTGTACGACGACGGCGTAGATCGAGGTCTTCTCGTCGTCCACGATCTCCGCCTTGCCGTTGACGAGCAAGTTGCCGCTGATGCGATCCCAAGAGGACGTGTCCAGTCGGTACAGCTCCATGTTCACGAGACCAAGCAGCGGGTTCTCTGGATTCTTGCGGTGAAGATGCAAGTGGAAACGCGCGGCGTCATCCACAATCCTGACGTCGCCACTGGTTCGTCGACTCGGAAGTCGGATGATGCGACGAGCGTTCGAGGCGATGACAGGATCGTGTCTCTCCACCACCAGGTCTCTCTTGCGAAGCTGGACAGATATGTCCGCCTGCGTGGCACTCTTGACGCGCAACATGCTCAGGCCTGCCCTAGTCGCGGCTTGTTCCGCATCCGATGGGATCTGTTTTCGTAGACGGAAGCGGCGGCAAAGGGAGAAGAGGGATTTGCGGATATGGACGCGGAAGGGTGTGCGGTTGTTCCAGCGCGTGATACGAGCCCAACCGTGGCGCACCGCTGACTTGGCAGACGATTTGCATCGCGCGAGACACCAGGTGGGATAGACTTCGATGGCGGAGTATAGCGCGACGGACGGGTTCAGGGAGCCACGGTGGTTATGGTGATGGATGGTAAACTCGGTTCCCTCCATGATCCCGTGGATGGCGCCAGCCTCGACCCGCACCTTCTCGTCGTCATAGACGTCGACGGAGACGTAACGCGCATCGGCCACGAAGGGGATGCCGTCAAAGAGGATGCGATCGGTGTGTCTGCCCAGCGAGACTGCGTCCTGGTGACCGTCCATGAGAGTCGAGATCTCGGTGGTCAAATCGTCATAAGTGAGCTTGTGCAGGGCGACACGCTCCTTCAGAGTCATGAAGGCATTGGTGAAGTTGCCCCCAGACTTGCCTTCACATGCGAACCATCCAGAGCCACATGCCGCCAAGACGACGTGGCTAGCGTGACTGGAACCAGTGAAGCCACGACTAGCGTTCTTCTGGCCTGGCTGTATGGTGGCGCTGCGCCAAAGCCCAGTGAGGAGATCGCCAGGAGGCGCCTTGACAGTAGTGGTGTAGCGAACATGTCGTTGGCCCGCTCCTTCATGAGACCGAAGAGGCGAAAAGCAGGTATCGAGCATGAGCGTAATATTGTCGCCCTTGGTGCGAGAGAGGTCGTCGATCATCGCGTGCAGCGAGCGATCTGATATCCCCGCAACGCGTCCCTCCGCTGCGCGCGTGTCGTGGTCGTAAGGACACAGGACCTCCACCTCGCCGAGGCCGTGCTGGTACCAGCCAGCGGGGGAGTGCACCCGGCTGCCATGACCTGCGAAGTAGATGAGGATAGCATCGCCGTGCTCGATAGCTGCGTTATTGATGAGGTGACTCATAAACTTGTCCTCGATCCTGCGCTTCGTAGCATCGGAGTCGAGGAGCAGACAGATCTGGTCCCGTGGTACGTGGAGGTCATGGGTAAGCCAGCGCTTGATGTTCTTCGCGTCGTCGACGCAGGACTCGAGGTTCCAGATACGCCCTGACTTATACTTGTCCACACCAATAATGAGAGCGAAGACCCGCGTCGCCATCTAGTTACTTGTCTGTGCGTTAGAGAGTGGCAGGGAAAGTGAGCGAAGCTATTCACCTTCAGAAGCGCTTGTCGACCGTGTTGGCTCGCTTCCGGGGAGCACACGACCGCTTATATGGCTCGGGATGCCTGGGGATGCGTATGAGCGCAGAAGGGACACACCGTCATGCATGTTTCATTTCTGTCTGACGCGATCCATGAGGATACTTCACTGGCGCACGTTCAGTATCACAAGGACCGCGCATCCATCACTGAGAAGACATCGACAGGCTCTATGGGCCTCGATGGAATAATATCGCCACAAATGTCAATGAGAGCAAGATCTTGTGCGACGTTCGGGGGCTTCCTTGAAGTGGATATGATGCTGAGTTTGTCCGAAATATATCTCGAAAGAGTCACTAATAGCAAGATCAGCGGAGCGCTCAGAATGGCTACTCGGGGTTGCTTACAGAGTGACGCACCGAGGAAGGGGGGCGCATAGCCACGGAACGGACTTGAACCACAATCGCACGCGTTATGCACGAGGAGCACGCCTGTAATAGTACAATTGTTCCCTCTGGATCGGACGGAGTGGTCAAGGGCATTCCGTTCTGTGAGTGCTAGACTGCTCATGTAAGATCGGGATAGTTCCTCAGGCTTCAGCGCTCAGCAGGCATTGCAGATTTGACCCTTTTGACAGGTTTGAAACACCTACTTATGCGATGTCTCTGTCACGAAACGGTCGTCTACTAGGACTCAGCTCTAGTAGCCATGGAGGGTGGATGGTATGAGAATTGAAATGCACTGGACTCACTCAATCTCTCGTCATCTACACAAGACATCTGAGTTCCAGAGCACAAAAATTGATATGCGACGCGTCAAGAAGTGAGGCAACACTCAGCCGTGGTCGCTGCATGGGGATAAGAGAGACATGATCACCAACCGTTTCTACAGTGCCTTCCTAATCAGGCAAACCCGTTAAGTACTAGACTCACGTGATGGACGCATTGCGCGGCGCGATCGACGACGCGGATCCCAACCTCTCGCTGAGTCTTGGACTTCTCGATACTTACTCTGGCGGCATCTTCTCCTGAAGCTGTGCAGACGGCTTGCGGCGTAACAATACACTTCGACACGATAGTCGGATTGACTGACTTAACGCTTCAAAGCGGCGGGTGTCGACAACCATACGATCGTACTGCGCGGTCCCCCCGAGCCGTAGCACCTTACCGTGCGTCACTTGTCTCTTCTGTGCCTTTCCTCATTGACGATAATCACAGAATTTGACTGACAGGATAGGAGCGAGATATATCCGCTTTACGTCCCTCATTGCATCGAGTACATCATGAACTTCGTGTGTCAACAATGCAAGCAGCCTCTTCAGGTGAGCGTCCCTTTCGGACAAGGCGACCCGCATCACCCACCATCTTTAGCTTGATGAATCGCTGGTCAACCTCACGCCTTCCGCCTATGACATGGTGGTCGCGTCATCCCCCAGCCCACCATCATACAGCCGCCAGACAGCAGATTCCGAGAAGCTCGCGCAACTCCCTGCGCCTGCATCCGTCAAAGCAGCATGGCAGCGTGCAGCGCAGAGCCGTCCCGCATCCCCCTCCTCCCCGTCACCTCGCGCGCAGAAACGGCAGCCGCCACGCGCACCGCCGCACCCCAATGAGTCCTTTGTGCTACTGCAAGACAGCGTCGTTCGCAATATCCCCTCGCCCCTTCCCACGACCGCCCCATCGTCCGCGAAGAGACTGTCCTATCCGCGGTCGAGGACCACCCAGCCTCCCCCAGCACCGCCGCAAATGAGCCTGTACCTGAAGAAGTCCACCATCCGAATCCCTCGCCGCTTTCACACCACCTGCGGTCCACGCTCCGGCTGTTCAATCTCCTGTCGAGCAGGACGGACCTAGATCATCCTCTGTGCGCGGAGTGCACGAACATCCTGCTTACTACGCTCACGCGTCAGCTCGAGGAGACCAAGAAGGAACGAGATGGCTACATAGCATTCGAGAAAGATGTGAGGAGGGAGAGGGATCGTGAAGGCGATGGTATGAGCAAGGAGGAAGCGGATGTGAAGATCGAAAAGCTGAAGGAAGAGGAGAAACTTGCCATTGAGAAGATGCGGGAGGCCGAACGAGAACGCGATCAGCTGGCTGTGGAACTCAGGGCGCTTGAGCTGGAAGAGAAGGCTTTGGAAGAAGAGGAGGCAGAGTAAGCTTTCAACCACTCACGGTGATCTCCTGCCTGATGCCAGAATGCAGGTTCTGGCGTGTGCACAACGCACATCTCCTGAAATCCGCAGAGCAAGCATCGCAGCTCGCAGCGCTCCGTGCAGCATATGCAGCTGATTCTGCGACGCTGGAGAAGCTCGAACGCACGAATGTCTACAATGATGCGTTCTGCATAGGCCATGAGGGTGTCTTTGGTACGATCAATGGTCTGCGGCTCGGTAGGGTACCGGGTGTCCCTGTAAGCTTCTGCCATTACTTTGTGCGTCCTGGGGCTAAACATTTGATCAGGTCGAGTGGGCGGAAATCAATGCTGCATGGGGGCAGACATTGCTCTTGCTCTATACGATTGCTCGGAAGCTCGACTTCACGTTCGAGAAGTGAGTGATCATGATCTTGTTTGCCGTAGTGATTGACGAACGTCATCTGTATAGCTACCGCCTGGTACCTATGGGATCGTTCTCTCGGATAGAAAGGACAACAGGAGACAAAGCCGTCTACGAGTTGTATGGGTCTGGTGACCTGCATCTTGGTCGTCTGCTGCACAACCGCCGGTTTGACTTTGCGATGGTCGCTTTCCTGGACTGTCTAAAGCAATTGATTGACTATGTCAAGTCGCAGGATCAACAGGTCGAGTTTCCTCATCAGTACGTGTTGCGACGCAAAGCGTCATCCGGGTACTCACCGTGTAATATCTGCAATCAGGATCGTGAAAGACAAGATCGGAGAAGCTTCTGTCAAGCTGCAGTTCAGTCAGGAAGAGGCATGGACACGTGCACTGCGCCATGTTCTGCTGGCCTTGAAGATATTGCTGAAATGGACAACGAATGGCAGCAACGGTTGAATGGCTTGTCGACTGCCCTGTCCTCACGAATCGCTGGCCGTTTCGGCTAATCGCTCAGCATCTTCGCGACCCACGACGTCAGAACGTCTATGCTCATGTGCCCTGCGGTGCCGATGGCGAGATACCGGCCATCCACACTGGATGTCCCTTGTACTATCCGGCTCGTCGAAGTCGCATTAGATGGTAGTCTGTATACGAGATCGCGGCTCGATAGTGGAACTGTATGTAATAAGGACGTGGTTCACTAAATACCGAGAATGCCGCGGGCACGCGTACCTCACGCATCTCGTAGCCAATCTGCAACATGATCGACCCGTAGATTCTTCTCTGCCCTGCTCCGCGACGCTGCAGGGCCTCCGCTGGCTGCTCGCGCCTGTGGTCGATGACCGGATGAGACTTACACAGAGACATGACCGAGGTGGGAAGGGTGATGCAAGGAGCGCGCGCGTCCGGTGCTCCGGTATCCGATCGAGAGGAAATTGCCCATGCTAACGCATCCGGTGGCCTTTGTCATCATGCGCCTGGGGTCTCCTGGAGTATAACTGGGCTCTACACCATAACGCACATTCTCTCGTTGGCCGCCCGTCCTTGCTAGCCCTCTCTCTTTTTGTCCGCAATATTAATGGGTCTCCTCTCCCTCGGCACTCCTCTTTCGTGCATGACGCCAACCCTACGCCGATCACGTTAGGACCCACGGGATCACACAATTCCTGAATATCTGGGACCGTCTGAAGGACAGATGCGGGGACGAGCTGTTGTGGGGAGACGAAGTGAGTCGCCGACGTCTGCGACATCCGGACGCGGCGGTGATTATTTTACTGCGTGCAGATCGAGTATTTGGTGGTTTCTTTCGATAACGAAGGAAAGAACGCGAAGCTCTCCTTGCGGCAGACTGAGATCCTTGCAAAGCTTGCTACAATCACCAACGACATCGCATCTGCTCGTGGAGAGTCGTGAGTGCTGACCCGCTCCCTCCGTCCATGCGTATAAAGTTTGGAAACGTAGTGCCTCCGTGCCAACCTTCCACCCGGAGTATGGCCGCTTCATGCTCGAATCCACCCGGGATCTCCCTACACGGGATCTCTGTCGGACATCCTATCTGTCGAAGATGACATGCGATGGCGGTACGTCCAGAATCCATAGGTTGAGGATTCGTTCCTCATCGTCGCCTCCAGTCGGCAGCTGGCGCGCAGGTACCTCAAACAGGACGAGATCCCTACACCCTGACGTCCTTCCCACGTCTGGGTGTGCCCGGAGTATTCACAGACCCTTATTTTGATCCTGCGGATGCGGAATCCAGCCACAGTCTCTTCCTTCCAGAGGAAATCACAAATCCTCATGCACGTTTCCCGTTGGTAGTGTCTCGTGCTTGACACTGCTTTCTTGCGTTGAGCGTTCTCCCATCCTGCAGGACACTGACGGCTAATATTCGCGGCGGCGCGGCTCGAAGGTTGCATAAATCTCCCGCTCTATATCGACTCGCGTACTCCGCGCCCATTTGTCGACCCAACTATTCCATGGCAGCGGAACTTATATCCGGAGGACCCTGGTACGACGGCCGTCCACTCTTCCTGAAAATTTAACGAGAGAAGCTATGTCCAGAGGCGAAGCGGGAGCGCGCTGAATGATCACATTTAACATGGATGCTATGGGCTTCGGCATGGGATGTTGCTGCTTGCAGATCACGTTCCAGTCCTGCAATGTCAACGAGGCAAGGCGACTCTACGATGCGCTGTGCCTATCGCACCGCTCATGTAGGTCACTCTACCGCTTGTGATTTCTGGACCAATCTTGTCACTAGTTGGCATTGACAGCGGCGAGCCCTCTCTTTCGGGGTTACATAGCGGACGTCGACTGCCGTTGGGACGTCATTCGGCGTGTGTCGATGATCGCACAGAAGAAGAGCGTGGGCTGAAGTACTACTCTGTGACATCGGCAAGTCCGCCGGTCTAACGGCTCCGAAGCCTCTCAAAGAACCGCTACCGAATCCCCAAGTCACGCTACAGCAGCGTGAGCTTGTACATCTCCGATGATTGGATGCACAGACCGGAATACGACGACATTGATGCCCCGTATGACCAAGCAATCTTTGACCGCCTGCAGAAGCACGGTAGGTATCCTCGCTTCGCTATAGTGTGTGAGAAGAGCTGACACGCGACGATCGATACTGAAGGTATCGACAATATTCTCGCGAGACATATTTCCCACCTATTCATTCGCGACCCCATCGTCATCTCTCCGAGACAGTTGACCAGGATGATCGAACATAACGATCACTTCGAGGTACGACGTTGACGGCCACATTGGAAAGTGGATATTGATCGTGGTCTACGCCATCAGAATATTCAGTCGACGAACTGGCAAACTGTCCGTTTCAAGCCTCCACCGGTCAATTCGCCCATCGGCTGGCGGTGGAGTTCCGTTCAATGGAGGTTCAAATGACGGACTTCGAGAACGCTGCCTTTTCGATCTTCGTCGTTCTCCTCTCGCGCGCGATTCTCGCCTTCAACCTCAACCTCTATCTTCCCATCTCCAGGGTATGTTCCTCTTACAAACGCGGCGTCTCCCATAGGTCAACTCTAATCTGGCATTGTGCGAAAGGTCGACGAGAACATGGCGCGTGCGCAGAAGCGCGAGCCGTGCACACGGAGAAGTTTTACTTCCGCAAGGACGTGTTCCCGCCGGGTGTCCTTCGAGACCTGAGAGCCGGTGCTCGTCGTGTTCTAGCTCAGGCGCGAGTTCGCCTGTGAGCTCGCCCGTCGACGGGACTCCCAGGAAGGAGAAGAAGCTGAGGAACTGCTGGCCGTCAGTACGCGTCCTGCGAATGGCACGCACGCGAAGCCGGTGGAGGATGAATATGAGGAGATGTCGCTACAGGAGATCATGTTCGGGAAGGTGAGCATCGTGGGTGACTTCCGCAGTCAATGCCTTGGCGACAGACATTGACTGTGGGCATGTAGTGCGATGCGTTCCCAGGCTCTTTGGGCTAGTCTATGCGTACCTAGAACGCTAGACATCGAGGAGGAAGAGCGCGTGAAGTTGGAGCGCTACCTTGACTTAGTCAAACGGAGGACAGATGGTGTGTGCCCATAGCATAGCGCCGACCACCTGCGTTGACAATTGCGACAGGAACACTGAAGACGCCGCGACCTGGCTCCGAGAATTCGTCCGCTCACACCCAGCGTACAAGTTTGACTCGGTCGTCAGCCAGGAGATCAATTACGACCTGTTTGTCGCAGTTGACGAGATGTGAGTTTTGCTGGGCTCGTCTCGATATGGCTCACACTAAATAATGTATACGATGCATCCAGAGAACGAGGTGTCAGAGACACCCCCGACTTCCTGCCTCACAGCCACGCCAAGAGGTGAGGGCGGGAACGGAACGAGCAATACACCGTATCCCATACATCGAGGGTATTGATGGCCTAGAAGTGTTGAACATTGTAGCTTTGTTTGTATCTTTGTCTGTCGTAATGTTTTGCATAGTGGTCATGATGAAATGGGACTACAGTCTTATGATGTGTCGTGACCGTACCGGTGCGCTCGCAGTCTGAACTTGAAAAATTGAACTATCGGCACTATGCGCATGTGGACATCATGTTCTTCCCAGTACCAATCCCTCAGGCGCTACTTACTTCGACAGTATCACGCAAGTACTTACACAGCCCCGCGGTTACTCTCAGGTTGGTGCACGTGTCCCAGACTATGTAGGTTCCGCGTTTATTGATGACTGAGTCGATCACTGATAACTTCCGTTGTGCGGACGCCGCGTCGCTGTTCTTCGCCTGGTATGTGACGTACGTGTGGTTCAATTGGTTGTAGCGATGTTTCCAGTATACCTTCGACGGTAGGCCCAGTGGTTCGCAAGAGTTAAATCAGTGATAGCTGACACTGTTCCTTGTACAAACTCAGTAAACGAACGCGCTTCCGAATCGAAAACATCCCGCTTGAGATATGGGAACGTATCTGTTCCTTCGCCTGCACTGACGACGGGTACACCGGCCTGTCGCTCAGCAAAGTCTCGCGTTACTTCCGGAATGCAAGCAGACTCTGTCGCCTGCAGAGCGTAGCGATCAGGGAGGCTACCGACTGAGGAGGCTCGCGGATCTCCTCGAGATCGTGCCTCCCATCGAGCGCAGCGCCTTCCAGCACCTGTCATCGCGGAGCCGTACAATCCAGACCCGGTGCTCTCTCACCACGTCGAACAGCCGACTTCCCTCTGGGTTGGGTGGAACTGTACGAGAGCTTCGTATATAACCGCTTCCGCCCCAGCGTCGAGCCCGAGGCCAGAGCCTTCTCTCCGACGCAGGATGGTTTGGCGAGCCAGACTCGGATATCGCGGGACCCGCCTGGAGGGATTCTGGGTAGCGCTGTCGCGATTCTGCGCGTGACGGCCCACCAACTGGTGACGCTTACGATCGATGTCGGGCATAATGGCCCCTCCTCCTCACTCTGTCCGATTTCCCCAATCTGGAGGAACTTACTCTCATCGGGATCTTTGTTCATCCGAGTAACCCGCACCGGCCTGAACGGGAGAAATCGAGGTCCCTGCCATCCCTGCGGCGCCTGCACCTCGATCGGGTGCTTCAGATACCTGCCAGCATTCCTGGGGCAAGCACCAGCATTGACCCACTTGCGCCTGAGTAATATCGATACGATCCAAGCCCATGACCAGCTACTACTAGTGTTGATTGTGAAAATCGGGCAGCCCATACGTCGTGCGTCGTTTGACGGGTAGATGTGGCCTTTCCAAAGCTACGGAGGTTCATCATGCATCTGGGCGAGTACGGGGAACCAGACCGCGAACATTGGAAGGACATTGCTCGAGCCGCGAATGCTAAGCTTCTGCGCGAGAAGTCGACGTTCACGGATGTCTATACCATCAAGAGGGCGAAGGCACATTGGATGGAAAGAGTTGCGGGCAGTGAGGGTTGTTGGAACGAGCGGGAACGCTTTCGCGTCCATGGTAGCATCAAAGCTGAGCGTAAGCACCGTCATACTTAGGTGCATGGTCCTGCAGTGGTATCTGCTCATGACTTTGTGCAGGCACCTTCGTAGGTAGACGGCTGCCCTCACTCAGCCTGAGCCAATGAATGCATGGCCGTGCATCTTGTTCGGTGCCACATTTATTGTGCTGCTCCATCTTCATGAATGGTCTAATCGTTGATTCGCGGAGGTGTCCAGCATAGCCTGTGTATATATTCTACATGAAATCAGACTCACAACTTCCCTGTGCTTCTGAATGCATCCTGGACCCCGGACCTGCTACGATATCGGTCATACACCGAGCATCAACCTCCCTACCCTTGGCTGCCAGTTCCACCACTTTGTCGATGAGCCCAACGGGCACGCACACGACGCCATCCTCATCTGCACCACGTAGTCTCCCGGTTCGACGTGTACCGCTTCGAACGTGCCACTGAACGCCTCCGAAGAGAACTGAGGCTGAATGGTGAGAGGGACGTTCACCGCAGACGGACGCGTGAAGGGCGACTGTCCGAGAGTGGAATGGCCTCTGGCGAAGACGGGAAAGCCAGCACTACGATGCTCGGCGAGATCCCTGCACCGGCCTGAGATGACCACGCCAATGGCACCACGCGCTTGTGCACCGGCCGTCATGAGTCCTCCCCATACTGCATTCTTGGTATCTGAACAGCGACGGTATGACGGTTCAAAGCATCGGCGCGCATGGTACAGCCAACATAGATGTCTTGTAAGCACATTGCAACACGACGAGTGAGTGAAACCACTGAACGAGGTGGTGCGTCGATGACAATCACGGAGCCTTGAGTAGCGGTATCGACGAAGTGTGCAGCAGGTCGGGGGCTGGTCTTGTCGGGCGCCGGAACCATCTGTACGGTGTACGCTGGTCCACAGATGCGCATGTCCGAGGCACCAGAGTGCGGTGAATGCATGTGGACATCAGGTATGTGTCCCCGTGGGGTAGGCCGATTTTGATGAGCGCGTCAGACAGTTCGCAAGTCGAGAAGTCTGCCAAGCTCGGAGTCGACATGGTGCGTCTTCTCGTTGTCGTTGTCAGAGATAAGCTGTGCTTTATATGCAAGGGGCGGTGGACATTGAACGGCGATGGTCGTCGCAGCAACAAACTGACGAGCATTGTAGCGTCTAAAGCCATTACTGAAGCGATAAGTATTGCACAATAGACTCTGAACAAAGAGTTCCCACAGTCATTATTGCTTATACTGCTTGAAGTTGAATGCTCCGAGCGCCGACGGGCTTCCCGGGCCAGCGACTGTGCAGTGACCTCAGCCTTGCCCCAGACCGCCGAGCGGACCAGCGTCGGCTTGCCAGCGAATTCACCGCCTTTCCGCACAACCCCCGCTTCCGGGACACCACCGACGACAACGGCACCAAAACAGCACCATTTCACCCGCTTGAATGCCGGTCACTCTTGGTTCAGATTCTCCCGACACGCCCTGGACAAAAGCATGGCGAGCATCGAGCAAATATGTTCGCAAGGCGAACAAAGCATTATGCGCTCGCATCGGGTTGTGATACCTAGGTACGACATGCCTATACGACTGCGGCCGGTATGCCTTCCATTAGCCTCTATTGTCCCGCTCTCACACGGCGCATCCAGTGGTTCCTCGTCTTTACCGCGATCATAATGCTCATTCTCGCATTTCTCGGCTTCACAAACGCCGCACATGGACTGCCGATCAACGACAAGCTTCTTCATTTCTTCTGCCTGAGCTTGGCGACGGGTGTCTTCTACTTCATCTTTGACGTCGAGGAGTATGTTGTCAGCCCTACTTCACTCTTACGAACACCATGTAATGACATTGCTACGCAGAGACGCACGTCGTGTCTGGTTTTGGCGGAGTGCGCCGCTGATATTCACTGGAATTACCTGTTTCTTCCTCGGTGGGATCGTCAGTGAATTTGTGCAGTCATTACTCCCAGTACGTGTTGTCTCGGTCTATTCACGATGTACAGCTATAACAGACACCATCTACGCTCCAGTACAAACAATTCCAAATTGGCGACGTTGCAGTGAGTTTAACATTCGCCTACTACCTTGCATGGTTCCCTAAGAGTGATCCCCAGGCAAACCTCCTTGGGTCCAGCCTTGGACTGTACATCGCATATCACCTGGAGCGCTATTACCGTAACAGACGCGAGGTACGCTGACTTTCCTTGCGAGACCGTTGCTACAACCATTCAGATATCCCGCCTTTACCAACCCCTCCAATTCGACGCGGATGAGGAAGAAGACGACATTGAAATCGACGAACGCCCCTGCTCCCAGCCACTACGGCGGGCTCCTCACGCAACTCGGTCAAACCTGGCGGCACAGCCAAGGCTGACGTGGGTAAGGTCCGTCTGGACAACGTCTGGGACGAGGGCGAAGAACTCTTCAACCTCGGCGCGACGACACGGATGACGAAGACCCACAAACCCCCAAGCCGTCTACTCCCGGTGCGGCGCCAAAATCGTGTCACGGACTCGGAGCATGATCGAAGGCTGCCAGTGCGGACTTGGTGTACATCCCTACGGATAGACATTCGTTGTACAAGACTGTTGTAGCTTATCGTAACTTAATGCAGTGCCTGAGGATATAACCTAGCGTTTCGTGAACGTGAGACGCTACACGTCGCCGCGGGGACGGTGAAGCCCTTCAGCATTGACTACCCAGAAGGAATGGTGTAGTACGTTAAGTAAGTAGCAGTACCGGTGCGCCGGCGCCGGTTTTATTGGTGTGTCCGACTCAGTTCATCCTCAAGGACCCCCACTTCCTCCTTCAGCTCCTCGATCTCCTCTTTGCGCTTCGACACAGCTTGCCCATCCATCGCAAGCCTTCTCTGAAACGACGAGCACCCGTCGTTGACCGTCCGTTCCAGCGTCGCCTGCGAGAGAACGTGAGCACGTCAAGGCAACAATACGCAGCGCAAAATCACACACCCTCAAGTCCCTCTCCAGCCCTTCACCCACTCTATCGTAGTCCTTCAACCACTTGCTCTTCGCCCGCTCGAAGCGGCCCACAGCCCACCGGACGCCAGCCGCCGCACCGAGCATGCCCATCCCGATCACGGTCTCCGTCTGCATCGCCATATCTATGATGCCCAACTGCCCCGCCCATCCCGCCCACGCGACGCCTGCGCCCCCCAAGACGCTGCTGCTCATACCGATCAGGACGCGCTGTGCGGTTGTCTGTAGGCGGGCCGTGGGGAAGCGGAGCTGCTGACGTCGGGTGTAGAGCGGCAGGAGGAAGGCGGTGGAATCCATGGGGAAGGTCGGGGAGGAGGAGATCTGTGAGAGTTGGTTCTGGAGGACGGGGGAGTGGAAGGCGGAAGAGGGTTTGAAGGATGCAGTGAAAGAGGTAGCGGAGTCGACGAACGAGCGTTGGAGGAAGGCGAGTCGACCTGCATGGAAGACGAGCTAGTAAAGGATATTTTAGTCACTGTGCGAAGTGAGCGACGACGATGAGCATGCATACCCTGTACTCTAGGTCCCTGCGCCATGCTCGGTTGACAGCATCCATGACGATGTCTCCTACATCGTCGACCTTCCACAGCAACTTCCACCACGTCAGTCTTTCAAGGACCACCTTGGTGTCTTTTCTAGACTGATCCACCGCACGTTGGACCTCGTTCCCGTCCTCGTCGCCTCCAAGAACCTCTCTTGGTATGCGCACCCTGACCTCCTCCATCTGAGCTCGTAACGAGCTGATGCCGTCGCATACCACGTTGACCTCACCCTGGGCACGCCCCAGCTCCGAGTCGCAAGCAGAAAGCACGTCTTGGACGACAGCCCGGGCCGTCTCTACGTGCACCACCTCGAGAACCTTCGCAGGAGCCCCGAGTTGAGGAATGGTCTGTAAGATCGCCTGGGTGAGATGGGGAACATTCGACCCAGCGAAATCGTCCTGGTACTTCTGTACGGCGGAGGAAGAGGATGGTGAAGCGCTTAACGTCCGAAGGCCCTGCAATGCACGGGCCGGGTCCACGAAGAGCACGGTCAGTTCATGTCCAAAGGAGTCCCGCAAGCGTTCAGCTAGCCTTTCGTCGCCGGATGTTGAGGTTAGTACCAGGACAGCGTTGGGGTGGGTGAGGGGCAACACCGTTTCCGAACCCGATAGGACTGTATGGACCGGAGTGGATGCTGGATTGCAGACTATTACGGGGATATCGGCAGTGAGAACTTCAGAAGTTGATTTGCGTGCGATGAGTTGAGCGAGGCACCGTCGAACTCCAGGACCTTTATAGGGGCACCAAACTGTTGCAGCCACGCAGACTGTACGCGGAGGGTAGAATCGCCATTCGCATTTGCCGCGTTCCTATATCGAGGGACGAGACTCAGCCTCGAGGTCTAGGAGACAAGTCGATGCGTACTCAATGATAATGGGACCCTTCGACCCGGTTTGTGCTTCCCATCGAGAGCGGACTGCTTTTCTCTGCGCCTCGGATGCGAATGGTTCTTCCAGCAACGCTGCGACCAAGTCTCGTGCACCCGAAAGCTCGTCGCATCCATACACTGTGATCCTTCAGTTCCTCCTGCGCATAGCCGTAGGATAGCTTCGACGCACCAGCAATACGGATCCCATCAGACCGCTTGGCATCTGGTGTAGGACAGAGGTTGTCGTACGTCCTGCTTAAAGTACGCTCCCAGAAATCCAATGAGCTTGTCTCCAACGGTGTATGTGCTCTTGGGGTAAGATATGGGGTATTAAGGACCTTGTCTTGTGCAGGACGGTCAGTACCCGATGTCCAGCGTCGTTTGCTGCAGGCTTCGGCTTGAGAGCTGTGGCTGTCGCGGAAGATGCGGCTCTTCGACTGCCCGTCCATCGCTTTACGCTGCCATGACTAGAGGGCCTCCGGTGGGTATGGAGGGTGTCACAGACGTGTGCGCGAGCTATGCGAAGGGAGCATGAGCTGCAGGTCTTGGAGACCGCCGGCATCGAGAACAAGAGGCATCTTGCTTGAGCGCGCTGCGACGCGTCGTGCACGCGTCTGACGTCGCCCGCCACCTCGCGCGCTCTCCGTGCATCTCCGAAATCAAATCTTTCATGTCGGTCGATCATCTTACCTTCCGAGTCCTCTCCCAAGACGAAACCACACAAACTGCATACATGTCAGAACATTGGTCGCGCGGATCCTGCGCAACAGGGTGGCGTGCGGTAAACACATAGCGTAAATGACCGTCCGGGCCGGGTCTGTCTTCTGTACCTCAAGTACGATCAAGTTGTGCAATTGTGGCAGGACTCAGGTCGGTGAGGGACATTATATATCTTCATTAAAGCTCCTTTATATGCCACGTTCCAGAGGAACACCCTCTAGTAGTCGGAGAGGTGGACGTTGTTTCGCTCCTGCGGCACGTAAGCACGCCTCAGCTTACGTCAACACTCGGGCAAGCGTCGGTCAAATGTCACTGGAAGTAACAAGAAAGTGAGCCAAGGGACGCCCTATCCATCGTTCAGGCTGTTTGCTTACTGACCTCGCATAAGGAATTCAATGGCGCAACTGTCTGGCGGTCCGCTGCGGGATCTGCGATCAATAGTCTGACCAAGAGCAGTGCTGAACAGTGTGGTCCACGTATGGGCAAATTCTTCACTGACAGGCGACCAGGGAGGGCCCGGGTGTGTTCGACGGTTCGTCAAACTTCCGTGGACTAGGGAGAGGCAATGCCAATCCCTCACACGGCACTTCGGGCCAATTCCCGAGCGAGTCGGACAATGACTGCATGCGAGAACTTGTTGCACTCCTCTCATAACATTGACGGCCATCGGCATGGGCTTCGGGCTTACGAAACGACCTGGAGCACCACTATATAAAGAAAAGTCAGTGGGTGAGGTCGAGCTGTACTCACAGAACACCTCAGCTCACAGACCAACAATCGAAATCTCGCAACATGCCTTCTTACCTCGTCACCGGAGCCAGCAGAGGCATTGGCCTTGGAATAGTGACGAAGCTTGTGAGTATTGTATAATCATGAAGCACGCGTTCGAAGGGAGTGGTTGCTAACTGTTGCCCACAGCTCAAGAACCGGAGAACTTCGTGGTCGCCGCCGTGCGCAATCCGGAGGCTGACAGCATCAAGAAGCTGGGACGAGTACCCCAAGACGCATTTGCCGTCGTCAAGCTCGATATTACGACTACGCCAGCATCGCGAAGGCCGCCGACGAGCAGCCAAAGTCCTGCCCGATGGACTAGACCACCTGATCAACAATGCCGGCGTGAGCTTTCAGGAAGGCGCAAGCTTCGAGACCATGTTCGGCGTTCACAATAGACCGTCACCGATTTTCGCGGCTCATATTCGTGTCCTGTAGTGATCTGAGGGTCTTCGAAGAGGAGCTGCGCGTGAACACCGTCGCGCCGATTGAGGTCGTTCGCCAATTCCTCCCGCTGGTGCGCAAGAGCGCGGTGAAGAAGGTCGTCCTTGTCAGCACCATCATCAGCTCGCTCGAGCTGGCACCGAACCTATCCACTCTGGCGATTACCTACGGGATTACGAAGGCCGGGCTGAACATGTGAGTAAACCGCACCGTGCCGGCATACGCTTCCCTGACAAACCGGGCACTACGTAGCCTCGCGCGCAAGTGGGCCGCGGTCCTGTATCAGGAGGGGATCACGACGGTCACTCTTCACCCTGGTGAGTGCGCCCTTCACTGTGAGTACGGAGACGATGCTGACTCGGACCGGCCAGGATGGGTGGAGACCGACTTGGGCGTGACTATCAAAGACTGGTGGGCGAAACGCAACCCCGACTTGAAGCCCATCTCGGTACAGCAGTCTGCAGAGGACGTCCTGAGGGTCATCAAGGAGGCCAAGCTGGAGGAGAAGATCAAGCTGTACAGCCACACCGGGGACGTGCTCCCTTGGTGATAAAGTAGATACGTAGGAACTCGTCGCATTGTTCGTCGTTGTCCTGGTACTTTAAATTTGCATGTGAGCAATAATAGTATCTCGCCAACATTATGGCCCTGTCAGGGAACCCCTTGCAGCCGTCAAGTTTGTTGTTCTGTTAGCCGAGCTGACATTGAGTGTTCGTGAGTGCGACCCAGTTATTCTTTCGTGCGGTTGAGTTGGAGCTCGTCCGTAACAGAGCCCAAGACCATTAGGTATTTGAGGGGTGCGGCGACAGCCTCACATCCAGTCACTTTCCGCATCGCCCAAATATTAGTCTCAAAGAAATCGGGCACCACATGCACAAGCCTGGCATTTCGTTCTTCTGGGTATCCTCTTGTACGGCTGCCCTGCGCATCATCGGTATCCAACGTCTGACGGAACGGCCCTTCTGCGTCCACAAAAGAGTACCAGCAAGCATCGACCATATCCGAAGATCGCTCACTCTGAGCACGAGCATGCATAGGATATGATACAATGAAATGAGTAGCGATTAGGATGAAACAGACAAAGTCAGGAAAACAGAGTGTACATCTAGTCCAGAAAATCATGACGGCTGTGCTTGCATAGAATCCGGCACTGAAACGGGATTGCGTTAGAAATGAGCACCATTGAGCCATGATCAGTGCACTTACGTGGGGGAAGCTGTGGTCTTGTGCCTTCGTTGAATACTCGAGATACAAGGACACCCACGCCCTCAAATACACTCAGTAGGATACCGCAGGCAATGGCTGAGCTCAATGCTGAGCGAGGTCCACCTGCGTTGACAATAACGATGAGCAAACAGTTGGGTATTCCAGTCAGTCGAATGTGCTTGGGACGTCCGCGAGCTGCGGTGACTGAGAATTCGCATACGCGAGGTAGTCGGGCGGCCATCGAGAGACCCAAACACGAACAGATAGATGCGGAAAGATGTACGTACTTCGTGCCGCGAGACATCCACCCGTCAGGAAACCCGAGATGATTGCATTCCACATGTCCTCCTTTTGCCGCCACCCCTTCACAGCGCAATCGAATGTCGAGAACATGCCACCCCAGACACCGAAGTTGCCTCCTGTTACGGGGGCCCGCGCCTTGATGACAGACATCGCGCCGACGAGACGGTCACCCTAAGCAGATGAAGAAAAGGTCTCAGTGGCTGGGGCAGGTGCAAAAATAACGAGACATACCCTTGGTGAGTTCCGCGCACCCTTGATCCCATGCCAGATAGTGCCTCCGACAGCACCCATCGCAAAGGCACTACCGAAGTCGGAGAGGATAACCCATGGGCTATGAGGTGGCAATCCAGTCAGTGTGCTAGGACACGAGCACAGAATGAGTACTCACCAAGGGTCCCGAGTGTGATCTGCGTGGGCCATGTCGTCTTTTTTGTGGGTGCGGTCGCTGGGAGTGACAGTGACGAGGGCGCTGTATCAAGCGTGCGGTGGCTGAGAAATTTCGGACGGCCGGGGAGAGACCGGGTGTGTCACGTGCGGACGCGTCGCATGTGATGGTTAAGACGCGGTGGTGGCTCGTCGCTCCGCCTTCAACTCAACCACGACTATCATCTCTGCAATGCGCCCCTCGCTGCCCAAATCCGCTCCGTCTTCCTCCGTCTCGCGCATGAACTACGCCTACGTGGACGTGCCTCCATCTCCTTACAAGACGACGCGCCAGAGCCTGGGCGACGCTTCTTTGTCAAGCAGTAAGGAGAACACGCCTTTGCGGCCCAGCCGCCGCAGCGATGCTATCAGCACTGAGAGCGAACAAGTTTCTACCACAGCGCAAGGAAACGGAAGCTATCCGACGCGTCTGGGAAGATTTCAGAACATCCGACGCGTGCTGAGCACGACATTAAGAAGCCGCGGCTGTCGGGATCTTCTGCTCCCAGAGCTGATGAAGGGCACCAAGTCGCGCGCAGTGTCAAGGCATCTGCAGCTGTGGATGAACCTGTCATCTACTGTCATCAGTGCAACCAGAAACGTGTCTTGTCAGGTCAGTTCTTATCGTATTCTACCGTGCTTCTCGCCGATCTCATTGATGTAATCACAGACGGCATTCAATGTACAAAAAGTCTTCATCCTCCCGTGCCTCCGACGGGCGCTGTTCAGCGAAATACTGCCGAAGATGTCTATCCAATAGATACAATGAAGACATGGACGAGATCAAGGCACGCGGTGTACCCACACTCTCGAAGAAGGACCGTGAAAAACATATTCTGAAGGATGGTTATTACTATGAGTATGTTCTCAGTGAATACCTCTCTGCTCACTGCTGACCATCCGTGGTAGGTGCCCTCGTTGCAGGGATATCTGCAACTGCAGAATGTGCCGGAAGGCAAAAGGCCTCGAACCGACAGGGTAAGCGCGGCGTCCTCCGCGCCCGGTATTCGTGCTCACCAAGCTCCGTCACAGTAAATTCTTCCCCGACCAAGCTGTACAACCAAAGCGGCCTGCGCCTACTAAGGCAGACGGTGCGACGACCGTACCCGCCAAGGCGACGGCGAAGGGCTCCACAGGCACGGTACGCTGGATCGGCACGTGCCTAGACAATTTGGCTGACGACTGGTCATCGATGTTCCTTGATATTTAGTCTGCTTCGCGTCCCAAAGCAAAGGACATGAAGAAGAGTGTTGCTTCTTCTGTCCCTGCGGAGTCAAAAAAGAAAGCGACAAAGACCACGCAGGTCGCCCAGAAGGATGGCGTACCCGCACGGAAACCTCGTGCACCCAGGGCGAAACCTGCTCCTCCGCCCAAATCCCTTCCAAACCCCTTGTGGCACGAATAGAGACCGCCCTCGACCTGCCTGCGGCAGAAGCACGTATCTACATCCGCGAATTCGTGCAACGGTTCTCCCCCGTCCTTAACATCGCCAAGACTCACCTCGACGAGCTAGAAGAGGTCACGGGCACTACAGGGGAGCATGGCGCCCGTGTCGGCGATACCGAAGACGAAGTCGAGGGATGGGTCTCAGAGCCTGCGTCAAGGCCGTTATCCTGTCTCTCCTGACCGTTATAGCAGACAGCGCAGACAACGACGCGATCGCAGAGTGGTCAAAGGGCCGATCGGCGACGTCCGCGCGTCTGGTGCGAATCTGAACAAGATCTGGCTGGCCCTCGCGGCGCTGCGCGACGGGCTGCGAAAGGTCCCGTCTTCCCCATTCCAGTACCCGGACCCCTCCCTCCACCCGCTAACGTCGTCTATCGTACCACGCGCGGCACGCACCAAACGGACAACGACGTCTACGTCGGCAACTCTGCCCAGCTCGTCCCTGTCATCGCGTCGCTCGTCGAGTCTGCCCTGCATACCAAGGCCATCCGCGAGGAACTCGATTACAGTCTGGAGCAGGAGAAGACCCTCAACAAGACGTCCGCGAGGAGATCAACAGGCAGAAGGCGCTGTATGACGAGCTCAAGGCCAAGTCCAAGGAGAAGGGCCCGACCAAGGCCGAGCGGGAAGAGCACAAACAGGCGCTGCAGAACATTGAGCACGCGCACCGCCTCGCGTCTTCGAGCCATATCCTCCGTTACGCGTCCCTGGGACAAGACCACGAGGGCAGGGTGTACTACCTCTTGACGCCTTCTGAGGCTGAGCGGGAGGCTGCGCTGCACCTCGTCGCTGGCAAGAACGCTAAAGTCAAGATCAACCGCAGGAGAGGCGGCCTCACCGAGGAAGACCGGCAAGCGATGCGCCGGTGGTCGTGGATCGTCGCCGTATGGGGCAGACTCCCCGAGGGTGCGGCGAAGAACGAAACTGAAGACTCCGAGGACGAGGACGACGGCAGCGAGGAACGCTGGTGGGGATTCTACGACCCGCAGGAGATCCAGAAGATGGCCGAGTGGATCGCGATGAAGTGCGAGCTGGGCGACGTGAAGCCAAAGCGTCGTGGTCAGTCCGGTGAAGCATCGAAAGCAGACGCGGACGGCGATATGCTCGAGCGGACCGCGTTCGGGAGTAGCCCGGCTACCTCCCGTGCGCCGTCGCCGATGTCTGACCTTTCGTCGGACGAGGATGAGGGTGATGGCGACGATGAAGATGATCTCAGTGCTTATATGCGCGTCGACTCCCAAGGTAGACCGGTGCCTACGAGGAAGCAGTTGCGGGAGCTGGTGAATGGTCTGCGAGAGTATGCAGACTTGCTGCAGTGGCGAATTCGTCGCATCAGCGGGGAACCCGCAGGAACGGCCGGAGAGAAGGCTGTCGCTGTTAATGGCAGCATCCCTGCTAAGAAGTTCTACCAATAAGATAGTGATTCCTGCCGGCAAGACGTGCTCTAGAGCGATGGATGCTCCGTAGATCTTCATGGCATCGTGTTGAGTATAGTGCGATAGACTGTACGATAATACATGTATATACCTGCTACATATACCTTAATCCGTTCCGTCGAGGTCCATGTCATGCGGGTACAGCCCGCATGCTGCAAACATTGCGTCCTTCAACTTGTACATTGGCGTATGGCCAGAGCCGCTATGTCGTTAGGCTGGATGCTTCGCTCTATACACTTTGCCAATCTCTCGGCAAGCAGGGTAGCCAGGAGGTGTTTACACTGTTCTACACGTGTGAACATGTGGCGTTACAGTCAATTATAACAGTACCTCACCATTACTTGCGTCCTGGAGAGGAGCACAGAGTATGCGAATGCGGGACATGTGCAGTAGAGCGAAGACTTCTTGTCGGGGGAAGGTCCAGGTAGCTCGGGGAAGACGCTGTAGTTAGCCGTCGAACCATGTACCTCATACTGTATGCCGCCCCATGGTGTCTTGTATTTGATGACTTCACGATGAGTTGTGATAGGCAGGGTGTTGTGCGCATAATCGTACGGGGATCTTACAACTCACCGCTTTCTCGATCAATGAGGTCCAGGGCAGCAAATAGGAGGGTATCTGAGAACAGAAAACGCAGTGTCTCCAGACCCTCTTCGTCGACTGGGTACCGTAAAATCAGATGTGTTATAGGTGTACGGGAACCGAGGAGCCTACAGTTTTCGGGCCTGATCGACTCCAGCACGGTCGGCGCGAGAGCAGATGCGGCCATGTTCTTGGTTGGCTGAGACGAAGGACTTGATCCCCGTCGCGATCCGTGAGGATGAGAGGCGCCGGAGATGGTGGACGTCGAGACGTTGAGGTCAGCGGCGTTGAGGTCAGCGGCGTTGAGATAATGTCTGGCCTGCAACGAGATGTAGCCAGAGTGTACGGTGAGAGAACTACTTATGGCCAAGTTGAGTTGGCGGGTACGGCGTTTGTTTGATTCGCCAAACAACGTCTGAATGGCATCGGGCGGCCACAGATGTGGATCGGGCGGATTGCAGAGACGCATCTTGTGTCGTTTACTCGCCCAACACGCCCATGACCACACCGCCACGGCAGCAAATGGGCCTGCAGTGTCTCCTCGTATTTGCTCAGGCACATGAAGAGTTTCGCATCCCCGAAATACAGTCCATAGCAGAGCTGCATGGATTTGAGGTTACGTTCCCACCATTCCCCGATGCATCAAGGCCGTTCATGGTCCTGGAGCTTGAGAGCGAGTCGCATGCAAGAGTACTGGCGCAGCGGTGCATCCTCGTGAAGTGAGACCCGAATCCCTCATGTGGCGAACAAGCTCACCGAAGGTCACGCGTTTGGCTTCCAGATCCGTGTGCGAATTCTATGGTCGGGGCAAGACATACGAGGAGTTGCATGAACAAATCCGCAAGAATCGCGAGAGATGGTCCAAATATACTCACGACACGTCGTTCAAGTTCTCCATCTCGGCCTACAACCACACAATCCCCCAGAGACGCATGAAGGACGTGATCGAAGGTTTCAGCTACATGGACTTCCGCGGACGAATCGACATGCATAGCCCGGAAGTCGTCTTGGCTTGTTTGAAGAGTGTACGACATCTCCATTCATTACGGTTCATCGTCCGCTGACAGACCACTGATCTCGTAGACCGCGACAAGCGTGGCACCATCCGTCATAAACATGAAGGCGATGGTGACTTCGAGGAGGTATTCTTCGGAAGGTTGGTACGTCTAGTACTGCTGCAGCGCATGGTACATTCTGAATGTCCAGGGCATCGTCTGTTGAAGATAGAGGAGGGTACGGCTCGGCCTTTGGTCAAGACGTTCGACGTGAAGAAGCGAACGTACTACGGGAACACCAGCATGGAGGCAGAAATATCTCTGCTTATGGCTAACCAGACCCTGGTCAGCTCTCCACACTCGGAATATGTTACCCTCTGCTGAGACAAGCATTTCAGGCCGCCCCAGGAAAGCTGATCTACGACCCCTTCATTGGGACGGGAAGCATGGCCTACGCAAGTCCTTTCTTCGCGGATGGGTGGAATGCACCTGACTGTATGCTACCTAGACGACAGCACACTTCGGTGCATTCGTTTTCGGCTCCGACATTGACGGTCGACAGATGCGAGGCAAAGGTGAGCGATCTTATTGCGACGGACATATCGACTGTCTAATTGGCAATAGAGAAGCAGCCAGGCATTATCCGTGCCGCGGCACAGTACGGCGTCGCCAGCCGCATTCTTGATCTGTGCACTTTCGACGTCACTCGTAATCCGTGGAGATGCGGAGAGATGTTCGACGCCATCATCACGGATCCTCCCTGTACGCGGATTGTCGGTACATTGTATGTCCTTATGCTGATCCCGTCCTAGACGGCGTTCGTGCCGGTGCAAAACGCCTAGGCAGGAAAGCGAGACCCGACAAACCGCCGCGCGCAAATCCACAGAGCCATTCGTCACAAACGACGTTGGTGCCCTCGCGCAATCTTCGATGTCCGCTGAGGTCTTGATCCACAGAGACGACCACCGTACATACCGCCGACCATGCCCTACGAGCTATCTCGCTCGTCGTGGACCTCGTCCTGCTGGCACGGTACCTCCTCAGGCCGCGCGGGCGGCTGGTGTTCTTCTTGCCAACAGTAACGACGAGTACGAAGAGATCGATATACAACCATGCTGTGCGAGGGCATGGAGGTCGTCGCGAACTCGCTGCAAACTTCGGGTCTTGGGGTCGTAGGGTGCGCCTATGATATCGTCTCCGACCCACCTTGTTTACTAACGAGCAGTTGATACGCATCGCAGCTTATCACCATCCGTAAAACCACGTCTGAGCGGTATCCGCCTCCTACTTTCACGTCGGCAGCGGACGCTCCCGACGATGGATTGGCGCACACACCTGCCCATAAGGATTTCCGTGAGAAGTACTTCCAGGGTTCAAGAAATCGAGGACGAGGGGACGCCTGGGCGTGATATTTTATTGGTATATGCGGTAGCATGTTGCAAAAGGACTAATGTAGGAAGCGGGAGGGTATCGATGGCGAATAAGATGCGGAACATACGCAGAAAGCAAACGTCGGGAGTAATTAGCGAGACAGCAATACGATGAGCGAGCACTGGTAAGCTAGTGGTGACATGGCAACAACGCAGGATTGGATAGGGAGATCAGTGATTACGGCTGTCGATAGAGCGAGCCGTCGCAGCAATGCGGAAGTTGACGGGCACGACGGTATGCCTTTCGCACAGATTCAGTGTCCCGCCGTCGTACAAGGCAATACGGAGGACTCACTCGTAGAACGTTTGTACGTCCGCGCCCTCCATGACGACAACGTCACCCTGGTTAGCTGTCAGTATAGCCACGAAGAAGAGAAGGAGGCATTCGCACATGTCGGAGGTAAAGAGTGAGCGCGTTCCTATCGCCTCCCTGGCCCTTCTTATCTGTGTATCGGCCAAGGAGGCGGAAGTACATGTATGCCCCCGAGCCCAGTGACAAGGAGGCTACGACAGGCCCTAGGCCTCGTTCGGCATCGCTATGAAACTGGACATTCGTACGGCCGATTGTCAGTCCGTGCAGATGTCAGAAATGGAAGAGGGCATACCGCCATCTTCTGCTTCTCCATGTATGCGCACTGAGGACTTCGTTGAAGTTCGCTTCTACGTTCAAGGCCTCCTTCATGCGGCCCTTGATGATATCTAGGGCATCGCGAACTGCGCTTGGCGCTCGGTCCCAGGGAACAGTGTTATCCGTCCCGCCAACATACTGGTATGGTTCTCCGGCTGGAATTGCAAAGATTCAGAATGTCACGCCACCCCAGGGATACATCACGCACAGTTTTGCGAGAAGTAATTTGTCAAGAGCGTTCCTCTGCCTGCGTGTGTGATGAGAAGATGAAAAAGGGTCACGGAGCGGAGTCAATTACATTTATGCTGTAAGAGAACATCAGATTAAGTACGGTGGGCGGAAACGGAGACTTACAGCTCGCAGGGGCCATCGACGGAATAGGAGCTCTCCATTAGTCGCCTGTACTTGATATTCCTTGAACGCGGTGTTAGCGGGGACTTTCGACGCAGGAGGTGGACAGATCAGGTGTATTCGCCCTCTGAAGGTAACAAGGGTATCAGCGACATTGAAGCCATCATTCCGTAATGCAAACCTGTTGTGCGGGAGGATATAGGTATGCATTGGCCCCACGAAGGACCCAACTTGCATATCCGCATGGGCAGCGCGATGATCCTACGCCGATACGTCCATAAGCAATACCTCAGACCCTGCGTGTCACTTACCTGAGTCGGTAGCAACGACGTGGTTGGTAAAGCTCTGTGGGCTCGGTTGTGTCCAAAACTCTTTGGAGTCCCGAACGCGACCGGCAACCTTGTACTGCCCCTGAGCAATGGATCAGTACTGTGTACACCTACAACATGCCATGTGGAATGCTCACTCCGCAATGCTTGCAGTGCCAATGCTCCCACATATACCTTCAAATTGTAAGCGATGGTTGCAAGGAACTGTAGACGTAATATCCTACCTGCTTGACAACCGACCACATTGCCTACAATGCCAGCCCTTGCAGAACATGGAGCTGGTCGTGATTCCATCCTCAGCCTCAGCTACCGGCGGACTGGGTCGCAATTCCTCCAAGTCTTCCGGCGCAAAGGCGATTGGATGAAGGAAGGACCTAGCATACGTCAATTGTGTTGGAGCATGGCCTTGTGCGCTTCTCCAGAAGCCCAGGCACTTTCGGTACAGACACATCCACTGCTCGGCATATACCATTGGCGAAGATTGTTCACACATTGAACAGGTAAGACGGAGCGGGCCTTCGCCCACATGCCTAGAGACACCTGAGTTCACGCTGGCAGCGTAGTCCAAAAGTTAGGCAACGTACTCGTAACAACCAGGTAGGACATCGTTCTGCAGGTTGACGTACTCGCAATGGGCCCCTCGTGTTCTTCAGTGAGCATACATCCGCCGCGGCACATGTGTCTAGAGTCGGCTGCGGTGCGATCGTAATCACAGCTTCTTCGTCTTTACCAAAGACTTTGCTTTCGCTGTGGACATCTGGCGGAATGGAGCTCTGAGTCCACCAAGGCGCGCCTTGTTCTTCGCACCACTGGAAGGCGAACTTGTATCGCACGACGCTACCATGAGCATTTTGCGCAGGTTGCTCCTCAGCTTGTTGATTACGTTAGTCCATTGCCGTCAAGTACAATAAGTGTCTCACCCCACGCGTGCGCAATGCGGTAGAAGCCGAGAACGACGTATGTATAGCCATCGCGGCGAGGTTGAATGGGAAAATCCGTACTTGTCGTCGACCACAAGACCAGGGGACGTTGCATGGCATGTGTGTTCAACAGTGCTCGAACCGACTTGTCGCCTTCAAGTGGTCGCTTGCTTCATGCGACTTGTGTACGCCCTTCTGCGTGTGGATGCTCTCGGCTTTACCGCCCCTGTGACGCATATCTAGCGCATAGCCAGAGTGATCAGAATATGCTTACCCGTGAGATACGATCAGCGACCGTCATGGCGAAGAGGTCGCGACTACACGGGATGAGCTTTGCGGATACCAGTGGTATGTGATCCTACCTTGCAGGGAAACCGCTGAGTAGATACCCTCTGACCATATCCTTGGCAAAGTAAACGCCGCCTTGGTAACTCCGGAACCACTCGAAGGACTCGCAAACCTCTTGCCTTGACTATAAATTGCTCAGCAGAACTCACAATCGAAAGGAACCACAGGTGCGTACCTCTGCCCAGATGGGCGGTCTGACATGCAGTCGCGGTTTGGGTCCAGCGGGCTGTATAGGAGGTACATATGGCTCAGCTTGCTTGGGAGGCGGCAGCACAAGCTGAGGGACTATGGAGTCAAATTGCTGTTGCGAAATATCGATCTCGACGCTGTCCTGCTTGGCTACGACCAGTGCTGAGGGGACCTCCGCCGTGTTCGCGCTCTGCTTCCTTGCGGCGACAAGTTCCCTCAATGGCACCTCATCGTCGCTAGAGTCCGGTGGGACATCTTGACCGTCACCGTCAGCCGCGGCTACCCAGTCAACAAGAGTTATCCTCGAGTTCTGTGCCTCGCCGTCTAGCAAGGCGTTCGAAGCTGCATCCTGAACGACCGAGTCGACGTCGGCCAAGCAACTCGGCTGCCGAGGCAATTGTGTGTGGGATGATTTGGCAGGCTCTGTGACGGCTCTCCGCTCCTTGCGTCGCTTTGGAAGAGGTGCCCGCTGGCGACTAGATTCAGCATGAGCCTCTTGTCGTTTGCGGTCTTGCTTGAACCCTCGAAGACACTCCTGCTGCGCTTGGATAACTTCGGCTCCGCTGACTGGACCAAGTATGAGGGCGCGATTGGGGGAGGGTGCGAAGACGGTCTCGAGGGTGTGGCTGAGATTCCTCCTACAATATCGATCCCCATCCGTATCGAGTTCTAACGGACTCAAGTTAGAGTTCATACGCATCATCAACCTTCACGGACGCAATACGCACCTCATGCAGAGGGTCCCCGATCGATGCGTCAGCAGTACCTGCCACACGATCTGATGGTTCCGGTGCACACCCATCTAGTATCAGACTGCCTTCTACGTCCCCGTGACTGCGGCCTCTTCGTCTCGAGGCCTCTTCTCTGGACGGCTAGGTAGATCGTCACCGGTACGCCCACGACGGCCCTTCTTCGCGTACTTCTTCGGCTTCTTAGCGACTGTACGTTTGGTCTTCGCAGCTGATGTCGACGGGATAGGAACGGGAGCAGTAGTCGGTGGGGAGACACCGTCGACACTTTCTCTATTCGGAGAGTCAGCGCTGGTTGCCACTTGCGTAGAGGTCTTCTCGAATGACGTCCCAGGCGATTTGGCTTCCGACTTGTGCTTGCGGCGTTTGGGCTGCTTTGGAAGTGGCGTAGACCGTTTAGCCAGCTGGGGACGCGGAGGAGCTGTCCGCTTGGCGACCTGCGGACGAGGGTGCCCTGTATCGTCATCGGAGGTGTCTTCTGCCCAATTGTTGTTGAAGAAACCACGGCTGCGCTGGCCTTCATATTTGTTGATGTCCTTCGCTAGATAGGAGAGGCGCTCAACGTTTGATGCTGCTCTGCGAGGTCGACGGCCTGAAGTATGCGCAATGTTGGCGACGTCAGCGGGTATTGTGGCGTCGATATGAACCTGCATCTCAGTCTCAGAGTGCGTAAGGTCAGAGAGGGACGACAGGGCATCATGGTCTATGTCCATCATATTGTCCTGCGCATGCGGCGGCGCCACAGCAAGACCCTCTCCCTCGGACGGAGAAGTCTGCGCTGCACTAGATGCACAGTCGCTGCCCGCCTTCCTCTTGTCGCCTAGAACAACACTATGTTCTTCTTCACGACGATCCCCTTGCAGGTCAAGGCTGTCGGATTCGACATGCTGCATGACTTCGGAGAGTCCAACGGTTTGTGGCGGGGATGCGATGCATATATCCTGCCGCGACGGCTCCTGAGGAACGGGAACGAGCACGGTCAGCGAGGATACAACAATTCAGCATATGGCTCGCACCAGAGCATCTGTGGCGTCGTCTTGCGACGCCAGCGTACGGTCATCTTCGCCTTCGCTGGCTTCTGCGTCATAAGCATCTTCGCCGTATGACTTACGCAGACGCTTGAATGTTCGTCTATTTCGATTATGTCGCGTCTCGGATGGCACGCGTGGCGAATGCGGGACTCTCTGCGCATGGGGAATTTGTTCTTCGGTACGTTGACCCAGTGCATAGTAATAGCCTCGCGCCACGCGTTCGGCTTCCAAGTAAATCACGGCAGCTGATCCATTGTCAGGCAAGGATGAGCTTTCGAAAAGAATCCAGTAGAAGCGTATGAATGTCTGGATATTGTCGCCGTTCGGAGCAACATGTTTTGCTCGGTCCTGGATGGCAGTGTCCTCAAGGGAACAGGCGAAGAACGCCAAGCGGAGCCATGCTTGGACTGCGGGAAGCTAAATGTATACAAGATATCAGCGCCCTTGCCTCAGCAGTATGCCCAGTTGAACTGTTTGTGTACTGACCCCGTCTTGCTTCAAGGCATCGATGATACTTTCGGTCCAGTGGCCTCCGTTGAACTTACTACCACTGCGCGAGCGGCTAGCTTCCGCGGTCGATCGAACTAGGAAAAGTGACGCAAATGGTTCATCCTCCAAGAGAGTTCTGTCCCGGAAGGAACGGGGAATTCTCATCCCAATGTGTGGGCCTGAGTGAGCCGAAGGATACGCGGGGTTTGTGAAGACGGAAGACAGAGACGTCGGAAATGCAGGCCGCTATATCTCACCCTGCGACCGCGAAGTATTAGGAAATGCACAGCCGTGGACGTGCCAGTGGTGTACTTGGGGAAGTCTCACAGCCCAAGTACTGGCACTTGAATGACATGCGTACGTTACCATGTGTGACACGGAACCACCAGGGAAGTTCCGAACAGCGGTCGAGGCGCTCGTCTGATGGCCCGGGCCTTCACGGCAACGACCGCGCGTATCCAACAAATGGCTCCTGCGAGGAAGTCATGGCACGAGCCTCACTCAACGGTACAGACAGAATGCGCTCTTCATGCAGTGTCTACGCTACGTGTACTCAAGATTCGTTTACCGTGCGCTGAGCGCGTGCTGAAGCGCCTCATACACATCGGCTTCTATGCGTGCCTCCATCTTGTCCTCCTCCGAACCGTTGCCCCCAGCAACACGCTGAGCCTCCTGCAGGTTGGCACGGACAGCCTATACAGACAGTGAGCGACAGCATGCACCGACATGGTTCATCAACGCACCTCAGCCGAGAATTCCTCCAGCGGCGCAGCCTCCACGGCGTTGATGGTGAGCGTGTTGTTCGGGTGGACGGTGGCAAAACCACCAGACACTTTTACAGCGTCAGAGAGACGAGAAGCACATAAGTGAACTGTTGAGACGCACCAAACCACTTTTTCGCAGCACTTCCGGGCTCGAGCACCTCAACGACACCAGCGCGAAGAGGCTCAATCGTGGGGACGTGGTTTGCGAGGATACCCATGTCACCGGTAGCGGCGGGCAGGTTCACCTGGACGACCTCCGCTGAGTTGAAGATCGACTACAGCGACCCATCCAGAGTCAGTCACAGAACTACCAGCAAACTACTCCGGTCTGACCTGGTGGGGCAAGGCCAGCGAGAGCTTGATCTTGTCGGCCGCCTCCGCGTAGCCACGGCGGCCGGTGGCGAAGGATCGGGGCGCCCTGCGGGCAGCAGCAGAGACGAGGCGGAGAGCAGACATGACGACTTGCGGACCGTCCGCGACGACGAGCTTGAGTGTGAGCTGGTCGCCGGACGCTGCCGGGATGTAACACGGTCACCTGATGCTGCCGACATCACTGACCGAATATAGCAAGTGGGTGTCTTCGACTGTCCGGCTACTTCATAACCGTACAATAACAATTGGAATCTAACAACAGACTCGCTTGGCTAGACGGAAGATACTGTGTGCGATCAGATATCTTTGATCGAAATCTACGCACAGATCATGCGACAGCTCACATGTAGAAACGAATGCTGCCATGATCACACAACCTGAGCAACATACTGTATGTAGCAAGCTCCGGGAGGATTGTCTTGAGTCTACTAATACATTGGAGGGGGGCCTGAGCCAAGCGTGTACGGACTACATGAGCTTGCCGGGGCATATCGTCTATGGGAGGAATCGGATGTACAGATACATGTATTGTTCTTCTCGTTCACCGACTCAGCCCTCGCGCACGACTTCCTCCACGGCCTCCCTGAATATTTGGCAGCCCTTCGCCAAGTCTTCCTTGGAGACGTTGAGTGCCGGGATGAACCGAATGACTTCGTACGCGCTCGTGGTCAGGATAAGCATCCCCTTCTCTTGACAGCGCTTCGCGATGCGGCTCGCGAGACTCTTCGGGACGGCGGAGTTGACGAAGGAGTCGTGAGAGCCTGTGCCTACGGGCGACGCAAACTCGACAGCGACCATGAGTCCTTGTCCACGCACATCGAGGATGCAGGGCGCAATATCATCGCGCAGAGCGTTCAGGAATGCAAATAACTCCTTCGACCTAGATGGCCGCAGGGTTACGAGCCGTTAAAATACACTTGTAGATGCAGCTCACCGTTCGTTGACGTTCTCCAAAATATTCTCCTCCTTCATGACGTCAATGACTTCGCAAGCGGCAGCACATGCCACGGCGTTTCCTGCGTACGTACCGCCCTACAAAAGCGTTACTAATTTTCTCCGCGCGCCACAAAGAAACGCACCATGGTTCCCGCCTTCAGCTTGTCAGTGATATCCTTTCGGCTAATAACACCGCTAAGGGGGAAACCATTCGCAAGGCCCTACGCACATCGATCAGTCTGTGATGCCCGAACAGCAGCGGAATTTTCACCTTTGCGATACACATGATGTCCGGCCGCACACCCGAGTACTCAATCGCAAACTGCCTGCCCGCCCGCCCATATCCGCACTGCACCTCATCGATGATCAACAAGATCCCATGCTTATCGCATACCTCCCGCAGGCCCTGCAGGAACTCTGTAGGTGCCGGGACGTACCCGCCCTCACCAAGCACGGTCTCAATCAGAATCGCAGCCGTGTCCTGCGGAGCGGTCTGCTGCTTGAGCAGGAGGTCGAGCTGCGCGAGGCAGAGGGCCGAGAGCTGTGAGCTCGGCGTGGATGCGGGTAGGCCGAGTTGGTGCCAGTATGGGTAGGGGAGGGTGAATACCCCAGGCTACGGCACGGCTAATCAGCGGAGAGCGGGCCGGAGGGAATATAATGTGCACTCGCCATAAGGGGATGGACTCCTTCGCTGTAAATTGTCTTGCTCTTCGTAACGGCCATAGCTCCGAAGGTTCGGCCATGGTAAGCACCTGTGATGGACAATTAGCGGGCAGTCTTTCATGAGAAAGCCCCAGATTGGTGCGATTACGCGTACCCTGCATCGAAATAATATTCTGACGACCGGTTGCAGTCCTGGCAATTTTGATTGCGGCTTCGATGGCTTCCGATCCCGAGTTCCACCAAAAGAATGAATTCAGGGACGAGTCAGGCATAAGAGGGAGGATCTTCTCGATGAGTTTGAGGTAGGGTGGGTGGAAGGCGATGCTGCACTGAACACTTAGGCGTGAGTTCCCAATGCATATATGCGGTCTGACGGTGAGCACACCTGCATGTGAACCACTTCCATGCATTGCTTTGCTGCTGCGCTACTAACTCGTGGGTGACAGTGGCCTGCGATAATCGGGAGGTGAGTCTCAATAATTTCATTGCAGTGTGGCATACTCACCGAGGTTCGTGACTCCGATGCCGCAAGTAAAGTCAAGCATCTTGCGGCCATCCTCCACGGTGAGGTAGGATCCCTCTCCTTTCACCACTACCGCTTCTAATGATCGGCTGAGCCCGGCCGTAACATACTTCTGGCCGAATTGAACGGAGGACGACGGCGAAGTGCTGGTGGCCATAGTCCTGCGTTGATATCTGCCGGGAACAACAGACAAACGCGGCTTTAAAGCACCATCCTTGAAAGCGCTCTGATGAGATCCGGCCTGCGAACTGAGATGGCGAGTCCGCGGTGAGTGGGCGGCCTTGATCAATGTCCTGGTGTTCTTCGGGCTGGAATGGAAAGTGGAGCCAAGTAAGCAATTCATGCTTGACGGCGAAGGCCAGGATGAAAAGCAAATAGGCAGCTAGTATATACTCCGCGCTGTGGCTTCGCGGTCACCAAGCAAGCTGGAACCTGAAGCACGCGAGCAGGCCGTGGAGCGAGTCAACTTATCACGACTGCTCAGGGTGCGTGCATCGGATGGGAATTGGGACCGTGTGGAAGCCAGCATTGCGATAGGGATGCTATGGCGTCAGCGGCACACACCCTTCTGCTGCGTGTCGCACACAGAAACCAACAAAATCAATAAAATCAATGCACGGGTATTTCTGCACCGTCAGGTGATGGTGACATTGCAAGGGGAACCGTGTTTGTGACATCCGCCTGATACGCGAGTAGGAAATCAGAGCCCGTCCCGACACGCGGTGGGTCGTGTGGGAGGATATGCACAGACAAGAAGGACGAAAGGGAGGCTGAGCGGGCCTCGGAAGCTTCTCCGAAGTCAGCATTTGGAGCACGCGAGCTTAGCACGGTCGCAAACGGCAATTGGAAGGCAGAGGAAGCAGAAGAGGCGCGAGCTGAGGTCCGCTCGGCACAAGAATTAACGGTCGAGTCAACCGCTCATATATACCGCATAGAGATAGAACACTCGGAAGCGCAAGAAGGCGGAAATAGCACTCACGCAGTGGTAGTTGTGCCTGGGCGGACGCTGGGGTGGGCGGCGACGCGGGGAACGCTGCGAGCGGGGGCGTGCTGGGCGACGCAGGCAGCGGAGAGCATGGCGGTGGGGGAGCGGTGGCGCGGTAGGAGGCATATTTGAGGCACAGAGGAGACCCAGTCTGGAGGGACTCAGAGTGAACGCGGACTGGCTCCAGCCAAGCGGTACCGCCAGATCGGGCTCGTCACAGGCGCTTCGGCACGCCCATCCAGTCACACCGTCACGCGCCTGGGACGAGCGCACTGCGCCTCAACGCTCCCCCCAGCGCCCACACCGTCCGCAACGCTGTCTGCGCCCACGCCCGCCAGTTCGCCATCACCCCCACCGCGCCCACGAAGCCACCGCCGCTACGCGTCTGCACCCCGCCATGTTCTCCCCACGCTGCTGACAGCCGCAAACCGCCGCATCCAAGATGGCACGTAGCTCCTGGAGTATGGAGCGTGCATTGACAAACGTCGGCGGCGCGGTGACGGTGCATCCCTGTGTCATGGGGCCGCTGCCTGACGCCCGGTGAGTCCACTGACAGGAACGGGGTGGATGACGCGAGGAGGGAGAAGAGAAGAAACTGTATGGGCGGTGGATGGAACAAAGAGTCTCGATTCTGCGTGCGGAACTGGAGAGGAAGCCACACTCGACATTGACCCCGTGGTGCGCAGTCCTCTTCTCTGGCCCTCCGCTTTCATCGCCGTGTTATTTCGCGTCGGTCCCTCGCCGTCTCGTGCCCGCATATCTTGGCACAGCCATCCCAACATCGACCTCTGCGATACGTACGTTCTTGTCACTTGTCACGCTGGCGTCTGCTTGATCTCGATAACCCAAATAGCCGACGGTTGGCTTGGTGGGCCCGCCAGAGCCGGCACTGCAGAGAGATACGATTCGATAGCCGAGCACTATGATCGCATCTCCGCGACCGACGGGCGTTCCGTAGCCCCCGACCCGCCCTTCCGCCCACACGCAGCTCGCAGGCTCCGGCGACTTGCTGCGCCCTCTAGGCCACGCCTATACCGCACCCGTCGCATGCATCTCGAGCGCATAGCGCTAGCGGCCTGGATCCTCGCTTAGTCGGCTAGCTTGCGCCTTTATATCGGTTGGCCGTGTCCGTTTCGCTTGTCACTCCGAGTCCGAGGCCGACATCGACCAGATGTCAGTAGAGGTTCGCACATGGCCCTCTGGACCTGGATGCCTCAAGTTTCCGGAGAAGGCCGTCTAATGTTGTAAGTTAGCTACGTATGATTCCAATTGAGCGGTTTGCCCTTGCAGTGAACGCCACTTTATCTCTACATAAGACTATCGGCGGCGATTTCCCGGGGCAACTCAATCGCTCACTTGAACACTCACTGCCCGCATGCGGATAGACTATTAGGCCTTGACGAGGCTTCCCTGGCAGCTACGCGTGGATGGAATTCAGTCTGAGTAGGTACGTACAACCTCAACGCAGTATGCCCATGCTCCTATCTTTTCCGCCGCCTGCTCACGCGAGGTAGATTTCTGATCTACTTCACGGACAGAATGCAGGGTCACGGGTACGGCAGGCTCTCGGGTGGACGTAGGTGGTAAGCGGAGTTGGACTTGTTAAGGCGAGTCAGCTGTTTACCTTCTCGCCTCGCCTGCCCGAGAATCTGTGGCGATACAGGCTGTAATGATGGCTGCAGGCTCGATGTTTACCGCCGCGGGTTTCTCGACTTCTCGCATACTAGCCGTTCAATCTTATGCTGGCTTGTTTCCTCCGCACTGTGGATGATGCTGGGCCTGCGGCTCACGGCGGCATCTTGCGACTCCTTGGCGGCATGATATACTTATCGCTGGATTCTCTCGGGTTCAGGCGGGCATTCGGTGTTGCTCTTTCCCGCTCGCCTCTTGACTGGTTGTATCGGGTCGACTAATGTGGTTGCTATCAGTACGTCTCGGGCATTATCGATTTATCTCTTATCCAAGTCTTACCGCGTCTGCACATATTGCGACCATCGCGACAGCGGGATGTCGGCATGCATACATATCAGGTCGTTCATGACCATCCCAACAATGCAAGGAACCTCGATCTCTTTCTCGAAGAGGTCGGGAATTTTCACATGTACTCTCAGCTGTTATTCGCTTCTGATGGAGCTCAGTCCTGCACGCCGCAATGCTCATGCAGGCCTGTCGTCTATGCCATGCACCCGCTCTGCCTCGTGTTAGACAACCTCCGAGTCCGTTCCAACGCGACGGTGCGTTTGCCACCATGGGGCCACTGAGCTGATCAGTACCGCGTCAAATCGTGGGGGCTACGGTACGTGGCTTGGCTTGGACAGCTTACTGAATATCAATATTTGGAGTTGCAGGCTCGGGCGAACAGCGGCAATGCCTTATTCGGACAAGACACCTGGCGTCGATCGGACGCACCACGTCACACAAAAGGCAGGAGACTTGCCGAATGCGGCAGCACGAGAGATGTGTGGATAGTTATGATGTCACCTAGTGCCACCTCGTGTCATCCCTACGCACGTCGTGCGCCTCTCGCTCCTCAATGCGAAACTTCGTCACGCCATAGCTGAGCCCCCCGTAGCCCTTATAATGCTCGCCCCCGGCGACGTTGGAATGACCCCAACTTGCATTCTACCCTCAACCATCTCTCACGACTACTGCAACTTAATTTGACTCAACCTTACGACCATGACGAACAAGACACTCGACCCATACACCGCGAAGGCGGAGAACAACAACCTCTCGCCGCAGGAGAAGATCGAGGGCCTGCATGCCATCTTGAAGAGCGTCAAGACCGGCATGCTCACCACACGCACCACCTCGGGCGACCTTCACTCTCGCGCAATGGCGCCCGCTGGACGTGAGCACTCGAGTCCTCGCGCACATACTCAGATCTGCTGACGCGGGAATCGGCAGCGTTCAACCCGACCCAGGTGACGCTCGTGTTCATCGCGAACAAGGCATCCGCCAAGTTTGACGAGATCGAGAACGACGCGCACGTCAACGTGTCGTTCTACGACGAGTCGTCGACCAACTGGGCGTCGTACGCTGGCATCGCCAAGATCTCCCAGGACAGGGAGAAGATTGCCAAGCACTGGAGCTCCGCGTGAGTAGCCCTCCTAGACGTCCCAGTCGTGTGTTCATGCGGGCTTACGGCGCCGTTTTATGCGCATATATGCAGTACCGCTGCGTGGTTTGGCGACCTAAAGGACGGCGTTCACAAGGGCGACCAGCTCGACCCTCGCGTCGCTGTGATCGAGGTTATCCCGGAGGAAATCGGTACTGGCACTCAACGCGCGGAACGGTCGGAAAGGCGGTCGATGTCGCTGTTAGTGCGGTGTCGGGAAATGCTGCGGCTCCTGGTGAACTCAGGACAATCTCGAAGGCGGAGGTAAGCATGCATCACGTCGCTTCGGCAGGCTCTATGGGTACATACTCATTCATTGCAGGTCCAGCTCTTGAACGGCCTCCAATCAAAGTAAAGGACAGTTCTGCCGTAGCTTGAAGTGTATCCATAGCATTGTATCTTGACACTATTGCACGGGATGTACTGTACCAACTTCTCTCATTCATACTGATATCTTTCCCTTCGACTGGCTGCAAAAATGACCATGTCATGACGAGAGGTACATATGTGGGGTCAATTCACACTACTAACATACAAACAAACATACAAAAAGTGTCTCAAGCTTCTATATGAAGGAACACAGGCAAGGAAAGACTTGTTGTCAGTATCACTGTAATTTTGTTCTTTTGAAGTTGAGTAGCATGAAGAGCACAAACATCCTGAGAGCTGTCAATCTGTTCAGTAGAGAAGAGATAGAAATCCACTTTTGCAGCCAGTTCAGGTCCAACCTCATCATACAGACCACAGAGTAACAACCACACCCCTGCTATATCCTGCAGAGCATATATGCAGCCAGATGTACTGCTCAGCACTCAGATAGCTTGAGACCTCCTGTTGCTGTTTGGCAAGCTGAGAGGAATGCAAAATCTGCATGCTGGAGTGATCTCTGGGTGATGTCAATCAACTTCATGGCTTTGTCATGGTAGTATTCCATAGTCAATTCAATGATAACGGATGCGCCGCTTATTAGGGTTGCCTTAGCAGTGAGGCTGCCAAGATCTTCCGGGACTGCAGGATAATGCAAGCATTCGACCGGCAGCGGCGAGTCATACGCACTGATCTGAGATATATGCTCAGACGCCGATATGCTCGGTGGTGGCGGTCGTTGAGAGGCGTTGTGCTCGCCGGTCTCGCAGCCACCTCATGCAGCCATGAACCCGCCGCACATTCTCATTGCTCGTAACTCTCGGGGGCCCAACTCCGCTAACCCGTCCGCCTCTCTGAGCTCGCCGACAGAAACGCATGCTGCCGCTGCAGGCATCTTTCGATCGGCAGGCTCGCCGCCATGGTACCTCGAGGAGTGCGAATCTGACGAGATGGTCTCTGCCCTGAGTCTCGATGGCGACTACGAGGATCCCATTGAGATAGACGAGACGTTCACGGAGAACAGTCGGTTCCCGGGCACAGTCAAGATCATCGTCGAGTCTACGACTTTCTGGTACGTGTAAACCCGCCACACAGTAGCGACCGTGTTTATCTCCATTCACAAAGGGCGCACAAAGAAGTGCTCTACTTTGCGTCTTCGTTCTTTCAGGCAGCCCTCAGCGGTGCTTGGGCCGAGACAGGGCGACCTCAATCCACCGTCTCATCTGTGATCACCATTTCTCAGCCGCCGACCGTACCCGGCAGACAATCCAACATAGAAGACTCTCCCGATATGACGTTCGCCCCCCCTGATCCTGACGTGGATATAGAAGACTTAGACCTCGACGGTGAGCCCGAAATAGACCCTAGTCCGGGTGACAAGGCAAAGGCCCGAGAAGATAGTCTCAGCAAGCTCGAGAATAGCGGTACGTCACCATCCTCACCAAGACCGCCAGAGGGAGAGAAGGGCAAGGAGAAAGCCATCGGTCTGAAGGAGAAGCGTCGCAGGAAGGACAAGAAACCTGACGCCATCATTATCCTGAAAGAGGAGAAAGCGTCGACGTTCCACGATTTCCTCAAATTCGTATACCCGCAGTAAGTCTCCTTGGTTCAGTCAAGACATCCTATGTTCAAATCTCGTCTGTGGAAGTCTTGTGTGCACAATCACATGGAACAACGTAGAAGGCCTCATGAATATATCACACAAGCTTCATGTTAGTTCGCTCGAGCGGGAATGCTTGACTTTCCTCGTTACGCATGCCGCCGGCCGGCCGATCAAGGCAATGCGCATTGCTGAGCTATTCGGTGAAGAAGAGCTGTATCGCGAATCAAGTCGCTTCGTACTCGACAACCCTGGTGGATGGGGCGAAGAGGAGCTCAGGACACTCAGCCAAGAGACGTTACTGAAGCTTGAGAAGCGGTACGTGAGCAGAGATAGCAGCTCGTGAAGTCATACTCAGCCGTCACTAGGAGGACGTGGTTCCTGGAACGCGTGCTCAAGCTCGGACTAGTACAAGTGGCGAAGGAATATCAATGCGTATGTATCCACCATCGCTATGGACTGGCGCGTCGTACTGATTGTGCAGTGTGCGACATGTCCGGACCCATCGACTTGTGCACGCCTCCTGGAAGAGAAATGGAGGCAAGCTTATCAGGCCGTCTTCCGTTTCGGTAATCAACACTCTTTCCGACGAACGACGAATGCTGACAGGCCATCACCAACGTCAGGCCCTTGCCAACCATCCATGGTTTTCCGTACCTACGCACTTTGGAGGGTGTCAGCCCTCCACTGTCCTTGACTCATCTCAGTTGCCAGACCACAGCCAAGGCGTTCATTGCTACCCGTAAGCCACAACATATCGTTGCGTGAAGTGCATTCTGATTGCGGTGTGGACCAGTCTTCGACAGGATGTTCTCGCTCGGTTTACGAGGTAGTGGAGCGGACGCTGCACCTCTTGGGGCGCGGTTGCCGCCGTAGCGGGTGCATCTACGGGCCCGCGCCGCCACTTCCTATTCTGCACGCTGAATGACCATAATACCCATCGCAGTAAGCGTTCGCGCGACCTGCTGTCTTGACCTCGTTGGACATCAGTTCCTTCGATCCCCTTCCCTATTACTTTCATCTTGTTCGGCGGAATCTAGTGGAACATGTATAATAATATATCTGACAGGAGAATACATATCCATAAAAGACTGGGTATGAGGTGTGTGCAATGATATATGCGTAAGATGGTAATCTGGAAGTACAAGACTTGGAATGACAGGATGACGAGACGGGCAATGACTAAGGAAGTGGAATGAACCCGCCATACGCCCAGCATATGAACGCACCAAACAACCCGAATGGAACGAACGAAGGTAATACAGAGAGGTCAGACGTGAGTCCACTAATGCTTACAGATGGACAACCTGCCAGATGGCATCGTCGCGAGCCAAGGCTGCGATCAGTCGAACGGGGGAGTGTGTTCGAAGGCAATCGGGGCATTCTGAACGAGCCACTGTACGCAAGTGGCCTTGCCACCCATGTCAGCGAACTCGGAGACCATCTCGCGTGACCGCATGAGTGTGGCTGGAAGGCAGGTTAGGGAACAGCATACGCGTGGAGGGGAAACTAACGTACGTCCGAAGACAACCCCGAGATTTTGCGCGTTCATGAGGTTTCCAGCACTCCGTTCGCTGACTCTGCATTGCAACTGCGTCAGCCAATCTGGTGCTAGGATATAATCTATTGACAAACCTGTGTAGATGCAACAAGAGATGCCGAGCGGTGAAGTAATGCTCCTTCGGAAGCTCCATGATGCAACTCAGGTACGCTTCACTTTTCATCTCAGGATCGCGGATGCCAGTGGCTGACATGAATCGAGCATGCAGCTCATAGGTCAGCAGCGGATTTGGAAGTTGTCGCAGATATGACTTGAGAACAGATGTGACGCTGCAAATGTCGTTGAATCGATCGGTGTCCAGGAGATCGAATGTGCTGTAGTCGGCGCGCTCGAACAACTGTGTAATCGTCTTCGACTGGCCTGAGCCGCCAGTCTTCCGGTAGATGCCTTCGAAATCCAATGCTACCATACGTGCATGTCAGTTATTGCACGAATTGTTATTCGAGTTGTGAGCATACCAAGCGCATCTACAGCTTCAATGCATTTCTCAACAATAACGGGAATGAGTCGAGGCTCTTCCCGCGATTCGAATTGTACTTGTTCGACTAGATTTCGCCCGAACATTGAGGGAGCTGAATAGCTGGTCAGCGCACAGCGACAATGCACTCATCCTAGAACGTACGTAGAGGAATAGGCGGGAGCGAGGGTTCGTCGCGACCTTGGGACCCTTGTTGAGAGCAAGGCAGATGGACGTGCTGTAAACAGCGCGTGTGCACGGCAACATTGCAGTCTGCACAACTGATGAGCGATCGGACGGAACAGATAGAGGGTTTGACATACTCGTGCAGCGAAATTGGGAACCCCACATCTTGTCGCCGCAATGATCGCAACGGGCTACCCGCAATACGCTGACTTGTTGGAAGACGTGCTCCTTGCGGCCAGCAGCCTTGGGGGTGTCATTCCAAGTAGCGGAGGAACGTTCTCCTTCGTCGTCTTGTGGCCTGGCCATTTCAAGAACTTGGGACCCATCTTAATCGGTTGTGCATGCGAGTCGATGGACTCCGGCTTCGAGATCTTGATGAACTTCGAGGTCTCTACTGAACCTTCCTCCGACAGTGCGACAGTTGACGACGTGACTGATGACGATAGGTTCTGGATCTGTCTGGCTCTATCATATCCTCCGTCAGCAGCACCAGTTTCCGGCTTAGGTGCTGTGGAGTCGAGCCCGGCGGCCTCGATGCGGCGCACATACTGGGCATTCAACTGGGCAAGTTCCTCATTCCGAGCGTTGAGCGCAGTCGTCTCTTCCAGGAATGCGTCGCGTGAAGCCTTCAGCTCCATGATCTCTCGCATTAGAGCCTCCCTTTGCTCAGTCAGTGGCACGAGCTCGATCTGGTACTTGTTCTTGATGTTGTCGAAACGCATAGACAATGCTCTACCGAGGGAGGCTGCACCGTCTTCACCTTCAACCGGCGTACTAGAACTGCAAGCAAAATGAGTGGCGCCATGAGGCGAGGCAGGGACTACACACCTCTTGGAAGCAGAGAGCTGCTCGACCTCCGCCAGAGTCATGTCACGTTCCACCTTCAGCTGCGACAAGGATCTGCCCAGAGTCGATAGGTTGTTGCTGAGCTCTTCCGAAAGCTGTTTCTGGGCCTCTTGGCGCCTCGTCTCACCTGAGATGGCAGAGAGGCGTGCTGCCTGCCCAGAGAGCAGAATGCGAAGCCGTGTTACTTCAGCCTCTGCATCCCGCCGAGCTTTAAGCTCTTGGTCATACTCTGTCTGAGCAACAGTCAAGCCATCCATGTAATGTTGACTAGCCCTCTGGGATGACAAGGACGAGTCAACTACCACGTTTATTCCACTCAGCTAGCCTCACTGACCTTCATGCCATCGAGCCTGCGTTTGTATTCAGCATAGTCTGCTTGCTGCTGCTCGAAGGCTTTCAAAAGGGTATGCACGAGCCCCACATCCAAGGTGACCTGCGCATTGCCATGTCCATGGCAGCTGCCAACTCGTCTTGCAACAGCGACCTCGACGAATCAGTGAAGTCTGCTCGCGGTGGCCCCGATGCTGCCTCATCCTCTGAGCTGACGGTGATGCGAGTGGGTGTGAGTGTCGAAGTGTTGAAGTCTTCATGACCGAAGGTAGCGTCCAACGAATCGGAATAATCGTCTGCCCTCGATTGACTGTCCAAGCTAGGCCTCGCGCGGGGAACAGAGGGGAATTTTGACAACACATCGGTTGCCACAGACGAGCTGAATGAGGGTGAAGAGCTCATAGTACCGCCAATACCCGCAGACATCCCACGTTGACGCGTTCCAAGTCGCTTCACGGGGGTTTCGTCAACTCGGCTCTCCGTCGACTCTGTCACCGTGACATCGCTCCGTGGTGTTAACATCTGTAAGGAGTCTCGCCTCGACTGTACGAGCACCTGGGGCGACGTGGCGGTGAGATCGAGTTCACGGCTACCACTCTCCGTAATCTCCGCGAGCTGCTCTAGCCTCGTTACGTCACCGCTAACAGACTTCAGCAACTCTGCGAAGTCCGAGTTTCCCATCGAGATCCGGATCGGAGGCAAAGCCGGAGCGATGAATGTCGCGTGTGAAGTCCTCTCGACTGGTGAGGATTCCGGCGAATCGACGCTGTTGGGATGACTGTCGTCCGCTGCGTCATGATTGACGCTTACACTGCTTCCTGTGTTAAGGCGGTTGAGAGTAGGGCGAGAAGATCTTGCAAGTGACTCTTTGGGTGGAAGAGCCGGAGGCATGTCGCGGTCGGGACGGTCGTGTGCGTCCTCCGACTCGGCTTCTGTGTCTGTTTCGCTTTCGATGCCATGCGGCACATCTATGCGGTGCGACGGCGATGTAGGCGTCGGGACGCTGGGCGGGCGAGATGATACCTCCAGTGTGTCATTCGGTGGTCGATTCTCTCGCAGAGGACTTGCACGAGCTCTGTCGTCGAAAGACCTTTGATGCCGAATGTTACTGTTAGGAAGGATGAGACTGGGAGGACGTTTATGTTCGTGGCCACGTAAGCTTGATGTCCTGGCAGTATATTCCGAGCGATCGGTGTTCTGGGGTTGCGGGGTGAGGTGTTCTGGAACCCGACTACTGGAGCGCGACGCTGGGCTGTTCAGAGCTGAACCAGATCGCGAGGGCGCACGCGACAGTCGATCCTGCTCGAGGGGTCGTTGAGCGCTGATGCCCGAAGAACCTGAGCGGGTCCGACCAATGTGGGGTGCTCCTTGGTCAAGAGAGTTGCGAGGGGATGAAGGGGTAGTCGGACGAGAAGAGGATGCGACACGCGCGAAGGCGGGATGCTCTGGACCCGTACTTTCTGCGAAAGGGGTTTGCGAACCAAAGAGCTCTCGTAGGGGTGAAGTCGCTTGCGGAGATCCGCGTGCCGGAGGCACCGTATTGCTGAACGACTGTGCCAGCGCGGGATTGATAGACTGCCGCTTACTCCGACGGGAAGTCTCTCCGTTGGGGATGTTCAAGGCAACGCTTCCGCTACCGCTCGCAGAGTTCAGAGAATAAGTACTGGGGGTCGGTCGGAGCTGCTGCTGGAATGTCGGGCGCGCGTCTCCGTCGAAGCTTTTCCTTGCAAGCAGGTGTCTGTCGGAACCGTCACTCCCCGGCACAGCCAGAGAATCCATCCTGGGCGTCGGCATGGACGTCAGTCGTTCAAGCTGTGGTCGTGATGAATCGAGAGTTGCCGAGCGCACTGGAGGGGCAGTACTATCGTCATCGGGTGCCGTGGAAGGGCGCTTGCTGACGCTCAAGGACGAGAGTTGGGCCGCGAAGCGGCTTGCAGTAGAAGGCCTGCGCTCACGAGGCTCATCTGGCGTAAACGAGTTGACTTGTTTCTGGTTCAAAGACGACACTGATCCGCGCTGAGAGGTGCCGCCATTTGCTGGGGGATGGGCGGAAGGAGAAGCGGTGGACGCCTCAGAGGAGGCAGAGGGTGACTGCGCAGCGCTCGCCTGCCATACCTTCAGTTTCACGAACCGATGCACAAAACTCTACTCACCGAAGCGGAATGTTCTGCCTTCGCACCCGAGATGCTGCTCCCAGCGTCAGAACTCATGAGCACGCTCGCCGCCTTCTCGCGTTCCCTTTCCCTTTCCCGCTCCTTCTCGCGTTGTCGCTGGGCGTGACGCCGACTCCGCGCGACTCGTTGGTTGTGGCAGTCCATGCAATAGATCCCTTGGCTGTCTTGGCAAATACCAGTTCGTCTATCCGGTTCTTGCATACCTTGCACTTGAAACAATGCGCATGGTATGAATCATCGCCCGTCATGATAGCCTCGTCAAGAATCGGTTGTCGACAGACATTGCAGGAGTATGAGCAGTTCGCACATATCGGCGAGCCGTCAGAGAGCAGCAGCAAATTGGTGTCTGCGGTGACCTGGTTGCCACACTTGGCACACTTGAAGCAATCGACGTGGAAGAAGGATTGACTAGTGGTTGATGAGATGAGCGATACGGAGTACAGTACAACGGAACAGAGCGAGGACAAGGATTTGTGATGTCCTTTGACGTGATCCGCAGAACAGCACACGAAAGCGATCGTGCCGAAGAGCGAAGGGAAGAAGAACGGGGGACTCACCCAAAAGCGACTACCACTCCGCCATTCTCGTCTATCACCGACTTCTTGCATCCAGGACAGAAGCGGTTCTCATTCAGAAGTGAAGGATCGGGAGGGCCTGTGCCATTGGCCCCAAAGGTAGACACCGTCACAGGGCTTGCAGGTAGTGCTGAGATCATGTCACAGAGCGGGGGAGAGGAGCACGGAGCGCAGGAAAAGCCGAGGGAATGGGGGTATAAACAGTGCCCTGTTGCCAAGAGAGAGCGTACTGCGACCTGCGCCGGATGGCTACGCTGAGGGAAACAGGTCGAGAGGATGCAAACCAAGAACAAGGAGAGGGAGGAGGGGGGATAGGATGGCTTTCCGGAGCCTCTGCGCGTCGAGGGCAACGAGCTAGATGGGCGCGTCGCCCATCATCAACACGCTCTCCTCCTCCACGTGATCCCGACCGTCTGCACCGCCTGGCCATGGGCCCTACGCCGTGTTGCCCACTTGGGCAGTCCCGCACATTGTCTCCTGCAATACCGCAGCCGCACTCTCGCCATTGTTTATGTACTAGCAAACGCAGATCCCATCTCCAGTTACTTATGCTCTCGGTGCCCACCTGTGATGCGGTGTGATTGATCACAATATGTCAGACTTGGAACGGCGCTCAGGTACTTACCATGTTCTGTCACCGGCGTCTACGCTCACTCTACACCCACTTCAGGTTGACTGCAGGTCTGTTGATCTTGTCATCTTGGACTCGTCGCTCTACACGCTGGACAATGCCTAGGATGCCGCCGACTCGCAGTCTATAGTGCGCGAATTGTCCGCGCACAACTGCGTGTCTACTAGGACAGGTTGTTATGCTTGATGTATAGTGCTCGCCGGTGTGGTTGTCTTCGCCGCAGATCAGTGAAACGCGGAATTGTACCAGGGGACCGCGAGCCTGCGGCTCTGTAGTGTAGTGGTTATCACAGCGGATTCTGATCTCTGTATAGATTGACAATGTTCCGCTAACCGAGGTTCGAGTCCTCGCTGGGCCTTTGGTTTTACTTTTGCCGTGAGTCTCCCACTTTGCGCGCGGGGGCACTGAGTAGGTAATAATAAGACTGAGGAGTTCTCGGGAGCATGCAGAGCAAGTGGACATGGACATGTGCTACATAATGGAAGCAGAATGGATGGGGCAAGGAACGCACACAAGGAGGCGGACGGCAGTGGACAGCGTTACACAGAAGGCGATGTGACTGATGCAGCGGCGAGCACTCGACGAGGTTAGCGGATGGCAGAGGTGACGCGTCATGTACCGGGCCCGGGGCAGGTGGTGAAGCGGATGATTAACGAAGATATACATGCGTGTTGCGATAGTTCCATGGCAACGTTATTTTTTTAAGCATTTCTTAGCTTTGCGACACGAAAGTTCGGCCGGGCCTTCAGATCCGCTTCTTGAACAAATAGTGGCCCACTCCATATCTATTCGAATGCGGATGAGCACAGGCAGATTCACAGCAACTGGGACAAACTCACTCCTCGCCATCCCTCATGCCAAAGAGCTCCGCACACGCCATATAAAAGACTCGGAAGCTAGTCATAGTCACAGAGCGATGAAATCGACGCAGTACGAGCATGATCGCTGCATACTTACCGATAAAATACTTCCGACCCTCCTCAGCCCCAACACCCTTTTCGAGCGTCAAGCTCAGATATTGATGCTCTTCGCAGTGTTCGCGTCTTGAGGACGAGCCAGTCCTCGCAGGTTGGGCGTAGTGTCGGCCGTTGACATACCAGCTTCGCAAGAGGGTGAGGTCATCCTGGAAGTATAGCTATCCTCTCATCAGTGATCGTCAGGAGAAGGGAAGAGAAGAGGGCTTTACTAGGAGGTCGTGCGACGGCATAGTCCCGCCTATGATAAGCGATGAGTGCTCAGCATATATGCAGAGGAATTGGGAGACCGCGCACCCGAGAAGAAATGTGTCGCCATCCAGCCGTCGTCCTCTGCGAAGTGGTACGGCATGGAACGATGGCAGAAGATGTGCACGAAGAGCAGCCCATCAGGTCGCAGCCAAGATGCAATCTTGCTGAGAAGCATCTTGTAGTTCTTCATGTGCTCGAACATCTACACGACGGCCGCTCAGTCCACTGAGCGACTTGTGACGGAGAGGCTTACTTCGATAGACAAAATGTGGTCAAATCTATAAGGCGGCGTTGTTGGGTGAGGCCTGCACATGGCGCAAGTCTAACATGCTCACTGCTGTCCTTCGGTGAAGCCGAAGTCATTCATATCAGCTGTTATAATCTTTCATATTTTTGAGCGTTATCTGCGAGGTAGGGGCGAGGCATGTCAGGACACGCACTTTTATATTGCGCAAGCCTCGAGAACGAGCAGCAGATTCTATGTACTCTTTCTGTGTACGCGAGTTCGACAGACCAACTATTTTGGAGCTTGGATATTTCTGAGGTACCGATGAGCCAGATTTCGCTTGATGAATGCGGGTCGCGAGACTCACCTGAGCAAGGTATAGTGTCAAACTTCCCCAGCCTAAACGCGTGTGTTCTCAGTGAAGAATATACAGAGGTTTGTAGGTTATATGCATACCACATCCGAGATCCAGTAGTCCATCCCATCCGACAACTGAGCTTTCTGGCAATAGCTCTCAAGCATATCACTTCCGCTTCGTCCAGAGACTCTTTCCCCGTGGGATAGAGACAGCTGGAGTACTTGGCGTATGGTCCGAGACACGATAGCATGAAGTCCGTGGGCACCTGTATTGCGCCGCAAAGTCAGTTCCTTCAAAATATGCGCACTGAAAATGTACTTCGTAATGTTGTTCGTTCGCCTTGTTTGTCGAGTCAGCAATGCTGGCTCGCGCCCGCACCTCTTCGAGCCACCGCATCTTTGCAGCGTGATTCGCCTCGAACGACCCATGGTCAATCTCACGGAGCCTCGCACGGAGTAGAAAACGTATGGCGGGGCGGATGACAAAATCCGGTATCAGACCCTACTGTCTGTATGAGTCTTCTGCTTTCTCGCAACTTGCGAGCTGGCGTACCTTATCCAGGAGAACATAGGCGGTGCGGAGGATGGCATCGAGGATCATGGTGGTCGGGAAGCGAAGAGCGACCTCGACCTCCCGGTCGAGAGGGCGTCCATATGCGTGCAGAAGGATGCTACGCGCTGGCTGTCAGGATAGCGATCCTTTCGAGAACTTGTCTTGCCTGAAGACGCGGTCATGTGATATGAGACGCGTCGCATCGCGATCGGTCAGGCCTTCAGGTTTAGGGACCCTGAGCTTCCCACTGAACGAGACGCCCGTTAACGATGCCGTTGAAAGGCCGCATCAAGTGCCATGCGACCCTGTTTCGTTTCGTTACGTGGAACTTGAAGGTGCTCCCTTAGGCTCCCTTGCCACTGAACGCCACGTCCAGGCCAATCCGCCACTGGCAGCGGTTGCGATCCGCCAATGTCCCCGAAAAGGCGCAAGCTCGAGCTTGAGCCCGAACCCGAGTGTCCGTTCAGTAGGACGCCGCTCGATGTCTCTCCTGAGAACCGACAGCGCTTTGAGGACTTCCTGCGAAGCATCATCAGCAATAGCAACAACTCGGCGGAGGATGTGGAAGGAATGCATCACGAATACTACGTGCGTCCAGCCATTGTCAAGTCTTCATCACGTCAGGCATCTTCACAACGCACTCAGGAGCTCCACGCGTCACGACTGGAAGCACTATTGGTACTCGGAGACAGTCTACCCATACCGCTGGGGCCCGTGACGACGTGCATCTGGGAATGGTTTTCTGACTCGTCGGAGCGCAAAGATCATGGGGATTACAAGTTTTCCTGCAAAAAAAGGCTGCTGGTATAGAGGTCCTGAGAAGGTCGCCCTCGAAGGGCCGTTTAGCACTATGCCACTCGACGTGAGCGATGATGGTCGCCGCAGATTTGAAGAGTTCCTGTTCGACATTGCCGATGATGAGAGGAATAGCTGGGAGAAGGTTCAAGCGTTGCATGAGGGATATATGGTACCGTTGTGTAGTGTTTCTCTTTCATCCTGTGAAATGCTAAGCTCCGCATACTCAGGAATTGCACTCAACAAGGCTGGAGGCGATACGGGATGCGGGAATCAAGCTGCCGGAATTGACCGAGGCAGCTCTTTGTTGGCATGGTCGCCCTTTACGTATACGAGAGGGGAACTACAGCATCTACTTATTAACTTTAGAGGGGAGTGCGTTTCATTCCAAATATTCAATCGCGGAACGTACCGTCATTGTAAGCAGTTCTGGCACCAAGACAGGCAGGACTTTGTCCGATGCTCACAGTGGATCATTGAAGGCGCGGGCAAACGAGAAAACGGAAGAACCGGTAGGCTCGACCCATGATCGGCACCAGTCATCTGAGTCGAAGCATCCTGGCAAGGCCATGGTCACGACAAAGAGACGCAAGCGGCCAGAGGAAGACTCTGAATACCGGCCTGCCCGTAGGCGGGCGAGAAATTCCTTGCCGGAGGAAGAGGAAGAAAGTGTGAAGACGTATGTGAGTGCTTCGAGGACGTTGGTTGTTCATCGTATACATGGTACTGACCATCGTCGCACTCATGTGGCATGATGTAGACCGTTTTCACGGGCAACGCACGTTGTCGACGCTGTATACAGGAAAAGAGACTTACTGTATGCAAGAATTCGCGGGCAGGCGATGCCTCCAATGTGCGAAGAAGCATCTCGGCGGGTGCAGCCATATTCAGTCTGTTCAGATGGAGGCAGAGGCCTAGGGTTTTGACTTGTGGAGTTGATGAAGCTTAAGGGACAAGGATTGGGCGTATTCACTGTTGACACTGTGCTAGATTTGGGCGCAAGGTTGCCAACGAACCCGACTCCTGTTCGCAATGATCAAGTTCCATTCACAAGGTGACCGTTAGCATGCACGAAGCTCGGAAAGCAGGGGCGATACCATATGGGTCCTCGAGCTCGCATCGCAATACTTACTTTTTGTCGCAGAAGTAGTGGAAGGGTCGAAAGCATAGTGGCCGCATGGCGCCGGCGAGTGCGAGTGGCAGAGGTCCTGTCGCGACGCGTTGAGAGGGCGTGACCGTTTTGCCGGCGTCACTCTTCGGAGTCTAACCTCCAACGATACCCGTCCAAGGCCAGGGCCTCACACGAGCACCTCTTGCTCTTGCTCTCCATCTACTGGCTTCTCTGCACCGACCATACGTCGATGTCTGTTGCGCAGCGATGCGGCTCCGCCCTGATGCGCTACTCTAGTCGTGCCCATACCGCCGCGGCGGTCGACCGCTACAGCATTATACACGCATTTTTCTCGCGACAACAAACCGTTGCCAGGACCGCCGCTGCTCAGCAGAGTCACTACGTGCATGTTCGCTGCCGTATCGGTCTGGACACCTCATTTTCGGGCACACGTCTCAATGTCCGACACTTCTCGTGGACTTGCAATCGGAGCGCGGAGCAACCGGCCAAGGGAGTTAATAAGGCGCCAGAGCAGAGGCGGAGCACCATAGGCGAGGGAGGATCGTCCTCGTCCGAAAGCGGGTCAAAAGTTGAACCACTGAACCCTCACCAGTACGACAACTATCCTCCTTTCTTACGGCGAATCGCTCTCTCGCTCCCCACTCATCGACCAACGCGTGAAGACTTTCTCAATGCTGCAACTGGTTTCTGGCAACGTGCTCGGATACGTTTCAAATGGCTGACCATTAGGTCCTTTCGCAAGTACAATGCCGACGACATATCGGCTTCGTAACCTGGTTCGTCATGAGCCAAACCATATGGCTATTTATCGGAACGTGAGTCTGACTACTATCTTACCTGCATCCGTCTCAGTGCAATGTCCTTTAAGAACCACGTTCTTTTCAGTGGTCTTCGCGACTATAAACAGTCTCAGGCTCCAAGGTGCGTACGTGCATCCACCCATCCCGAGTTGTACTGAGAGTTCTCTGCACAGAATATGTCGCACGAGCAATAAGCGACTACCTCACGTCGGAGACGGGCATCACAATTATCTTCGAGTCTGCCATTGTACCGAAGTGGAAGGACTCTCGGATCTCTTTCAAGAACGTCTACATCATTCGGGGGCCCCATGGTCCGGAGATTGCTAAGAAGAGGAAGTCGGCCATGTCAGTGGAGGCATATGGTGGCAGTAGGCTACGATGTCAGCAACCACCCTTCCTTCCATGTCACGGCGACGAGGATGAAGAGGAGGGCATGCATATGCACGCGGAAGAAGACGTCAATTACTCCATCTTCGACCTGAGCGTGGACTCGATTGACGTTACCCTATCGTTTGCGCGATGGTGGCAAGGGAAGGGCCTGATTGTAGATGCCGTCGTAAAAGGCGTTCGAGGGGTACTCGGTAAGGTTGACGCTATCAGAAAGCTGCCTTCAGTCTCATTCGGCCCTCGCAGATCGTCGTTCAGTGGTCTGGGACCCGGACCACCCACTCGATCCTGTGCTCTTCAGGCACGAAGCGCAACCAGGGGATTTCGAGCTGAGTCGCTCCAACTCGAGGACGTTCTCCTCACCGTGTATCAGCCAGGCAACTTCCGGCCCTTCACCGCATCCATTTTCGTGCGGACATACGTACGTTCAGGAAGCAATGGCTCTTCTACGACTTCCTCGCTGCGGAGAATGTCGTGGGTCAGTATGACAACTGCCTGTTCAGCCTGCACCGTCCGCAGAGCATAGGCCGTACTACGGAGCAGGACCTGCAGGACGGTCAATGGGTGCGCATGGTCAGTCGCATGAGCTATCCCTTCCCGAGTGCCAGAAACCTGACACAGTACTACAGTCGCGATTCCGGATGGACGGTCTCAACGTCGACCACATGCAAGCTATGACGACGCAAGACGGGCCCTTCTCCTGGATCACCTCCGGCAAGGTCGACGCCGTGCTCGACATCAAGTTCCCGCGGGGGCCCACGGAGGAGCTGCCGATCAACGCGCTCCTGGGCGAGCTCGCGGACGCGATCTCCACCGCGGCATCGTCCGTCACTGCGGAGCGCATCCCCGGCCAGCGCGAGCTCGCGAAGCCGCCGCTGAGCGCGCCGTCGGACAAGGATCTGGTTACGGAGAACCCGGACGTGCCCCAAGTGGTGATTGATATTGACTTGAGGTTCAGGGATCTGAAGGCGGCGGTGCCGATCTTTACCCATGAGCTGAGCTATGTGAACAATGCACTCGTGAGGCCGATCGTGGCGTTTATGAAGTGCGTGGTGCTTCGCCTGGCGTGCGCATGGACGCTGACGATTTGTTGCAGCGCGAATCGGACCTTGGTACCTATCCGTTGTAGAGTCGTGAAACCGCTCAGTGATTTCGAGGGTTCGTGGACGGTGAGTTGTCTCGACACCAATCTGGATACGACCAAACTGCTGACGCTGAATGCCCATAGCTCTGGGAAAGTGCGTATAGTGTTACCAGATAGTGGGACGCATCTGACGATTTCAACAGCTGGTCTAATGGACATTATCTCCCTCAAGGTCAGTATTCTCCTTGTGCCGATGTAGACGCCATCAGTCCTGACGTTCGCGGTTCGCAGGTATACGAGGCGATGGCGTACCACGTCGCCCAAGCGAATTTCAACCGCCGCCTCAAGGTCGTGAGCGCGTGGAGCCTGCAGATGACCGCGAGCGCGATGATCTCCGCACTGCGGACGCTCATCGACCCCGTCGCGACGCATCTGCGCGACTTGTACGAGGAGGGAGGGTACGAGGCGCTCTTTGTCCCACCAGATGGGCCCCTGATTGCTTGAGCGGCGTGTTGTTTAGGTGGCGATGATTGAGGATGTTCGGCTGGGGCGAACAAAAGTACGCTAGGGTATGGTGTAATGCTCACGACACTTACGACGCTTGATGACTATCACACACTAGTCTACTCTACTCTACTCTACTTGGACTGCTGCCCGCTTCTCGTCATCGGGAATGTGAATTAGGCGTTATAGCACAGTCTACAACAATACACGAGAGTACAGGGTGGGAGAACATGCGCGGTCTAGTCTATCAGTCATCCCGATATCGCTTCATCTGCTCTGCGAACCAGCCAGAGACGACGGAGATGAGGACCATGACGACGACCCAGAAGTGGCCGCCGAGGATATGTCGCGAGGATGAGAATGCGAAGAGCGAGCTGGTGGGAAACGGTGGGTCAGTCTCAATGGAGAGCGGAGAACAAGGCGGCCGGCCCGCGTGAGGCATACCTGACGATGGCGGCGAGAAGACACTCGCGAGGGACTGGGCGAACTCGGCGAGCCCATTTGACGTCCCCAGGGACGACGTGCCGGGCGTGTGGTCCTTCGTCAGAATCATGATGATGCTGGGTTTCCCCGTCAGCCCGCGGAAATCCCTGCACGGCGCGTACAGCGGGACTCACGAGAACGCCATGCACCCGATGCGCGACAAGAACAGCACGAAGCTCACGGCCGTCCACTCCGTCACGACGCCCTCGGCGCCGTCGACCTTCTTGGCCACGAAGGAGAGCAGCGCCATCGCCGCGAACGTGAACGGCCAGGAGCGCATGCAGAAGCGGAACACGGTGAGGACGCCGAAGCGCCGCAGGCAGTAGGGCATGCCGAGCTTGAGGAAGATAGAGACGGTGCCCATGATGCCGAGTGCGCGGCCGATTTGCGAGGCTGCCATGATCACGCGTCGGTCAGAGAACGTGCGGAAGGGAAGGAGACGTACGGAGAGGGCAGGCCGCCGTCTTCTACGGGTGTGTATGCCTGGAGCACGAAGACGGTGTTAAGCTGCCCGCGACGTAAGCGAGGGCGCCGCTGGAGCGCAGAGCATGCGGATGACGGGCATGGAGAGCAGCTTTCGGATGCTGAGCGGCTTGGTCGAAATAATGGATCCGTGTGTTGTCTTCTAACGGGCGATATGGGGCTCTCTAAGTCTTCGTCGGGATGGATACGGATGGGGCCCTTGCGTGCGCCACGTTTACCCGGGAGTGTCTACGAGCGATGTCAGTCTCGCAATGCCATTGAGGGACAAATTACTTGACCTCCTCAAGGACGAAGATAGCGAGTAACAGCGCGGTGGCGGCGATAGAGCTGTGATGAGGCATGGTAGGAAATATGGGTACTGTCTCCAGAACGGAGTGTCGAACCATGGGCCGCCGAATTCTGTTGCAGGGTTTGAGAATGTGCCGCCTATGAGTGGGCTACGTAAAGATGTGAGTATCGCTCGTTGAGACATATAAAGGGAACTTATAAAGCACCCGACTGCAAAGCCAATCGCAGAGACAATGTCATAGAGCGGGAAGGCGATGGCTTCGTTTGTTGAATCTACGAGCTCTCCCACTATGGAGTGTATGGCCCCGGTTGTACCGCTGAAGATGCCGACTGAGGGTACACGTCAGACCCGTTTGAGCATGAGTACGAAGCGTTCCACTGACTGAGGAAGACGGTCAACAGCACTGTGGGGAATGTCTGAGAGATCCCAAAGAGGAGTGTAAAGAATCCAGTCAGTGCCGTGCCGACGATGACCACAGGTTTCCGCCCATGCCGGTCTTATATTCTCGTTAGCTATATCAGCACAGGGATGCGGCCTCAGACAATTTACCAGAGAGTCTTCCCCAGAGGTAGATAGTCACTAGATGCGCTATGGATCTGGCGCTGCCCTAAACGCCCCTTCAGCCCTTGAGGCGTATGTTCGAAATTCAGCGACTGACCACAAGCCCGCTGTAGTATCCCGTCTTTGCGCCCTCTGCTTTGGCAAGACTGGCGACGAGAACATTGATATAGGGCATGGACTGGGTGCTCGCTAAGGGGATGACCAGTTTAACGAAGTACACGACTGCCAGCTGCAGTTTGGGAAGGGCATTTGGGCGTGGGGACACGCGCTCGCGGTCACGGTGCTCTGGCGGCAGGAGGGGATCAGAGTCCAAGCTCGAGTCGGAGCGAACCTCAGCCATGTCTAGTTCGAGTTGTTCGGCGGCAAGCTCGGGAGCCATTTGGGGAGCTTATATACACAGAGCTTATGTGGTGCTGCGAGGTGCTGACACTACGCTAGCGTGCTTGATGGCGTGAATGGCGAAGAAGCGTCGCTGCTGGGAAACACGCCCGCTGCGGCTCAGCCTGGCTCAGCACCGAGATACACCCGTTTCTTTCGGGCACCGGTCAGGCGCCCATATACACATCCACGTGACCGAGATATGACAGAACCTGTGTCTAGGCGCTGACGTCGCGGTCTCAGCTTTCCGCACTCCTCGCGAGTCGCAGACATCTTCTCCTTCGACTACCATGTCTACAAACCACTACACCGCTCCTCCGCCTGCCTACAGCGCGCAGAAGCTTTCCAAGGTGCCTGGCGATGAGGAGGCATCGCAGCCCCTCCTGAGCCCGACAGCGGGTCCTAGCTCGGGTCCTGGTGGCATATACGACCAACCCGGGTTTGATGACATTCCCGACGACTTCAAGGTATGTGTTGGTGTACTCAATACTCAAGCATTTTTGATAACATACACTCGCAGTATGGTACCACGGTCTCAGAGAGCGCTCTGGAGATCAGGAACGCCTTCGTCAGGAAGGTCTACTCCATCTTGTGTGAGTTCGCCTCGTCTACACTGTGGCACCGTCGCTAAAAGCAAGCCGTCTCAGTTTGCCAGATCGTGAGTCTTCTTCGAGGTACTGGTTTGCACCGCAGTTTACCCAATCCCGCAGCTCGCGACTTGCGTCGTCGCTGGTGGTATTTCCCGGTCTCCTGACACCATATTCTGGGTTCAGACCCAGTAAGTACTGTTGCCCGCTTAGATGGACTCTGCTGCTTATGCTCGCTCGCCAGCTTGTGGTCATTCTACATTCCCCTATTCGGTACCCTCATCAACCTTGGGCTGCTCTTCTGGAAGCGCCACAGCCATCCGGCCAACCTAGTCCTTCTCTCCACCTTCACTCTTTTCGAAGCCTTCACCCTCGGCGTCACCGTCGCCTTCTTCGACACCAATGTCGTTATGCAGGCTTTGTAAGTGCTATTGTGCTGCTGAGGCGCTGCGCATGATTGAGTTAAGCGCACAGGTTGATCACCGTGGGTGTCTTCCTCGGTCTGACCTTGTTTACGCTGCAATCCAAGGTTAGTGCGCAATGCATTCTCACAGCCTGGGTTGCTGACTAGTCGTTCAGTATGACTTCTCGGGAATGGGCGGGTGGTTGTTCGGCGGCCTAGTCGCCCTCAGTGAGTTCGACCGCTGAATACTCATGGTCACTCATCTAACTTCCTGCTGCAGTGATGACCGGCTTTGTCAGCATTTTCTTCCCCTTCAGCCGCACTCTGGACATGGTGTACGCTGGCGGTGGTTGCGTCCTCTTCAGTGGGTACGTCGTCTACGACACGTACATGATCACGAAGCGTCTCTCGCCGGATGAATACATTATGGCGGCTATCAGCCTCTACCTTGAGTGAGTAGCAGTCCCTGGACGTTTAGACTCGTGCTGACCTTGACTCGTCTAGCTTCATCAATCTTTGTAAGTTGCAATCGTGCGTCTGACTCTGACCAGCTCTGACCCGACCCATTTTAGTCATCAACATCCTTCGTCTGTTGAATGATATGAACCGTGACTGAAGATTCAAACAAGAGTATCTTTATCGGTCGTTGTAATGTAGACGGTCCGCAGGTTTGCTGATCTATTGTTGAGACGTCTCTAATCTCGGACCTATTCCATTGTACTCGAAGTGTATTGTGTTCTGGGTAGTCCGATCCGAAACCTTCCATTCCAATCATGTTGATGACCGGTCGGCAGTGCTTGTAGTTATGGCGCCTTTGGCTCGCATGCCTTGCCCCCATCCTTGTAATATTCCATAGCAGACTCTGTGTCCAGCATGAGATTGAGGGCCTGTATCAGGCAGTTCAGACGTTCACCAAGTGGATAGATAAGGGAGCGGAGGTAAAGTTGGGAGTCCGCGACGAAGCAATCATCGCACAGATCGCGATCTGAATTGTGCCACTGCCAGTGGCCAAAGCAGCCCATCAGCCAGGCCGTGGCCATACCCATCCCCTGCTTGTTTCCTCACCACCACCATTCCGCTGTCGAGCTACACCCTCCAGCGAGGCCTACCAGTTTACGAGAGTCGCACCCGACTCCCAGCTACCCCAGCTGCACGACACACTAGTCGCGGCGAGCCGCCGACCCGGGACTCCCTAAAGTTATCTCTTTCAACCGCTACACCCGGTTCAGTGCACACCCGCACGCGCAGCGATGCCGCTCCCAGATGGCACTACATTGTCTATCCAAGGGGTCCCCAAACCAGGGGACGTCCTCTACACAAAGCCCAAGCAGGCGATGCTCGTCCGAATGACGTCCGAGGCGCTCGAGGCTCTCGAGGCATCCCGAGGCACCGCTGCAATGGAGTTCGAGTTCGGGGACAACCCGGTACGGCCTCTCTAGTCTTATGTGCGCGTTGCGCTGACATGGTGCCCAGGGCATCCACATCGGCGACGCGTTCTTCCCGATGAGCACAACGCCGGAGACCAATCATGAGCTCTACCTCCGACAGGCCACAGCGGCGAAGCCTAACGCCCCGCTGAAGCTGTATGGGAACATTCTAGGGAAGCTTAGGGTGAACCCCGAGCTCGGGGAGAAAATAGAGGAGAGGGTGCGCGAAAGCACCCGCGTGGCGGAGGAGCAGCGCACCGAGCGCAAGACGATCCGCCTCGACGGCCCGCTCGACCTCGGGAAGCCCGCGGCCGCTGGCAAGAAGAAGAAGGATGTTCAGAACATGTTCCGCAAGCCTCTGGGCGGCCGGAACCTCAGCGCATCCAGCGGCACCCAGGCCACCCGTGGCGCATCGCCCCGAGTATCGGCCAATGCACAGGCAGCGCGGCCGGCGTCGCCTGCTGCGTCGACCTCGCGGACCGTTCTGGAGTCTGATCCGGGTGCGAGAGGGCGCCTTATACATTTCCTTGCTGCACGTCCTTGCGAACAGGAGGAGACCATTCTGCGAAGGGTATCAGGAGGTCAGCCTACGGAGGCCAAGCGTGCGGTCCTTCTCACGTTGCTCGAAGAGGTACGTTTTGGCCGTATGTTTGAAGGTGCGTACTGAGATGTCTCTCATGTAGGTCGGGATGAAGAGTGGCGACAGAGGTCCTCGCGTCTGGCAACTCAAACCACCATTGTGGACGACCGAAGTACGCCCATACGAGCAGAAGTTCTCTGCGGCTTTGATCGAAACCATTTCGAAGAACGCTGTGGTCGTCTTCGAAGAGATGAAGCTTCCTTCAAACCATAAGGCGTGGGACAACGTGAGGAGGCCTAGGGACGAAAGCCGCCCCGCTACTCCGGCAGGGCATCATCCTTTGGCGGACGACTCTGTGCGCGCCGAGCCTAAGCGTGCTATCATGAAGGAGGCTAAAACCGCAAAAGCTAAGACGACGGATGCGCCCAGGAAGAGGAAGGCGAACGAGCCGATTCCGATGAAGGACGAGAGCGTCCGTCCTCATTCTACGTCTAAGGGGAAAGAGAGAGCGGCTGATACCGCTACGCCGGACTCGTCCTCTGGAAGGCCGTCAATGCGGAGGTTCCCAGGTTCGGGCTTCAAGGCTCGGGCAAGCGGGAGCGGCACCCCTCCTACGCCGACCCTGCAGGACTCGCCCGGTATGCGGGCAGCGTCCCCTGCGGTTCTCCAGCCACCGAAAAGGACAGGCCCGGTCGACGTTCGGCAGAGCAAGCGCTCCATGCCTCCTCCTTCGGGCACTGCGGACCCTGCTCCGCCAATCGCTCCCCCGGCGATGCAAGAACGAAAGGTGTCGAGCGGATCGACCACCAAGGTGGCCACTCAGCGGAAAGCCGAGGAGGACCGAGCTGCGTCAAAGACTGCAGCAGCTAAGAAAGCAGCACGGGAGGTTGAGCGCAATCACGACCTGCCAACGGGTACCAGCTCTATGAAGAAGTTCAAGAAGCGCGTCGCGAACGACGACGACGACTACTCCGACCGCGACGCGCAGCGCCAGAAGAAGCGCAAGGTGACTGAGACGAAAGTGAAGCTCGAGCGCGAGAGGGACCGGGAACGCGAGAGGGAGAGTGATCGGGAGAGCCGCCGCGGCAGGGACAAGGACAGCGATCTAGAGCGGGGTCGCGGGAGGGTGAGGGACGCGCCGATCCCGAAGAAGGCGATCAAGCAGGAAGCGTCGCCGATCACTGTCGCTCGGGTGAAGGTCAAGAAGGAGGCGTCGCCTGCTGGGTCGTTGTCGCGCCCTCCTAGCGACGCGCATGCTCGCCCCCCGTCGCGCCTGTCGGAGGTGGAGATCGCTCGGCCGCCCTCGTCCTCGTCCTCGGTGGACCCTCAGCGCAGCGCTGCTCAGAACCGGCGTCGGAAGTCGCCCGTGTACACCTCGTCCGAAAACGAGAGCCCCCCGCCGGCGAAGGCCAAGGCAGATGTGGCGCACAAGGAGCGACCGTCGAAGCCTTCGAAGCCGAAGTATGTGCCGATCTTCCGGCCGCGGTCGCAGCCCCTCCCGCCGGACGCAGAGGGGCTGAAGAAGTACTACCGGGCGTGCTACCGGGTGTACGCGACGCTGTACACGCAGAAGACGAAGTTCGTGATGAAGTACCAGGATATGTTGGGCGACGGCGAGGACGAGTACGTGTACATATCCGACAGCGACTCGGACTCGCCGCTCGAGCTGTTCGACCCCGACATCACGTCGGCGTTCATGGCGGACCTTGCAGGGGTGGAGGAGGAACTGAGCAAGGTTCGGATGGCATACGAGAGTCTGGAGATCAGTGGGGACTCGGAGTAGGAGGACAGTTATATTAATATCAGCGATCCTGAGGGTGACTCATCTGGGGATGCTTTCTTCATGTCGGAACTGTATCATATTTCTATCAGGGACGGTCTCATCCGAGTCTCATCAAATACAAATGTACCGAGAGTGCTGCACGACATTCCTGGTTCGCTTCGTGCTCCTGGAATCGGTGGATGTAAGATGTCTTATGCACCGAGGCTGGAACGATGCACACGGTTATTTAAGGAGGTGCCGCGTTTCCCTCTGGTCATATGCTCCCAATAGGATGATATATGGTGATCTCGCCGACTGTCTTTCGTGTATGATTCTGATGAGCGTGAACCTGCAGGGTCGAGTTTTCCTACCTTCCACTAAGGCGATTGTCGCATACCTTAATGCCTGCAGACATTGCCAATTGTTAACGCGACAAATGTTGCTTCATGAGACCACTGAAATATATTAGGTTCGATGGTAAGAGAAGCAATAGCGAGGACTTGGGGAAGATGAGCTGTACGTGTACGGTTGACAGGAATGGGAGTACCACCTTTACTTATGGTGGTGACAAAGCATGACCAGCTGGACAAACGCCTCCAGAAAGAGAGGAACTTCGCGATGCGCTAGAAGCCCGCGACATGGTCACGAAGCATTGTGTGATAGCCAGAAGACGTACACTGGGAAGCAGTCACACGACATGCAGCCCACCGGCAGGCCCATGCATGCAGGCATGTTCCTTGCGTGGTGGGCTGCGAGCTGCTGCGAGGCCGGCGATGCGGTAGCAGGCGCCGAGCAAAGACCATCATGATCTACCAGATCGAGATGGCATCGTGCGGACGGTGCCGACTCGACGACGCCAAGGATAGCGACGCTGCTTCTCGCCGTGGGTGTTGCGGCTGCGAACGGCGATTCCACTGCAGATAACGCAGGCTCATGTGGGACCTGGAGATGAGAACGTCGATCTAGCTCTGTATGGGACGCAGAGAGACCTCGTGCACTGCGAGATGGAGCCATAGCGCATCATGAAGACATCGATAGCAAGAGCCGCACCAGGTGTTGTTCGCGAAGACATGCTGCTGACGCGCGGGAGGTGAGGTGATGGAAGGTGATGGATGGCAGGAGTCAGATGGTGGGCGGCGGTTGCGGGCTGAGGCTCGATAGCGTGTGCGCTGTGCCCGACGGCGAGGGCGCTGCTCGGACGAGGGCGAGGGCGATGGGGGCGATGGGTGCGGCGGGGGGTCGGGCGGGGGCGCGGGCTGAGATCAGCGGTGATCCGGATGCGTTCGGAGCCGGAGACACCGCCCCGAGGTCGGGCGGTGGGTCATGTGACGGGAGTGGACGGGGCAAGTTTTGTGGGCGTATTTCTGCGTCGCCGCCTCGTCTGCCGTTTTCCTTCTCGCCGCCGTCCGCCCTGTCGCCTCTGCCGCACCGAACATCGCTGGGGACGCTCTCGCCGGTCCCCGCGCAACAGTGTCGACCACCCAACTCACTAGCCGGTCTGCATCCGCCCCACCTCGAGGCATAGCCACCCAACCCGGCGTACACCCTGAGGGGAGGCGCCCTCTTCTTTTCGCCCTTACCATGGTCTTTGGGGGGCTGAGTGCCATGTTTTACGGAGGGCATCCCTACCTCTCGGTAGGCATGTTCCTCCGCAAGGTCGACATGCGCACGGTCTTTTTCGCCACCGTCTTCGTGATCGTGCTGCTGGTGCTGGGTGCGTAGCCTATCTTGAGTTCATTCGCCTGGTGTCTTACGAGTGGCCACCATCTCCTCGACCACATTCATCCGTGCGGCTCGTCTGTGCTGTGTCGACTTTGCAGCCTATCTCACTAACCCATCGGAGAACTCATTTCGACATTACCTCACGGAACAATCGTTCCGACAACACCTCAAGCGACTCGACGAGAACCAGGATGATGAAGGCGACTCCAAGGACGCGGGCACGCACGCTTCGCATTCTCGGCGATCGCCTCCAATCGCGCACAAGCCTGGTAGAGATCGCGACCCACAACCACCTTTTCATTTCATCAACCGCGCCTCTATATCCTTACGCACCCCTAAGCATGTCTCACACAGCTTCGGCGTCCTCACTATTGCCGCTGTCTTTCCGAGCCCGCATGGCAGTGCCACTCTCGCAACCGTCGCCGCACAAGCAACGGTCAACGACTCATGGTTTATCGGTGCGTTCGGACGATGGTGGCGTGGAGGCACAATCCGGGCTTGGTGGCATGGTGCCCTCATCGACCAGAAGGACGCGGAGCGGCTCAACTCTGGCATCCTCGATCTCAAAGCGCTGGACAGTCTGGAAAGCTATGACGGTACGTGTCACCACGAGACTGCACCGATCGTTGTTTATATATATACCTGCGTAGGCCTCCCGTTCGCCGCTTCTGCTTCTTTGCATCTGCCTACCACAGATTCGGACAAGAAGCTCAGAGGCACAGAACGCCCGACTCAGCGCACTGTCACTACCTCGTTGCGAAGTACTACACCACCGCCACTGCCGAAGTCTGCATCACTGCCCTTGCACGCGCCTCGCCAGCCCGCCACATCGCCCAAGACTGACCGCTCGCGCTGCGAAATCACTCCACGGACCAATCACACTTCACCGCAGGCCACATCGTGCACTGCTAACGATGTCCTCAAGATCACACCGAGCCTATCTTACTCGCCGTCGTCCACCTCGCTCTTCGACCAATCTCCTGTGATCACCGACATCCTGCGGCAAATCGCCCATTCGAACGGCGCCGTCGTCGACCTCCGCACGCAACTCGCCGACTTCCATTCAGCGGCGACGCAGGGGCACGCGGCAATCCAGAGTGAACTTGATGAGCACCGTGCCCGGAAGCGCGGGGAAGACGCGAGCCGTCTGGAGCTCAAGACGAAGACGAAGACGCTAGAGGACGAGAAGCGCGCCGCGGAGAGCGGGAAGCGGGAGGCGGAGAAGAGGCTCAAGGTCGCCGAGAGCGCACGAGACAAAGCCAGCAGGCGCATGGAACGGCTGGACAGAGATATGGGGGCGCTGGAGGAGCGCATTAAGGAGGACGAGGATGCCGTGCGCAGAGCGCAGGAGGAGGGGGAGAAGTCGGAACGCGAGGCGGCGGAGGAGTTGCAGAGAAAGCAGAAGGAGATCAGGGTCGCGGAAGATGTGATTGCCGCGCTTAGCTTGAGGGCGAAGGAGCTTGAGGAGAGCATTGCGCAGGAGGAAGAGAGGCTCAGGAGGACGAAGGAGCAGGCGGAGCTGAGGAAGCAGGACCGTTCTTTCTATCCTCTTCATGTTGTGCCGACGGTTGAAGAGGACGATACGACGCTCTGGTCGCCCACAACTGCTTACAGCCAAAGCCAGACTCAGGTGCAGGATCCGCTCACTACGCTCCCGACTGACATGTCTTGTGGATTGGAGTTCCCGCCTTCTGTCCAAGTCACGGAACCTCCGAGTGTAAGAGAGCCTAGGTCTGCTGTGTCACCCAGGCCCAAGACGCTCTCCCTTGGCGGTATCTCGAACTTCCGCGACCGTCTCCGTCCTGAGGGTATGAACAACGATGCGTTCGTCCGACCTCAATACCCCTTCCTCCTCGAGAACTCTTCTACGCCACTCTCGAACATCTCGACTCGTTTCTCACCTTTCGCCGACACTGATGCCGAGCCGCCCTCCGGCACTATGCAGGGTGGCGAGGCCATCTCTCCCCGGAGCACCTCACTCATTCCGTCGAGCCTGATCAGCTCACTTGAGAGCATTCCGAGCATGGAGGATATGTCGCGGTCTTTCCAGTCAGATGCGGACGACGTAATGGACCCCAACTGGCGCGCGCATCGTTCCCTGCAGCCACCTGTCGAGCACCCCTCTGCGATCACCACTTCGCCCACGTCCATCACCAACCCGTCGTTCGATGGCGTCGACCGGGAGGACCCCTTCGAGATCCGCCTGCCACCCCTCTCCGTCAGGCGCCGTCTGGCGAGCGAGACCGTGGATAGCCCGCGTTCGATGATGTCGGCGCCGAGTCGAACGATCTCTGACCCTGAGTCGATTCCCCAGATCAAGGCGCACGAGCTCGAAGACAAGACGAGCATCGCTCACCGCCGCTGGAACTCTGTGGACCCGAAGGAGAGGAAGGGGCTCAACCCAGAGGCGAAGGTCTTCCGCCTCCAGAAGAAGTCGCTCCCGTCGTTCTTCCCGCCCCAGTCCGCGCCCGCGTCCGGCGGCCCGTCGTTCGACCCTGTCGTCGGGAAGCCGCCCGGGCTCAGCGTGCCCCAGATCGTCACGCCCGAGTCGGACTCGCTCTTCTCGTCGATCACCATGCGCGCATTTGCGCCCTCGCCTGCAGAGCGGGAGGCGCTCCAGCGCGTGCTGGGCAGCTCGACCAACACGAGCCTCGAGCGGCTCCCGACGCTGAGCGAGGTCTCGCTCAGGAGCATGCCGTCGTCCCCCTCGCATGTCAATGCCGCCGCGGCGCCGCTGGGTGCGGAGGCGGCCAGCAGGACGCTCCTGCCTCCGGGACCCTCGTGGCTCCAGTCGTTGCCTCGCGCACGGAAGCCTGCGTTCAGCCCATGGGACGATGAAGAGGAGGGGAAGAGGGACCGGGAGAGGCGGTGATAGATGTGCTTAAGATATTTGGCTCCGCGTGTTGGGTGTCTTGTGCGAGTATCTCAGTGTAACCGGGGAAAAGTGGAAAGGGGTGGGGAACAAGCAAGAGCGATCGTGTTCTGAATATATAACAGTAACGATTTGAAATGACAAAGCCGCTATCTTCGAGCACGGCTGCATGCGTAAGGAACATTAGCGTCCCTTCCTCAACGAGGAAAGACTCCGCGAAGCTGGGGACGGGGATAGCCTCTGACGTCGTTCTGGTTCGCAACTTACCATATTTCTCTAGGGCCTCTCAGGCACTGCAGAGTCCTGGCACAGTAGCCCGGCACGGTATCATTCCGGCCGTCTAGCAGCCAGCGGCCGGCAGGTTCATCGAACAGGGTAACATGCGCACTGGGGTACGTTGCCACCTGCCATGTCGTCCCAGGAACCTTCACACACACCAATGCCAATATAGGAATTCATCATGTATTCGTATCGGTGCGTCATCACATGAGTAGCCAAAATAGACGACAAGCATGGGGCCCGAGCATGGAAAAGGGTATCGTATAAATATGTGTGGCACCTGCATACCAAAGTTAGGGTGGCGGCACACATGAGAACCGTGGCGAGGACGTACATGCGCAAAGAACGGCGGTGGGCAAGCGATTGTGGTGGTTAAAATTCGAAGAGGGGCGTCTACGCGCCGGGTGGGCGATTCTACCAGGAGAGCGGTCTGTGCGAACCAGCAGCACGCGTCAATGGAAGCGAGTAGGCTAGCGGAAAACGATCCTTTACTTGTTGCGGGGTATATGGTACGGGTGTGGTGTGCGGCAGCAAGACTTGTTCTGAAGGGGGCTGTAATTTTTGTGTCGCGATGCTGCAGCAGCAGGCACCGGTGCTCTCACCGCCTGCCGCCATCGCGCTGCAGGGCGTGTGCGGCCAGGCAACGGTATCCGGAGCTGAAGCTCGCGGGAGACGGATGTCGCGACTGGCACTTGACCGGAACGACCAGCGCCAGCCAACGTGCGCGTGCGGCGCATACCGAGCACGCTCGTTGAGGCGGGCTACACGACTGGGTTCAGGATCCCCCGCACGTCGTGCCCCGACTGGCCCAGGTCCGCGAGGAACGGGCAGAGGTCGGTAAGTTCGGTGTCGTGCGGGTCGTTGAACCACGATGAGATGGGGACCGCGTTGTTGGGGTGGAAGATGTAGGACGCTGGTGAGTTGTCGATGATAATCGTGTCTTGGATTGGGCGACCGAGCTGGGAGAGGTCCTGTGGAAAGATCCGGTCACGTCAAGCTTTCGCAGACAGTAGGATGTGGCGGCTTGCCTTGACATAGTTGCCTCGGTGATTGTAGCAGCTCTCACGAAAAAGCCGGTGCGCAACTGAGCGGTCAGGGTCAAGTCTGTCCAAGACCGGGTCGGCATACTGTTATGTCACAGCGAACGCACAGAAGCAGACGCGTAGAGGAAACACATGGACATGAACAATGGATGCTGACAGAAGAGAGACCGTCGTGCGGCGGGAGAGCACGCACCTTGCTCAAGCTCGCCGTGAATACCACCACCTCGTAAATCTCTCCCATCCGCTTGAGGAACCCGTCTACCCCCGGACGCTTGAGCACGTAGAAGTTGTGCCAGAAGGACTCGATCTCGACAGGTACGATGTAGTCTGGAGACGGTACGGGCTATATGCGCACCAATCAATGAGATAATACTATACTTCGCCGACTATTGGACGGACCTTCAGACTACTGTGCACGAGTGTCTCGTCAAGGTCGAGCACCAGACACTTGCGCCCGACGAATTCGGGGGCAATGGGTGGGAGCAATGGCTGCGGGACACCATCCTGGATGCATATATGCGTCGGAAACGGAGATGTACACGCGGACTTTCGGACATACAACAATGGGAATCCCGTTACCAGCGTTCTGTATGAGCATCTGCTCTTCTGTATCCGCATCCAGATGGATTAGGTTGTTCAGGACCTCTTCTTCTGTGAACGAGCTGTCCGAGTCGTCGCCTTGGTCGTTGGCTATGACGAGATCGTGTCCTGTCGAGCCTGGGGGCTGCACCGCGCCCGCTGTTACGCCATGCGTTTCTGAGATCGGGAGCAGGCGCGACGGCGTGGCCGGCACAATCACCTCAGAGTCATCTGAGGGAGCAGGCGAAACTATCGTGAGCGCGGTATGTGGTGCTTCGGAACGTCAGTTGGACATCTGGTGAGCAAGCCGAATACATACCACTAGCAGAGTCAGAGGATTCTCGCTGCTGCTCTTCGCCGTCCTTCGTCGACTGTTTCTCGCTCACCTTGGAGCGCACGCCCTCACTAAGGTCGATGTCATGGCTGCGTCCAGATGGATGGGTACACGACGCGCATGCGCGCACAATCCTTGCAAGCAGGGACGTCTTCGCACGCTTGCAAGACGTACGTGCCGAACGCGGCGTCGACGGCCGCTCAGTCGTGCTCGACGCTGTGTGCGCGCCCTCGGACACCTCCCGCGCCTCCCGCCGCCGCTTCTCCGGCGGCGTCGCTATGGTCAGCACGGGCCTCTCCTTCTCCGACTCGTCCGCCTGGACAGTGTTTGTCTCGTGCGTGTTGTTCGAAGTCGTCGTCGCCGTCGCTGGTTCCTGCCCAGTCGAGGTCACTGGCTGGGGAGGGGCCTGCACTGTACCGTTGCCAATTAAGGAGTGTCGTGAAGCAGAAGCACCATCCTGGGTGGCATTAATTTCGTCTGGAGCGGGCGGCGGGTCGACGGTGTCGGACGCAGACTGCGCGACGTCCGCAGGCGCTGCGTCTGCAACTTCATCCACAGTTTCACCCTCTTGAATACCCTCGGTTGGCGGACTCGCTGGCGACGCGTCGGTCGCGGTGCTTTCTGCGACGTCGCCGCCAGCTGCCACCGAGTCCTGTGTCGGGTCCTATTGCGCATTAAGACACCGCCAGGAGACATTGTGGACGCGATAACACACCTGTGGCCTGACTGGTTCGTCTACGGCAGCCATGATGGCGAGCCCTGCGCGGGCAAGAGGAGCGAAGAGGGCAAGAAGAGCGATGGACGGCGTTGCTCTGGGGGAAGAGATGTCTGTGATGCCAATCCCGCCGACCGCGTCTGCCGCGCGTGAGAACGGCCCGCAAGGTCCCTGGAGAAAGCGCCCATTTTGATGATCTAGACTTTCGCGGAAATCGCCCACACATGGCCCTCGAGAGCGCAGTCCGGGGCATAAGAAAGGCAGAAGATCCATTCCACTCATCCAACATCCCGCGAAGCAAGCACGGAACTGAACGCGAAGCCTCCATATCCCTCACCGCATCTGCCACATTATGTCCACATGCCAAACACCTGCCCAAGGCACATGGAAGACTCAGCACGGTACCTCACTTAAGTTGTCGTGTCCGAGCTTGGTCCGCGCTCAAGAAAACAGCACGCTCAAGGACGTCCGCTGACCCGCTGACCTTCAGAATATCCTGCACTGAGCCGAATACGCGCATTTCAATCTTTGGACTATTGGTTCCATTGAGCGACCTCAAAACTATGGAATACATGTCACAATGGGTAGCACAAGACATTCTACATCACATCCAATGCCACTGTTCGTACACATCCTCGGACAGAAATCCTCATCGGATACGTGGGGGTTTCCAAAAATTGCTGAAGGCCAAAGCCAACAGACGTGTTCGGATGTTTAATTTGCAATCAGCAAAAGACTGTGCCTCGGTATAGACCTCACTGGCGACAGTACGTGCCCGAGCACAAGAATACGGGACAAGATGTCGAGGCACGCCTTATATAGACCCGCGAGACATGCGCACGGACCACCTCGTGGCGCGTGTTGTCGCATGTTTCGCGGTCCCGGTGTCAAGCCGGTGTTACCCCGATCTCCGGATTCCAAGCGGCTCACTGGGCTGGCAGTGTGCTTGCTTTGACTGGGAGTGAGACTTATTGTCATGCTTGCACGACGAGAGCACAGCAACAATCAACATGAGATCTCAAGAGTAAAGCGGACTGAACCGAATACTTACACCACATCTCACATGACAACTAATGCTACGCGGGAGATCTTACCAGTGCCGCGTTGACTCGACAGGAAACCCATTTGCCATCCGGAGCATACCCACCAACCCACTGGTAGTAGAGAACTAAAGCAAATCATGCCGTGGTCAATGCGCACAACGTTTTGTAATAAGACGTCTACTCACCCCATTGCCAACGAAGACCTGCGCCCGCTGAGCCACCAGCATATCCACCGCCTGCTTCACGTACCGCTGCTCGCGATTCAGCACGAGGTCCCGCGTACTTCTGACGCTCTCCCACCCGCCCATACGCCGCAGCGCCGTCTTGAGCTCGAGCGCCCACGGAGTTTGCGCGTTCGTCATGACGTAGACAACGTGCAGATCCTTCCCCGCCTCCGTCTTCCGGATACCTTCCACGCGCTTGACGATCTCCTGGATAATCGGGTAGCATCGACGATGATATGCTGCCGCGCGCTCTGCGTCGTTCAGGCGCGTGAGTGCCGTCGGGTCAACAGAGTGTGGATACGAGGGGAAAGCATTGAAACCTGTGAACGCCTGGCTTCCGGCGACGACGCTTCGGCAGTAGTCCTTGTATATGCCACGCGGTACATGCAGGGCGAGCAGACCCGGGATAGGGTGGTAGCGATCAGAGCTATTGGTGAAGGGCAGGGACGACAGGTAGGGCTCGAGCTCGGGGACTGGGGCGATCAATTCGCGATTCATGTCGAAGACGAGCTCGACGAGAGGTGACCAGCCGAAGTGCGTCAAGATGGCTGAGCTCGACAACGTCGGCCAGATGTCAAGCAACATACTCCCGGGGCTAATGTATGAACAGGTATTTTATTAAAGTGGCCACAACCGGAGAGGAGTTTGACGAAGACCACTCACCCGTCCGATGTAGCCGGAAGTTCCGACAGCTCCATACACCGGTCACCGGAGCTGTTCACGGCGTTCGCCGACTCTGTCAACGACATCAAAGCCTGCGGGTGCCTCCCAGGAAGTGAGTTCGTTTCTGCTCCGTGCACCAGCCGGGTATGCGGACAGAGATCATCCCATAGGTCTTGCCCGATCGCTCGAACCATCTGTGGGTCGCTAGTGGCTGGTGTCGCGGCTGAAATTCATGATAGCACTCAGTGTCAACCGATTGGACCCGAGACAAATGTCAGATAGACAATTCACCTCGGATGACAGCTGAGAGCGGTATTTGAGCCGGCCTACGGTAGTGACCAGGGTGGCCATGGTCGACATAGTCCATCCACCCATCCTCGTGCCAGGTGAAATTGTCCACAGCGAGGCTGGTGGTTATACAAGTCAGTCAGTGCACGCGGGCAGATCGTCTCCACATACATCCGATCGGTACGGCTGGCAAGGTAGGAGCTAAGAACAAGCTCCTGCATGAATGGGGCCCCAGCCCGAGCCTGTCTCGAAGGCACCATAGATTCAGACATGCAAAAGGTGAACAGGACTATTGATTTCACTGACGCTGCTTCCGAGCGGGTATCCGGAGATAGTGTTCCTGTCGGCCTTGCTCGTCCCATCGGCGGATATCCTGCCTAGAGACACGCCGTTCGTTCTCGCTGTACTTGGCAAAGAGAGATGGCAGCCTCGAATGCTCCGTGGGCGCATACAGCCTCATGTCCCCGTATATACGCTCGAGTGCATCGGGGGAGTACACCTTGCTGAGCAGTACGACGGCACACAAGACAAGGAGTACGCTTACGGAGCATTTCGTGTAGCGTCTCGACAGGCGTACGGACCCAGGACGCGGGCAAACATCTTCCTGTTGGAGTGGAAGCAGCCGCAGTTCGTGCGCATCGCACAGTTCTCGCGTTCTACGAGAGTCCTGCATCTGCAGTTGCCGTGAGTGATGCGTGAGGACAGAACTCGAGGGCGCAGCAGGTTCCGCGGGCTCGATCTAAATAGGTGGCCGAGTTTAATCGGCTCTGAGTTGCCAATTGACTTCCATAGCTCTTCGCACACATGTGTTGTCCGCAAATAGGAATTCCTGCGGTCGTGACGTGCCCCGCGGAGAGACGTTTCACGTAGGTGCGGTGTCCCTCGGTAAGACTGAGTCAGTGATATCAAGTTCGGACACCAGCTCGTCCCAGTCGGCTTAAATCCACCGCAATAGAACGTCTTGCAGCCTAGGGCACTTGTTGCAGCACCGGTGTTGCAGACGTCAGGTGGCATTCACAGCCATGAGGTAAGCCTCATGCTGACAGTCGGTGATCGACGGTAAGAGACCTGTGTACGCCCTACAGATGGAATATGTAGAACGGCATATCGGGCATCAGCTTCTTCCGAGAAGAGACTAAAGACGTTCGCTTGCCTGGCGCTCGGCACTCTCATAACAGCGTTAAGTAGCGGATGAACAGCCTGCGGTCCTTATGCGCGCAATGCTATGTATGAGTGAGAGGGCCAGGGAGGGATGATGCTGTAGATGCGATGTGACCCTTACCAACGACCTGCACCCGAACGTGCTTCTGACAAGCTGCGAGGCTCTGTTGGTAGCAAGCGGAGGCGACAGTCCGAGAGGATCACACCTTTGCCATGAAACCTCGGAGACCTGTTCGCACGGACTCGCCTGCGCAGAAATCAAGCTTTCAGATCAGATCTACCGTCAAGAAACAAACATCCACAAGGCTTGTGTGGGGAAACACGCGTACAGTACGGTCTTGAGATCTGCTTGCGAAATCCCCTGGCGCATCCGTATCACATCCCAAGAGGCGCATCACACCGGTGTGCTTATCATGACCGTAGAGCGAGGCCAGTGCTTGTTCCAATTCGTACTCAAGTACTTTGTGGTGCTGTGTTCGATATGTCAGACTTATGCTGGCCGGGCCCAGGTCATGTCGTTTCAAATGCGACTTACTGTTCTGATATCCACAACGTGGTTCAAAGTATACCAGAAAGGAGCATCCAAGTCATGCATTCGTCACTGCGTCATTCGGAAAATCCGCCCTAATGAGTAGTTTTGAGTAGTGCCCCCAATGCCGGCAGCCGTATGTTGCGCGAGGGCGTCATTAGTACTGAGAACCAGGCGAAGTCATGTCCAACACTTCGAGCAGATTTCAATGTAAAGTTCAGACTACACTTCGGCAGTTTGGAAGTACTGAATGAAAGGAAAGTCTCGTCGGAGGTCGCCGGATATTGTCCCAGAAAGGCAATCGCGGACGTCACCTCATGGCTATCGACCGCCCAACCTGGCCATCACTGGCCTCCGCCTGAACACGCCCCTACAGCTTTCTGCGGCGCTCAGATAGCCACAGATATTGCGGCATTATCTTTCGAATTGACCGCTACAGACATCCCGAAGGTACCCAATGGCTTTGATCACCATATCTGGATTTCCTTCGTCGGGGAAGTCTAGACGGGCTCACCAAATCAAGGCACAACTAGAATCCCGGATACAGGACCCTAGCTATCCCGGCCCGAGGCTGAAGGTTTCCATCATCTCTGACGATGACCTGAACGTTGACCGCAGCGTATACGGTGGTACTTAGTCTATAGCCTGTTGCATGTATTCAAACAATTGATGGCTTCCTAGATGGCCGACTGGAAAAGCCTGCTCGAGCGGCACTCTTCACTGCGATGCAAAGGGGATTGGGGCAAGGCACCATTCTCATAGTTGACGCGATGAACTACATCAAAGGCTTTCGTTACCAGATGTACTGCGTCGCGAGAGAAATGAAAGTACGAGTATGTACAGTAAGTTGCAGTATCTATCATCAATCCAGAACTGTAGCATTGACAAAGAGCAAGTAGGTTTATGTGGTTGCTATGCCGGACCTTTGCAAAGAATGGAATGCGTCGAGAGCGGACGGAAAACAGTATTCTCCCGACATGTACGTTATCCCTTCCATGTAGTATATTCTACTCTGATAGTACGACAGACTCGACAATTTGCTCCTCCGCTTTGAAGAACCGTCTTCGATGGTCAGATGGGATTCTCCACTTTTTACTGTGCCGTGGACAGACGAACACGTACCGGCAGATGAAATATGGAAAGCGATCACAGAAGGCACGGTCAAACCCCCTAATGCAGGCACACAAGCAGTAAGCGTGTCGTGAGACTCGATACAACCGTGTTGTAATTGGACTGTTCAGGTTCCGAAAGCACCCACGGATGCGCTGAGGACGCTGGAAAACACGGCAACAACCATGGTCGCTGCTATTATGGCGGAGCAAGCAGCGTCGCAGCTCTCCGGCGGTCCAATAACCCTCTCGCTCAGTGAGACCCTCAGACCTCGCATCACCCTCCCCTCGCGGAATGTCACCCTCTCCGAGCTGCAACGTCTGAAACGACAGTTCGTCACTGTGCACAAGAAGGCAATCACACTGGGCACAATCGAGAAAGGGCAAGTGGATTGGAGCGAGGAGAGCGTAGCCGAGAAATTTACTGTCTACATCGAAGGAAACTTGAGGCCATGACGCAAAACCCATCTTGTCAACAATAATCTATGTATAGGTTACATCATTATGACCGTGCCTTGTCTCTAAATCAAGGCGACAGTCCCCTGGTAATATTCGTTCTAATCATCATGATGTGGAAGCTTTACAACAAAATTCTACCAGAAACGAGTGGTGTTAGGTGCGAAGCCGTTCGCCATGCGCAACATGGACACTTGGCCCGTCATGCTAGAGAACTGACGTTCGAGAGTGAGTGTTGAAACGTTGATATGTCATTTGAGAGCCTGGGACACCACGTACCCCATTGCCAATGAAGGCCTGAGCCCTCTGCCCGATGAGCATGTCAACCGCTTGCTTCACGTACTCCTGCTCGTGGTTCACCAGTATGTCTCTGCCGCTGGTGACTCTGTTCCACTCGAACGAGTTCCGCAGAGCTTTCTTAAGTTCGGCTATCCAAGGGGTTGGACCGTTCGTCATGATGTAGATATTCTCAATTCCCTGTCCAGCTTCGGAGCGTCTGACCTCTTCTATTTTTCGCACGATCTCTGGAATATCGGGGAAGCAATGGAGATGGTACATCTCTGCTCTCGTTGCCGGCGATGCGTCTTCGGGTACTAGCAACTTGTCGGGAAACGACGGGAAGGCGCTGTAGCCAAAGAATTTGGCCTGCCATTCTGTGAGACGTCTACAGTGTCGCACGAAGTCTCCACGTCGGATGTGTACGGCTAGGAGACCCGGAATTGACGAATATCGTTCGGCGCTATTCATGACGCCGAGCGAAGTGGAGGATGTGTATGGCTGCCAGATGGTCGACGGCGCAAACAGCTCGCGGTTCATGTCGAAGGCTAGCTCTATGAGCGGCGACCATCCGAACTCTTTCAAGATGGGCGACTGAGAGAACGAAGGCCATTCGTCGAGCAGGCGACTTGCATCCTGGAGAATCCTGTCGTCCCACAATTATGCATTTGCCACTTGAACGAGAGATACACGAACTTACCATATGTCGAAGATCTGCCGCGGGTCCTTTGCGACCTCCACACATGGATCATCGATGGCTTTCAGCACCTCAAGCCACTTCTGTAGCGTCGAGGACGCGGTGGTTTGCCTATCGCTATCCATCATGGCGAGAACGTCTTCGTTCCGTATAATTGTTGGGTTAGGACAGACTTTGTCCCAGAATTCTTTCATGACAGCTCTAGGAGCTTCGGGGTCGGCAGTAAAGGGCGCCCCGACGATAGGACCTATACACCGGATATGAAAGACGTCAGCATATCCGGACGCCAAATCAACCACTGCACCGCGTACCCTGTATCAACGCAGTCAAAGGTATTCGCGCAGGGATAGGCCTGAAGTTGTACAGAGAGTAGTCCGAAACGCCCTCCTCCCAAGTGTAGTTGTTGAAGACAAAGCTAAGGATACGTTACTTAACTGGCGAAAGAACATATTAGATTACATACGAACGACCTGAACGGTAAGCCAGATAGGCATTCAGGAGTAAATCCTGCATCGCATTTCCCCAGCCGTTGCCTGAGTGATTCTACTGCTGAATGGGACATAGATGCGAGGTCGTGCGAGAACTCGTACCTCGTATATGATTTGCTATCCAGAGGTACTTCACTGGATGTCCATCGGACGCCTGTGCGTCCACGTCGTGTTGCGGTAAGCTGAGTTCCAGCTGATGGTATTCAGAGTACAACGGCGGAAGCCCAGAATCCTTTGCTAGTGCACGCAGGATGGGCTCTGCTAAGCCCACGCGGCCTCTGAGGAATAGCCACATCCATACAAGGGCCGCGGAAACGAGCACAAGTAGCGCGAGCAGTGCAAAGCGTAGTTGTCGCCGTCTTGCATAAGGCGGTTTCTTGTCTAAGCCTGCCAAGTGTGTAGCTGATGAAAGTAAATACTCGTCGGCATCGTCAACAGGTGAATCGAGGGAGCTTGAACGTGAACGTGGGTGATTAGAGGATTGTCGCATCGCCGGCGCGGGGCTCTCAGCAGTATCGCGGTAGGGAAGGATATGCCTGGTGGGTAAGGAGAAGCATACCATCAAGTTACATGTCTACCTTATAGATAGCACGCTGAGACTCTTTTGGTATGCGAACGGACGTCATGTCCGCAGTGTTGAGCGTTTTAGACCCTGGCCATGGAAGGGCATGTTAAGTACAGCCGCACTCTGCACGGCGCTGATCACTCACGGCGCTGTAACTCGAGGCAAAGACGTTTCTCCGGGGCAGTTCCCAAGCTTGTTCCTTGTTGTGCACTGATTGCGTTCACAGTAAGGAAGGAGGCAGGGGAGTGTTGAGCAGACCATCCCGTTTGAATACGTCAATGACAATCCATCGTGTTCCAGAAGCGCGAAGGATCCCCCAGAGCGTATTGGTGTGGATGGAGGCTTTGAAAATCGTCTTCGACGTGAAGTGCAAGACATCCGCACGGCACTATTGTAGATGGGAGGCTTGCATCTAACCTAGGAAGTAAGTTCCCAGGCAGCTCATGAATGTATAGCATACGGACACCGCAAATACGTACTGAACCTACCCACCAGCACCAGAGCCTGCAACGGCCCGTTGCGTGAGAGGGAGCTTAGTTTGCCAAGCCTTGAAACTTCCGCCTATGACCAACCGAAGGCAGATTGTGTGTACAGGAACTGAGTTGTTGAGCACCGCCATTGCGTGCCCGATGAAGACCGGGTGGAGCATCTGACATAGTCAATATGTTGCGGCCGCGGGCGTTGATTGCAGAGCGCAGTACTGAGACCTGCGGAGACTTGGGCGCAAAGCGGCAGGGCACGGTCAGGGCACGGTAACCGTGTAACTGGCTTGATGAGCAGCAGGAGGGCGGTGCTGTTCGGGCAACTAGTGTTCAACGTTCAAACGTAAGTTGTTCACCAGACTCACCTGTCATGTCCCAGGGCTACGGCGCACCAGAAGCTACGACCTGCGTCGCTATCTTTGAACCCGTGGGTACATTCGAGGTCCGCCGAGGGGCAAGGATCTGAGAATAAGAAGTGGAGAACGCGGATGCATTGCGACTAATGCACGTCCTAGTACGTTCACAGAGTGAGGCACGTTCATGTGTCGTACGAACCTATCTATGTGAGCGACTAAGCTTCGGAGGGCTGACTCACGGGGCTAGGAATGGCATGACCAGATTTCTGACGACTCTCGAAGATGCTCAGACAAATGGTCCACAATGTGGGGGACTATGTAGACCTGCGCGACTTGAGTTTGTGGAGGAAGGGACGATGCCTGAAGACCTGAGGCAAATCGAGCAATCAGGATACCTGCGGTGAGATCCGTCGCTTTCACGCAGCCCACAGATTACCCAGATGCCATGGCCGAGAAGATGTACGAGACTAAGGACCGATGGTCAGTGCTTCATGTCCGCGAAAGTACCGAAGAATGCTACAAACAGAGGAGCAGCTGCGCGTGGATGTGAGTCAAAGTTATGAAGCCTTCTTCCTTCTTGACTTCTCTTTCGACGGCTTTTCTGACACCCCGCCCGCTGCTCCTCCATCCTCCATCCGCTTGCGTTTCTTCTCACGCTTCGCCGCCCGCTTCTCCTTCTCCCTCTCTTCTGCCTCCCGCGCTGCCGCCTCGTCACCTAGCCGACCAAGCATGCCGAAGGTGTCCTCCTCGTCGGTGCCCATACCTTCGTCGAGGTCGAGCTCATCGACGGCGACGTCGTCCTCAATAGGTCCAGCGAGCACACGGGATACCTCGCGCGAACTGGTCGCAGTTTGTGTCGGTGGAGCAGGCTGGTGGTCAGGAGAGAATGGATCGACTTGTATTGAGCCGAGGAGAGATAGCATCTGGTTCGCTATGGTGAGACTGCGAGGAGGTCAGAGGGTGTTCTCAAGACTGGGATGGAGCAACATACCCGACCACAGTGAACTCGATGTAACCATCATCCCCACCAAGTGTAGCCGCTGTAACACCGTGCACCCATCTCCCTCCCCGTTCCATGTTGGCTGTTCCGCCGTCCGAGTTGGCGCCGTCTTGTGGGGCGTCCGCGCCGAATTCAGGATCGTTGTCTGCAGGCCCGTATTCGAACTCCCATTGATCGGTTGGTATGTGATGTCGAGGTATTGAGACATTGAATGTACGGTGTACGAGTAGAGCGACGTGGTCTGGAGAGCACAAGTTGACTTTGCCGACTAGAAGGGTAATGCATTAACTCAAGTAGCCGTGGCACAAGCGACGCAGGATAACACACCTAGCTTCATCCCAATGTGTGGACTCCATACTGTGGCATCGAATGCGATTTGGCAATTCGCGAATGGACAATCTGCCTTCAGCGTAGCGGTTGAGCTCAGAAACTCCAGGTTGTCATGCGCGAGGACGACGCCGTGAAGGGCTGGTATATATCTAGGCAAACGCGCGAAGACCTTCCCATTCACTCAAGATGACTTCGACGCAGTAGCATGATAGCACACCTCATGAGCAGTGAGTCCAGCATTTCCTCCGCACCCGAACGGAGGCTATTCGAGAACACAGGAGGTATGGAGATGTGCATCGACGCGCGCACTACTCGAAACTCCTCGCTCGCCTTTCCTTTGCCCTTGTCTCTCTTCTTCGACCTGTCCTTCTCTTTCTTGTGTCGTTTGGTAGACGGTTCTGCCTCGTCAATGTCAGCGGCCGCGTGTTTGCGTTTCTTGGCCTTTTTCTCCACAATTTGAGACATTGTTGTGGACCAAAGCAGTTCCGAGATAGTGCCAGTCCAAGTGGATGTCGCAAAGTTGCGCACCGACGCGGTCGACGGTCGTACACGGGAAATTTTGAGAGTAGTAAAGCCACGTGCCACGCGCTTTGGGCAGCTTGAAGTCGCTGCCGCGGGTCCCGCGTCAGTTTCCGCGACGCGCCGTCTGTCCGCGACCACACCTTGTCATCTCCAGCTATTCGTCCTCCTGCTGAAGTAGAACCAGCAGATGGTATGCAGTTAGACATCCTTTGAGCTCAAATCACTGAGGTACTGGTTCACAGTCGTCTCCGAAGGTCATTGTGCAGATTGCCATTGCAGGTGCCCAGATTTTCGGCAAGGCATTCGCGGCGGCGAGCAGACAGGCAATAAAAAGTACGGCCGTTACTTACATGTGTATGCCTGTGCTGAGTATCGCAAAGATGCCAAATACAGACCACAGGCTGCAATAGGTGGTGACGCCGCCGGCGTCGGGAACGCTACGTCAGGGTCAATAACAGACAAGCTGACGCGGGAACACCGAATGACGTTGGACGAGGCGCATTTGGTTCTGAATGTGAACAAGGGGGAACCTATGACGAGGGTACTGGAGGTGAGCATTATATCCTTCCAAGCTGACATTGTGCTTCATCTCTCCACTAGCGTTACGAGCATCTATTCAAAGCGAACTCGCCTCCGCCGCCACCACCAAAACCTCAACCAGGCCAGAAAGCACCACAACCATCTGCGTGGTCACACTATATCCAATCAAAAGTTGTTCGGGCACGCGAGCGAATAGAAGCCGAGACGAAGGCGGCGGAGACACCGTCAACACCAGAACCTCCACCGTCACAACCACCACCTGGCTCAGAGGGCAAGTCAAGTTAACCTGCTTTACTTGCGCACATTCGCTAGAAGTATATTTGCTGTATAATGTTTGCACTTTACTATCCCCATTCACTGGATCACAGACAATGCATGTCGACGCGGCTTTGACCAGCCATCATCTACCTTGAACACTGGTGCCCTCACTGAGGCCCTCAGTCTCGCCTCGGGAAGCCGACCTTTGAAATTTTGTGAGCATGGCTTCGGATGTGGCTGTTGACCTCGCGTGCAGAGCAGGACCAGTGCACCATCTATCGCCTCGGCGGTCAAGTCAGAGAAGGCGGAATCACTACATATCTAACTTACTAGTTGCGCGTAACAATCACGCCGGTCATTTTGAACAGGGAAGTAAGTCCAAGTTAGCGGCAGTCACTGTTGATGCCACCGTCCCTCGGTATGTATACCAATGTGGTCCTCCGCGCCTGTGCGGACACCGTTCGTCTCCTGATTCTGCTCCAATCGCACGTACGCAGGCGTTGTTGATCTGCTTTCATTGGAAAGCACCGTCTGGGCTATTTCTCTGCCCACGCTGGTCTAATGGTCGATGCAATCAGCACCTGTGGACCGTCGTCCCCGGAGAGCATTGTGCGTTAGCAATGTTCGTTCAAGAATGGGACTGGTATTAATTCCCGGTCGTCGTGATAGGTTTGTCACATAAGGTTCATGCGCTCAGTACTATTCAAGCTGGTACTGTTCGCAACATCAAGCCTTCGTAGCATTACCCGCCACGCCCTGAGCCGTCCCCGTCACATTTGTCGCCGCGCTCGTCACGTTGTGCGGGAACGCAGGGTCGGGCCTGCGGTTGCTGTCCAGCTCAAACAGCGCGTCGTTCTGCCAGGCCTGCACTGGGCTCGGGGTCGCGAGGCTGTCCATCGTCGTGCTCGGCGGCTCCGGGAACAGCCCGTTGAGATCGAACATGAACGAGTGGCGCTTCTGCTTCGACTTCGGCGGCGCCTGCTCCGGGACGGTGTCCATCGTGTCGGTGGTATAGCCCGGCCCTACGGGTAGAGGTTCGGCATTCGTGGTCTTGCTGTAGGTTGCCTTGGGAGCGGAGGACGTGCTCGTGGAGGAGGGGCTTGTGTCCTGCAGTGCGCCCATTGGGTCGAAAGCCGCGCCGAGGGCCTTGTGGAAGACATCTGAGCTCTCCATCCTCGTCGCTCCGAGTCCCTGCACGCCAGAGGATATTGCCTTCATAGGTGTCGCCGCACCCAGCGGCAGGCCGCCCGCCGGCGCACTGGTGGGCTGGGCAGCCGCCTGGACAGTCTTCATGTGCGCCGCCTGAAGCTTCTGCGCCTTCTTGTTCCCGCGCGCGAGGAGGCGGTGCGCGCCGCCGAGGAGGGGCTGCGTCATGTTGTTGTTCGTCGCGTCGTAGTTGTCGATGCGGATTTGTCGCCGGAGGAGGCTCGAGGCGTCGACGGGGAGCCTGGCGTTGTTCTCCATGCCCGAGAGGCCCGGGACGTATTCTTCGGCGTCGGAGATCCCGGGCAGGCGACTGTCCATGCCCGGCATACGGTGGGCGGAGGCGGAGGACTTGGAGGTGGGCGCAGGATCGGGGATCTCTGTGGGTGCGACGAAACCAACAGTCATAGTGATGAGTTCGGGAAGCCTGACGACTGTCGAGGTTGCCAACGGGGCTGGAGCTGCGGAGGCCGGAAGGGCGGCGGCGAGCGAGAGACAGACTACCACAGTTTTGACGAGCATAGCGAAACCAGGCACAGTGAAGACAGATGCGAGGCCGGACGCGATTGGAGTTCTGTTGCTTGAGGGACCAGCGGAGGAAGAGCCAACGAGTAGATGGCGGTAGTAAGATAGAGATCTGCTCACCAACGCACAAGCTTTATGCTCCGTAGGGCTGTCAGCCGAGGGCTGGCAGTAGCACTTCCTCAGGATGTGAGGGCGGGGCTGACAATCCAGGCATTGCGGTTAAGACTGAGGAGATGACGCACTTTCATCAAGCCACAGCGTTACCTCCCTTGTATGAGCGAATCTTGTCTCCTCAAGATGGTGGTCCGCACAAGAAAGCAGCTGTGTATGCCGCCGCATCAAAGCAACCATTGCTAGGACCGTCATGCAACTGACCGCATGATCACGATGCAGTGCCTCATGCGTCAATTTGAGCACCAGCAGAGCGTCGAGTGTGGCTGTGCGCGATTGTTATGGAGGGGTGGGCATGTCGCAGTCGGATCATGTATAGACTTGGCAACTACTTCATTGAGAGCGGATGACAGTAGCAGCGCGCACTGCTTCTCGTTGAGCAGGAAATACGACTCGCATAGAGGTTTCCCTTTGAGTCGGAGTTGATCGAGAACGCGTCCAGCAATACAAGGCATCCCAGTCCAGGGCACGGCGAGGATGGTCGAGCGTGCGGAAACAATGTGCAACAGGGCGGGCAGGCGCTGGACGCCGGGTGGGATGGTCACGTGGGTCGCGTCGCGTCGCGTACGGCGGGCGCCAAGGGGCAGCTATTGTTTTGCGGAGGGCAAGAACAATGGGCTGCGCTGCTGCCGACACAATGGGGCCTCCGTCTCAAATAGTCTCGCCTTGCTTTCAGGATGCTCGCCTGCCTTCCGAGGCTTTTGCTCCCTCTCGCTGTTACGTCCGTCGACGACCCATAGACCTCCTCCCTCGCTGTCGCCGGTCGACCCTCTCTGGCACCCATGTCCGCCACCCCCCACGCCTGGAACGCTCCTCCGCCCGTTTACGACACTCGTTCGACCACCGGGCTCAAACCGTACCTTGAGCTACCTCACCTTCTCTCTCTGACATGGCTTGCCTACCCCATCCTCTCTCTGCTCTTCGTCGCCTTCCGCCTCCAGCTCTCCGCTCAGTCCGCGCAGGCCAGTGCTGCCAGTGCGAAGACCAACCTCCTTGCTGCATGCCAGGCTGCGCAGAAGGCCGCCACATCTGCGGCGAGTATGCCCCGCTACCTCGCCGCCATGACCAATAACGGCATTGCCGATGCTGTCAACGATACTATGAATGCTGCTCGCGAGGCACTGGTCCTCACCTTGACCGTCATGGAAGCCATCATCAACTTCATCGTCGATATGTACCGCTCTACTTTCCTGTGCTTCTTAGAGCTGGTCGTGCGTGGCGCACTTTCACTGCTGATTGATGCGGTATCCGAGGTGAGCTCGAGTCACACATATACCCACCAAGTTTCTTAGCCTGCTTGCACCACCTGCAGATCAACTCATTCCTCACCAACACGTTCAGCTCAATTCGCTCATCGATTCAAGGTGATGTCGGCAACGTCAATGGCGTGGTTCAGTCGCTCGTGGACAAGGTGAACGACTTGAAGGTGTTCGGAAATATCACAGCCCCACAACTCAGCATCCCGGCACTGTCTTCTCTGGAGAATGTTACTCTTCCCAACGACTTTCAAGAGGCGCTTATCAAGCTGAATGGCTCACTGCCCACATTGTCTACGCTCAAGAGTGATCTTGATGATCTGTGAGTCCATACGTCCCGACATACAAATGATTCCGGCTGACTGTGAGACAGAATCGACACACCCTTCGAGCTGGTCAAGAAGGAGATCAATGACACCTTCGCGAACCTCACATTCGACCGCGCGGTGCTTCCCATCCCCCAGCAGAACGCGCTCAGCTTCTGTGACGACATGGACACCTCCTGGGTGGATGACGTCGGAAGCGACCTCGTCAAGGTGGCGCACATTGGCATCATCATTCTCATCGTCCTCGCGCTGCTCCTGGTCGGTGCGAACTGCTTGTTCGAGTGGTACAAGTGGCGATGCATGAGGAATCACCTGCAGTATACGCGCGACGCGTGGACCTCCGATCCTACGGCTTACAACGGTGGCGTCTCGAAGTTCGGCACCCCTCTGGTGGACATGAGCGACCACAATCTGCTTGTTCTTGCAGCAGACTCGCAGCACCCGCACCTTATGAAGATCGCGAATGCGATCGCACGTTTCCTCCACCTCTCCCCTTCGCAGTATGTCAATCTGCGCTGGTTCATGCACTATGTCTTCCATCCTCCTGCGCTCGCGTGCTTCCTCATCGGGTTCTTCGGTCTCCTCTCAGTCGAAATTCAGCTGATCGCCATCCGTCCCATCGCAGACAAGTTTGGGGACCAGGTGTCGGCCAGTGTGTCAAACACGGTGGACGTCATCGGTACATCCATCAACGGGAGCATGTACAATCAAAGCGCGGCGTATGCAGGCTCGATCAATGCGCGGGTTGCGACCGTGCAGACAACCATCAGTGGCGGACTCATCGGCTGGATCGACAACTCGACCGTGACGCTGAATAACACGATCAACGCGTTCTACACGGACCTGCAGAACACGGTCAACAGCGTGTTCAACGGGACGGTCATGCAGAGCCCCGTCGACGAGTTCATCAAGTGCTTCATCGGCTCCAAGGTCGAGGACCTCGAGGAGGCGCTCACGTTCCTCCACACGAACCTCAACATCAACCTCCCGACGGTGAACGAGAGCGTGCTCGTGCTCTCTCAGGGCGACATCAACGAGATCACGAGCCCCATCGCGGAGGCCGCCGTCGGCTCGGGCAACGGGAACAGTGAGGGCATCGTCGGCGAGATCGTCGACGCGTACGTGAAGTCCCTCGAGGGCGAGCGCATCATGTTCGGCGTGTTCATGGGCCTCTGGGCCTTCGTCGTCCTCATGGCGCTCGCGATCATCTTCTGGCACGCGTACGGCAAGCACTGGGTCGAGGCGTACAAGCGCCGCAAGTGGGAGCGCGAGCAGCGCCGCGGCGTCGACGGCCTCATCGTGCCCTTCCGTGACATGGGCCCTGGCGGGGCCCAGCACGAGGCGCATGCGGACCCCGAGTTGCGCGACTCTGCGGTGGTTATGGACGAGAAGAAGGGCGCCGGGGAGGCTGCCCCGGACAGTTTCCTCGAGCACGACTCATCTGCAGGGCGGCCTAGCCGCTTCACGCAGATGCTCACCGCCCCGACACGCTTCATTACCTTGGGCAAGCGAGCCTTTGGTCGGGACAACGTGAGCGATGATGAGGAGAAGACTGCCGCGCTCTCGATGCACGACGAAGCCAAGCCGGAACACCCGAACACCACTCGGTGGACCCAATGGCTCAGCGGCTCCAATGGCAAAGGCTCTGGGAACGCGCAGACCGGTGCGATGGACGAGCCTGAGCCTGAGAACGAGAAGCCCACAGGCGAGCGCGTTCGACCTCCGCTGACCATCAACGTCTCCCAAGCTTCCACCGCCGAGTCCAACATGACCACCCTCGCGCGGGAGAACGACGCGCGCCCGACCTCCGCCTGGTCCGTCTCGCCCGGCCCGCCTCCCAAGTTGCCCTGGATGACGAACATCCTCCCGACGCGCCGTGTCGGCCTGCCGACCAACCCCTACCTGAAGCGCAAGTCCCAGCACGCCGTAGTCGTCACCCCACCCGCGCCCGTACCCGCGCCTGAGCCACAGCCCATCATCCACATCGCCCCCATCCCGCTGCACCACGCGTTCGCCCGCCCGCCGACGCCCACCACGGAGGTCTTCCGGCCGCTGCAGCCCCCGCCGCGCCACCCGGGCCTGCGCCATCCGAACCTGCAAGTCCGGACGCAGACGCAGCCACAACTCTCGCCACAGTACCTCCATCCCCAGACCACGCTCGACCCCGACACGTCGACCCCCGTCACGCGCCTGCTGACGACGACGCACGCGCGGCACTCGTCGATGGCCGTGGACCCGTTCGTGACGCCGTTCGACGACGAACACCGCGCAATGCCCTCACCCCAGACGCCTGCGATCACGAACCCGTTCGTGGACGACGACCCGTTCGCGGACAGAAGGGATAGCCACCGCGAGCCCGCCAGCGGTGGGCGCAAGCTGAAGCGCGCGACGAACCCTTTTCTGGCCTTCGCTCTTTGAGAGAGCTGGTTTATAATCTTCACGGTTGATGTTCGACACGTATTCCTTTTCTCTGTTTTCTGATGACGCCAGCCCACAGCGGACTTCTGGACACGACTGCTCATTGACGGTTTAATCTTGGCTGTTGCCCTGTGATCCCCCTCTACTACTCTCCTCGCCACGACTTGTTGTCACCACGCTTACATTGTATCCTTACGCTCTGTCCAGGGAACCCGAGCACTGTAGCAAATTGTACGTACTACTATGGCAGTATAGCCTAATGTCTTCATAGTCACATTCAATGCATATCGTCGTTATACGATGCTCCGTTCGTGCATGGATTGTGAACTTTGTTGTGAGACGCAGCTAAGTCCGAATCCATGATTGCACATTCACATAACGGACATAGTCAGCCTTAAGACCACTACGGCCCAGTGAGCTAATACTTTGGCGACGGACGCACTGACAACTGTAACGTAGGAAGTGTGCTATCCGGTTGAGCCTGCGGACTTCAACTTCGTCATCTCCGTACAGGTACACTGCTGCAGCTTCACGCTTAGGTTCCTGAGCGAGTCCCGAAATATAATGCAATACGATAGCGAACGACTCTCAATAATTATAGCAACTAGCAACTATCCAACACGCCCCGGCGCACCAACGCCCTACTATCTACAGCCAAGAAATCAAGCAACCAAGAAGAAACATCCAAGCACGCCTCACGAGCACACCCCGCCGATGCCGCCCTTGAGGTCGGTCATGGCGGCCTTGTGCTGGCTGATCGCGAGCACGATGAAGACGTGCCAGATCGCGTGCGAGCCGCCGCCGACGCGGTCGAGCACGTGCGAGTGCGCCCAGCGCGAGGCGAGGTAGCACTCGGGGAAGTGCGTCGCGTAGAAGACGAGCCCCGCGACGTACGAGAGGATGGACGGCATCACCGGGCCTGCAGCATAAGTGGAGCGCCGTGAGCGCGGGCGTGAGAGAGAGAGGGCGCGAGGGGACGTACGGATGAAGGCGAGCATCTCCGGGGAAGAGTGGAGGTAGGCGAGGGTCGCGAGGGGCGCGACACTCGTGAACGCTAGGACAAGGAAGAACGCGATGCGGTAGTTCTACCAGGAGCGCATCGGGTCAGAGACACTCCGAGGTGGAAGAAGTGCTGCATACCCTATTCTTGTACTCGTTGAACCATTCCATGAACGGCAGGATGCTCCCCGAGACGCCCATGAGGAGGCACAAGGAGAGGAAGCCGTTGCGAATCACGGCGTTGCATTGAAATCCGTAGTGCACGACCGTGCCGACGGACGCGCTGATTAACCTTTACCTCCGTGAGCAGCGCAGCGTGCCACAGCATTGATCCAACAACCTACCAGCCAATGCCGACGTAGTCGATCCGCGCGCAGAGCTCCATCCCCTTCGGGTTCGCACAGCCCGCCATAGTGTGCCAGAGAGCGCTCGTGAAGAGGCATAGTAGAGCGAAGGCGGTGAATGCGAGCATCGGCGTGTCGGGTTCGGACGCGGTGGAGGACAAGGGGGTGAAGGGGAAGAGCGCGACAAGCCATGCTACAAAGGGTATCAAATGCGTGTGGATATTCACTGGGGGGCGTTAGTAGGCAGCATCCACAGTGGTAAAGAACAACAACATACGGGTCTCATTGTGCAATGCGAAGAGGGACAGGAGGAGCCGAGGCCACTCTGATAGAGGGATAAAGCTGTTGATTACAGAGTTAGCCCTTTGCAATGCGGCGCGCCCAACGTGGAACCCACCGGTAGCCATGCTTTACAAACGGATTGTTGCGCCATTGGTGAGGTAAGTCGGCGTACTGTATAAGTCGTGATCCATTAAGTGACTGCTTCATTGCGAGCGCAACTTCGTAGGCTATCCGCTCTCCCTCCCGTATGTCGGATGATAGCTCCGCAACGAAGTCCGAGGATGCGACCTTGTCATACATATCAGACAGGGCGCTCGTGGGCGATAGCAAGGATAGATCTAGGCGGTGCGGGAACTCTATGGAGGAGAGATGGGTCTGCAGTGACTGCAGACGGTCGGAGAGCGTGGTCACATAGTCGAACGGGCGGTTGAAGTCGATGTCAGAGACGCGGGCACGGACGTCGTCGAGGCGGGCGCGCATGTCGGCGAAGTCGAGGTCCGGAAGGCGCGAGCGGACGTCGGGCATGTCGGGGATGCGCGCGCGCATTTCGTCGAACCCGGGTACGTCAGGCATGCGGGTCCGGACGTTGTCGAAGGTGATGTCGGGGAGGTGCGAGTAGACGTCGTTGCGGATCGCCCGGAGCAGCTCCAGCCCATCTCGGGCCCATGCGCGCGCATCATCGACTGTCATCTCTCCCTTCGTTTTGAGCGACTCCGGGGACACGGGGGACTCGAATTGGGACAGGCGTGCTTCGAGCTCGGCGAGGTAGGAGAGGACATGGTGGCGTAGCGAGGCGAGAGAGGTGTTTGGGAGGTCGAGGGCCTCTAGAGAGGGGGACAAGGACTGGCAGAGAGAACGAGTGATGTAGGATCCAGCCTCCTGGTTTGTTGAGAATCGACGGGCGGGGGTGCGGCGATGGCGCAGTTCGGTGGTGGTTTCGGTGACGGCGGCCATAGAGAGAGGCGTATTTTTCCTGCAGGCGAAAGACCTGAATGCTCTAGGTCTATGGGGAGGGGAGGAGGGTCAGCCAGAGTCGTCTGAGGCAGGTGGCTGTGGTGCCCGAAGCGGAGCGCGTCAAGTAATCAATTACAGGTCCGCTTTCGCCCCACTCCCCATCGGGCGAGGCACCGAGCACTGTCCCTCACCTGAAATGCGGCCCAATGCCTGTGGGCACTACCGGCCTCGCGCAAGGAGGCTCTCCTGAGTGCTGTGGCCGAGAGGAGGCTGGTAATCCGCCCCGATCGAGATCGCCCATAAACTATTCGCCGCACGTGATCGTTATGCCGCGTACGTACGGATTGCGTACGGAACGTACCAGAATGGCTACGTCGAGAGGACCACTTACCTCCTTCAAGCCAGTTCATGCCCCTCGCGTCCTCTCACTTCTTGGTAGTTGGTCTCGGAAATATCCCGTATCCTGGAACGCGGCACAGGTGGGGTAGCAGAGCCCATGTGCCTCTGAACATCTATGTACTGACCTCATCCATAGTATTGGCCATCTAGTCCTCGATGGCCTTGCCTCCCGTCTGGGTGTATCCTTGACATCGGATCAGGAGGTGAAGGGGTTTAGAGCGACGAAACACAATGTTCCCATTGGCAGCGCTGATGTCTCCATCACACTCTACAAGCCAAGTGCGTTCGTCGGGGTTGCATCTGCACCACCACACGCTAAACGCGACGTCCGCATGCAGAGGCACTCATGAACATCTCGGGCCCGCCCGTCGCACGCGCTCTAAAGAGTCTCGCTATCCAGCCGTCAAACATGATAGTCGTTCACGATTCACTGGACCACAAGCCCATGAAGCTCTCGCCAAAGTTTGGAGGCTCGGCCAGTGGACACAACGGCGTTCGCAGCATCATCGAGGCCCTTGGAGGGGAGAAGGACTTCCATCGTCTCAGGATCGGTATTGGGCGTGATCAGTCTGATCCTGCAGACTACGTCCTGGGACTTTTGCCCCGTTCCGAGCGTGTTTTCTGGCAGGACGGCGAGGGCACTGACGCCGTATGGTCGGCGTTGCTGAAGATCATGGTCACACCTCGCTAGACTCAAGATCGCAGTCGGTGGACCTATGTGAGTACAGTTCAAGGCCATTCGGTCCCTCTCACGATTCCCATGGCTGTAGACGACGGCGCCGGCTTCAGTGTTGTACGGCAATGTTGTTATTTACGGCCTGGGACTATTCGACGTCGAAATGCTATCGGCCGTCCACCACGTACAGCTGCGTCTCTATCCGGCATCAGAGCGTCGAAATATAGGGTACGGCCCTTCTATCTCGCTTCACTCAGGCTGTCTGCACGCTCTGTCTGCTTCACCGTGGTAAATACGCGTCAATGACGCGCAGATATCGCGGTCACGCGCGCACTCTACGCTTATACGGTTCCCCTTCGTTTCCAGGACGCGCATGTGGCGACCATCTTTGATTCAGGGCCTGTCATTGATGCCGTGTGCAGTCTGCGAACCAGCGTGCTTCTTCCCGGCGTGCGTACATAAGACTCGGTTATGCCCATCTGCGCCTCCCGCCCACCGCTCCGCGAACCCGCACCGAGGTCGAGATGGCTGTGCTCCGAAGGTCCCTCCTGGTGCTAGTTGCTGCTTCTTTGCTCGGCCTGGTGCGTGCTCAGCCGTCGCCTGTGGTCCAAGAACACATCTCTGCAGCTATCGCGTCGGCGGCGGCGGATCCGGACAATGTCGACTACACCTCGCTGGTCAATGTCTTCATAGGCACCGACAATTACGGGGATGTTTGGTATGTATAGGTTTCTCTTGAGGGGAGTGTCATACTCAAATCACGGTGTAGTCCTGGCGCCTCTGTCCCCTTCGGGATGGTATGTACAACCCCTGCTGCCCTCAATGTCATTAATCCGGAAGCTCATACGCACCTAGGTCAAATTCTCGACAGACATGACGGGATATGCACCCGCGGGTACGTGGTGTACTCGCATCAGCGTACACGCTATGTGCTAATGTAGGACGCCAGGTTACATCGCGGACCCGACGGAGATGATTCGCGGTCTGAGCCCCATGCACGACAGCGGAACTGGTTCGTCTTCAGGTACCTACGGTAACTTCGAGATCATGCCTCTCCTCTGCCCGGACGGCTTCGAGACGTGCGCCGTGAGGCTCGACGACCGCCTGCGGTACCGCAAGAACAACACAGACGTAACTACCATCCGCATAACGTCTTGTAGATAGTAGATGTGACATACGCGTATAAAAGGAAGCCTACCCCGGATACTTCGCCCAAACGCTGGACAACGAGATCAAGATGGAGGCTACGTCCACGCGCCGCGCCGGCCTGGAGCGCTTCACGTTCCCCAGCGGGTCGAAGCCGTACTTCACGCTCGACCTCGCGAATGACCTCCCGGAGTCCTTCGCCGGCGGATCCTTGAACATCGATCCTGAGAACGGGCGGATCACCATGGGAGGATTCTGGGGCTCGAGGCGCGCGCCCATCTCTTCATGCATACGAAACCGCTGACGGTGTTGTTGGGGGATAGTTTCGGACCTGGTGCCTTTCATTACCAGGCCTTTGCTTGTTATGACCTGCTCAACGGCGGCACGCAGAAACTCGACGAATACGGCGTCTGGACAGGCGAGACGTAATATTCCTCACAGCCCGTTCCTAGTGCGCCGCTGACCCGGACGCTCACAGTTTTGGCTTGGACTACTGGGGAGACGCCAAGGGCCTCGGGCAAACCAACCTGAACCTCTCCGTCGACCTCATCGGGGACGTCTACCAGTCCGGCGCGCTCTTCTCCTACGCGGGGGACCCCGAGGAGATCACCATCCGGGTCGGCATCTCCTTCGTGTCCGAGGCGCAGGCGTGCAGCAACGCGGAGACGGAGGTGGGAGGCGCGACGTTCGAGGAGATCGAGGCGGAGTCGAAGGCGCTGTGGAACGAGCGGCTGAGCACGATCACGATCGACTTTGCGAACACGGAGCCGAACATCACGGAGCTGCTGTACTCGTCGTGGTATCGCTCGAACCTCACCCCTGTGAGTGCGGATGTATGCTGAGGTTCTCGCTCCTTCATTAATCTGAACGGTGCAGAATAATGCCACGCATGAGACACAAGGGCCGTATGCGAACACGACGCACTTCTATTTCGACTCTCTGTACTGCAGGTACGTCGTTGTCCCTTCCTACGAATGCAATTGTTGACACTTATCCTACAGCTGGGACACCTTCCGCACGTTCTATCCCCTCATGGCCCTCCACTCACCCGTGCACTACGCCCAGATCGTCGATAACTACATCGACGGCTACCTCAAGCAGGGTTGGATGCCCGAGTGTCGGGCCAACAACCTCCCTGGTTGGACTCAAGGAGGTAAGCATCATATCCGAGGGACGACATATACTATGGATTGAATACTCAACCGGCACTGCAGGTTCGAGTGGAGACCTGATCGTCGGACATTTTGCCATGCTCTACCACAACGAAGCAGAGGAGCTCGGCATTGACCTGGAGCAGCTCTACGCTGCTATGGTGCAGGACTCGGCGGTCAATCCTCCGGAGTGGAACATCATGGGTCGCCAGAGTAACGTCTACAAGTACGTCTTCGATCACAGGTCTATAAACTTACTAACTGACATCCTGTCAGTCAATATGGCTACGTGCCCTTCGCCGCACTCGACACCAGGAGCACCGGCCGTATGACTCGGGAGGGTAGTCGGACCGTCGAGGTGATCTGTCCAGCCTTATTTGGACATAAGTGCTTGTATTGAACCGCGCATATAGTATGCTTACGAAGACTTCGCAATCCGGCAAGTCGCACTGCTCTTGAACAAAACCGAAGACGTCGATGTGTACACGAACAAATCCTATGTGCGTTCATGATGACGATTCTGTAGTAGACCCGTTTTCACCTTTGCTTGTGTAGTTTTACAAGAATGTATGGGATCCGACGGTCAACAGCGACGGCTTTACGGGTGAGCGTAGCTTACACGGTCAGTTGCTGACAGAGCTAACCGCGCATCGCAAAAGGTTTCTCTCAAAAGCGCTATCCCAACGGAACCTTCTACTACACGGACCCCATTGATTGCTCGCCCGTCGATTCGAACCCAAACCGTGAATGCTCGTTACAAGATGACAACGTCGTCGGCTTCTACGAATCATCATCCTGGGAGTATAGCTTGTGAGTCCTGCCTTCGCTCGCAACGTGGAGGTATTGCTGAAGTGACATTCATAGCTTCGCACCTCACGACATGGCATCCGTTGTGGATATGATGGGAGGCAATGTACGTCCTGTGCAGGTTCAGTTTGCGCGTAGTTGACATGATGCGCCATCCAGGAAACTTTCATTGCACGTCTGGACCATTTCTTCAATGTACGCACGGAAGAGTCGTCCGTCACCTAGCATCAATGCTGACAATGCCTTGACAGGCGAGCTACTTCAACGTAGGGAACGAACCATCGTTCAACGTAAGTGCTAGATTCTCTCTTGACTGCTGGACGAAGTTCTCATCATTTGACTGCAGACCCCGATTGACTACTTGTACGCCAACGCACCGACAAGGAGCGTCGATCATGTCCACGACGTGGTGTTCAGCTACTTTGACATCAGTAAGTCGCACAAGGCGTTAGACTTGAACATACGAAGGTTGAGACAGTGACACCCTCAGCACCTGCTGGCTTACCTGGCAATGATGATCAAGCTGCAATGGCAACTGTTTTGGTTTGGCACCTACTCGGCCTGTATCCTGGTACGCACCTCCTCATCGTCACCTTGCAATCGTTAACCGACAATCGTCACAGTGCCGGGTTCGTCAGAAATCCTGGTTGTATCACCCTTCCTACCTACGTACACCATTCATAACCGCTACCTGAACACCAACACGACCGTCACGGTGAAGGGCTTCAATCCGGCCTCCGTCCAGCAGTACATCCCGGAAGGCATCGCCGCCTACGTCCAGAATGTCACGATCAACGGCGTACCCTCTCCTTCTCGGTGCCATTTCGACTTCTACGACATCTTCCGCGTCGGCGGCGAACTCGTCATCGAGGTCACGGCAGACAAAGATTCCGTCAACGACTGCGGCGCCTCTCTACCTGACTCGCTCTCTACGGGCGGCTTCAACACAGTCCGATAACCAGAGGTATAGTGTTCTGGATAGTTATGGCTTAAATACCACAGTTCAACACAGCAACAGGTCACAGCAACGAGACGAGCACGGTAGCCAAGATAGATGGGCGGTAGACATACATCGTAGAAATGGATACAGACGAAGGGCGCGTAACAGTCCCATTTACCATCAACATCGTGAAAATCATAAAAGTATCGTCAAGAACGGCTAAAATGTGGATGGTCCAGCATCTGAAGGTTTTGAGGGGTTGATTGGCGGACGAATCGAGACGACGCCAGGGTTCGTCTCGTCAGGAATGACCTCAATGTGATGACTGCAACACTTTGTCAATGTGAGATAGTCAAGCATGAACGAGCAACTGACTCTTGCATTGCCCCGATAATAGCAAGCTTCAGAGCGGGTATCTTGCCCTTAGAATGGTTCCCGCGACCGGTGATGATACGCAGTTCCGGTACGCCGGTGACCATTGCGTCATACAAGGCCTGCTCTACCCGTGTGACGGCCTCAGGGACCTTGAGACGATGCACATCAATGGTCTGGGGTACTGGCGTGAAGTTGTGGGCTACGGTAGCAGATCAGTATGAGCACGAAGCTGTAGAGTAAGGGACGCACCTTTGAAATAACGCCTCTCAGCCTTTGCGTGCATGTTCTTCGCCTCTTGCTCCGCTTGATCGCGTTCGATCTTCAATCGAAAAGCCTTCCAATGATCTCCGGTCCTTTCTGCAGCAAAGTATTCCTGCCGCAACCGAGACCGTTTAGCCTCCAAGGCCAACGCCGCCTCACGCAGCTGGTCTGCTTTGGATATCAAAGCACCGCGCGACTTCTCGGTCACAACGCTAGGAGCTTCCGACTCCCCGACAGACGCATCATCTGCGATCACTTGCTCGTACTCTGGTGGCGGGCCGCGCGATGACGCTGCCTTCTCTGTTCTGGCCGCATCCTCGTCGACTTCGGGAGTAGGAATCATGGGCATCGATTCAACGGGAGGCATCATCGCCGGGATTGGCATGGCGTCCATGAGCTCTGGTGGTGCAGCTAGTCCTGCTTCGCCCTCCGCAATGACTGAGTGTCGCATGGGGATAGGGATAGGCGGGGGATCCACGAGTTCCACAGGTACCATCGTCGGGGTGCGCTGTCCAGCACTATCATCTGCGTCAATGATCATCACTGGCGGCAGCTGCTCGCCTCGTGGGGTGTTGGGTCTCTCGACAGGTGTGGTGAGTCCGGAGTAGTTCTGCGGTCTCGGCGACAAGGCGATCCTGGGACGACCGCCGCTGCCCTCGCTTGAAGTAGTCAGGTGAGATGATACCGAGGGCGCGCGGCGGGTGAAGCTGGTATATTCGATACCAGGAGTATCGGGAATGACGGGGAGCGAGACATATTCGAGCTCGGATGGCGTGCGCGGACGTCGAGGCTGCGCCTCAAGCTGCACCTGCGACCCACTCGCACGACTTGGAACGCTTGAAGCCTCTGAGCCACGAGCGGGACTGATGGCGCTCGATACCTCCGAACGAGGTGCAGGGCTCACGATACTCGATACCTCCGAGTAGTCGGAGAAGGATCCGGGCAACGGCGTCGTAGTCGGTCGCCTGGCAGGTGCCAGAGTTGGTCGAGAGCGGGACTGAGATAGTGGCTGGGAACGGGAAATGAGGATGGACGGAGGACTGCGAGCTGTGCCAGAGGATACTGTGGTCGAGGAAGACCCTGCAGGCAATTCAGAGAACTGTACGCGAGACGAGGAGCGGGCCTGCGAAGAGAGCCTGAGGGAAGACGGCAAAGCACGACGGACTCGCCGGTACAGCCGTCGAAAGCGTTTATCCTCCGCCACGTCCCATCCTACGTCCGATAGCAGCACCCCCATTCCTGTCCATATGATGACAATGACGAGCCTTGTGAGATTGGCGGTGAGAAGTAGGTCGACAAAGAGACGGAAGCCAAAAGCGATGTAGGGATCCAGAGAGTACGGGGTTTTGGCGAGGAAGTGGTGAAGAACAGCACCCTCCCACAAGCCGACGAGTGAGCCATTGACCCTATGGTTCTGGTGTGTTATCTTGTCGATAGTTGCGCGCAAAACGAGTCCGACGCCGATGGCGTAGAAGTTGTCCATTGATCATGCCCGGAGCGCGGTGCGTCGGGAGAGGCCACTGTCGTGGTACGTGATAGAGTCGTGCATGGGCGTCTGCAGTACCCTCGCAGGCTTTCCCGAAACGGGCACTCGCTATTGTTCTGTCCAACATAAAGACATCTCGTAGTGATACAGGCAGCCCGTCTCCTCTCCCTCCGGCCATGATATTGTACACTGTGCTAAAGGTCGAGCAGCCCATCTTCGACGAAAAGCTATCTCAAACGCCCAATCGTCATGCAAAATCCAGCACTTCCACTTGGCCGTACCTGTCCCCGATGGCTATTCGCCCGGTCGTGTCTTCGAATGCAGTGGACACGATGGCATACTGCCGCTTGATGATCTCGCTCATATCGCACCGACGCGAGTAGAGCGCCTTCTCCGAGTAATGCACCTCGTTCTCGAGGTACGTCGCTTTGGGCCGTTGCACCCCCTTGCTGGTTCGCTCCGTTGAGACGGCACCCGGTTGTGCAGTGACATGAAATCCGAATAGACAACGTGCAGGGTAGGACGAATGTCGCGAGCAGAGGTTCCTGGTCTGGACACAAAAGCCTTTACCACTCGGAGTGGCATGCAGCTTCCTGCAGGACGGTGGCACGGGAACCGCGTTGATGCGTTTGCATTGCGCGAAAGGGAGCAAATACGGTGGCAGCGAGCCTTCGACAGCGGATGACGCGGTGGGTTTGTCGAGGCCAGGAAGCAAATCGAGTTGGACGATCATGTCAACGTCGTCTTCCCGGCATCGCCAGAGGACAGTCACAGGCGTCGATGGCCAGTCGCTTGGGTCCCTCTGTGCGACGACAGCGGTTTGGTGGATGATCACAGCTTCTGTGGCCGTGGGGTTGACCTGGAAGAGCAACTGCGGCTGCCGATTCCAGGCAGTGCGCGTACCATTCCAGACAGGTGCGTACAAGAAATGTATGCAGTTCTCACGCACGACAACCATATAGCGGTTGACAACCTTGACTGCACGGATCTCACCGGCTTGCGCCTACAGCGGTATAAGCGAAGATTCGCAAACACACTGGTCGACTCACCAAGTAATGTGTTGGCTGCAGATTGATGGCCTCCATAGGTCCTTCGTAATACCAGATCGTTGGTGCCTGCCCCAGGACAACGTAGGCCCCATGCATAACATGCAGAGGATGTACCATCGCGCGGACGCTACGTAATCTCGAGATCTCTCGAAATCGCCCGTGAAATTTATCGAGAGCAAGTGCAACAACCATCGTTGGATCATGCCTACTCCGGTGTTAGCCGCGTATTTCGACGTGCAAGGTGGTAACTCACGGTGCTGTCATGCCAGCCAAATACACAAGAGTGGCCTCGCTCCCACTATCGTCGTTGACAGTCAACTGTTCCACCGGAAATGACGCGACATGGTCTGCGATGCGGTACGCGCCCGAGCCGTCGAATGGCACCTCCCAGCAAGTAATGATCTTTCCAACGACAGTCACGAGGTACTGGCCACTGCACCCGGGCAGGAACGCGACTTGGCTCACAGTCGACTTGTGCGACTCGACTGTCTCGTCAGGGAGATACTGGTCCGCGAGGAACGAGAGCGTGTGGCGGGCGGTGGGATTCGAAGAGCACCAATTGTCATGGAACTTGGCGGCGTGCACGGCTCGCGCCTCGAGCTGCTCCGCCGACAACGTCCTCAGGTCTGTGTCTGCCGCGGGTATTGGTAGGCCTCTGTCAACGACGTGCCGCTTGATTGCGTCATGCCACACCCAGCGTAGCTTCGAGATGGTGAAGAGACGTTTGGATGTCTAGTACAGTGTGAATCCGACAAGGACCAGACATGGCGCGTGACGTACACACCTGCCTCAAAGCCAGCACGTCTCGTACTTCCACGGAGCTGATGATCAACAGTAGGATATCGTCCGAAAGCATCTGCAAGGTCGTGGCTTGGTGGCTCTGCGCGAATGCGTTCAAGCAGCCAATGTACGGATGTCTCCTCGTCCTTGACGGTGTTTGTACAGTGCGAGTTGGGCTAAACATCGTCCTCGACGACGTACAAGCAGGGTTGGGTGACAGTGGGAGAGACCGAAGCGATAGGACGGCTTGTGACCCGGAAGCGATTTAATGAAAGGAGAACAAGGGTATGGCCGCATTTGGACGTTCAGACATGTTAGCGATGTTCAGTCACGTGAGCGCCGCGACGGAGTCGACCACAACTGTGACGACTTTCCATCTACTAACTTGCTCTATCTTGTCTGTTTCACAAAGTACCCTTGCCAGTAGCCTCACGGCCATGGCTGGCTTCCTTCATGTCACCATTACTACGCAGCCTCACGCTGTCGTGAACCTCATTAACGCCGCGAACTTGAAATAGGCTCGACCTAGGCAAGTAGACCTCGACTCAGAACGAGGAGCGGCACAGTCCATTACCTAGGTAGCATGTACGTATGATGTCTGAACTTTCGAGCCGTACGAAGTTAACTTCGTCAGGTTCGCCATTATGTATAGAAGCGCGGGGACGGATTCGGGATCCTCGGGCGACCCGGGACTGCCAGGATGATTCTGCTGCAACACGATCGAAACACGATACATGCATCACACAGCCTTCGGTTGATTGATTGTATGTGCGGCATTGATAGCGGCCTATTGTGGTTCGCCGCACGATATATGCTTGTGAGAGAGGGGACACGACTTACAATCTTCCCTTCTCTACTGCTAAGTACCTCGCTGTGCTACCATGGCATCAGTCCACACGTCGACTCGGTCTATGCAGCCCTCTGGACAGAATGGGGCAACTGAAGCCCGTGACTTGTATCATGTATATCTGCTCATGATTGCCCCTCAGAAGAGATTGCAAATCTATAAAGTAACAGTCAATTTTCACACTTCCTTCTTACACGACTGACACATGCTTGATACAGAGGTCCACACAGAAGCTAGTGCTCCTAGCTGAAGCATTTGCTTTGTGTGCATGGAAATGTTCTCTATTGAGTACCACAGGCACCCAAGTGGAGTGACTTCAAGATATCACAGGAAAAGTGAACTTGAACTTTGACACTTACTCCAGTAAGCACCAACTCTCACTCTGTTGTTTATTTACTGATGATCATAGTTGGTATCATGAGCTCTGCAAGTCCTTGACAAACTGGGCTGCATGGGACCCTGTCTATGCTGTAGGGCAATGGGTCCATGTGAAAAGGAGATACAGAAATCCAAAACAACTGTCCTAACCTCATGAAACCTTTGGTAAGCATCATACTACTGTAATCATGTTGGATGATGTTGAGAGCTGGTCATGTTAAGCAAGAATGCATGTTTCCAGTTGATGGATCTGAAGGAGGCATCTTCCTGCCACCAGCCCTGGATGAGACTATTGGTGCTGTCAGTGAAGTGCTTTCCTCAAGGGACAACTTGCAAGAATTATTCAAAATGAAGGGTAAAGATGCCATTGCTGTCATAGACCTCTTGGATGGTGTATGTACAGCAATTGACTTGATGAATGTGTACTGACTCTAATTCAAATTTCAGTTGATGGCATTGTTGAGGACAATAGCCGCATTCACACCAGGCTGTTCCACACTCTGCGCAAGATGTGTGGAGAGTTAGGAAGACTACCAACTGTGTATGACCTATCCAAGAAAGGCCTGCTACTTGGGCTGAGGCTACCCCATGAGGAATTGACCATCATTGGCAATCATCCAATAGCATCTGGTGGCTTTGCAGATGTCTGGCTAGGCAGGTACAAGGATCAACAAGTAGCAGTGAAGGCTTTTCGTGTCTATGGTCATGCTAACTTGGAGGCAGTCAAAAAGGCATGTGGTCTATGTTTTCCTATTATCCCCTTAGCTCATGTGTCTATGTAGACCTTCTGCAGAGAAGCTGTCTTATGGAGGAGGCTTTCTCACTCCAACATCACACCTTTCATAGGCATTGACTATGATGAGAATAAAGCCAAATTCTCTGCTGTATGCCAGTGGATGCCCAATGGCAATATCACAGCATACCTCAGGAATTCCCCAGGAGCCAATAGGCCAGAGCTAGTCAGTATATACTATAACTTGCTGTGTCTGTTGAGCAATCAGTTGACTTCATGCAGCTTGTGGACATTGCACAAGGCCTGGAATATCTACATTCACATGGAGTTTGCATGGTGATATCAAGGGTGTAAGCATTGGTCCAGTGATTACCTTTATATGCTGTGACAGAGACTGACACATTGGTACAGGCGAACATATTGATAGACGAAAGACTCCATGCATGTCTTGCAGATTTCGGCCTGTCAGCAGTCACCTATGATCCAAATACCGTGAACGCCATCTCGACATCTTGAGTGTCAACGGGTCCATTCGGTGGATGGCGCCCGAGCTCCTCAACCCGGAAGAAGCAGGACTGGAACATGCGAGGCCGTCTCCCGAAAGTGACATATACTCCTTTGCCATGGTTATGTGGGAGGTGAGCCTCCGAATCTGTGATTCGTGGTGCGAGATTGACAGTCACTGAGCCAGGTATTCACTGGTCGGATCCCGTTCTTCAACCTCACGCGCGACGCAACCGTAGTCTTCCGTGTGATCCTCGGTATCCGTCCTGAACGACCGGCAGCTGCAACCCCGTTGGGCTTATCTGACGATGTCTGGACCCTGATGGACAATGGCTGGGGCCCGCAATGGCACAGACGTCCGCGAATCAGACATGTGCTGGAGATTTTACGGGAGAGCTTACGACGCTATGGCTTATTCGGTACCCATCCACCGACTTGGCCCCTTGCGGACGATCGCTACACACCTTCCAGCCAAACCGACGTACCTATCGACGTTCAGAGCACAACTGTGCCAGGTGATCATCACTTGCGTATTAAGCTTCACACGTTGTTGACACATCATTACAGATTTCACCCAACCGCGGGCCGGGACGTCGAAAGCGTATACCCGTCTAGCTTCGCCACTACGACCCAATGCTAGCCAACTCCCCAGTAAATGAGGATGCTCCTGACTACGAAGACATTGTCAATTTAGTGAGAGACATGTCCTTCGGGTCCGAAACCTCACCTGCCGCCGCCGCCGCTTGGGACTGCATTGCCGATGGGCAAGCTTGGATATGAATCATCACCTGTACATACCATCTATATGTATCGCTCACAACCGGATACTACGCACTATTGAGCTCGCATGATGCATGATAGTGGTAGCAATGTCTGCCTGTTGGCCGTGCAACATGAAGAGTTCAGAAAATGACGCAGACAGCACGAGCAAAAGGGCGATGGTCCTTAGTCCTGATCCAAAATGAGTCGACCCAGGCTCGAACTGAGGACCTTCTGTGTGTAAGACAGATGCGATGACCAACTACGCCATCGACCCATGTTGATGGGCGCTCCCCTTTGCTGATCGATGGGCAGGCAGGATACGCAGACAGCAGATAATTCGTATTGTAGTACAGTGCATCCTGGGAAGCGCAACATAGGATATCAGTCCATGTGAAGTACAAGAGGGCAACGTATCCGCAACACGACGCAGGAGGAATCAGATCAGCTTAGCTTCTCTTTTCGCGGTCTGCAGTTGCGATAGCCTTTGGGTGCGAGGGGTCTGCACAGCGCCTTGCGCATTACCCTTCTTGTTTGCCGTGGCGGCGGGCGCTGCAGGTGCCGCCGTCATTTGTGACAGGGAAATACGCGTCTCATCCGAGGCAAAGCCAGGAATCCGAATGTTGTGGTTACGTTCTGATAGACACGTCAGTCCCAACCGTAGCAGCGTATTTTACTACTGACCCAGATGCAGTTGGAGGTCCTTGACCTCCAACGTATCGCCGCCTCGATGCTTTGCTAGACGGCAGCGAAGTTCGTGACGGAGTCGATGAACTCGTCCGCGATGTCAAGGAGAAGCTATGTGTGCATCAGTGCAAGCCAATACTCAAGAGAATTGAACTGACATCCTCGACTTCGGGTTCAATCTTGACGTTGGGGTCAATACTCGATACTAGATCCTGTATTGACCTCCGCATGCTCTGGTCTCCGGGAGTGTTCTTGCGGCGCGTCCGATTATCGTCCGTGTTCAGAAGTGTAGTGTCATCAGACGGTTTCGTCAGTTGTGCCGGCGTGCCTTCGGTAGACGGTTAGGAAGACGGCGCGAGGGTATGTCGTCGTACATACCTGAGAGTCTGCCTCCCGCTATACCTCCGGTCAATGTAGGACGGCCTTGTTGAGCAATCTGCCATTGGACCGGTCCGGGGTTTGTGGCAGTGGGAGTGTTACTGATAGGGTAAGAGTCCGTGCTGGGATTGGCATTCAGGAAAGGGGTGTGAGCGCTGCGAAATGCTGGGTTCGTAGGCATGGGTGCTGCAACCTAAGAAGATCGGTATAGATTAACTAGAATCAGGTGGACCCTAAGACGTACGGGGGCAGGTGCAGGGGCAGCGGGGGCGGGCGCAGGGGTGGAGGTACTCCCCGATGCTCCAGTCTTATGTTTGTCCGCGTACTCTTTCAACTGGGCCAAATCAGTACGTGCTTTGCCCGTTGAACACAAAGGAATCACACACCTGTAATATCTGCGCTTGAGTCAGCTTGCCGTGTTTCGCAAGCTCGCTCAGCTGGCTCATGTTTTGGATCAGGAGTTGAGCGATCTTGTCGCTCGGAAGCGGATCTCCTGTTTGCGTCTTGTAGGCATTTCCCAGTGCCGTTATGATGTTTGCAGTGTTAGAGGTTGAAGACGGTGTTGGCGTGGAGGACGGGGTCGACATCGTGACCGGACAATGCAAGGATGGTCGTCACATCACAAGTATTGCACTGTGGCAACTAGCACGTGACACGCCTATACAACAAGGATCGCGGAGAGTTTAACGGGTCGGTGGCGTAGTTGGTTATCGCATCTGTCTAACACACAGAAGGTCCTCAGTTCGAACCTGGGCCGACTCATCTTTTTGTTCTTCTGAGGCAAGCTACACAGATGTGCTTGAGGATCAGATTCTCCCGGTGTCGCACAGCAACACATTATGGCCATAGCCACAAAAGCATAATTTTGGCACCCATCCGCAATCAACGTGTATGTTCGTCGATACAAATGCTGTATGCAGGTTGTGCTCGTCATCTCATTGATCAGCCAGGAGCGCAGCTCATTATCCAAGGCCAATCCCGATGAATACTCTAGTACACAGCCTCTATGCCGTCTCAATGGCATGTACCTTCATGCAAGCTTCAGCGATAGAGCAGCGTGTGAGACCATCCGAGCCATACATGTAAAGGGCAATTACATTGAGAATCATTGAACGCGCACTACATCTGACAGTCCAAAACGCGTGAGTGTCCAGTGTCAATGAGTCAGTCTAGATACCCATCTGAATGTCGACGTCCATCATATCTTCTTTTGCCAGCTTACGCCTGCCCTTATCCCATCGTTTGAGATATGCCTCGCACCTCTCCCTGAAGACCTGCAAGCCGTCCAAGAAACCTTTGGGTAGGAGATCCTTCCGTTGGTCCCAGGCTTGATGTCGACGAGGTCACATCGATCCAAGCAAACCAAGATGACTCCAAAGCTGTAAGCGTCCGCTAAGCGAGGGTCCTGGCACTCGCCGCGCAGGACCTCGGGGGCGGAGAATGGACGGGTCCAGGGTGTATCTGCTCTACTTGCCTCGACTGTAATGGCGGCGGAGTAGGAGGTACGGGAGAGTAAGGCGACTTTGGCGCAAAGCGCGACGTCACCGGTGGGCGCGGGGGTTCTGGCGCGGCCGGACGTTGAGACATGTCCTCGAACGGCGAGGCAAAGAAGGAGTCCGCCGCGACGGAGCGGCCGAAGTCGAGCAGCTTGATCGTGTCAGAAGAGTAGGTCACTTGCACGTTCAGCAGCGAGAGGTCGCCGTGGCTCAGGCCGAAAGAGTGCAGGTGAGTAAGTCCGTCCAGCAGTTGGTTGTGGTAGTCAACTTTCTGGCTTCGAGTCAGCTCCGGCCGCACCTTGACTACATCCCACAGCGTCCGCCCCTCGATGCACTCGAGCACCATGCCGACGTTCTCGAGGCAGCCTAGGAATGCGGCTATATTGCGATGCCGTGACACGGTAGTGTACACGCGTAGCTCAGCGAGGAATTGTGTCATGACGTCGTTGGCGTTCGACTGCATCTCGCCGTTGATTTCAAGCTGGACGACGTTTGGCTTCTTGACCACGCACTTGAACAGCTCTGAAGCTGATCCAGACGCGAACGGTGCCATATTTTGGATAGGGTTTGGTGGAGCGGAGTACGTGGTAGGCGTCGGGAATGAGAAGATGGAGAGAGGGTTATTGGGTGGGACGAACGTCGTGCCAGAGGCCGGCGGCGAACGCGCCGACGAATCCGCAGCATGGGTGCTGAATGGGTGCGAGAGAAACGGGGTGTGAGGATGCTCTGTCGCGGTCGGCTCTTCCGCTGGTGGCGTGCTGACATGGTCCTCCTCGCCCTCGAGTTCAACTGGGACACGCTGATACAGTTCACGGACGATCGCTTGGGAATAACCCACGTACCCATCCACCAATTCTTTTTGAAGTAAGCGTAACCCGCTTCACCTGCCTGGACTTGAGGCCATGGTGCGTGCTAGATGTCTGGATACTATGCTGCGGTAGCCAATGTGGGACGGACGTGTGCGTGGTCTGAAGGAACCCGAGTGAGCTGATGCGGCGGAGTGAATGCATTGATGCTGCGTAGGCGTCTACGCGCACTCATGTGCTCCATCAAGAAAGGAATTTCCCGACGCGCCCGACACTGCGGCTTACATCGTAAATCTTCTCCAACTATCCTACAATTTGCCTCTCTAGCACCGACGAAGTCCATCAGAGGTTAATGGGTAGCAAGGCGACCGAAGCACTGGCAGGTCGTCAATTACAAGTCATTCATGTCTGATCATTGAGTAACCCACTGCGCTACTGTACAAGTGCGAAAATACGATATGGTGCTACAATACAAGGTATCCCAAACGGATCATATACACTCATTAGACATCGACACAGAACCCATTCACAGCACGCTCTTCTGCCACGCCGCCGGGCACCCGTCAGCGACGGCGAGGTAGCCCATCAGGTCGCTCGTCAAGAACTCGCTCGGCCACTCCTTCCGGATCTGCGCCTTCAAGTACTTCGCGATGATGTCTAGGTTCTTCTCGCTGACCATCGGGCCCTTCTGCGCGGGCACGAGCTCGTCGATGACGCGGTCGACGTACGCCGCCGTGACCGTCTCGCCCTTGTCCGCCATGCGCACGCCTACTTGACCCACTGCCAGAGCTGCACGCGCGTGATCTCCGCCGTCGCGGCGTCCTCCATGAGCCAGTTCAGCGGGATGCACCGTTCCCGCCGAGCCATGCCGCGCTGTAGGAGAGCGCAGTCGCGACGTTTTCGCGGACACCGGCGGACGTGATCTGGCCTGGCGCCTTGGTACTCAGCAGATCGGCAGCTGCGACTTTTACGTCCTCCCTGCGGATGTGATACTGCACAGCATCAGTAGTTGAATGCGAGTAGATGAGTGCACGAACCTGGTTGGGACCCACATATGCTCGTTGAAGATGTCCATGGCAATCTTGTTGATGAGCGGGTGCGCAATCCATGTGCCGTCGTGACCGGCAGTGACCTCGCGCAACTTGTCATTGCGAACCTTGTCATGGCAACCTCGTTCGCCTGAACGTCGTTCTTGATCGGGATCTGCGCAGACATGCCTCCCATCGCCGCAACTCGTCGCCTGTGCATACTGTCAGACAAACGAATGGTCTCCAATGATAGAGCTCACTTGTGACAGTCTGGATGAGGAGACGGACGTAGGATCCATGAAGTGCACCTCCATGGTGACGTCCTTGCGGTCCGGAAGAACAGCGCTCCTGTCTGCCCTGCGCTTCTTGATGAAGCTGAAGATGTAATCCCAGCTACACCACCTGTCAGCATTCTAAACTATTCGTCATGAGCGTACAAGAACTCACCGGCCGCAGTTGAGACCTGAAGAGTGTGTCCTGAGCTCGAAGAGAATCTCCTCCATCTGGAAGCGCGGGAAGCGTCTCAATGAGGACGGTACCGCGGATGGTGCCGAGAGGAATGCCAATGTATGACTGCGAGAAGTTGAAGACGTCGTTCCAGAGACGCGCTTCGAGGTAGTGTTCCATCTTAGGAAGGTAATAGTAGGCCCGACCCGCGCGCGACGAGCTCCTTCGCGTTGTGGAAGAAGTAGAGACCAAAGTCAAGAGCGAGCCGACATGGGCGCGTTGTCGATGGTCAATCGAGGCTCGTCCAAATGCCAGCCACGCGGACTACACCGATCGCGTCAATCGACCAACGCGCTTGTGGCGACAACGTACGTACCGGACAATCAGCACGGCGGGCTTTTCGCTGAGCTTGTACTGCTTCCCGCCCTGCTCGAAGTCGATCTTGCGCCTTATCGCGTCGCGGAGATTGACCTGGCCGCTGACCATGTTCGCAAACGTGGGACAGTTCGCATCTGGGTGGGTACGGTTCAGCTAGCGCCACCGACGCGACGTTCATAGAACGCACCTTCGAAGTCAGCCATGAACGTCTTCGTGCCGCTGTTCAGGGCGTTGATGACCATCTTGCGGTCGGTGGGGCCCGTGATCTCGACGCGCCGGTCCTCGAGACCGGGCGCGGGGGCCGCGCAGAGCCATGAGGGGTCGGCGCGAATGTGTGCGGTCTCGGGAGGGAAGTCGAGGGGCTGTCCTGCGTCGAGGCGGAGCTGTGCGGCCTCGCGTGCGATGAGGAGGCTCTGGCGGGTGGACTCGAAGGTTCTGTGGAGGGCGGCGAGGAACTTGAGGGCGTCCTCGGTGAGGATCTCGGACTGGGCCTGCTGGGCGACGCTGGTGTGGATCTGTACGCCGGCGACCATGGTGGGCTATGGGATGTTGATGGGTGTGTGTGAGAAGAGGGAGGGCGGTGGTGTGCAGCAGAGGGAGGGCTGCGAGTATATGTACATGGTCGGCACTCCGTGCTGTCCCATGGGCGGAGGATGCACGTCATGTCTTCCGCCCATTTCACGTGGGGGGCGGACCCCGGGGGCATCCTTCCCTTTCCGTCCAGCCCCCGGAGTCCCGCCGCCTTCGCCCCTCCAGCCCTCCGTCTCCGCGCGCCAACCCCAGCACACTCGGCCGACTGCGTTCCCGGGCCCGCAGCCACGCAGGCGGGATGGCCTGCGGAGGCCAAGGGATGCCTTCCGTGACCGCGAACGTGTCCACAGAACGCAGTCGGGTCTTCGGACTCTCGGGGGATCCACGCCTCGCTGCTATCCTCCTTTCGTCTCCAGTGTGATTCCCCCGAGTCTTCGCACCTGCCTGGGACCCCTCAGGAGAACGTCGATGGGAGCCTAGTCCCACTCTTCCTTGTGGCACCCATCACGGGCCCTCGCCCGTCCGCTAAACACGGTCTCAGCAGCAGGATAAACGTCCATCCATACACCGGCCTCTCTAACTATACATCATAGCCAAGGCTACCCCACAGCCCGGATCCTACCCGCACGCGGGGTCCACCTATTCTGCCTTCTCCTTGCGTTCCGACGGAACCGGCACAGACTCTGTTCAGTTACCGGGCGTGGTCGCAGACCGGCCATCAGCGAATCGAACACCAACTGCGTAAGAACGAGACGGCCGACAACCCACCTGTGCCCGTACCCGCAGCCAACTCCTTCACCACCCGCTCGCCCACCTTGATAACGCGTTTACACCCATCTGCCACACCCCACAGCTCACCGAGCCTGCAGGCGCGAACGGGAACGACAGCCACCATGTAAGGGGCCCGAACCACCCTGGCGGAAGATAGAACACGGCGGATTTCCGGTACCACCAGCCGACGAAGAACTGGAGGCCTGCCGTCAAGACCCAGACGACGGTGCTGAATTTGAGCGAAAAGGACGACCTCGCGGAGGACAGTTCGCTATCTGCCGTGAGGACATGAAGCCGATGGTGAGAACATGAAGCCGCAGGTCATTGGTAAGAGACTCTTCGAGGACCACGCATCCCTGCCGGCGCCGTGGTGGTCGCGGCACGCAGAGACATGGACCTCGGAGGTATTACCAAGGCGAGGGAGACACTTACTGAGCTTCTCCAGGTCTGCTAACCCCTTGTCCACACCCCGCCTCAGCTTTGCCCACTTTGCAAACTGGTCCTGCGCACTCGTCTGCAGCAGCTCCTTCTTTGCTACAAGTATCTCTGACTTGAGTTTTCGTTGGCGCGCCACCGCGCTCGAGTGGAATATCCGCAGGTAGATCGCGTAGGCCTGTCGTCCATCCACCCTACTGTCAGGACACGTCACATCCTAGCCAGTCGAGTCTCCTACGCACAAATTCGAGTAATACAGACTTGCCAATCCATGAGATCAGTTCTGTTACGAAGACAAGAGCGAACAAGGTGATGATGAGAGACATGATGGGCGTCGGAGGTCGTAGCCTCGAGGATGGATGGGTGAGCAGCAGGTGCGCTGGCCGCTGCAAGTCAGGCCTGGCGCATTCGTGGCTGTCTCCGACTGCCATGTCGCGTCACCATATTGCATGCACGTGGTGGTGTCCTTGTTTGCCGCTGTTAGGATCAGAGGCTATTGGCCTCTTCCGTTTCTGGTAACTGTCCCATTATTCGACTTCGGATTGTGGTGGCTGCCTGTACATGTTCCGTCTGGACTTCCTTGTGTGCTGGACAGATGGCGTGTTGGCGTTCTCGTCGGATCTTTGACTCTGCGCTGCCATAACTACCGCCAAACGACGCATCGGGCTGTGGCCTGCTCAACGCACTGGATTCGGATTCATTGCCACGACATGCATCCAGAACGTCGAGCGGTGTAAGACGGCTTGTACGGGCGACGAGAGTCGTTGCATGCATGCCCTGCGTCGATGGCGTGCCGCCAACGCATGGCTGGCACGACGTAACCTTGTCTGGCGGGATGGCGCTCAACTACTCGGGCGCATTCTGGGTGCTCTCGCGATATCGATTCATGATGGGGATGTCTTCACCGGTGAGTGTCCGGACTCCATACCTTCCAGATCTCAGGAGCTGTACAACTCTGAACACAGGACCTCTGTGCGGGATTGTGTCGCAAATATTGACACGTAAGTACAATTCGCATGTCCATGTCAATATGGGCGGCTATTGGCAGCCGACAACAACACGGTAGTATCACTATCAATCTCTATCGAGTTCCAGTGAGCTGATGTGGGTTGATACAAGCGTGGATGATCACAGGATGATCATACCACATACGGCGCACGCATTGTCGTGGGCTGTGCGGCGTCAGATCCCAACGCCTGGTGTTCGCACGACGTAAGGTTTAAGCTTGACTGGAAGCCGCTCTGTCCACTCACATGTTCCTCACACCGTAATACTCTGCAAGCACCCTGCCGCCTTATCACAAAGCGCCCCGTTAGTCGCTGAGCTTCTTTCCTCACGTCACCCTTCTCCCCGGTCTACATATGCGTGAACATGGTCACCACCTTCACTAACCTCCCGCGCATCTGGAACAAGTTCCAGGCTTATTTCAGGAGGTGAGTGCTTCGCGCGCAGTCTTCGCTCAAAGACGGCTCACAGTCAAAGACTCATGTCACCAGTGCCTCACCACCTGACTCTGTCGGTGACGACGCCCACTCTGAGGACGATGCTGCTCAATCCGATTCGTCAGAGAGTCGAGAAACAGAAACGACCACGTATACTGTAACAGAGAGCACACCTCCAGCGGCATCAGAAATACAAACGGACGAGGTCGAACCCGAACCACTGCCCCCCGACGGTCCGTCTCTACCTTCGCCGCTGCCCTACCTCACGTATCCCGTAGTGGTAATGACCACAACACTACCTGCCACCGAAACTTCACTCCGCCCTTCCCTCACGGAGACCCTAGAGGCAATAGCGACAAGCACATCCGACCAACCATCCCCCGAACCGACCGCTGCGTCAGCAGCAGCACTCGCAAACCACACGAATTCACGCACCTTCACCATTCGTGTCCACCCCTGGTACAACGACGTCGTGCCCCCGGGGCCCGCGCCCGCGCCCACAATCGTCGGGCCTTCCGCCACGATCATCTCAAGCTCAGAGTCATATTCTTCATCCTCGGCGCCCTCATCTGGCTCACGTTGCGGGCCCTTTGGGCGTCGTTTCGCCGCGCGAGGCGGGCGTGGCGGCGCTTGCAGGAGCACACGCGGGCGTACGATGAACTGGTCGCGGAGAACGAGGCCCAGGTCGGCCCGGGCGCGGTCATGCAGCCCATGTTCAACCCGCATCGCAATCGCTGGTGACCAAAACAATACTGTCCATTTTGCTATCTTACGCAGCTCCATGAGATGGCGGGCCTGACCGGTTCAGGGCGCATTCATCCTCGGTAGTGGAACGTTGCAGAATGACCACTGCTGCAGCGACTTCATAGCATAGTAAGATATGGCATGTTATAGCGCATACATTCTGGGACCTTGGGAGTAGATGGTAGCGAGATCTCCATGGGGCTGAGACTAACACCACCCGTTTCGGGCCTTTCTGCGGGCGTTGTTACACGGTTGGCCGAGCAAAAAGTAGCAGTTCTGAGTACTTCTAGCAACTTTTAGCAACCGGGACCGATACTGACGATAGAGTACAATTCACTACTCACTGTTTTATGCTACCTGCCTTCGCGTGAGTGTACCATTGCTTCACGGTACTTACCTTTCGTACATGTACTTAGGCAGCGTTCAGTATCTTGAGCTCGCGACATTTGTAAACAGCGCAGCTGCCCTGCGTGATCAGGCCTGCGTTGGACTACACTGTTGAGTCGTGACCCTGGCCATCCGTGCGTCGGGATTTTATAACACTCGTTGATCAGCTCAGCTGGCACAGCAGTAGAATGATACAGTGTCATGGAGCATGCGAATATTCAGCGAAACAGCCATAGGCCAATAGCGGAGGAGTACATGATGCGTAAGCTGGTGCGTGGCGACGTCGATGACTTGCAAATACCCTCTCCCTCCCCACGAGCGCGGCCCAATGCAGGGCAGATGAGACGGAAGCTGGCTTAGATGTTGAGCTTCGTGCGCCTCCAGTGACGGCGCTTGGCGTTGTACTAATGCCAGGGTTTAACAGTTGCTGCGGGTGGAACGAGCACATTACGCACCTGGATTTTCGTGTCCGACTTCAAGCGGAACCACTGGGGATGGGCCTGCCAGAGTACGTTAGTTAAAGCAACCCTTGGGACGCACTGGCATACACACCGGTTCTGGCGGGCAGCCTTCGCGAGGATGCGCTTCGTGCGGAAAGTCTTTTGGGAAGGCTGCAAAGCACAGAGGGAGTCAGCCTACATCATCTGCGAGCAACTGGACGCAGTACGGACCATCGTTCTTGAGGTCGGGGCGGCGTAGACGGTGGGTAGAGAGGGATGAAAATTAAGGTTAGCGACGGATTGCCCTGTACAGTTCTGACTAAGCACCGCATAAGGGAGTCCATCAATTCGCTCCGGGAACTCTCTGATCGAATCGGGGAGAGTTCCCACGGATGCTATATTCGCGCCACCTGATGACGCCCAAGGACAGTGGCCACGTCTGCTACGAGTCTACCCAGAGCGCGACGCTGCTATTCACCAACACGGATTCAAGATGAGACTTGCTCTCTTCAGCTTGCTTTTTGCTGCGCTCTTCGGTTTGCTGGTTTCCGCAGAGGCGCCTGAACCTCCCAGCGACCTCGAGATCCAAACGACTCTTATGCCACCGGACTGCCCAGTGAAGGCAACTAATGGCGATATACTGAAGGTGCACTACGTAAGTTATGCAGTCATACCGAGTAACGGTCGAAGGCTCAGATTTCCCGCTTTAGACTGGAAAGCTACTCTCGAACGGTAACAAGTTCGACTCGAGGTAAGTTCGCGCGCTCTGCTTGAGTCGGGCCTCGTGAACGCAACGTGTCCACCAGCTATGACCGTAAGAAGCCGTTCTCCGTGACCTGTAAGTGTCAGATCAATCTCAGGAAGCATCACAACCTGACGGGCATCGCTCGCAGTGGGCAGAGGCCAGGTCATCAAGGGCTGGGAGCGCGGGCTCCAAGGAATGTGCGAAGGGGAGAGGCGCACGCTCATCATCCCCGCGCACCTCGCCTATGGTGAGTGAAGCGGAAGTCTTGTCTAGGCCTCCCCTCATACAATCTGTCTGTCAGGAAACCGCGCCATGGGCGCAGCGATTCCCGCCAACTCTGCACTCGAGTTCGATGTCGAGCTCATCGAGCTGGATGCTCGAGGCAAACGCGATGAGCTGTAGAATCGAATTCCCTCATAAGCGATTGCCCACGACCGTGTATGGATTGACTACTGCTAGTTGACGACTTCTTCTGACAAACTACATCGCGCACTGAGCAGGAACAGGTGAAATGCTATCTCTGCCGGTCAATTCTCTTGGCTGGAAGAAGTCAGTTCACTTGTAAGTCAGGACGTTCGTGTCACAGCCTGCTGTCGACGCAAGCGAGGTGGAGTGACGCTGCATAGAAGCACACCGTGAACACTCGAACTTCAGATACATTCAGTCAACATGTCAACGTTCAACACTTGACGTTACGATTTCAGATTCGACGGCAACATTGCCCGATCCCAACGCACACATCTCCCGATTGGCGATGAATGAATGACTCGTTGGATAGTAATGAAATACAAATCTAAGCCAAGTCTGTCGAGAGAAGCTAAGGAGTATGCGAGACGGTGTGAGACGGTGTAACTATCCACATAGGGCAGAAACTGCATTACAACACCGCGTCCAGCGTTGGGATGCAGCTCCTGTCCTTAGGCGAGACCGAATTACGTATGGTACAGTATGATAGAGGCGTTCGGGGCACAAGAGACAAAGTCCGGGAAGACCAAGGGAAACTAGGGAAGCCGTTTTGACAGTCGAGTGGGCCGAACGCGTTGCGACCGGGAAGGCATAGACCGATCGAAAGGCGAGAAGATGGGGGCCGAGGCGCGTCAATCGTGAAACGAGGCCACTGTTGTCGAGGGCAGTGAGCCGCAGCGCCGGAGATAGAATGTACAGGAAGGGTACAGCGTGGTATCGGTCGAGGTGAGAGTCGAGCGAAGGAGGCGAACCGGGATCCAGAGCGGAGGAAGCTGTGGCGATGCAGCGAAACGACGAAGAGCGCGGCGACATGGAGTTGATACAGACGAAGGCGTGAGCGGCTGGTAACAACCGTGCTTGAGGCAGATGGGATCGCAGCAACAGCAAGACGACTTCGAAGTGGAAACGATTCTGCACGGTAATAAAGCAGCCTGACAGGGGAGGCGAAACGATGCAAAACGGAGATGACAGCATGTGCGACTCGAGCTGCGATGGGCGACTTGCGGGGGAGGGCGAAGAACAAAGCCGACTGAGACCAGAATGACGAAAACTAGGCCAGAACGAGACAGCCACTAGGAGACTGTGGGCAAGTATGAGAGGAGAATGCGGGAGAGGCACGACCGAGGTGAGGCAGAATGCAGGACTGGGGCGTATTCCGGAAGAGGCAGGCAGAGGCAGGGACGCGGGCTTGAGTCGAGGCAGATGAGCAGTCGCGGCTAAGGATCCAGAGGCGAGAAGTATGGATAAGGCAGACCGAGACACAGGCTGGATGATCAGGCTGGGAACGTAAATTCTTGGGAACGACAGGCAGAGTGCAAAGTCCTTGAGGCGGTGAAGTCGAGGCAATGACCGGCGAATGAATTCCGGGGGGAGGCAGGAGCGATATACTGGCGCAGAGATGGAGGACTCGGACTTGAGGGGCTCCGATCGCGATGCCTCCGTTGCAAGGCTGGTGTGAGGAACGGCGAAGTCGGACAAGACGAGACCCAGATTGGAGACAGAGAGAGTTGGGTGAACAGATGACCCAAAGAGGTAAACCAAGGTGGTGACCAGATGATGACAGACCGGAGAAGGGAACAGACGATGAAACGAAGCCAGAGACAGAACGAACCGAGGTAGAGAAGCCACAAACCGAGTACCGGGGAGAGAAGACCAAGACGAACCCGAGACGTGGATAGGGTGTAGCGCGTGAGACTTGGGAAAGCCGGATCTCTGCGTCATCTCTGTCGGCCGTGCACAAGCCAACACTAGTGAGACGACACAGAGAACGGGTGGTGCCACTGGGGTTGACCTGCCAGGAGTCACCAGACGGCCGCGCGACCGGGTATTGTCGAATGCGATGTCGACCGATGTCGACGAACCAGACCAAAACCAAAGGAGATGAGTTCTCCATAAAGGCAACGCAGGCATCCGTCTCCAGGACGAGCCTAGCAAACACATCATCAATGATGAGAAGACAGAAATTGAAGTGAGCACGTACAAGCGAAGACCTATGAACCACATCATCCCGTATTTTGCAAACGACGATACCCGGGTTGGCGACGAGAGAAGAACAGAGCCGAAGGATAGTATGTGTCTTTGAGAGTCCACCACGCCTGCAGAAGCAGCCCAGGGATAGGTGCTAGCCACTCCAGCATATCGATGATTGTCCAGAGCAATGCATTTGCCCGCCAAGCCAGGATGATGCCCGAGGTCCAGTAGCCAAGACGCGGCAAGTCGCCTTTCTTCATGCAACGCTTCTCGAACGTCAGGATGGACAGCTCGTGATGTCGCACGAATTGAACATCGTCAGGCGCGGCAGCAAAAGGGACCTGCTCGCTCCAGAAGGTGTTGTTAGGGGCCCAGGCGATTCTGGTGAGATAGACATCATAAGAGACGTAGTCGGGCTTCGTTTCCGCGGCCTCGGGCGTTTGGATAGTGGGAGCCTCGGGAATCGACCAGTCGAGCTCGGGTACGTCCACATCCACGAGAGCCGGAGGGGTGCCGATGTCATACTGCGAAGTGTCCCCGATAGACGGGGGACTAGTGGGAAGCAAGTAGTGCAGTTAGATGAATGATAAAGTGCATTGAGCATCGACGTGAAAACTTACCATATGCGTCAGGCTCTGCCGTGCCCCCAGCCGACGGAACAATCAGCCAGTCGACCTTTGGGAAGGGAGGAGCGAGGTCTCCCGGGCGCGTCTGCCACCTATCGGGATCCATCGACGGAGACTCCAGAAGATGGCTGAGCGTGTCCAGAGGTAAGTCGTCTGATGCACCAAGGCTGTAGCCACGCGTCTATCAGAATCCTTTCTTTCAAGGCAAGTCGCAATAAGACCACGTACGTGAGAACATAGGCGAGACCGAGCACTAGAAATCCAGAGCCAATCGTGCGCCTGTTGACGTGCTGGGAGTACCGCGATGCAGAAGCGCTTGAGGTGAGGATGAAGATACTCTTGAGGGCGGCGATGCCCTTCAAGAGATAGGGCGTGAGGAGCATAGCTGGGGAAGCTGATGGTTTAAGACGGTGAAAGTGCGCGAGTAGTGCGAGGCGAGCGGGGACGGTAGGTGAATGCAGGGAGATGGGCACGGGCTACTTATAGGCCTCGACGCGTCGTGCACGTGAGGGACGAGTTGTTGAATGCGATTCAACAAACCCGCACGTGCGACGCGCGTCGGGGGCGCATCGCGTCGGGCGATCCGCCACAAGTAGTTCCCCGCGTCCTGATTGGCTGGTCACCAAGTTCACGGTGGCGTACGCGCATCGCCGCCGTTTCCGAGGGTGACGACCTGAGTTTGTGCGCGTCGACCATGCAAGCCGCGTGAGGTCTACAACATGACAAAGTAAAACCACAGATACTAATGTGAAATTGGGAGCGGCGGGCACACACCGTTGAACCCCAGGAAGTAGGTAACGTCGCGCATGGCACGGCTCTTCACATTATGACAGACCAACATGACAGCGGGACAAACAAACATGGCGCACCTTGGTTCGTCTTGCTCTCGCACACCTTTCCCCTCCTCCATCTTCTCCCGCTCATCCACGGCGCCGGTCGGGCCTGGTGCCCGCGCTTCCCACTGGCATCTACCCCGTTCCCAGCATCCACGATGGCACTTTTTGAAGCATATGCCGCCGCCCGCGACGCAACACGGCAGCTCTACTTGTATATCATAGAAATTGGCCGTCGCCAATTCGGGAAGGTCATACGCAGGACACAACATTTGACGATCAGTGCCTTCGAGGTCGTGCAATACGGCTGGAATACTCGGTTAGTGGTGCATACTGCATCGACAGTACTCGCTTGTCTAACACGAAACTCACAGCGAACCTAAGTTATCCTTGCCGCAACATGCCAGTGCAGATGACGTTGCTCCTCGGCCGGCCATCGCCGCTACAGCACCTCCGTTGTCAGCGGGCATTCATGCCAACTTGACCCACTCCGAGGACGATGAAGCCTTGCCACAACACACGTGTGTAAGCGACGTTCAACCTCCTTGGTCGGCCATCGCCACTGCAGTACCTTTACCTCTCTTGCCAGTACCTCTCCCTCTCTTGCCAGGACCTCCACCTCTCTTGCCAACCGTGACGAACATTACCAGCTCGGCGCACAATGCAGCCTTGCCGCCACCCATATCACCTGCAACGCTATCTGGCGTATCAGAAGATACTGCGCGGCCCTCACAACCGCTCACCGGGACGACGCTGGAGCCTCCACGCCATACGCAAGCACAATGCCCCGCGGCGAGCGATTCCCCTGGGTCTGGGGGTCACCCCGGCACCCCGACGCTAGTGATATTGCTTGGTGCTGTGTTCCTTGCCGTCTGCGCCATCCACGTTGTCGCCCAGAAATGTGGAAGGGGCCGACGCCCGCACACCAAACAGAGGAATCTGCCCAGATCGCAGCACCCGTCCCAAGATCTAGACGTTGCGCAAGCAAGGCCGATGAGGCGCAGCAATCCACGACTCTGGGCCCCAATAAACGCGCTTCAAGACATCTACGACGGGTTGCACGACTGCACCTCCGAGACACCGTGTTTCGCGCCAGGCGACCCCACGGTCACATATGACTTCGGGACCGGGAGATTTCCGCTCAGACTGGGGATTCGTGTCGCGCCCAAGCGTTCGACCCCCATCGTCGTGGACCCTTCGGTGCCTCCGCTGCTGGACGACGTCATCCAGGATGCGATGGATCTTCAGGCGGAGATGGATGCTGCGTGGGACGAGGTACTCCGTCGTGACCGTGCGGCGTGCTAGGTGGAACGGCCGTCGCAGTCAGTTGTGATGGTTGGTCTTCTTAGCCCCTGCAGGTACTTAACCGCGTCGTGCTTGGACTCGGACACCATTCCTATACAGAATTAGTCCAACGTTATTGTTATGTAGCTCTGTAACGACCAGTCTCACTCGGACATTGGATTTGTGTTTCAATAGCTGACCCATGGTGTCCTGTCTTGTTTTGTAGCAATGCATTTCCCGCCCCGTACCTTTGATACAATGAGTCTGTCAACGACCAACAGCACAAAGACGTAAGTTATAATAACCGACACTGCCTCTGAACGATGTAAAACGCACTGTCTTACGGATGGCAGATAGTCATTGTGCCTATGTGCTCATGACAGAGACATCCGTCCAAAGACAGCTCTCGGCGAGGGCAGCCAACTGCAGCCAACCTTGATGTATTGGCCTGTTCTTGCGTGCTCCAATCTGACCTCGATTTGTCCAGCCCTTAGCACATAATCAATATCACATATGATAGCTACTCAAGACAATTCACACCGGTGCACTCCGATTCCCCAGAACGTAGAATGCATGCCCTCACTTTGCGGGCCCACCCTGAGACTTGAGCTTCTCGTCCACGAGCTGCTGGAACTCCTCCCGCAGGATCGCCTCGCGCCGCTCGCGCTCCTCCTGCTGCAGCTTCAGGATCCCGCGCTTCTCCTCCGCGCTGATGACCTGGTTCTCCTTCCGCATCCGCACCGCGTTCATGCGCCGGTGGCGGCTCCCGCTCATCACGTACCCCACGTTCTCGTACGCCGCGATCTCGTCCGACGCCAGCCCGATCTCGCCACGCCGCGGGATGCGCACGTCCGTGCCGTCCTTCAAGAACGCGGCCATCGCGCTCCCCTCGCCGCGCAGCAGCGCGCCGCCGTACTGCCGCTCGTCCACCTTGTTGCGCGAGTTGCCTGCCTTCTGTAGAGGCTGCGGCCCGAGCTCGTCGTCGTCCATCTCGTCGTCCTCGTCGTCGATATCTATTTCCGCAGGCTGTTTCGATGTACTGCGTGCTGGGGGCGGCGGCATGGAAGGGGATGCCTTGGGCGGACTGGCGCTGCCTTGCGCAGGCGCCAGCCGAGCAGTGGAAGCAGACTTCTCGACCCACTCGTCGTCGTCCGCATCCGTTGTAGGCGGGCGCTGCTCAGGGCTCCTCGTCCGGGTCGTGCTCCGGAGGCGGTCCTTCTTCCGCCGGCGTTCCCTCTCGTCCTCGGAATCGTCCCCGTTGCTGTGCCGCCGGGACCGTGAGCGGTGACGCCGGTGTTCCCGAGGGCGCTCACGCTCGCGGTCCTTCTTCTCCTTCCGCGACTTCTTGCGCTCCTTCCGCCTACGACGGCGTTCCTCCTCGGAATCCGTGTCCGTGTCCGTGTCGGAGTCGTGGCGTCGCTTGTGCGATTTCTTGCGGCGTTTCGAGTCGCGTTCCTCGGAGCTGTCGCGAAAGATAATGAATGAGCAACAAGTAGTACACCACTATCGTTCGCCACATACAGGTCACGAGTGGGTGCTTTCGGCGAGGGCGGCCAGATGGCGAACGTGCTGGTCTCGCGTTGCTGTCGCCGACTGCAGAAGAGGTCAGTCAGCACCCGACCTAACGAGACACACAGCACTCTCAGCGCACCTCTCCATGAAATCCGCACCTCCGCCCGCAAACCTCCCCGCATCCCGTGCCCTGGGATACATGTTCTCCTGCTGCCGCCACGGCGCAGGCGCCACGCCCTCCCGCGGCGGCGACGGCCGCCTGTACTCGTCATACTCCGGGCTCTGCCTCCTCGGCCTGTCCCGCTCCCGCTCCTTCTCCTTTTCCTTCTCCCTGTCCCTCCGTTCCTCCCTCTCGCGATCCCTCTCCTTGTCAACGCTCCGCGACCGAGTCCGCTTGGGCGGGCCCTCCCCGCTGCTGCTCGCCTCGTCGAAGTAGTCGTCCGCCCGGGCGCGGCCGCGCTCTGCCCGCTTGCTCGCCTCGCGGTGCCTGTCGCGCTCGTCGTCCCGATCCCTGTGCGGGGGAGCGTCTCGTCTGGCGTAGCGGTCGTGGTCCCTAGGCCTGTCTCTGGGTGGCGCGGGTGACCGTTGGCGGTCGCGCGTTTGTGCGTAGACGTCCTTTGGCGGGTCCTGGGGCACGAGGGCCATCCGCGACGGGTGTACAGTGGCCATCGCAGTCTGACGAGCACTGTTGTGGGTGTGTGAAGCAGTGGTGAAGACGTCTACGAGTTGCTCGTTGTCCGTAGGATGGAAGCGACAAAGAGGATGGAACGAAGCAGCCACAGGTCAGAGAGCGCCCATGCAGTGGTAGAAAGCGTGGGAACTTCTGGTGTATCGTTTTGAGCCAATCTAGGACCTCTCGCGCGAGCTCCCAATTGCACGCCCAGCTCGCCAATGTTGTCACCACTTCTACATACATGCATACGTACGCGTGCGATTGTCTGACAGAAGATTGGAATTTTGCTGTTGCGTCACATCGCACTCCTGGCTCGTCTCGAGCTTACGTACCCTGACGACGACTGACCCCGCAAAGCGGCTCGTTTAGCATCAGACCGTACCATGAATCTGGCCGCAGACTCCATCGCCGCCCTCATGACACCACCCGAGTCCTCATGGCACCTACTTAGACTGTTAGACTACCTGACAGACCCACGAAGCACCGCTCAGAAGAGAATACCAGATTCGTATCGACCTATACAATCACAACCACGGTGCTTCTCGCGATCGAGCATACCTCTGCAAGATTCTTGCGAACACCGAGAACGCTGTGTCAATTCGATTCTGCGATACATCATCGGGTATAGCGGTTCTATCTACACTCAGGGTCTCTTAAAGCTACAATAAATTCGTATCCGTAACGTGGTTTGGTTATGGCGATATGGAGAGGTCCGGCAGCTATATATGTTGCCCGATAAATAAGGCACAAAACAGGCGTATCTGTTGGCGATGTTCAGATACCTACTAAAAAGGTACACATGTCACAGTCGACAACTATCCACAGCGCGAGATCACAGATCATATACGCAGACGGACAAGACCGGGGAGCATCCGTCAGAAGATGACGTAGGTGGAGACGCCTCAGACCTTGACGACGGAGACCTCGCAGCCCTGCGTCAGCGCGCGGCTGTACGCACAGAACTGCCACCCGGAGTCAGCGTGGACGGAAGATGAGGGGACAGATCAGACTCACATCGTGCGCGGCAGCGATGATGTCATCGTCGTCGATACCCTCGACACCGACCTCGACGCGCAGGCCGAAGCCCTCGAGGTCTGGGTTTTCGGGGTGCCCGAGGAACACCTTCGTGTGCACCTTCGCCGTCTCGCTCAGCTCCTTCTTGCCCGCTCTCGCAGCCATGAGCTGCAGCGACCCCAGGAAGCACGCTGTATCGCGATCAGCATACGGCAGGACACGACGCAGCGAGCAACACTTACTGGCGTAGCCCATGCCGAAGAGCTGCTCGGGGTTCGGGCCTTCGCCCTTCCCGCCGATGACCTTGGGCATGTCCATCCTGAGCTCGAGGGGCGAGTCGCCGCTCGACCGCACTACACCGCCTTTCCGTCCAGAGCCCTCCGCGGTGGATTTGGCGAAGTACTGCGGACATGCGGGCGTCAGCGCGACTCGGAGTCATGGGTAGGACGTGAAGCTTACGACGTGGTCCTTCAGAGTGAGGATGCCTCGCGCGTGTGATGACTCAGACAAGGCTTGCTTGTCAACGCGCGGTGCGAGACGTATGCCCTCGCCTGCGAAATGGCGGGGTGTATAGCGGGTTGAGAGAGGACGAAGGATGGCAGTGGTCGGACGCATGGTGGCGAGGTATGGAGGGGTGGGTTGGATGGGTGTGCAAGGACAGGAAGTTAAGTAGTTGGATTAGCGTGAGATTAGAATGCCGGCGTCTATGTGCGACGACGAGATAGTGTACGCGGGTCGTGAGAGGTCGTAACAAGTGTGAGTGCGTTGGGAGTGCACAGCTTGGGCGAGAGGGTGATTGCTTGGAGAACTGATGGGGAGCACGTCCGGGCTGGTGCCTTATATCTGAGGGACCTGAGGAGCGCGCGCGTGAGGAAAACAAATTGCGCGTCTACTGGCGCAGGGCGCAGCCTGAGCCATGCACCGACAGTTCACGCAGAGTTGACGAGCGCAATGACTTTGCGGGTGACGCGCGCATTGGAGCGCGCTGCACGGGCCAATGAGCGACGCAGGCCAATGAGCGACGCAAGCGGCCCGACGACCGCCACAGTCACGCTTCTGTGACCGTTGCGATCCCCGATGCGGCAAGAAGACGTGCGTGCGCGCCACAACGCAAGCGGAACGAGGCTGGGCAGTGGCTGGCTGTGGCTGGGCGCACCACCGCTGCTCCGCGCCATGAGGGGCGTGGAGCCGCACGCACCGACAAGCCGACCACGCAGCCCGCCAGGAGCAAGGTGTATTACATCCGTATCCAAATCGCATTCGCCCAGTAGTAATGGAAATGGACTAGGTTCGATGTCACTAGCAGCTTGTCGCTGCGGACTCTACGCCGCGGACACATTCACGACAACGCCCTTGCTCAACGCGCGACTGTACGGGCACGCCTGCGGAAATGGGTCAACCATGCGCCACCCCCAACGGATTGCCATGAGCGCATACGCACCTCATGCCCAGCCCTGACGAGCTCCTCATCCGCGCCCTCTACCTGGATGTCCACCTCGAGCCCGAATCCCTCCATCTCCTTCGGCTCCCCAACGTGCACCTGCGCGTGCACCACCGCCTTCTTCGCCATCTCTGCCTTGCCGAGCTTCCCGGCCACGAGCTGCATCGCGCTCAGGAAGCAGGCTGCAGAGAGAAATTGAGTGATGCGAGCCTAGATTGACTACAGAGCGGCCTCGCACCTGCATATCCCATGGCGAAGAGCATCTCCGGGTTCTGCCCGTCCCCCTTGCCTCCGAGCGATTTGGGCATTGCGAGGCGCAGACTGAGCCCATGGTCGTCATCGGACTTCACCTGTCCGTTCCTGCCTTGGCCCCGCGCCGTGGCATGGGCGGTGTACTGACAGTATTCAAATTGATTGAGCCACCATACGGTCGTTGAATTACACCTCGAGCTACCTTGTGATCCTTGAGCGTTATGAGCGTCCGCGTGGGGTAGCGGAGGGCATGCGCCCGTGCTCCATGTGCAAGGACAGGTCGCGTACTTGCAAGTCTGAGAGGGCTGAGCATCGTCAACTGCGTTGAGAGAGGAGGCAAAGGAAGAGGAGATGCACGACTCGCATGGAATCGGTTGTGTTTTTATATGCGGTCTACGTTGAAGAGGATGGCTCATGACGCTGCAGTTGACACTGAACGAGCCAGGAGCGCCCTCGCGATCGACTACGTCCCGATTTAGAGGACCCGCGTCGTCGTCGCAGTGGCGGACCACACACTGACTCTGTACCTTGCGTACACTGCACGGTTGTGTACCACAGTACAACGAACCGAGTGGGCATGTATCTCTACGAGGCGCGCAATCAGGGACGGGTAAACAGACTGAGGACAGCATGCTTACCTCTCAGGTCGACCACGACATACACGATGCGAGACCTGATCATAGGCCAGAGCTTGCGACCCGCGCACCAAAACACAGCAGAGAAACATTCAAACGCACAAGAAAGTATAATACACTTTATACACAACAGCAGCACACACCGGACATACCCACACCTCGCCTCACACTCAGAACCCACTCGCCGTCACGCGGAGCTGCTCCAGCTTCTTCAGCACCTCGCCCACCGTCCTGTCCAGCTCGCCCGCAATCGCGCTCTGCTTGCTCGCCGGCAGCCTTGCAAACGTCTCGCACAGGTCCCCGTCCACGACCGCCTTCACGGGCACGTAGTACCCGCGCCACGACAGGTGGTCCCGCCCGACGAGGCTCAGCTGCTCCGTGCGCATGTGCTGCTCGAGCGTCGAGATGAAGTCCACGTCCTCCTTCGACACGAACGGCACCAGGATCCCGATCGTCCCGTGCAGCCCCGTGTACAGCAGCACCTCCCGCCCGCCCGCGACGAGCGACACCTTGTTGATCGCCGTCACGATGTCCCCCACGTGGAAGTGCGCGAGCATCTTCGTCTTGTGCGGCGCCCCCGCGAGGATGCCCTTCTCGTGCAGGATCCCCGCCCCCGTGGGGTCGTCGTCGACCTGGTCGGAGATCTTGGCGTCTAGCCGGTTCACAAAGACGTTCCCGAAGCGATCGCCGGCGACGACCGTGTTGTAATCCACCATGGCCATCGACGTGACCCACCGAGGCTGCGTGTCGTCGGCGAACACGAGCAACCGGTTCTCTGGTGGCTTGTACACGGCAAAGAATACAGATTCTTGCATGTCTCCGACGAGAATGCGCGAGCCCTGCGTGCTCAATGACACAATCGCGGAAGCGAAGCTCTGAATGAAGGAGTTAGAAAGAGCATGCATCGTCCGGTAGCATGAAACTCACTTTGTTCTCCACCTTCCGGAGGAGCTTTTTCTTGCCCATGTCGTACAATCGAAGCGCCTTGCCGACGCCAGCGACGAGTCGGCCTTGGAAAGCCATTACAGCAAGAGGGACGTCATTGGTATCAGTCTGTGAGAACGCGTCAGTTCCCCACCGAAGCCCCAAAACTACCGAGGGGAATACCTTATGCAGCAGCTCCAGATTTGTGCCATCCTCGGTGAACCGATATGTTCTGATCCACCCAGTCGTGCACGATCGCGGTGCGATAAAAGTATCCTGTGCAGTCCCAACCACGAGATGGAGTTCGCTTCCTTTTGCGGAGAAGGGCACGACGGCGATTGAGAACGCGCATTCGTTCTCGTCGAGCGGAATCACGTTGACGGTCTTGGCCTGCGGAGGGATCAGTATATATGCGCAATTGGTTCCGGTACGGGACTTACGTCGACGGGGTTGATGATGCGAATACACGATGCCCATGTCCCCGCAGGTGCCTTCGGGCGACCGAACAACTCTGGCGGCAAGTCGGCCATTTCCTCATCAACCGGGATCCCTTTCTCTCGCTGGCCCGCTCGTTAGCTCAAGATCAAACCATGGCATAGGGGAGCCCACCATCTCCTGCATGACCTTGGCCGCAGCGGCATCGCCCCTCACTCTGTGGTCACCCTCGATGAGGTAGAAAAGTCCATTTGTCGGATGCGGAATGAACTTGCGCGGAGTGTACGAGAGCGGGATGGCATCTTGCTTCAACTTTGTGCCAAGCTTGGGGACCTGGAAGATCCTGGGAGAAAGCTCGGGATTAGCCCAGTTCGTGAACTTAGCACGAAGAACGAAAAGAAAGAATAGGCTCAGTAGGAACAATTGGTAATGATCTTTATAAGCTTCGGCATGCACCGGGAGGCGCTTTACGATCCCTTGGTCTCATCTCTGCGATCGAAGTCTCAAGAACGGACCACTCACCGAAGCACGCTCCCCGAAATGCCAATAAGACCCTCCGGGCACAGCTCCGCCGAGAAGCTCCACGCATAGTCGAGGTTCTCGAAGATCAACGGGGTGAAGTGCATGAGATTCTGGTAGGTGTAGTTCAGCCACGATCGCGATGACAGTGCGAGGATGCCGGGGTTGCGCTGGATGAGTACGCGAATGAGGCGGATCGGGCGCGTGCCGAGGAACCGTGTGCGCGTGTCCGTGAGCTGTCCGTTGACCGGGTCGAGCACGGTCCGCAGCAGCACGCCGTTCTGCAGGCCAATGTTGACGAAGGTCGTGGGCTGCATTTTGTTGATACCAGCGTCGAGCATGTCGGCGATGCAGATGGCGGAGGGAGGTGCAGTCAAGGCTTGAAGACTAATCGTCTCCAGCGTGCTCTCCGGGTCTAGCGAGATGATGCGCACGGTCTGGTCCTCACAACCAACAGCCTGAAAGCGTATGGGTGTCAGTGCATCGAGCATTCTGCGAGAACGCTCCACATACCAAGTATGGCGTTCGTTGCCGCCCTTCCGGCACTTCCGCAATACTGAGCGCAAGCACAGTGCTACCCATCGCCTTCCGGTCCTGGTACTCGTTCAACTGCCCGTCCAGATCCAATTCGAAGTACACCAGCTCCGCCGAGCTAAGCGCCACAACAACTTGGCGCTTGTTCGTGGTCGCAGCAACGATGGTCTTGCCAGACGGCACACGCCACTCGTTCACGCGCTTGTCGCTGAGGACATGTCGGATACCATGAGGGTGGACTTGCAAGAGGGCGTCGTATCCGATCTGCTGCACAGCAAGTGTAGGCGCTGAGGAGAGGAAGCCGGTGTCTTGTACTTCTTCAATGGTCTCTCCGATGCAAAGCACGAGAGTACCATTGACGAATGAGAGGATGATGTAGGAGTCAAAAGGGTCTGTATGAGTCGTCAGGAACACGCATTGAAACAAACAGTAGAATCTGATGCCTACCGTCCTCTTTTATCTTGGTCGTCCATACCGCATTCGGGATACCCGGCAAGTCCGAGCTGACCACTTCCTCCACCTCGAGACCATGCCTCAGCACACGGAACGTGCTCCGCGCTCCCCGACCACACGCAGCAAATATTTGGGGCGTATCCGAGTTCGGCAACAGATTCATGACCTTCGAGTCAAGGATAGGGCAGAGGGACTCCATCTCATCAACCATGGTAAGGTTGTCTAGAGTCCGAGGTCGGAAGTACGCGGAGGGAAGAGCGGACGAGGGGTTCGCCATGCCGAAGGAGGGGTAGGAGGCAGAAGAAAACTCGGGCTCGTTGTCATCGTCACCCAACTTTTGGAACTGATAAAGGTAGCTGCAGACATAACCGGTCGAGTCAGCCTCGCAACGGCGCGGATCGCTCGATACTACTCAACTGGTTGCCGAACTCGGACGCGACGAACAGGAAACCGGACTTCAAGATGCACAAACTCGAAGCCACTGGGAGAGTGTCGAAGTACTTGATCTTCAAGGCCTTGACGTCCTGATCTTCATGGTCGATTGTGACTTTGTAGAGGTCGCCCTCTTCACTCTGCAACAGGAAAAAGAATGCGCCCTATAACAGAGTGAGTCGTCGCAAAAACATCGAGGACCTTGTGCTTGCACCTTCATTTTGTGCATGACGGCGGCGGTGATTATCAATCCCCGGTTAGGATCTGAAAGAGGATGTTGTCGTCGCGGTATGGGCACACGATGCTGGGGCGCATCCATATGTCGGTAAATAATATGGTCTTCGCAGCACACCAACACACCAGAGGGCCCATCATAGCGGTCTGACGAGGCCAATTGGCCGCCAGGAACCTGAACGAGCAGGTTCGCTCTCGGGTCCGTTGGCTCGCTCCATTTCCGCACAACGTGATTAAGACCGAGGTCGAGCTCGTAGTAGGTCAATAACTGTCAAGACTCCGGCTGAGTGTATATTCTTCTGGATATCGCAGGCCACTGACCTTCTCTGCGTTGTTGAAGGCCTCCCCCGTTGGGTCTTGGTCGGAATCGGAGTAGTCAACTTCCAATGCGGCGAACATAGGATTATCGAAGCCAACATCCAACCCAATGATATGGTGGATGATGGAATTGTTCTTGTGAGCCTCAAGCGGCGAGGAGATGGTCAGATTTGCAGCGGCGTCGCGGTTCAGGATGTACACAAGTTTTGCCTTTTCAACCGCAGAGATCATTACACTTCGTCCTTTGGGATCGGTAGCCAAATACTGGCCAGGAACGATTCTCCGTGCTCCCGACTTGCCGAAGGTTTCCTGGTGGACCTTAGCGAAGCTGCTTGTCTTCGGGTCATAGTCCAGAATCAAGATGCGGCCAGAGTCGGAGCCTAGGATGATGTAGTCTGAGAGAAAGCTGTGAATAACAGAAAGCTCCGAGATATACGTACAAGTCCTCACCCTTCGTGCCGCCTGTCAAACGAAAAGCGGCGAGCGAGCGGATGGACCCGAATACATCGCTCGCTATCACGGTTGAGACCTTTCCGCTTTGTACGTCCGGCCGCAAGAGCTCCAGGCGCGTGCCACGAGAGACGACGATCTCTTGATATCTCGAACCCGAGAAGTTGCCCGCGACAGCATGAGTTATGGCCGTAGGAGGTTGGAGAGTCAAATTGTACAAATGCATGGCGAGGGTGTGTCAGGAACGAGTGCGGGTAAAAGGGCGCGGAGGCCAGCAGGTTTACAGCTGCTGGAGAGGCTGTCGCACGCGAGCGGGAATTGACCGGTGCGGGTCGACGTGAGGGGTCGTGTAGCTCGTCGTCGTCGACGTCTGCGCGCGAAGGCTTGCCTTTGCTTGTCCAAGATCAAGCGCTCGTTGCGTATGCGCGTCTAGGCCGGTCATGGTCACGTGGATGTGCGCGACGCGTCGCGGCAGGCGACCAAAGCGCGTCTCAACAGTATCCGCCACCATCGTCCCACAACCTCGAGCATACTGCTCTTTTTCGTTCATACTCTCTTGGGGGTGCGTAGAGCTGCACTGCTCCAGTTGCTATCTATACGGCACCATTCTGCGCTCCACCACCCCCAACGGCAAGTATGAGACCTACGCGAGTCCTTTGCGTGGCAGAGAAACCCTCCATTGCAAAATCAATCACACAAATCCTCTCTGGCGGACGTTTCAATACTGTACGGGCTTTGCTGATTCTGATATTCAACAACTGACTGCTGCCTCTCAGCGACAAAGCGGGAACACATATATCAGGAATTATGACTTCGACTACCCTCAGGCCAACGCCACTTTCACGGTGACTGCTGTAGCAGGACATATGTTGGAGCACGACTTCAGCTTTCAGTACTCCAAATGGACATCTTGTGACCCGTTTGAACTCTTCGAGGCACCCATCATCGCGGAGGTCAGGAAAGATGCCGCGACGATCGCCCGCAACCTCAAGAATGAAGCTAGAAACGCCCACAAGCTCATGATCTGGACAGACTGTGACAGAGAAGGAGAGCACATCGGGTCGGAAATAGTTCGAGAGTGCAGAAAGGTGAAACCTAACATCATCGTGACGCGAGCTCGCTTCAGCGCCATCATACCTCAGTGAGTCTGCCACTACTCTGCAGTCTTTGAACCCACTCAGCATGCCTCGCCATCAGACAAATACACAACGCAGCACAGAACCCGGTTGCGCTCGACCTGGCCATGGTGGATGCTGTAGAGGCACGAATTCTGCTTGACCTGAGGATTGGCGCGGCCATGTCCCGCTTACAAACTCTAAACCTGCAACGACGGTTCCAAGATCATGACATCTCTGAAGAGGTGATTTCGTATGGTGCGTGAAGTTATGACCGCACACATCATTTTGTACAACGGCTGCGCAGGACCATGCCAGTTCCCGACTCTAGGATTTGTAGTGTCTCGGTACAATCAAGTGAAGGCTTTCAGGCCCGAAACATTCTGGTACATCTTCATGTCCATCACACGTCCATCCGCGGAGGGCGAAGACGAAGAGACAGTGTTCACATGGCGCAGAGGACACCTGTTCGATTTTGACGTCGCTATGACGATTTACGAGTATGTCCTTGAGTCGCCAATGGCACGCGTGATCGAGGTGAAGAGCAAGGACACCAAGAAATGGTCAGTCGGATTCCTCATTCGTCATGAACAAAGCTAATTGCATACTCAGGAAGCCTTTGCCCTTGACCACCGTGGACTTGCAGAAGGCTGGATCTCGGTTACTGCGTATGAGTCCGAAGAAAGTGCTCGACGTAAGCCTTCAACAGCAAGGTATGTATTAGTGCTGATCACTCCTTTAGATTGCAGAGAAACTGTACCAGCAGGGGTTTCTGTCGTATCCGCGTACCGAAACAGACCGCTTCGACCCGCAGTTTGACTTCATGACCCTCATCGAGAAGCAGACCGTGGACCCAGCATGGGGCGACTTTGCCGCTAGGCAAGAACATTGTATGTGATATTTGTTCCTGGTTATGCTCACGGCTCGTAGACTCCAGAACGGTGGCTTCAATCGACCAAGACAGGGCAGAAAAGACGACAAGGCGCACCCGCCGATCCATCCTACGGCTCACGCTGGGAACCTGGTCGGCGATGAGAAGAAGGTGTACGAATACATCACGCGGCGCTTTCTTGCGTGTTGCTCGAAAGACGCGCTGGGTTGGGAGACTACGGTCGACGTACTCTACGGAGACGAAGAGTTCTACGCCACTGGTACGGAACGGGACATGCAATCATGAAACGTGTAATGAATACTTCTGCCTTCTAGGGTTGAGAGTACGGGAACGGAACTACCTCGACGTCTTCATCTACGACAAGTGGTCCGACAAGGAACTGCCGCACTTCGAGAGAGACGAAGAGTTCGCGCCAACGGTCTGTCTACTGAAGGAGGGACAGACAACCAAACCACACCTGCTCACTGAAGCAGACCTCGTCACATTGATGGACAAAAATGGCATTGGTGAGTTCGCCGATGATCCCTACGAAAGTTATAAGCTGACAATCCGGGTCTCGTAGGCACTGATGCAACCATTGCGCAGCATATTGAGACAATCGTCAAGCGCAAATACGTCCACGAGAAGATCAGGGAGCAATCAAGTATCTCATCCCTTCTGCGCTGGGCATCGGGTTGGTCGAGGGCTATGACTCGATTGGGTTCGAACGTAGTCTTAGCAGACCACAACTCCGTCGCGAGGTCGGTGCGATGAAGTGATTGCTATGACGTGTCTCATGCATTTCTTACAGACCGAACGTCGCATGGTCGACATCTGCGAAGGAGCTATGACAAAGAACGACATGCTGGTCCAAAGTATCGAACAGTACAAGGAGATGTACATTCGGACGCGGGCTGAGTTCGAGAGGCTCGTTACAGTTCGTAGCCTTTCCTTCCTCGCTGCGCTCCTTCATTCATATGCTTATATGCGTTCTGACAGTGTGTGCGTGACCGTCTGCGAGAAGGTGTCAATCTGACGACGTCGGTGGACCAGATGACGACAATGGCGGTGGTAACGGCGGCGGCGGTAGAGGTGGACGTGGAGGCCGGGGAGCGAGAGGCGGGCGCGGTGGCCGGGGCGGCGGCGGAAGAGGTGGTAGAGGAGGTGGTGCGAACCCCGGTGGTAACAGCAGCGGCGATGACGGCGACGGTGGTGGTGCTGCTCGCGGTGCCGCGAGAGGAAGAGGATCCAGAGGTGGTAGACGAGCAGCGTCTGCTGTTGCAAGAGCACCTTCCTTTCGAAGGGGACGAGGAGGCCGGGGCGGTGGGGCCGCCGCCGCTCCTGCTCCTGCTCCCGCGGCAAATGTGGATGGCTCGGACTCCGACCAGTGTGAGTCTGCTTTCTTTTCGGCGACAGTCTGTATTGACCGGATGTCCAGACTGGGATGATGATCCCCCTGCTGAGCCACAACCCGTACAGCCTCCCCCAGCTCCAGCGCCAGCGCCGCGACCACCGCCGTCACGCGCCAGCCGCAGTACCACGTCCAAAGCACCGGATACGTCTTCCCTCGCTGCACCCACGTGCGAATGCGGAGACGTCACGGTAGAACGAACCGTGAAGGCCGACACCGCAAACAAAGGCCGCCTGTTTTGGGCATGTCCGAACAACCGCAGATGCGACTTCTTCGAATGGGCTGACGGGCCTTCCAACTCGAATGCAACTGGATCGCGTTCCACGGGTATGGCAAAGCCTTCCTCGATCCCCGCTAAGCGGTCCATCGGTAACAACAGCGGCGATCACAAGCGGTGCCTCTGCGAGCTGTCAGCTGTCTTGAAAGAGACGAAGACTGGGAATAACAAGGGTAGGATGTACTGGTCGTGTCCGAACGAGTCAGCGAAGGCTCGATGCAAGTTCTTTGAATGGGCAACCGACGAGGACATCGCGGAGGCGGAAGCAGCAAGACCTCGGTACAAGACCTTTGAGAACCGCACCGACAGCAGGAACAGTAACAGTAACTACAACGGCGCGGGGTCCGGCGAGTGCTTCAAGGTGAGAGCGTCTAGGATTTCAATCTAGGCTCATTCACCAGTTTCTCTGCAGTGCGGACAAGAGGGTCATTGGGCAAATGGTGAGTACAATCTTGTGTTAGGTGGAATTGACTGTACTGAACGAGAATAAGCTTGCCCGAACGGCGACGGCTTCAAAACATCATCCCGTACAACATCGACCACGAGCAAAAGAGGGCGAGGAGGCAGCCTCCGACGAACTGGATCAGGGCGCAAGGGTGTGAAGCGCGGCAAAAAGAACGACTCGTTCGCTGCAGACGACTGGTGACCAGTGGTTGTCGACGTTGAGAGCAGACCCCTTGATCCCGCATGCTGTATCTGTGTTCCAGGTTTAGTCGTATTGTAGTAGTCGTGTTGTACCTGCTTTCAGTTGTATTCCGCTGCTCAGGAAGTATCTTATTGACATGATCGTGGAAGCCGTTTGACCCGCTCTTGAATTAATAACGTTATTACACTAAGCAGGGACAGCGACAGACGTGCGACACGTATCAAACACCCTCAACTCTCTCCTCGCTTGATCAACCGCGCAGCCCCCTCAGTCCCCGCGATCCTCTCCAACCTCAGCCAGTCATACTTCGAGTACAACACTCGGCACGTCACGTCTGCCGCCTCAATGCCGTCGTCCAAGAACGGGTAGCTCAGGAACTCGGTGTAGAACTGTGGGTGGTCGGGAGGGCCGTAGAAGACGAGGTTGCGGATGCCCCTGATTTTGTATCGCCGGAAGAAGTGGAAGCGCTCGCTGACAAGGAGGAATGCCTTCTTGCCGCCGAAGAAGGCCTGGCGGGCGCGGGATATGTCTTGGTTTGTCGAGTACCTGGAAGATGCGTTGATCAGTTGTTTTCTGGTTAGGATGGAGCGATGGGAACATACTCAGAAAGGACTGTGAATGTGACGCTCAAGTTCTTCCGGAAGTGGTTCTGTACCCGGATGAAGTCGAACGAGGACGGGACGAAGATGACGGTGTTAGCGCTCTGGACAGCCGACTTGAGAACCGATGGCAGTAATTGAGTCGTAAAGTGTTGAAAGCGCTTCTCGACCTCGTCTTTGGGGTTGGTACAGTCAAACTGCACGAAATTCTGCGCGCAGGTTAGAACACTCTGTCCACAAGTGATTCCAGACATAGTACATACTTGATCAATACCTTCGGGCACCTCGATAGGAGGCCATCTCCTCTCTGTTCGGACCTTGCCTGCGACATTTTTCAGAGAACCGTTGAAAAGGGCGCGCGTCTCGGGGGTCTCGTACGCAGTCAACAGGATGGACTGGCGGAAGTATGCAGCGCTGCATTATCTCAGCGTAAATCTGTGCTCAAGAAACACACAACTCACTGTCCATCGAGGTACCAAGGCTTGATGCGGGAGAAGTCAATATCATGCGACTCTTTTGGCATTTGGTTCAGCCGAGAGAAGACGAACTGGAAATCCTTGTTAACAGCATGATTTTGCAACGATTTAAGAGAAACTGACCTGAACATGGTCCCAGTTCTGCATGGTCAGTGCATCCAACTGATCCACGATGACCATCTCGATCGAGGACAAGAAATCAGCATTCCTGCATGGATGAGGCATTAGTCTGAGTGAAACGCGCGGTATGAGAGCCACGCACTTTTCCTTCTCTATCGACATCCTCAGACCAAGAGGACTCGCAACAATCAAGTCGCACCCATAGAAATCCGCAAACAGCTTCACGCTCTTCCGCGTCATCTTCACTCCAAACCGGAACGCATCGTCGATGTTCCCCTTGAACATTTCCACATGATCCCTGGGATAAGTCCCCGGCTCCGCGTTCGCAAGCTTGTCGGTGACGCCCTGCGGCAAGCCGTAGTCGGTATTGAACCGTGAGCGGTTTTCCACCTGGTAGGTCGGCGAGGGTGTATGCGAGGTGAGGGCACTGATCCAGCGCTGTGCGAACGATCGGAAGGGAAGGAGGATGAGCACGGACGGTCGGGTGAAGCCTTGATCTTGAACGTCCTCAGGTGCGGAGCTCCTGACTTGGATGCATGCGTCAATCGTTCGTTATTCTTGAGAACTCGGCGACGCTTTCTAAAGTCTGGTCAGACCTACAGCGGCTGCGCGCGTGTCAGTACTCACTTTGTTATGTGGTTGAGGGCGTGGAGTGTTGTAGCCTCGCGCATGCTTTGGTGTGTGTCCAGAGAGGCGCGAGTAATGTAGAGATCTCGCTGAGTCGACAACATGGAAAGCAAGTCATTCTGCAATCGACGACCTCTGTTGAAGTCGATGTTAGAAAACAAAAGCACATGAGATATAACGGCTTACCCCGAGGAAGCTTGCCCTGTCGCTCCAAAAACGGCTGCTTCACCTTGTCCAGCACCTAAATGCCGCATACTGTCATGATGATTGTCTTACGCGCAAAGAATCATACGCACAGCTATACGGTTATTTTCTGACGGCTTTGCAGCACCTCGATGTCGGGAAACGATGTGATGACAGAGCCGAGCCTGCCATGCTTGTCCCTATGTGTCGCCCATGACTTCCGCTCTACTGCATTTCGGGCAGCTTCTGTGGCGAGTGTGGACTTCGCTCCAAAGTGCGTTTCGTACGGGTCATCCCCTTTGTCTATACTGCGTCAGACACAAGACGCAGCTGCATAAAGCAGTACCTACCTGGCGAGTCCTCTTCGACCTCCTCTGGCCCTTCCTCGGCCTCACGCTCTTTATCTGCTACATCCTCGGAAGTCGGTTCAGGGCTTTTCTTGGTAGACAATGTGTCTGCTCTGCATTCTCGGGAGTACCGGAGGCATCTGAGAACGAAATTGCGCGCCGTTTGTTGAGTCTTTCGCCCGGCTTCGCCACAATATCCTCAAATGGGTGTTTCCGTTTCCCGACTTTCGTGGCGGAGACGTTAAGCAGTGTGAGAAGCTTGGTCGTTACCGCACTGGCGTCCTCTACGGCCATCGTAGCGTTCCTAAGAGTGGCACACTAAGCTAGATGTGATGAAGGGGAAAGACGACTCGAAGACGATGGGTTTGTGCGCGAACAACACAAGCGCCTGCAGCAAAAGTGTGGCTGCCCTCGATCTCGATCAGCGCAATCTGACATTACGTAAGCAGCCACTCGAGTCCGATGTTTTCCCGAAGTAACTGAGTGACTGGGTCAACCCGTCGAACATGCTGCCATGGCGAATCAACGGGTCGGTGGCGTAGTTGGTTATCGCATCTGTCTAACACACAGAAGGTCCTCAGTTCGAACCTGGGCCGACTCATTTTGGTGAGTGAATCAGTTTGGCTCACTTAACGAAACCTATCAGCAGGTCACGCCGTGTGTTGGCCTTGGTGTTGGCTCCCGTGTCGTTTTATCGTCAGTGGGCCTTGAGCAGTATACATGACCACCATTCAGCTGTGTTTCCAATGGTACGCATCCAATTTGTGACACGACAGGTGAAAGCAGGTAAACAGGACGGTAGAAGATCATTACAGTTCAGCCGCCATATGGGGGTCTAATTATCACGTACATTTTAGGATGCTTTCCAAGACAACAGTGTGGGTATTGCAGTCCATGATAGTCCGACAAGTGAAGGTATGATAGTACGCAATGCTGAGTTGGTATGTAATAGTCCAGATCAACAGATTAAACGATGAGAGCACCGACGAGCAACAAGAGCAGCAAGCTGTAAAGATCTGCTCCGAATCCGACGGTCTGGACCGCCGAGCTAGCCTGAACAGCCCCGGTGTGCTGGGGCCCGGAAGACGACGACGTAGAGTTCTGCTTAGCGATGGTAGATGACGGGAGCGCGACGTTCTCCTTGGTCGGCTGCGTCTCGATCTTGCCGGAGCCGACCATCACCTGGACGCCCACAGATGGGACACCGTTGACAACGACGAAGAGCACTGTAAAACACTCTGTCAGCTGTTGTTCGGAGCCGAGGGCTTGCTGCGAGGTACATACGTGCAGGTCCAGGAGCCAAGACGGCAGGGTTTGGCGGGAGCTGACTGACGTGCAGAGTCGCAGAGCCATCCGAGTTGCCAGTATACGTCGAGTCGAGCTGTACGAACCGCTGGCCCATGTTCTACACCATCCAGGCCCTCTATCAGCCATCTCCTTACAGAGCCAGGGACTATGACATACCATTGTATGGGTGGAGAACCCTGTCCTGATCACGATCACAGTTGTGTTCGCCACCGCGTTGACGTTGTCACCCAAGTCCTGCCCCGACAGCGACACATTGAAGTACGGCCCGCCATACGCGAGCTGGTTCGGCAAGCCCTGGGGCTGCGGCCTGCGCTCGTTGTAGTACAGCGGGTAGAACTTCTCCACGCGGTACTCCGTCGGGAACTTCACGCCCGCCGCGATGTTGTAGTCCGCGTTCGGGTTCGAGCCGGAGACCATCACCGAGCCTAACAATGAGACACTTCACATTGAGTCAAGGAGGGGAAGATGATCGAAGACGTACCGTCAGGCAGGAGAGTGGCGCTGGAATGGTACATGCGCGCGACGGTGGACGGAGAGAGCCCATCACGAGACCACTTCTTCCCCGAGGGCGCCGAAGGGTCATAAATGATCGGGTCGAGGACGGGATTGTCAGCGAACGACTGATCGATTGCCCAAGAAACATTGCCGTAGCCTGCCACTCCTACATTTCTCTGTCAGCGGCGCTACTTGCGTGTAAACGGACGGCCTGCCCACCTGTGCCTGCGCCATTCAGGCAGAGGATCTTCCCGTTTGGCAAGAATATGAGGTTCCCCATGGACCGGACCTCAGGCAACGGATCGTCCTCGACGTAATTGGTAGATACGTCGGGGGTGATGGTGACGCACGAATCCGACGCGGGGTATTGTGCGATGTCCCAGTTCGTGACCCATCTAGCAGCAATCTTGACGTCAATTCGATGGTTCATTGCGCTGAACACTTTGAACGGCTCACTGATCAGGCTGGATGTTCGACCCGCCACAGAACAGGATCGTCGCCGTATAGTTATTTGCCGGCGTAAGCGGCAACATCGCCGTGCCCGCACTCGCAGGGTACGTCCGCACCGCGTGGACCATCGCGCTGATCTCCGTCTCCGTGTGCGTCTTGTAGTCGAGCAGGGCCGTGCCCCAGTTCGACTGCATGATCAGCTTGCCGGAGGGGAGGAGCCATGTGAGTGGGTAGAGGTTCGCGGGGAGCGTGTTCTCGAGCAGGGGCGAGTTCGTGAGCCCGACGGCGGGGTCGTATGGGAAGAACTCGTATGTCGGGTTCGTCTGCGAGGCGTCGTTGACGAAACCTCCCCAGTCGCAGCCGCCGATCTAGGGTTTGTGTCAGTATTATAGAGACCGCTGGACTAACGGACTCACAATAATCATTGATCCATCCTCTAGAGTTTCCCTGCGAGAGGCGGTGAGTGGCAATGCACGGTAAGGGTGAATTAATGCGGCTTACAAAGAAGGGTACCACTCCGGGTAGTCATAGGCGTGTTCATGATCCATTCGCAAGAGTCGTCGTCGCAGGGATCGAGTAAACTATGAACGACGAATGACATTCACAAAAAACAAAACCCGACGGTGCACAGTAGCGACATACCGGACCCTGAGGTATGCAGGAAAACATCAGTCAGTGAAGTGCTGCAATTATTTCCGTACGTACGATTGACCACCATCGGGATCGTCGTACGGCGCACCGCCATTTTGACTGGGGGCCGTCAGACCACCGTAAGTGACTGCCTGGTTCCCTCCGACATTGAGCCATGTTCCATTGCCCAGTACGCTACCCCCTGGGAGCATAGTCGAGGTCAGGTAGAATACGACGGTAAACTACGCGGCACGCACCGCGCAGAAGGAGTTGGTAACGACATCCATAGGGCGGCCTTGGTTCTTGCTCGCGGAATATTCTGCAGACGCGTATTAGTGTGCGCTCTAGACATATATCAAACTCGTATGCGTACCCGCTGCCCATGCCGGATGACCGTTGATCTGCGTAGGGTTCCTTTCGGTCTTGTCAACAATATATACCTTGTCTAGTGTGCCGAGGAACATCTAGATTGACAGGTCAACATCTTCCATGGCACGTCAAACAAATCGTGAATGCGTACTTGTTGCGCGCTCGCGATGCTGTTGCCGACAATCTGGAACTCTCCAAGAGGCGCGTTCGTCACCAATGGCTGGCCGGGTGTTTGCGCGGACGCGCCATGCGCGAGCGCAGCGGTAAGCCGGACAGCGATCCACGTATACATGTGTTGAAGGGAGTGTAAATCAATAATATGTGTTGGAAAACGAAGGGGTATCGTGTGCCAGGCCTTGCCGGGGACCGAGGGGCAGGGGCGGGCAGTACCGACGAGGGGGCCGGCGAGTGCTCACCGGGAGCGACCAAGCTTTATGTGTGGACGTGGTTCATGTTCGGACGCGCCACGCCCGCGAAGGCAGTCGACGCCAGCTCGATCGGACAGCTGTCAGTGCTTCCGGATCGAGGTTAGGGAAACTCGTGAGCGCATCGCTACCGCTCGGCACGGTCCTGCGAGGCCGCATGCAGCCCGTCGTCCCTGGCCTGTGTCCAGCGGAAATGCTATATTGGCGTGCTCTGCGGAAAGCGCAACCTAATCATCGTAGGAGCGCCACTAGATCGCACCGTGCAATGGAATAGCGCAGGGACAGCAGCAGCATGTTGACCACAGTCTACGTGTGGCGCCGAATGTATACCACAGAGACGGGCCTTGTGCGGCCACAGAAGCTGCAGCGCAACGAGTAGAAGTGGCTCGACAGCTCACAGTAGTGCTTGTTCGCATGTCGTTCGCATGGCCTTCTAAACCCGGGCCGCCGGCGCCTCGACGACGCTGAGAGCCCAGTTTGACGCGGCTCTGAGTCATCCTCTGCTATCTTTAGTAGAGAACATCGTGCGCTTCTCTTGACGATTCTCTGTGCACACGCTCTATTCGTTCCACCGCGCGATGTTGGCCCCTCTTGCGAGTTTGCTTGACCGACAGCCGTCGAACCGGACGAGTCTCGGGTGTATCTTTTGTGACTCAGGGCGCAGCGCTATGAGCAGACACTTGTTCTAGTGTTGCGGCCAGGGGATCACCATAACCTTGTATACAAGCGATACGCCCGTGTTTGACGATTTTGTCTAGCTCAGATCCTGCCGCCGTGCCTCCGAGTCGGACCAGCATGCAGTTGCCACCCAGGGTCCGCGGTCGTTCCCCACTAGGTTTCCATGCCTTCTGTCGTGTGTCTAGCCAGGCGTAACACCAATGAGCTCGAGTCGGATTGATTGGTATACCCAATACCGCATTTGAGATGTAGGAGCAGCCAAAAGTAACTCAACGCAAGAGAAGTTATGTAGAGAACGGATTTGCAGCACATCGGGCGACTCTTCACGTGATTCTGGACGTACAACACGTTCCCTTTGTGGCAGGCCACCTTCCAGATCCGTCGACACACAGTCGGCACTGCCTCCGGAGCGGGCTCTTTCTTGGGTCCAAGTCTTGAAAGCGGCGACTGATTGAACTGGGCATGGACTACGAGATGTCTTTTATAGCCAGTGTTCGGTCTAACTACCTAGTGTTACTCGGACGATAGATGGATGCGTTTAGGTTCGCGATTGCCTCATTAAATTTCTATCTAGCCTTGCATGATCTTTGATACATAGTCACCGAATCCCCCACCGAGCTGCGCCCCTGTCTCCGGCCTTGAATCGAATCGGAGCCGTCCATATACAGTAAACCATCTCATGGATCGTGCCGCCTGCCTTTCAAGTTTGCTAGGAAAACATACCGCCGGGTAGGAGGCCGAGCAAGATGTCTAGGCTTAAACTGAGCCATTTTTGCGTGGTGAATCTATCTAACGCCGAGCTACGCCAGCAATGTGTGAGGGGCAGCTTAATACGGTGATATTGTCGCCCAGTTCTCGCCGCAAGAAGGCGTCTACTGGGTTCAGTAGCGCCGGCTGGTGTGGCTTCACACGTGACCGCGTTCAGTCGCGTCACCGTGACAGGCGTGTCAACGCGCCTGGCGCCATCAACTCCTTGTCCTTTGTCCACGACTCGCTCTTCCCAACCCCTCCCATCTGCCCGTCCCTACAAGCTAGACTAGTAAGTCTGAGTAAACGCCCTAGCCGTAACGTGTTCTCTAAACTGCAGTAGCTCTTTGCCCAATATGTCTGCTGTCCGGAACTTGAAGAGAACAAAGCTGTCTGACGCGAGTGCGACTGGGATGCGTTGTCAGTGGCGCACATCGAGAGGAGGTCCTCATTGAAAGCCTCTTCGTATCTACCCTGCAAACCCCAATGCATACTCCTCTCGATGCCATTCGACATCATTCATGAGGTCAGTGGGCTCCAGCACTGTCTTGAGTGGCGACGCTCACATCTCGCAGATCTTGGGCACCTCCACCAATGGATCTCCTCCATTAGCACGGACAACAGTATCTGCGTGACTTCCTGATGTCGAGGAGGAAGTCGAAAGCCGTGTGGCGTCAGCGAGGCGGAACATCAAGGGTCTGCCAGACTGCCCGATCAACCTGAGCGAGGCAGAATATGCGAACCTCGCTTTAATCCATACTGCACGTATGTATCTGCTTCTTCTCCGAGTCTCTAACGGCTTGCAATAGAATGCCTGAGCCTGGCTCGCACGAGGTTGTCTGGGAATTCGGCCAGATATTGCACCAGTGTCTTATATAAACGACGTGTATGTCATACCCCTCTTAACTACATGAATCATAACTATAGCTCTTCTCTGCAGCACTTGGATGGATAATTGGGTGGATCGACACTTCGAAAGCGTGATCGGACGCGGCTCCGACTTTAAATGGGCCGCCTACCTCGCATACGTACGTTCAGGCTGATGCTATTCTTTGGTCTCGATGTACCTATTGATCACTTGCAATTAGTATTGCTGAATGAGTACACCCCGATATACCAAAGAACAGCGTGTGAAGAGCTCGCGCGACAAGTATCAGAGCTGCGCAAGGACGAAGACGCGCTAGATGCGTACTTAGTTGACCTTCAAGATCTTGTTGAGAGTATCCGCCCAGTAAGTTGGATATCATATCCTTGTCTCCTTCATATGTTGAATTGAACTGTGTGAACGCAGCATGCGAAGGCTTGCAGCAAGTGGTATAAGAAATTTCTTGACAGGAGGTTACGTAGGTGAGTGATCACATTGAGAGCCCTGTTGATCCTTACTAACATATGACTTCAGCATCATCGAAAAACTCCGAGAAGAGGAGGAATGGGATGCTGACTTGAATGAAATGTCCGAAGGCGACTTCGCCCCTTTGAAAAAGCACACAAATGTTGTTCTCCCGAAAGTTCTCAGTAATGATGGTGTGTGTTATCAATAGTTGTTGCTCTGCTTTGTGGCTAATCATAATAATAGAATGGCAGGAAATCCGCGGCGAGATAGTCGCGTCGATGGCAGAGTACAGAGACGCACGCCTGCGCAGAGAACGCGCGGCGCTCATCCAGCGGCGCCTCCTCGACCTACGCCGGGTCGTCTGCAAGCTTCAACTCGGAGATCGGGGCTTCCGCACGCCCGAGCAAGACTTCGGCCCGAGGTTCGCGGACTTCGCCCTCATGCCCGAATTCCGCACGCTCGTGGAGGCCCCGAGCGACATGGACATTAAGAGGAGCACTTTCCGCCGCAAGTGCGCTGAGCTTCCCGCTCTCTTCGATCGGTTCGACGCGGGCAGGGAGGCGCAGCTCGCGCGTCTGCTTGCGGAGCGGCTTGGCCGACCAGCGGATGCTCCGAGCACGGATATCCTCAAACTCGCAGTCGCATGGTTTCACTGTGACCAGTGCAGGAAATACGTGCGCTGCCCTGGTGTCTTCGCCCACCAGTGTCAGCGGCCCTACTATCACAGGACCGACCGCGAGGACTACGAGGACGCATACATATACGATGTAGCGAAGGCCTCAACGTTCCACGCATGGTCAACCACGAAGCTCCACCCGATCCCGGAGGAGGACCTCGCGGCCCTGCGTGCTCTCATCGCTGCATGTGGACTCGACCCGGCGAGAGCGACTGCGGAGGAGATGGACGCCCTCGACTTGCGCGTCACATGCGACGAGATCCCTGTGCCCTATGCTAGTAAGAGCGAGGGAAAACTCGTCATGAACTGGCGCAGGGCGGTGAGTTATTGTCTTCATATCCTTGCTTTGCAGTCTCGCTGACAAGCCTGTTAGGTCCTCTCGTTGCCCATGATACAGGGCGGCAATCCAGTCAAGTGGGTTCGCGCCTCGGACGCCGACAAGCGCCGCGCGCTCAGTCTCGAGGCGAAGGCGCACCAGGCGCTGCTCATGAAACCGAAACACCAAAAGTTCCTGCAGTGCGCACTGTGCGACGAGCCGTGGTGGCTCGTCACCGAATCACACGGTGACGCGTTCCTCGTAGCTGACCATCTGAGGAGACAGTGAGTTCCTTGCTATAATGTACTGTTGCCAGTGGCTGACATCGCGGCTTTCGTAGTCACCATATCTCGATGGCGGAGATACACTCGAAGGGTGTGTACATGTATATGCACCCTGACGGTGTACCCGAGACACCTGAGGTGTGGCTCCCATTCCTTTAGAGAGATGAGCAGACGAGATTTGAGTCGGAACTGGCCCCGACTGCTGGCATTTTACGACTGCTGTACTGATTGTAGAAGAACATTGTTTGTAAAATAGTCTGTATCGTACATCGCCAAAACCTGTAGCCATACGGACACTGTTGTAAATTCAGACAATCACAATGTTGTGATCTCGGTGTAGAACATCACGCGTGCGCTCGAAGTCCGTATACCGCAAGGGACTGTTACTGGGTCACTTTCGCTCGCTGGGACACCGACGTTATACCCTGGACCCTCCGCAAGGCTCCGTGACGAATCCAATGATTGCATTCGTCTATCATATGCCAATGCCGCTGTTCAAACAACGTTCATACCCGGCCATGTACTCGGAGCTCAATTCACTCCCGCAATCACGAAACCGCGCGCCACGCACAAGAAGTGATCCGAGCTTCGTATGTACTCACCACGAATCACAATCACAGTCCTTGCGTGGCCGTGGAGGGCCGTGGGATGCCCCCTGCGGCGTGCCTGGTTTCTCGGTGCTTTTCCACCATCCCCGCGCCGGCCTCGAAGCCGACTTTCCGGGAAAGCAAGGTTTGATGTGGGTGGATGGACACTGGGTGGACATATGTAGGTGGACATGCGGGCAGTGTTCCTGGCCCGTTCAGGATCGATCGAGAGGAATCGGCGGGTCCGGATTGACGGAATCGGCGCGGGAGGGTTGTGTGTATGGGCGTCTGTGTTGAGGGGTGCGACGATTCGAATCTAGTGGATTGCGATCAGGCTGGGTGCCGTGCATCAATATCGCTGTACGCAGGCGTTATGTATAGTACTTACGTAGCTGGCGAGGGTGACTCGGTGAGGGCGTGGCAGCCTGAGAGTAGTGACGACACCGCGACACGCGTTACGCACAAGGCGCATCCCGTGCGGTGGGTGTGGCATTAAGCATACAGTTGTCAGCTAGCTGTCAGCAGGCCCCGGAGCTTGCGCTCTCTCGTAAGCCGTGAGCCGCGGCGGGCACATACAACCGAGTAACGTCGCGTATGTAAGTTGTGTGTGTGCGGTTCCCCGGGTACTCTGCGTCTGAGCTCTGCAGGCGGTGGAACAGAGGGCGGCACGGATCATGTCAGGACGGGGTCATCAGAGCGATAACCTGGCGATATGTAGCCGTCCGAGCTTTGCGAGCTGTGAACCGATTCATCATTTGGTCACTTTGGACTCGGATCTTGGAGGATGAAGGGAGGACGCGGCACCCGTATTCGACGCGATAATGTTTAAATCACATCACTTTCAGCGTGGACTTCATACATGATGTGTATGCGGCACACGTACGTGATCGTGCCCTCGGCCAGCACGAGTGTACGCCGTATGCGGTGTTCGTCTACACAATCGATTCGGATCGCAGGGTCAGGATCATCGTCCGCATAATTGATGCTCAACGGACCCGGGAGAGCTACGAACGAATCATGTTTGCACCTCTTGGGCTAGAGGAGCTGCTATGCGATCACTCAGTACTGACCTATGTATGACGGATCAAGACGCACGCGTACAGATCCTGCCGGAGTTGGTTGGCTCCGAGGTCATGCCAGCATAGCACCTAAGCCGCCGCTGGCAATCCGGTCATTTGAGAGCCAAATCCACGGCTCTGGCGGGCCTCCAATGGCTTTCCACAGTACGACGCGACCAAAGCCAATGTGCGGGACGGCGGTGTAATTCTACGCCGTAGTCACCGGTACAGGCGTCAGCCATCACGCAGGAGGGCTGCTTCGCAATACCCGATATCATTCATATCTTGGGGCGCGTGGGGCGCGAAGGACGGGGCCGAAGGGTCGAAGAGGATGCACCGACTTTGCGACCGCATACCGTGTCGTCCTATTCTGCTATGTTGAGAGCGACAGCACCGGCACCCGTGGAGGTCCGAGTCTCTAAGAACACCTGCAGAACGATCGAAACTAGCGAAGGTGCATCCCTGGACCGTCGCGCGGCGGACGGGTCACTCGACACAGAGATATCCACTGAACACTCGCCTGCGCATACGCATATGACACGTCGGACCATCCTTGCCCTCTCTATTCTGTTAAACAGCGTGCCATCCACACGACCCACTAGAGAAAGACAAATTGAGCAAAAATGCATACAAGGAACATAGTCTCCCACTAGTAGGCAGACCCTAAAGAGGATCTCTTTGACGGAGCGGAGGGCGGTCTTCTAAGGGAAGGAACCTCTGACATCATCGTCCCGAGCTAGACGCACAAACAGACTTGCACCGTCCGTCTGGGAGTGGGTGCCCGGGAATGGAAATCGGAGGGCAGAAAGGCCGGCCACAGCCAAGTGCGCTCGATTCCACTTCCACGCCCTTCGCGAACTTCGAAGCACCGTGCACGAACTCGGAACGGCCGCAGGACAATCCAGGGCCGCAGAACGCGCATGACGTATGATAGCTGCGAGAGCACGGTGAAGCACGCGCATCGCCTAGGGAACGCCGTCGAGTTCAGCCTGCACCTTTTCGAACGCACGGTCAGACCGCTGCGCCTTCGGGGACTTCGGTCAGACGTTCGAGTCGCGGGGCCCAGGCCCGCCGACGCGCGACGCCGTCCGGTACACTCGTCCGCGGTAGAACGTCCGATCCCAGCCTTTCCCGTTGATGCGGCAGATGTCGCTGATGGATGATGGGCCGCCGCTCGAGCCGCGCGACGGTGGAGTGCCAAAGAATAAGGCGCGTCGCAGGGGATGCCGAGCGCGTCGCGGGCTCCAACGCAGGAAGATTGCGCACCACGCGCACGTCTGGGGGTGTCCAGGAGTCAGCCATGTACGTTATGTACATGGCGGAGGAGGAGGGAAACAGGGCGGACTTGGGGGACAGATCATTTGGGTGCGGTGCGGGCTGGCAGTTTTACTGCTTTTAGTGGAGCGGTACGGCATCATCGCGGCAAGTAGTGGAAAGGTAGTACGTACCGTCTGCGAGTGGGCGAACGAGTGCAACAGGACGGCGAACTGACTGGGAAATATGTATGAGGAGGAGGGCGCAACGCGGCGGGCGAGAATGGGGTCCAGGCTCGCATCCTCGGCTAGTCTTGCGAAGCAGTCAGGGAAACAGTGCGAAGCTCAGGCTCGCAGGCGGGCGAAGGGACAGGCCGTGGCCCGGATCGGCGAGAGAGACGGCGGCGATTGGCTAGAGGGGCGCCGGACGACGTCATTGTGGCGCGGTGCCGGCGCATCGGCGGCGGGCCGGTCTCTGGTGGGACGGGGGCGCGAGCGGGCGGTGGCAGAGGGTGGGGTGCGGGGCGCGGACTCGGGGGCCGGCTTGTTGATTACCCTCTCCCTGCGCCAACGCTGGGACCCCGCACATCGGTTCGCATTTGCTCCATCTCTCGAGACTCTTGTTGTGCGCGTGCCACCAGTGACGACTCCACACCACCACCTCCATAGCCACCGCTCTCCTCAACTGCATACGACCTGCGCTGACGCCCGGAGCTAAGCACAGGTCGCTCTCCACACGCCACTTGACTCTCCTTGCGACCCACCACCACCACTGACAACCAGAACACCTCCACCGAGTTCATACGAAGGCAGTCATCCGCCTGCTCCATGCAGCCTCCTGTACAGAACCGTCAAAACGAGCCGTCCGCGGTGCTCACTCAGGACGGCCATCTGCTTGCCTCGATTGCCTCGCCTGGTGCTTCTCCCGCTGCGACCTCGGGCACGACGAGTGCCCCGCGACCGCCGCTACGCGCGTCCGCGTCAGACCCCGAGCAGAGCCTCGCGATCCCTTTCGAGCAGCTCTCGCTGTACGACCAGGACCAGATACGCCGGCGCCAGCAACAGGACAGGCAGATCGTGGACCACACGACGCACGCGCCAAACAACCCGTTTGTGGGGTCCGATCTGGAGAGGGAGACGCAGTACGTGGACGAGAGCAGCATGCTGCGGCAGAGACTCGGGCAGGACGCGAAGGGCAAGGCACCGGATCATGGCTATGGTAAGTGTGTATTCATTCGTGCTGTCATTAGTCGTGTCTCGCTGCGCCTGCGTCGTCCCTGCTAAGCAGTGCGTCCACGCTACGGTGTCGGTAGGGCAGGCGATCAGAGAGATGTGCGGGGGAATGGCGCGCCACGCGTCAGCGCTGCGCGAAGGTTCAGGAATTTGGCGGGTGCACGACGGCTGCGGCGGTCTGGACGGTGCAGAAGCCAGAATGGACGGTGCGTCGGTGGCGGGCGATCGGAGATGCGCGTCGGGCACTTGCCGCGGAGTCCGGACGCGTCACGGCGAGTCCCCGATCAGCCGTCATCGATGCCGGCCAGTGCACCGGGTCCGTGCACCGTCGGTCATGGGCGTCGCGTAGACGACGGGGAGCCGTCCGCGTGCTTCTGCCGCGCTGCACGCGCCATCTTACGTACGCCGGGTTGCGCCCTTGCGAGTGCGCCCGCCGTCGTCGTCGCCCTGGTGGGCAGCGGCGGCGGGCAGTGGACGGCAGAGGCCGTGAGAGGTGCAGCGGAGGCTAAACGGCAATCTGGAGGCGATTAGATGGGCTTCTACTGCGGCCGGGCGGGCACGGACGGCGCCGGGCGTGTGCACGAGGCGGAGCGTGGACGCATGTGGCAGGTGAGAGAGGGCGCGTTGCCTGCCGCTCGCGTGCTGCCACGGCGTCCGGCGCGGGCTCCCATATACCTGCGCATCTCGCCACCCCCCGTCTCGCTCCTCTTCCCTTTCTCCGAGCCATGAGCAAGTCGTGCTGATGCGCCCTCTTCCTCTCCCCTCCCCCCTCCCTCCCCTCCAGCATCAGCTGCCCCGTCCCGTCCACGACCAGCATCGAGGACTACGACTCCCGCCGGCCCCAAACCTCAGCGACCCGACCTTCCTCACCGCAACTCTTCATTCAAACGTCACGCTTCCTTCGACTCTCCCCGCGAGGTCCCCCTCCCGTACATGCCCCATTCGCATATGCATCACCTCTCCTACTCGCAAACACAGCAACATGATGTCCCACCCTTCCCCCACGTAATGGGCGATGGCGTCGAGGTCGCCGCTCAGGCATCGCCCCCACTGTTTATGCCCTATGACCGTCCGTCGCCCGTGGTCATCGCACCCGCGACATCTGCGTCTGATCACCATGGCTCGACCCCCGCATCTACGTCGTCTAGCGAGAGCAGCCTTAGTACGTCGTCCTTGTCTTCATCGCAGGCCTCAATGTCTCGCGTCGACACACCCATGGACACCGGTGGCAGCCTGCCTACCGCGAGCGGTACCAATCCTTACTTCGCTGGCGCTGTGCCCGGGCTCTCGTCTGCATCCGCGTCCGCGTCCGCGTCCTCGTCGGTATTCTCCCAAATGCAGCAGACATATTCTCCGGGGGTAGGGAAGGCGCCGCAGGCGGGCCCTGTCCCGTTGTTCGCCCGCCCGTGCTCCACGCCGGATGCCTCGAGTCCGATGGCACCGCCCCCGCCGCGAATACACTCCCCCCATCCGGTGCGCGCCGCCACGGGTATGCCTGACCGGACCTCCACGGTGAGCCTCCCGCTGCCTGCGCATACCCCGTACCATACCCTGCCGAGCGCGGAGGGCAACACTGCCTCTGCGGTATCGTCGTCCGCGTCACGACCGCCGCCGCTCGAATACCACTCGTCCTCCTCCAGCTCGGGCATTTCCCTTCCTACGCCCCCCTCGTCCTATTCCGCCTCCCCCGCCGTCCCGAACCCCCCACGCATGCCCGCGCGTGCACGCCACTCGGACCCGTTCGACCGCGCTTCGTCACCCCCGCTTGGCCGGCTACTCGAGCGCGTATACGCCGCGACAGAGGCGTCCTCGACCGGGCCCGCGACAACGTTTATGGACCGCGAGGCGTTGCGCGAGAGGAGGGAGGCGCCACCGCCGCGGATCACCCCCGAGAACCTGCCGCCGCCTGCTCCGCCACAGGTGCTGACACCGCCGCCGCCGCCCGTGAGCGAGGAAGGGCAGGGACAGAGACCGTACGAACCCTTTTTGGCGCATGCGTTGCCGTCGAACGATGCGTGGATCGCGGTGGAGACGGTGCCGAGGGAGTATAGGTTGCTTGTGAAGTTGCCCGGGTTTAGAAGGGACGCGATGTGAGTGGTCGTCGGTTGTTGTACTCCGCAGTGAACTGACTTTGCTTCTGCTTCGTACGCCTTGGGTCGCTCTCTTTAGCACACTCTCGACAAGAAAACGAAGGATATTGCATGTCGTGGCGGATTCGTGGGAGCCCAATGGTGGTGCGTGCTTTTACCCTCTCTGTTTGTCTAGCTCTCATGTCATCGTATTTTTGTTGTGCCCCATCTAGGCCACTTCGAACGCCGCATATCGTTCGGGTACGACGCCGATCTAGGACAGGTCCGCGCCGAGTTCGACGGCGAGTACCTACATGTCATCATCCCCCGGCGACAGTTCAATGTCAACTTCTGGAGTCTCTGAGCTCCCCTCGGGAGCTCGCACATCACGACACGCCCTCCTTCATGAACTTTGCAGTATACCGGCCGCGTGTGGCTGTAATGATCCGTACTTTATTCAAATCTGCTCTCAAGAGCGCGTCTTTCTCCCTCCTGACCCTCAGCAGCGGCCGGGCTGGTTTTAGTGTCGGCCCCGTCGGCATTTGCTGTCGTCGAACAGGGGGCTGCGTGTGGTCGCACGTTGGTTCATGACATGCTTCTTATCGCAGATCGGCCATCAACATCACCAGCATCAAATTGCGGTGGAAGTCGCACCGATCGCCGCCTGCAATCAAGCTTCCAGTGCGCCGGCGGCGCGCTCCCATCTCCCCTACGTCTTCATCACGCCCATCGACTCATCGACATCGACATCAGCATCGACAACGCTGCGCGAGTCTTAGACGGTTTCGGCGTGCCGTGCGGTCGTCGCGCGGCGTGGGGGGGACAGGGGCTCCACTTCGCTTGCATCGACGGCATCGAATCATCGATACAGGCCATGCATGGTCCAGGACGCTGACACCCCGGCCGGCGACGAGGGTGGTCGACGACGCTCCTCCTTCACGATTGCCTTGCTTTCCCCCTTTCACCCTCGAATCTCTCGCGCCGTCTTCCGGCCTGTCTCCTCCCCACCCGCAGTCTCACTCTCAGTTGCTCGCTCAGTCTACCACTAACGTCAATCCAGTCTATATCACTCTTATCGGACAACGCTTCCTCCTCCTGCCCAACCGTGTTTGTGTCTCTCCGACCTCCTCACTACTGCTAAGTTACTGCTACTGCTACTACGGATACTCGATATCCCGCGGAGGGCCCGGTCGGCATCCATCGCATCCTTATCCATATATCACTACTGCGGACCCGTCCCCGACGCGTATACATATACCGAATACGAATATACGGCATGCTCACTAGGACGTACGGCGTACGAGGTACAAGTACGGAGGTCCAATTGAAATCGGAATTACTACCTGTGATTCAGGCATGGCGCGCGCGAAGGCCCTGTGCGCTTGGGATCCGGTCCTCCGTCCTGGGGGATCTCGTGTGCTGCGTACTCCGTGCACACGATGTGCACTGCTGCTTAGCCGTGCACTGGGCGTAGGGCTCCCCGAAGCATCCTTGCGATCCTTCCTCCGACCTGGCCGCATCTTGACCCGGCGGCCACAGGACCAGAGGACCGCAGGCTTCAGCTTCATAGTTCGCGCCTGTCCTTCGATCGCTCCACGCCATGCTTGGTGTGGGTTGCCGATATCACCCCGCGTCCACGGATGGGACGCTATCTGTACGTAAGGTTTAATGCAAACGATCATCACCTTACCTGAGGAAGTCCGAAGAGTGCTGCTGCATATTGAGTACTCACCTTCGCGTGTTCGTGCGCGTCCCGATGTATGGTGTCATGACCTTGGCTCACTTACTCGTCCCTGCTCATAGATTGGATTCTAGTTGTACTGTGTGTCATCATGCGCGTGTGGGTGTAGAATACTGTATGATTCGTGGTTCCGTGCTTACCGACTAATAGTACAGCTCTACCGTATTGTCCATGGCCGATGCGCTTCCGTCATAGTCCCAAGTTCGTCTCACTGCACTCCTACAATATGTCGATCAGCATACAGTTGTTATCCCCGACGCCCAGCAGTGCTTACTCATTCCCCGCATATTACCCCGTCTTCGCGCTCCACGGCACCTTATCGAATGAGCTGAGCATGCGGAGTGCACAGCAAGGATGTGTGTGCGTCCTTTGGCGGAGATGAAGAGGACCCACGGTGCGTACTCTTGCGTAGTACTACTGGCCCCGAGAAGGCTCCTACCCAAAGCTTGATCCGGTCGTCCGGACGGTCACGGTCGGTAGGCGTCCGGACGCACTCATGATGTTCCGGGAGGGCACGTTGTGGGTGTACTGAATTGTATGTACCCCGGGTGGTATGCCAGCCGCGAGGTAAGTATCAGCAAGCCCGAGGTTGGTTATGACGGAACACACGTTCTGAACATGTGTACTTACTAAGTTCGTTGGACTTCGTCAGAGCCTACCTGTGATGAGCTCGGCACATCTTTGCCAAACAGTAGCCTCCGAAAGGTGTGCGCGAGCAAGATGAACACAGGTGCGCCGTGATTGTTTGTCTCGCTGTCATGCTGTGACTCAATCGTGCATGTGAAGACCGGTGGCCTGCAGCCAGTGAGCGATGTACCCCTGGCGACTTCTGGTGTGTCCACCGCTCCCATTTCCGTATGTTCTGTGCATTGACTTGGGCACATTGTAGACCTCATGTGGTTTGTATTCTGACGCGCACAACTCAAGGCTCAGGTCATCGCCCTCGATGCAAGCGGCGGCGATGCGTGTACGCCGCCGTACGTGCATAAGCAGTGTCTGGCCAATCAGGACACGGGGAACTACTTCAACTTGTTGGCGGATCGCCCGACGCGATGCGCCCCCGACGCGCGCCGCACGTGCGGGTCCGTTGAACAGCGTTCAACAACTCACGTGTTCGACGCGTCGAGGGCTATAAGTAGCCGTGCCCGCCGTCTCTGCATCGTCACCTATCGTCCCCGCCCGCCCGCTCACCCCGTTTCATTTAACTCACCCTCTCGAGCCATGCTCATCACACCCCTTATCTTGAAGGGCATCGCCGCCCTCAAGAGCATCTTCATCCTCACCTCAGGCGCCTCTGCATCGCGGTACTCCCAGCACGTCAACAAACGCACGATTGGCTCTGGATTCCTAGTGCTCGGTCTCGCATATGTGACATGTCCTTACGGACGTTCTGACGTACGTAGTCTTATTGTCACTTGCCTTGAAAGACAGGATTCTGATAGATGCGTGGCTGCAGCCTTGGTGCATCCCACGAGTCACCTCTGGACACGCTCAGCCATCTTCTGGAGTCTCTGTCGATGGATCCCGTTATGTGCCAGACGCGCCCGGGAGGCCTCGCTCCTCCCTTTCCCAAAGGTCGACTGGTTGATTGCTCCGTCGACTGGGGGCGCTGTAGAGCCTGACGCATCTGGTAAGCTTTCACGTCGATGCTCAATGTACTCAATCATTCATCTAACTGCCCTACTTGCTTCCCTCCAGTCCCATCGTCTGTCGGTGACTCTTCGCAGTATGACATCGGCATCCCTCCGGCTCTCGTGGACGTGGACGTGCCCGAGCTCGACTGGTCGATTCCCGAGGCTCCCACTATCCAAACGCCCGAGGTCGCGGAAACGAAGCCCGACTACGTCTCTTATGACATCTATCTCGCAACAATCACCTGGGCCCCTGATAACAGCACCATCTGGAGCGCTAGGATCTCTCCCCCTGCCGGGCCTGACGATGTCCTACCCGTGCGACTACACGAGCTGTCTGTCCTGACGTTCGAAAAGCGTTGCATGAAGAAAGGCACCATCCCGCGACTTGGCGACTGGACCTCGGGCATGATCCTGGGGTGGCGGGCAGGAGCATTGTTTTGCATAATCATCGACATGCTGGAGTGGCTGGCACCTATCCCTGGGCTGATTCTGCAGGCGTGGTGGACCCTCAAAGACACATACTATCCTTCGGCTCTGTTCTTCTCTCGTCGCCGACCCGGGTATCGTCGTTTGCAAAATAGGAGATGACGTGGTTCATAGACCTTCGCTTGTACGTGCTCACTTCATTTTCTGTCTTCTCATCATTGATGATGTGTCCCCTAGACTCGTCCTGGAGACGGATGTCTGCGTTGCCTTTATGGTCAACTCATCTCCTTCGGTTTTGGTCTGGTTCGTCGACATCGGTCGACATTGCATTCGACAATACCTGGTCGCGCGTCCGTCTGGTGACTCCTGGCAGGTCAACCCCAGTGGCACCACTCGTTCTCTGCGTCATCTCACTATTGTTCGCTTGTGTACGGCCGACAGACGACGCAGAGATCCGACTTGCCCAAGTCTCACGCGCTACACCCTATCCACGTCTCGGTTTCGTCTCGGTCTTTCCTCCCTCTCACTCGGTTGGGACACTTGGCCTCGGCGGTTTGTCCTCCCTCTGAGCTTGTCATCTCGTCTCGATCTGTTCCCATCTTCGATCTGTCACCATCTGGTCACCGCCTGGTTTCACCTCTCTAGGCTCATTCATCACCTGGCTCCTTTCTTGTCTCGATTATGTCTTTAGTCTGGATCTCGTCTTGTCCGACTTTTCGATTCTTCGCATTCAGCCCGTCACGCCTTACAACCGAGGCATCGTGACCCGAGCCCTCGTCCTCCGTCTCTGCGCCAGTATATCGCCTCTGCCTCCTCCCAGGACCCTTTCGCCCGTCACTGCCTCAACTTCAAATCACCTCAAGGACCTCACACTCTGCCTGTCATTCTGCCATCCCAGGAATCTACGTCACCAGCCTGTGCCTCGATCTGCCTTATCCATATGTACTCCTCGCCTCTGGATCCTTACCCGTGAACCCCCATCTGCCTCGACTCAAACGCTTGTCCTTGCCTCTGCCTGCACCGTCCGGAATACGCCCCGACTTTGCATCCTGCCCCGTCTCAGCCGCGCCTACCCCTCTCCCACTTGCCCACTCTCGCCCAATCAACTCTCCACCAGTGGCTACCTCGTTCTGGCCTGTGTTTTCGTCGTTCTGGTCTCCGTCAGCTTGTGTTCTTCGCTCTAACCCGCAAGGCGCCCATCGCAGCCCAAGTTGCATCTGCTGTTTCCCGTTCTACATCGCTTCGCCTCTGTCAGACTGCCTCGTCACTTTGTGGATCTATGGGGACTCTTCAAAGTCGCCTTGCCGTCGCCGCGATCCTATGTATATGTGTCCAACACGGTTGTTACCAGCCCCTCACGCCTTCGTCTGTACCACCCTCACGGTCGCCGTGCCCTCCACTTGTCTGCTGCTGCATCGCCATAGCTTCCCGCGCTCTTCCCAGCATCTGGATCCCGATTCGCCTCCCTCCATCCCCGCCTCTTACCTCGAATGGTACCGCGCTGTACCCTTCCTGTCTATCCTACTTCCGGCTCATTGCCATCGACTCTGGCAGCCTCGTCTCACGACCGCCGTGCCTCGGCTTCCCGTCTTCCCCTCGTCTTGTGAACTCATCGCCTTATGTCATTACGCCTCCCCCGGTCACGATTCGCGTCCTACTTGACTTATCAGAACGATTTCCCCTAGTTTCCTTTGGTCTTGTCCCTCGGATAGATATGTATCTCCTCTTCGCCCTTGGACTTTCTGGTCTTTGTCTCTTGTGCCTGAAACGACTCTATCATACTGTACTATGCGTATTTTCGGTCTCGTGAGGACAGGGGCTGCATTCCAGCACCGGACGCGGTGTTGTGGTGCAGTTTTTGCCCTTGTACGGGACAAACAACTATACGTTACTCAGCTTCTATTTTTTCCTGTATGTCTCGATGGACTTGGCCTTAATTTGTATGCCGTTGCCAAACAGTCGAATAATTCATTGAACCATCCCTTGCCTGAAAGCTCGAGTGCGAGGAATTATGGACATGCTTCGAGCAGCGTCCGTCGACCGAAGGGCACCCAGTGTGTTGATAGCGATTCAAACGCCTCGTGAGCAGCGAGCACAAAGGATCGAGACATTGACCCTGTTCGAATCATCAGTGCATTGTCGTGACCGCCTCGAGTCGGGTCCGGGCAACTATCGCTGACTCTATGCGCACGAAGGCGTGCCTTTCGAGAGCTGGGTAGGAGGATCCTGGTGATCAACTACCGCTTTGCAATTCAGTAATACGTGATATGAGCAAGGAAGCTAAAGGCTCAGGAGACAGTAGGCAAGACTGCCATCGCTGCCATCTGCGCTGTATCCGCCGCCGGTCCGCCGACGACAGGCGTAAAACGTGACAGCTTCTGCCATGCCATTGTGCGCCCGCGACTCGGAGTTTATTTGTGTGCAGGGTGACCGGACGCATTCATAACAAGGCTATCGATTCTCTTCAGGTTACAGTAGCTGTGATGACGCCCAGTTGACACAGGCTTCTCCGGAGTCTTGTCCTTGTTGACCTTTCCTCCCGAGTCCTCGTATACCTTCACCCCGCGCCCCCACTGCTTCGCGCGCTCACCCCAGTCGTCGCGTACTCCCCATATATGCGCCTCATGCAGACGCGGGGCTTCAGGCCGACCGTCCTGTAGACCCGATGTACCCTCATTCGCCGCCTCGATTGCGAAGTCGCTGGAAGGTGCGGTGCTCCGGGGACGCTCCCAGTGGGTCGTATTGTGGCTACGGCCTGTGCCAGGGGTGTCTGTGAGCACACCTGCCTCGGAGCGCTCCCACTTGCGTGAACTGAGAGGGAGGGGAGTCCAGTGTTCCTCTTGGGCGTAGCTCTCGCTTGTCATTTCGAGGAGACGGGACAGGGCGCGTTTGAACGCGAATTGCTCGTCCTTGCCTGTGGTTCAAGCAGTCTGAGAGTCAACACAGCATGAAGAGCACGACTAACATTATATACTAACCAGAGAATATAGACAGCGTATCGAGCGCGAGTGCAGATGTAGGTGCCCTCGGTGCCTCAGCCATGTTCGGCGCGTCGTAGGAAGATATGTTAGGTCTGTAAACGTCTTGAGTTTCTGCGATTGCTTCGGCCATCATGACGTCGACGTCGTGTTGCGGTGGATGGCCGGTAGCATTGCCCGAGGCGTCGTCCAGCGCAGGAGTAGGGGCATCAGGGAAGAACAGCCCTTCGGGCTTCGTCTCCGAGAGGCAGACAATCCTACACCTTGCTTCGTAGAGCGCATCGATGAGGGAGATAAACCGACGTGCTTGATTCTTGGCCGAAAGCTTAAGGATGGGAATGTCTGTGAGAACGACGGTATGATATGCGGATGCCAAAGTGATGTAGTCTGCTGGGCCTAGAGACTGCGAGACAGTTAGCCGCCTGAACGTATGACAAGCATTCGACATGCCTCTTCACATAATGGTGCAAAGGCGAACTTGCATACGCCTCCCGCAGTCCAGGGGACGTATATTCTCCGACCGAACACTACCAGATCTGCTGGCTTAGAGGCTGTTTACCGTTAGTCTTCAAAGAGTACCCTGAAAAACTAATACTTACTGGTGTCGGGTCCAACAAACGACCTCACCTTCTTCTCAAACTCTTCATCCTGTCCTGACACATACCAACTCGCGCCCTGACCCTCGGATCTGCTCGCCCTCTCGGCGCGCCAGTCCTTCTCCGAACGCATGAGCACCACAGGGCACCTCGCCTTCAGCGCCTCCACAAAGGGCTCCAGCCGCTCTTTCTGCACGCCATTCTTGTAGAGGTCGTCCGGCACTTTGTTCGAGCTGCCGACGACGACACCGCCCATGCGCCAAAACCACGAGAGCACGTCAGCAAGCAGGGTAGCGCTCGATACGTCAAGCAGCTGGATCTCATCGAAGACAAGTAGCCAGTGGTGGAGAATGAGACGCTGCGCGACGACGAACGCGATGGGGGGCTGATGGGCGGCGGATGGAGTTGTCCCGAAGCGGGTCGCCTTGCGGACCCACATCGTTGGCAGCTTCCCAGTGTCGAGCAGACCGCGCCAGCGCTCGCGAAGGGAACGTGTCCAAGGAAGGGTTTCGGAAGTAGGATCAGACGCAGATGGGTCGGCAGAATGTACATTGGCCATACGGACCCTCGTCTCCTCCCAGACCGCACGGTACACCTCGAGCACGAGCTCGCTGTAGTGCTTGCGCGCCTTGAACGGAGTAGGCATGGCTGCATACCAGAGGTCTATCAGGAAGCTCTTGCCGGAGCCTGGGGGGCCGGTGAGGAGAAGACCCTACTCCCACGTTAGGAGTCCGGTCGAATTGAGAGAGGAGGCCATACTTTGGGGGTGGTCAGCGCCGCGATCTCCTCTGCATGAGTACGGATGCGGATGAGTGCGCCATACTCCGAGGCCGCCGTATCCGCATCTACCGTAACTTCTGCGTGGTCTGCAGGGGCCCACCAAGGTCGTGCGTTATCACCGAGTTCCCTCTCACTGCCGCTATGGTGAATGTAACGTGTCGCTAATGCGGGTGGGGCGTAGCCGTCTAGCTCTCTCTGTAGCCTCCTGAGCTTCAAAACGCATGTAAGTGGACGCATGTCCGGACTGCACCAAGCATGGATCGCGCACCTGTGCAATAACCCTGACTTGTTCGTCGTCGAATCTCACCCGACCCAAGGCGACCAAACCTCTATATCGTTCCAGCAAGTCCAGCTGCTGAGGCACGCCAGATATCTCTGTGCTGTAATGCCGTGGCGGACCAGTGGCTGCTATTAAACCCGGAGATGCTGCACGTAGTCCAAGATAGGCCCGGGTCGACTTCTGCGTCCCTCCACAGTAAGTGCGAGGAAGCATGAATCCGGAGACTTGAAATCAAACGAGACAAAGCATGTGCATGGACATTGCCCAAGTTCAACCAACCTTCCTAAGGTTGCCCGCCCGAAGTGCAGAACGCGTTCACGGTCCTTGGCCGTCATGAGTCTTCCAGATATATAAGCCATGGAGGGGTCAAAGTTTATGGGTCGGTGGCGTAGTTGGTTATCGCATCTGTCTAACACACAGAAGGTCCTCAGTTCGAACCTGGGCCGACTCATCCTTTTGACACATGTCACGATTGAACTGAGCCTGAATGAGTCTCCCTTTTACGAAACGAAAGATACACACGTAGTTGCTACACAGTTTTGTAGGAGTACAGCAAATTTTGTCCGGTATAGTGCAACCTGATGTAATACGTACGCGCCCGAATAGTCACTCGGTCTCTAGTTCATCACACAATGTGGCTAGAGGAATGGGAGCCACACCTCAGGAGTCTCGGGTATGCCATCAGGGTGCATGTACATATAATCACCCTTCGAGTATACCTCCCTGATAGGTACGCGGTGGCTGATAGGCATCGCGTCAGCTACTAGTAATATTGCATTCCGAGTCATAGTATGGACACGTACTTTATTCTTAGATGGTCCGCCACAAGGAACGCATCACCATGCGAACCGGTGACGAGCCACCACGGATCGTCACACAGTGCACACTGGAGGAATTTCTGGCTTTCTGGCTTCTTCTGCGCTGCAATTGCGCCTTCTCTTCAAGAGGAACGGCGCGGCGCTTCTCATCACCTGAGACTCGCACCCAACGGACCGTTTCACAGTCACGGATTATGTGCAGCGACAGCACCTGACAAACCGATGAGCAACTGCACGTTACACGACGGAAGGAATGGATAGCTTACTGCTCGACGCCAGTTCATGATGAGCTTCCCCTCGCTCTTCCTCGCCCACGGAACGGGGATCTCGTTACAAGTAAGCCGCGCATCCAGATCGTCCATGTGCCGAGCAGTCGCGCTCTCTGGGTCGAGTCCGGTTGCCTGGATGATGGATCGCATTGCGCGAAGATCCTCGTCGAGGACAGGGCGGAGCGTCTTGGCCGACCACGCGCGGAACATCGAAGCATTCGCTACGTCGTACTCATACGGGTCGTCAAAATCGTCCCGCTGAGCACTGCCCGGGGCGCAGTACTGTCGCTGGCACCGATGCGCGAGCACGCCAGGGTAGCGCACGTACTTCCGACACTGATTGCAGTGGAACCAGGCAATCGCAAGGTCGAGGAGCTCCTGACTGGGATGAGCATCCGCCTGTCGTCCCAGACGCTCTGCGACCATATTCGCCAGCTCTGCTTTCCTTCCCGCCTGGTAGCGTTCAATGAGCGCAGGGACGCATGCATCCCGGAAAGTCCTTCGAGTGATCTCGACATCGTTCGAAGCTTCCACGAGCGCGCGGAGTTCGGGTATCAGGGCCATGTCTGCGAACTTTGGTGTATGCTCCTTGTTTGCCGTAAGGCGGACCTGCGGTCCTAGCTGTAGCTTAAAGACTACCCAGCGTAGGTCGCACAGGCGAGAATGGAGGAACATTCTCTTTCCTCGCGGAGACGTGCACTCTGTACATCGTCATGGATGCTGTAACATCCGTACGAATATTTTGCCAACCTATCCCGGAAAGGGTTTAAATGAATCAAGGAATGGCCTCAATAACTCGTGGAAAGGACACACCCTTGTCTGTAAATTCCCAGGGATACGGACACCAGGGAAGCTGTTCAAAGCAGCGAAGTTTTTCTCCTCCATTTTATCCAAGTCTTCGCCCCAGCCCTCTTCGCGGAGCTTAACAACAATACTGAAACATCCTGTGAGGAAATCCCGGTGGCGAGCCACACAATTGATTGCCACTTACTCTTGCTGCCGTCTCTTCAATAAATTTCTGTACCATCTTCGACACACCTTGGCATGCTGTGCGAAATCAGCGATGTTCACCGAATCAAATGGGGTCTGACGTACAAGGCGGATGGCGTCCGTGTGCTCTTTCAGCTTTGACAAGTATGTTTCTAGCGTGTTTCCATTGTTGCACAGCTCCCTTATGCGCAGCACAATTTCCCTTCGTGCGCTTTCCTTGTAAAACTTTTGCTGATCATTTGGTGAATACTATGAGTAGATGCTCAGTCAGTAGTACAGTCACAATGCTCCCCAGAAGCGACATGGAATAAGACATACACTCAGTACGTAGGGAGTATAGTCAATGCTGTTTTCATTTCCGAGGGTTAGCTGGAAGCGACCTTCTGTTGGATCAACAGTCTGTAGACTGTGGTGGTGTCAGTAAAGCAGTAAAAAGGAATAATGGCCGCGCACATTCCGTCGAAGCGTGTGCCGATGCATTCATCGCAATACCTGGCGGAGAACTCCCATATCACATGATGTGAGCCGGGTTTGCAGCAATTCTGTTGCAAAAGACTTCTCAGAATGAGGTGCTAGCTGATAGCCAAAAATCATACATGGCAGTAAAGGTTGAATGCGAGATTCGCATACGCAGGCTCGCTCAGATGAGCGGGACAGTCCGGCATGCCTTCGATGTTCTTTCTCGCGGCGGCCACACGGCCTTCGACCTACGCTTCTGCATCAAAAAGGAGCGATACACTTGTTCGTACGCGCAAGGCGTAGTAGATCCATAGGCTCGAGGTACCCGAAGATCTACGCAGGTTGTAAGCATCGCACCAGATTCAAGTGGCACTCGAGTGTCACTAGGAGTTGACAAAGACCAACCTCGTGTATAATGTCCAGAGGCATAACAAGAAGAGTCTTTATTCTACTAGATGACATAATGCTTGTCTCGTTGCTTGAGATGTTCTCTTGGTGTGCCATTGGTCGCTGGGTGTCTGTCTTTGAGATGCTCCCTACTGGGCTTGAATGGAACACTCTTGCTCGCTTTCGCATTAAAGGCATCACAGTTAAGCCGAGTAAACGAAGTCACTGTATAATTGGTACAACTTGACCGAGGGGGGCCGGGAGGATGACGGTGGTCAAAGAGAAAGTAGCCAGCAGCCACAATGGGGCGCGCGTTACGCGTTGTGGCTTAAACGCGGTCACGTGGGCATGTACACTGCAATCGGAACTGGAAAAGGCGACCATTATAATTTCATCGTGATTTTATCATGCCGGGCTTCGACGTCGTCGACAACACCTGCTTGTACACTGCTGAGTCTTGTACAGTTGGTCGGAGGATGGCAGAAATTACTGTAGGAGCAGTGATTGCTTACGGCTCGTTGTCACCTCAAATCTGTTCTATGTTCTACAAGCAGCGTGATACAACTATGTGAGGTGTCTCTGCGAGCTCTACAGTCTTGCCTTGACGACCTTGCTGCTCAGCAAATCCTCAAGGTCCCGGAACTTGTAGTAAAATTCCAGAGACTCGGGGTTCGCGACAGTCCCACTTGCTTGAGAGTGGATCCGGACACGATCTGCTTCACGGCAATCTCTATCTTCTAGATCTGTCCTACGGATCTCGTCAACCTCGAATATGTACGCAGGCACGTGCCGCGGGCTGAGTGCCGCCGGATGGCTGCGCGTATGCGGTTTGTCAGAGCGTCGTCGAACGGATAATTCGGGCGCATCTTGAGGAACAAGAGAACGCGCTCGTCCTTGTCTTGCGGCCGCCGTGCCCGACACATACGAGTCGTCGACAGCGTCGGAGAAATCTTCGAGCACGGAGAGATCTCCGCTGAGCCAAAGCGGACGCCACTGGGTTCAGGACACCGTCACTGTCAGGAATTTAGCATGGTCAACACAGGCTCACAGGTGGGCCAGCGAGTGAAACGTATTGTAATTCCTCCGGCCAAGTATCATCAACCCATCAGTCTTCGGGTTCTTGACGATGAAGTCACCTTGGTGCCATGTACGCCTACCCAATGTTCAGCGCCGATCCTTTTGAAAGCAACCACTTTTGGTCCATACCAGCGTAAGTAGAAAAGTACGCCTTCTGGACTTTCTCTCCAGAGTCATCGCCCCAGAAGCCGAGCGGTTGCGACGGGTGTGGTCTACTAGTAGTGCAGACGAGCTCGCCAGGGACACCCGTGTCCTCGATGCTCTTGCCGCGGCATCGAATATTTCAACCTTCATGCCCAAGAGCTTGCCTTGAATCTCTGCAATGTTTAGGTTGGTCCAAAACTGTGCTTAGTGCAATAGATACGTGAAGCGCTTACCTCCCGCATAGACAGGCAAAGCGATATGGGCCTTGGATACTGCATCGTCTCGTTCGCCATGCTGACCGGGACGCCCATCGACGGAGCGCTCCTCGGGCAAGGCTCCGTGTGCAGTGGCCCAAGCCGGCCCGTCGTATTCAGCGCGGTAAGTCTCGCGTGAGACCGCTGGTTGAGCGCTGGCTGATTATGCGTCGGTCAATGCAGATCGTGATGGTGGCCGGCGCTGGGTTTACGTGTATAGGGAGACATTTCCTCGTAAGGGTGAAGGGCACGCAGTGGACGTAGATGGGCGGAAGTGGGCGGAGGATGCATAGCGTAGCAACACGGACGGGATTGATGTATCATAGACGTCTGTATCACCACTACAGTTCATCGCCTTGTACTATCACCGAAAAGACACAATGATACTTATACGTCACCGCATGTCGAGGTGCACTTAGTACCTGCCTGTGGCAGATGCTTAGTGCCCGTTCTGGCATGAGCGCTATCCTGTGTACTCGAGTACTACGCGCGCATTCTTGCTCCGGTCTCTCTGTGCCAGCCAGTTGAGTGACGATTCAACGAAACAGAGGTACGTACTGGAGGTGACCGGTGACAGCTACAGGCTGTAGTATAACCTAAGGTTCGCGAGATGACCATGAACGGGACGTTTCACGTGACCGCGTCGCGCTTGGTACTGTGTCGGCGTTGGTGTGAGGCTGACGCGGGACGTTGGTCGCGGTCAGAATCGTGAGCCAGCCGCGTCCGCCGGGCTGACACCGTATCCAGAGTATATAAGGACCTCTGGAGCAGAGCGAATCGTTACCCCGCCTTTCCTTCCCACCTCCATCTTCTCCTCCTTCAACGGCCTCCTGCCGGCTGTTGGACTCGTGCACGGGCTATCCACGGTGAACATTGTTCTCTCTCCTTGCCTCATACTCACCATGTATCCTGCAGCCTGAGACAAGGTGAGTGGGTTCCGTTCCGCCGGCTTGTCTGTGGTTCGTGGTTCTTGGTCCGGCTCCCCTCATGTACCATCCACCCATCGCGCCTGTCATACCCCTCCTACCTGTCCACTCAACTCTCGCTCATGTAGTGTTTGTGGGTTCGTTGCGGCAGCGCCGAAGGGCTGCTGTCCGCTTGCCCCCGCGTGCGGAGCACATGCCGCGGGTGGCCTACTGACGGCAGCACCGAAGGAGCTGTCCGTCCGCCCCCGTGCCGAAAGGCTGCGGGTGGCTTCGCCCTCGTGCTGCGAGTGGCTATATGGGTTCGTGGTTTGCGTTTCGGGTCACCGTCTCCTGCATGTATCTCCTCATCGCGCATGTGTCGACCCTCCTGCCTGTCCATCCACTTCCGCGCCTGTCTTCGTAGCTAGAAAACCTGTGATGCCCGCAGTCTGTACCACCAACGGGTCGAACACGTTCCAGTTGGCGCGCGTGAGCCGTTGGTGGTACAGGTTGTGAATGGTTTGTGAGCATGTACTATATGCACTGTGACGTACGAATACTCAAGTACTCAGGTTCAGGCAGTCCGTTCAAGGACGAGGCGCCTTCGTCGACTGTTGCGAATAAGTACCTACTTTCGACGCGCTATAGTACTGCGCGGCAACCGACAGCCCCCATTACAAGGACATCTCAGTGCGTTACCCAGACGCCGAACCCCTGCGTAGAGCTGAAGTGAGACGATGCATGGCCGTTGGTAGTGATTCCTGCGTGAGAACTTCTCAGCGAAGGCATTTGATATTTAAATTGTACAACACCTGAAAGAACGATGCAAGGCGCGCACCTCCTTCTCGCATACCGATATACGTGAAGCGAAGGTTTGACAGAAGGCCTAGAGACTTTCTTTAGGGTCGTTTTAAGTACTGCCAACAGTGAGCCCATAGAAGACCGTCCTCTCCTCCGTCAAAGGGGTCTTCTTTAGGGTCTCCCTAGGGGAGACTTACGGTGAGCAGAGCGGAGCAAGGATCATCAGTGGATACTTAGGTGGCGGCAGGAGGCCGGTCTGTTCACCGAAGGCTTCGTACATAGTGCAAGCCTGAGCGCCGAAGACCGAAGCGACTTGCATCTCACCGTCACCGAACTATTCGTTGCACTCATCTCTTATAATCCGCAGTCGATGTGCAATGCCAAGCCGCGACGTGCACGATGCGACATAGCCCTCTCCTCAGCTCGGACGATTTGCAGCACCAGTACTCGATTAGCGTTGGAGAACTCTTGAAGAACTCTCAGCTTTATTTTTCCCCAGTGCAACGACCTCGACGCCGCTTGTCGGACTCGCAGTGCTGATCCTTGGCTACCGCAGCGAGCACCGATTCGCCAGTAACAAAATTGATGCAATGTATTCAGTCTCGCTCAGCATCTAGGTCGGCCCGTCCTTACTGTTCATGACGAGATGCCGGCCGAATATCGGCCTTCCAAGTTGGTGTGCGTCCATTGTACTACTTGACCAGCCTGATCGTGTCCAGGTTATACGAAGTCAACGAAAGGTCGCGTCTTTGCGGTATGCTGTCGCATACTGGACGACTACAGTCCCGGATCGCGACAGTGTGGGCGGAAGTAGCTATGGAGTCGCACCCTGCATGTTCGTGCGTGTGGTCTCATGATTGCACTAATGAGACATCTGACTCGCTATTCTAGGGCACGACGTTTACACCGCATGCCGTCAGTCCGCTAGGACATCCAGGACGTTATTTACGCGTGTGCGACGGCGCGTCGCGTCGCGCCTGGACAGTGCACACAACCTGTCAGGGAGCACTATGACACGTCTGACATCGCTACTTCTGAGTGCGTTGGCCTGCTTACTACCTGTGCATGTCAAGGCCTGGAATTCAACCTACTACAATCCTGGCTTCCACCCTGATCTCAGTTGCATTGCATATTTGTTCCTGAGGAGGACAACACGTTCTTCTGCGCGTCGAGCAGCTTCAATGCGTTTCCCGGTATCCCGATACATGCCAGCAAAGACTTGATCAACTGGCGGCTCGTCAGCAATGCTCTCAACCGTCCCGAGCAGTTGCCAACCCTTGCCATTACGAACAAGTCCACCAGCGGGATATGGGGTTCCACGGTCCGCTACCGCGAAGGCACGTTCTATGTGCTCACGACGCTCGTCTTTGACGACCAGCCCGAAACGAACTCCTCGCGCTGGGACAACATGATCTTCACCTCCAGGAATCCGTATTCATCCGCGTCCTGGTCGCAGCCCGTGCACTTCAACTTCACTGGATACGACACCTCGCCGTTCTGGGACTCTGACGGCACCGTCCACGTCGCGGGTTCGCACCCCTGGGAAGTTACTCCCGGAATCACGCAGACGACACTCGACCTCGCCACGGGCGAGGTCGGCGCAAGCTACCAGTACATCTGGAACGGCACAGGCGGCGAGGCGCCCGAGGGCCCGCACATCTACTGGCGCGATGGGTACTACTACCTGATGATCGCGGAGGGCGGGACGGGCCTGAACCACATGGAGACGATCGCGCGGGCGCGCGAGGTGGGCGGGCCATATGAGTCCAACCCGGCGAACCCGATCCTGACGAACGCCAACACGAGCGAGTACTTTCAGACGGTCGGCCACGCGGACTTGTTCCAGGACGCGGAGGGGAACTGGTGGGGTGTCGCGCTGTCTACACGGTCTGGACCCGACTACACTGCGTTTCCGATGGGACGCGAGACGGTGCTGTATCCGGTTACGTGGGAGGAGGGCGAGTGGCCTGTGCTGCAGCCTGTGCAGGGAGAGATGAGCGGTTGGCATCTACCGAAGACGAACTTCGACGTGCCTGGAGAAGGGTGTGTCGCTTCATGAAGGCATCCGAGTACTATGGCTGACGCAGCCCAGACCGTTCGCTGACTCACCAGACTATCTCACCTTCTCGCCTGGATCCCTTTTGCCCATCCATCTTGTGCACTGGCGGCTGCCTATCAATACTTCGTACATCATCTCGCCACCCGGCCATCCCAATACACCCCGTCTTCTGCCCTCGAAGCTTAACCTGACGGCTCATGATGGAAATTACGCTGGCCTCGAGGGTCAAACCCTACTCGCCCGAAGACAGACGGACACGCTGTTCGCGTACAGCGTCAGCATGGACTTCGCACCATCCCTTGAGGAAGAGGAAGCTGGTGTGACGGTCTTCCTGACACAGGTGTGTAGATGCCCATCTATCAAGAACCTATATATTGATCTCTGTGAGTAGTAACGCAGAATCACCATCTCGGTCTTGGGATGGTGCTCCTGCCTTACACGAACACAAGTACAAACATAACAGCGCTCACTCCATGCTTCCGATTGCGCTCCGTGTCCTATATCGCTGTACCGCCTAGACGGTGACTCCCGTACCCGGTGCATGGCTCGACCGAACGCTGCATTGGGAGATCAAGGCATCCAACCTTACGCACTACAGCTTCGCAGCGGGTCCTGCGGATGCCCGCTCGCAGATGCAGATGATTGGCTATGGGCTCGCGGCGGATGTCAGCTGGGGCTTCACGGGTGCGTCTGAAGGTTTGATCTGCCAGGGCTTGAAGAAGCTGATACGATGTACCGCTGTAGGGACGCTGATTGGCATATACACGACGAGCAATGGGGGCGAGGGGACTACGCCTGCTTATTTCTCGGAATGGACCTACGTGGGGCAAGGACAATACCGGAATTGAGAGGACTCCAGTTCAGATTGAAGATGTCATAATGGCCGGTCGAACTGTCGAGCATTGAGCGTATGCCACGGTACATACCTCGTGTCAACTCATACTGACAAGTCGACGTCGAAGCAACCTGCTGCTGAATTATCGATCAGGTCGCAGAATTGTCAATAACAGTGAAGTTCAAAGACTGGTTTGGCCCGTCCCACGAACACAGGACGCATTACCGTACTGCGCGCGAGTCCAACCTGTACCACACGTTGCTCTGAACATGACCATCGGGTTTCGCCAATTCTGCTTGGCATGCAGCTCGAACCGCTGAACTTTGCACTGCGAGATCAAGGCGTCAACACATGTGAAGGTGGATGCCAGTGCCAGTGTGCGCAAGATACATGGTCATAGATGCCCACAGGGAGGCGGAGGATCTTGAGCCGCATGTTGCAGAATGGTGCGTAGTTGGGGCGCGTTCTTAATTGTAATTTTCTGACGAAGCTTGCTATGATGGAGGCCTTAGTCGCCATACGAGCAATGGGCGAGGTCGCGTGTTCACGTCCTCGAAAGACTCAGAGATGTACGTATGACGGGCGAGGATAGCATGGCGACTGAGCAGCTCCGCCTTGGCTCAAGACCAGAAGGCCGTCCTCTCCCTCACTCAAGGAGGTCTTCTGCCTAGGGGAGACTAGCTCAAGACGCGGGTTGCTGCACTGCGCAGTGTCCGTGTGGCGCCGTACTCAGGCATGCGCATCGAAGTTTGGCTCGTGTGTCTACTGTCAGTTTCCACAGTCCAAGGTGTCCGTGCCCGTTTTCTTCTCGTCTGCGCCTGGTAGACATCTGATGCCATAATACCCTCCCCTTCGCTTCTGAACTGAGGTGACTCTACTCAATCATTATCAGGCATATGCGTATTGTAAGTGCGGGGTAGTGAGACCGGCGTAGGGCTGTTCTAACGAAATCCGCAGGAGGCGCGGTTGTGTGACGGCACTTATATTCGGGCGCAGGTCACTGAAGGATCAAACGCATGGCAGAGGCATATGACATTCAGTCGTACTTATCAGTAGACACGCGATGATCCATATCTCATCCCGCGCATCACGAGATTGTAAGAAATTAACCCGAGCAGCTTGAACCTGACCGTCCATTTGTGCGTACGAGGATCTACAACTGCATTCGAAGATATGAGGATGAATCTGCGTAAGTCTCCCTTGACCTTGTCACGTACTGCTTATCTATATATCGACAGCATCGTTGATCGTAGTAGTTGGTCGTACACTGCATTCGGACTGCATTGGACCTCAAGGCCTCACATCCTGTCCACTCGGCAACCGAGTGTTCTTGGAGCGTCCCAATGCACAGTCAGCCGCCGGCCGCATCGAACACAAGATTCGCCTCGACGGAGCTCGAGGCCGCCTCAGCTTTCAATCAGCGGTCTTCATAATTGGTGGTCATGACAGGGTGATGATGGCTATCGTCATCGTATCGCATGGAGCCCCGCGCTAGAAGACCTATTCTCCGAGCACGCCGTCTCAACGAAGCCGGCAGAAGCATCAATCGAGCCAGGACAAGATATGTTGCCCATGCGTCCTTGCTCTGCCCCCACGATTATGCTTGAGAAGGTAGTCAAGCATTTCTGAAGGCGGTCCCGGTTCGCCGCATATCTATCACATCCCGCATCGTCGTTCTTGGCCCATGCCTACGACGACGGGCTATAAAACAACTGCAAAGTAGGATGTCCTCCAGCTCTCGGCACCCCAGCTGGAGACGTTCACGCACCTGCAGGCACTGACGACCATGGTCTCTCGTCTCCTCGTGGTCACCTCGCTCCTTGCCCTGGTGCTCGGAAAGCCGGTACGCAGGGATCTGCAGCTACATGAGTCTCGTTCGAACGCCCCGGGTAGTTTCTCTCTCGTTGGACCTGCCGCCGATGACACGAATCTAGCCTTGCGTTTGGCTCTCGTGCGGAGCAACACCGCTGGACTGATTGATGCTCTCTACGACGTCAGCACGCCTTCGAGTGCACACTACGGAGAGCATCTCACCAAGGAAGAGGTAAGACTCGTGTGTTCACGCCTTCCCTTGTGAAAGTTACTGACATTGTGTGACAGGTTGAAGCGTTTGTGGCTCCGAAAGACGAGACCGTCTCTGCCGTCAACGCATGGTTGAGCCAGAACAACTTGCAGTCAACTCCGCTCACCTCCACTGGCGACTGGCTGTCTATCAACGTTCCGGTCGGCCAGGCGAATGAGCTGTTTGGCACGAACTTCTCGGTCTACGCGCATAGCAGCACCGGCAAACAGGTCATCCGCACGCTCGCGTATTCCATCCCCACTGATCTCGTCGGACATTTGGATTTGGTGCACCCCACAATCACGTTCGTGCCTTGAATCTGCGTTTGCGACATAATGCGGAATCTGATTACCGATTCAAGGTTCCCGGACCCCTACGGCAAGAACCCGATTGTGAAGACCGTACCGCCCTCCAAGCGTTCCGAGACGTTCTCCGAGCGCGCAGACGACTGCCTCATTAATGGGACCTACATAGCGCCATCGTGCCTGCAGTCATTGTACAACATCCCGACAACTCCGGCTACTAGCGCGTCGAACAAGCTCGCGGTTACCGGCTACGTCGAGGAATATGCGGAATACAGTGACCTCACGGTACGTGGCAGATTGAGTTGCTGACGGATGCACAGATTGTCTAATTGCAGCGATAGTCGTTCCTGGAGCAATATCGACCTGACATGAGCTCTAGCACGTCTTTCAGCATCGTGACGTTGGATGGTGGTGAAGACCCGCAGAACGGCGAGGCTGGCGACGAAGCGGTTGGTCACCGTCAGTGCTCCATAGCTCCGCGTAGTCATTGACCATTCGATCTTCCATAGAGCCTTGATATCCAGTACACAGTCGGTATCGCGACGGGAGTGCCGGTGACCTTTATCACCGTTGGCGGTGACGTTGAGAATGGCACGGACTTTGCGAATGTCCTTATCGACACCGCAAGCTACCTGCTCAACCAAACAGCGCCTCCTCAAGTGGTGACGACGAGCTACGGCCTCGATGAAGAAGAGATCTCACAGAACCTCGCCTAGTAGGCCTCCTTCTAGTTCTAGAGACATCCGAGGTTGACGGACTTCGCTTGACAGCAACCTGTGCGATATGTACGCCCAGTTGGGTGCCTTGGGCGTGTCAGTGCTCTTCGCATCTGGTGATGGTGGTGTATCCGGTGGGCATTGGGACCCCTCCTGCACGACCTTCCTGCCTACCTTCCCTTCCGGTTGTCCTTAGTGAGTCGATCGAGTTCGGCGATCATTTGTCTGTACTCACCACGGACCTCGTGCAGCGTCACCTCTGTCGGTGGCACAATCAACATCCCGGAGACAGCTGTGAACTTCTCCGGTGGAGGATTCTCCAACTACTGGCCCACGGCCGACTTCCAGAAGGATGCCGTCTCCACCTACCTCTCTGGCATCGGCAGCACCAACAGCGGGTTGTACAACGCATCCGGTCGCGGTTACCCCGACGTCGCGACCTACGCAGTAGACTTCGAGGTCCTGATTGACGGGTCAGTCTATGGTGTGAGCGGCACCAGCTGCGCGTCCCCGACGTTCGCCAGTGTTGTCGCTCTGCTAAACGATAAGCTCATTGCTGCGGGCAAATCGACGCTTGGCTGGCTGAACCCGCTGTTGTACTCGACCGCCTCGTCTGCCTTCAATGACATCACGGAGGGCAATAACTATGCTTGCTCCCAGTACACCACTGGATTCGACACCGCTACCGGCTGGGATCCTGTGAGCATCTTCCGTTCGTCCGTGTCCGACGTGCCGCCTAACTATGAACATAGGTCACTGGTTGGGGCACACCCGACTTCACGAAGCTGTTGTCTGCTGTCGGCCTGTGAGAGTATACGAACCTCATGAACATTTGAACTCAAGAATTACGTCTATACGGCAATTTGTTGTACGAAACGGACAATTGACATCAGCGGACGGTATGAGAGTTTATACTGATGTGCATTTTGTAATGGTTATACACCACTGTAAGCGGACGGGAACGCTCCTTATGGTGATCGTTTTCTGCGCAATTTGGGTATACGGTATCGATGGATTGGCCGTCGGAGTGGGTCATACCTACTTGGTAGATCCAATCGAGGCACCGTGATCTCCATCCTTACCCCGCGTACCCATTGGATGGCTCGGCATCGACTGTGAACCTCTGTGAGCACGGATACGGGCTGTAGGTCCCTGTGGGCCGATCCAGTGTGCGTCAAACATCAGCAAGGATCTCCACAAGGACATCCTTGACTGTTCTCCGCTCCCGCACCGCCGGCTCGTCTTCGGTCTGTTGGTGATTCAAACCGCGCGGGATGCTCACAGCGGGGAACATCACGCTGCCCATGACCTCATGATCAGGCCCGTCGCGCACGCGAAGCCGGTGCGAGACAACTCGGGGAAAGATCCTCGCCACGTCGACCTCGGAGACGTCCCACCCTTCCGGCGGCTTAGTCGGCGCCGGCGTAGGTGCGCCCAGAGTCGGCGACATGGCCTGCTGACCGTCGTCGGACGCCGGGAGGTCGACATTCAGCGGAGTGTTCTCGTCACCGTGTCGGTCGAAGCTGGGTCGCGGGACACCTTGCGGTGCAGCCCAGTCCATCCCCACGATCTCTTTCTCCCACCCGCCGGTCACCCCCGCGCTCTCCGTGTTGGTGCTCCCGCTGTGTTCTGTGCCAGAGCTTTCCTGTTCGAGCTCTACAGCGACCTGCACGAGCTCTGTGCCGAGTGAGTTGCCGGCGAGAATGCGGAAGGCACGGGCAAGAGCTTCTGCGTCTAAGTGAGCCTGGTGTGTCAAGGACGTGCCGTCGAGCACAGGGTGATGCCGTGTTGCTGCGAAGAGGTCGCGTAGGTAGGATACCAGTGAAGGATGGATGTTTGTGTACGCGTGGACTTCGGCAGTAGGTGCGGGACTAGCAAGCGCACGCAGTATCGCGAGATCAGAGGCGGATACCACGGGCGACGTAACAGAGCCGTGCGATGGGGTGGATGGAAGAGGGGCAGAGCGGGAGGTAGGCGTTCGCAGTGAGGCCATGGGCACGTGGTCGGTATGAGAGGGGAGCGATTGGAGAGTCGGGAATGGAGACCCACTTGGGGTTGAAAGGGGTGTTCCCCGATATGCTGCATATGCCTGCCTCGCCGAAGGTGTGATCGTGACATCCGCACTTACGGAAAACTTGTCTAGCTACAGTGGTGTCATATCGCACATCAGTATTGATCGTCATGGAGGAACGTTACACTCACGAGTCCCCTGAGTAGCGGCGGGCGCTCACATGGGTCGGCCTTGCACACATAGACCATGAGGAAATCATCCGGCAGGTTCCGTGTGCTCCCATCTTCATCAAGCACGAGCCTCCGTTGGGCTAGGACTTGACTCAGCGCCCTTTGCGCCTGTGAGCCAGCGTATTCTAGACCGGAGACGACCACAGTCTTCGACAACAAGAGAGGCGAGCGGACGTCGTGCTCTTCCATCCCAAAAACAGCCTTTGCATCCGCGCGCTCCTCCCGCTCCCAAAGGATGTCGACGGAGAGCCAATATCTTCTGGCCATGTGAGTCCAGTCAAGGATAGACCAAGAGGTAGTGGTTCGGTACGCGGGGGCGCGCGGCGTGAGCGCAGAGTGGAAGATGGTGTGGCTGTAGAGGCCATCAGGAGAGGGCGCCTCGAGGACGCCATAGACATGTTATCGACGAAATAGTCCATGGCCTCTTCGGTATGCCCGGTGTCTATGGATCTCGAAAGTCGTAGTGGTGAAGGGCGGGGCGTCTGCGAAGATGAACGGCGACGTCCATGCATCGATGATCTGAGGGGTCGGGTCACCGTGCGTGGAGTCAACTCAGCACTAAGGCGTTTGGATTCCGCAGAGACTGGTCTGCGGAAGAATAGGTTACGGAGAAACGCATCAGGCGATGCAGAGATGTCGTGAGGTTGTAGACGAGTGTGACCTCCGCGTGTACGGGCCGCATCTGCCTTGGGGGCGACTTTGTACTTGTGGGTCGATAGGCCGAACACAGTTGTGAGTGTCTGGTAAAGAAAGAAAATCAGTTCACATTATGACTGGATTACGCTGCTGTTCACTCAAGGAACAGTTTCAGGAGACTACTGTGTCGTTTCGACCATAGGTTCGCGGGGTTAACCTGTAACCAACGAACTAGCGAAATCCCCAGTTCACATGGTCTGATGACCTGTGACCACAGAACTTGGATAGTTCACCGGTGGCCGGGGCAGGCGGCGAGTGACCGCCTTTGCCCGCACTGCGTCGCAGGCCCGAAAATGCATTCGTATACCTGTGACCACCTACAGGAATCCTTTGTTCGAACCCCTCTGTGACCTGTGACATGTGAACTGAAACCCTAGTTCGAGAGGGAGTGCGACCTGTGACCGAACCTATGGTCGAAACGATACAGTATCTGCTCGAGATGTGCAAATCATCCTGACGACGGAACTCACCAAGCTAACAATATGAAGTAAGACAGCGACATCTTCCTCCCTGGTCCGCAAGATGAGATTCGCGCATGTGCTGGGAACCTTGGCGAATTGATCGGTGGAAGGTAGGCTTCCAACAGCAGACGATGACGACTTGAAAGGCTTCGCTATGCGTGAGACGAGACTGAGCAGAAGAGACTGAAGAACCACTGCATCAATCGGTAATGTTGGATACGTCGCATGTATATTCGAGAGCAATGTTGAGAGGTACTCTGGTGACCCAGGGACTGCTGGCACCGGATGCTGGCCCGCGATAGGTTCCGACATCGTGCTGGCCAAATGATGGCTTGGCTTGGACAAGCCGACAATGCTCTACAATTGCATGACAGAGCTGCCGGTCTTCCAACTCAACCGATACTATGAGTAGCGGTGCCCCGCCACTTGGGCACTGGCAGAGATTGTACTGGGCGGGTTCACGGCGGCGGTGACTCGGAGCACCTGTTCTCTGGCACGCCGACCAGTACACCCTGAAAGAGTGTCTTCAGAAGCTCCCCAGCGAGCACATAGCCCTACGGAGCAGTCAGTATAGGCAGGTATGGGCTCGACCCGACAGTCGCGGGCAGACATTTCGTTCCAGCGCTTAATACAGCGTTGTTGTTCAATTTGCGCCACCGAGCTCAAAACGGCAAGTCTAGTCGGTTAACCCCTCCTTCTATGATCCTCGCAGCATTCTCCGCTCTTGCAGCCGTCTTGACTGTGCGCAACTTCTTTCGACGCAACGCAGTATCAAGCAGTGTATTTGCTTCATGTCATCGTTGCCGGACCAAGTGACTGCGGTGCCGTCGTACCGCGCAACTTGGGAGTCGACACTCGGATACTACCGTCATGACTACATAATGTAGTCTCATTATCGAAGGCTTTCAGACGTGTCCCAAAGTTTTTCGACTCAGGTTTGCCACTGCGTGTAGGCTGGCGCTTCATAGCTGCCTTCTCACAATACAGCGTCCAAGAAGTTCTTCCACCGAGTCGCGGGCAGTGGCTCGGAGGTCTGTGGACTTGCTTCTGCAAATTCGCATCAAGACCCTCGTTTTCGGTGATGTCTCTAGTCAGTCCCTTATCCGTGTGTCAGTATGTAACAAGATGAGTCGATTTCGGATAGACAGGCACGATACACATGGAATGCAAGAGAAGCTCAGATCACTGTTGGACCCGCGTGCTCTCGACGGATCCCTCTCACTGCTGTCTGTTGCAGTTCCCAGACTGACTACTCCTGTCTTCTATGCCGGGATTGCTTTCTCAAGGACGCCTCACTCTGTTGCGGCAACATCCATACGACATGTTCCAGCTGAGCATTACTGCAACTGCGATCATAGCTTTGTTTGCTATGCTAACAGCTTCACTGGCACCACGTCAAACTGTATGTCGCGGCCTATCTTAGCACTCGAGAGATGAGAAACTGATGTTCTAGACTGTCAGTTACAACGGAAGTCGTCGGAACAGCCTATCTACTCACAATCGATGCGAGGCTTGTTCGAATCTGACTTGCTACTCGGCCCCCTGAAGGACTGCTCTACTAGACCGACGGGTGCATTAAGCGAGCTACCTAGACCTCGAAGTTAGCAAATGCATATGGTGCGTTGAGGTTGTTCCTGTATTCACCTTCCTAGATCATCCTGTCAGACATTCGACCTGATCGGTGATCAGAATAAATCATTCTGTGCAGAACGCACTCGTCACGCATCAGACACGAACTCAATGCTCCACCCATGAACGGTCGCTGTGACATAAGTCGCCTGAAAATGGTCGGTTAAAAGTTGATGTTGCATTCATGCTACTTATTGCTCCGCTCGCAGGTATGTCTGTAGGACTTTCTCAGGCTGGAGTGCTAAATGGCAGCAGTTGACGGTAATCCCTCATCCTATCAATGTGTTCTCTTCATACCGTGACCCGTTGGTTTAACGCCGCATATCATGCGACTTGTGCAGTGATCCTGCGTGCGTGCACCTCTCATACGTCTATGAAGCTTCCTTGTTAGACAGTGATAGGATATTCGTGCGGCGCATGACATTACATCACAATTAAGTTCCACTGCGGGGACTTAATGACAATATGTTCTGGGGAGCATACATGCACGAGTACCCTGTTTCTCACAGTCACAGAATGTGGACTTTGACAGCTCGGGAACACCTCATTCAACGGCAGTGCGTCCTCTTTCTGTCATGATTCTCTTCCTGCCCCCTGAGTTACTCACCTGCCTAGTACCATGCGTAGGGCGGCGATGTCGTGACATCTTGATGAAGTTCTTGTCAGTACGTCCGATGTTGTCCTGAACATCGAGATTTTAACGGTGGTGTTCGGCTATAGGAATATTGCACCGCATGCTTCAGACATCACTCGGAATGGCCCATTGTGTCGTCCGTCCTGACGGAAGCGTGGGCACTTCTACTGCACCCCGTGGCGCACGATGACCAAAACTCAACGTTTGTGGTCCTACACTCCGCACGCCGCTGTCTATGCGCAGAAATACTTCGTCTGGAGTGCCCCAAATATATCGACCGAGCAAGTTGGACACAGTGACGTATGACATCGTATACTCTTGAGCAATGGTAGGTACTGCGGGCCAATTGCTTATCATCCCATTCCGCTGGTAGGTCATTTGTTCCTATGCTCAAGCAGTCTCATTGGCCCAGGCTACTTCACGGACCCGCACGACTGCACAGAAATGATTGCTCTGTTCCGGCGCGCCCCACCACGCGGTCCTCAGGTCACTAATGCACATGCCAGAATCCTCCTTCACCAACATGTATCCATTCATTCGGCCGGTGTAAGCATCCAGGTGAGTCAAGCAGCTGACCGATACTCTCTCGCCGTGTGCTTACCCGTCGACTGACCCTGCGCGGCTCCAAGATCGCAGATATAAATTCCCTCGCTGCTAGACCCGAGGCCCAGGATCTACCGCATCCCTCAGGCTTTTCGCTTTCTCCTCTAATATGAAGTCCTCAGTCGCCCTCGCCGTCGTGTTCACGGTCGGCGCCGCTGCGGACAGGACCTTCACTGTCTACAATGGTTGCCCATTCACGATGTGGCCTGCTGTGCGTATGAGCAAGCGCCCTTCGTATGAAACACAGCCCGTACTCACCGTTTTCTATCGTAGATCTTCACCGGTGCAGGGACCTCAACACCGGACTACGCGACCGGGTACGGTGCCTCCACCCACACCTCGTCTCTACCCTAACTTCCGTTCTGCCAGATGGGAGGCAGCCGAGTATACCTCTGTCTCCTTCTCCGTTCCCGATGACTGGACGGCTGGCCGCATCTGGGTGACAACCAGGGTTCTCATATATATTACCCCCTCAATGCTGACACGGGATACTACTCAGGGACGTCGCGACTGCGATTTCTCGGACTCAAACCCTGCTACGCAATGCGCTGACGGCGGGTGCAACGGGGGTCTGGAATGCAGCGCGGACGGAGGAACGGTGGGTAGTCCGTTCGACAACTCGACGTGCCATTGAGACCGTTCTCACCTCGACGACAGGGCGTGCCACCTGCCACTCTCGCCGAGTTCACCTTGGGAGGTTCTACGGGTGCTCCGGACTACTACGACGGTGGGTGTCCCACACACTAAAAACTGAAGTTGCCATTGTGGTGTCGACTAACCGGACACGCCATTATGATAGTTTCGCTCGTCGACGGCTACAACCTCCCGATGAGCATCACCAACAACGTCGGCTGCAGCGTCGCTGACTGCCCAGTTGACCTCGGACCCGACTGTATGTAGTCATCTGCATTCCGGTGTGACTCGCCAGACTGACGACCCTGCAGGCCCCGCCGCGCTGATCGGGCCATACGATTCGACTGGTTTTCCTGTCGGCTGCAAGAGTGCTTGTGAGGCTAACTTGGACGGAGACCCGAGTAAGCCTTTTTGTTGAGAGCATCTGCGGCGCAAGCAGCTGATCAAATTCGTCTGCAGCGAACTCGGCAAACTGCTGCTCGGGCAACTACGACACCGCGGCTACGTGCCCGTCGTCCGGGGTGGAATACTATTCCTACTTCAGTGAGTCGCGCTCCTCGATCGATCTGCATCGGATCCGCGGAAAGCTAAACGTGAACTGCAGAGGATAATTGCCCGAACTCGTACTGTTATGCGTACGACGAGAGCAGCGGAACGGCCCTCTGGGAATGCGATTCGAGCCTCAACGCTGACTACACCGTGACATTCTGCCCCGACGCTGACGAGGAGTCGGCCAACCATCCCGTGGTTCGTGGTCCGAGAGGAAACAATACGTTGTTTATGTAACGAAGCTGGACGTTTGAGATGACAACGAAGAGAAGATTGTACCATCTGTAATGTACATGTAGCCGCCTGCCCTCGATATTCAATTATTATTCGTGCACGAACACGAATTATAGCGACATCATACGATGCTGGTTTGCTGTCGATGCCCTGTTGTTGGCATGCTTCGTTATTTCTCCATCTTGCGCGAAGCCACTTCATCGCCTGAAGCAGCGATTCGCGAATATGCCACTCTCCGCTAAGCGTTTCTTCGATGGCTCATCTGGTACATGTGATTGGAAAGCAAAGAGACATACTGAGACAACTATGGAACAAATTTTTGCACAAGACGAACACGCCGACCAGCGAGTATACAACTTCATCGCCTGATTCCACGTGCCGCAGGGACGCCACGACCGCGACGAGCTGGTATTGCAAAACAGAATCAGCAGGAATCCTTCTAGATGGACGTAATATCTCACCATTTGCTGTTTGAGAGAGCCAACATGTATGAACAAACAGTACGAGGAGATTCCTGGAGCAGACATACCTCTCATGATCGTAGCCCTTCCACGTGCCGTACCGATACCTCTCCCTCTCATCGCATTCGGGCCCACCCGCTTGAACCTGAGAACGAAACATCAAGGCACCATAATGGGAGTATCAAATCGCGGGACTCACATAGGCGCGTTCTGCAACATGTCCGGTACGATGAAGAATCGAACCATACTTCCCCTAATGTACACCTGGTCAAGTTGCGACACACGACCGTCGCGTCCGGTAACTGTGATATCCTTCAGGGAGATGTTCAGGTTGTCCTCGGCTAGACGATGAACGAGGCGGATTCAGAGTCAACATCAGAGATGGGTTAATTCACGGAGCGCACCTTCAGCGAGCTTTCCTCTGTACAGCTGCCCGGTCTTCAGCTCAACTGTAATTATGTGTCCAAGAGACTCATGCAGCAGCTTTACGGGTACTCCGAGACCCGCGGTGGTCATTTTTGCTAGGCGAAGAACGGCGAGGAAGACGATGAGGATGCAAGTGAGCAAGGCGCCCATGAGGCGCTACAACTGGTAGCTTACATAATTGACAACTCAGCGGTAAGTTAAGCACTTAGCTAGATAAGATAAGATCCCGACCACAAGACCATGCCAGTGCTCGGTCGTCGCGACGGTGCTGGATGCGCACGCAACACTGGTTTGAGCCCGTTCGGCCGACCGCCCCCACTGCTTGATTCCACTCACACACGACGAGGGCGACGGCCCACGCAGCCAGCTCGCTCTTGATCCCCGCTATTCAGCGACGCGCTCAGAACACACCCTGACCATTGGTGAGTCGTGTGCGCGTCTGTCGCTTTCCTGTGCACACTATAATGGCGTTCACCGCCCTCGACTAGCTACCCGCGATGCCTTCTCGGCTGAACCCCACCGCTGCGCTGTGTCGGTGAATGAGGATGGAGTTCCCACTGGTCCTCACGGCGCCCCGTCCGACCCAGCCTGGCGTCGCCAGCGGCTGCTCCGCATTGGGAACGAAGCTCCCGAGTTCGGTGAATCGTCTGCCTTGCGTCCCCCTGGTCCGACCCGAGCAACTTCGTACGGCGCTGTCGTCACGCATGACCGGGCCAGATCAAGCTTCGCTACTCGGCGAGGGTTGAGCGCCATGCCGAGGATCCGGATACCCTTGTACTCAAAGTCTACGCCCGTATCTCCCCGCTCTGCGTTCTCGCACAAGGACTCCTACTTCGCCGGCCAGCGCCCCATCTCCGCTTATGACAAGCCTCCTGCGACCGAGCCGGATTCTCCCGAAGCGAACGCGGACGTCAAGACGAACGGTGTCCGTGTGTGGTATTCATCGTTCACCTCAATCGACTGGCTGCACGATGCGATCAAGGACCAGGCCCGTCAAGCGCGGATCCGGAAGCGCAGGTCAAAGCGGGGACGCATTCTGCGACAGCTAGATCGGAGCATTGGGTGGATTATCGTTACTATTGTAGGCTTCTTGACGGCGATTGTCGCGTTCAGCGTCGTACGTAGCGAGCAGTGGCTGTTCGACGTCAAGGAGGGATACTGTCGCGACGATTGGACGAAGGCGAAGCGATTTTGTTGTAGGGTAGAGGACGACACAGTATTCAGTGCGCGAGCGCCGTCGTTCCTCACGCTCAATGTGGAGGATGACTGCGATGCGTGGCGCCCATGGGCTGAAGTCTTCGGCGCTCTGATCGAAAAGAACGGTGAATGGATGGGGCTCAAGGCTGGCATGTCCCAATATATCGCCTATGCTGTCACTGCGGTACGTCGAAATCAATTCCGAAATGTCTCGGTTACGGTGCGAGCTGATTGGATGGCTGTCTAGCTCACTTGGGCAGTGATATCGGCATTGTTGACAATCCACCTCACTTCTTCCAATTCATTCATCACAAGGAAGGACTCTGGAGTGCTTGCCCCTGACTTCGCAGACGTAGATGAAGACCAGAAAGCCGCAGCCGTTCCTGCCGGCGAACCCAAACGCAAGGTTACTTACTATGTACGTAGACCGATACTTCCATTAGGCTCGCGGTTTCACCGGATGTGGCCTTCATATTGCCTCCATTCTGATGTGTGGCCCGAGTTGAGCGCTCATGAGTGGCGTGTCTTTTCACAGGCTGCGGGAAGTGGTATCCCAGAGATCAAGACAATTCTGTCGGGTAAGATTCATTGACGTACGTACGAACGTGCACCATGCTGAAGTGGCTCTGCAGGCTTCGTCATCCACGGCTATCTCGGTGGCAGGACTCTATTCACGAAGTCGGTCGGCCTGGCGCTCTCCGTCGCGTCAGGTCTTTCTCTAGGTCCGTCATTACGCGCCCGCTTTCGCGCCGATTCTCACTAGGCGCATGTGATTATAGGCAAGGAAGGGCCCTTTGTACACATCGCCTCTTGCATCGGAAACATTGTCAGTCGGTTCTTCAGCAAGTACGAGACTAACGAAGGTATGTACGATGTTGCTGAATACCCGACACCGCTCAATAAGCGATTCAGGAAAACGACGAGAGATATTCAGTGCCGCATGCGCTGCAGGCGTAGCAGTGGCCTTCGGCGCCCCCATTGGTGGTGTTCTATTCAGCTTGGAGGAAGTCTCGTACTTCTTCCCGGCGAAGGTCATGTGGAGAAGGTACTCGAAGGCCACCATGCGTTGACATCTGCCGTTCTGACTTGGTCTCTCCAGCTTCTTCTGTGCTATGGTGGCTGCCATAACATTGAGGTTCCTTGATCCCTTCGGCAGCGGTAAGTTAGTGCTGTTCCAGGTCACCTACGACAAGGTGGGTTTGGCATGTTGGAAAGCACGACGTGTGGCAGCTGATGTGCTCGCCGTAGGACTGGCATGCATACGAACTGGTCTTCTTCCTTCTGCTCGGAGTCTTCGGTGTACGTCGCAATTGCTCTGGTCTTGGGTTACACCTCATTCACGATTCATCATCTACAGGGCGTCTATGGTGCATGGTTCTCGAAGTTGAACTTCCGTTGGAGTCGTGATGTCCGCAAAGCGACCTGGCTAGGGAAGCACCCCATCGCAGAGGTATTCCTGGTGACTCTCGCAACGACAGTTCTCTCGTTCGTCAACCCATACACCCGCATGGGGGGCACCGAGCTTGTTTACAACCTCTTCGCGGAGTGTCGCCCTGGCAGCGCCAACACCCACATCGGGCTTTGCGTGCTCAACCCTCCGGAACAGGCCATCCCTGTCATACGCTCCATCCTGATCGCGCTGGTCATCAAGGGTGCGCTCACTGTCGTCACGTTCGGCATTCAAGTCCCCGCCGGTATCTTCATTCCGTCCCTCGCTGTCGGAGCGTGCGCTGGGCGTATTATGGGCATCCTCGTACAGTGGCTACAATTCTCTCACCCGAAAAGTGCTCTGTTTGCTAGCTGCGAAGGTGACCTCAACTGTGTCATTCCGGGTCTGTACGCCATGGTCGGGGCTGCTGCTAGCTTGTCCGGAGTGACGGTACGTGGCAATGTCACGAGATATCTAAGCTTCGCTGACCACCAGCCGTGTAGCGCACGACGGTATCACTGGCGGTCATCATGTTCGAGCTGACGGACACACTGACGTATGCGGTCCCCGTCATGTTGTCGGTCCTGGTTGCAAAGACAGTTGCGGATGCGTTGGAACCCAAGGGCATCTATGACCTGGTTATCGAGTGAGTATTCGTTGCATTTGACGACCTTTCTGGCGCGCTGACCCTGAATCAGTCTCTCGCAACTGCCGTACCTGGATGCAAAACATGAGTACGTATGGGGCAAACTGCAAATCGACGATGTCGTAAGTCTTGATTTCGCCACCTTGTATGATCACGACTCATCGCATCCTAGACCGACCGCGATGTCGATGTCATCCGCGTCGACCGGGAGAACACCGTCAAGAGCCTCAGGGACCAATTGCAAGGGCTCATCGTAATGGACAATTCTGACAGCGGCTTCCCGATCGTGAGGAGCGATGACGGCGGCTCGCGCATGGTCGGTTACATCGGAGCCAGTGAACTGGAGCATGCTCTTAGTATGTCCACTTATCATCTTCGTCCATATCAACACCCGTTCATCACCGTTGCTGTGTAGCCGTCGCCGCCGACGAGGCGGACAAGCCCATTAGGTTCTCTGGCCCTGGTCTGTATGCACACGGCGGCCCGATGACTTCGTCAGTGTCGTCGTTGGAAGCCGGGTCCACCCTCCTCGCTGTCGACCCATTCGACTTCTCTCCGTACATGGACCAAGCCCCGCTGACGGTTCAATCCAACTCTCCCTTGGAGCTCGTACAGCAGTTCTTTACGAAGCTTGGCGCTCGTTACGTTGTCGTGACGGACGCCGATGGCTATTGTGAGTGCCTTGCCTGTCGTCCATTTCACACCAGTTCTGACGTACCGCAGACGAGGGTGTCATAGACAAGAAGACATGGCTTCACTTCTTGTCTCAGTTGGAAGGACACTGATGAAGATTTGACGTAGTCAATCAATCATGATTTTCTTAGGATCTTCTGCAGTAGGGATTTGGACCAAGAATCAAGAACTCGCATTCAATGCACATACCATTCACCTTTGCATACGTCGACTATCATATCACTCGCTATCAAATCGCAATCCGTATCCTAAAGCATCGTTCAACTCTATGTCCACGTCCAGCATGTAGTTTACAGGTCTCCGTAGGTTCCTCGCAATCGAAGCACAATCATGCTTTTGGCGCGAAGCAGTGGTGGGCATGAGAACCCAACAACTACACATACTGCCACGCAAGCGTACTAAGCGTGCTAAGTAGTGTGGTGCTATATTGGCCCAAAGGACGATCTAGATTGAGATCTTACGAACCAGATCAAGCCACCACCGGTTAACCGGCGCCTAGTTTTCGTCATAGTTGGTCCTGGTTAGAGTCCACTAAGACACATGACCGATGTCCATTCAATCCTAGGTCTTTGGCATCGTTCTCGCAGTGATCGACTTGCGCGCGGAAGAGCGAATGCTATACTGGAAATGATTGCCTGATACCTCAGTTCAGGTCGACCTCTGATCAAGTTCAAATAGCGAGCTTATAGCGGCGCTGAGAGGCTTAATGTGCGAGGTGGTATGTTCCCCCACAAATTGCAAAACGAGTCCGCTCATGTGGAAAGGCGCAGGTCTTACATTGTGGCCGATTGCTACAGTAATGATTCGCGTACCAAACCCCTACATCGCGGCCGGCGACTCGGACCTCTGTCACTGGTTGAAGCGAGGGCGTCGCGATGCAGAGTGCTCTCAAGTCTAGATTGCAGAAGTGTACCGGTAGGTTGCCTCGTTCTGCGTACGTTGAGCACGATTCCACACAATACATCGAGGCTCCCGGGCCCTGGCAGTGCATCTGTCATGATGATCCTCGCAGCACTTTTTCAACGCACTGCTGACCTGTAAGTAACACGATCCATATGCTCTAGTAGTTCGTACACTGCGTACATAAGTATGTAGCTCAGCATTTCTACCCAGACAGACAATCCCCCTGCGTCCGTTGGCTGATGCAGCCGAGGATCTTCGGGTCTCCCTAATTGACACCCGCTTCGCCCAGCGAAGTTACCACTGCCCCGGGACGTCGCACGTTGCACAGTTGCAGATCCCTCGAAGTCGGTGCGTTCCACTGCTCTCGTCCACCGAGCCCTCAGACCGACCTCTCACGTAACGACATCACGCAGTCTTCAGTTCAAAGCTACGGCGACAAAGCCAGTGCGAGATCGACCAACTCCCGCAGAGTCAGCTCACAGACACAGACGCAGTGCACCCTTCCCACCCCCTTCCATCCTACTTAACAACCCCGCCCACCTGACCTGCGTTCCCCTCCCACCCACGGCCGCCACACGCCTTCTCCCCCACACGCCTGACACGCCCTGAGAGAGGCGGCATTGTAACTTGGCAGCCTAGCCATTCTCATCGGGTACGAGGGTCATGGGGTAGGCTTCACCGCCCCCGCGATCAGTCGCCGCTTATGCGAGCAATTCAATGGACGAGGGTCGCCATGTAAAACCACTGCTAGCGTACGGACCCGCAGCTATGCCCGCTTCGCACCCCCCACGATCCCCCGCTCGCTCGCTCTGCCCAATGTTCATCGTTGTGCTTGCCGTCTTCACCCCTCGCTCTCGCACAGCCACCCTCGTTCGACGATGAAGATCAGAAAGCACTGGTCATAACCAAATACCCAACGACTACAGCAAACTAGCCCCCGAACGGTATATGGCTATAAAGATACCACCCAACTCTAGCTCTAGCTACGCATTTAGATCTAGCACACAACTTCTAGGTCTAGCACGGCTCTAGCAGGTTTAGCACGCAGCAGCGATGCGCACCGCCGATACTCAGCACTGGGAAAACAAAATCACTGCTCGCCGCCCATAACCCAGGGCTCCGAGGCGACGAACTGCGCGCGGGGCACGCCAAGCTCGAAGAGGGTCGAGATCGCTTTAGAGAAGCTGCAACGCAGACACGCAGCCGTCAGCTACACAGAAAGCAAGGAACGGAAGAAGACGACACGCACTCCTCGAACCACTTGTCCTGGTCCTTCGCGTACGTATCGACCCACTTCTTGAAGCTCTTGTCCTGGATCAACGAATAGTCCGACCTGCAATACAGCTCATCAGCCGGATCGAATCGCGGGTAGAGACAAGGTACGCACGGAAGCATCATCAATGACTTGGTCGTCTTGTCCTGGAGCTGCTTCGGGCCGTCCCACTTGCGCCAGAGCCACTTCTCCTCGACGAGGAGGCGGAAGTACTCGTTCGAGACGGTCACGGGCGAGAACGTCCAGGGGCCCTCGAAGCCCGAGCGGTCGCGGTGGCAGCGCCCGAGGGCGTGTGCGCCGGAGAGGGCTACGATTTCCTGGTCGTTGAAGCCCATGCGGTAGAAGATCTAGATGACCGACGTCAGCTACCGTGTGACCGAGGCAACCGTAGACGGAGACACTCACGTTTCTCAGGTGTTGAGCACCCTGTGCGGCGTCAGGCAGACGACCATCGGGCGTCGCCTGCTGGGCGAAGCCGTCGATGCGGCCGGGGCGCCAAGGGATCTTGGGGCCGCCCATCTCCTGGATGGCGCAGACGCCGCCGAGGGTCCAGAGGTCACCGTAGGAGATCCAAGGGAACTCCTGCTTGATGCTCTCCATGACCCCGCGGGCAACGTGCAGGCCCGCGTTCGCGCCGTGCAGAGCCTCGGGTCGAAGCGCATGGTGGCGTAGTTGCTGTGGACGGCGTGTTAGGCAGGTGTGATAAGGATTGGGTGGAAGGATTGGGTGGGAAGTGCCTCACCTGCCACCGGTGCCAGACTCCTTGTCGAAGGTGCCGGAGGCGTGCCATGCGAGACGGAGGAGGACAGGGCCGTAGGAGCCGTCTAATGACTTGATCAGTATGCGGACGGGTTCCTCTGTCGCTGGTACGCACCGTCGTAGCCCTTTTCGCTAGCGTCCTCGAGGACCTCAGCGATTCTCTTGTACACCTGGATATCCGTGCATGAGTCTACTGAACAAACTGACGATTTACCAGGCAACGGACCTTTTCGTAGTCTTCCTTCGAGGGGACGAAGTTCGCCGCGACCTTCGCCGCCTGCGCGCCGGACTTGGCGACGGTGCCCGCCTCCTTCGCGGTGTCCGAGCTGCTGGCATAGATGTAGAACGCAATGCCACCGACGGCGGCGATACCGAGGCCGGCATAGAGCGCGGTGTTGCTCTTCTTCGGAGCCTCCGGCTTGGGCACCTCGGTGGTGTACCTGCGGACACCTGCCGTGCGTAGGGCGCGGGCGGGGCGTGCGGCGTTGAGGGGTGCCCTGCGGAGGGAGGCTCTGAGTGCGCTGGCGGACATGCTGGTGGAATGCGTTGAGTCGTGAAGAGACGACCGACGCCCGCCCCAGATATCCTCCCCGCCGGCGCCTCTCGCCCTGAGCGGTTGATTACCATAACCATGCTTAGCGTACCGGTCAGCCGTCACGTGTACGCGTTGTAGCCAATGGACGCTGCTTATTCCGCGGGATGCCCCGCATCGCTGTCTTGCTGCAGTCGCATGTAAATCAGCACCCGGTGAACCCGGTGTTGGTGTAAGTATATCGTACCGTAGATTTTGTGGGAATGTCATCCTCGCCTGGATTTGCCTCGAATTGTCGGGGCTGCCAGTCAGAATCAGTCGAACGACGCAGCAAGACGAGCGAGAGAGCTCGAGGCGCGCCTGAGTCTACCCCGGATCCGACAAGTTCCGCGCACAATCTCCGATTCCCATCAGTGGCATCACTCAGCGTCGCTGTCCCTGGACGTGCTATCACGTGCGGCCATTTTTCTTCGTGGGCGCTTGTGTATGCTTGCACGCCTGTGGCTGCTCGGTTCCTGCCAGTTGTCTGCGAAAACATTCCCCTTCAAGTTCGCTCGTCGCAGCTTGTGTCTTAGCCTCGGCTTCTCTTCACGAAAATGGTGTCATTTCAGTACGTTTTCGATCCGTCTGTGCAGGATCGAGTCTGACCTTGCGTACCGTACAGATGCGATGGTCAGGACGATTCCGTCTGATCTCTCACATTCGTAGGCTTACATGCCTCCGTGAACGCCTCATCTAGCTTGCGGCGATGTCGTCACAAAACCCAGGCTTGACAAGCACTACGCTCAATGCCAGATGTCTGTCAACTGCCTCGACTGCAGCAAGACCTTCCACGGGCCGGGCGAGTACAAGTCCCACACGTCGTGCGTGAGCGAGGCGGAGAAGTACCAAAAGGGCCTGTACAAGGGTCCCAAAGATGTGCGTGCTTGTCCCTGCAGTCCGATGTCTCTCTAATCTGACTCCCCAGCAGCAGCAAAGGGGTGGTCCAAGGGGGAACACTAACGGATACTCAAATTTCCAGGGTACGTATCAGACACGGGGACGTAACGGCAACTCCTGGGACTACCAGAGTTATAAGGCAACTGGTGCTAACGGCACTCCTTTGGGCACGCCCGTGCGGATGTCGCCCATCACCACTCCAGTTCCCGCTTCGTCACCTGCTCCGAAGGCTGATGGCAGCGCGAACGGCAGCGTCGAGACGAAGGATGGTGGAAAGGATAAGAAGCGGAGGGCAGAGGCGGTAGAGGTGAGTCGCTCGTGCGCAGATCTACATTATGAGTTAACATGTCTCGCTAAGGCGCACAATGGCAAGGACGCAGAGGAGCCGAAGAAGAAAAAGGCCAAGAAGGTCAAGGACGCAGAGCTAGTGAACGCACCTGCTGAGCACGCTGGCCCCTCAGGCGAGGAGACCGCCGACGCTAAGCAGAGCTCCAAGAAGGGAAAGAAGGAGAAAAAGAAGGCGTCCGAGCTCGAGGCCCCGACAGCTGCTGAGGCGTCAACCTCGTCTGCGCAAGAGTTGGCGGAGGCGTCCTCCGAGTTGAAGAAAAAGAAGAAAGACAAAAAGTCGAAGCAGGATGAGGGTGAGATGCAGGCAGACGGGGCGGGAGCGACGAAGGACAGCGAAGCGAAGAAGGCGAAGAAGAGCAAGAAGGGGAAAGAGGTAGAGGGCACGACGGAGTCGGAGGCAGCAAATGGGGTGGAGGCGAAAGAGGGAAACAAGAAGAGAAAGGATAAGAAAGGCAAGGGGACTGCGGATGAGGTGGCCGAAGCGGTTGCGACAGAGGCGTCGGAGGGAAAGAAGCGGAAACGGGACGAGACTAGCGATGCGGGGGTACAGCCAGCGGAGGGGGAGACGAAGAGCAAGCAGAAGAAGTCCAAAAAGCAGAAGAAGGTCGACGCAGAGGCGGCAGCAGAGGACATGACCATGGAGCTCGATCCTCCCGCAGTCACCGCGGAGACAACAGAGGCTACGAAGAAGGACGGAAAGGGAAAGAAGGAGAGGAAGTCGAAAAAGGCGAGCGCAGGGGTGGAGGCCGCTGCATGACCGTGACCCTTTTCTTTTCTCGGATTTGTTGGGACTTCGTCTTCGTATCTACACTGCAATCTACGCAGCGCTGCATCTTGCTTCCATTCCGTGCACACGACCCATTCTGCTCGTCTGCGCGAAGTCCTGGTCCGCAGCCCGATGAGAATGCGAGAGCGAACGACGTACCAAGGTTGCCATAAATGGGCTCACGTGCTTGATCGATTGTATACAGCGCGTCGAGAGACATGCGTTCGCCGCCCGGCTGCAGGTTGCCCTCGACCATCCTCGAATTCTTCTAGCACGACGACATGCACGCGATTCAGGTATCTATTTGCAATCTGAACGAACCTTGCGCAGGCTAACCGCCCCTTAGCAACAATACTGGGCAGTGCGAGACTACCTCAGTCCCGTACGCCACTTTCGCTGCTCTCGTCCGCGGAGTAAGTCGCCAATTCACGTCGCTGGCAGGTCCTCAAGGAGAGCAAGTTCAAGGAGCATGGCCGGATAACACCAGGTGCGTTGCCCTGTCATGCCGCGTGGGCGACGCGCTCATGTCGCCCTCTCCATTCCTCAAGAGGAGTTCGTTGCCGCCGGCGACTTCCTGGCATACAAGTTCCCCGTGTGGACCTGGTCAGTGCACCCTCGCTCTCACCTGCGTCCCTTCCGCACCCGCTGATCCTACGATTCGCTCGCGCAGGGAGAAGGGCGACGCGTCGAAGGCGCGCGATTACCTCCCCGCCGATAAGCAGTACCTCCTCACACGCGGCGTGCCTTGCCTGCGGCGCGCCACCGCGCTCGCGTACACGGAGCGGACGAGGACGCGGAGCGGCTCCTCACCTTCGGCGACCTCAGCGCGACCGGGAACGAGGCGGACGAGTGGGTCGAGACGCACGCCGGCAGGGCGGCCACGCTCGACAACGCCGCGAACGCGGTCAACATCGACGAGATCCCCGACGTGGACGAGCCCTCCGCGGATGACGTCGCGGGCCAGGTCGGCAGGATGTCTCTTCAGGGTGGTGCAGGGGCGGTAGGCGAGATCCCGGATATGGATGAGATCCCTGATATGGAGGAGGAAGACCTGGAAGCGGGGGATGATGAGGCGACAGCACCAAAGGCTGCTGCGCCATCATCAGGCGTCATCGAGGCTAGGTGAGAAGGTATCTCTTCGTTGTCGTGCAGAGTTGGTTTGACACAGGGCCAGTGAGATTGAAGTGGCGAAGGGCAACCTGCTGCAAGTGCGAACTTACGACGTCATGATCACATACGACAAATACTACCAGACGCCGCGTATCTGGCTGATTGGCTACGACGAGGTGCGCCCTCCGTTCAATCACTACAATTGACTACTGACGGCGCGCCTACAGAATCGGACACCCCTCATGCCGGCGCAGATCTTCCAGGACGTCTCCGCCGACCACGCATTTAAGACCGTGACTATCGAGGCCTTCCCACACAGCACCTCGCTTCAAGCAGCATCCGTACACCCATGCAAACACGCGAGCGTGATGAAGAAGGTCATCGAGCGCATGAACCAAGGCGTGCTCGAGGAGCAGCGCAAGGCTCTCGGGGGCGCCGTCTCGCCGTCGACGGGCAAGGACAAGGACAAGCAGAAGAAGTGGCTCTTCCGCAAGACGAGCGGGACAGGCAAGGACGCGCCCCCGTCGCCCGCGCCGGAGGAGGACATCGACGGCATGCGCGTCGACTTCTACCTCGTAGTCTTCCTCAAGTTCATCGCGTCGATCGTGCCCACGATCGAGGTCGACTCGACGACGGCGTTCTGAGCGTCCGCGGGTGGGCGCGTGCTCGTGGGGATCGTTGGACGGTTATATAGGAAGTTTGATAGACGTATTGAAGAAGATACCTGAGCTGGAATGTTGTCTGCCTCTCAGACTTGTGTACCGCTATGTATTACAACTATGCAATACCAGGCCGCCGTGGATATCGGTCCTCGTTGTATTAATTGGCGTGTGTGATAAAACGTCCGGATACAAGGTGGTTGTGAATAGCGTAACTGGCCAGCGTATGTTCTATACAGTAGACATTACAGCCAGTTGCATCTTGTGAGATCCCTTCCCGAGAATGTTTGCACAGGCGGAGGTGGTCGGGCATCTGTGACTGTCTCAGGGTCTGACTTTCCGTCGAGCAACCCGGTCGACTTCGGCCACAAACCTCGGACTGAGTAGTAAATCGCTCTTGATATACCTCAATATGGCACAATCCTGATGGAAATGCTCCAGAAATAACAAGACCGATACAACCCACAAGAGCGTACTTTTACGCTCGGGGACTAGCAATATAGCAGTACTACCATTACAGACGAAACACTCGAGTCAGCTTGAAGGACAGCTGCCGTTGAGCGGCGTTACAAACAGAGGGAGCTCTGGCTTGGTACTGTCCCAGCCAACTGTGGGGTACGTGACCGTCGCAACGTTCCACATGATGGGCTTCTTGGTGACATCGAACGTGAAGTTGGGTATCAAGACAGACAGCACGGCCTCTAAGAGCATCATCTCTGTCATTCTGCAGTGCGGTGAGAAGTAGCATCCAAAGACGTACTCATTTCCGTTTCGGCGAACTTGAAGCCGCTGCAGATATACCGCACAGCGTCAGCTAGTAGCTCACAATGGCTTTTCGCAGAGACACCGTGTGACCCACATGCACGCTCGCTTGCCCCCCAGGAAGGCCAACCTGGTTGAGGGTCAATATATAAGCATCGGAGCGATCAGCTTGCCACCTACGATTTGTTGTAAACACCTGGGATAGGTGCTTCCATCACGGCAGAGGGGAGAGGGGAGAGCCAACGTTCAGGCCTCCACTCGAGAGCATCGTCGCCCCAGAGCTCCTTGTTCGTGTTCGAACCTAAGACACCCATGAATATCTCCGTCCCTTTGGCGATGGGAAGTTCTTGTATGACTTTTCCGCCGACACAGTAGATGGGTTGCGAAAGAGGTAGAACCGTGTCTTCAAGGGCCCTGTGAATGACAGGCGGTTATGAAGGCAAGTGGGTACATCGTACCGATATCTACTTACTCCCGAGAGAGTAGGGTAGCTGGCGGAAAACTAGGTGTAGCATCAGAAAACATCGAACGCATGTCCGGTTCACGCTGCGCTCACAGCCGCAATGTCTCTCTCAGCACGGCATCCAGGTATGGTAGCTGGTTGAGATCGTCATACGATAGATCAGTACCCTGTCTCGCTTCGATGATTTCCTCGCGGAGTCTTTGCTGTGCCTTGGGATGCTGAGCAAGAAGGTGTAGAATCCGGCATATGGAATTAGCCGTTGTGTCCGTTGCCGCGAGGGTCATCGTCCTGGAGATATTGTCAGCGATGTGACCAGCTCACAGGCTACACACGAATAGACGTACGATACTTGAGCAATTATATCCCCTTCCGGTAGTTTATCCTCGTCGGAAGCCATGAGATTCTCTCTGACTACGGTCTGTGTCTCGTCAGCTGCCTACCGTCATCATAAGCAGACATACCAAGCACGCTCATGATGTCCTGTTTCTCTTCGATCACACCGTCCTCGTTCATCGTCAATTTCTTGTCATTGAATATCTCCTCCGAATGCGCAGCCATAATATCAATCAAAGTCTTGACTCGCTGAAATGACGCGTGCGGGACTAGCTCTGCGAGCCGACGTCGAACCCAAGGAGGACCAAATGCCGTCAGGTACGGTAACAGCGGCCGGAAGATGAATACATTCTGAAGTGCGGCACTGCAATAGTGAGTGAGTTCACTTAGTTGTAAGCTTGAATAGCAGATTGCTCACAAGAATTGCTTTAATGCCTCCGCGTATTCATTCGTGACGTCTTCCGCGAAGGCATCGAAATTATAGCCTAATCCTCCTTGTCCGATTAGCTCCAGAGAGACACGGCTCATCCAATCGAGGACGTCGATCTCTTTCGACCCATCTTCCAGCTGAGAACTTATGGCATTGCATAGCTACGTCCAGAAATGGTCAGCGATCGAAGCGGAACGAGCGTTTATGGCTGACTGTGTGCGAAGCCGTGTAGAATATTGGGAGGATGCGCCGCATATGTGCGACGCTGAAGAGCGGATTCAACATCTTTCTCTGCTTTCGGTGCTGTTCACCTGATGGCCATTCGTTGAGGAACCAAGATAGTCAGTCCCAAAAATCATTGTGTACATACCAACGGTAGATAACAGCCCAGGCCCGAAGACGAGCAAATTCGCACTTCGACGTAGTTACATCGTCAACACGTAGCGACCTCACGGGTGGTAAATGATAGTGCACTCAATGAAGTTCCTGCCCTCCTCAAATATTGCCTGTTGCTTGACGATGACGTGCTGGAGCGCCTTGGGGTCGAAGAGATAAAGCATTCTCCTCTGTCCGAAATGTCAACTGTCAGCGAAGATAGAATGCAATTAAAATGGCACTGCGCTTCGTACCCAAAATGGCCCGTGCATCTTGACCACTGGACCGTAGTCTTGAGCCAGTCGTTCATGAAAGTCAAGACCGCGACGATCGAAGAATTGGTGCATGTTTCCTGTGGTAAACACGTCAGACTGAGCGATTATCGACACCGAGGTATATCATACCTGTCCAGAGTGAGTCCGCAGGGGGGCCAGGGAGATTGTGCACTATGTCGGATGCGGCATCACCCCGAACACTGTTCCGGATATAAACCCAGCCCAGAGTACACAGCAGGATGCATCCGAGAGAAATGAGCATTGTCTGCCAGTCGAGATGTGTTCAGGCTCGAGAAACCAATGTGGGTACACTCAGCGAGGGAGACCTGAGGGCCCGCTATGATGAGTCCTCTATTTATCTCGTGACCCACCTCAGATGACCAGAACTTGCCACACAATTGTTAGAAGTCCTGTGTCATCGAAATGCCAGTGAGACGACGGTTTCGGACAAAGTACTGCTCCACGCACTAACCGCTCGCAGAGCAAGGGTCGTGGAATCGCCCTAGCCGGGAACCATGTCAGAACGCCGGACGTACATGACGTGATCGGTCGGTTCCACCACTGGACACTCACCGGACGACCACAGCTCCGAGCTCACTGGGATGGAGGGTGCCTCTGCGGAGCGTATTGACTACTAGGCTGAGTCAAAGGGGGTCAATTGAATGTCTGACTGTCAAGCGTGCGAGGCCGACAAGCACTTCCGATGGCAGCTCTTGTACGCACGGCTTGGCCATCTTGAAGAAGGTACAGTGAATCTAAGTCGCCGCGGACATCTGCTAAAACACAGTGACATGGTCCATACATTCAATGACAGTTCCGTTTGACGAGCTGCTAGACGCACCTACACGGACCGAGTCCTGGCTCTGGATGGGAATGGGAGGATGCGCTATGTCCAACAAGGTTGAGGTTCACCCGAGCTTGTTTGACGGCTGTGACTATGTAATCATACGTCGCAAGCTATCACTACGGAAGAGGGCGAATGGGACGAAGTAAGCAGATGACACCATCAAAGAGAGGCTTCAGAGATCGTCGACCTACCAAAAAATGGCCGCTGGAAACCGCAATGTGCGATCTTGTGACATGGTTCAGTGAGGCGTCTAGATTTACAGTTGGTGTGGCTGAATCACCGGAGCCACGCAGGTTTCCTGGAAGCACACCTATATAGAATTATCGCTCCAGGATCATTTGTGTACCTGAGATAGCACAAGCGGCCCTCGGTAAATCTTGTCTCTTCAATTCGTCATCGCATGTCAGCAGTAAGTAGACTCGGCGGGAAAACAAACAAGCACAGTAACGTCGACATGGACATGCATTCACGCCAACATGAACCTATTGCATAGCCTGCGGCGAGCGCTTGCTAGCGAGCCTTGTATGACACAACTGGGCCACTCAACTACGTGTAGAGTCACATTCTGCGGAGTGGTGGGTCGACGACAGGCATGGGACGGAAGCACTCACGATAAGGACCCGCGCCGCTGCTTTCCCGTCATTCTGACATTTGCTTGGGAAATGTGACGAGGATAGCGGATACAGGGATTCGCTAGCCACTGCGGCGGGCAAGACACAACGATCTCATGCTCCAGAGAATGCCACCGGCGAGATGGTCAAGACAACTTACGGTATAATACTGTAAAAACTCCATTGTGGCGAAAGGATTGCCTCATCGCTGTACATCAACATCTGGGGGATTTCATCAGCTTAAACCTTGCCGGTACACGTCTGTCTTACGTACAAGCCAAAGTTGAGCCAAAGTATCGTTCAGTTTCCACTGCCACATGAATACTTGAGCCCAAGCCAAGCCCAAGACACGGGAAACGTACCAGATCGGGATGACATCCGGCTCCTTCAGCCTTCGTCAGCGGGCCCGGCAAGGTCGTGCATAGCTTTCTGAACTTCGAGCTTCTCCATCACAGCGCGATGTAGGCTCGACTTAGTCCGACTAGACTTCCCCTTGCCCTTGGAAGATGCTGATTCGGAAATCTCACTCGCCGAAGCGCCTGCCGGAGCCGGCTGAGGCTCCCCTGTAATGACCCTGAAGGATCCCCGTGGTTGATGGTGGACGTGAGGTGTGAAGGAACGATGATCGGGGTGGGCCGAGGGGGAGGAGGCCACTAAGCCAGCGAAGGGTAAGTGACGTGACACAAATAGAATGGACCAGACGTACACCACGACGAGGTTGATTGAAGTGCAGAGCAGCCCAAGGCGGGTACTCTTTCTCCAGCTGCACGATGTGATCCTCAATAAATTTGAGACGATCCAACAAAGACTTCGGGGGAGACGGTACTGTGGACACCTGTCATTCGTACGGAATACAGGGAGACCGACGGCTAACTTACCATAGCGGACTGCAAGATGTGATTCTACATTGCGCAGGCGTTCTTCCAGGGCGGGAAACCGAGCCGCACTGATAAAACCATTCTCCGAAGTCCGTTCATCTAGCTTTGTGCTAGGTATGTCATCCCGATTCTTCAGGGTCTTCCGCAACGGCCCATCTTCGTTCTTGGCTATGTCGTATTTCATTTGGACGTCTCTGTCCTGCGTTTTGGCGTCGGTACGGGCACATGAAGGAACTGGTACAGAATCGGTGTCGGTGTCGGCTTGAAGGCCATGACGTTTCTCGGCGAGTGACTGAAGGAACTCCTGGCGATTGGAAGCGTCATTGCGAGCACGATTGCGCGCCAGGAATTTGGATATTTCCCTTGTTACCTGCGGTCACCGACTCGTTACAGCCGCGGAAAGACACACAGGCATAGCGTACTGACTGAGGTCTGTGACTTGGGCTCAGTGCCATGCGCGATATGCAAATACTGGAGCTTCCTGTCTTGTAATGACGTTTCCTCGGCAAGTCCTTCAGTAATTTCTTCAGCCGTAGTGTTTGCGCTCCGGTCTTTCAACGCCTACGCATGATTTGGTTAGAGGAGGTCACCGGCCTCAAGTCAAAGTTGACACAGACTAGGACGCTCTGCACTAGGGTGTCGAGCGCCGCTGGGATCTTCTTCTGTTCCCAATCTGGATTCATGACAACTATGTCTGCATCGAACCCTCGCAATGCTTGGGTGAGACCAGCAGCGGCTAGAAAGGCGCGGAGGATGCCATCCCAATGTTTGTGCACATACGGTGGTGGCGAAGGCGAAGGTGATGCTAGCTCGCGCTTCTCATTCTTGCTTAGGGCCTCAACAGGTGGGACATGCGAACGTTGCGCAATGTCGGGATGAAGGGGGGCTTGAGGCTGAGTGAATGGATAATAAGCATTCGCTGTTCCGTACGGTGCAGACCATGCATTTCCCCAAGCAGTCGATGGCATATGATAGTACGCGTACGGCGCGTTATGAGAAGATGTTTGTCCTGGCGCATAGTAATATCCGTATTGGTTTTGACCGGCCTGGTCCGCCCCCGACGTTAGACTGGTTTGCATGTTCGTCGGTGCATTGATTTGGTATGTCGGATGAGTCATTGAAACCTCTGGTGTAAGTTCGTCTGCGTGTGCGCCTCCCATCGAGGAATCTGAGGTGTGTGAGGGGCCAGGAGCCGCAGGTGAAGTCGAATACGACATGTCGATCGTGTTCAAGAGTAAGAAGGCGTTGCCTTTTCCATCCTATGCGCCCTTGTTTGCCACGAACAAATAGAGGCGGGAAAACTCCAAGTATGGTATGTAAGTACCCAGCCGTCAACGCGCTATAATAATACATTGGGCGTCTACAGTGCGCGACTCCGCCGTATACGACTCCAAGGTGTACGGCACTCACTGCACACCGGACATCTGGTTGGGCCCACTCACATCCTTTCCCACCTTTGCGAGATTGCGACTTAATCCTCTGAGAGACCTCCATGCTCGAATGATTCGACATGAATCACATTGCCCAATCGTCATACACCTCATCCCGCGATGACAGACTACCGCCCGAGATTATCGTTTCCATTGAACAAATTCTCAACATTGGCCACCGACAAGAATACGATCCTTTGGACAAACTGACAAACGACTTCAATCCTGTGAGCGTTCTGAATGATTACTTCCCCGATGGTACGTGCTCGATACCAGCAGTTCAATGTGTTAGGTTGCCCATTTCTGTTGCGCCAGAGTCATCTCTCGCACGGCTGGAATCCATCCAAGCAAAGCTTGCTCAACAAGAACAAGATCTCCAGAGAGAGATCGACTCGTTGAAGGAAGAGTTGAGACACGACCATGACCCTAGTAGAATGCAGCTATTGCAAGAGATGATCTCAGTGAGTCCACATTCACTTTCGTTGGCTTCGGCTTGAATTTCATGTCGGTGTCTTCGAACAGGATCTTATGGGACAAATGTCTCGCATACGAGAGAAGGCGACAGAGTCCGAGGCTGTGGTGCGGAACATTACCAAGGAGATACAGGTTCTCGATCTGGCGAAAAAGAATCTTATCCTCAGCATGACTACCTTGAAAAGGCTGCAGATGCTCGGTATGTCCGTTGAACCGTGAAAGCCGTTGCCTGTCTAATTACTATCCCCCAGTAAACGCCTTGAGCCAGCTCGAAGATCAAGTGAAAGACAGGAAGTACCATGAAATCGTTCAGACGCTGGCTGTAAGTTGGATGAGGCCTGTAATACCGTGCCTTGATGACTTAGACCATGTGAAGGCAGTCAAACAGATCGGCGCGTCCTTCAAGCCGTATACGTCCATTCAGCGCATCTCACAACTATGGCGACGCATTCAAGAGATTCAGAATGACGTCCGGCAGACGATAGACGCAGACTGGGAGAAATTGTCAGTTCTGATGTACCAAACATGGTATATATGCAGACACGTCCTAACGCTGCCTCGACAGCTACATGCAGGATCCGGGCAAGCCCATCAAGCCCTCTGTCATAGCAGATGCCTGCCTTGTTGTCGATGTGCTGGGCCCCGAAAACCGGACTCAGTTCATCGAGCGATACGTTGCAATGGAACTGAAGGAGTATCGTCGTATATTCCGCGCCACAGATGAAGCCGGACAGCTCGACAACTTGTCGCGCCGGTTTGCGTGGTTCAAGCGCCTGCTGCAAACCCACGATACGGAGCAAGGGAGAGTGTTTCCCGCTGAGTGGAAGGTTGGATGGTACCTCTGCGCCAAGTTCATCGAGATCACCCGGTGCGTTGTACCATTGTTTCTTTGGCTCAGTGAACTTGATGCTAATGTATACCAGGGATGACATGACGGTATTGTTATCAAAAGCCGGTGCGAAGCTGTCTGTGAAGCAGCTGTTGGACACCCTTCAGGAAACACTGGACTTCGAAGCGTATCTCGCACGAAAATATGCGACACAAGTGCGTAGTCTGTCTCCGTTAATGAGTTACTCAGCATGCATATCTCTACGAGCTAGATCCCGGACATCTTGAAGGCGACTCAGCCAGCAGGGGCCACACGCCCCTCAAAGACGATCTCGTCCGCTTACGAACCCCACATGGGCGTGTACATTGATGCGCAAGACAAGTAGGGATCCGTTTCCGTGTTGTCATTGTTGTCCCGTCGTCTCACACAGGCACAGGGCATTGTCGGACATGCTTTCCCAGTACAGAGGTGCCAAGTCGCGCTCGTCTCTGGAGGCAGCGTCAACGAGGTCATCGGTAGACGACTCCGCCCCACCCGTGCTTGTGCTACCTTCCTCGACGGAGATGTTCTACTATTACCGCCAAACTCTGGATCAGCTTGCGAGCCTATTCACGGGCCAGCCGCTCTTCGATCTGTGCTCCTTGCATAGGAAGTGGCTGAGGATCTATGCCGGTGAGTGTTACCTGTGCTTCAGCGGTACCATCGAGTCACTGATTCAATGCACGTCGCAAGAGGATGTTTTGTTGGCGAGTATGAAGAAGTGAGTCACGCTGGGGTATTGAATGCGTTCACCTTGCTGACGCTGGTCGGTCAGGCCTCCAGTGATGGCCCGTAAATCGACGGATAGCCGGGTGGACATGAACGAAGTGAGAACGGCATGCACCTTGATCAACACCGCAGATTACTGCCATGCCACGGCACTTGAGGTAAGCAGTCTCAATGCACCTCGGATGTCTCCGGTTTTATGATACGTTCACAGCTGGAAGAGAACATCCGTGTAAAAACGGATGAGTCGTATAAGGAGAGGATCTCTTTACAGGAAGAATGCGATCTCTTCGTGAGGTACAGGCCGTCGTAACTGAGACCACGCGCGTCAACTAACATTGCTCTGCAGCGCAATTTCCGCAGCGATACAGGTCATCCTCAGAGAATTAGAGGCCGCTTGCGATCCTGCTTGCTCCACGATGTCGCGTACGGCATGGGCCACACAGAAATCTGTCAGTGGCCAATCACCGTATGTCGACGACCTTGCACGAGCTGTGGAGCAAGTCGTCGACACCGTCAAGCCTCTGATTGAGCAGAAGAAGTATCTGCGGAATTTCATGGACAAGGCGGCTAAGTGTGTACTTGGTCGTACATTGTGATTCATCCAGCGTCTAATCACGTCGTCAGTGTGGTTTTGGCCAAGTTTACCAATGCGCTGGTCAAGAGCCGGCCGCTGAAGGAGATCGGGGCCGAGCAGCTTCTGATTGACTTGCAAGCTCTTAAGACTGCGCTGCTTAGGATACCTGGAGAAGATTTATCCACGACCAAGTATGTTACGAGTCTATTCGGACAACATTGTGCTCATTCCATTGTTAGCTATACCCGCAGCGTGACCAAATTGACCACTCGCTTGGAGGCATTGCTCAAAGTCGTTGTCACACCTACCGTAGGTCTTGTCTCTACGACTCCTGGCCATGGTTGACAAGCCATTTAGGATCCCGCTGAAGGGTTCATCCTCAACTATACTCTGCTCATCGGGGACTCGTCCTTCACGAATTTCCAGAAGGCGCGTTGTTTTTAATGTGATCTACGACATCGTATTGAGTTGTGACTTGGAACAGATCCTGGATCTGAGGGGCACGACGAAGACCGAGCAGAACGATCTCCTCGACTCTTTCCTGACAATCACCAGCACGAAGAGTGACCTTGAGAGCACGTCTTTCCTGACGTCTCTTGATATGGACCCCGGTCAATCGAGCAACCTCAACAACCCGGCCAACAATCGTGTTGGACTCACCGGGGCAGGGGAGGGCATATTTGCTGCGCTCGCATCCCCGCCTGGGGCAGGCACGCCGACAGGCACGGAAACGCCGCCGAAAGATGGGGCGACGAAGAGAGAGGTGTTCCAGGACTTCAAGCGTTTCGTGAGCTTTGGACTCCGACGAGAGACTCTACCCCCTTCGTAGACACAGTTACCCTAGCTTTCGCATTGCTTAGCAAGTAATGGAAGAGGATTGGATGCCATGGTTGTGTCGCAGAGCCAAAGTGATGAGTATCCAAAGTACATCTATGCAAGATACATCCAAAACAGGATACAACAGTAGACGACATATGCCCAGTAAGACTCTCACTCCTCCATCGCGTCCGAAGACGAAGCCGTCGTGGGCTCTTTCCATAGGTCGCTCCACTTCGGGTAGACACGCTTGTATAGCGACATGCAGACCGTGTCCATCTGGTTGATCGGCCCGTCGAAATGCGCCTTGAAGTATCCGTGCGTACCCAAGGACTCCTTGATGTGACCTGTTCGCCCGTATTTGGTGTACAGTTGGATAGGCTTGAAGTAGTTGATATCGTCTGCGGGCGGGGTTAGCTGGGGACAACCAAGCGCCGGCGACGCGGACGCACCTGAGTTGAAGAACATATACCGCACAGTGGCGGTCTTCTTGTGCACTTTGAAGGGATGCCCAGTGAGAATGATACGCTTGGTGATGATGCGTGTCGTATCCGGGTTCATGAAACTGCCCATGGCTACCAGTTCCGGTGCTGAGCATAGTCCAACTGTCAGCTCCCATCACTTGATGAGTGAGAGCACAACTTACCCTGAGGGTCTTCGGTATCCCTGAGCAAGTAGCAAGGCTGCTGGCCGAACACAACAGGGCCATACGTGGTCGCCACGTTCGTGACACCATGCCGCAGGTATCGCTCGAACTTGTGCACGTTGTTCGCGCCCTTCCCTCCTCCGCGTGTATGTTGGCTGTAGACTGGGTTGACGCGCAACCTGCGCGGGCCCACACAAAGAATGAGAGGGTCTTTGGACCGCACGGAGCCGTCGTACTCCGTGTTGCGCTGCACGGCGAAGTTCAGCACGGTCTTCTTGTGTTCGTGCTGCATAAGACCGAAGAGAATGAAGGGAGCTGCTGCTGAGCTCTGCTTGGCAACTTCCTCAGGTACGTCCTTCACGAAGACAGTGACCCGGGTGCCAGGCTGTTCCACGAACCCGTTAGGCACCGGTGAACCTCAGTCTCTCGGGCGGGCAGACGCACCTCAATGCCTGTCCCGTCTTCTTCTGCTCTCTTCCGCACAGCCCTCTCAGTCCGCTTGTAGTCCTCGAACTGGAAGATCCTTGCGTATTCACGAGGCAAGTTTTCGTAGGGATCCCATGGGCTGGTGCGGAACGATCGCAGACCACGGTATCGCTGGAAGCGAGTTCGCGCGGTGACGTCTAGTGGTGTATCGATTTCGTCGGGGAAAGCGAGGTCGTCCTTCTCCTCTTGTTCGTGATTGCGCGAGCGCCAATTCTCAAGCCTATGCGCAGCGTGTCAAGATCCCTCGTCTCGCGCACAGGGGTATAATACGTACTGTCGATCTTCCTCCTCCATATCCAGGTCCTGGAACGCAACGCTCCGCCGGCTCTCGGTCTCCATCTCCTGGTCAGGCAGCTCCACCATCTCTTCCTCCTCTTCTGCTTCCTGCATCTCCTCGTCGCCTTCTGGCTCACCGGGCTGCCCCTCCTCACCCTCTTCTTCGTCTTCGTCGCTCTCATCGACGATCCAAGCAGCCTGGTACTCGCTCATGCCCTTGGGTACCTTCCGTACCCGTTTAGGCGTCGTCCCGACGTTGGCGTCGGGGATGCCGTCTGCCGTGCTGCCGTTTGGTGCGCCGCGCATCTCCTCTTCCGTGGGCCAAGTTTGCTCGTTCGCCATGTCGTCGGGGTCGTTGCTCGAGACGAGAGAATCCGCGGAAGAGACCTCTGGCTCGGCAAGGAGCGTCGGTTCGATCTCCATCACGTCCTCTGAAGAACCCTTCGAACGGCGGGGCAGAGGCGCAGACATGACCTGCGTGTCCGCGAATCGATACCGAGATCATACCAAACCAGCTGAACCACACGCACCTTGGATATCTGGAAGTCCCCGTAGTTCGGCAGATGCACTAGCCTGTTCGCAGACAGCGGCGCGCCCCTAATCACACCCGTCACTCTGAGGGACCCATCCTCCCACCGTACTTGCTCGCCGACCACCCACGTCCTGCCCTCCCTCCACTTGACGTCGCTCGGGCGGCCCTCGCACAGCCCGCGCATCGCGTTGAGCGCGTCCGCGCCCGTGTGCATGTCGTACACTCTGCTCTGGCTCGGAACGAAGTACTGAATAAAGCTCAGCAGGCTCTTCATGATGCCCGACTTTTCCTTCGGCTCCATCGGGCCATCAGAGGAGGAGACGACGGTAACGACTTCGGGGAGGCCCTGTGCTTGGAGCGTGCGCAGGAGGGTGTCGCCCCAGCCGTCGACCTCGACGGTTGAGGAGAGGACGAAGACGACGTAGTCGGCTGCTTTGCACGCATCGAGGGTTGCATATAGTTGTTTGTATGGGAGGGGGATGAATTGCAGGGAGGTCTTGAAGCGGTCTGCTCTGCAGCGTATTGAGACGTCAGCAGGAGTTGAATGCTACTGTGAAACAGGACACACCTGAGCTTCCAGACTTCCCCGTTTGAAGAACCCTCGGCAGATGGGTCCAAAGACTGTGCCAATGCCACTGCGGCGTTTTGTGCTGATACATCGTCCGCAAGAGGGACGACTGCGACGATGCGCGGAGCACCATCTACTCCGTTGAAGATGCGGGTTGCTGAGACGAGCTCTTGTCGCTTCTTAATCTGTGCTTGTTTTGAGTTGTTGCGCCGGTTTAGTCGTGTTTGTGCGGCAACATTCGAGGCCGGCGTAGATTTTGGCGACTGCCTAGCAGTCTTGCCTGAAATACCATCATGAGGACGTTGAAGCGATCCTGCAATCGTACGACGCACCTTTCGCGGCCTCTTTCAAGGCTCCTTTTGAGGCATGTTTGGACTTGAACGATTTGTTTTGCTGCAGAGGAAACGGATTGATTAGTCTATAACGACTGCAGCCATGGCTGTAAGATACCGACCTGCTTGAGAGTCGGCCGGTGGTGGTGAGCGGATGCAGTCATGGTTATCTTTTCATCCAGACGCAAAGAATTCCGGTGAACCAGAGGTAAGAGAATCAGTCGATTTCGGATGTGCAGTGGATGAGCCTGCGTGACTCTGAGCCTGCAGGAGAACGCGAGGAGAATGCTGAAATTTACGAGAAGGGGAATCGTGATCGAGGCGATCCTGCAATCTAATCTTATCTCTGCCGCCACCCTCGATCACTTTCCGATCCAGCGGGTGCCAATCACTGCACGCTGACTGCACACGCTACTATTCAACCTCGCAGATGAATCTCTTCCTCGCGCCGTTTGCTGGTATGGTATCATCTCGTTCCCCGTGGGCTCGAGCGGTTTTTTGATAGGGCATACACTGACCAACTCAAAGAATTCTCACCGGCGTCGCTGCCGCCAGCGCGAGGCCTCCGAATACTGTGGGTCACTGTGGGCCGTCCACTGGCCTTCTTCACGGTGACTATTCAGTAGCTTTACCCATTGCATGGCGTACCTGCGTGACTAATGTGCCAGGGGAATGGGGCTATCAACTGCATTGCAACAATGCTATGGATAATCTGTTCCTCTGAAGGCGTTGAAGATGCACCAACCGGCGCGTGTTCGTCCATCAATGGTACAGAATGCAGAGGCATCACAAGCCTCTGGTGCTACGGAACTTGGACGTCAGAGGAAGGTACTACATGCACGATTAGAAGGCACACGAAGGACCCAAATCACGGGGAAAACGAGACCACCTACCTTCGCACACCTAGGAACGGTCAATACGCGCCACGGAGTACAGGAGCGGGAGTGGATGGACAGGCAAAGAGGCAAAGACAGGCGCGTTGCGAAGATGCATGCGGTGACGCAACGGCTCATCCGAAAGCCACTCGCAGCCCTGCGGACGGACGGGCAGCCCCTGGCCAGTGGCAATGTAACACGGTCAGTGCCCTTCGGTGCCTCCGCAAGAGACCGAACCGGAAAACTGCATGGACGAGGATGAATGGACAGGCAGGAGGGACGATGCGGAGATGATACATGGGGAGGGTGAACCACGAAGCACAGAGCGGAACAGTCGGAGTGCACAGACGACGCAGCCAGGGGGAGATGAGGGGAGGAGCGAAGGAGTTTGGCCATTGGGTACGTTTGCGATGCCCTGATATACCTGACTGAGAATGTCAGCCTAGCGGACGTGGCTGGCACACGTCTCTGACCACTATTATTGTCAGCCTCCCACCAGCTTGTGGTGAACGCGGTCGCCGCCAAGACACCGGTTGGCGCGCATGTGTGTCGTCGGTTGGAGGCCAAATGGATCCCCTCCTCCTCAGCCACTAGTGTCATTGGCCGCGACGCGATCCGTGCCATGGCTTCGCATCGACGATCCTATATATGCATGTCAAGCTTCGGGTCACGAAGAACCCGATTTAGGTGCTGTACGGAAGCGACTACCGTCAGAAAGTACTGATAGACGCTGTAAGACATGAAAATGCACCTAAAGCGCTTCACTCACAGATACATAAAGCGAGGACCACCTTGAACCCTTGCACCAACACGCTCACGGCCGTTCATAAAACATGACACCGCTGTCGGCGCCCCAGCAAACCGACATGAAACGAAAACACCGCGCAAAAGCAAAAGAAGTTCCCCCTACTATCCCACTGCCCACATTCCACGCTACCCCAAGTCCCTCCGACTCGCCTGTCCACGATGTCACAGTTCTCCCACTACCAACCATGGAGGAGAGGAGCGGACTTACGTGGGTTGTCGACACCCGACCACGACGGCAACTAGAGAGCCTTTGCTACATCCGCCTACGTGTTGGTACTCTAAGCACCGGAGTGGGGCGTTTGGGGCAAGTCGTAATGCTCAGGCGCCACTGGGTGACATTCGCAGTCTCAGACGCGCCCGCATACTGCACGCTCCGGGTGCCCATCCCATGGGCGAAACTCAACGACCTAGCAAGCGTCGCCCACACATCCCACTTCTTCGACCTACCCAAGCTTCCGCGTCCCCACCCAAGCTTCCGTGACATCCCCCACTTCGAAAACGACGAGGAAAACCCCTACGAATTCGAGATATGGGATGACGAGATCCCGGACATCGAGAGCCGATTGGAGCGCATCAAGAACGCTCCCAGGTCCCTGCGCAACAGGCACCCGAGCTGTCATCGGTCCACCGAACGCGCACCAGAAGGCGAGAGCAACGATACGAGGACGTCGGGCATGTAATCACATGACCTGCCTACTACTACGAACAGAGCCAGTCACCGTGACAACCCACGCTGGTGAGAAATCGATGTATAGACTATTCTGTCCAGGGATTGACTTTTGGTGGCAGCGTCCCCCACCACCCTCAAAAGACGCTTGCCGGCTTTTTAGGTCTGCTACGGAGACTACACACCACCGTCCGACGAGGATCAGCGCCCACACCTCAAAAGAAGATTTGGACGCCACAGCCGCCCAAGCGCGCCGTGCAAGCCGTAAGCACATATGCCGCGCAAGCCGTTAGCATGAGAAGAGCTTACGGTACCGCGAACGACGCCCGACGACCCAGCACAAACCGAGCATACAATAACACTGAGGTTGTGCAATCGCACAAGACTGATCTCTAATAGCCACACAAGTAGCTAAGTAAGTACCATTGTTCCGGACACATTTCCAATGACTGTAGTACAGTGAATGAATCTGAAGAGAAAATCTTAGTCAATGTACACCCAGTCTTGTCCAGATCGGTCGTAGTCGCAGACGGTACTGTATAACGTGTTTGTACGAACAGGCTAGGTCATATGAAGATCATAGAGCCAATGATCATAGAGCAAAAAACACTTACCACTCCATTACTCGGATGTACACGACAATAATTCAATGTGCAAGCTTCGATCTGTAGAGCTGGTTTGATTCAGATCTACTTGCTGGCAGTGGGGACTACACAAGGGCTACATGTTGCGATTGGCTTCCCTTCCGTTCTGGGAACTCAACGCCAGTACCTCTTCCGAATCCTCGGACGCCCGTGATTCGATGTGGAACAGGTGACGACATAGAACACCGGCCCGGGACGCCGATCTTGCCCCGCTGAGCCAGATGAGAAAACGCTGACCAGAAAGCCTCCCTGCGACAATCCCACCAACTCACCAACGATCTACCCTCGCCATGGCGTCCGAGAATGCGTCGGCCCCCGCAGGGCACGACAAACCCATCCTCATCGTTGTCATGGTGCGTCTGCTTGTAGCTGCCATACGGATTGGACTTAGCCAGGTACACGGGGACCGCAACGTAGGGGGTGGCAGCGACAGGGAAGACCACACTCGCACAAGCCCTCTGCGAGAAGCTGCAGCTGCCCTACATAGAGGGCGACGAGCTCCACCCGAAGGCAAACATCGACAAGATGTCGAACGGCCAGCCTCTGACCGACGCGGACCGCGAGCCCTGGCTCGCGCTCCTGCGCACCACCGCGGAGCACATCGTCGCCGAGGAGGATCATAAAGGCAAGCCCCAACTGCACGAGAGCAAGGGGATCTACGTCCCGTCGTCCGCAAAGCAGGACGACCCGCCAGACGCACCGCGACGACGTACGGGGGCGATCATGACGTGCTCTGCGCTCCGGAAGTACTATCGGGACATCCTGCGGGGAAATATCAGGCCTAACCTCCCCGAGCCGATGCACGAGCTCGAGCCGCCCCCGCCACCAGAACATATGCCGACGTACTTCGTGTTCATGAAGGGCGAGCGGGATATGCTGCTGGATCGCATACAGAAGAGGAAGGGGCATTACATGAAGGCAAATATGGTGGATAGCCAATTGGCGACGCTGGAGAGCCCGGAGGCAGAGGAAGGTGTCGTTACGGTGTCCATGGAGCAGAGTACAGAAGAGCAGACGAAGATAGTGATGGACGAGCTGAACAAGCTGACGGGGGGCGTATAGCGTGGAATCGAGTAGCAGTAGATGTAGAATAGAACCACCATCCGGTTATACTATGCCCTTGATGGACGGTCCTCAGTGCTAGTCATGCCGATAAGCGCAAAAAGACAGATAGTCAGAGCAAAAGACATTCTGGTGCTGCAGCTGCATGCCAGTAGAGTAACTTGGATAGACTTGAATGCATGCCCGCGCGCAGGAGACGCGCTGGCGCGCGTCGGCAAAGTCCGATCGCATCGCGATTCGCGGGTGCACGACGCGTAAGGCAGACGCGTCAACCCATCCAAGCCTGCACCTCTTCCTCATCCCCCCTCCATTCTCATCCACCATGGTAAGCAAGATTCTCATTCAGAATCGCAATACGGGTACTGAGTTTACCGCAGGCCAGGCGTTATGACAGTACGTTGTCCGCAACGAGCTGAAGGCACCCGGCTAACTATGCACGTTGTTGCGCTATAGGTCGTACCACGATCTTCTCGCCAGAGGGTGAGTGTGAAGGCCCTTGTATTTCGAATCAACTGGTTACTGAGCGTGTGCATAGGGCGACTATATCAAAGTCAGTCCAACCGCCTACTACGCTCCCTGTCCGTACTAACCTTGGGCATTGTGTGCACAGTTGAGTATGCCATGGAGGCGATCTCACATGCGGGTACCGTTCTTGGTGTGCTCGCAAAAGATGGGTCGTCCTCGCAGCGGAGAAGAAGGTAACAGGGAAGCTGCTGGACATGAGCGGCGCGAAGGACGGTGGCTACGGAGGTAGCGGAGAGAAGATCTTCTTGCTCAACTCGTGCGTCCCTTCGTGGATTTCTTCAGTTCTCTCTGAAGTGTATGGTCAATCACAGAAATGTCATCTCGGGTGTCGCTGGTCTTACTGCCGACGCGAACTCTCTCGTCAACTATTCACGACAAACAGCACAAGGACATTTGTTCAACTACAACGAGGACATCCCCGTCGAGCTTCTCGTGCAGAGATTATGTGATCTCAAGCAGGGCTACACACAATATGGAGGTGCGCCATGCGATATTCTGCACTCCAGGACTCTCGGCCTCACGTGAATGCACACACAAGGTCTGCGTCCGTTCGGTGTATCCATTCTCTACGCCGGCTACGACGCGCACTACCAATTCCAGCTCTACCACTCCGACCCGTCAGGTAACTATTCCGGCTGGAAGGCGACGTGTATCGGCGCGAACAACGGCACCGCGCAGAGTCTGCTCAAGCAAGAGTACAAGGACGACATCGGGATCGACGAGGCAGTCGGGCTCGTCCTCCGGACGATGAGCAAGACCATGGACAGCACTACGCTGGGAAGCGAGAAGCGTGCGTGTCTTTCGCCTCTCCCAGCCTGCCTATTGGCGTGTAATCGGTTGTGCAGCTCGCTAATGCTCCCTCTCTTGCAGTGGAGTTTGCGACGCTGACGCTGGACGCGGATAAGCAGCCTAAGGCGAAGATATACAAGCCCGCAGAGATTGACGCGCTCCTGGCGAAACACGACCTGGCGAAGAAGGACGAGGATGCGGAGATGAGGGCTGCATGATGGTGTACCGTGATGCTGGCTCGGACGGACCCTACTGTTGTACATGTTATTGCAATTCAATCCGCTTTCCCATGCAAGGCGCGGTGAAACAGTGCGGCGACTCGAGCATTGTCATTCCTGACCAGTAGGACGCAGTGCATTTGCAACTCTTCCGCGCCTGGCCTCTTCTGGGTGAGGAGACCGAGCTAACTACGGCGTTTAGCGCCCGTACGACGCCCGCTTCCGCAGCTGCATATAGCAACTTGTCTCTATCTTCTCTCACCTCTCTTTCACTCCCCGTACATATACCGGCCGCGCCGTTCCCTCTCCTTTAGCACAAACCCTACCTCTGCGCAAGATGAACCACGGCGACCACGGCGGGCACGGCGACGGGGGATGGACATGGACCCGATGTGCAGCATGAACATGATCTGGAACACGCAGATCGAGGACACCTGCGTCGTGTTCAAGTGGTGGCACGTCCGGAGCACCGCGGGCTTCGTCGCGTCGTTCTTCGCCATCGTCGCGCTGGGCGTGCTGTACGAGTGGCTCCGCGTCGCCGCGCGCGATGCGGACAGGCTGATCGCGAAGAGGCTCGTCGCGGAGGGGAAGGGCAAGGCGCGGATCCGGAGCGGCCGGGCGACGCCGGAGAGCGACTCTGAGGCGGCGGGGCTGTTGGGCGGCGAGCGTGCGGCGCGGAAGGTCGGGTGAGTGGTAGATCGTGCATAGGTGAGGGGGATGCTGACGGTCTGTGGCGACGCAGGACCCCGCTCCCGTTCTTGCCTCGCGTAACCCGGGCGGTGCTGTATGGCGTACAGGTCTTCTTGTCCTTCTTCCTCATGCTGGTCTTCATGACCTACAACGTACGTTTGCGGACCCCTTGCCATCCGACCTCTTCCCGGCTAACACTTGTCTTCGGTAGGCCTATCTCATCCTCGCAGTCATTGCAGGCGCCGCCATCGGTCACTTCGTCTTCAGTTCGCACTTCGACATCAATGCTGCCCTCGCTGGCCCCGTCGACTCCAAGGGGATGTCGTGCCATTAGAGCAGTGCTGTCATCCGTTCCCACCCATTCCTATGCTTCCTGTCGCTGGTAGATGGTTCCTGCTCTCGTTCGGATCAAGGCTTGTACGTTACTATCGGAGCACTGCTGGATCATATCATTGTGTTCGACACTACCCAGAGACGAGTCCATTGCGCTCCGTCGATGAAGCCTACACCCAGTCTCCCGAGTCGCTCTGGTCCGCAACGCACCCTGCGTGGATGGGGCTAGAGGCTGCATAGCGTTCGCTAGTGTGCCTGTCATATTGACTGACGGACTACACGAGCGGCAGCGATGCGCTCGCATGTACTGCAGTGACAGTTCGGGAGGAGTGGGGCCTCTGACGGACTGTCTGAGTAGGAATGACGTCTCTGGAACCAGAGCTTACAAAGGCCAGCCGCTTGTCGAAACCCTAGACGCATCCGGCGCTGGATGGTATAAGCACGATTGGCGGTGCTCTAGCTATTCACCACACTCGACAATTCTGCTAAACACGCTCATATGTACGACATCCTTGGTGTCTGACGAGGGATCGAACGTCACTTACAAGCATCGTGAATACGGCCACGACATAATGAAGGTCCTCATCACCGGTGCCTCAGGCAGAACCTCTGGCTACGTCCTCAAGGCCCTCCTCAGGTCACCCTCCCCACCCGACCTGCGTCTCTTCGTGCGCTCCGAGGCCGCCGTCCAGAAGCTCACCTCCCAGCACCCGCGCCTCTCCCCAGCGGACTTCGCGCTCGGCGACTTCCTCGAGGCGGGCACGCTCCCGCCCGCGCTCGACGGCATCGACGTCGTGTTCCACAACGCGCCCGTGTTTCACCCGAACGAGGGAGCGATGGGCATCGCGCTGATCGACGCGGCGAAAGCGGCGGGCGTGAAGCACTTCGTGTACTGCAGCGTGCTCTTCCCGATCTTGACGAAGATGCAGCACCATAAGGTGAAGAGGGAGTGAGTCGTGTTCTTCGCGTCGCGGGTCTGCTGGGCCGTCGGTGTTGACCCGCTCGTTTAGTATCGAGGAATACCTGATCGAGTCGGGCCTGAACTACACCATCTTGGAGGTGAAGCCACGAGCTATTCCCGTCTGGTGGTTTATTGAAGTTCGCCGTTCCACAGCCCAGTTCCTTCATGCAGAACATTGACCTGCAAGCCACGCTGAGGTCGTCCACTATCACCGCCGGCTACTCCCAGACGACCCTCCAAGGTTTCCTCGACCTCGGTGACCTTGCGGACATTGCGGCGAAGGTTATCCTCGATCCCGCACCGCACAACCGCGCGAGGTACGAGCTGGTGGGCGAGAACTGCAGCATGGAGGACATCGCGCGTAAGCTGTCCGCGCACCTGGGCAAGGAGATCGCCGTCCAGAAAGCAACGGAACATCCCAAATTACCAAGCGGGTACATGGTGGAGACGATGGACAGGATGCTGTTCTACTATGACAGACGGTGAGTGACTGGAGGTACTGCAGCACAGGTGGATAGTGCTCACTCCTGTGCCTCTTATGCAGTGGTATCCCGGGGAACAATAATGTGACGCGATGGCTGCTGGGTCGGGAGCCGACAACTTGGAAAGCGCTGATCCAGCGTGAAGCGAAGGCTTAGGGATGCACAGCGTCTCCGGGTGCACGGACGTGTAACTTACGAGTATAGACGACGTTGTGTACCTCTGCGTCATAACATTGCAATAAAGAGACAAAGAAAGATTGGTCGTGGACGCAGTTATGCTTGAGAAGCATTGAAGACAACCAATGCGTGTTAGTGCGCGTGCAGGGCTCACAGCTAATTTCAGAACGATAGTCACTTGCAAACGCGCGCGACAGACGATGACTAAGCGCTCCAACCTTCAAGAAGGCGGCGCGCACCGCTCTTCTGCACCACTGTCGTTCATTGTCTCCTGTCAATTTTGCGCGAGCAGACACAACAGATGATATATGATCTGAAATCTGAATTATGGACCTGTCTCTCTACCATTTACAGTAGTAGTGTAGAGCTACCATGACTCTCGCAGAGTCCGAATAGTTGAACTCTTTCTACATGGCTCGCGACTGGCAAGGCATGGGATTCACTGGAATGTCAGTGGTGTTGTAGAGCAAGGCTGACCAGACACATTCTGCATAATTATTGGTTCGCATCAACCTGATTGCTCACGGGATCGTGTCGTGTATGTCGTTGCGAGGGGCTGGTCCTGGACAGGTCGCTGTGTGTGGAAGATCTCGCGCAGGTTGCAGTGGTGCAGAAGAACGGTGCGCGCCGCTCCCGAAGCGCGGAGCGCTTAGTCATCATATGTCGCGCGCGTTCGAGAGTGACTATCGTTCTGAAATTAGCTGCAATGGAGGAGCACATCTGCTGCGCTCTCATGGAAGGCGGTCGACCCCATGATGCAAACACCGCAGATCCCATCGGGAGAAGCTGCCATGTCTTTGCTGAATGCAAGCCCCACTTGAGCCCCACTGCTGCGGAAATTGTGCGGAAGTCTCGCTTCGCGGGGATGGTCCGTTCAGCTACGAGCGAAGTTCTTCTGTCAGAGATCTCTGCCGAATAAGTACCCCCGCCAGAGGTAGGCGATTGCAACTTCAGTCTATGTAGCTTGACCGCCATCATTCGCCCATGGCATCGGTTTGGCCAGAAAGACCGTTCCAAGTCCAAATCTCGGTTTAACGTTCCCTGCAACTAGGAGAACGGGGAGCGAGGAGGGGCGGAGAACTTGCGGAAAACTCACCTGAAAGCCGTGCATTCCCTCGGGACCGGCATGACGTGCCAGGCTGGCTATAATAGAATAGCTGAAAATTGAGGCAGGCCTGGAAGCTGTCTCCCGAGTGCTGGCGTCTTACAAGTAGAACGCTCGATTGGACTGCAATGAGAGCTTCGTGTCTACGACGATAGCTGTCTTGACATGGGCGTAAGCGAATAGAACAATGGCCCCAGGAGTGGTTATAGTGGTTCTCAGTCGATGGTGTCTCATGCTTGCGCTGCAGAGTTGGAAGGTGTGGTACTCATGGCGAGTTCGAACTTCGAAGGTCTGTGAGGACAATGAAGAACTCGGAAGAACTGTGGGCGTGCCAAGGGCGAAGAACGAGGGGGGATTGCCAAAGATGGGAGGGGGATATTAAGGCACGTGTTGGGGAGGAGGAGGTTGACAAGCGCCGGGTTGCGGAGATTTGTAGAGCAAACAACAAGGGGAAGATTGTCGTGCACGTTTACCACCCGCCGCTCCTTTGTTCTTCACCCGGCTGCCCTTCTGCGCCCCTATATCGTTTATTTAATCAATCACAATGGCCCACCGCCGCACACCGTCTGCCCGCTTCCCCGACCTACACATGTACGGCAACGGCAGCACCCTCCCCAGCCCCGTCCTCGAATCCCCGCCCTTCACCCCCGCCGCCGTCAGCTTCGCCGCCCTCTCGTCCATCGCGAGCCGCAAACCCAGGTCATACTGGTACCGCACAACATTCCTCGCGCTCCTCGCGCTCGTCGTGCTCTCCGTCTACATCCTCCTCGTCGCCCAGCCGTCACTATCATCCATCCCGGCCGCCTTCGACTCCGACAGCCATCCACATGCGCACCTGTCGCCAGACGCGTTCCGGCTAGCCGCGCTGCGACACAAGCATCCATGGAGCAGCAACGAGAGCACGCCCGGGCGGCCGCATGTGCAGCTGAACGCGTCGCAGGAGCTCGCGGCGGTATCAAGTTTTATCGCGAGCCTCCCACAGAACGTGATTCCCGGCACCGTCGATCCTTCCCAGCCGATCGACCCTCAGCTCGTACTCGACTTCGACACCCGGGGGCGCACGCTGCTGAGGAGGTCGAGACGATAGTAAAGGACGTATGGGCACAACATCCCGTTATGCTCTATTCAAAGGTGAGCCGTCGTTCCGTGTTCCGTTAACTCCATTCGCTCCCCATGTCTGTGCTGGGGTTTCTATACGGCCCTCAAGTATGTGCTGCTTCTACGATGGGCGAGCGGGCGGAGCATCGCCCACAATGCATAGGATGTATCCTGTGTACGTGCGCTGAAACATTTCGTTGACTATTGTTCATGCATCTCGGGTCAATGTCCGGACCAGATGCCACTGTTGACTGCACCGTCAGCCTCACGTCACAGGCGCTCTGCTCTGACAGATACAGATACCTCCGTCTCTCATATGCACCAAGTGCTATCGAGGCATCTGTGCATGCGTAAGGCCTTCCGAGGCTGCTCCGTGTGTGCCTGGCTATATGTGGTGCATGGGATGGGCAAGCGTGTCATGTTCGTCGTCTGTATGGGCGCACCATGCACTACTTGACTGCGCGGGGGCGGACATACCAGTGCACTCGTCAGCCGAACCTCGCATCCCCATCTGCCCTGAGATAGTTTGGATAGCATGCACACATTGATGTGATCGTAATACTGTCGCATATGACAAGTGTCTCGCGAATCAGCATCCGTCAATGCGCCTCGACGCAGACGATGCCTCACTTCTCGCGACTGTCCACCGCTCGTCTTCATGCACACGGTACCGCAGCCGAACAGCCAACTCACACACCCACAGTTCTACTCTCCCGTCTCTCGCGAGCTCAAGCAGATGCTCGGGGACCTCTACCTCCAGCCCGCACCCACGATCATCGAGGTCGACCAGCGCGTCGACGAGGGCGTCCTCGCGCCGCTGCTCTTCCGGCTCACAGGCAAGTCAGAGCTCCCGATCCTCCTCGTCGGCGGGCGCCCGCTCGGCACGCTCGAGGAGATCCGGTACCTCAAGAAGAAGGGCGAGCTCCAGCGGATGGTGACCGCCGCGGGCGCGGAGGTGTACGGCGCGAGGAGGAAGCAGAAGAAGCTGCACTGAGCCTTCACGTCGTTGGTCCTGGTCTGGCGCTTGCTGATAACGGAGACGGATCTGCGCACGCACGCACTGGCATACTGTACGCATACTCGGACACTTTCTTTTCTTGCTTATAGCTCGCCCACCGTCGCGCCTCTGCATGCCCCGGCACCCCCACTCCCGCGCATACACTTGCGACGGCGGCTGGCAGGCTGGGTTATTTGGATCTACGTCGACGTCGACGTCGACGATGCATGTGCTCACTCACATACATACTTGGTGTTATAGCCGGGTGTACAACTAGCTGCTTCGCACTATCATACTTCCATACAGTGTCTGCTGCACTGGCATGCCTACTACTCTTACATACTCCGCATAGACTTTTCCGGACACATGATGCATATGGCTGAATGACGAGAGGCACGATTTTTTGCTTGGTTCTTGGTGTGGTATAGGTTGGGTATAGGCTTGGTGGGGTTCAGATTCAGTGCAGAGAACTCGGGCGCTTGGCAACATATGAGCGGTCTTGCGCAACTACATGGGACATCCACTCTGGGATTCCATCGACAGCTTACCGGCTGGACATGTACTTGCAGAAAGTACGTACATATGGCCTCGGTACCGGTATTACCACGACCGCACTGGCAGGTCCGCAGTTGTATCAAGTCGCATCCATCGGCGCGTGAAGCTTTGAAGGATCGACAGATCGATGACTCGCGCCATAGTCAATAAATGGATGAGACCCTCATCTCATCTTACTCTCGGACAAGCAGGGCGTCCCCCCTCGAAGTCTCTCACTCACACGCACAACAAGTCTAAGGGTAATACGGTCGATAGGCTGCAAGGATGGTCCAGAGGCCGAAGATCGAGTATGTCATCTTCGATATGGATGGTGAGCCTGAGATCTCCGAGTCCTTCGCGTTGCGCTCTAGGCCCTTGCATGCGGGGCCTCTGGCTGGCTGCTAGCGTCGCTCGTCGGGGCTGACGGCTCTTGATCTGTAATGTGCAGGACTGCTCATCGACACGGAGAGGGTGTACACAGAGGTCACAAGTACGTGTCGCTGAATTCAAGCACGCCTGCCGAAGACATGACCGTGCGCCCACTCAGATAACATCCTCGCAAAGTATGGCAAGGAGATGACCTGGGACATCAAGGCCGGGCTCATGGGCAAACGTACGTCCGCCGTCTCACCTCTCCAGGTCCACCACTCACCCTCGTACCCCCTCCCCCCACATCCCGCACAGCCGAGCGCGAAGCCGCAGCGCACCTCCTCTCCTTCTTCCCCGACCTCCCGCCCGACTTCACCATCGACACCTACCTCAACCTCCGGCGCCCCGGCCAAGACCTGCTCTGGCCGACCGTGCAGCCGCTCCCGGGCGTGCTCAAGCTCGTGCGGCACCTCCGGCGGCACAACGTGCCCATCGCGGTCGCGACCGGCTCGCAGCGGCGCCACTACGCGAAGAAGAGCGCGCACCTCATGGACGCGCTCTTTGGGTGCTTCGAGGGGCACATCGTCTGCGCGGACGACGGGCTCATCCGTACGGGCAGGGGCAAGCCGCACCCGGACGTGTTCCTCGTCGCCGCGGAGAGGATGCTCGGGCGCGCGGTGGGCGAGGGCGAGGTGGAGGAGCGCAGCCTGGGCGAGGAGCAGAGGGCGGAGCGCGCGAAGGGCCTTGTGTTCGAGGATGCGATCCCGGGCGTGCAGGCGGGGAAACGCGCCGGGATGAACGGTGCGTCGCCGGCCTCGTGCGGGGCTGTGTCATGTTTTGTAGCTGGAGACCTGATGGGTTGTCAATGTAGTTGTGTGGGTCCCGGACGCGAACCTCCTGGCGCTGGGCGAGGCGGGGCCAACCCTAGGTGTCGAACAGCCCGAGCAGACGCTGAAGAGCCTTGAGGAATTTGTGCCCGAGGAGTGGGGCTTGCCTCCGTATGATGCGGAGTCTGAGTAAACGAAAGGACAGGAGGCTAGACGTAGCGCTTACGCACGAAACAGACGTCGCCGAAGGGCTGTGGTGTAGAGCATGCACATACCCTACCATACCTTCAGCGGGAGCAGCGCGCCTCGCTAAGTGTCATGTCTGAGCCACAAGCCACCGGTGTGCTTACGGCCTCGCTTGGGAGGTCTATGATATGGTACAGCAAATAGACATACACCCGGTGTTCTACAGGAAAGTCCCATGCTATACTTGTCAGACAAGTCAGGCATTCGTCTCAAGTGGAGTGTTGGCACACATACCTATGCATCATGAACCTGCAACCCCGCCCACAACCCGTTCACCTCTACTCCAGCATCCTCTAAAACACCCTTCAACTTGTGCTGTTCGTGTAGCGCGTGGATGTCGTCAGAGCCACCAAGTGATTGACCCTTGAAAGCAGCACGAGTCAGCTGAGACACGTAGCAAGTCAATGAACTTACGTGAATGAGGATATTGGGCACGGTACGCCGCCCTGTTAGTCTCTTCAGGATGTTTTGGATTATTTGACCGTCACTCCGAGTGTTTAGTTCGACGATGTGGGGCGGTGGGTCCAGCTCGTATTTTTGAAGCAGCGCCTTCGCACGTTGTGAGTAACTGGGGTGAATGTCAGTCAGAGGACCGCCGGTCTCACACAGGGAAATAGTGACGTACGGGCAGAACGTCTTGCTGAACACGACAACCGGGTGTTCATTCTTGAGCACTTTCAGATGCGCGTCCCATTTCCGGTGACCGTCAGGCGCGTAGACGTCGAGGTCAACGGCCTGTTCGGGGTCCACCTTCACGAGGCCTCTCCCCTCCACCTCGATGCCGCCCTCCTTCTCGTTCAGAGTACGATCCGGGTGCTGCGAGATGAAGTAGAGGAGGCCGTGAATCTCGGAGACATTGTTCTTGCGGCCGGTGATGTCCTTCAGCTTCGCGAGCGCGACCTGTCCGGCGCGTGAGGACGACGGGGAGAAGCCAATGTCTTTGAGAGACGCGGGGAGAGAGATGAACGAGGAGCCGCCATAGGTGCTTACGTAGAAGAACACGCCGGCGGTGAGGAGGATAACACTCCAGAAGATGCGCCTGCGGCGGTACGAGGAGGCCATCCTTGGTTTTCAGTTGCTTGGCTCGGCTAGAGAGTTCGGCTTGCTGGGTGGCCCGAAAGTGCAAGTCGGAGTCGAGGGAGAACGGCGCCAACGGTGCTCGCGGTTTGCTCAGGCTGTGCAGACGAGCGGACGGTGAATCGATGACAGATGGGCCCCGAGGCGCGTCTACGGTCTACGTCCCTGATGATTTGAACAATTTGACGTGGCGTCTCTTGAGCAGCCAGCTGAGCACCAGATCAATCACACGAGGCGTGCAGGCAGATACCTCCAGCAGCAGGGAAACAGCCAGAGGAGATAGCTCGACGAGCGCGACGAGCAAGACGAGGAAAGCAGCGATAGCTTGCAGCAGTGACAGTGTGAACGCAGATAAATCGGCAATCTGGCAAAGGGAGCATCGGCGAGATTTGGATCTGTGCAAGATCCAGCGGCTGATTGCCTTCGAGCCGCCAATCCATCATCATGCACCCCTGACCAGACTTCACCTCGACAACGACAGCGACGACGGGGTCGGCTGCGAGTCTGCGGGACCTACGCGGGACCAGGTCAAGCCGAGATAAGTATGTGCCTTACAGAGGCCTTGATCAAGACATATTGCATTTTTACTTGGACACTCATATCAACCTGCGACAGACCATTTTTCTTCGCCACCTGCCAGCGAGGTTGACCCACTGTGCCTGGGCCGGGGCCCGGGATAATATACTCGATGGGTGCCGGCTAGGAGTACTAAGTAGTGCACACTGCGCGAAATAATCCGGTAAGGTCGTTTCCATCAGGTTCGATCTTTGATTGAATTTATGAAAGGTGTACGCAGAACCGAATGCCAACGGCGACGAGTCATCCGAAGTTGCTGGATGATACCACGATGCAGGCTATAAGCAGAGAGATCTACAACAAAGAAGTTCGCCTGCATTACGCATAAGTTGTGCCATGATGTCGCTCAGATGCATTCTCTAGACTTCATGCGCACGTCTCGCTGAAGCGGCGCAGCTAACCCTAGTAGGCTGCCAGTCACATCCAAATGAACTGCCTGTAATGCCGTAGCGTGTCACACGTCTCGTAGGCTTCCTCATGGTACGCCACTATCTATCACTTCAAATGAAGTCCTATTTGCTCATTCAACCGTAAAAGGTACTGCTTGGATAGCGGGTGGCTAAGGTGCCACCTATCAGGTTATTGGGGTGTCGTTGGAACCCGAAACACGCAGCATCACAGTAGGAGATCAAATCGACCCGAACACCGAGGCTCATCTAAGTAGCTCCATAAGGTGCCGTCCCATTCACTAACATGGCGGTGGCTAGTGGGCTTCATCGCTGGAGCTTACGCTGAGAGGCTAAAGGTGTGTGCACACTGCAGGACTCTGCGGAAGTGGTATTTGTGACGTGTGATACCGCAGGTTCAGATGCCTCACGCTATGATTGTCAGAAACAGCATTGGGATCACATGTGACTGATCCGCAAGGGATGCTCGAAGTTCTCACTGTAGATGTTTAGGAGCTTACTCCGTCCACCAAACCGTATGAATACGCTTTGGTCTGCGGGCTTCAAGACCACACAAAAGTTGGTTGATGCGGTTCGACGCTTCATCCTCTGTTGCAGTGTCTTGAGATCTCATTCATATGCCGCTCACAAACAGGGTTGCCTCGGGTGATGTCAAGAGAACACCCACGCGCACTGCACTGTCAATGGCCATCGATGGGTTTACGGTATGTTCACGGTGTGATGTTCGTATGCACTAGTCGAAATGTGACTACTGGTATCACTTGACTATCTCCGGACGTCCAAACGTCATAAACACTGACTGGCCGATGTGTACGACTTCTCGGACATGTTGCCCTCTACTTGATTTGTGCTTCGAACGGTGAGCTCGGCGCGATGATGGCAGAGACGTCCGATGATCCAACGGACAGCACAAGGAGAAGGATCTGCATCAACATTTGGCGAGCGCCCCTGGTAGGAACATATACAGTATCGGAGGTGCGATCGATGTATCGATACACCCTCGGTTTGCGACTCTGACATGTTGGCATCTCTGTATAACATCAGCGACATGAATGAGACACTCGCTCGCAGTGCGATGGTATACCCTGAAGCGGAGTGCCTCGAACTGTGGATCTGGACGGCTGTCAGACTTAGCGCGATCTGCTATGTGAGTGTTTGCTGCGCTGGCGTAACCTTCGTTGCTCGTCGCAGCGTGCGTGTAATGTAGGTCGACAAGTGGCTGCCCCATTCGCCGGCTTCACCGAAACAGCGCAGCCAAAGTTAGAGCGTGAAGGTTGTGTGTAACATCCGGCTCACCGGTGCGCAGTCTGGGCCCTTGAAACGCCCGTTTCGCACAGGTTTGATGCCGAGGAGGGCCGGTCACGGTGTGCCCTAAACGTGGCCTAGTGGAAGGCCGAAGTGACCACTGCATGCGAGCAATGGATTGCCGTATGGGGAAACCTGTCGTGTGCGAGCATTCCTCCGTGGTGCGGGTGCGGTGGTACATAAGTAGTGCGGGTGTGCACGACGCGGACGCTGCTGCAGCCTGAGCAACTTGTCTGGCACGATCACGCGTACCGTGTCGCGATCACGTGTGAAGAGCGCTACTGCGGTATCTTCCTCGGGAGCTTCTCGTCTGGGCCGTGCAGCCTCCGCCGCTGGCAACTGACGCTTGCAGTCCGTCGACCCGACCCTGTGGGTCTCTTTCATCACGCTCACGATTTAGCTTTTGTAACTCACGCGCACGACTGCCTTTCCTTCCTCCGCCTCTTCCTTCCCCCGCCCTCGGCGACCCATTCGCGACCCTCCTCGAGCGGTCGACGCTGGCCCCTCTCGATTTCTGGACATTTCCTTGGTTACCGTCCCCCTGGCTGGGCCCGCGATCAGCAGATCGTATTGAAGATTCTCTACATGCATGGCAGATACCTTGTTTTCGATCACTGTCGACGACAACTCCCCCACAATCGCGTACGCGCCATTCGGTGACACTCTTGGCCAACCCGATGTCAGTGCAGGGTGGAATCCATACTACACCGGCTCGGGCTTCTCTTCAGGCTCCAACTCGTCGTCCAGCTCGGCGGTGAGCAACTTCGGTAATGGTACGAGTTTGCACGTCACTGCATGCGACGGAGCGCAGGTGGCAATACAGTGGAACGGTGAGTACTCGTGTGACTTTTCCCACATCTTCACCGCTGCTCTGTGAGCCTACCCAGCGAGCCCGGGTGCTGAGGTCTGTCTGTCGCGCTGGAACATCCTGGCTGGCTGTATGCGGATCTGCCCCTCGACTGCTGCCCGACCGGAGCGCCGGCGTGTCCAGTATCACCACTAGCGTCCGATAGCAGCTGTCAGTGGCCCCTCATCTATCAGTCAAGATGGTTCAAGACGGGCGATCTGTGGTTATGCTTTGGTCCTAATTCGTTGCTATCAGTGTGTGTCTTCTCCCGGTCAGACTGCTGACCTGCGCTCCCAGGCACTGCAATCAACGTGTTCGGTACCATCACCGCAAATGGCTCGAGCGCACTCACGTACTCTGTCTCCCTGGATGGGAACGCGACGACAAACTTCTTTTCCCGCATATCCTCGCCAGCGTCAGTGGATACTGCTGCCAATGATGTCCTGGCCTCGTTCTCCAATCTATCAGATGAACCGCACGAGATCGTGTTGACAGTGCATAATGCGGGGACGACAGGCAGCAACGATGCCACCAACCTGGACTTGGTTGTCGCGTTTGACAGCTTCGAGTTGTTCATGGACGGAGACGGGTAAGTGCACAACATGGACTCAGGTCGTTGACGATGTTTCGGACTTGCGCGAAGCAAAGCTCACAAGTTGGCCTGACAACTCTCCATCACGTGCATACTATACGGGTCGCAGTTCTACCCAACCTCAGATTGCTCGGTCACCGATGTCATTCACTTTGCTGTGGCAATTGCTTCTTCGAGATGGACCGCTTGTTTTCTCGCTTATTCGGGGCAAGCATGCAAGCCGTAACTTCCCTTCCCAACTATGCATCTCCGGCTCTCACTTATCCATGTCCCGTCGTCTCAGGCTTTTCATGACTGTAGCGCATTGCGTGCGCTCCTCGGGCCGCATCGAGCTCCTAACCTTTTTGGTCCTCCTGCCGTATATGTTCTGCAGCAATGTTGATTTGTTTGTTTCTCAGCCCGCCCACATCTTTGTCCTCTTCATCAACATCAGAAGCGCCCACAACCACCTCCATACCGGATGGCGCGGTCTCGTACCGTGGGCAGTGGTCGTTCACCACTGGGCTTCTATCAGACCTCCCAGAAGCCGCCTTCCATACGAGTACGAACGTCGGCGACAGTGCGCGGGTCGATTTCAATGGTGAGCTTCCCCACCCATTTCTTCACAGTTTTGCGACCCTGCCTGTGAGCGTCTATCCAAGTGATATTTCCGAGGCCCGACAGTCGGTGGTATCTTGGCGTCGTCCTGCGCACAGCCTACCTACTGTGTAACGATCACGGTCGCACGACCTTGATCATACACCTATTAAGTTGCTCGCGCCTACAAGGCAGTAATATTTCGCTTCCAGCTATGTCCGGACTCCGCTGCGTCACAAGAACCGCGTATCTAGGGTGCCGATCGTGCGTTGACTGGAAGCGCGACTCTGCGCCTAGCGCGTGTCCGGTTTCTCCTGTCATATTTACGCTGTGTCTTCGGTGCCGCTTCCGTAATTTGTGCCCACATTTGAAGGGCAGGACTCGTGTCCTTCGACTCGTCTCACTTTCCTTCCCTTCACACGGCGTGTCGGACATTAATTTATCGCTGGGGCCAGAGTCGCTGACGCGTTTACTTTCTCTTCTCTATCCCCGCAGGTACCGCCGTGTCCCTGTCAGGACTCACGACGCCCTCCTCGGGGACGTACAACGTTACTCTTGACGACCGCCTGTATCCTACATTGTCGGCGCGCGCCTCGTTCACGGCCGCGTCCCCTGTTGTATTGTTCTACGTCGCCGACCTCGACCCCGCGGTACCCCACTCCTTGGAAATTGTTAATGCCGGCGCGGACGGAGGAGGAAACGATCTAACTGCAGACTTGGTTGTCCTGGCTGGCGGCATAAACGTGACGATGGCAGGAAACACGACGACAACCGGGTGAGCGTTCGTGATTGTGGTTTGGGCCTTCCGCCGCAGACCTGACTGACTATGTCTATGTAGGACATTGACTACTAGCAGTCATCTATCACATGGCGCCGTTGCAGCCATCGCTGTGGGTATTGTGCTTGGCGTCTTTCTGCTGCTTGCTTTCATCCTAGTCATGGTCTGTTGGAGACGGAGAAGGGCACGAAGAAAGGAGAGCTTCCTGGTGAACCCGCGGGTGAGCTACTGGCAGCGTAACTGGCCACGCTGGTTCTCGACTCGGGCGGCAAGCACGGCACCGCAAGAGACCACCTTCGTGCGGGAGAAGGACACCCAATGGCGAGACAGTATGCCTCCTAGCCATAGGCCAGCCATCTTGCAGATCGGTCGTCCAATCATCCCACGGGAGAAGGAGGAGGCCAGGCATGACTACGTTGCCTCTGACGTCGGGACACAGGGTCATTCAGCCCAGCGGCCGCGCCATGTCTCGCAGAACTCGGATGGCAGCTTCTCCATTGAGCTGCCGGAACTGTCTGCGGTGCCGCTGCGGAACCCCACCAGTCCCTTTCCCTACACGCCGGAACCTCCGTCCCTCGTCTCGCAGTCATCCGCCATTCCCCGTACGTCAACGACGCCTCCCGACACCCTCAATCGACCACGCTCGCTACGTCCCAGAGGACCCCGCGAAATGCATGGGCGGGATAGCAGCCGGGGAATCTTGCTCGGCGAGATGCTCAGTTCGACGTCTGATTGGGAGGTCGAGGAGAACGCAACTCCTCTCAGGGTCGAGTTCGCGGCGCAGTCGCAGCCTCGTACGGAGCGTCGCACGGAGAGATATCTCAGCGCTGGCGGAGTCTCCTTACCGCAGTCCCTCAAGCAGGCGCTGGCCCGAGGAAGTTTTGACGGGGCGAATGCGGAAGCGGGCCCGTCAAGACCCTCGACGTTCCTGTCGTTCTTGGACTTCTCATCAAACTCGTCGCGGTCGTCGTCGCGGTCGCGGTCGCTCCGGCAGTCTTCATCGTCACAGTCCAAGCGATCAACACGAAGCTCGGCGAGGTCACGACGCGAGAGCAACCCACAGAATGCCCCGCCACTTCCGACAGATCGTCGTGAGTCGATGGGCTTGTCCATGACTGTCGCCGGAGGGCCGACAGAGAGCAGACCCTCGCTCAGCCCCGAAATCTCCCTCCAAACCGTACCTCTCCCCACACCCCTCCTCGTCGTACCCCCAGACCACCCACACGACATATCCGACCCTGCCCTCCGCTTAGACGACGTGGGCGAACTTCCTTCCCCTTCAGATTCTATCCCTATGACCGTCTCCGATATTCACTTCCGACATTCCATCCAGTCATCCGTATCGCCCATCACCGAGTCCCGCCGCACGAGTGCGTTCCGCCTAAGTGGGTCGCACCGTGTACCGCACCCACCTCTCCCAGGGGGCGACCTACAATCTGCACTTGTATCACCGACCCGTCCTACGCATGTGAAAAGCAACTCGCAAGGAACGATGCCCCGGCCGTACATCATGCAGAAGCTCATGGGTCTTCCCACCACCGCACCGGGTTCAAGTTCCACCACTGCTACGCCATTGGGGAGCCCGACAGCACCGTCATCAAGACTTGATCCCCCAGAAGGCTCCCGGTCAGCGACCGGGGGCGGCCGGCCACGAACAGCAGACGAGCCGCTGTCGCGGACGGACTCCCGCTCTACCCCCGCAGAGCAACGGGGTAGCACGGCGCCAACACCGGGCAGTACGAATCTCAGTTTCGGTTCAAGGAGTGCATTTGGGTTTCTGGGTCGACGATGACATACGCCAGGACGTTGGTCTGTGTACCCGAGGATTTGTAGCGCATGCTCTAGATCATCTTGCTTACGCCCACATACTGTACTACACGGCATGCATTCACAAAAGTTTGGTTTTCGCGTTGCATTCATACGGAGCATTTCTTGCTTCACCTTTTGCATTTGTACAACCTAAGTTATCGGACGGTTGCATTCGTCGTTCTTTCGGTGTCTACGCATCAGTTGTCTCTTTCGCATCGACGGCTCCCAAAGGCAGTCTACTATGCGGTCTCCTGTCTTGCACTCGGTTGCAAATTACCCCTATCCTTGAAGTCATGGCTCTCTATCGCTTGTAACATAGCTACAGTGTTGTAACAGTACATCTGCTTAATGCACAGAAGAATCGCGAGATCCCATGTCTTACAGAACCGACATCCGGCTGCAGTTAGCAGACCCGGTCTTGATCATCCCGCGAATCATCATCATGAGTACCTTCGATGCCGGTAAGTTAGGCGAGGTATGCTGGCAATGTGAAGATGGTTGAGAGTCAACGAGAACGGTCTTAACACCCGGCACCACCCTCACGACCCTTGTAACGCGTGTAGATACGCGTGTCGTTCATTTGATCCCAGAAAATATGGATGTCGTCCGCATTGAGGATCGCAATGCTCAAGGGGACCGTGATTCCGTACCTGAATGACACAAAAAACGTCAAGCGACAGTCAGGGAATGCAGGTTCGGACGTACGGGAACCCGCGTTCGCTGATCGTGCCGGTGCCCGTGTAAACGAGGCAACCACCAGGCAGTTCGCTTGTCCACTCCGCTGAGGTCGGTATCGGCGGAGAAGCGTTGGAGGAGGCGTGCAACGTCCACGAAAGAGTGCCCCTCGGTACATTCGCGTCCCCAGTTAGCTTGATCGCGCGCAGTTCCTCTTCCTCTTGGTGCCATGTCAAATGCAGCACTTCCGTCCCGTATGGACCAAATACTCCGAGCCAAAGCCCTTCTAAGGTCCCAAGTTTCCAATCTGCGTCGCTCGGATCAACGCCGGCGCGGATGTCCCAACGGAGCGGGTAGTAGCGCGGAGGGGCCGTAGAGAGATCATCGAACGGTAGAGCAGGCTGGTACATCTGGGTACATCGGTCATCGCCACCCGAGCAGTGTATTGAAATGGCTGCAGGTTTCATGTGTGGTGTCGTGGATGCAAAGATAATGGGGAGGCGAACGGCGGGATAGATCCGAACGAGCTCGCGCTGGTCGACGAGAACAGGGATGGACGGTTTCAGGTGTGGAAGACCGCGCGGCGAGTCATACCACAATGCGTCGAGGGGAGGGAAGCCAGGGTGGGGAAAGGGTTTGCGATAGCCTTGCATGAAGTAGCCATAGCTACTGGGGGGAACGACCTCAACGTACGTGGAATGCCAGTGCGCATGGTCGACCGGTGGCAGAACGCTGCAGGACACACGGGCCTTGGGCGGGACATCGTTCGGACTCCGTGGAGACGGTGCTTGGGATGCTATCGTGGTTCTGGGAGAGGGCACGAATGGCGCATCGAAACCGATCTTGAGAGCGCGAACGTAGTTCGGTAAAACAGGATGGCGGGTGGATGTCTGCGGAAATCGCCAAACTTCACCGACAATCCCCCCTGTTCCTTGTCGTCGCCCGGGATGAGCCGAAACTCGATGATGTTTCCTCGGTAGGGGTAGTCGCTTGCCCAGAGGCCGAGCAGGGGACCATATGGATGCAACAACTGCGTGTAGACTGTGTAGAAGGACAGTCCACCGAAGTTGACGACGCTTCGCAGGCCGTATTGACTGCAATATCGCTGCCAGATCGATGGATCCTGAGTGTGCTTGTGCGCGCCCCTGCACGTATTGAGCAAAGAGGTGACATCCACCGCAGACAGGTGGCGAAAGAGCTCGAAAAGCACATCATATGGCAAATCACATACATTCCTGACGGCTTCCGGCATTTGGGCTACAGTCGACGACTCGGCGACGACAGCTGGAAGGCTCATGAAGGCGTTCGAGGAGATTGAAGTTGCCTCATGCCTTTATACCCCTTGTGCTGCCCTTTGCCCGCCGGAAGCCGTGACGCTGCGGGGAAATATCTGATCATGCAGGTGGCCATCTGGACATAACTTCGGTGCTTTGGTCGGAGAAGTTCATCAAGCAGGCTTCGGACGTGCTAGTAAGCTCAAGGTTCCCAGAGAGATGGTGGTCAATAGCAACGAATAGAATGGGGGCCATTGCCAGCGATCAAGCAGTCCGTAGTCTTTGTTACAAGGTTGCTAATAAACGTCAGTAAACACCGTGAATGGCTGTGGCAATCATATGTCAATGAACACCGCCTGAACGCTCGCATCTTACAGCCATCCATGAGCACATATCTGTACGAACTACCCACAACTGGTGCTATATTCTTTGCAGGCGTATGCGACGACAAGACCGGGTCATATACCACTGAGATCGCAGAAGCCACAGAGGCTCGCGCGAATCTGAGAGCCGCGCTCAAGGAGAGCAAACGGGCAGACGATGGAGGGAAGGACTACCTCAAATTGGTCAAGGTGAGCCGTGAATACGGGGATATACATTGTGCAAGATCTCCTGCAGCTTTGTAGGTCCTAGATGATTACTTGCCTCAGTTGTATGGCATTGCCACTTCCGTTCAGCAAGGCGAGCTGGTACTCAAGACCGAGCCGAGTGCGTAATCTCATCTCTACGATCTGCACTGTCTCCGATACAACTCCGTAGTTTTCAGCTGGCGAACGACGCTCTCCTCTTCTATATTCCACAATTCGCCGCGCATCTCCATCCCCACGCTTTCCACTGAGGTCATCTTCACCCTCTTGACCTATGCCTTCGCCTTCTCCAACCTCTCCCGTACCGTTGTGCACTCGCTCGGAGCCTATGAGCGAGAGCGCGCGATATCAGACGCGGAGCGCAGGGCGAAGGACGAGAAACTGCAGTTTGCTGTCACGCTGCTATGCAAGGCATCTGGCGTCTTCGAGTACATCGCAAAGGACTGCATTCAGGAATGGGAGCGCGAACGCGAGCGCGTCGTTGCCGCCGGGCTCACATGCCCTCGTCCGCCCGACCTGACCAGAGAAGTGGTGGTAGGGCTAAGCAAGTAAGTCGGACTCCTGCCAGTCCGCTTGCATAACATGCTGAGTCAATCTCAGAATGGCACTAGCCGACGCGCAGACCCTCGCGATCCGCAAGCTATTGTCCAGAGCCGCCTTCGACAGCACGATCACGCCGGGGCCTCCACTACCGAAGTCGCACCCCTCGCCTCTGCTCATCGCCAAGCTGCACCTCGAATGCGCCGCCCTCTATGCGTCCGCGCGCTCCCTCGCCAAGACGCCAGGCGACTACCGTCCTGCGTCGTCCACCAAGTCCAGGCTCAAACAAGCGTTCACGAAGGACAAGGGTGACTCCGCTGTGCGCGACGAGGGCGGGGAGGAGGTCGCCCTTGAGCTGCGGCGGTACCTCGCCGAGGAGGTCGCCTTCCACTCCGCGCTCAGTCATAAGTGGTTGGGCGTGGACGCGGGCGAGAACGGGGCGACGTCCAAGGCGGGCGAGGCGGTTGCGTTCCTCGCATGGGCGAAGAAGGAACTGGAGGACCTGCGGGGTGGACCGCACGTGATGGGCTCCGACAGGGAGAAGGACATGCGCGAGCGGAGGAAGGAAAGGGTCGCGGAGGAGCTCGAGAGCGTGAGCGTGTTCTTGAAGGGATACAAGAATATGAATGACACGGTGAGCGGGAAGTGAAGGGAGTAACGGCGGGCTGCTGATCTGTCGGGGATAGGTGGCCTTCCAGCCGGTTCCTCCACAGTCGGACTTACAGGCATCCATACCCGCAGGACGGTTGGCTGTGACCGTCAAGCCTTTCACCAAACCAACCCCCGCCTTTGGCCCGGGCTCTGCAGCTTTTATTAGGCGACAGACCGAGGAGCTGGAGCTGGCTACTCGGGCTGTCGGGGAGGACACTGCTGCTTCTGAGCAGACAGACATAACAAGCCCTCAATCGGGCCGAAGCTACGCGGGAGAAGGCTCGTATTTCTAGGCTGTTGAATGGAATGATAAAGCAGAGTTGTAGCATTAGCGGGTTGGGCTATCAGGCAACGTGTAAGAGTAGGTCCATGTGTATCGCTGACTCATGTTGTGTGTGCCATTCAAACACGAGGAGGGTATCGAACTCATGTGTGCTTGCATCTTATCGCGCGCTTGTCGATACTCATGGTATAGACACGACACATGCGTCACAGAAGAGGTAAATGCACGGATATATGTACAATCGTCCTCCAAATGCCACTACATGATCGTCTTCTCGTGGTCTGGCGCAGCATTCGTGGGTAATTCAAGCTTCCGCGAGGAAGCTTGCGATCTGCTCATCAAGAAAGTTGGTGTCCTTGTCGTTCGAACCGCCTCCAGCTGAGTAGAGTCTCATCAGCTTCAGTCGACAAGGATAGAGCGCAGTGCGCACCCATATGTCCCCAAACGGAGTCGATGACCACCAGCTTCGACCCATTCTTCATGAGGGCAATCTCATTCTCGCTATCCTCCGGCTGCACACATCCAGCTCCCATGAGCACGCGCCATTCCAGCATGATCTCAATCAAATCAAAGCCCTCGTCAAGCGACTCACCGGGAAATACAAGTCCGTCTTACACGGCATGATCAACCCCTTCGGCTTCAATCCCGCAAGACAGTCCGCAAGCTCCACCGTACCACCGACCGACTCGGTAATGTCGCCGTCCTGCCAGGTACGGAGTAGCGTGAGGAGGTCGTTCGCGTCCCACTCGAGGAAGCCGCCCTCCCATTCCGCGCGGAGGAAGTCGTCGAGCGAGGCGTACTTCCCGTCGTGCAGGTAGCCGTGCTGGCGGAACCACTGCCGGCCCAGTGTACAGTCAGTCGTGGGATGGAAGAGCTGGAGAGGGTGCGTACGGTCTGTCCGTAGGCCCACGCGCTGTAGGCGCGACCGAAGGCACGGACGCCGATGTCGGGCTGGGATTTGTAGTGGCCGTCGTTGAAGTCTTTGGAGGCGACAAGGGCCGCCTTGGGGCCCTCCAAGAAGCTGTTGTTGTATGAGATGTGCGACGTTGGCATCGGTGGGCCCGGGGGACGTACCACTTGTTGTGGGGGCTCGTCCGAGCTGAGCCGCAAATTGCTATGAACCTGATAATACGAGTTTCAGCCTGAGTGGGAGCTGATTATAGTCTGAAATCGCATTGACTTCTCGACGTAGTCTGGGTACATGGCCGCCCAGTGGTATGCCTATTGATGTCCGATGTAAGTTCCTGGTTGTCCGAAGGTCACGTAGGTGTTAATTTTGCGAGTACCTGTTGGCCGCCCATGGAGAACCCGATGACGCAGCGAACCTTCTGCACGCCAAGGACTGTCGTCAGAACGGCATATTGGGCTCGGCTGCTAGTAATGTTAGGATTGTTCAGCTTGCAGTGACCCTAGTCACTTACATATTATCGGCGTAGGAGACAGCGGGGAAGTACGGTCCATTGTACGGAGGAGCCTGAGTTACATTATCATAGTTAGGTGATGTGAGTACAGGCGTTACTGGCTTGCTCACTGTGTTTGACGGCGAAGAGGACTAGAGACGTGAGCGCTGGCGGGTGAGTTCCATGCTACTACTGATCCCGCACTTGGACATACCTCGCCATTAGCAAACAGCGCTAGGGTAACTATGTAATACTTGGCAGGATCTAGGGCCTGCAACAGTGGCGTTGTGAATCAAACAGATAGTCGACGGCAGCCAACACCACTGACGTGGGACTCTTTGTCCGATGCTATCATGTAGTCCTGGCCTAGCAGGCCACGGTCTAAAATCAATGATCACGCCTCTCTTGGTATGCAGGGAATGAATGATACACGTACTGTCCAGTCGTCCGCCATAGCACGTGGGGAAAACAATGCACGGATTCTTCGGGTCTCCGTACGTACAATATGCCGTGAACGCGTCGGGAAGGACTCCGCCAGCTACACGGAAGCGACCATGGTGGTAGTACTTGACTTGGGACATGGCAGAGAGGTTGAGAGAGAAGGTGCCCCCTGTCTTCAACTACTATCTCGCATAACTTACCCAGAGTCCAGACGATAGCAGATATCATGAGTCATAGAGGGTGAGAACGCACACTGTGCCATTGGCATCGCGTGGTCACACGGGTGGAACTCTCTTTCGTGGGCCCGAGGAATGGCGAGCACACAGTTTGGCCCGTTCCACTCATTAACTGACGTTGCGGGAAGATGGTACGGGGTATTAAGTAGGTTGCTCACTGGCAGCCACCAGTCACAGATCGATCGGAGGCGTGTCAGGCGCGTCACGTCGCGTGCCCGGTCACGTGCTGGGAAAACAGGGAGGTACTGCTACAGTTCTGATCGCCGCTTTGGATCTCCGCCACAGGTCCCCTTCCCTCTAGCATCGACGATCGCATCCTCAAGACATGGGCTGTACGTCGCCTCGCCGTCCTCCTCGCCGTCCTATGCACTATGCTGACCGTTTGATGCAGCCAACAAACCCCGCGGATTGCAAGCCGCGCGCAAGCTGCGCAACGACCGCCGTGAAAACCGCTGGGTACGCTTCGCAGTTTTCCTCAGATTGCGGCTGGGATCTCATCTCCTCTCTGCGCTGCACGCACGCTTGCGATCATATAGGCGGACAAGGCCTACAAAAAGCGGGCTCTTGGCAACATCTACAAGACCTCGCCCACTGGAGGATCGTCGCATGCGAAGGGCATCGTCCTCGAGAAGATTGGCGTTGAGGCCAAGCAGCCCAACTCAGCTATCCGGAAGTGTGTCCGCGTACAGCTGATCAAGAACGGTAAGAAGGTGACCGCGTTCGTGCCCGTGAGTGTCGTCTTTCTTCTCATCGCTTGCCATGGCGTGCTGCGAGTCCATATCTCGGCTCTCGCGTTTGTGCTCGCGCTAACTTTGTGCCAGAACGACGGTTGCTTGAACTTCGTCGACGACAACGACGAAGTCCTCATCTCTGGTTTCGGTCGCCGCGGAAAGGCCAAGGGTGATATTCCCGGTGTCCGCTTCAAGGTCGTCAAGGTGTCCGGTGTCGGCCTGCTCGCTCTCTGGAAGGAGAAGAAGGTCCGTCCGTCATCTTCGGCCCCCGATGACTCGCACTGATTGTCTCTGTAGGAGAAGCCTAGGTCATAAATTCTGCCCCTTCTTTGGACCTTATCTCGTACCCTCGATTGTCACTGCCGATGCTTGTCCAACGGGTTCACATGCATGTATTATGTATGCCACCACTATGATTTCGCATAATGAACCATATGCCGAACGAGCACGTCCGTAATGCGCGATCGCGTCCAAGAATGCATCATAGGCTGAAGTGACGAGCAGGCGCGCGGGGCCGGTCTGCCGTTCCACTCTCATTTCATATCCCATCGAACATCGCTGCTACGGTCTTCCGGGGAATGTCCGACTTGCATCTAATGTGGTTTCGTATGATCGAGGCAAGGTCGAGGTCCAACCGAGGTCAGTCGAAGACTTCCAGTAGAGCCGCACAACACACAATGGACCAATCATAGCGCTCATATTATCTGCTAGCGGTGTAGCCATATCAGTATAGGTAGGTGGAAGTACTGTACGTCGAGAGTCCGCGAGCAATGGATAGGAGAGAGAGCGAGAGATAACACATGTGTCGTGCAAGTCATCAATCGTCGACAGCGTTACTGTACCCGCCGATGGCAGGCTTTTAGCATCATACCCGGACTGAGGCGGCGAACATGGGACTCAGATGTTGACAGCGATTCCCTGGCCCTCAATATACCGCTTCAGGTCGGCCATGAGCTCGAGCTGTTGCCCCGGCGTCAACCCGCTGACGATCATCTGCAGTATCGAGCCGACGGAGACGTGGTGCTGACGGATGAGGCTGCTGTAGTAGACGTAGGTGAAGACGCCCATGAGGAACCTGGAAGCGCGGGAGTCAGTAAAGAGAGGTGCTCCTCCTGGGGAGGGGTGTACGTACTGGCAGTCCATGCGGTCCGTCATGCCGCCGTGCCCGGGGATGCTGTGGCCGAAGTCCTTGATGTTGAAGGCGCGCTTGAAGCCGGAGGCGAAGAACCCGCCGAAGGGCGCGACGAGCGAGGCGAAGCATGCGAGCACCAAGACATGGAACTGGTATGGCGCGTACGCGACAGTCGCGAATTCATGACCAGTCTATCCGTGTGTCAATACACCGTCACTTAGCAGTGAACGAATGAGACATACCGCAGTCGACAGCAAGGCCCGCGCAGGCGTCGGGATCACCCACTCCCTCCACACGAATACCGGGTTAGGGTCGCAGCCCAGGTTATCAAACGCGCTCACGCCCAAGTCGTGTACCGGGCAGATCATGTAGTCGAAGCGCATGAAGTACGTTCCCCACGCCACGCCGAACACGACCGTGCTGAAGAACGCGCCCACGAAGCCCTCGACGGTCTTCTTCGGGGATAGCTTGATCAGCGGCGTGCGCCCGACCGTAATGCCCCAAATGTAGGCGAAGACGTCGTTGCAGATGACGAGCGAGGCAGGCACCCAGAACCAGATCATGCCCTCGAGGATGTTGTCCACGATGAAGTGGCTCGAGACGACGATCATCATGAGTGTCATGTGTACCCAGCAGAAGAGCCCGAATTGCTGCTTGAGGTAGCCACGCTTGAGCGACATGACGAAGCCGACGAAGCCGAGGGTGTAGAGCGAGAAGCTGATCATTCGGTGGTTGGTCGCGAAAATGGTGAACTGCGCGTCCGCGAATACGACATGCTACGGTAGATGTCAATACACCGCACAACTGCGTTAGATCGGTATTGCTTACCTTGAAATAGTAGATGATGCTCTCGCCATAGAGGAAGTAATTGGTGATCACGAAGAAATACCAGTTGAGCGTCTTGCTCCATGGGTCCCGCCCTCGGCCTTCGTCCGCGTCTTTCCTCTTCAACGAGAATAATGATGTCACCTCCCGGTAGACTAGGGTCTGGCACAGCATGACGAGCAGGATCATGTATGCATGGCCCATGAGCAATAGTGCTGGCGCGAAGACGTCAGTTTTAATAACACAAACAAGGGTAGCATACGCACTCAAGAAGCCTCCAATCATTATGAATGTCCATAGCGTTCGTGTCAAGAAACTCTGTCGTTTCTTCGCCTTCTCGCCATCTTGGACACTCTCTTGTTGCACAGCACCTCCCGCGTGTCCGTTGGCAGGCTTGCTGTCACTTGCCGCTGGTGATTTCTCTTGTGGTTTCGTCTCCGGCTCCGGCGGGGACAACTTGCTGTCAAGTACCGGCGCAGCAGAACCGGGCGGTGGTTCCGTCACAGTCGGTGGCTCGGACTTATCGCTGGACACGAAGGTGGTCTCCTCGGGTGGAGATACTTCCTCGTGTACGACACCGGCGTCTCCGTTTGCTCGTTTGGGCGGGGCCGACTCTGCATGGCTTGGTACAGTTAGTCGTTCCGAAGCCTCAGCTGGTGTAGCTTTGCCTTCCAAACGAGCCTTGAGCGATGGTGCCGACCGGGGGACAATCTCTGGGGCCTCTTCAGATGTGTCACCTCCTAGCTCCTCCGCAAGCACGGACGCGGGCGACTTGGACGTGGCTCGTGCCTTTGACGCTGCGCGCGCGGCCGCTTTGCGCTGGAGCCTCGCCTGCTCCTTCGCTTTCTTGATGGCGGATTTGGAAGGCTTTGAGGCAGATTCTGACCCGCTGAACGTCGGGCTGGTCGCGTCAATATTCCCACTGACACCGTCTATGGCCCGTACCTATCTGGTGCCAGAGGCGAGTGCGCTTCGAGGACCTCCTCCTCGCTCTCTTCGCCCGACTCGACACCCAGGCCATCGAATGCAGTCTTGGAGGCCCATGAAGGGCGTGTGCCGTTTGCTGTTGAACTCATGTGGATGGAGGCTGAGAGAGGGGTGCTGGTGCCGAAGCGGTGACGCTGCAGCGAGCGAAGTGGACCGTGTCACGGCCACGTGAAGGAAGCTACGTCAAGGCAATCAGTCCGCGTTCGGCTCAGCGTGTATCTCACTCGGGGCACACAGATTCTACAAGACAAGAAATACATCTCATTCTATAGCAACAGACGTCCTAGCTATCACGGCGTAGACAATAATTACATATCAAGGATAGCGGATACAGTGTTCAATGCGAGGTATGCAGTATGTAATGCAGATTGTTGTCCACTAGGTAATAAGCGGATGTGAGGGGGAAGGGAATAACTCGGGCCACTTGGTCAAGTCTCAGCGACTTACTAGGGCCAGAGATTCCGTGGATCCATCGGCAAGCCCATAAGAATACCACTTCATGCCGGGATGTGTTGACAGACAATGCGATGTGTGATGCGAGTTGCGATAATGATGCTCAGAACTTCCACTCCGTATCGACCTCCATAGCCCAGGGGACTTGAGAACAGTATAGTTAGCATGTGTACCACGGTCGCGCGCAGAGTCGACATACACTTAGTCAAAAGCGTCTTCGAGAAGATCTTCTCTATAGGAACGTTGTGTGTCTTACACCAGGCAGCGGTGATTCTAGTGACGCGGTCAGGGCAGAGCAGAAGACGATGCAAGCATGACGCGCACCTCGGGTCCAAATAGTTGATCTTACTCGTGCTGAGAGCGACTTCCTTGCCAGCCTCGCGGTCCTCCATCTGAAGCTTGAACGTTTTCATCCTGTCATCTAGCTTCGCTATGGCCTCCTCTATCTTCTCCGTCGGCCTCTCCCTCTTCAGCGTTGCCTTGTTCGTCCCACGCTCCTTCGCGAGCCGCTTGTACTCCTCCTCGACGTCCTTGCGTCGCTGCTTCAGCACGGAGTCGGCGAGGGGCTCCTTCCCTTCCTCGGCCAGCTTCTCGTTGTCCTTCACGAACTTCTTCTCCACCTTCTCCAGATCCTTCTCCTTCAGGTGCTCCTCGTGCTCGGCAATAACATCGTCGTCAAGGTCAGATTCGTCCTCGGCGTACTGTTTCTTCTTCTTGTACTTGGGATCGATGTTGAAGAGGGCGTGGCGAAGCTTCATCCGCTCGTACTTGAGAGCACGCAACTTATACCCGGCGTGATGAGTTACAGCTACATCGCTGAGGACGAGCCACAACATACCTTATCCCGCATCTTGCCCATAGACTGCTCGTGAGACTTGGGCACGGCACGCTGATGGTTGCAAAGGATGGCGACCATGCGATTCGCGTGGTTGTATGCATTCAGCTTCTCCTGGACAGTCCCTTTCTCCGGTGTGCTCTCATCCAACTGCTGCTGGAACGTGATGGAGGCGTTGTAGGTACGGAAGACCTTGGCGGTGAGACCCTTCATGTAAGATTGCAGATGTTTGTTGAGCTTCGCCGTCTAGATCTGTCCGTCAGCTTCGGCGTATCAAGCTAAGTGCACTGCAGTAACGTACGTCGACGCGATCAAAAAGCTGATCTCCGTCATCCTTATCGTCCTTGAAGATCTTGATGTTTTTGAAGACCTGGGCGTCGACGGTAACTTGATTGTAGTAGCGGATCGAGTCTTTACCAAGGAAGTCGAATACGAGCTGGTCGGGAGGCTGCAGCGTAACATGTTCGCAGCGGAGCGAACAACAGCCGACGGTATCCGCCTCTTCTTCGCCCTTCTCGTTACCCGCACGAAGGGCCAGTCGGTCGATGAAGTACATCGCCGTGGCGCGCTGACGGTCAGCCATAACTCTACTCCGCAGTTCGTTGTAGTAGTCTTGGCGGACACGGTCGACGTGGTTCTGCGGCGTATGGTCTCAACAACCTATCTTCTGACAAACTGCAGCACACACCTTCAGCTCTCGCGCCTTCTCGAACTTGGCCATATCACTCTGACCCTTAAGGGCGCTCCCGGGCGCTAGGAACACGTACTTGTGGTTGCCGTTCACATTCTCCGTCCAAGTGGCCAGCCAGGTCACGGTATAGTCGTGCTGAACGTCCTTCCAGTTACCCGGGACATTCGGCCTGGGAACGGGCACACCCTCGCCGATGTTGATCGTGACGTCCTGAGGCCGTACACGTTTCTGAACGGTGTCCGCATCACATCAACTTCCCGCCTATATGCGCAGACACAAAACGCTACCTTCAACGTGCCCTTCTTGGGGTGCTCACCACGACCGCGGTACAAGCCCGGCGGCTCCACTTTGAAGTTCCCGACCTTCTCCTTCCTACCGTCTATGGTACAATGCGTGAAGGGGGCCTCCAGTGCGTCCTTAGCTGCCTTCAACTCCTTCTTCTCAGCAGAAGACAGTGCTTTCTTCTTCGCCTTCTCCCCTTCGAAGTATTCGAACATAGGTCGGAAGTCACAGAGGCTGAGATCAGTGATCTTCGTTCCATTACGCTGCATCGCCAGAATCAGCATGGAGATTTGCTTAAGGTCAGAAAAAAACGGACCGGCGGATGCTTCTTCAAGATATCCTTGAAGTCGTTGAAGAAGTTCCTGTTAAAGGTGCTATCTTTGGTATGGTCCGATTCTATGAGAGCTGCATAGAAGCCCGCAACCTCTTCCGATTCCGGAGGGAGGTCAACTGGCTTGCCTGACAGACGCGTAAGATAACGTCAATGAGGAAGCTTGTATTAAAACTGACGACACGTACCCTTATACTTCATCTTCACATGCGACGGCAAGGGCTCATAGGGTGGCGGGAAGTAGACACCGTTGTGTTGTAGAGTCTGCCACTTCATGCTGTTGTCTTCGCCGTGGAACTCCTGATCCTCCCACCAACGGAAGACCTCCTCTTCCTCTTCCTCCTTCTTCTTCCTCTTGCCTTTCAGCGGGCTACCGTCAACCGCCTCTTCCTTCTTCACCTTCCCCCTCCTTTTCGGTGGCGGTGCCTCGGACTCGCCTGCCTCCTTCTTCACTCTCTTCGTCGCTGCCTTCTTCGCAGACACCTTCTTCAGCGGTTTGTCGTCGTCTGAGAAACTCCCATCATCAGCATCACTCTCCTCCCTCTTCATCTTGCGCTTCATGCGAGGCGGCGCTTTCTGCACGATGGGTTTGTCGTCGTCAGAGTCGTCCTCCTTCTTCACCTTCTTCTTCGGCGGCTTTGCGGCACCATTACCGCTGGTGGTACGCTTGCCCTTCGTTATGATGGGAAGGTCATCATCGTCTGACGAGGACGAGGACTCCATCGCGGCTGGCTTGCCATTTGCCTTCGTAGTCGTAGTTGCCTGTAGTGCGCCATTCATACGCACGGCGCCCGAGGTAGCGCGCTTGGCTGGCGAAGACGCGAGCGGGGTTTCCTCATCACTAGAGGAGTTGTTAGACTGAGCTTTCTTGCGCTTGAGGGCGCGCACTGGAGTCATGGGCTCGGACTTGACGCGGGAGGCCTGGGACTGGTAAGACGCGCGCCACGGATACCATGTAAGACATGGTGCGTTGCACAGAGAGAAAATTAATGACACACGAGGGGCATATCGTCGTCCTCGCTCATGGACGACTCGTCCGCTGCTTGTCCGTTGCCGTTAGACACGACGTGGCCGTTCCGGCCGCGGGGGGCGGACTTGAGCCCAAGAGGCTTCTCGTCGTCGTCGGAAGACATGACGATGTCGCCGGACATGTTCTGGCGATGGGGTACGACGGGTACGTGGGCACTGAGACGAGGGGGAAGAGGGGGAGAGTTGGGAGCGTAAGAGAAGTGTCCTCTGCGCTTGAATACCCCCCGATCAGGGCTCCAAAGTTGAAGTGACAGGTAGCCTGCCCTAAACTCGCGCGCTGGTGGCCGAAGCAGTGCGCCCGCTTTGTCCCATATCGAGACTGCCGCGTATTCCAGGTGCGCCTTCACGGCCTTCATTCCTGCTTTGTCTTTGAAACACAGGCATCCGGCACAGATGGCAAACCCTCCGCCAACACCGCCTGTCTACCGGGACCCGTGGGCCAAGCGGGAAGCTTGGAGGAAGCACCCGGTCTTCTCCAGACGCGCGATGTTCAGCAAGATGTTTCCCGGCTTTGGCGTGGCAGTGGTCGCCTTCACCACCTACGTGGTTGTGGATAATATGTTCCTCAGCGCGAAGGGCGACTCGCATCACTGAAGGAGCGGCAGACATGTGTGCGGTGAGCCGTATTACTGCAGCTTTGCCACGCCGTCCACCCTGACACCTAAATACTAATAGCATCTTGTCGTTCCACCATCCCCCTCGCTATCCCGCTTTCCACCCAATGTAATGCTAGAGTAATCCAAACCCCATCAACGTGCGTGCGTCTCTGATACATGGAAGCCCAGTAGCTGGACATGCGCCAGGACGCCACTATCGCATTGCCAGTAAGGTATTGGAGTGTGTGTTCGCTGGCAAGGGCCCGATCGACAGCATTGCGAACTTGCCGCACCCACGATGACAAGCCAGACATCTCTTTCAAGGCGATGTCATCACAGGGTGTGATGCGGGCCAGAGTTCAGCGAAGCAGACGACCGTCTATGATACACGAATATTGAGCTTTATCCTCTAAGGTATCTTTTATACACTTCATTGCCTGTCTCCTCGACATATGGGTATCCCAGGTTTTTGAGGAAGTCGTCGAACGGAGCTGCGTCTTCTGGAGGCACTTGAATGGCAGCCAGGACCTTCCCGAGATCTAAGTGTGGGATCAGCATGTGCACTTGCGACAGCGGCACGCACAGCCTACCTGCACCATGGTTCCTATAATGGAACAACGAGATGTTCCATCCCGTATGCAGGCCCAGCAGGAATTTTCGAAGAGCTCCGGGCCTTTCAGGGAACTCTGTACCCAGTTTCAGCCTCATAGATCTGACATGGGTGGTACGACGCAAGACTCACCGAAGCGGAAGAGTCGTTCGTTGGGTACATTTGAGCATCCACCGATCATGTATCGTGCATGAGTCTTGGCCAGCTCGTCGTCACTGATGTCGAAGCCCTTCATGTCTTGTTTCTCGAGGGTGCTGAGGACGTCCGCCACCTCCTTCGCGCGATTCTGGCTCTCGAGCTTGAAGGATAGGAAGATCTGTGCTCGCTCGGCGTTGCTATAGCGGTAGATGAATTCGGTCGTTGCGCGTGGGTGGATGACGCCGTGCAGCTCGATGAAACTGCAGTATTCATTCGGTCATTGTTCCTTTTGATGTGGACTGATCTTACTCACCTCCCGGGTTTCTCTGGAATCTCGACACTCAATAGTGCCTCCCGGCCTTCACCAAGTTCAGCACGTTCCGAGACGAATCGTAGCGGTCGAAGTTCATGTTCGCGCCGCTGACGACGGCTACGAACTTCTTTCCGGCGCCGATCAGTTGATTTCGTAGTATGTATGCCTTCAGGGCGGCAAGGCCTAGTGCGCCGGCGGGCTCAGTGATAGATCGAGTCTCTTCATGCACCGGTCAGTGAAGTACATTTGCGGCAATGCGGGACTGTACCTTCAAAGATGTCCTTGATGGCCGCACAAAGCTCATCATTGGTGACCAGCTCGATACTGTCCAGCACTTCCTGGCAGAGTCTGAACGGCTCAGCCCCGACGATCTTCACGGCCGTGCCATCACTGAAAGGACCGACTTCGTCTAGAGTGACCCTCGAGCCCTGTTTGATACTGCGGTCCATGGCATCGCCGTCGTACGTCTCCGCGCCGATGATCTGCGTGTTGGGAGAGCCGATGCGCTTCACGTACGCACCAATGCCAGAGACCAGTCCGCCTCCGCCTACAGCGGCGAAGATAGCATCGAGGCTTTCTGAGTCTGGGACCTGCTTGAGTATCTCGGCACCGATCGTCCCCTGCCCGGCGATGACAAGGGGGTCGTCGTATGGTGGGACAAAGATGAGGCCATGCGTGGAAGCGAGCCGAGCGCACTCCGCCTTCGCCTCGTCGAAGTCGTCTCCGAACAGCACAACCTTCGCGCCGAGGCGAGAGACGTTACGGACCTTGATGGAAGGTGTCCCCTTCGGCATGACAATGGTACAAGGCACCCCCAGCTTCGATCCAGAGAGCGCAACACCCTGGGCATGATTACCTGCCGCAAAGGACCATCGGACGATCAACGTAAGCTCAGCAGCAGCAGCACGAGTACGCACACTAACCCGCGCTGCATGTGATGACTCCCTTCCACCGCTCCTCCTCCGTCAGGCTCGCCATGAAGTTGTACGCGCCCCGGATCTTGAAGCTGAACACTTCCTGCAGGTCCTCGCGCTTCAGCCATATCTGGTTCCCGAACCGCGCACTGAGGTTCGCGCTGTAGACTAGGGGCGTCTCCTTCACAATCTCGTAGACCTTGGAAGTGAGGATCAGTCTAAGGTAGTCCGGCTTTTGTGATGGGAGCAGATGGTGCTCTGCGAGCCGCGGATAGGAGATCGGTTCTGGCGCGTCCGAGGAGTACTCGATCGCAGTTGAGAGAGCAGGCATTGTGGAGAGTCAAGACGTTCAGCGTGTGTTTCCCGCACACTGGCTGTGTAGCCCACGATTTTGAACCAGAACCAGATGACTTTCTGTCGCTGCGATGTGTGTGCGGGGGACGTCTGCGTGAAAACGTGAAAATGACTCACCTGGACCTACAGGCGCCAACAACCTGGCGAGTCACTTTATATTCTCAGTTCCAAGTTCATTCTGGCCGGAATAGAACCGGACAGTAGTGCTGAGATTGATGCCAGATGACTCGCGATATTTCGTTTGAGACATTGGCGTACGTGAGATCTGACCGTCTCGTTGGACGACGTCTGACAAAGATGATGATAGTATGCCGGAACACTGTTCAGAGCATTAGAGATAAGTATACAACAGTAGCGTAACAAGGCGACAGCAGCAATACACAATAATGAGTACGTATCCAACACCGATAGCCAGGAGTAAGGTAAAAGGAAGCAGCAGAAGTGACTAGCAAGCAAATGGACGGTCATGACGAAACAATTCTCCGCTCTCGCTCCTTCATCTTCGCGCCCGGACCAAACCGTTCTTGGAAATTAATCAGCTCCTCCATGAGCTCCTCCATCATCTTCATCGTCGACGCAGATTCAGATGGTGTCGGAAACTGCGACACGGGAGATGATGTGTCGAGTAGTGTTAATGGTTTCTCCTGCACCGGAGATTCCATGGCAGGTCCATCGGCAGCTATCGCATCGCCGTTTTCTATAGACGGATGTTGATTTTCGACCGCTCCCGGATGAATATCTCCGTTCGTCTGCCGGACCTCTCGCAAGGCCTTCTCGATGGCGTCTCGCCGCCTACCACGCTCGAGCGCACTCGCCTGCTCCCTCCCTACCCACTCCACCAAAGCTCTAACCCGCTTGTTCATATCGCTCACGCTCATGCGCTTGCCCGGCCACTTCACCTTCACTCCTCGCTCCGTATTACGTTCCAGAGACTCTCTCCCGGTCGAGTCGATGCCCGATCCGCGCACCTCCAGTGGTTGGGGTACGTCAGTAGGCAGCATAAGTTCGAGGTGAGCAAGGTAGTCGGGGAGGCCCCATGAAGTGAATAGAGGCTGCTGAGAGACGGCATACGCATGCGAGTGATGATATGCACGCGAGGCAGCTGTGTATTGGCGTGCGAGCTGGAGGGCCCGGCGCTATTTGGGTTGCTGGCTTGCGCCCTTCGGCTGCCGTTTCGTTCCCCGTGGTGGCTGATACAGTTTAATGTTAGTGTCAGATGAGCGTGCATGTCACCTGTACTGTACCTTTGGTACGACTGTTGGGCTGTCTGCTACGTGAAGACGGGGTGGCTGCTGAAACGGACGATCATCAGTCACATGCACTACGTCACCCCTTCCGCGCGGACACGGACCTTCCTCCCCGTCGACCGAGACGAGGTCCAGCGCCTGCAGCTTGCGACCTCCTCCCCGCTTGTTGCGCGAACCTGTCTTGTTCACTAGAATTGGTGCTGTGTTGTTCTTCGCATTGTTACTGATGGGTGTCGGTTCCCGGGCCATCTTCACACTCGCCACCGCAGTGCGATCGGACGAGATAGACGCGGATCGTGCCCGCTTGGTCGTCACCCTGGACAGTAGCCAGCGTTGAGGGAGTGTGTTGCGCAAGACGAATACTACTCACGCTTCGTCGTCTGATCGCTTCCGTTTCCGCCGACTGCTCACAGCAACATCGTCTGCCTCCTGTTCATCGTGGCCGTTGACCTCGGCGTCTATGCCATTGGGAGCGTTCTCTGTGGCGAGGGCCTCCTGTTCCTTCGCAGCGGCCTCAGCTGCCGTAGCCTCGAGCAGTGCTTGGAAGCTTTCTTCGTATGCAGCGTCACGGCTGTTCATCGTGTTGCGTCGTTTCGTCTGCTTGGCGTGTGCCGCTGGGGATCGTGAGCGCGACGTGCGAGAGCCGTGCCCACCGACGGTGTGCAATGAGTGGTTTGACGCCTGGCGGGCTCGTTTGGCATGTTTCCTGCAGGCGGGCGGCCACTGAGTGGCCAGCGCATGTCATATGGATATGTACACACCTCAGAAGCTCAACGTAGAGATCGGGTCGGCACTGCTCGCAATAGTAGTGCTCAGGGAGATCGCCCTCCTCCCCGAATCCCATACACCTGCCGTGCTGCCATGCTTCGCACATCTCGCACTGAGCCATGAATCCGCCTTGTCCATCCTCATCGCCTTGTTGAGCATATGAGCATACAGTCAGGCATAGAGTGACGCGTAGAACGCACCACAGATGCAGCGTGTGATACCCCCCTCCTCATCCTCGCCCTCAGCATCCAACCCTCCCTCCTCCAAAAGCGCGTCGCCGTGCTCGTCGTCTGGGATTATGTTCTCTACGTTGTCCAGCGTCGCGAGTGTCTTGTCCTTGTCCTTGCCTTTCCGTTTTGCGCGCGCATTCCCGTTGCCGTTGGTGCCGTTGGTACCGTGCTTCCGCTCCTCCAGGGCATCGTCGTGTTCCTCCTGTTTGCCGCGCTTGTTCTTGTTCGAGAGGTTGGGTGTCGGAAGTGGTGGCCGTTGTCCATTCTCTTTTGCTTTCGGGGCCGAGTCGGCGGCGGGCGATCCACCGGGAGACTTGCTGGTCGACCCAGAGGGCACGGAGCGTCTGCCGGAGCGGCGAGGCTCCTTCGGGGACGGTGGCGGACCCATGACGGCAGCGTTGGCCATGCTAGCGCAGGTCGCGGCGGTGCACAGGGATGAAGGGGGAGCAGAAGGGGCGACCTCACACAAAGGCAAAGAGATAGGAATATTCGAAGTCACGACGCCGGGCGGGGCGGAATTGTGGGTCATTTTCTGTGTGCTATCTCCCCAAAGGGAAACTAAATTTAGGATACATTTCCGTAAATGGACGTGTACCGAAAGTCCGGGTCTAATGCACTCGTCACAGGCCAGAGCACCGGACAGCGCCTCCGTGCTGCACACCCGTTCATTGACGGAGTCGTCTTGTTTCCTCGCTACACGCTCTTGCCAACGTCGGACGCTTCATGAATGGGACACGAAGGCACGATGATCTCGACTTCTCGGACGGCGAGGACGGAGATGTGCAGGACGACCATCCGGGAGACTACTCGGCGCGTCTGGAGGAACTCATGAGCGACACGGAGGAGGGCTCGGACGGCCATCCGCACGACGACGAACACGGAGACGAAGACGACGAGGAAGGCTTTGTGTACAGCGGCATGGATGCGGTCCCGTCCGGTGGCTATCGCGAACAGCTGCGGGATGTGCTGGGTCATGACCACGAAGAGGACGAGCTAGACGAGCGTGAGGTAGAGCGGTCGCTCGTGCACGACGTCGAAGAGAAGGACCACCTAGCATCATTGATGGAGGACGAGGCCAGAGTGAGTCGCTTCTCAAAATCCTCTTGCACATCTCACTCAACACTGACCTCAGCCGGTTGGACCTGTCTCCGACGACACTCCTTCAACACCACCCACACCGCCGATATCAGTCTCTGGTGCACCTTCGCCTCCGAAGCCTCCCGCAAGCAATGGCAGGGGTACTCCCAGCAGGCTATCGCGTCCCTTCCTTCATCCCACCATTTCACGCCTTCGCTCGACTACACCTCAAGCGTCTCGAGTTCCTTCATCGGCGAGCGTGGGTACGCTCTTCTCTCACGTCCCCGAGGGTGTCTCGGAGAGCCCCTCGCACTTCTCCGCATTGTCTAGGTCGTCTTCGGCGACCAATGCCATGGTCCGAATGGCAAGAGCAGTGTCGCATCCGAGACGCGAGAGGTCTTCAGGTGGACGCAATGCAGGCTGTCCGCGACGTCCTCTTGCGAAGCAACCTCAGAAGGCTGCGTCGTTGTTGGGCACCGAGAACGCTGGCTCGCCCACCGTCATGGCTGCGAATGGGCTCATTTGTGTCGGCACAGATGTGGGGAAAGTGGTCGTGTTTGACTTCAAGCAGAATTTGAAGTGCATATGTGGCACGGATGGTCGGTATACTCTGTTGCCTCTAGCTCGGGTCCAGCCTGACGCTCTGTTGTACAGACAAAGCAGCGGGACCAGTCACAGCGGTAGCGCTCTCATTCGACCATACCTTCGTGGCCACAGGACACGCCAACGGCCACATACAGCTCTTCGATCTGAACACCCCGAAGACCCCGGCGCGCTTCGTTCCACCCACCACTTTGGCAGAGGTAGCTGCTGGACGACAGGAGGGACACATCGCGGGATCAAGAATCGTCAGCGTTGGCTTTGTTGCGGGGAGGCATACGGCAATCGTGTCTGCGGACGACAGCGGCCTTTCCTTCTACCACAGCTTAGGCAAGGTCTTCTTCATGGATGCGTCTGACACGCTGCGTCTTCTCGGGAAGTACCCGGAGGACAGCCTGGGACCTGGTCCGTCCGGCCCTAACGGAGTCCACCACTTCCGCCGTCGCAAGTCTCGCAAGGGCAACTCTCTTCTCGCCATGGCTCCCCTTCCACTTGGCACAGCATCACATCCCACCGATCAATACAATCTCATCGCGCTTCTGACGCCGATCAAGCTGGTATCGTTGGCCTGAAGCCTTCGCCGAGGACATGGTACCGACGCCATCGCGAGGACGACGACATTTCGTCGCGGTCGCGGTTCAAGGGTACGCTTGCTTGGTACCCAAGCATCGTCCGGGGGTCGGCGCAACAGCCGAGTTGACCAGCAAAAAGGACCAGGCTAAAGGAATCGGCCCACACGCATCGACAACCCCGGCGTTGGTTTATTCTTGGGCAGAGACCCTTCACATGGTGCGGGTCTCGGAGACAAAGGTGCCGCAACAAGTGCGCAACCCGAGAACCGGGAAAGTGACCACGACTGAGGTCGGGCGGGTCACCTTCGAGGAAGCCGGTCACTGGACAGCTAGTGGCGATATCCTGGCGCTGCAATGGCTGAACGTCAATGTAAGCCCGTTTCGCTATATGTTGTTCCTGCTGTAGCTTACGTACTAACAGACGTGTTCGGTCTTTAGCAAGTTGTCGTCCTCACTAGTGAGACACTAGAAGTGTATGACGTTCGCTCCCACAAGCTCGTAGAACAAACCCCCTTCGACGCCAGGTCTCTGGTCTCTCCGATATTGGGACACACCATCAACAGTAGTGTCTCGTATCCAGACGCGGTGATGGAGGTATCGCATAGCGTCCGAGTATACAAGGGCAAGATCTTCACCCTAGTACGTTCTTCCGTGCACAATCGGGCGCTTTGGCTCATACGCCTCGCAGGGTCAACATGAGGTTCGGGTCGGCACCTTATTGACATGGGCGGATCGAATACTTTCCTTCGTGCAGCATGGTGACTTCTTGAGCGCCATTGAGCTCACGCGCGCGTACTACGTAGGCGAATCACCCGGTAATCGCAACGGTCTCCCGGAGTCTACGGATCAACTCAAAGAAGTCGTCGGAGAGAAGATGCACGAACTCATGGTTGCTTCCGCCCGCTACGCATTCTCGGAGGATCGTATGACCGATGGCACACTCGCAGGTCTGGACGGTCGTGGCGTCGACAACTTCTTATTCGAAGGCCTAGTCAGGGTGTGCATTCGTGCATGCATGGCACTTGATGACTATGACTTCCTGTACGAAGACCTCTTCCAGGACTACGATGACACCGGCATCGCGCGGATCTTCTTGTCTCAGCTGGAGCCATTCATTATTGACGGCAATCTGCACTATGTACCTCCTCGAATCACTCAACGGCTTGTCGCGATACATGACGACGATGGCCGACCAGACCTTGTCGAGAGGATCATCTGGCATATCGACCCAGAGTGTCTTGACGTCAATCAAGCCATCACACTATGTCAGCGACACCAGCTCTACGATGCACTACTCTACGTCTTCACTAGAGCCATGAAAGATCACGTCTCTCCTCTTGTCGAGCTGCTCGGTCTCATCAGACGAGTACAGCAATATCGGAGAGCGCGCGAGGAGGGACTCTCCTTGGGGTCATATCCTGACGACGACGCGATCGAGCCTGTCGTCTTGAACGCTTACAAGGTCTATCCGTACCTAGGCAATGTCCTCACCGGCCTCGCATACCCTTCCGCGAACCTCTACCCGACGAAGAGGCCGACCAAGCAAGATACGACGTTACGATTTCTTTATGTCAGGTCAATCGCGTGTGTGGCCACGGCAAGGTGGAAAGCTTGTCCTTACTGCCGATGAAGAGAAGGGGCAGAGGCCACATATCCATATGCCCGGCTCTTGCTCCGTTTCGACCCAGAGGCGTTCCTACACACCCTCGATCTTGCTTTTGAAGACGGCTACCTCAGTGACCCTGACAGCCCGAGGGGCACCATTCGGCTACTCATCGTGAAGATCTTGCTAGACATCACGTCCTCCGGGGATCTCACGCAGGATGCCGTCACCTTCGTCAACATCTTCATCGCGAGGAACGTGCCGAAGTACCCTCAGTTTCTCCAAATGCCTCCCACTACCTTACACAACATCCTCATTGGGTTGGCCGAGGATCCTGACCGCAGTACCCAAGAGGATCGGCAGCTGGCCGCAGAACATCTTCTCTCCGATTACACCCCACACGAGACCAATCGTATCATCGCTCTCTTCGAAAAAGCCGGTTTTTATCGGATCTTGCGCTCGTGGTATCGTCAGGAGCGAAAGTGGTCTCCTTTGCTATTAACTTATGTTCACGACTCTAACTTATCCAATCCGGAGGTCTTCGACTCTCTCTCCGACGTTCTGACCTTGGTGAAGCGTCTTCACAAAGGCGCTCTACCTCCGGACATCCTGACAACCATGACCGACTGCTTACCTCTTTTGTTGGAGCGTGGGGTCGTGCAAACAGCTGCTGTGCTCGATACCCATATTCCAACTTGCACGAGACGGCACTGGACCAACTCCACAGCCATCCCGACGCTGACAAATTCGCCTATCTCAGGTTCCTCCTTGGTCCCCCGCAGGAAGGAGATAGGATATGTTCCCGGCGCGCAAGGGCGGTCCATCCTCTCACGTATCCTCCGATCTGCGCCGCACGTATCTATCATTACATTGCCGCTTGGATCCTGCTGGAGTCGTCGCCGCTCTGCGTTACCTCCCTGTGGAACTTCTGGACGCAGAAGATGCAGTGCGGGTATGCGAAGAGCATGCCATTTACGACGCTGTGTTTGGGTGCTAGACAGCCAAGGTGTTCCTATGGCAGCCCTCTCGAAAGCGGAGTCCTTCGGGAATCAGCTCTCAGCACGTCTTGCAGATTCCTTGGTGCAATACGACCCCACGTCGGAAGCAACCGTTCAAGAGACCCTTGCTGCTCTCGACGCGGTAGGACAGCGAGCCGTGACGATGTGTCTAGAACACTCCCAATCTTCTGAGGATGTGCCTCTGGAGGACATCTGGTACCATCTTCTGAAGAGCCAAATTGACACCGTCCAGCATGTGGCGGTTTGCTGCATTGCAACACCCCGGATCACGCCGACGCGGACTCTGATCGCACCAGACAGTACGAGCTGCAGCAAACTACCCTTTCCGTTCTACGCAAATCAATGCAAGGTGCATTCACCGCCTTGATGTCGGTCAGCTCTGCGAAAGGCGTATCACTCCCGCGTCTGTTCAAGAGGTTGCTCACGACAGCGTCTCACAACGCTGTGTCTAAGCCTACGCTCTACGCTGAGTTCCGCACGCTCTTCACGGGAATGTTGGAGTCCTATCGCTCGGACGGAGACATGCTCATCATCACCAAGCACCTTGTGGATCGCGATCTGTCCACTACGATCGAAGAACTTACACGGGAGCGTATGCAGGGTTGGGCGCCATCTCAGGGGAGATGTCAGACATGCAAGGAATGGCTCGTCGACAGCAAGACTTCCTCCGCAGCAGAGCAGGACAATCGGACAGGCGTTTCGATAGTTGTATCACGGACCGGAGCACTATACCACCAGTCATGCTTACCACCTACTCATCAGGATAATATAGCCGTACATTAGTGTTCATGTATATTCCATGCAAAAGTATTACTGATAGTCGACCATCGGAACTCCTCAAGGTTCTGCACACGAAATCGTTCATCAACTTAAGTTTAGACGAGCATTCGTACGACATACCGTCGGTAAAGCTGGCACCGGCCATCTCTTCCAGGACCTTGAAGGTCTGGCTGCGCTGCACGTCAACACCCAGCAGTTCAGCATCCCTCCCGAATGCTGCCACGTCCAGCATCATCTGAGCCCGGATCTTTTCTTCGTCTGCCCGCCCGTCATCTTCTTTGGCCGTCGGCCCGCCAAACAGCGAGAACGCCGATTTCTTGCCTTTCCTGAGCCGGCGAAGCGACTCCTCGGTCTTGCGCATCGCCGACAAGAAATGGATGTACCTGGATGGACGTCGGGTGAACAACACGTTCCACTCACATCCCGCTGATGACTAACCTTTGTGCAACGATATCGAATATCTCCTCCACATATGCCTGCATGAACTCATCCTGAGTGGCTGACCAGGACCCTCTTGGCTGTCGAGCCCAAAGAACGTCTTGACAGGTTTGAAGATCATTGAGACAAAGTAACTCGGCTCCGTTGGGATACGTCTGCTCGACGACATCGCTCTGAATTGCGAGGGTATCGAGCGCATCGACAACAGCGCTTCACAAGCGCGGCGGGAGAGGATAGTAATGATCTGGCTAGACAGTGAAGGGACAAGCGACGACAGACCTGAGAGGGCCTGTCGGAGGCCATCTGAGCGCAAAGGGGAACCCATCAGGTATTAGTTGGATTTTCGCGTGGGGAAACACTCACCCTCAGAGCTTGGATCGCCTTCTCCAATATCGACCTCAGGCAACATGATACTCAGCTCTTCGCGCCAGAGCTTCCACACCTGCGACTCCAATGCCCTGATGTCGATGATAGCTGTGGAGAATTGGTATAGCGACTGCTCGTCGGCTGCGGCCGCCTCTGGAGAAGCGGCTTCCTGGGGCAAGTTGGGTGTAGCTGCGCGCGAAAGCGATGCGGGAGAACCTGGCACCTGCTGCATTCGGTAGTGTCAATATTATGAGTGCACAAAGGATACACCACGAACCGAACCAAGCTTCTCGGCCGCAACAGCGGCCGCGACCTTAGGCGTTGCCTCGAACGCAGGAAGGCTGCTCTGCAACCAGGTCTTGTGTCGACTGAGAAGCTAGGAGATATCAGCACTAAGCATTCTTGCAGAAGGATCGGATACTACCTGCAACGTGAATTTCCAGAAGCGATGGTTCAGCTCCGGGATGTAAACGGATGCGCTCCAGCAAGTACTGATAGCATCCCAAACAGCAGCAGTTTGGGTTGTCGCGAATGGCTTAATCGCTTGTAGAGCCAATAGTTAGCAGGGATCGAGGGGCTATATTGCTGCTTCATCCTACCTCTGTGACGCGTTCGCTCCAAGCGCGTTACTGCAAGTGCCTCCTCCAACTTCGTGACGATCTCCTTCCACCGCAGCTGGAAGTACACGGGCAGCTGCCAGCGGCGCTCAAATTGCACGTACACCGGGTGCGCGCGCATGACCTCGATGGCATGCACCGACGGCGCGAGGAATTCGAGTGAGCGGATGAACGCCTGCGTCGTCTCGTGGTGCTAGCATGACGGTGTCAGCCTTGAATCTAGCGGTGGAGGTACATCCAGGCGCACGCACCCTGCGAAAGTCATCCGGTTTCCCGGCAGCGAACACAACGCTCCCAGCTCGTCCAGAATCGCTCTACCAATCTCTGCCCACACCACATTCGCCATGACCTCAAACCCTCCTTGCTCGCCCCCGTACCCTCCTGCACTCCCGTTAGTCTTCCCCGTCCAGCACCAGCTCTCGACCCCGACTTCACGCATACGCGTTCCGCGATCTCCATCAGGCGCCTCAAATCGCGGTCCACGAAGCGAAGGACAGCATTGTATAGCCCCGCGAGCGGGTCCTCGCGGTCGTCGAGGATATGCGCCTGCGCGCCTGCCTGCTGCGTGCTGAACTCGAACGGGTTCTGCTTGGACGCGAACGCAGTGAAGGGCGTGTATGGCGTGCGCGGGACCGCAGCGGACGGCTGGGGCGCGGCGGAGTTCTTTGGTGGAAGCGGGGTGTGTGGGAGGATCGGCGAGTGCGGGGAGGCGAGCGCACCGGGGTGGATGGTCTAGGATTTCGCTGTGAGCCCACTGGAATGCAGGTGGAGAGGTGGACGTTACCTTCTTGACGAACTCTCTGACGACCTCGCGACGGAGAACGTCTTCTGCGTCGCGCCAGAGCCCGAGGACGTCGTACGTGCGTAGACATTCCGTCACATCCGCGATCCACTTGGCCTTGTCAAGCTCCCCTGTCTTGCTGTCCCTGCCCTGTTCCCTACTGCCGGATGTCAGCGAAGTGAGTGTGCTGGCGAAGAGGTGATCGAGGTCGGAGGAGAGCGTAGACTTGATTCGGTCTATGCGCTGCCGCAGACATGTCAGTGGTTGGTGCTACGCGACGAAGGGTGCTGAGACGAAGAGCGGTCAATACATACCCATTGCGACTCATCCACGAACGCACTGCCGTCTCGCGCGCTTTGGCTGCGTGGTAAAGCAGCTGCGTATATTCCGTTGCAACCCGGGCAAGGTGTTTGGCGCGATTACCTCTCGTCCTGACCGCATATATCGTGGTTAGAAAACTCGAGCCCTCTGTAGCAGCAGGATGCTCTACGCACCTGTCCTCGGCGGCGTCTTCACTCCGAGAGGCTACCTTCATCCCATCTGTCCCCGAATTGTCGGGGGAAGATATAAGGAGGAGAGATTCCAACCGTGTTGTGGATTCTGAGATCTTGAGCAACAAGTGCAGAAAGGCCTGCCATGGGTCTGTGTAAATGTGATGCTCTCCCGCGCAAACAGCGAGCATAGTACCTTCTCTTCTCTTAGGGCTGACCGCTTGCTTAGCTTCAGCTGGATATCCTCTTGAACCACCTGGAGCACCTCTCGGGCTGCCTAGCTCGCCATGATTCAGAGCCCAAGCATCCATTGTGATGTCCGACGTACAAGTACATGAGACTTTATGTCAGACAGCGGCGATTTTAACCTCTCCAGCCTCGCGCCCTCTCCCCTCAAGTCCGTGCTGAGGCTGATGAAAGCCTCGTAATCATCGTTGATGAGCTTCACGAGCTCCTCCTTCAACGCCGCGAGATAGTCACGCAATTCCGAGCGCAGGTCAGGAAGAGAGGTGTATGACCTCGAAAGGAGAAACTCCTCGACATTGAACTCCTTGGCCGACAGGTAGGGATTGTTGTGAGATAGTGGGACGTAGACCGGTAGGTCTCGTTCGGCCTTCGTGGTTTCTTCGTCTGTATATCGCGCATGAGATGACGGATTTTTCTCCCTTGTCGCGAGTTCCTCAGCCAGTCGTTGTAAGTCGAACGGGTCACTGCTGGCGCTATCGACTTCTGGACTCTTCAGGGTGGACATGCAGGCAAACCAAGATGAACGTCAGAGTACTAAATACTCATGTGTTTGTTGAGGCCGATGCCCACTTGTTGTTACGACTGTATACGTTCTCGAAAGCCCCCGATCGCCGAAAGTCGCAGGTGTATATGAGAAGATGAGCGCTGCAGACAAGGTAAAGGTCTGAGCCAGATCTCAGTGAGCAAAGAACCGAGTCTACGGTACAGTGCCATCTTCGAATAGACGCCCTTGGATGACTTGCCTTATTTGGCACTGGTGCGCCTGTCAGTGCAACGGAGGACAGCTACCGGATCGAATATTGACAAGTTTCCAGCACGTTCGAGAGGAAATGCTCCTGACATCAAGACAATTTGTGCTTGTAGACGGGCGATTGAGACTACGTGCCAACTGTGTGCAGCCCTGTGTAGGATGAACGCGGTCACGGGACCGCGGCTAGCAGTGATTGATGAAACCCGGCTTGGCGACGAGAGCTGTGCGTCCCGGAGTCGGGCGACTGGCTGAGACACTGCATCTGTCCGCCCGCTCAGGGGCGCAGACGGCATCATTTTGCGAATATACTTCTTCTCTGTACTCTACACCATGCGAATCGCTCCTATCGACGATGCCGAGGTCGAACTCAGCCTGCTGTCCCCCCGCGCACGAGAAGAGTCGGAGAGCAGCAGCGAGACCCTCGTCCATGACGAGCTTGATGTCGACGAGGAGAGCGTCAAGCCAGTTCTCAAAACACGGCCAGCGACGTGGAAGGAGAAGAAGAATATGGTTCTCCTCACATGTCTTTGTACGTCTTCAGGCCGCTGAACTCCTACCAACATTGACGTTTGTCTTCCATGATCCAGTTCTGAGCCAAGGTGTCCCAGTGAGTTTGACATGGTCCCAGCACTGGCGAACACCACGTTTAACTCGTTCACCAGTTAGGCCTCGTAACAGGCTCGCTACCTTTCTCCTACGGGACCGGCTTACTTACTCTCAGCTGGCGACGTTCTCCCTCTCCGCATATCCCTACTCCCTCAAGCTGCTATGGTCACCCCTAGTCGATGCCCTCTACTTCCCTTCTATCGGTCGCCGGAAATCATGGCTCATGCCTCTACAACTACTATCTGGTACTATAATGCTTATACTATCATTCTATGGAGACCACATGTTGGACAATGTACGTTGCATTGTCAACCCCCAAGGCAGCATATTTCTGAGAAGGCTTATAGGCTATCGACTACCTGTACATATTGACTGCTGTTTTCACGTTCCTCATCACGGCTGTCGCAACTCAAGGTCTGTCCGTCTCGCCCCTTCAGCTGCGTCTTGACTCACGGTTTTCCCAGATATCGCGGTTGACGGTGCGTCTCACAAATGTCTACGGAAGTGTCTCTTATTGACAGTTCAGCCACGCGCCGCTAGGCTGGGCACTCACACTTCTCTCCGAACGTCACAAATCATATATTCCGACCTGCCAGACTATAGGCTGAGCACAGGCTCGCTCCTATCGTATACCGGTTTCCTCGCACTTAACAGTGAAACATTCGCGTACGTCCTCTTGGTGCTCTCTGGCGGAGAAAAGGTCTCAACTCCGCCTCTTCACAGTGCCAAACATGGTATTCCGCGGTTGACCCTCGGGGCCTACTGCATGTTCTGTGCCATGCTTTCATACGCGCTCACGCTCTGGCTACTGTTCGAAAAGGAGGTGCGCTTGATTCGTCATTCTCGGTTTTCGGCGCCCCAGCTCAAACTTATCCGCCTCTAGAACGACGTGGAAGAAGAAGGTGACATGAGCCTCAAAGCAATTTACTACAAGATGTGGGAGATCATGAAGTTCCGACGTACGCCCTCATCTCTCTCTCTCAGCGCTTCCACCGCTCATCCCATCACAGACGTCCAGACGCTCCTCGTCCTTCTGCTCGTCGCCAAAATCGGCTTCCAGGCCGACTCTGCCGTCTCCACGCTCAAGATGGTCGAGAAGGGGTTCAGCAAGGAGGACCTCTCCCTGACCGTCCTCATCAGTTTCCCCTTCCAGATCTGGGGCGGCTTGCTCGCGGGCCGATGGTCCAAGGGCGAGCGGCCGCTCCGCGCGTGGATGCACGCGTATTGGCCCGCGTTCGCACTCGTCCTCTTGTCGACGCTCACAGTGTATTGGTTCCCGCACCCGCCCCTCCCACTCGGGTGGTATGTGTTCATCATTGCGCAGAGTATAGTGAGTTCGCTCGTTATGTGAGTGTGCTGTACGTTGGTGTTGCGGTTGTGTTGTGCTGATGATGTGGGTAGGACGGTCCAGTTCGGAGGTATGACTGCGTTCCACACGCGGATATCGGACCCAGTCGCCGGAGGAACCTACATGACTGTGCGTCCTCCGTTTGAATCCGTGCATGTTGGTCTTGCTCACAGTACTCCAGTTGTTCGCGACCTTCAACAATCTCGGTCTCCTCTGGCCAAGATATTTCGTCCTGAAAGGTGCGCTCTCGACACGTTCGCCGTGATCAGGCAAAACAAGCGAGTCTCACGTTGACACGCATAGGTGTCGATCTCTTCACCTACGCAACTTGCAGCGTCTCCGCACCCAGTAGCACCCTCGGTATGTCACAACCTCCCCACCCATCTACCCATTACTAACCTCGCCATAGAACCGACGACACCAGCAAGCTGCGTCACGAAAGGGGAGAAGGCCGCATGCACGGCGCTCGGCGGGACGTGCGACATCCAGCAGGACGGCTACTACGTCATTTCCGCCATCTGCCTCGGCGTTGGCATAATCCTGCTCATCTTCTTCATGATCCCGACCGCGCGCAGGCTGCAGTGTACGTCCCTTGTTTCCCGAATACGTGTGGGAGAAGGCTGACCGACTTCGTACAGCGATCCCGCCGAAAGAGTGGCGCGTACGCTCAATATAGCGTTCACGGGACGCGGTGTACGGCCGCACCGGTTTCAGTATAACTCTGCATGACCCAGTGGAACGCATTCATGGACATCACGATGTCTCGTCGCACGCATGTTTCTGTACCCCTCGAGCAAGCCTACCTATTTATCGCACACATTGACCTCACTTCGCGCCCGCGTAACTGGGCCACCGCATGCGGGCAATTTGACTGCATCTGTCAATCAGTCCCGAGAGCGACGAAGATTGGTCCTGAACCCATTGCATATTACCATCGCAAGGCATGGGAAGCAGCTCTGGTGGCTGGTCCCTTTTTGAAGTTTTTGAATGATAGACTTCGTGATCGGCGAGACGAGCTTCAAATCCGCCTTCGATATGCAATGTCTAGTTGATGCTCCACACATCATTGAGCTACCACTTCACAGAGGATCAGGGCGCAAGCTCAAGGATTGTCCAACCGACGCGCACCCCAGAACGCTACTAAACCCAAAACAAACATATACATTCGCCACCTCAAGTGGCATTACATCTAAACGTACAATAGCGAGCGCACAGCAGTATGTATGGTACCGAAGAGACCTGCGAGGAGAAAATCCGCGTTAACAATCAGTATATCTGAGAGAGACATGGCGTGGGACGAGACAAGGGAGTGAGGGAGGGATTTTGGTGACGCTCCGACATATCCGTCGAGATCCGCATTGCACGGGAGCACTTGGCGAGGGAGAAAGGACTGGCAGGGGTCGACGGCCAGCGTGTGCTGACAGTCCGACAGTAAAAGAGTGAGGGGTTTTGAGACAGATGGATGGCTGGGGGAACGAGAAGGATAGACTGTACGTGTAGGGAGTAAAGAGAACAGCTGAACAGGCGTAGGAGAACACAAACGGACGCGAATGCTGGCCTAACCAGGACGGTGAGTGTTAATGTGACAAAGGGGCCTGCAGGGGGGGGGGGGGGACAGGCAACAATAATGACAAGCAGTGCGATACGGCGGGGCACTAATGCAGAGCAGTATAACGGAGCCAGAACCGGCGAGGTAGAATTAGAAGACAAGGATCGGCACGGAAGGGTCGTATTGATACAGAATGGGCCAAGGCGAGCGAGCAGATGCAGACCGAGAGCGATATAGATAAAAGCAAACGGTGGGTTCCCTGACCCTGGGTTATTCGAAGGTTGCATGGAGAGGGGTATGCAGAAGGGCCGGGGGATAGCATGCGATGTATTGCTGTGTGTAGTCGAGCTCGAGATCTTGCATGAGAGGGGAGACAGAGAGGCCTATAACCGGAGATGTAGTCTTGCGCGACAGCCAAGGGGTCATATAAAGGATATTGTGCGCCTGAGCCAGGGCAGCGAAGGCAAGCCTGCACGATGCACAAGCCAGCCATATCTACGGGGGCGCACAGTCACGGAACACTCCACGACTATTGCGCCCTTCGCTGCGCCTGCCCCGGCAACCTCAGCGAGAAGTCAATCGCATCGTACGCAGGCGGTGGCATCTCATACACGCTCTCCGTGTCTGCGTCCCTCGACGCCGGTGTAAACGACGCGCGCACCCGTCCCGCATCGATGTGGCCGCTCGTATCCGGCGGTGAACCATAGACACTTTGCGGATAACTTTGCGGATAGTACGCCTGCTGCGGCAGGGACGGCGGCGGCGGTATCGCCATCCCGCGCATCTGCCCTGCAAGCGCGCCACCTGTGCTCGAAGATCCCGCCCCAGCGCATTCGCATACTCCGCGGCAAGCTTCGGCGGGAGCGGGAGCGAATCTGAAGGCGGCGGGGGCGGAGGCGGGACTGGCCGGCCGCCGAGGCTGCGTCGGGCAACGCTGCGCGCGGAGGGGTGGGCGGGGGTAAAGGGGGAGCCCGTGCCTTGTGCGGGCGAGTTGGCGTACGGACCAGGGATCTGCAACGGGAGGCCGGGGTTGAACGACGGCGGGGTGGATGCCACCCGCTGGCGGTCGTGGGCCTGGCTCTGGCTGAGGGCGAAAGCATTTTGCTGCTGCTGGTACGTATACGGGTCCTGCAGGACGGGTGGTCGTGGCAACTGTCGTGGCGGACGTCGCACGCTACCCATCGGCGTTGGATTTGTTGCAGTCGGGGTGGGAACGGTGGCATTCAGTGAAGACAAGGACGACGCCGTAGAGGGACGAACGTCGAAATCGTAGACATACGGATGAGACTGAGACGCTGTAGAAGGGCGCTGAGACGCCTCTGGAGGTACAACCTCAGCAGGTGCTGCGAGGTGCTGTTGCCCATACGACTCCGGCGCACTCTCGTACTCGCAGTCCGGCGTCGGCTCCGGGTTCGTCACCTGGAAACGTCGTTGCGGAGGCGACTGTGCGTTCGAATCCTGGGAGCTCCCACTCATGTCCAGGCCGTACGCGAACGTCTGACTGCTGTTCAAACTCTGCACGCCGCTGAGGTGCGAGCTCGAGTACCGTGGCGGGAGGTTGTACGCAGAATTTGACGAGAGCGATGTCCCCGGCGTCGACGGAGAAATCACCGTCTCGCTTCCGCCGGAGCCACTCCCCGAAGACCACGACATGTGAGCCTCCCAGAGCCGCGGACCTCGGCCGCTCGACGGTGTCACCGGCGTCGAGCCATCCACGCTGCTTCCCGGGCCCAATGTTCCGCCGGGGCTGCTGCTCTCTCGATCCTCCCTGTCTCGCTCCTTCTCTTGCTCCTTCTCTTGCTCCCTCTCCTGCTCCTTCTCCTTCTGCGACTCGTCGACCCGATCTGGGTGGATGATGGAGAGCCACTTCTTGACCGCGCGCGAGCTGCTGCCCGGGAGATGCGCGTCCGCGGGGCGGTCAAGCCATTCTTGGATGGTAGTCGTAAGAAGGAGGGAAGTGACAACGAGGTAGTCAAGCAACAGGAACGGTATGCCGGCATGGTTCTGCTGACTTCGCGCGTGGTCTGGAGCAGTGAGGGTTTGGTAAATCCGAAGACGTGGTGGCGCAGACAAGGTCGCCGCATCCAGCACAGCGACTGGCCCCTTGATGCCAGAGGTACCGCACTGTAGGCATTGTTAGCAGACTGCAGACATAGACGATGGTATGCACGGTGTAGCACGCCCAGAACACAATTACGGGAGATGACTCCTTTCTCACAAACTGTCCAAGGGCAGTAAGCTGCCATACGCTCAGAAGAGCGCGTCCTCGTGGGCGCTGCTTCTGAGTGGGCAGCCTCGCCGGCGCTGACTTTAGAGGCGCTGACGTTAGAAGCACAGTGGCATGGGAGGGGCGGGGCGCTCGGCGCAGTACTGTCGCAGAGAGCCAGCGTTGCGAGAGCATGAAGCTCCAAGTCTCAGTGAGCCAGGCTGGCACATCAAACAGCATATTGGCAGGAGATAGCGCAGGTAGCCCCGAAGCGATGCTAAACGTGGTCCCGCCTGCAGACACCATGCTCGCCGGCGGTGACAGGTGTCATCAGCTATCGCTGATCGATCCGCATGCGCCATGGCGGTGCGTTTATGGACGGCGCGGATGTGCCCTGGGCGGGAAATGTCGAGCGGGTGCAGCGGATGCGCGCCCAAGATGCAGAGCGAGCATATGGCAGCGAGCGATACTCACCACGTAGCAGTCGCCCGGGATTAGCTTCCACTTGAGCGTGTGCGGATAGTGGGGAAGGCTGAACTTTCGGCTCCTGTGCACGATGAGTACGGACGATGCGCGAGAGCGAGGAGAAATACGCACGCTAGATTGCCCAGTGCCCCGACCTTGAGAAATTCCTCAGCGTCCCTCCAGCTGCCGTTGCTCATCTGGATACTCTTGCCGGAGCGACCCTTGCCTTTGCTGGACTGCGAGACGGTCTGGGGCCATTGGATCGAGGCGGCCTTGCCCGCCTCGCGGCGACTCGCGTCGAGGCGATAGACGTGCGTCAAATCGCGTGAGGTCTCGACGATGTAGAGCGCGTCCTTGGTGACGGTGTCGCGGATGACGGTGTCGAGGAAGGAAGGCCCAGAGAGCTTGACAGTGAGGAGAGGGGCCTGCTCTGCAGCGGTGCGAGTGGTGGCGACGCTCTTGGAGCGCGTCGGGACCATATCCCGGTCGCGGTCTGGGTTGCCAGTGCCAAAGTCGAGGAGACGCTGCACGGGCTGGGGGAGGGAGAAGGAGGGCGGGCGTGCGGTGGATGTCGGGCTGACTGGCTTGTCAGTGCTGGCAGAGTCTGTGTCGGGCGCGGTGGACGGAGGGGGAGGGTCAAGAGGAAAGGGCGTGATACCACCGCGGGCCATGGTAGGAGGCGGCGGCAGGGCGCCTGTCGCTGTCCGCTCTGAGATGATGCCTCGTTGCTTAGCTAAGCCTTCCTCTAACACCTACGATCCTCGTTGCGCAGCCAAGCCCGCGCTCCCCGCCGGTCCCCGGAGTCTGAGACAACAATTGAACCTTGCAATAACCACTCCCAACCCTGTCTCCCGCGATGGGCATGCTGCAAGAGCCGCCGGCGATCAGACAGAGCCCGCTCGCAGCCTTGTCCCCGCCGAATCCGCGGTCAACGCCACCCACTTTGGCCCACATTGCCTCCGGCGACCACGGGCGCCCGGCGCCACGGACGGCGCGCTCGCGGCCACTAGATCACGTGCCCGCCCGTCCGTGCGCGCAACCGTGGCCCAAGGCCGGGACGCGTCTTTTACTGCGACCACCTCCAGCCCGCTGCGCCGTTTCACCCAGCCGCACACCGCCCGCACGCTCCTCAATTACGCTACGAAACACAATGGCCACCGAAGCCACATCCGCAACGTGTGTTGTCATTTGTATTCCTCCCGCCACGCGCGCGCGCTGCTAATGACCGTGTCGCCCGATGCAGATCCGCCTCTGGCGCGTCCGCTAATGCGCAAAACCCCGCTGCGTCCCCCGCCGACAAGGGCAAGGGCAAGGGCAAGTTCGTCCAGGAGGCGGTGGCGGACGACGACGATGACGACGAAGAAGAGGACGAGAAGAGGACGAGGAAATGGAAGAAGACGAGGTGCGCTCCCCGCATGTCGTTGTCGCGTTCTCGGGCGCTGACGCGTGTGTAACCGCGTACAGGAGGACGACCTAGAGGCGATCGACCCTTCCGTGATCATTGGCACGCGTCGCACGCGTGGTGTGCGCGTCGACTACACCTCTGCGGCCGCGCTCGAGAAGGCCGGGCTCAAGCCGGACGACGCCGATGACGACGAGAACGAAGACTCGTTCGTCGCGAAGGACACGGACATGCAGGAGGACTAGTGGCCCTCCTGCGCACTCATGTGGTCCAAAACGCGTCCCCCTGCGTCTTTATGGCGTAATGGGCGCGAGAACTCGCAGATCACCTTGTTATGTGTACGTGAAGGCGGTGGAATCTCTTGATGTTTTCGTTGTCTGTGTTGTTAGGCCCTGTTTCCCACCGACCTGTCTGTCGTCCAATGCATTAGGGTTCGTTGTAACTGTCTGTACCTGATACACGAGATATGTTGCTTCCCCAGATAGTTCTCGATAACGTCCTGGTGTCAGCCCCGGTGGCATGTGGTGAGCGCACGTCTGCCACTGCAAGAGGTTCGCGCTCAACTGCGCGACTGCCTCAACCTTGTGGTGAGCGCGATAGGACAACTGCAAGTGCTTGCGCTTGGCTTGCGCTCAGAGCGCGTGCGCCCTGTCACCTGTAGTGCTAGGTTACTACTGACACGTCGATAGCCCCTTCAACCTTAGTGCTTCAGGAAAACTCACCAGTTCGGCGGCGCTGCGACCATCTTCTGCCGTTTATGCTTCGGCTGGAGACAGCGCAAACGGGACAATCACCACAACAACGCTACATTGACCAACTATCCAACCAAACTACACTGACTACAGAAACGACACCCAACCTACACCCATCAGACACGCACAAGCGCGCTCACCACCCACAACGCAGGCAATTCGTCAACCCAGAAGGGGAGAACCGCACAGGAAGCAGGAGGGAGACAGCTGCGAGCACACGACGACAGGCCAGACTAGCTACGTACTGCAGAGGGAAGGCGGCAGAACAGGAGGGCGCAGAAACGAAGTGGCGGGAGAAAAACCAGAGAGGAGAAATCGAACGAAAACAAAACAGAGATAGTGTATGTACTGCGACTGGTCCGATAAATAGACGCGAGAGACCCAGAGATGCGGAAAGCTAGAGATGCGGCTGACGAGACGGAAGAGGGAGGGAGCCGCGTGCCTAACACACGCCGACTTCCTGGGTGCCCATGCCGCCCATATCCCACTCGCCCATGCCGAAGTCGATATCGAGGTCGAGCGCGGACGGGAACACCTCCGCGTCAGACTGGGCACCAGGGAGCATGCCCAATAATCTCTGTATGTCCGCCTGCCCCTCCCAGTCGACAGACACTGCGCTCACCGTCTCCGCGGCCCTGGCGGCCGGGGAGGGGGCTTCCGCCGCGGGTACGGCGGGCCCTTCATGTTCTGATGGGGGCGCGGTGACAGGGACAGGGACAGAACCATCGGGCAGCGCCGCCGGCGCGGCGATGGGAGAGGGCGCAAGGATCTCGCGGAGGAGGTTTTCCATAGCCACCTCATCCACAGCGGAAGGGTGCTGCTCTTGGCCAGCGCTGAGAAGGGGGAGGAACGGAGAATGGGCGGTATCGAGCCCGAGCGTGAGTTGGAGAAGGTTGGTGTCTGACGGGAGCTCTGGCCCACCCGCTGCAGGGGCTCCGACGATAAAGGAGGGACGTCGGTGCTCACCACCCGTGCTAGGTGGCAAGTGGGCGCAAAGTCGTTAAACAGTTCAAGAGGTGTGCTCGGGTCGGTCGGGGCGGGGGAGATGGGGTAGACGGAGGTAGGTGATGGGGGGACTAGGACGGGAAATGTGGTGGTCGTAGGCGCGTCCGACGACGGGGAGTCGGCTGGTGGGGGGTTGGAAGGGGAGGTGCTGGAGGAGGGCACAGGTGCGCCTGGAATGTTGAGGGGTAGTCCAGAGGCGGACAGCGCTTTGACGACGGCTTCCCAGCCCGACTCAAGCGTCTTGATCCTCGCCCTCAGCCCCTCGTTCTCCCGATCCCTTGCTCTATCTCTTTCTCGCTGCTCTTTGACTTTGTCGTCCTCCGACTGCTTGAGGCCCATGAGCCCCATCCCAGCACGCAGCTGCCTGTTCTCTTCCTGAAGCTCGGCGACCCGGCGCTCGAGGAGGGTGAACTGGGCCTTCCGCCTATCGCGTGAGTTCTGGGCCGCAATGCGGTTACGGTGTGCGCGGGCTTCCTTACGCTCCTCTGGCGAGGTCTCGGAGCGGGAGCGCTTGCGTGGCGGTTCTGATGAGGAGGGTGCTGGGGAGGCAGATGATTCCGCAGGCGACGAGGGGAGCGCAAGTTCGGTGTCTGCTGCTCGCTTCATGGCGGAGGCGTGATACGTAGACGTTACGTGGAGGAGAGGAGTCAAAGGATAGGCGAGGCTTTGTAGAGCTGAGCTGACTGCGGTCGGTGCGCAGGACGTACGTGGTGGTCGTGAGGAACGTCGGAACACGTCGACTGCCACGTATGCAGGTCAGTTGATACTTGTTTGGCGGCCCACTCACAGGCACAGCCATTCACCCAGGCACTCATCCATTTCAGGCAGCCGTAGTACAGCGCTATATATAGAGCCACATGAACGGGCGCACTAATACTGGTACTCATGGTAGTACAAAGTGATATATAGAAGGCTATCAGGCCGCTTGTACGAGAGAACAAGAGCGTTACATAGTATCGCACTGAACTACCCGGGATGGAATAGGACCGTCAAGTCGTCGGTATCTGAACTTTCATCCACGCGTCGAAGGGGACAGGACAGTGCTCAAGTCATTGTAGCTGCGCAAGTCGTCATAGTTGGCGGAAGAGCCAGCCTGTGTAATACAAATAGGAGTATCGCATACAGAGGCAAAAGCTACACCTACGCTACAACGCTGCGTCCAGTGCTGGAATGCAGCTCCTGTGCTCGAGCGACAGGCTATAAGTACAGTAAGTATATTAGAATGTCTATACACGAAAAATGATTGAGAAGGAAATGGAGGGCGCAGACTATATACATATCGATCGATGGGTGCAACGAAAGAAGGGATGTTCTCAGCTCGGAGGTCGGGAGAAAGGGAACGAGACGGTGATAAGTCGAGTAGGGCGAACGTGGTCCCATGAGTGACAATACAAGTAAGGGAGATTAATCGAGGGTTTCTCCAGAGGAGCAGGACACCGAGATGGACACCGAAACGATCATGAGATAACGCCGTGGGAGGCCTGTGATGATGAGCCGGGGCGAGATGGACAAGACGGGACCGGGAGCATACGGTGCCGGCGGATGCAAGGTAGATGTGATACAACCTGGCGAGGGGGCGTGGATCGAGATAGACAAGATGCAAGGAGAGGCGAGGAGGCGAGGAGAGGTAGCGAGTGGTCCATCATGAGGGGGTCCCAGGTCGAGTAGTGACGTGGGTGGTAGACCCAGACGACGGCGACGACAAGGCGGCCGGAGAGACGCAAGCAACGATCGAGTGCGGAAGAGGCAGAAGGAATGGCGAGGGGCTGCAGAGAAATACGACGACGACAAGACGATGTTAGTGGACACTAGCAGAGACGCAATCAGCGAGATGTCGACCAGAGCAAAGATCATAGACTGATGACGAGAAGAGCAAAGCGAGGAAGATGAGCACAGAACAAAGTGGTCAGAGCAGGACAACAGAGGACACACTGAGCAAGCCGACTATGGGGAGGTGCATCGAGATCGAGCAAGGACAAGATGCAGCTGGAGCGGGGCAGAATTGAGGCGAATCCAGGTGGGTATTACAGACCGGAGCAGATAAGTGACGTTCTGTTGAGGCAGACGAGGCATCACGGCTTGAGACAGTCCGTAGAGAGAGAAGGATGTGAATGAGTTGCGCATGAATGGCACAAATCGGTGACGTGATGAAGACCGGAATGGCGGAATGACAAGCTGCTGAGGGAGTATTGATTGGTCGAGACGATGTAAGGAATGCTGTGTGGGGAATGTGGGATCCGAGGAAAGGCGAGGGCAAGATGCTGGCGTAGAGAAAGACCGAGAAATGTCATTGGTGACGCTGAGAAATGTGCAGTCCGAGACGATGTGGCTGCAAGATCGGGTTTCGAGGCGAGGAATGACAAGACAAGAGGAGAGGAGACATGGTCGAGGAAAGGATGCCGGCGGCTAGTGAATAGGAAGACCAGATGGACCGAGGCGGACCTGAGAAACCGAAGATTGACACAGACGGTGGAGACGCCGAGACAAGAAGCCTAGGGATGAGAGTAAACCGAGATGATGCGGTCACGCATCGAGTGAGAGAAAGGACTGCTGAGGCCAGTGTAGATTGTGGTGCATGCACCTGGAGCCGCGGAGGCCAGGATCTAGCCGTCGTCGGTAGCGGCCGTGCGCAGACCGCCGCCAATGGGACGAACGAGAGAGCGAGCGACGTTATCAGGGTCGACCTGAGTCGGCGAGGAGCCACCGGACAACCGTGTGCACGGGTATTGTCGAATGCAATGCCAACGAATGTTGACTGACCAGACCGAAACCGAAGGGGAGGAGAGTGCACCTAGACATCGCATATATCATCACCAGGACGGCTCTAAGGCTAGACGATCAGCGATGAGAAGGATAGAAAGGAAGTTTTACATACACGCGAAGACCGGTGGACCACGTCATCTCCCGTTATGCAAACGATGATACTCGGCTTGGTGGTGAGCGATAGCCAGCCGTGACCGACGATGCGCGTTTCTGCAGATCCGCCAGCCCCATGCAATATACCACGGGAGAGGCAGGAGGAAGTAAAGCATTTGCGCTGTGTGCGCGAGCACGAAAGCGGCTCGTACCGCCACGAGAATCTGCCCTACACGATCTCCAACCTGCGGAAGGGGGCTTTCTTGCCGCAGCGCCTGGTGAACATCAGCGGAGGTGCTTCGTATTTCCTCAGGGGTGGAATGCTTTCGTCTGACCCGGTAGGACCACGAGTCCCCGGATCACCGGGACGGTGAGGAGAGCCCCAGGAAACTTCAACGATGTAGAAGTTGTAAGTCACGACTGCCGGTTGCTCCACGGGCTTGGGTGCTTGGATAGTCGGTGCCCCCGGAATGTTCCAGTTGAGCTCAGGCACCCGGACGGCGGGTTCATGGGACGGAGCCAAGATGAGGGGGACCACTGAGTACTGCACACCAGGGGTGACACCTGGCGCGTACGAACGCGTACTCGATTCTGCCCGATGGTCAGTGATTTATCTCGGTTGCTAATGGCAAAAGGCGTACCGGATAGGCCAACATCTGGGTTAGACACAACCAACGAATCGCTTCCCATGTTGAACTCAACCGAGATGTCGGATAGTGATTGCCAGAGAACGGGATCTAACGGCGGGGAGTCCGGGATGGACCCCAATTCGAGAGGGGGCTCGTAAGGCAGGGTATGTCTATTGCGAGATCGCAGACGTCCCTCAGTCTCTGAATAAATATAGAAGTTAAAACCACTCACATCAGGGCACACGAGAGGGCGAGAGAAACTGCGAACAAGCCAGGCCCGATAGTGCGCTTGCCCATGTGCTGCGAGTACCACGATACAGAGGCGCCGGAGGTGAGAAAGAAAATGCTCTTGAGGGCAGCGATGCCCTTCAAGAGGAAAGGTGCGATGAGCATGGCTCGAGATGTCAATCCTTGAGACGGTGAAGTTCAATATTTGCGAGGAGTGCGAAGTGAACGTTTGAACGGGGACAGTAGGTGAGGACGAGGACATGAGGACGGGCTACTTATAGCCCTCGACACGTCGCGCACGTGTGGGAGAGTCGTTGAATGCGATTCAACAAACCCGCACGTGGGGCGCGCGTCGGGGGCGCATCGACGCCTTGTGCGCGATCCGCCACAGGGTAGTTCCCCGCGTCCTGATTGGCCGATCACCAGCCACAACCTATGGCGCGCTCGTATCACGGTCGCGGTCGCAGCTGGAGTCAAGAACGACAATGATTTGAGATCCTCTTTGATGCGTTGTCGACTGCGATGGACACAATACTGATCAGGACGATGCGACAATGAAAGTGAGCGAACGCACGTACTACCATAGGCGATGCTGGCAAACCGTTTGTGACTGTGCTCTTCACAGTGACAATTGAAGATGACAGCTATGCGTACAGGACAGTTCACCTGGTTCGTGTTCTGCTTGGATACCTTTCTCCTCCCCCCATTTCGCCCGCGTCGTCCTGTGTCGCGTTCAGCCTGCGCTTTCATCTAGAACCATCGCACTTTCTTCGAACTGACACTAGCGATGCCGTTCGCCTACTTAATTGGCGCTGCAAGAGCTCTCGGGAGCTGTGTGCCACCTTCGTTCTCGACAAAGGGGGCGGCCGAGTGAGCGTCGTCTTGCGAAAGGCTCGATACTTGTCAACGGTGCTTGTAGAGACCTTTCGACGTCTTCGCGACAGTGGGTTAGTGCTGCGCTCCTTCCTAGCTTCAGTCATCTCACCATATAAGTGTACAGCGCACCTGAACTACCATTAGAGCCAACAGCCGACACGGATCCTTCGGCGCTGTCTACTTCTCATGAGGGGATATTGCTTTCGGCACAGGAGACCTTGTCGAGCTGGGACGCCCTTGGGTTCTCTTCCGATTCACCGTTCGCAGAGTTCGCCAACGCGTTCGTCCCTCCCGCATCGCCGAGCGTTTTCCCTGGAACCCTGATCGATCACCCGCCTCTACTGCCATCCGTCGCAAACTCGGACATCGCCTCAAATGACACCCATCCGACCCAGCACAGTCTCTTCTCGTATAAGGAACAGTCGAACCAGCAGGCTCTGCAGATCATGTTCCTGATCATGTATGCTCTCTACCTTCTCATAATGGTGTTGGAGATGGCGGCACCACCTCAAGTCGCCACCGAAACTCGAAGCACCAGTTCCCAGAATCCTCGGGGAACGGAGCAGGGGCCTCCACGCGACGCGCAACACGGAGAAAGGCCCGCGGGTGGTGGCGATACACCACACGTGCCCGGGTCGCGAGCGAGCAACGGACCTTGGTCGAGTCCTATGGCCTATAGCAACTGCTTTGTGATCTTGGAAGGTGAACCGACGGATCCTTCAGTCCCATCCGAACACGACGACTTCTTGTACGCCTCGATGGCCGGTGTAGATTTCTCTGGCACCCAGTTGCAGAGACTGCGCCGGCAGCTTGACGATCTCGAGCGCACCTCCATCTTCGAAGACGGCATCAATCTTGCAGCTTGGAGTCCGAGGCCAGCCCCGCCGATCGGTTCCACCACCGGTGCAGCCACAGATGTACCGCCTGCACCATCCGTCGCGAATCCTTCCCTGTCGACCAACGCATATGTTGACGTCCCTCGCCCACTCCAGCTACCGAGACACCCGCTGTTCCAGACCCTGATCCTGAGCGCGACTTCATTCTCATTGTTCGACGCGTCCTCGTGTGACGACTTGCCGGTAGTCACGGCCACGCAAACTCGCGCAGGCCCTCCAGCAAGCGCCCGAAACGCAACAGAAGCCAATGCGCGACGTGCGCGACATGGTCAGATGAGGCACGACGGTCCATCTGCCCTACGCGGCCGTCAAAGCCGTGCCGAAGCGTCGACCGCCGACACTACCGCTGGCCACGACGAGAAAGAGAACGCCACTAGCGTTGCTTCGACTGCGAAGGGGAAGCGGGTCAATCGGCAGAGTGCTGGCGGTCGACGAGTTTTTGCTTCACGGGAGATCACGAATCTTCGATCGCGCGAACCTCAGCACGTCGAAGGCCAAGGATGGAGGGGATGCCCCGGACGTAAGGATGAGACGGACATGACCGCCGTGCAGTACATGTCTGCTCGCTTTAAGGAGGGCGTTGCAGCAGGCACGACGCCTCTCGGTAATGGCACCAGGGAGGGTATCTGGGAGTGGTTGGGTGTCTTGGAGAACGAGCGCGTCAAGAGACACACTCGGCATTCGAAATTCGGATTCGGACGGCTGGGTCTGGTACGTCAAATCGTGTTCAAGTCAGATGGTGTGTACTACATGTCACAGAGCGAAGTTTTCGAGGTGTATGCTCGTCTCAGCGAATGCCTGAGCCTGCTGAAGGGGCCCAATGAGTGGGGGCAAGAGTTGTCGGCATATCGTCCGATAGGCTCAACCCAGCCGATCAACGGCATCCCCGGTCACAGGAGGCACCCTCCTCTGGGGATTATGCTGTGGAGGTGGGGGAGGAGACGACCTTGGACGAAATCGTGGTCCCTGACGAGTTAGATGAAGAAGTGGCGCAGCGCACCCGAGTCGAGCGTGGAGGTCCCGCGATCCGCCAATCGCACCGCCTGCGAGGGGCGGTAAAGTTCGTACCCCCGTGCGTCGCCCATACGTCCCCAGAGATCGTCGGACGGAGCTGTTGTTCGAACCCCGCGAACGGCCGAGTCTTGGAGACGTCACGACCATCGTCAGGGATGCAATGAGGGACGACGTTGCATGGGAGACCGAGTTTCGTCATGCACCCTGTTGCTCGACAAGATCGAGGCGGATCGTCGGGCTGCCGCGTGCGCGCGTTGGGTGGACTCGGAGGGGCCAGTCGCTGGGCCGTCACGATTGGGCCGGCCTTCTGTTGGCTGGTAAGATAAGTAGCGGGCTCACAGCGCAGTGGATACCTTCAGCCTCAGGTGACAGAAGACCGCAAGCCGTCTATACGAACGCAGTTTACAGGTCTGTATGTTTTCAGTATGTGCTGCTACTCGTGTACGCAGTAAACCTTTCGCTTTGTGAGAATCGTTGTCTTTTGCCTGTAGGATCTAGTATATAGCGATACCTTTGGTCCACACAGAGATCATCCGACGTACTGTTCCGAAATTGATGATGAAATGCATGGTCCCGCGTCCGAGACCGTCGGAGGGTGCCAGTGTCTGAGTCGACAGCAAACATAACTCGGGCGGTTGGCGAAAATCGTCGAACGTATGGCCATGGAGTTGAGTACGAGGGCACGGACATGACGGGAGGGTTCGAAGGCCCATGCATGAAAGGAAGAGTTTGAGTTACTGTAGAGAGTACTTGTCGGTGCATATATGATTCATACATGATGATGATGCGCAAGATTGTGGCGACACGGTGGTCCACAAGTGTGCGGCGCCTATGCGGGGCGCGCTCGGTGCGTATAACCACTGTATAACCGGGTAATGCATAACCGCGTTCGACCCCTTACGACGCTAAGTTGTCGGCTTATAAGGTCTGCTACGGAGACTAACGTTCGACTGGCTGCAAACTGCATTCCTCATGCAAAGCATCCGGTCGTCGAATTTTGGTCTGCGCCTAAGTTATGAGTTTCCAATGTTGAATATTTGTATGCTAAACTTTGGTTATGGTAAAGGACTGGCCTGGCGCAGCGCCAAGAGAGCGCGCCAAGAGCGCGCTGGAATTCCTGGCAAAGCTTGTACGTGATGTTCCGGAACTTGCCGGGAGGGTTCTAGGGTCGAATGTGGCTCGGTGTGGCCGCGTCTCGCTAGCGACGACTCCCCTACAAATACCGCTCGCGGTGCGGGGAGTAGATGGCCACTGCACTCCATCCTACACCCATCACCTGAACCTCTGCTGCATTTAGTCTTGCACGATGCCAAGGAAGAAGGTTGCCCTCGGACGCGACCCCGTCCCAGGCGACGACCCTCCGAAGAAGGATGGCCCGGGCCGTCGTAGGAACGTGCGAGGTAGGAAAGGTGGCCTCAAAGACATGCCAACGATGCCACTCGACATTTTGCTGGAGGTACGACGATGCTGTCCAGACGTGGTCGTGTGCTCACCTTCACCACAGATCTTCCGCCACTTGGAACCTCGCGACTTGCTCAACCTTGCACGTACAACGAAGCCGTTCCGTGATTTCCTCATGAGCCGCAACTCTGCTAGTATGTGGAAGGCCGCCCGTGCGAACGTCAAAGATCTCCCGGACTGCCCTCCGCATCTGAGCGAACCCGCATATGCTAACCTCGCCTTCTTCCCATACTGCCATGTACGTTTATGCTCGTTTGCTTCAAGGTTTCTCACTGTACCTACATGTTACAGCACTGTCTCAAACCCAATGTTCAAACTATCCTTTGGGAGTTTAACACGCGATACTGCCCTGGCTGTGCAAAGACGCTGTGAGCGACGCTTGCCGTCACATAAATGCTTCCAAGCTCACGTATAAATCAGCACAATAGCGATGAAAGACATGATGTATCAGCGTCGTCCTCAGTACAGCTGGGCATTGACGTGGACTTATACTCCTGATGCTATCTTCTGCACAGTAGGCATCTTATACATTGTCATGTTCTCTTGACCGACATTTGACGTCTTCGAAGGTAAATACGAACCAGAAACATGCCATCTATCATTGTCCAGAGCTTGATAAAATTAAGCCAATCTGGGACCGAACTCGCGACGATGCTGATCAATGGAACAAGTTCGTGGCGGAGCAGAAGCAGCGTGTGCTAGCCATTCGCCGGGTGTGCTCTCAATTCATCTCCCACCGTCTGACATCGTCATTGATCATCCCTTGTCAGTACGCTACGTCGTGTCGCATCTGGGACAGGGGGCGGGCTTCGACGAGGTCGGCAGAGTTGCAGGACATCCGAGAACGCCGTCTGACCACGTACGTTCGGCATTTCGACGCATATAGTCGTCTTGTTGATGCAGTTCGTGTAGTATTGTGGCTAAGCTGCGCGACCTTGGCTGGGGCGGAGAACTTGACAGGATCGCCATGCAAGGGTATTGTCCGCTCTCCGAGCATGCACAGGTCCGGCCTTCGAAGGCCCTCACTGACCGAGGTACGCACCCTGATGCATCTGCATCTGCATTGACCTCTTAACAGCGCGACACGTAGGATGGGCGAAGATCCGCGACGAGGTCGTCGCGAAGATGCAAGAGATCAAGGACTTCCGCCTCCGCACTGAGCGCCGCGCGCTCCTCCGTACACGTCTCAACATGCTCAAGGCCGCCGTCACCGCTGCGCGCACTACGCCGACGAAGCGCACCGTCGAGGACGAGTACAAGCCCAAGTTCCAAAACCTAGCGTTCATGCCCGTCTTTCGCGAGTTCGTCGACGCGCCGAATGACGTCGTCGTGAATCAGGAGGCCTTTGCTGCGTTGATGCCCAGGCTGCCTCTGCTTGATGAACAGTGGCAGAAAGAAAGCAGGGAACAGCTCAGGGCGAAGCTGGCCGACCATGTCGACGCACAAGACGGCGCGGACGTGTTGAACCTCGCCGTCGCCGTGTTCAAATGCAAGGGGTGCCCTCGGATCCTTGGCCACCCTCAGGTGCTGGCGCACGAATGCGTGGGGTCGTTGTTGATGGAGTCACCTGGCCAGCATGACGACTATCTGAAGCTCGTCGTGGATGTTGGCTACAAGTACCCCTGGAACGCGGACCACATTCAAGTCGTCACAGAGCTCGAACGCGTCCGGGCGATCATTGAGATATGTGGGAAGGACCCCAAGGTGGCCACCCAGAAAGACATGGACGACGCCGACCTGAGAGTAGTGTATGATTCACCTTATGACGGAGGCAGGGTTATGTCGTGGCGCCGGGCTGTGAGTTCAACTATCAATCATGGTTCTGTTTGGTGGTCTAACGCTCCACAGGTGAGGTTCGTGCTCAATGGAATCGGCACATACGGGCAATTCGTACGCTCTCAGTGGATGAAGGCCACCGAAGAGCAGAAAGCCGCCGTAAAGGATCGCGAAGAATCGCACAAAGCGGCTTTAATGATCGACAGCTACTCACGGTGTCTTGAGTGGCGGTGCGGCTACTGCGACTTCATTCGGCCCCGCACTTGGCATGTCGTATTACAGACGGAGGAACTGAAGAATCACTTAAAGGACAAGTGAGTCTGGACACGTCTTCTATGACAATGGCTGACTCGTGGCTGCTCTTTGCCCTGCTTCCAGGCACGCCGTCGAGAACGCGACTGTGGAGAACGGCGATATGTATTTGCACCCCGACAGTCAATTGGAACTGGATCCGATCCAGATCAAGCAGCATCATCCGTTCAACCCCTTGACATACGATCTCTGGTCGGACTACGGCGACTCGAATTCGGATATGGAGTCGGATTCGGATTATTGGTCTGAAGTGCTATGACGTGGGAGTGCCCTGTACGGCGCATGATTCTATTGTACCCAACCTGCGTTCGTGTAATGCTGGACGTTTCCTCTGTTCATATCCTAAAGCCTACATTGATAAGTAACACTACCGTCTCAACCGGATTATAGTACATACATCGCATCACATACATTCAACAATATACGTTTGATATCGGCCACGACACAGTCAAGGTCGCACCTGCACAGGCCGAGCGTGAAATCATGACGGAGACTTCTGGCCCCAGCGGCTCATGCTCGACAAGAAGTCCAGTATTTGGCCAGATAGTAGGTATCCATCTCCTCGAGTCTCAACAGCCCAATGAGCTTAGACTGCATCGTCGGACTCCAGCTTAGAATTGCCTCGGAAAACGACATGGCCCTTCCGCTGGAACAAAGGAGGGAGCCGGGGCTGAGGGCCTTTCCTCCCACCACGTTTTGGTCTCCTCGCCGCCTTAGTTTCTTGCAGTTGCTTGGGATCCGCGCTGGAAGTTGAAGGTTGTGATTGATCGATGACCATCGCCTCATCCTCCGTTTCCGCGATGTCCTCTGTCCGAACAGCGGGTGCGACAATGGAAGTTGCGGGGTCCGGAGGAGCGTCTGGGTCGAGGTCCGGAGGCGCAGGGATCCGGCGCACGAAGCTACAGGCGGTACATGTGTAGGTGACGAGATTGCCGTGGACCCGCGAGCCTGTGCGGCAGCAGGTAAGTGGTTCAGGACGATGCAGTGGGTTAATACGGGAGGGATCCACCTCGTATTCGCATTCCTCCGTCGCCCCTGGGATGAGCACCGTGTTGCATTTCTGGCAAATCGTCCGTTTGATGGTCGGGTCCCTGCCATACCAAGCCTTGCTGTTAGCATCCAGGCAAGATGCAGCAACCATGACACGTACATCTTGACCGTAGCCTTCTGGCTGATCGCTTTCATCGACGCAATATAGCTACGCGAGAGGTCCGACGCCGTAGCTGGATGCCTCCTTTTCCTGCGCAGCTCATTCTTTTTGGCGATGCGCTGTGCTCTAGTCCCGTTCAGCCCAATCTTCTTGGGCACGGTGACAGTATGCGGCGCGATGGTATTAAGATACGTGCTGGCCTGGTAGAGGAAGTTCAGTCGCTGGAGGATGTCTCTGTTCACGACGGAGTGCAAGGTGCGCTAGGCTCTTGCTCTTTATTCTTTTTGGCCATATGAAAGACTGCCGCGCCTGGTTCCTCGAGGAATCAAAGATGAGGGGGAGTTGAAACGAGGTTAGAATGGTCGCAGACAGCACCGTCTCTCAGAGACGATCGCGCTCAGGTTTTACTTCGCTATTCCTAATCGGGCACTCAACGCCACGCTTACCTCCGAGTGGCGGCACTTTGTCTTCAATGTCATGCACACTGCTCGTCGAAACTTCATTCCACTTGGCGCAGTCGAGCATTGGGCTTACTATTATACCCTGAAGGACTCAAACACGCGTGTGTGACTTTTGCCATTGCAGGGAATTAACGGCTTATTTTACAGCTAACCTCAGTATTCAGCCGGCCTGTGCCAATCGGCGCCCACTGGCAAGCCTTTCCACCGACCTAGCCTGAACAGATCCGGAATTCCTCTAGGTTACAAGGCAGCTATCGTATTGGGCGGAATCAGCCTGTCCTGGTGCATATTCATACTGAATCGCACTCAACGTGTGCGGGGCCAGGTCGATTAGTCACTGCCGGATCAAAGCTGCGACGTCGCTTTGTGAACTGGTCAAGCGAGGCCAGTTCCCGAATAGTATGGCTGCTATGCCCCATATATAGGTCACAACACTTGCAACATAACACCCGTCCACACTCCCACTCAAGGTTGACCGCGACACTCAACTCGCGCGTTTGCAGAGTACCGATGTCGCCACTGTTCACCCTCTTAGCTTCTGCAGTCGGTTCCTTGTTGGCTGCCTGGATACTAGTTTCACGCGAACATGTCGGGCTGCCAGTGCTATGGACGACGTTGAGCGGCGTCTCTGCTACTGAGGCAAACTGGAGAGGCAACATACAGCTACCTGCGTCATGTCGAACACTTGGGTCAGTCAGGATTTTAGTTGTCGCATCCACTGTCACTCGTTGCTCATGCACATGTCCGGACAGAACGTTGACATATTGCAAGTCTGTGGCCGGATCACTGTCGCAGCCGCAGCGAGCCAGAGAAGCAGCCACAATGCAGACCACAGTAGTCACGGTGCCACACTGCTTGGCCATGCATTCTTCTGACCCAATCCTGCAACCCTCTGCGACCGTCACACTCGATTCCGGCATCTCCTGGCAGTCCTGCCTGGGCGTTCTGTCTGCCACGGAGTGTACACTTGTGTTGCTGTGCTGGCTCATCCGCAGCCGCTGGCTTGTTCGGGAAGCAAACTCGACCATCTGCATCCCTGTCGTGCACCGCCCACGTCTTGAGCCCGAACCTGACCTGGATCCACGATACCAGTTCTTCTTCGGCGTCCCGCCCCGGCTACAAATCAGCAAGGCACCTCAAATTGTCATAGCCCACCTGCAGGTTCGTAAAGTACGGTTGTATGACGTCGACTTGTGCGTCGGGATTGCCTTCCAGGACCCTCGTGGACCGGATTCCAAAATCCAGTTCTATTTCAAGGCCAAGGGCTCGGTCAAGCCGGACTCGGAGGTCCATACAATTGACGAAGTGGCACGACGTATCGATGAACCGGTTGATCAGAGGAAGACGCAATGGTACGTGGACGCCACGATATACCACCGGTTTGCACCTTGGGGTACATACTGATGTGATATCGTAGTGCCTGTTCATCTCGACCCGCAGTGAGGACGAGCTCGAGGACGACTTCTCGCTGGACGTCCTGACGAGCTTCCCGCTTGAAGCGTAAATGCACAATCGAATTGATCTACTAGGTGGCTTTGTCCGGTCTGGTATACCTATGTCCCTTGAATCGCCCTTGAAACGACTATGCCCTCGAAACGACTATGCCCTTTGAAACGACTATTGTAGTCCGCGTCCTCCATGCTGTAGCACTTATCTGTCACTCAATTCAGCCCAATTCCCTTAGGCGGGACCACCTGATGTACCCACAATCCAATGAATATGAATGTTATGGCCTCTTCGTAGATATCCAGGCAGACGCAAGACAATAATTACAAGAATAGGTATCCATCCGATATAAGAAATGCTCGTGAAACGTGTGCGGAACACAGACCTACATTGGCTCCGCCTTCCTCCGCCGGAGCTCCCGCTCGACCTCGTCGCCATCCGCACGTTGCGCACGCACGGGTTGTGTGATTGTTGATTGCGAGAAGTGCTCGCGGAGGCGTCTGTCGGCCTGGCGATGAATCTGCGGAACGATCAACGTATATTCAAAGGTATCATAACGGGATGCGCACCTCATTCCCGACGGTCCTACCCACTTGTAACATCGGGCCCACCAAACCAAGCTGGAGGCTTATGTACCTACACCGCATAGTCAGCCCGGGACTGGGTACAAGTAGCACCAGTAACACTTACGCGAACGCAATCAACAGCGCCAGCATCGCGAAGTAGAATGGGTTGAACAGCACGACCATCGCCTCGTTCCACCCGAGCACGACGAGCACGCCGTACATCCAGTACGGGATCTGTGCGACGCTCGAGACCGTGCTCCGCTTCGCCTCGACGTAGTACGCGTCTGCGTCGCGCCGGAAGCGCGCCATGACGTCCAAATCTTCGTCTCCGTAAAGATCACGAGCGTCGCGGGGAAGTCGAAGTCATCTGCTGCTTCCGAGAGCGAGTCAGACGTCTCCGAGGGCAGTGTAACCTCGAGCGAGGGGTCGACGGGGTGGATCTTTGCGTAAAGAGGGACGAGCTCTAGTGTCTGCGGAGGAGAGTGAGCTGTGAGAGGTCGTACACATGGGGTACGATGAGACATACCTGGTCTCTCGCCTTCTTGAAGGCACCGTCGATATCATCTCCAGGCCTCCAGACGCGCGGGATGTTGTTCTCGTCGTACCGGAAGCGCTCCTCGAAGTACGTGCGGAGCTTGGTGAGGAACGCCGCGTCGGTCGTCTGCTCCTCGATCTTAGCTCGGAACGCCAGCCAGGCACGCTTCCGTAGAGACGCGAGCGCACTCTCGTTCTCCTCGTCCGTGCAGTCGAAGCCTATACAGAGCAACATGAGACATCACTCCAGAAGGTGCGAAAACGACTAACTCTTCGCTTTCACAAGGTATGATGACTCTGCTTTTGCGAGGTTCTCACGGAACGCCTTGAGGATCTTGTCCCACATGTCATGTTCAGGTATGTTGAGGGCCAGCTCAACAGGCTCCGAAATCTGCTTCTTGAAGTTCCGCTGCAGTCAAGTGCGATGATCAGCGGCTGCGAAGTACCAGATCATATGGAACCCACCTCGATCGTGTTCACCATCTTCTTCGTCTCATCCTTCCTGCACTGGTTCGCCACGCTCCTGATCTCCTGCTGCAACAGCTCATACTCCTCGTCATATGACCAATCCGTGCCCTCCACAAGCGCCTCCGTCGCACCTTCGACGAAGCGCTTCGCACAGCGAGCCCGCGCTGCGGTGACAATGTCGGCAAAGTTGTAGCCCTCGCCGCGCATACCTTTGTGCATTTCGTCTTTGAACGCGACGAGACATGCCTTGTGCAGATTCTTGAGCTGCCCGAGGAAGAGCGGCGAGAGCGTCGAGTCGAGCACGCCAACGAGGTCCACGCGCTTGCGCTTGTAGACGCCTTGGTGATATCGCGAGGCATCGCGGTCGTAGCGGGCTACACAGGAACACGTTAGTAGTCTGTCATCGTATGCACAACCAGGGCGTACTCAAGGCTGCGGTACGCCAATTCCGCATCATGCCACCGAGGCCCTCCACGACCTTGCCCGATTCGATCGGTTTCCGCTGAGGCTTCGCTTGTTCGTTGAACTCGACAAGCGCCGCACTGGAGATCTCGTCGCAACGGAACTGCGCCAACAGCTCCTGCTGTGTAGGCAGGTCCAGATCTTTGTTGCTCTGGACTTGTTCCTGCGAAAGCATACGTGTCAACGGCCACCGCTTCACTGCAACGGAACCGATAGCATACCCAGATGCCTTCCATGTAGAACGCCACACCATCAGCCGGGATGCGCTTGTGGTAAGCAGGCTTGAACACGTAGTCCTCTCTCGACTTGTCCACGAACCGCTTCCTGAGCTCTGCCACCTCGCTCTCAAACCTCTGCGCCTCGAGCACCTTGTGTGGGAGTGCGGCGAAAGAGAGGTCAAAGTAGTCGGAGAGCTGACGGTCTTGCAGCTCTGGTGGTTTGGACAGCGACTCCCAGATCTTCTGCATGTCGGCGCTGAGCGTGGCTTGCAAGTTCGCGAGCGGCGTCGTGCCGATATGGTCTCGAATGACGAATAACAAGAGTGTTCGCTGGTTGCGACTAAAGCTCGCCTCCTGTAAATTCGGCGTCTCTTTGGTAGTATATATGCACGCACCCATCCGCCGACTTCTTGCCGAATAACCCGAGGTTCACCTCAAATACAGTCTTGAGCAGTCCCATATTGGCACCCTGGTACAGACCGACTTGATGTTCCCACAGATTGACGAGGAGCACCTCGGATGAGGCAAGCGAAAAGAGAGCAGATTTCCTCTCGAAGTCCTGAGGGAAAGTCAGAGCAGCTCAGTTGGTGTAGGACGACTGCGCGCACCTGGTCCTCTCCTCGCTCTCGCCCATCTGTACCCTCCACGTCCATGACCATGGCGTTCATACCCTTGCCTCTACAGATCCATATACCTATTACAGATCAGTACTCTGACATTGGAGGACTCTGAGAGATCGTCGCGCACCTTTCGTAGTCTGCTGCCGTCTTGTCTCGTCCATGACGTCAAAGTTAGTGCCGAATAGGCGGTTTAGCAGTGTACCTGTGAGCGTTATCAACGAAGAAGCAGTGATAGCGGCAATGCTCATGCGCACTTTTGCCAGTAGACTGTGATCCAAATACTGCGACAATATCGTAGTCGAAACCGGCATTCTGCAGGCCCCACCGCTCTACCTGGTGGGTCAACTCTGGCCTGTCGGGAGCTCAGCACACACTGGCTTGTGCACGCAAGCGTAAATTTACGCACGTAAATTGTTTCTCGTCGTTGATGATTTGTATACGTTCATTGTTAGGCTTCGCGTCTCCATTGACGTGGTTGCCGTTCATGGCGGTCGGCGTGGAAGATAATCAAGGTGCCGCAATGTTGGGCGGTTTTATATACGTCTGGCCAGACAAAGGCGTGTGCGAGGCGGTGAAAGGAACGTGCTGGGAGCGTTGAGTATGTGCTGGTTGTGGACGACAGTGACGATGCACTACGCCTCACAAGAGGCCCTGCCTATCTCGGCGACGCCCATTGCGTGCCTTCGGCCATTGCCGATACGCCTCTGCTGCAATATTTGTCCAGCTGACGGCCATCCCGGGCGTCCGACTCCCGCCATTGGCACGGCTTTGTCGAAATGTTATGTCCGCCTTCTCTTCTTTGTGCGACATTGCCTGCTCGCCTCGCTCGTCGGGAGACTGTACAAGTCAAAGGGTCGCGCATATACGCTGAGATCAAACGCAGCACAAAGTCATCATGGACGGGCACTTCTCGCAGTCTAAACTGATATGGAGCCCCTCTAGACCATCGTATACCTCGCTGGAGGTGTTCAGGCGTATGGCCAATCGCAAGCACGGGTTGGCCTTGAGTACGTAGTTCTCGCGCCACGAACTGTACCACCTCTCATATACTGCGACCAGAGGACTATCATGATTTGCACAGGTATTCAGTCGAGAGCTACGACTTTTGGATGGATGTCTGGGAGTATATTGGTATCATCTCTTCCGTCCCTCCGAGCAAGGTACGTTCGCGATCGTCAAGTGTTCCGCTCCGTCTAAGTGCCCCGCTAGATACTCGAGGAGGGACGAATGAAGGAGCTACCGACTTGGTTCCCGGGTGCCAGACTAAACTACGCAGAGAACCTGCTACATCGCCGTGATGACGGTGTCGCATGCATTGCCGCGAGAGATTTTGGGACTGTTCAGCACTATACGTACCGTGAGCTGCGAGAAATGGTCAGAAGATTAGCTGCCGCGATGAGAGCGAATGGCATCGTGAAGGGCGACAGAGTTGCTGGTAAGAGATGTTGTTCCATGTTCCACATGTGCCAACATCATTGACACTCGCTAGCTATCGTCACCAATAGCATAGACGCAGTCGTCATTGCGTTGGCATCTGCCTCCCTGGGTGCTATATTCTCTAGCACAGCTCCTGACATGGGCACTCACGTACGGTGTTTTCCAACCTTGCCCCACATTCGATACGAACCTTATACCCATAACTTCTCAGGGCATACTTGACCGTTATAGACAGATACAACCCAAGATTATCTTCTCCGAGTCAGAAGTCGTCTATGCCGGTAAAGCCTTCGACATGGTGCCCAAAGTCTCGGAGGTCGCGAACGCTCTTGCGACGCATGGTCTGCAGAGTGTAATTTTGCTGCCCAGTGTTGCCGACGGCAAAGAATTTTCGACTTTGCAATTGGTCAAGATCCCGAAGAGGTGAGCACTTCGACCATAACTCGACGTGAGACAGGATTGGCAAGCTCACAGGGACTCAGCGTCACCATGTCCGCCTTTCTTGCCACCGGCGAAAATGGTCCTTTGGTGTTTGAGCAGCTGCCGTTCAACCACCCGTTGTACATTCTGTACTCATCCGGCACAACGGGACCACCAAAGTGCATTGTCCATACTGCAGGAGTAAGCTACTCACCAAATCTACCGTCTCCTATCTGTCTGATGTAACATACACCAGGGTGTTCTTCTCCAGGCCAAGAAAGACCTCCGCATCTCCATAGGCTTAACCTCAGACGACACGTACTTCCAATTCACGACGGTAAACTTATCATTAAACCTATTTTCTGACGCAGCCTTACTCTAAAGCACAGACAGGCTGGATGATGTGGCCGTACATGCTACAGGGCCTCGCGTGCGGCAGTCGCATCGTCCTGTACGACGGCTCGCCCTTCCACCCTGACGTGCGAGACTTCCTCCGCTTCCTCAGTCGTGAAGGGTGAGTCCCGTTTGTGCAACAGCTCACCATTCTTCTCAATTAGTCTCCAGTGTCTCCGTTTGGGGGACGAGTCCGCGCTTCTTGAGCGAGGTGCAAGGGAAGGGAATAGAGCCTTGTATGTCTCCCGCGTCACAATGAACATTGCATCGCGCTGATATCCAGTCAAGCCAAAGTGGCATCGTTCGCTGCGCTTCGGACCATCTCCTCGACGGGATCGGTGCTGACGCCTCCGATGTTCGAGTGGACTCAACAGGCGTTCAACCCAGATATTCACCTTCTGTCTGTGTCTGGCGGGACGGACATCTGTGGTGCATGTAAGTGGTCAAATCGTACGCATCAATTTGACACACTAAGCTCGCGGACTCACAGTCGTCGGTGGAGTTGCCGCTCTGCCTGTCTATGCGGGAGGTAGGCCATCATATATTTGTGGGTACTGAGCGCAGCATTGGACCGACCTAAACATTGCAGAGATCCAAGGCAAGCTCTTGGGCATGAAGGTTGAGATATTCGATGCCGACGGCAAGAACATCGAGAATACGGGTGTTCCTGGCGAGCTCGTCTGCACTAGACCGCACCCGTCGCAGCCGCTCGGCTTCTGGGGCGATGACTCTGGAGAGAAAGTCCAGAAGGCGTACTTTTCTACTTATGCTGGTATGGGCAAGAGTGGTTACCTTCGAAAGGGTTGGCGCTGAACATCGGGTAGGCGTATGGCACCAGGGTGACTTCATCGTCAAAAACCCGAAGACCGATGGGTTGATGATACTTGGCCGGAGGTAACTATACTACATCCTCTCGCTGGTCCATTTTCGACCCCGTGTTGATGGCATGTTAATTCCCTGACAGTGACGGTGTCCTGAACCCCAGCGGCGTCCGCTTTGGCTCAGCGGAGATCTACTCCGTGCTCGAAGATTTCTCCGACGCTGTCGACGACTCGCTGTGTGTCGGGCAGCGGCGGCCGCAAGACAAGGATGAGCGCGTTCTCTTGTTCCTCAAGATGCGTCCGGACCATCCGCTCGACGAGGCTCTTGCAAACCGCATACGCGCAGCGATTCGGGCGGCACTCAGCCCGCGGCACGTGCCTGCGCACATATTCGAGGTTGACGAGATCCCTGTACGTCGTCGTGGTTTCTTGTCGACTCCTTGTTACAGATTCTTGACGCCTATCTGCGCAGTACACGGTGAACGGGAAGAAGATAGAGATTGCCGTGAAGCAGATCGTGTCCGGGTCCACTCTCAAACCAAGCGGGACCGTCGCGAACCCCGAATCTCTCAAACTTTACTACAAATTCCGGGACCTCGAGGATCTGCTGAGCAGCAAGGTCGTCAAGGCAAGGCTGTAGGGCTCGCAGAGACGCCTTACGTAGTTGCACTACGCCGCTTGTAGAATAGATGTGAGGTCACAACGAGCCATTTCAGCAATCACTGTTCCTAGTACTGTACTTGTCACCCCCAACCGACTGTACATTCAACCCTGACTCCACTAGGACCGCTCAGAGTTGGCGGATCTGAGCTCCAGGTTCGGAGCTCAGATCCGCCAACACAGCCTAAGGCGGTACTACAGAATCTTCATCCTCGGGGCTTACAGATCAGTGCTTGGGTAGCACGACTGCGGCCTCGAGTCATTGGGAAATGTGGCAGATGCAAGCATCGCATTCAAGCCATCGAAAGTTCCAGCTGTCTTGAAGCCGTCCGAGGTTCGTGTTCCCATCCGTCGACGTTCCGAACCGTGTTCTTAGGCCCGGATCCTGCACTGAGCTGCACAGTATCCGTTGCGTTGCAGTTGTGAATCAAGGGGATATCATATCAAAGTAAGTGACAGTTTGCTGACCTGAACCACGCGGTGAGCCTAAAAATGATCACTACTTTCAAGTGTATTGCACTCATCGACGGTAGGATTATGACTGCCATGATCAAGCCATGAACGTTTGAACGCTCAAGGCGCCGAGAAGTTACTAGTAAGCCTCTGGGGTACCCTACATACTACCGGGTTGACACACACTGGTGGTCACGGTCATCATATGATGCTCAACTGTCGAGTGAGCGCACCCTTGCTCACTCGGCGTTCGATCCGTTGACTTATAAAAGGTCTCCGAGCTCTGGTTGCAAGTCCCGACTTTGCGCCGCTGGAACAGTATCATGATAACAGGACAGATGAACCTTCTGTGAGTACATGTGGCTTCGACTCGGGTCAACCCGTCTATGTTCTCAACTTATTCTGTAGTGCTGGACCTGAGGTGGGAGCTCGCCGGTTCTGTGCTCCACTCAGACTAGTACTTACCATCGGAGTCAGCTCATTGCAGGTTTCTTCAATTGGGGATTGCTCGGGGTGCTGAATACACAAGTGTGTACGTATTATATCACGCAAACAACGTCCGTAACCCGGTACTAAACGCCAATGCTGAATCAGATCATTATCACACTTACTTCCCTACAGATCCATGGTCTTTCAAATTGATGGGTGCGTATCATCGTTAACTACGTCTTGCGTCTTGAACTCACCGTCGACAAGTATACGGGACATTGATCTTCGAATGGGTCCATACGGGGCTGATCACCTCTGGCATGATGACCATCTTCGTCTATGACTTCGGGAACCCCGAGCCCGCGTTGGAAACGCACAATACTTGGTTCTCAGGGCCAATCATGTGCGGTCTCATGTCAATGCTAGTGCAGATGTTCTTTGCTTGGCGGATCTACATGTTCTCGAAATCGTACTGGATGTCTGGAGCTATTGTCATGGTACGTTCAGAGGGCTAAATCGCAGTGAGCCGAGGATGTGAAGCTACTACATTCTATAGATCTCACTCGTGCAGGGAACATTTGCGATTGTAGCCGGAGTCATGGTACGAACAAGCGACGCACGTATTGCCGTCTACTGACTGACGCATCCTCCTCCTGTTCACAGCTGAAATCAATAACTCGAGTGGAAGATGTTCTTCACGGAGCTGTGTTCTCCCTCATTGTTGTAAGTATCTAATATACCTTCGACATGCATTTTCTCACAAGTACAAGGTATGGATCTCTGTGGCTGCTGCAGTCGATATCGTAAACGCCATCATCATGACCATCCTGGTATGCCCCGACACTGTGTAGGGTTCGGGTAACTGAAACTACGCCCTCATGTTCTAGCTCCTCAGGAGACGCAGCGTAGATTCTGTCTCTACTGCTCTCGTCAATCGAACAGTCCGACTAGTAGTGGAAACAGGTACACTTACCGGTGAGTGAAGCATGATTTCGGACCCACTATCAAACTGAGGCCGCGTGTTCAGCTAGCTGCACTCTCATCATGGTAGTACTAGCGAAAGCTCCTCAGGTAATCACCAAATAAGGGACGGGCTACACCTAGTCGCTGAACGATAGACCTAGACACGGAACACCCAAATATACACTGTCCTGTGAGTAACGTTCACTAAACCCCGCTCGATTCATCAATCTGACATTCTGTGAAAACAGATCTCTCACTCTGACCAAGATGTGCGCACGGTTCATGCGGCCCCGCCGTATACAGTACTGGACTAATGAAGCCTCGCAGATATGCAAACACCCTTCTCACAAACCTCAACAACCGAGCGCGCACGTCAGAAACATCTCCGAAGGTACACATCTCATTTGGGTTTCTGCAGAAGTCACCCGCATCCGATGGCGCAACAATCGCCGTATCTGGCTCTGGCGAGCTTTATGAATTACCGTCGCACCGCGAAATCCCCGAGATCAACGCACTCAGTAACGGACACCACATCGTAGGTTGGAAACCTGGATGCATGTCAAGACTCGCTGAACGATTTACTCTAGGAACAAGACGGAGCCATGACGACCGTGGTCTGACCGACGAGTAGACAGGGCCCTATCGGTAGTGTGCATGGTCTGGCATGCGGATTATTTGATTCTTAGCGTCGACGCAATGACTTTCATTCTTTCTGAGGTCATAGAAGCATCGAATGTCGACACTTGAGAGATATCATATGTGTGCGTCGTTCTCTTTGAGAAAGCCCGCCTCAGGTAGCATGCTCGAGACAGTTCTCGCGACAGATCCCTGGGCGAGGACGGGCCACTGGCAGATCAAGTCATTTGACTGTCCCACCCATAGAATCCGTGAAATTGAGATATATCTTGAGAGTAGTAGGGATGGGCGTCACTGTCGCATACGGTGACAGTACGGCGATGTAGGACGCGGAGCAGAAGCGGAAGCACCGGGTGTTCGCAGTAGGGTAATGCGTTCCGTGTTCGTGTGACTGGCCAAACTGGTGTTCGAACTTTCTGCGACTTGACCCAGCAGCAGGACGTTTCGACGTCGACTCGCCAGTATTCCCGCGAAACCCTTCATCCATACATCGTAGTTCCACTGGACCCCCATTCCAAAAAGCGAACACAGGCGGAGTGTGTCTGTTCCCGTCAAGATCGGCACAGTCGGCAGTGTCGAGGGCGAGCGAAACCAAAGGTGTTTGAAATCCCGGCGGGACACAGCTGCCGATTCTGACACCAGGTAAGTATGTACCGCAGAAAACGCTCAATGAGTCGACAGTTCGACCGGCCATTATAACATCTTTACCTAACCCAGAAGAACTCAATCTGAACTGGTGTCTTTTCAGTCCTGGCATTGTCCTTGCCCCACGTAGGTCCATTCCGAGAAGTAAGCAGGCGTAGTCCCTCGCCCCCATTGCTCGTCGCGTATATGCCAAGCAGCGTCCCTACAGCGGTATATCGTGTCAGCTTTTCTCAAACCCTAGCAGATCAAACCTTCAGACGCACCCGTGAAGCCCCAGCTGACATCCGCTGCGAGCCCATAGCCAATCGTCTGCATCTGCGAG